AAGGGATAGCGAGATAAAAGTAAAGAGAATAAAAGAGGCCGCCTCCCAGGACAGGAATTTGAAAGAAAAAGGGGCATGATGCTATCATCATAAAAAAGTCTCTTTATCCCAACATCACGGTCAGGGAGAACTGGGGACGAAGTTGTGGCGTCGTAAATCAGTTGGTGGAGGACACTAATCCAAGTCCTCTCTCCCTTTATGGATGCTCGATGCGAACTGATGATGTCAGGGGATTCTCTTCTTCACACGCTAGGCAGACAGAGGAGGCCACCTGATGCCACGAGGCACGAGCCTCCCTCTGGCTTCTCTTATCTTGCTCCAGGTTGGGTTGGGCGCGAAAGAAGTTGAGGGCTTTGACTCGGCACGACCCCTTTCCTTGGCGATTTGCGGATCCGGGGCTTTGTCTAGCGGGTACCACAGTTTGGATTACTATGCGGTTTAACTGTGTACCGCGCCAGCCTTCCTAAGCATGTACCCCCTCACCAAACCCTAGTCACAGGTTGCGTTCGATCCCTTCCTGAAGCAGGAGCATCCCCAGCCCTCCCTCCAATTGGAGAAACAACACTGGCCAGAAGCCAACTTGGCCGACCAAAGAAAACGCCTGGCTGCCAAGAATAGCATGATGAAGCACAAGAACATGCATCGCTCGACCTCAACAGCAGCAACGCCCAAGCCCGCCAGCCCTCCTCGTACAAGCACAACTCTTATCTAGTCGCCAGTTCGCCCACACACGATGGCGAGGATCGCCTTCGGGACTGAAGAGATCACAGGCTGGGGCCTAGGATTGATTGGTCTCTAGTCGAAGAAACCCGCCACCCCACCGCTCCCACCTCTCCCCTACCACATACAAGTATTCCAGGGGCTGATATCCTTGAGGAACCCCCGTTTGTTCGAAGAGTAGCCCTCTCAAATAAGGAATTGAAAAAAGTATTCTTAACGACAAATGGTGGCGAGAACTTATTTGTCTTCCATCGATCCCCAGATACAAGAGAGATTTCGAGATCACAGCCCAAAACATCGACTCGCTTCTTTAATAGATATCCAATTGGGCAGAGACTCTAGAGGTAATTCTCCCAATCAAATCTTTTCGTTCCCACTCACGTAAACTCCGACTTACTGGCCCATCACCGTCTCGTTCAATGCTTGCTGGCGGGGTTTAGCACAACTATGTCCTCATCTGGATAGGACCTCCGCGATCCTAGTCTATCCCTAACATGCCCCATGTGCAGTCGGCCGGTACCATTGTCCAGTTACTCTTCATCCATTAGGGGGTGGGGGTGAACCAAAACATGAGCCCAGCCTACATGTAACCTCTTGTTTCGATCTGAGTAGAGATTCGAAACGCTGCACAGCCAGCACGCATAACTTCCTGAAGGAGCACCCTCCCCCTTCCCCACCATCGCACAAAGGGATAGACTCACTCTGGTCCAGGGTGAACCAGAGGTCGAGATGGTCGGGACTGAGAGAAATAAGATAAAATAAACAATAAATAAACAAAACCTCACAGAAGAAAAGCTCATGATGGGAAAAACAAAGGCGAAGAACCCCGGAGGGCAGGAAGAAGAACACCTGTAATCGAAATAGGGAAAAAAATATGACACGATAAAGGCTTCTAGGCTCTTCTCTAGACGGAATCCATGCACGATCGAAACTGCTGGCCTTGGGCAAAACGCTTCTTGGCAGGGGGTTTTGTCTCTTTTTGTCGCCTCTCCGCCCCAACCCAAAGCACTCGATTTTGCCTCACCATGACAAAAGGGGAGGTTAGTGCGGCGCCTTTCCTCAGCGGGTCTAGCGCTAGCTAAAAATCCTCTTGAGGTCCAGCGGTGGGGCATGAATGATCGACGCGCATTCTCGACAATGGTGGTGCCTCCCTTTTTCTCCCTCACCGGCGCCATCTTGGCATCAGGGCAGCTTGACAAAAATTCATCCAGACATAGTTGTGCTCGCAGAAGACTATCCTCCTTTCCGCGCCCCCTCCCGCAACAAAAACCAGCACAGAGGGCCATGTAGGGATCGGAAGAAAGGACTGGGAAAACAGCCCCATGAAGACTAGGGTGAACCCGGACTCTCTCTGACGACAATAACGTCATGTAGAGGCTAAATATCACTTTTCGAGCCAGAGGCACCAGCCGACCTGTATTAGTTGAACCCCTTTCAAGGCGACGAGAACCCATTCACAGCCCCGACTTTGCCAGAGGTCGGTACAGTTCAATGAGCCCACTTGAGGCGCCGGTTCGTGCACTTTTGATACCAAACACTGGATCTTCTCCTGGCTAAGGAGGATCCGGCGGTCTTTCGCGGAAAGGCGGAAAGTCTGCCAAGATAGAAAAAGTTATTTTCGTCGCCCAGCACCCCTTCCGGCAGAGTAAGCTGGCTTGTCCTTTGGCACACCCACCCCGCAAAGGGTGCTCCGTCTCCTTGTCTGGGAGCATATTCTTCCTCTACCTTGCCTCCGCTGTCATCGTCCACTCCGTTTGCTAAGCTCGACCGCAATCCCCTCAATTCTTAGATTTAGCCAACAGAAAGACAACACACAAGGTCGCACCAAAGAGGGAATATTCCCCGTTCCCTTGTGTAGATCCGCAGAAGCTCCTCTCCTCCACGACTTGTCAAAGAAGGGATGGCCGGAGTGGTGGGCCGCCCGGGAAGCGGTGGTGAACAGACAGGGCGCCTATCATTCATGCGCACAGCCCACTTCACCCCGTTTTTCTGTGGGATCTTCCACCCCTCCAACACGTCGTCCCATCTTTTGCGTTTCTTCCGCTCCCCTTTTTGCTTGGTGTGGGATGTGTGACATGGTTGTCTCCAGACATACCCTTGCCGCCGGGCCTTGTCACAATCAAGTACTTTTATTTTTCCAGTTGGAAAACGCAGCGCGTTCCCATCCGGTGGTTTCTGGGTAGGTGGCGAACTGCGCGCCTCCAAGCTTCCAGTAACCACCTAATGCGAGAACCCTCTGACGGACCTGCAAGCTTGCGGTCTCTCTCTGGATCCCTCCGGGGCCTCGACTGCATATTACTACCACGTACTACTATATTACCGACCTTGGTGGTTGAAGCAGAGTCCGTGTCAGATGTTGGGCGTGGACAGAAAGACGAATCGAGGTATTCCAGACGCCTATGATTCTCTTCGAGCATGGTCATGTTTCCCGAAAGCACCTGTGAACGTGCGTGATTTTGCAAACCACCCTCGTAATTCAATTCCAAGAGGATGTGTGCTTCTTTCCTTCCAAGAACCCCAGGCCTAGGGGGCAGGCTGGGGCTGCATCGGATCGGCGGATGCTTGGATTTTGGGGCCAGTTGTATCTTCCCTCAACCAACCCAGTGTGCTATCATCTTGACATTGAAGCAAAGCGAAAGAATGGGGGTTTTAAGACCCAACATGAACATAAAGTCATTAGTCCCCATGTCAAATAGAGAAGGTGGCCTCGGGCCATGAGCACCATCACCTCTCCCTAAAACAGGGCTCGATCAACGAGGATGAGAACGAGAGACCGAAACAGTAGAGAGGTCCAGAAACTCCATTTTCTATTCGTTTGTCTCCATCAAAACCAACCCTCTGGAGGGTTTGACTACTTGTTTCGACCCTATCACTGGTCTAGGTCCGGGCGTCTTTGCATGTTGGTAAAGGGAGAGCGAGCCTAGAGAAAGGAGACAGGAATAAAGAAAAGAGCGATAGAAGAAAAAGAAAAGAGAGAGAAATGGCATCTCCACATTGGCGTCCTGCCCAACGAGTCGGTTGCTCTGATAGTTAACACGGTCAGAAGTAGGTGAGGCTGGTATTAGTCGTCCACAACTAGACGTCAAGGACTAACAATCGTTAGTCCCTGTCTCATTCTCTAGCTCCCTTGACCCAATCGGCCACAGACATCCCTCCCCCTTTCTTTCCTTTTTTTCTTTCTTTCCTTTTGCCGAGGATTATCGTAGGCCCATCGCTGCCGTCTTATGAGTTGCATCTCTGTAGCTCTGCCACCTCTTTGTGGGGTCGAAAATCATCGGTCTTTCTAACATCTAGACCTAGACCTAAAGGGGGACAACAGGACATGCATCGAGAGGCTTCAAGCTTCCGGTGGACCTACATCGCGACTGGCGCCGAAATGGGGTGTTAACCCCCCCTTTTTTTTCTTTCTTTTTTCTAATATTTTTATTTTTATTTCTTCTTCTTTTTTCTCTACATGTAGCATTCACTCGATGGGCTAGCTCAAGGAGCCAGGGGGACAAGGTTTTGACGGATGCCCGAGAAAGTCGCATCATGCTCTTTAGTCCTTCTTCGGCCGATCAGAGTCGCTCGCTCTGTCTCCTATATCCATCTTTGCTCTCACGCCTCCCCTCCTCTCCCCAAAAGGAATGCGAGTCACGAGTCATGATGTGTCAACGTCCAAGACATGCTTGCTTAGTGTGAGACCTCGCGGGACGGGATAGGGGAGAGAATGACAGGTAGCTGCCAGGAGGAGGGGACTAGCGCAAGGTTGGAGTACATTCGTTGAGAGACCGATGAGGTCATCGTGGCCGAGGCTGGATGTTTTCTCTCTCCCACCTTGAGTGATGACTGACTCCGGCGTATTCACAAGGGTTCTTATTATGGCTGCTATAATTGTCCGTAAACCTCCGGCCCCTGCCTCGTAGTATGCTCTCGAGTAGCTGATGGGCCAGGAGGGAAAAAAAAGCCCAAACAGGTTTTGTAGAAAAAGCAAATAATAGCCGGGCGCGACGTTGAAGAGGGATTCCTGTCAGCTCATCATGCAAGGTTTTTCTTCAAGGCTTCCTGGAAGAAGCAACGCACATTATGCCATGCGGCTGAGATCAGAAAGCCAGGCAGCCCTCTCGAGCTGTCTGAAATGTGGAGAGCGTCAATGTGTAAGAGAGGCGCTCTGCGGTCGGTGATGATGTACGCAATGATGTACGCAATGCTAGTGCGGAGGTGGATGGGAAGGAAGGCGGTGCAGGTCCAAAGGTCCATAACAATGGCTAAAGGCTCGCTCTGATTGCCCTCGGGAAGTCTCACAGCTCCTTCATGACCTCGTCCACGGCACGCCTTGCCATCCGACGCCTCTCTTCCTCGGGCATGCCCTCACCCATCTCCCTCACGGCTTTCAGCTTGCTCATCATCCTCTCCAGCTTCTGGACGTCTTCCTCATTTATCTCCTCCTCGCCACCAGCTAGACCGCCTCCCGTAGTTTGTGTCCCGGCTGGCTCCTCCGGGTCCTCTCTCTCCAAGGTAGCTTCTAGGATGGCTTGCCTTAGGCCTTCAAAGTCTCGTTTGTCACCGTAGACGTCGAAATCAGAATCCGAGGCGGCGTCCTCGTTCTCGTCAACGCCTCCTTCTTTCTCGGGGTTTCCGCATCCGTAGCAGGAAGCGCCGCCCAGTCGTTGGCCTGTAACGCCTCAAGCGCGCGGGCGACACCCATTTTCTCTGGCCGCTCTCGTTAGTTATTGTAGTAGAGGGGAGCGTTTGCCACGAGCCAAGGTAGGTTGGCCTTTCTATGGGACTCACCTCCAAACTCGTTCCGGGCGCCTTTGGCGTCGTTGTCTGACACGAGAACAAGCTCCAGACCGGCCTCGGCGCACAGGTCTTCCCAGTGGCCGTCCGTATCAGATCCTAGACCTATGGCCAAGGCGACTCCGTCCCAGCCCCATCCTCCGAGACCGTCTTTGACAACTCTGCCGACATGCTCGATAAGATGCTCCTCGTCGTGTTTGGAAGCACCGGCGCGTTGCAGCTTTGGCACCTCGAATACCAGGACGAGGCCGCCTAATGCATCAAGGACTTCCTTTGCTTCGGGGGAGAGGAAGGTTTCTGCCCAATCCTCGGGGTCTTCTATCAGATCCAGCCACAAAGGAAGGGTTGCTGTATAGTATGGAGTAACCAGAGGCAGTGGGTGCGTGATCCCCGAGAGAGTGGGCGAGGGTTCGGGATGGGTTCCCGAAAGATCTATCTATATTGTTAGCCCATCTTTGAAACCCATGAACCAACCTCGAAAGTTCGCGTGGTACAACGAGGCAAAGGGGCAAGCCGACGCGGGGCCATGGGCGGTTCCTTACCTTTGACAACGCGACCTAGGTGATGACTTGCCGACTCGAGCGAGACGGCCAGCACCCGCCTCGGATTCTCAATGTTCTTCACCTGGTCCTCTTCCCCACTCGCCATGGTGGAATTTGACTACGGAGAAGCTAGGGAGATATTCGCTTCCGTTTTGTCGAATCAGGTCTCGAATGCAATGGGATGTGATCTACGAGGAGGTGGTTGGCATTCTAGTCTGCCCCGCGATTCAGGAGATTTTTCTTGGGGGCTTTTGGCGGGGTAAATAATTGAAGCCTTGTAGTCTGGGGGACAGAGTTCCAGCAGCGCGGCTTTGTCATTTCGGCAACTGATCGAGCCAGTGCTCCCACTCTCGAGTTCACAGCACAGAGAGCTTTCTCGTTTAGATATTGCTTCGTACAGCGCGGAAAACAAGGGAGACAAAAGTAGAAGGCACAATAGATTTCATTCCAATATGGCTGTTTCAAAGCAAAGGGATTGTGTCCAAAGTCTGGGTTCATTCATAAAAAGACTAATGGAATGCTAGTAGTAATAATTATCATAACCATCCTCCCGACAAAACATTGAAGTCATTAAAGCGTGCTAGGTTCATTTACAGAAGACCGCCGCCGCCGAGGAGACCACCGCCACCGCCCTGCTTGTTGCCGCCGAGAAGTCCGCCTACGACGGGCGCATTGCCAACAACGCCGTCAACTGTGTTTCCGACGCCGCCGAGGAGCCCGCCAACAAGGCCGGGGTCTGGAAAAGATGGTGTTAGCAATGTTGAAAACTTACGGAAACCTACGGGTCTGTGGGCGAGTCCGTAGGGGGTGGGGGCAGGGGCAAGGGTGCGGACATACTCTGCTGCTGCTGCTGCTGCTGCTGAGGCACTTGTTGTTGAGGAACCTGCTGCTGAGGAACCTGCTGCTGGGGACCTGCTGGCCCTGACCCTGTTGCTGAGATCGGTTATCCATTTTGGTGGTTTGTGTGTGAGGTTGGTTTTCCGTGAGGGGAATGTGTTGTGGTATTGTGCTTGATTTGGATTGAAGTGCTTGGAGTTTGTTTGTTGATGCTGAAATCTGCTCTTTCAATTCCTCGATCGAAGGGGTAAATCTGCTTGACTTATATACACCATTTCGACTCCTATTTCCTTCCGTGGACATATAACCAAGCCGATTACATCCTATGATTTCATTACTGGGTTGGTTGATGGGGTGCTCGAGACATCTGTGTTCCCGCGCGTACAAGTCGGTGATGTCATCACGATCCAACTCCAGGTTTTCGCTAAAATCGGCCGCAACCATCTTCCTTGTGCCACCCTTCCACTTCTCCCCTCCCATTTTCTTTTTGGCCCGCCACCCTTACCTCGAAGAATCGATTAATTGATCGAGGGACACTGTAAACGAGGGTTAATGTGGATCGAGCATGACGGGATCTCCGGACCAAGCCCTTGGGCGACCTTGTGCTCCAATCACTTCCTCTCATGCTTGGCCCATGTGGATTTTCGAACGATATCCTGATGGGATTGGACCCATCGACGTCGTCATTTCGCTGGAGGCCATTCCAAAGCCAGTGAAGAGACGAGGGGATACACTGTGAACAAATCCCCTCTTGCCCCTTTCAATATCTATCGATTGGTACATCAAGACAAGTAGCGCAAGAGCGTTGAAAATAGATACTATACATCCGCGGATGTTAGTGACGCATGTAACTTAAAACACTTGGTTACCCTATCCTTCTACTCGTTTCTCCGTCTCTCCTATTCTATCCACCCGTAAAGACAAAGAGTATCTTTCCCTATCTAGTGCTCCACCCCTCGTTTTGTGTTGCGCGCCCCCACCGCATGACAACAGGACTTCCTCTTGACGTCCCTTCATGCAAGTGTGACGTTCCTGGCGTTGGCGGGTGGAGCCCCTCTGCCTTGCCAGCGGAAGGAGAGGGGGGATCAGTCGGCAACCGGGGAAGCGCCTCTTTTCTTTGATCATCGGCTCTGCTGGAAATACAAAATTTAGCGGGCCATGTGGGAAAGCGCGTCATGGCCCTCCACACTGGGGCGCCGCAAGCGCCCGAGGTGAGGCACTGCGTCTTCGCGTTCCGATCGATTGCGTAGCTCTCATCTAACGGGCGTCATGTAAACTAGGCGGCCGCATTAAGACGGAAAAGCTTAATGAATAGAGATGTGTAGGCAGAAAGAAAAGAATAGGAGAGGGGCTGGTTTACATGGACGCCCAGCCCGCTTCTAGGTCACGCCCACAGCCCCCACGCACTTCGGGTAGCAAGGGAGGAAGTGAAAGCACGCTCTCCGAGGAAGGGTGAGGGCACCGAGGAGAGTTGAAGGGCTGTACGAGAGAGTGTGTGTATATGCGTGATGTGCTGAGCCAGGTGGGTGTGCCGACCACACGGAAGAGCAAATGCCCAACATCCATAGACTTGCACGGCGCGCAGCAAATCAAGCCAACAAACCCCCTCTTGCGGCTGCCGGCAGGTTGCCCCCATCTATCCTGGGGCGGCAAGACTGGGGGCCCGTGGGAAACTGGACTGGAAGGGGTCCAAGATACATGCGAATTAGGCGGAGGTGCTCTATGAAATTTTGTAGCAATGCACGTGTATGTGCGCGTATATTAAATTCAAGTGTGGTGAGAGCGTCGCTATAAGTAACTTTGTAAAAAAGAAACAATCTGTCTGGGCTAGCCTGACCGGCCAGCTCCAGGGTATACGGCGCCCGGATCCTCCCAACGTGGTTTGGGGGAGATATGTGGCATGTAAAAAGTTCTTGAGAGAGGGGAATTATCAGTCCTCCGGACAAAGGAAACGAAAACAACTGAAGTGGACAAAGAGAGAAAAAAACCCTGATCCTGGTAATGTGTTGCCCTGACTCCTATGATAAAGGAAACGGACTCGGCCGGAGTTTAAACATAAAAGTAAATGACACTCAACGCGAAGCGAGACATCGTCAAACGAGGGCTCTGGTTGCGTGTCGAATCAAGTATCACCGCCCCAGCCAAACTGCCTCTGCACTAACCCCATGGCGCCGACGACGGTCCCAACCACGCCCTGGTCCCCGTCCCTGTCAAACGCCGTATTCATCTCTTCCCACCCCAGATCCCTCTGATCGAGTTCGCCCTGCCGCCGCGACATGACCGCCTTTTGAATCGCCCGCGCCCAGATGTTCATCAGCCCCTCCTCACTCACGGAAGCGTATTCTCTTTGCTCCTCGCCCGGCAGGGTGAACCCCTAACGGGACGGTGACCGCCGCCGCTGGCACGGCCACTTCCACTACCGCTACCGGCGCCGGTTTCACTCTCGTCCTCTCCACCCGGGGAAAGAGGCCGCGAAAAGTACCAGTCCGCGACAAAGACCTCGAACCTCTTGGTGCTGAAGAAGAGGTACGGCCACGATAGCAGGAAGAGTAGGGTCAGGTAGAACACCCACCTCACCCAGCGCGTAAGGCGCAGCTCGTTGACCTTGCCGGCCGAGTACACCGTAGCCGACTCCCCACTACGGGGAACGTGACGTGCACCCTTCCGCGGTAGCCCGTGTCACGGATCAGCGAGTCGATTCGGCCCCGGAGCCACCTCTCGTCGAGCCCCTGCACGGTGCGCTTCAACCGAAATGTCTTGAGCGGTGCGTGGCTCGCGCAGTACCGGTGGCACCACTCCATCAGCGTGGGCTTCTGGTCTCCAACTTCCTCGTCGTCGCCCAAGTGGATGGGCCCCGGCGCCTCCCGCCGGTTCCTCCGAGCCCTGCACCCGCGCCTGCAGCCCTTGGCTCTCTTCCGCAGAGACGTGCCTCTCCGCACGTTTTCGGCATTGTCCACCGTCCGTACCGTACGCCATGCGCTGCGCGTCTTAACATCGCGGTAGAGGAACGCCGTGAGCTCTAGCTTCACGTCGAAATCCACAACCGTTTTGGTTTCGTTCTTATCCTTTTGCCGTTCCGTCTCCCTGTGCTCGCCCCGGATGTGGATAAACGGCCGCGGTGGGAACTCGGCTAGGTGTTCCATCCATCGCTGTAGGTACTCGGCGTCCCCGTCCAGCCTGGAGTCCAGGTACGTCTCATCGCCTTCTTCTGGGCTGCCGAAGCAGCGAGCAGGCTGCGGGGAGCATTGGTAGGAGCAAGTGGTGCGGAAAGTGGTGCGTGAGGGGTCAGTGCCGCGTAGCTCGGTGGTAGGTCGGTCACGTCGTCTTCATCAGCCTCATTGCTAAAAGGTGAGGCGGCTACCGATACTGCTGGTACCAGATCAACCGTGTAAGCGGGGAGAGTGGAGTTGGAAGACTCGCCCGTTGGGATGACGGGGGCTCCGCGAGCAAGGGGACCTTGGCGTCGATATCAGTCTTGGTCATCTTCGGAGGTCTCCTCTGTGGGTTCGAGCGTGATAGGGAATATTCCCTTCCAAGGGTAGGGAAAAGAAAGGGAAGAGGAGATTCACAAGGCTCAAATTCAAGCAAAACACCTGCAGGCTTCGTTTCTCTTCTTTCTATCTCTTCTCTTCGACAATATAACACTTAAATGAAACTCAAGGTTATTAAAAAAACGAGAGGCAAAGGATGGGGGGCGAAGTGAATATCAATGCTGCGCCTCTGATCCCAGGCAGCACCGATAACCTGCTTAGTCATAGGAGGGGGAATACGAAACTAACATGGAAACGGCCCCAAAGGCTGCAGACACGAGCCAACACGAGAGAATATGGCGCGTTCTGTCGGCAGCCCAGGCTCGTGAGTCGACTATAGCTCTCCATCTTCGCAACTTGCAGCCAGTCATCATTTCACTTCACAGAGTGAGGGCTCGGCACCCTTAATTGAAGACAATAGAAAATTATAGATTGACAGACTCAAAGGAACATTATTTATGCACCCTGTGGAAAACAGAATCCAACTCGGTCGCCAAAAACGCCGCTCAATGTGATCGTGCTCTCCAACCCTTCCCCTTAAGTTCACACAACAACAGTCGTGAACCGCTTTTTGACTCAATGAGAGATAACAAGATAGAGACTTTTATAGCTGACAATGGAATGATACATTCGGGCCTCTTTCTACCCGCTTCATCCCTCCTTTCCGGTTTTTTTTTCTCTTTTTTTTTCTTATTTCCTTCTTTTTTTCCTTTTTGCGTCTCGCGATGCAAACTCTTTCTTCTGTCAACTCCCACCTTCCCCTTACGGTTGGTGCGTGTCATCCTCATCTACGGAGACGAGTTCGGCTCCCTGCCACGCCTTCTTGGCTGCCTTGAAAAGCAGGTCAAACTCTCCACTGGTCTCGCACATGGACCTGAAAGATCCCTTTTCGATTTGCATCAGATCGTAAGGATGGCCGAATTCGACGACCTCGCCCCTGTCCAAAACCAGCACCCTATCGTAGTCCACAATGGTCTGAAGACGGTGGGCAATTGTGATGATGGTGCTAGTAAGGTCACGGATTGTCTTTTGAATCTTTGAGTCGGTCGCGTAGTCGATCGAGGCAGTCGCCTCATCCATAACCAACACGTTGGGAGCCCGGAGCATGGCGCGCGCAAGGCAGAGAAGCTGCCGCTGCCCTTGAGAAAGATTGTTTCCGGACTCGGTAACTTGCGACGAGAGGTCAAGGAAGACGTTCTTGTTCGTGATGAGGGTGGGGGTGGTGGCACCGCTCCTAAGCTTGTTCGCGTTTCCGTTGGTGTCCCCGCTTCATCATCAACTACAATGGTGGGAGTGTCGGGGAGTAGGAGGTTGCTCCTGGTCGCAGGCGTGTTGGGGGAATCTCCAATGAGGTGAACGCGGCGAAGGGCCTCAAAGATCTCTTCGTCCGTGAAAATGCCGAACGGGTCGAGGTTGGAGCGGAGGGTGCCCATGAACAACGTGGGGTCCTGGGGCACGATGGTGATGGCCTGGCGGAGATCCTGGAGGCCCATGAGACCGATATCGACACCATCAATCAGGATCTTACCAGTCTCTGCTTCAAGGGCGCGGAAGATGGCGAGGGCGAGAGAGCTCTTGCCCGCGCCCGTTCGTCCGACGATACCCACCTTCTGACGGGGCTCAATCTTGAATGTGACGTTGCGAAGGACAGGATCCAGCTCTTCTCGGTACCTGGTCGTGTAGTTCACGAACTCGACGGAGCCCTCACTGGGCCAGCTTGTGGCAGGACGGTTGTCTTCCACTACCGCCACGGCTTCTTGCTCGACATCGAGGTATTCCTTGATGCGCTCGACCGAGTTCATGTTTTGCTCATTCATGGCGTACAGTCGAACGAGCCAGAGGATGTTTTCCGTGAAGGAGATAGCGTAACTGAGCGAAATACCAGCCGCACCGGGGTCGATCTTGCCGAGGCTGAGGATCACAAAGACACCGGCGGAGAAGGCCACGAGATCACCAAGCATGTCGCATCTAAACGCGAGCCATCTATTACAGGCCCAAAGGTAGATGAACGGACGCGATTGCGCGTTGATCTTGGAAAGGTTCTCTCGGATGAATCGTCGCTCGTCCCCGTAGGCTCTGATCGTCGTCATTCCTGTCAAGGTTTCACCAAACTGCTGGAACAGGGGGCTGCGTTGCACTGACTCGAGACGTTTGAGGTCACGAGACGTGTTGAGATAGAGCGCTCCAACCAGCCAGAAGGCTAGGGTGATGAAGAGACCAGCAACGAGGAAAAGGGGCGTAATTGACGAGATGACAATGATCGTGATAACGATACTAAGTGCACAGGACAAAACGCTAATGGCAATGGGCGCAATTTCTTGATCTACGGCCTCGAGATCCTTGCTGAAGCGGTTCATGATCTGGCCGAGCGGTGTGACGTCGAAGAACTTGAACTTGGCCTTAGTGACGGACTGCATGAGGTCGGTGTGGATCTTGCGCGAGGCAGTCAGCGAGCCGTAGAAGAGCCAAGTGTCTCGGATGAAGGCCGCAACCGCGCCCGCGACGCCGATGAGGGCGAGCACGGCAATGTAGTAGAGAGCGTTGACCTCAGGCGCGACAACGGAGAGCAGGGTAACCGAGTTAGCCTTGTGGACCCACGAAGCGACGGCGGATTGGGCCGAGTGGGCCGATAGGGCGCTGGAAGACACTTCGTGGGGCCTGATGGAGAAGGATGAGGCGTAGAAGCCACCGGATCCGCCGGAGCTCTCCTCGACCTGATACTGGTTGCTCCATTCTCGGACCCAGAAGTTGGTTACGACGGCGCTCATTTGCTGGACGGTAAAGACGACGAGAGCGACAACCCAGAACCACCAAGGTCCCATGGCTTGAAGGTACAGGTTAAGGACAGGCCACTTGACGGAGCCCTCGGCCTTCTTCTCAGCCATGGCATGCTTCTTTTCCTTCTTTTTCTTGTCGGTATCAGGCTTAATGGCGCTAACACCTCCGATGTTATCAATGACGGTTTCGCCGCTCTGCTCACCAAGGGTGGACGGGACTCGCGAAGGCACGCGAGAGGCGTCGCGAGACGGTGGCTTGGTCTTCTGGACATCCTCTCCAAGCTTGCCGGAATCAATTACATCATCCGCTGACCCCTGAGCGACGACGCGACCGTTATCTAGGACCACGATAAAGTCTGCCGCTGGCGCACAAAGCTGGATATTGTGCGTCACAAGGACGCAAGTACGGTTCTTCATGAGCGGGCCCGTGATGCAGTTGTGGAAGATCCATTTGGCTGTGTGGGAGTCGACGGCGCTCAAACAGTCGTCAAGGAGGATGTGTTGGGAGTTGGAGTAGAGCGCGCGGGCCAAGGAAATACGCTGCTTTTGGCCACCAGAAAGCGAGATACCCTTCTCGCCTACTAGGGTTTCATCGCCTTCGTCTAGGATGTCGAGATCACGCTCAAGAGCGCAGGCAACAATGACGTCCTTGTATCGCTGTTCATCATAAGGGGCGGCGAAGAGGATATTGTCCTTGATGTTCGCATTAACAAGCCAAGGGCTCTGCGCCGCATACGCAATGGTGTCCGCGAGGCCGGTGGCGGGGTCAGGTCGAACATCCTCGCGGCTCCTGCCGCCAGGGCAAAAGACCTTGCCATCCATCAGGGTCATCTCGCCGAGAAGGGCCATCAGCATGGAAGACTTTCCGGCTCCGGTGGGGCCAGAGATGATGTTGAGCTTGCCGATTTCGAACTTGACATTGAGATCGAGCAACCGGAAATTCATGGAACCGTCTTGCTTCACTTCGTTCTTGCCACCCCAGACGAAAGTGGCATCGCTGAATCCGATAACCTTGTTGCCATTCTCGTCGACATTATCCTTGCCGAGCTGCTCATACTTTTCTGTTTCCGCCTCAGTTAGGAATTCCTCGACACGATCGAGCGAGACCTTGGTCTCCTGTACGTGGGCAATCATGTCACCGAACTGGTCAAGAGGGATGCGGAGAAGCATGAAAAGTGAGATGGCTGTGAACGCAACCGAGGGATAGAGGGGCTTGTTTTCGACCATGGTGTACACGAGGAAGGAGAAGAAGGTGATGAGAATGGGAACCGAATTCCACACGGCGACTGCGCATGCCCAGAGGATATATCTCGAGCGGAGGGCCTTGAGCTCGACCGCGCGCTTCTCGTCAACGATGGTGCTGAACCGAGACTCCCAGGCAAAAAACTTGATGATGCGGATATTCTGGAGGACCTCGTTGGTAACGTTCATACGCTTGTCAGTGGCGGTAAGAATCCTCTTGGAGGTTTTGGCGAAACCGCGGGCGAAGAGATAGTTGACGGGAAGCAGGATGACCATGACAATGAGGCCAGGGATAGAGCTGAGGCCCATGACCCTCCAGAGGAGAACGACGGCCAAGATGAGTTGGATGGGAGCCATGGCGCAAAGGAAGTGGAGATAGGCAGTGATATCGGCAATCTTGAAGCTGTCCACGGACATCAAATTGATGATGGTACCGAGGTTTGCTTGTTCATCATTGACGGGCTCTTCCTTCTTGTCATCTCCGTTGTCGGAAGTGGTAGCTGAATCATCGCCATTGCTGTTATTGTTCTTCTTCTTCTTCAATCCGAGCGCGCGCTTGGCTTTGGAAATCACGCCCTCGTTTTCCTGGGCGACCGGTTCGTCGGGTTTGCTCTTCTTCTCCTCTCCGAGAACTGTGTCTTTGGTCGTGGCCGCCTTGCGTCGCAAAGCCTTGGCATAGATCTCCCCACAATGATTGCCCGGATGCGGATGCAAATCTTGCGGCCAATCCATAGGGCAATACCATCGGCGACAGAGCGGACAATGTCTACTAGAGGAAGGAGGATGATGTAGAGCCAGAGGACGTTCATGGGCGCGGCCTCAGGACGCTCTACATACTCGAGAATAGCCTTGAGGAGCAGAGTAGGAGCGAAGGTGAGCGCCCCGGAGACGGCGGCCATGAGGGACTGGTAGACGAGGGGACCCTTGAAGTACTTGAGCAGGTGAACGGCCAGCGAGGTGGTTCTCTTCATGGTACGGTAATCAGCGAGAACGGAGGCGGCCTTGTCCTTGGGAAGGAGGTTCCACACCATGGACATTTCCGTCGTGTTCTTGAAGCCGTTCCAAATAATAGGATCAACCCAAGTAAAGGTTGCGAGGGAGAAGAGCGACGCTAGGGGTTCTCGTGAAGGCTCGATTCCATTCTCCCATTCCAACAAAACAGTCTTGTTGCCTTTTCGGGTGTTGATGGCCATGAAGAAGAGGATTGAGGCGAGGCCAAATTCAGTGAAGGAGAGGACCTGCGCCAGCTGAGAAGGGGGTTGATAAAGGCAGACCGGAAGAAGACGAGCAGAGCAAGCCATTGGACGGAGTAGATGGTTGCTGTGTGGTTCCAAAGGCGTGGCACGCGCCACTTGGTGTTTCCGAGGAAGAGACGGAGACTGACCAAGATGAGGACGTAGAGCCATAGAATAATACCAACGAGAGAACCGAAGCGTGCGCTACCGCTACCACTACCAGTTCCATAGACCAGGAGATGGCATTGATGGCGACGAGGCCCGCAATGGCGAAGAGCTCGACCACGACAAAGATTCGCTCGGCGGGAGGGTTGTCAGCTTGGACCACGGAGCCCCGGGTATTTGTCTTGACGAGGGCCAAACGGCCGCCGTTGATCTCTAGAAGATCGTCATCCTCATCTTCGTCTCCAACCTCTTCATCAGGAGGGATTCCAGTATGTGCTTCGGCAGTGTTGGGGTGGCTATCCGGGATGCGATGGTAAGCGGAATTTCGTCTCGCCTTGACGGCTCGCCGGACATTGTAGGAGACGATTTGTAGCACCGATAGTCCTACTACAATTACTGGTAAGAGAATTCTTAGATAACTACAGACATTACTAGTTAGCACAAAACGAGAGGATGGTGGATGCACTGATTATGCTAGACGTCGCTGGACGACCAGGAGAAGGCAGCATTTCTTAGACGCCTTGGCCACTAAGAAGGGCAAAACAAGGGCTTCAATAGCCATGACGTGATAGCGGTGGAATACCGCAAGGGAGGGAAAAAGCCAAAACTTACTGAGATTTGAAGCACGGCGTCAAATCGTCAACACGCCATATCGGCCAGTCACACTGCGCGAAGTGGTCCTTCATCTTTGCGGGGAAGAAAAGGGCCGCACCACGCGCGCACGCAGGTGAGCGGGTTGAATCGGTTGTGTATTCTCCCTGGCGCCGTGGGTGTGATGGTGCAAAATGCCTTTTCTGGCAGGTTTTTTGCTCGGTTCGGTCGCGGATTGGGGAGCTTCGGCGTGGGCGAAGCAATCAAGGCGACCGGTCGGTTACAACAGCGTGGGGTATTAAGGAATGGCTGCCGGCGCTGGAGAGGAGAGGGAGAAAAAACTAGAAGCCCCGGAAAAAGGAAGCAAGGGGCGGTGGCAGGAGAGAGATTGATAAAGAAAAAGAAATGAAAAAAGTTTCGAAGCTGTTCACAATTTGGTGGAGGGCCAAGAGCAAAGAAAGCGCCCCTCGACTGTGGCGGATTAGTGACGAGAGTACCGCGTAACGGAGACTTGTGCGGCACACCGGCGTTGCAACATATGTATATACCAATGCATGCACGCGGGGAAGAGCGGTTGTTCAAGCTCTGCGCCTACTAGCGAATAGCAGCGTCGCCCTAGGAAGATGCTAGGCCGTCTCCGAATGACGGCGAGATGGGATGGCAGAAAGAGGAGAAGAAAGAAAAAGAAAGAAAAAAAAAAACAGGAAGGAGGGGAAAATAGGAAACCAAAGGATGGGAGGGATCAGGGCAGAGAGAAAGTTTAAACGAAGGGAAGAAAAAAGAGGGCCAGGAAAAGGGAACAAAAAATAAAAGAAAAAAGAGGAGACGGAGAAAGGTAGAGAGCTAGTAAAGGAAAGGATGGGATGGAGGGTTGGATGGATCAATCAGTGGATTGATGGCATGGGCGAATTGAATGGGAGGGCCAAAAGCCAGAGCATAACAAAATATTACTGCGGACCTAGCTTGAGTGGGAGGGACGGAGTGTGGGCCTGGCTGCCTGTTTTACCAAGAGAGCCCATCGGAGATTTTGGCGAAGAGGATGATGACATCGGAAAAGTCTCAAGGTCTTTTTGTTCGAGGGGGTACGTTACTCCGAGCTGGCCTTATGACTCGATCTGACGGCAACCGAGACTCCATGCACTATCCGGCTCCGGCGACGGCCCTCAGATGTATCCTAAAAGGGACCAAGATCGCCTTTGCCTTGCCTACAAGCTACAACTCTATTATCGATACGCCGCTAAAATGATATCGCGAGGCGAGGCGAGGGGAGGCGGGAAGGCTCGGTAGGAGCTGGCGTGGGAAATGGAGTTGGCAGCTAATACTACTTGTACAGCAACCTTGAGCTGTGGATCACCTCAACCAGGGTTCGAGCACTGGCAAGCTCTCTCGATGTATTCAATGCTAGGTCTGGTTCGAGAAGGAGAGAGAGAAAATGGAAAACGAGAAAGCCCACTACGTTTCTTATTTAGGGATCTCGTGGCTCTCTCGACAGAAGTAATGGGCCAAGGAAGCATTGATGAGTATTGTGCCGAGTAGATCACACCCTTTGCAAAGGCACAAGCACCAACCAGAACTGAGCACCAGTCCCCCAAGCTCCAATAGATGTGTGTGGTGTAGCTTCCTCGCGCTGAATACGCTCGTCGTGCGGAGATTCCGCAGGCAAAAACGTGCTCGCTAGCGCCTTGAGTGGGTCCTTCGGTCATCTCCCAAGAGGAGCGAAAACTCTCGTCCTCGGTCTGCGACGACCTCGTAACTGCCTGCACGGTTACTTTGATTGACGGGACTCTTTAGTCCAAAAGGTTGGGGTACATCAATTGATCAACCAACCGACGGCACCCATAGTGGACGCGCAGAGACTAGCAAGAAGCAGCACCGCTTTCTAGCTTGGGTGGAGAACTCGATCCATCCACAATGGATCAACTGGATGGATCCTTCCCCTTGGCCTGGGTAGCTCACTGGTGTAACTAGTTTGTAATCATGTCTAGAGAGGTTCAAGGTGATCCTTCCCCTTTCCGCTTCACCTCGATGTAATGGGGGTTATCACTCAATTTTTGGTTCTTACGGCTCATTGCGGCATAACCCTCCAAATCCCTTCACGTCGAAGCGACGATGCAGTGGCGCTGAGTTGGCGGGGCCCGAAATCGGTGCAAGACCTTGAAGGAATAATATTCACGGGCACGCTCTGGGTTGGGGAAAGGTGGGGGACTTGGAGCTGCAGCCAATCATCCGCGGGGCTCAATCTCCCACTCGATCTCAAGTTGGCCTTTGCACGGTTCCGGAGACTACCATACCTGATACAGTTGATCCTGATGCAGCTTGGTTATCTTTTACTCTCTTCCTAGTACATGGCCCTTCTCTACTCTTCTCTCTTCACTTCTTTCCCGAAAAGCTGCAATATGGTACAGAAGCCGAGGGCCAAGGGACCACAGAACGCCAGAACTTGGATCCTCCCCTCCACTCCATTACTGTCACGGCGGATAATGTGCGAGGCCGGCAGGGATATCCTCCGAGCCCGCCCCTCCACCCTGTCGTGCAGAAGGCAAGAATAAATTGCAGCAACGCACTAGCCAGCCATTCGACTTATACCCCTTCTCGTCTACTACGGACCCTTAGGGAGCGTCGAGTTTGATAAGTCGGAGCTTGGGCCGTTCCTTTCTCAGGTGCGGAAGTATCTGAGCTTGTACTTTCGTTGGGTATTTTATTTCGCCGGTAATTTTTTTCTTCTTTCCCATCTTTTTCAGATATCTATCATCTGCAAAGCTGGGGACCTAGCTCTGACCCTGTCAAGTGGTCAACAGGCCGAGCCCCGTTTCTCCAAGCCTACGTCCGTGAGCCTGGCTCCCATCATGAGGCGAAGCCTTGCCATATTGTATTTGAAAGCTCCGTGGGCCGGTTCTCTCACCCCCTCTCTGTCCGGGTCAGGGCCGGACCCAAAAACAGTACAATGTTCTACTATCAACCCTTTCCTATTCCCAATCGCGCACTGATTTATCTCATTGAGCAAGTTCATGGCCGGAGTTGACTCGGTGTTCTGGGGGAGCTTGCATGGAGACATCCTAGGTAAAACATTGACTCAACCTTTTGAAGATTATCATCAGAGAAGTGAAGCCTGGCCACCATTGATGGAGCTGGAGCAAACATCTCCCGGTAAAGGAAAGGTTCGTTTTCTTCGTCACCGGAGCCCTCAAATTGAAGCATTTCGCCGTTGCGGTGGCTTTTCGTCGTTGAGTAACTCCCTTCCACCCAAGTACCAAGCCTCTCAACTTGGATTGAGATCACGCGCAGGGTTGCCATTTCCCTCCTTCCTCTGCCATTGGTTAGCCCAAGCCTGAGACCCCGGGGTCAAGCACAGCAGATCTCTTGTCTATCCATCTGGATGATAGTAGGCGCCTGGCGCACCGGATATCGACGATGTCCTTGCCGGGCCGGTTGAGGACATTAGCCAGGCTCTTCAGGGCCCATCAAGTGATGATTAACTCGCCAACCCTTGTCCCAGGAACCCTTCACCGCTGCTCTCTCCCGCTGCCCTGCACGGTGTAAACGGGACCAACCAATCCGAGCAATTCCTAAAACTACTCTCACGTCTTCGTAAGCCCGATCTTTGGTGGTTCCGGGCCGAAGCCCACTTGTCCGCAGCATTTCCACCGCCCACCCCTGGGGAGTAAAAAATGACGGAATGGATCAACAGGTGAAGGCGGGGAATATTCAATGCTCGACTCGTCAACTCGTGTCCGTTTCTGGTGCCCTGGCAAACCTGTCCTGTACGCTTTGTCTGAAAAGAACGCGGGTTTAGTCTGTGCGGTACCTCCGACGAATGCGGATTTTTTCCGGTCATGGGGGATCGGGCTGCTCCTCTCGAGAGAGATAGAGAGAGAATTGTAATCCGTGCTTCTGATTGATCGATTGTCAATGGCTCTCGTCGTGGACGTTGCATACCGTAGAGCAACCAAGGTGAAGCCTCCCAAGGGGTTTCGCCTTTGGTGAGCGAAGGCAGTGATCTCGTTTGCATCCCCTCAGCGTCCGTCCTTTTGCCAAATCCAAGACTCGACTAGTCCACGGAACCCCGAAAGGTGATACCGGGGGCAATCAATATTAGCTCCAGGCACCGGATTCACAAGGCACGCAGTGGGCCGAGCCCTGAGACAGCCCTCGAAGGCTCCTCCATAGCCAACTTGACTTGGCCTGATAGGATTGATTTCAATGGAGCTCGTTGGCTTGTTATCGCCTGCTAGTCCTCGGTGTTCGTGTCGTAGTGAGGTCATTGTATTTCTTTTCCCTTTTTGGCTATTAGGTCCCTCGCAACAGGGTAGCTGCCTGTGTGCATTTCCCCGTCGACTCAGACATCTCATGGGTCTATCCCTGATCCATTGATAAGTGTATCTTCCCGCGCCGAAAATCATCCTTGCTATTGTGATTTAGCGAGCGAGCTCCTGGTCGTTTTGCAAGGCGACAGCATTTCCTTTTTTTTTTTTTTTTTTTGGGAGGCATTTTTTTCTCTCCTTCCATGTTCTCGACATGTATCAATGCTTCAATTTCTCGGTCCTACTATTTGCCACTTGGATCGCCTAAAGACAAAATCTACTATTGGAATCGATGATATTTTTGCATCTCTAAGTACTCAATAACTAGGGGCGGTATCAATCAAGGAATACCGTGCAGGAGGCAATAGCGGGACGTGATAGGAGGGCCTTGAAGTGTTATGTATGGAGGGGAGGGGACGGGGAATGATCATGTTGATCAATCAAGATGTAGATTCTGGAACCAGCTCCAATCTCTTCAATCTGTCTCGCCCCCTTCACCGCCTGCACACTTGTTCTGTACTTGCCCTGCCATCCATCTCCATTGCAGATGCAGTCTCACCACATGCATACCCATGGATGGATCGCTTGCATCAATGGCTCCCGTCAGCGCATGTCCTGCCGGCGACGAGTCACCGGCGCTACGCCATCTATCATGTTGTGCTTCACATACCAGTATTGCTCGCCGACGAGACGGTGTGTAGCTGTTTCCGCCTTTAGAACAATTTTGACCCCTTTCCCAAACGAGATCCTTTTCCCTTTATCTCCCTGTGGGCCTCATCAGAAGGAGAAAAAGGGATAGGAGGGATAAGGCCTGCTCGTGATGAAGTGTGGGTGAACGAATTGAGGTCTTCAGGTTGAGCCTGGATGGGAGTGAACTTAGCGCTGACTGGTCACTTCTTGGACAAGAGAAGCCATCAACTACAACTTCGATAGATCTCGAGATTGGGCCATCGCATTATCTTCCTTGGTATCAATTCGCAACGTCCCCTCCTTCCCTTAAGGGGATTTTTCTTTCTTTTGGGCTTGCGGGGTTCTTTTGAAAATTGCAATCCTTAAGCTGTATCAAAACGGATCACTTTGATATTAGATCTAAGACTACATCCCCCATCATCCTCTCCTCGTCGTTCCCAAGCCCTTGGGAAGCGACTCCCGCAAAACATAATGAGAAAATTGATCTGATCTTCGATCCATTGCTAGAGCCCACCAATATCTCGAACCAGTGAACCTTGCATACTGTATTGATGTATACTTCGTATCTTCAATATTGCAGCAGGGACCGGCACCAAACTCCCGTTTCCTAAGATAAATAAAAACAGCAAGGAAGGCGCTTTGGTTGCTTGCGAAGAGAACTATCAGTGATTGAAGCAAGAGGGAGGAGCAACCTTCGGCTCGGTCGAGAACTCCACGCTCGCTTCGCAGCATCTACGAATTCTCGGTTGTTGCCTGGAATCACTTAATCCAGTGCTCCTTCCACACCTCGGCGACGCCCTCGAGATTGGCAATGCACCACGGTATTAGATTGCTTCAAATGTTCGTCCGAAAGCGTATCTCCTCACTTGCTTGATACCCCACGTCGCCATTTGATGCCTTTGCCCGGCTCCGTTTTCCCTGCACATTGCATCAACACGCTGCCCATCCACTCAAATCACATGGATACCACCTTACCTTGCATCAATGCACCTGCCTTTTCTTGCTCGCCGAGCTCCTCCATCGGTAACAACTGCCCAAGACGTCCATTGGCGCCGAAAAGAATCTCTCAGTGCTTGTGGGACGGCGAGTCAACGACTCCGCCGGGAGCCGACTTGCGGCTCTATATCCAATGGGTATGTGGGACGTGAACTGGTGCTAATCAATCTCGGAAAGTTAAACGTCTTTTAGAGAATTTTGGCGCCATTCCCCAGCCACCGCCGCACCCTGTTCTGCCAGACGCATTCAATTGATTGCTTCGATTGCAGATCCGAATGCTTGTCAGTACAAGCCATGCTTTGCGAGGTGCTACCCCTCCCGTTCCGTTTTGACCCTCCAGAAACTCCGGCTTAGCCTTTTTCCTTTCCCAAAGTACCGTAAGCAATGCAGAAAATGGGCCACTCGGCACTCCAGCTGCAACCCTTTGGACATGGGAAACCGGGGCCTGTGAATCGGAACCTTTGCACCGGCTAGGACTCCATATAATTCGGCTGTATTGAGTCACACGGCCAGGCCAAAAGGAGAAAAAGGAAAGAAAGGCCGTGACCACCCTCGGCCTGTGCCCTGATAGTAAAAGAAAAAAAGAAGGGAAGAGAGAGAAGAAAAAGAAAAGAAAAAAAGGGTCTTCTGAGCTAGGGCTACCATTCGTCCGCTCAGGAAGCTTGATAACTCGACCAAGTCCGCTGTATCCAAACCCAACTTCAATATTTGCCTTGATCCCCTCTACGGTTCAATCCATCCCCGACTTCCCTGCGTCACCATCCGTCAGAACTTGTCAATGGATGAAGCTCAATTGGTCAAGAGAGCGTGGGGAGGGGAAGTGGTGGGGTGAAGCCCCCATGCCTTTACCCATGACCTCTTTGCTGCGCAACGCGCGCGGGGTGATCACATCTTCAAAATCTGGACCGCAACAGATTTCGCACAGATTCCATGCCGAAGGGGCACTAGCCACCCAGCTTGCGACGGAGGGGGAACCGCGCTCTCGGCCCGGGTGGCAAAAGGCGGGGAGGATGTCTGCCCGCCATCGATTTGCTCTGTTCGCTTTCTGTTAGTCGCTTCAGGGTTTTTTCTTCTTTTCTTTTATTTATTTTTTGGTTCGAAGCGGTAGCTATCCTTCATTACTTGCAGGATCGCGACGGCAACACACCTTCGCATGATATGGAGACGGATCTGACCTCGAATCCTTTGACATACAAGAGCATTGGCGATGGCAAGTATGCCCATGGAAGGTGATTTTCCAATGCCGAGGGGCCGGGTTACATGTATGGAGATAGGGCAAAGGAAAAGACTTGGCCTTGACGGCCTCGGAGCATAAACTTCCAACGTCTATCCATTGTTCGTGGCCAAGAGTTCAACTGACTTGACAGAAAAAAAAATGAAGTTATGATTTTCATACTTTTAGGTTCTCATATGGGGGTTCGCCCCGAAGATAATACACAAGGATTTCCCGATCCATGCCCAGCTCACCCACCATTTTATAGCCCCCAACATGGAAAACGAAAGTCCTTGAACGAAAAAAGAGCCAGGCCTTTTTCTTAGAACGCAAAGACAAGAAACCGGCACACCTAATCCACGGTATTACATCATTCCAGAGCGGAAGGGATACAAGAGTTCGTAGTGGAAACATGCAGGCTGTCTGCGCGAGTATGGGTGAGAGAGAGATACGAGAAGGAAAGGAAGATATTAGAGCCCAAACTCCGAGTAACTTCCTTCAGCCCATGATCATGCCCTTCATGCCAGCAAGGTCGCCCTCCTTGGCCGCCATTTCGAAGTAGCCGTAGATGATGCTAAGGAAAGATTCGCGTTAGTAAGATGTTCCACGGTACGCGTTTGGCGTGTACACAATTCGGACTAAAGAATGACTGTAACTTACGTGACGGCAAGAAGGGTACCTGTGCCGGAGCCAAGAGCGCCCATGAGATCAGAGGCAACAGAGAGGGCGCCGATACACGCGCCACCAAAGGCAGCGGCGGTGGGGATGATGCGCTTGAGCTCCTTGTACATGGATTGATCACGATGGCCAGCCATGACAAGGCCCTGGTCCTTGAGCTGCTTGGCAACATCGCGGGGGCTGGAACCGGAAACCTCAATCCAAGTCTTGGAAAAGATAGCGCAGGCAGTGAGCATGTAACCGATGTAGACAACAGTGTGGATGGGGTCGAGGAGAGCATCCTTGAAGTTGAGAGGAGGAGACATGTAGTAGACGAGACCGGAGATAGCCTGGAGCTGCGAGGAGCCGTCCTTGGCCTCCCAGACACCAAAGAGGCGGACGAGGAGGTTCTCAGAGAAACGGGAGTAAAGCATCTGGCTAATGAGGAAGACGTTCGACGAGAGGGCGGACTGCAACATGATGGGCATGTTGGAGGTGTAGAAGAGGCGGACAGGATACGAGCCACGGGCACCACGCTGGCGGGATGACTTCACGGGGATCTCGACGCGGAAGCCCTGGAGGTAGATAACGGCGGCGAAGACGACCAGAGTGGCGAGAAGGTTCATGATGTTGGGAAGGTTCTGTCGGTAGAAAGCCTCCTGGAGAGCTCGCTGCTTGTTGGGCCAGGTCATGAGGAGATGGAAGAGGGCAATGATGGCACCCTCGAACTCAGGGCCACGTCCAGTGTTGATGGTGGTGGGAGAGAAGGCCTTCCAGACGATGGACTCGCAGATGTTGGTGGCGATGAAGAGCGAGATACCACTGCCCATACCATAGCCCTTCTGGAGAAGCTCGTCAAGAAGGATGACAATCATGCCAGCGACGAAGAGCTGAAGGATAAGAAGGAAGACGATACCGGCGCCGAGGTCGGAGGGAGTACCGTAAAGGCCGCTGAAGACATAGACGGTGGCGGTACCGGCGGAGAGAATGAAGGCAAATAGCTTCTGGGCGGTCTGGTAGAGCTCACGGTCGGACTTCAGGTCCAAGTTGACGTCAATCATGTGGGTGCCGGCAAGGAGCTGGAAGACCATTCCGGACGAGATGATGGGCGTGATACCCAATTCCATGAGGGTACCACGATTACTAGCCATCACCATTCGCAACCAGTATAGGGGATCGGAGTTGTCCGACGAGACGATACCGTACAGAGGCATCTGACTCATTACCAAGAAGATGAGGAGGGTCAGGGCCGTCCACATCAGCTTCTGGTTGAAGGGAACCTTGGTTTCCGGCTGCTGAACCTCTGGGAGGAACGGCACGAACGGCTTGACCAGATCGAGGAATCGTACTATAGAACGCGGGAAAGAGAAGGCACGCGATTAGCTCTCATCCAGTGCCATTGAAGTAATTCGCGCGTCTAGGGAGCTCCGAAGATGGAGTATCGATGCACAATAGGCGCGATTCGATGGCCATCTTGACGGAAACAGGCGACGTTGATGGCGACTGACGGGGTGATAGGACGCGCAACTTACAGGAACTCATGATGGGCGACGATTATGGGATAGAAAAGGGGACAAAAAGGGGGAGAAGAGAGAAAAAGGGAATGAAAATCTAAGTCATCCGAAATATAAAAACAACAGAAAGCCAAAAGAACAAACAGTCGAGCTTTGGTCGAAAGCCCGGCAGGTTCCTGAGGGAAAAGTCAAATGTAAGAAGGGGTTGTTGTGGGAAAGGGGAGGTCGAAAAATAGATTAGGGATAGCTGTTATGGACACGGAGGCTGGAGATCTGGCATCAAGCCGAAGGGTCAATCTGTCAATGTGTCCAATATTCGCTAGTGAGTAAATGTGACTAAGCAACCCCATACGCTCGGGGACAGCGAGACTTTTGGGAGGGACAGCCCAGCACCGCTCCTGTCCGCTAATATTGTTATTGCTGTCCACCGTGGATTCGATTAATTTCGTGCGTCTCCCGCCCCACAAAACTCGCCATGGCCAGCCATTGGGCTGAACCGTGTCGCACACGACACAGCACGGGGCTAATAGAGCACAAGCGGACACGGTTTTCTTGAGCTCCTGGAACTTGAAGCTCATCCGCCCCCAAAGCTTGATGGTACCTGAGTACCTCGGACAAGCCTCCAAGAACTCATTCTCGGTCTGTGCACGGCGGCTCGAAATTTGGACCTTCTTGGACCTTCCAGAAGGCCCTGGGTGTTTCCCTTGAGGTCCCATAGCTTCCAGCCTGTCTCTCCGCGAGCGCTCCGCGAGCAGGGGTCTTGCACTCTGGTGATCTTGCATCGCTCTGAGGCTGCGATGCATGCAGAGGTTCCCTCTCTCTTTAATAGCATGCCATGCAACGAATATTTAACGTGCTATCCCGAATGCGACACGCAATGGCGGCGAGTGTAGCTCCACTGTCGCCTCCTGCGCGGCCTCTCGTGGTCGTCCTGGGGTCTACAGGTGCAGGGAAATCCGATGTAAGGGCCACTGCGCTTTGCCCAACGTAGGTGTGGGATAGCGATATTGCCAGAGTTCCTGAGCTAACGTCTGTCGGGGGCTTCCAGCTTGCGGTTGAATTAGCAACGCGATTTCGAGGCGAAGTCATCAATGCCGATGCCATGCAGCTGTATCGAGGCCTTCCTATCATAACGAACAAGATGCCAGTCGCTGAACGGCTTGGTATCCCCACCATCTTCTTGACCACATCTCCCTTTCAGATGAGCCGTGGGTCGTGGAAGATTTCAAGCGCGAAGCCGTGTTACGAATCCAGGAGATCCGGGCCCGCGGTAATCTCCCTATCGTCGTGGGCGGAACTCACTATTATACGAATGCGCTCCTCTTCGAAGATATACTTGTTGAGGCGGAAGAGGACAAAGATTCAGAATACCCTATCCTCGACGAGCCTACCGAGGTTATCTTAGCCAAGTTGAGAGAGGCCGACCCTGTCATGGCTGATAGGTGGCATCCCAATGATAGAAGGAAGATTAGGCGGTCCCTACAGATTTTCCTGCGTAGCGGCCAGCGCGCTTCGGAGATATATCTGGAACAGCGCAATAAGGGCTCCGCCTCCGAAGAAGGCGCAAAGGGAACGAGGCGCGAGCCCTGGGAATCGCTTCTTCTATGGGTACATTCTGATTCTGAGGTTTTGAAAACAAGGCTCGACGTCCGCGTAGACAAGATGGTAGACACGGGGCTTATGGATGAAGTCCACGACTTGTACCAATATCGCAAGGAACAGCGGGCCGTTGGAAAAGAAGTTGATCTGACTCGCGGTATCTGGCAGTCTATCGGGTTTAAGGAGTTCCAGGCCTATCTTGAAGCCGTAGACGGCGCAGATCTGGCCGACGTCTCCATGGAGCAGAGGGAGAAAGCTCTTGCCAAACTCAAGGCTGATGCTATAGCTGATGTCAAGACGGCCACTCGGCGATACGCCGGGTATCAAACCAAGTGGATAAGGCGCAAAGTCATACCACTGCTGAAACAGCAGCATCCCGATGCTCAAGATCACCTCTTCGCGTTTGATAGCACTGATGTGTCCGCATGGGCTAAGAATGTCGCGAGCCCCGCCGCTGATGTCACAAGAGCATTCCTCGCGGGCGAAACTCTTCCCCGCCAACGAGTTTGTCAGATGCCGCAAAGCAAGTTCTCGAAGGTGCCAGCGATGCTACCGAGTATGTTGCGTGTAGGAAAACCTGCGAGCTCTGCAACGTCACTGCGTTGTACGAGGTGAAGTGGAAAGAACATGTGCGAAGCCACAGACACAAGAGGGCTCTTATGAGACAAAAGAAGCGAGCATTGGTCCCCGTCACTGGCGAAACAAGGGAGAATGCAACGGCGAATATCAGTCCCAAGAGTAGTCTAGACACAAGCATAATTGACCCCCTGAGATACCTTTCATTCTACCTTGAGTCGTCCAAGCCCCGTACCGTCCCGTGCGCGTCTGAATTGTGCCAACGCTTTCCCGAGAATGATAATGGACTTAATAGAGAAGGAACAAGTTGCATGCAGTTACATTCAAACTGAATGAACCAGTAGACACTTGATCTCGTGGCTCCTCGCAATACAGGCGTGCAGTACCTCTTCAACGTTAGCCTCAGGTGCCAAGATCCTGTTGCTCTCGACTCCTACGGAATTCATTGACAACTGTCTCCGGATTTTAGACAACCCGCTCAAGATCCACTGTTCTTCGCACATTGACCAATGAGTCTGCATTGCTTTGAATGAAGCCCGGTTCCGATCTTAAAGGTGAAGCGCGGGGAGACGAGGATGTGGCTCGCCAGATGCCCGAGACTTCTACTTCGGTATGATATGATTATATCAGTGCCGATACAGGGTAGCAAAGACATGATAGAGAGCTGTCAAAGATGAGAAAGTTCTATATTACTGGCGCAAGATTTTCCTAAGCTGGTCATATTGTTTTGGTCACTGAAGATAGTCCGGCCTCTTATGTTGAGTACTTGTTCGGCTGGCTTAACCAGAAGTTGGCAAGGGGTCGGAGAAACGCTCAAGCGCTTATCGCAGCTTGTTCTGGGGAGGCACATCAGAGAACGGCATTGGTCCGAAGTGCCCGCGCTTCAATTTATGAGGGTAGTACAGTCCTAATTTGGCAGCCATCAATGGACACGTCATGTCTCGGTCATTTTCTCATGATCGGGGTTGTCAAAACTGGTCTTTGATATTATCAAAGTCACGGGACTTCAAGCTCGCCTCCCGGGCCGTCGCTGCAGCTAATAATCTTGAACCTACTTGTAGATGAAGGGATTTGCTGGATGAAATGCCGATGGGATGTGCACGGCGCTTCAACTGCCAACATTCTATTCCAAGGAGTCTTTTCTGTTTTTGTGTTGATCCGATCCTAGAAGAAAGAAAGGCCGTGCCAGAACCAGGCAGACACATATTGAGATGAGTGAATCTTCTTGGCATCTATAGGCAACATTGAATTTTCGGCAGGATCGGACATAGGATTTTCGGCGATTACATGGGGTGTTTGAGCTCATTACCCGTCGCATAACGGAGAAAGTAGGCACCAGGTTGATGGCGGGGAACGGAAACGAAAACGATGCCAAGGACCAGAGGGAAAGAATGTGCTTGGAAGCAGGCACTCTCCTACGTTCCAGAGCCCCAGGGATTTCAACAGGAGATGAGATGGGGCTTTGACGATTACGTGTTGTTTCGATTCTCTTCTAGGCCTCGCCCAATCTCTTGATCGGCACGTCCCGCCTGAAAATGGTGCCAGAAGATGAAGGCGGAAATCCGCCGGAATCTATCAATGGATGGATACCTGGCGCGCACGCCAGTACCAGGCAGCAAGGTTTTCCCTCTTTTTCCCAGCTTCGTCGGACGTCGGCTTCGCCAGGTCCCGAGAAACTTGGGGTGGGGTTGCTGTTCGCTCACGCGGCTCCTGGAGACTTGTGGAAGTGGACAGCCACATGCTGAGATAGAGCTTCCCCCAGCGTCCGACGGGAGGCTGCCCAAGATACGAGGCCGGAATAAAGGCGAACATGCTAATATCCCCCTTACCGCCTTGGTTTCTTCGCAGGCATTCCTCGCTCATCCTGCGACGTCGTGAACGTGCTTGTCGCAGTAATATATTGGAGCCTAAGAAAAAGGGCTCTTGCCCGTCTTGGCGGGGAAAAGGGCAGACAAGGTGGATGGAGGCTAGAATGGGCTCGCATCGAACCCGAAGCTCGGGCTCGGGAATCTCCACAGATACAAGCCCCGATAGATAGATGGCAAGTCACCGTCACTGGTTTGCGACGAGGGTCAAGCCAAAAGTACCAGGGCATTGATACCGCCGCCGCGCCGCGACTTGTTTTCATACGCGCCTTTATTCTTGCGTGCTTCATTCTTATTATTTAGCTTGTCTCTTGTGCCGTTCTCGTTTCCCCTTTTTCTCGTTTTCCTCACGGACTTGTGCGCGGCGTGGTGAAAGATCTTGTCTCTTTTTACTTGTACTATTCGCCTCCCCTCTTATTCTTTATTCTTTCTTTCCTTTTCTCTCTCTCTTTTTTTTCAGGTCCCACTTGGCGCCAGCTGATACTGGATACTTTTTGCCCCGCCTGCAAAAGGATTTCTGCACGCACGCTTCAATACGAAGCCGAACCCGAGACCGACCTGGCGACCCTCCTCTATCGACGTCAACACCGTGCTGTGAATGTTTCGTGACTGATTCAATTTCTCTTTTGCAGGCTTTGCCTCTTCCCATTCTTCCCTTCCGTTTTGTCTATCCTTAGGCCTCAATACTTTTGGGGACTTTCCGCTCCTCAGGGATCCGGAAAGAACACGGCCTGGCATATACCCGCATCATTTGCGCCCACTCCTTGCGCCGCTGCTCAATTGCACCACAGTTTACTGTGCCCCTCCACTTGGTGGGCCCGTTGGTGAAGCGCTGGGAAAACTGCGCATCCATATTCAACAGCTATTTTCTACGCAAGAGTGGTACCGTTGTCTAGAGATTTCCTCGCCGGAATAATCACTATTCCCACCTGGTCAAGGACCCGGAAGAGCGTCTCTTTTGACCGAAAGGCGTTTTGGGGTATCTTCCCGTCGCATCCGAGAATCGGTTGCCTCCTCTTGCTGTCAAAGCAAATGTGCATTATCGCTACACCACCTTAGCACACCTCTCGTCAACCCACACTTTACAGGTCCAGACGACTCAAATATAGTTGACGCTTAAGGCGGATCTTGTACTCTCGGCTGCGTCCATAAATGCGCCTCACCCTACCGAGGTACCTTCGCTGGCAGCTCCATCATCCTCGAGCGTCCCCTCACCTCTCCAATCATCGATCCTAGGGGAGACGATGTCCTCCTCCACGGGTGCCCCGACGCCTTCTTCCACCTCTACGGCTGCAGGCAAAGCGCCGAGAGTCCTTGCTTGTGTTCTCTGCCAGCACCGAAAAATCAAATGTGACCGGAACACCCCTTGTTCCAACTGCGTCAAAGTATGCCTGCTTCTTCTCCCTCGCCTTCCCCCTTTGTCTTCTCGTCCACACCAGACGTATGGGTACACATTCCATGTCCCTTATGCTTGTCAAGCGCCCCACGGCGCTCACATGCTGAACAACGCGAGTCCCTCTTGAATTGGCCAGCGATGCCGCTTCCCTTTCTTGCTTCACCACATTCTTTATTGTGTCGCGTGCCGCGCTTCGTTACGAGATTTCTTACGCTGTGCGCCCTGCCTCGTACCAATGGCTTTTCTAACTCTGTCTTAGGCTAGTGTAACATGTACGCCGAGCACTCCGGCTCCAGCCCGGAAGAGGCGGCGGCCAAATCAAGATCTTCAAGAAAGGCTCGCCCGGTGCGAGGCTCTGCTCAAAAACTATGCGTCGGCGGCTGCATCCAGCGAGCCCGAGGCCACGGCCGCTGCCCTGAGCGCCATCAACGAATCGATTCCCACTTCGGTTGGCAACCGAAGTTCTATGATTGCCCGCGATCCTTCCAAATATCCCGAGCCCATGCCACCATGGGCACCTGCTGGAAAGGTTGTGGTTGAAGATGGAAGCACTCGCTTTGTAGACAGCTTTCTCTGGTCTAAGCTTCATGATGAGGTACGTTTGGCTTCGCTTTTGGGACCGGTTGGTGCGCTTTCGGGTGCACGCGCTGTGCGATGTCGAGGGGTGATCGAGGGGCCGGTCTTTTTCTTTTTCCTTCATTTTCATTGTCACATCATCATTTTCGGTTGTGTCCGGCCGCTTCAGTCTCTAGAAGCTTAAGCTAACATGCGCGTCTGCTCTAGCTCAACGAGATGCGGAGAATCATCGAGGTGGATGAGGCCGAAGACCACAGCACCTTGGCTTCTGAAGCCCCCACCCCCGAAGATGCCACTGATCTTCTTCTCGGCGACTATGCCAGCATGAGCATCGACGACGCATATCCGGAACCCGTGCACGTTTTCCGCCTGTGGCAAATTTTCCTCGAAAGGGTCAACCCCCTCTGCAAAATCATACATGTGCCATCCGTCCAGCCCTACGTGGTGGAGGTCGCGAGCGGCAACTGGAACGTTCCGGCCAATTATCAACCCCTCCTCTTTTCGATCTTTAGCATCGCCGTTTTTGCCATGTCCGACTCGGAATCGCGCCAAATGCTAGGTTTGCCTCGGGAAACGGCCTTGAAGAAATTTACATCAGGTGTCCGAGCGGCGCTCATGAAGGTCAATTTCATGAAAACTTATGACCTTTTAATCCTCCAATCCCTCGCATTCTATCAGGTACCTATCCCTACCTAGCCGGGGCAGCCTTTATCCCGGTGCCCGGCCAAGTTTCCCAACCTAGAATACATGTGACTAACTTCTTGGGATTCTAGCTTGCACTTCTTGGGCGTCACACGCGTCATGCGTCATGGATCTTTAGCGGCGTTTGTATTCGAATCGCGCAGAAGATGGGGCTTCACCGGGACGGCGAGAGTCTTAACCTCACGCCCTTTGAAACGGAGATGCGGCGAAGACTATGGTGGCAATTGGTGATCCTAGATGCCATGTGGGCGCTCTTATCAGGCATGTCCTATCCGGTTGTATCCGTCAACTGGACCACCAAGGTGCCGCGAAACGTTAACGACGCCGATCTCTTCCCCGGATCTTCTGAGCCTATCCAGGAAAGGGAAGGGCCAACCGAGATGGGATTTTGCCTCCTAATGGCGACAGTTTGGGGTTTCATCATCAAAGTGCACCACCAGTTCCCTGGGTTCGAGGCCGCGATTCTTGGATTTGACGTCGAGTCTATTGGTGCCAAGGATCGACCTCGGGATGGGTCCGCCGGCCTCGTGGACGCGAACCAGCAACAAAAATACAAGACTTTGATGGGTCAGCTGAGCGCGGATATTGCGAGGGTGCAAGAGAAGTATATCGATCCGGGCGCGGGGCGGCGCACTTGGTCGCCTCTAAGTTTCCCCACATAATATCGACCAAGGTGCAGGAGCTTTTCACGCCGTTGACAGAACTGCCCGAATACGGAACGGAGATTTTCACGACAGATGATAATCTCTTTCGCCTCGGCGTGCTCAACCTCGAGAGCAATATGGATATGTACGACATGATGAATACCAAAGGCTTCTTTTGGTACTGCAGGCTACATTTCCAAATCGAGATGATTACGGCACTGGTGGGGCAGATGATCACACGGCAGACGGGATCGTACGTTGATCGGGCGTGGACGGGGCTGGAGATGATGTACAGGTATCACGAAGAGCTGTTCGATATGTCGCAAAAGGCCAACGTCACCCTGCGGTCGTTTGTCCTGAAGGCGTGGAGGACGCACCCAGGCGCTTGCGCAACAAGGGCAAACGGCGGTTGTGCCCCACTTCGTGCAGGAGTTGATCAAGGGCCTCCCCGACGGCAGGATGTCCGAATCGGCGACCCCCATTAGCATGACATCGTCGGCGGTGAGCGTGATGGGAACCAATCACAAGCCCAGCTCCCGGGAATTGTCGGGCGCGTCCATGAAATGGGAGTTTGGGCCGGCGCACGGTGGTAGCGTCATGGCTGGGGCCGATACCGCGACTTTTGGGCCGGGGCTGATGGACATCGGCCCGGTGGACTGGGATATGTTTGCCGAAAGCATGGCCTCGGGGCAGGGTCAACAGGGACCTGGCCCCGGAATGGGATTTGGTGCTATGGGCCCTAATATGGGGCACCACTGGTAGCCGCATGGGGAGCGGCCATTCGCCCCCTTCCCCGCCCCTCCCCGCGCGCCCGCGCGCCCCATCTCTTTTTCGGCCCTTCCATCGTGAGGCGTACGCCCGCATTGGATTTGGTCGCAGTCGTGTCATTTGGAATTTGGGAGTTGAAGAAGGTTAATACCCATATACCCCATCTAATGTCAGGAAAAGGCACGGTATCCACTCGCCTATTCCAGCATATTTGTACCATCACCATACAATCACTCCCCACTTCAAGCTGGACTGGACAGCTCTCGCCCTTTTCATGGCTTCCTCTCCCAAGCATATATCTATACATTTCTTATTGTCCTGGTTTAGATCGATGGAGGAACGGTTTTTGCTTTGCTTCTTTCTTGCTTGTGTGTCCTGTTTGATCCTTTGGGGGACAGGGAGGTGGTTTACCTGATAAGCCTGGAACTTACCGAGGTATACACTATGAATCACCACCATGATGATGATAGGGAAGAAATGAGACTCTCCGCTTTGGGGCTTAGCTGTACGAATAGGAATCTTCTTTCAAATCTCTCTCTTTCTCGATGAATGTTGCAAGTGGAACGCGTAGGCTGTAAGGTGTGACATTGCCATGACTGCTTAAACTAGGTTGCGGTGAGAGGAGAGAAGTGAATCGCGCCCTCTGGGTTACGCTGGTGTAATGGGCCAAGAGCCGTTAAAAAGAAAAAATGGACGGTTTTGAAATAGCCTCAAGCAGCATGATGGCGATCAGAGCATATAAACAGGAGTTCCGACTGAGTAGGACCCAAGCCAGGCCGGCGTGGGATTGGTCAGCACCAGCGAACCGGAGTGGCTCGCAGGGCACCTAGAGCGTGACGAAGTCGGGGTCCCGGACAGTTGGACGAGCCCGAGCAAGTCCGATGAGGGGAAATGGCGGGGAGGGGGTTACCGCATCTCTCCGGTCTTACTCGTTCATACACCAAGGCGAAATGGTGAAGGCATCAACCACAACTTTTCCGGCCTCGCGGATGAGGTTGGGCTTCGGCCTCCAAGTTCTAGCCCGCATCCGCTGGGAGAGAACAAAGGCATCTCAGCGGCTTTCCTGTAGCCCTTTCTGTATAGTTCGAAAATTTTCGGTAGGAGACGGGTTTGATTGCGAGAGATTTTGTGGACGAGGACGAGATCATGATGGCACCGGAGCTCGGTGAGTGGAAACCCGGCTGAGACCTGCAACGCTTAGGTTGGAGAGGCAAATAGTTTCAGCCTGTCCGGCAAATTTACATAAGAGATGACTTGGTGAAAGGGAAGCAAAGCTCATGACATCTTCGGAATCTAAACATGGTTGTGGGTTCCCGGAGGTGGTTCCCGAGCCTTCCGTCTGGAGCAAGGAGAGGAGGGGCTTGCCCGCAGAGGCTCAGCTGAGAACGAGGATGCCATGTGGCACGCACGTGGAGCGAACGCATATGCGATGTAGATGTCGGTATATATTTAGATACCGTTTGAAGGGTCCATCGCTTCCTTAGTCAATGTAACGAAGATGAGGAAAGGAGGCTGAACTTGGCATCTTTAGGTTACCAAGGGCATGGTTCGCGATGGAGAGGGACGCAGGTTGTGTGTCACATATCTTGAGATGTGTTCGGGATTTCGGCATTGAGTCTAAGCTAAACTCTTGTCTTGCAGCCTTTAGTCGAAATGGCAGCTGCACCGAGGAGAACTTAGTGTAGTTGTGCATGAGGCCCGTCTTGGTGTGGCCTTCAGTCTAGTTCGAGAAGCTCGATCAACTCTAAATCGATTTATGAGCATTCGAATTGCGCCAGGATAAGCATAAAGGCATAGTTTCTTTTCCGTCCCACGTTGGTAAGGCTGAGGTCTAATACATTAGTTGCTGCGGGCCCTTCAATTCCTTCGGAGACCTAAACCTCGGACTTGATACGCTAGGAGAAGCGGGCCCGATTTGATAGTCGGAAACGAAGGAAACCGACGTACCCGAGCTGACCGAATTGCCCGAGTGACGGGAGTTGGCTAACCCGAGCCCGATGCTGGCGAACTAAGTGATAAACCCGTCATGCCCGCCTGCGCATGTCCCCTACCTCGCTTCGTCTCCGAGTTGAAAATGGGGAAGAAGAGAAAGCAGAAAGAAGACTGCAGTGCGAAGCAGCCCGTCAACGCACCGATTACTACCCATCGTTCTTTTCAGCGGGGATTTAGATTCGACGTTCTGCTGTGCCTCAGCTGTGCCTCCGCTGTGCAGCCACAGAGACTGACTTACACAGGGACCACGGTTGCTCGCGGCGGTCTGCTAAAATCTCCAACTAAGACAATTTCGACGACTCTACCATCTACTATTGAGCCCCTGCAATCGGGTTAGGTTGTCGCCTGATCACCCGTCGCCCTTGTGCTGTTTTTCAATCTCCGTATCTCGCTTTTTTACGACCACGCGGCGTCTACTCGAGGAGGGTTGCAACTATTGGATCTTGCATTCGTTCGCCATCCTATTGCGCCCTTTCGGAGGAAACTGAGCTGTTGTGTTCATTTTAAAGGATATGATAACGGCGGTCCTGTTATTGTTATCTTTCTTTTTTCCCTCTATTCTTTGAAGAGCCAGTGATTTCGGCCAGTCTATGGTTGCCGGGCACGCCCGATGGCTAGATACCCGATACTCCTGCACGCGTCCGTGACCGGTCGGATTTTCATCGCCGAAGCTAGCTAGATATATAAACAGTAGTAGCACATTGTCCAAGGGTTTTTCTTTCGTGTTGTGTCTTCTCTTAGGTATTAATACAGTATCATCGTTTTCATCCTCTCATCAGGCTTCATTTACACAACCGAATAGACTCTTCATGCCCTAGTGTGCTGTTCTTCTTGGCTCAACCTCAACCTTCCGGCTTGACAGACAGGCCTAAAAACCTCTGTCTATCCATCGCGATGGGTATCTCTAAAACCCCCGAGGGCAACGCCTTACCTTTAAGCTCAGATGCCAAGGAGCCGAGCCCCTCTGCCGTGGCGGGATCCGACCCGCCGGGAACACCGCGGATAGGTAACGGCGCGAGCGACGACAAAGTACCAAGTGTGCTCGACGAAGCCTCTATCGAGGATCCAGCTCATTATCCTAAGGGAGTGGCCTTGGTTTTGCTTCTATTCTCCCTTATGACGAGCATGTTTCTTGTCGCTCTCGTACGTTGCCTTGAGTCCTTCGAGGCTCCCCCAGAATCTTGTTTCTTTTTCTTTTCCATTTGAAATAACCTTTCATATCGGAATACAATTGATCTATCAATGATTCCTTTTTTCTTCCTTTTTCCCCCATATGAACCAGAAATTATTTGCTGATGCAGATTGTGTAGGACCGCCTCATCATAGCCACAGCCATTCCCGAAATCACCGATGCTTTCGGTTCCGTCACCGATGTGGGTTGGTACGGAAGCGCCTACATGCTCACCAACGGCGCCCTTCAACTCACGTACGGAAAACTCTATACCTTTTGGAATATCAAGACTGTCTTCCTCGTCACCGTCCTCCTATTCGAGATCGGCTCCGCCCTTTGCGGCGCCGCCATCGGGTCCAGCATGTTCATCGCCGGCCGCGCCATCGCCGGTGCCGGTTCCGCCGGTCTCTTCTCCGGCTGCGTAAGTCTTCATCCATCGCGTGCTTGGTATTTTTTATCGTCTCCACCAGTCTATAATCGTGTGCAGAGCGAACCGAAAAAAGAACAGTGAAGGCATAAAACCATACAAAACTAACAGTATTGATTCTCACAAGATTGTCATCCTTGTCAACGCCATGCCGCTCCGAAAACGACCAATCATGCAGAGCCTCTTCGGGGCCGTTTTCGGCATCGCCTCTGTTGTCGGCCCCCTTGTCGGCGGCGCCCTAACTACCCACGTCACCTGGAGGTGGTGCTTCTATATCAACCTGCCCTTTGGCGCCGTCGCTATCGCAGTGATTTTCTTCTGCCTCAAGGTCCCCAAATCCACCGCGGAGGCAGATCAGGATCGGGCTGGACCAAGCAGCGATCACACCTCGGAGGAAGCCGGCCTTCAGGCGAAACCTGCCCAATCCGGGGTATGGAGCAAGGTTAGGCAGCTGGACTTTGTGGGAATGACGGCCTTTATTCCTGGAATCGTGTGCCTATTGCTCGCCCTGCAATGGGGGTGTCAAGTATGCCGTGAGTACCAGTCCCTTGTTGTCAGATATCCTGTTGATGTTCAAGCTCGTCCCCGAGGACATAAAAGGGAAAATAAAAGAGGATGTGAAAATAAAAGAAAAAGAAACAACTTACTGACTGACTCATTTTGGATATTGTGTAGTGGAATAGCGGCGTCATCATCGCCCTCTTCGTCGTCGCAGGCGTTCTCCTCGTCGCCTTCTGCGTCATCCAGGCCCTGCTCCCGGACACGGCGACCATCCCGCCCCGCGTCATCACATCAACCCGCAGCATTCCCGCCGCCACCATGATCACCATCTGTATCGGCAGCCACATGATGATCATGGTCTATTTCCTCCCCATCTGGTTCCAGGCCATCCTCGGCGCCACCGCCGTTGACTCCGGTATCAAGACCCTCCCGCTCGTCCTTGCCCTCCTCGTCGCTGGCGGCCTATCCGGTGGGTTCATCTCCAAGGTGGGCCCTTACCTCCCGCCTCTCTTCGCGGGGTCTCTCATCGCCGTTGCCGGCTGCGCGTGCCTCATGACCCTGACCCCGAATCTGGCCCCGCCAAATGGATTGGCTACCAAGTCCTCTACGGCTTCGGCCTTGGCTTCTCCTTTCAGGTACCCAACCTTGCCGCCCAGACCGTCCTCCCGCATATTGATGTTCCTGTGGGCACCGCCCTCATGATCTTTGGCCAGCAGCTGGGCGGCTCCATCTTCGTTTCCGTCGGCCAGAGTGTCTTTTCCTCTGAGCTTCTGAAGAGGCTCTCCGGCGTCGAAGGCTTTGATGTGAATCTCCTCTCGGACACCGGAGCTACGACGCTCATCGAGTCTGTCCCGACTGACCTAAGAAGTCGAGTCATCAAGGAGTACAACGGAGCCCTGAGCCGGGTGTTTATGATCGGTCTCATCATGGCCTCCCTCGCCATCCCTTTTGCTTTGGCTATGGAGTGGAGGAGTGTCAAGGAAAAGCCCAAGGGTGGCGTGGAGGAGGTGGGAGTAGGAAGAGATGAAACGGAGGAAAAGTCAGGGTAAAAGGTAATACGGTGGGTGTGCGTTGTGCCCTCGGCCAAGTCTAGGTAGCGGAGTCGGCGCCATCGTAGGCCCAAACCGGAGGATTTGGCGGCATCTAAGCCAGGAAGTGGATAACCGCATGGACGGTTCGAGATTTATAGAATTGTATCATTATCGTATCAAAGGTAATATAGTAAAGCACACTCTCCTCTTTTAATACCAACATGTATGTACATATATCCTGTCATCGCCCTTATCTTTTCTCACGGTTTGACGCACATTCTTCTTTTTATGTTGCATAGAATGAGGTGGCTGATACTTTTCCTTCGTACTGCCCTCCATGAGATGACGATATCGGCGAGTTGCTTACATTCCCCTTATTGGGGGTAATGCAGAGTGTGGATTGATGGGGAGGGCTCTGGTATCCATAAAGGCACCCCAATAACACTCCAGCACCCGACAAGGAGTATTTGGGCTTAGGACCGAACTCGTCTTGCCGACATGTAGCAGGCAAAACGTAAGCGCTAGGTGGAGACCAATTGGACATATAAGGCAAAGAAGAGGGAGCGAGGTTTATGGGCAAAAAAACAAGCCTCGTCTCTCCATCATTAACTGGTAACCTCTATTCTATCCCATGTTACTACACCCTGTAAACAAGAAAGGCTCCGTTAGTATTGCGAAGAACGTAGAGTTTCTTCGAGTGGCCCAACAGGAATCCAAGTTTCTGCCCACACACCAAGCCATCGAGAGTGCCAAACACTGGGATGGCCATACACCACACATGAGGAACAAGGGCTACGGGGCCCGCAACACGACACACAGACAACGGGGAAACCAAGATGGGGACGTCAAAGATAGTACTAAAGAGATATCTTGATGGAAAGACTGAACATTGAAGACATAAGTGATTGCGTTCGCTTTCTTTTGCTAGTAGTGCGATAAAAAGACTGCCGGCCAGGAATCAAGAGTTTGCGCCCAACACAAGAAAAAGGCGCCCTGTGTCCACAGTACATGCGCTTCAGCAGATAAAAGACAAACTCCAGACGAAACGGACAAGATAGGCGAACCAAGGGGAGAAAAAGGAAGCAAGAGATCAAAACTCCGTCGTCATGCTTGTAGTATAGAGAAGAAAAGTTGAACGCCGTCCACTGCAGGTAGAAGGTAGGAAGTGTGATTTAAAAAGGATATTTATGAGGTTGAAAAATGGCGTATTCGACGGATGACACACTGGTCTCGGTTCTTCGTGGGTGTGACCGTGTCTCCAAGGTACGTCCTGCGCTGTCCGCACAAGGAGCGGGAATGGAGAGAGGGGTAAGATTGAGTAAGGAGAAATTTGAGGAGGAATTCAAGGCGGCCTGCTGCTGTGTACCGTCGTGAAAAGGAGAGGGGAGGGCTTCTTTAAGCCGCCAGGCGATAGGTAGTGGTCTACTATATCTCATGCCTTGCCCGCCTAGTTTAGTGACCATCGGGAGTTCCCCAGATTGGGGCGCCAAGCGGCTTGCTGATGCCAAAACCAATGCCAACGGCGATGCCGATGATGAGGAGGATGATGGCAATCTTTACCGCAATCCGAGTCCGCCTGCTAAGCGAGGCCATCCAAGCACACGACCGGGCGCGTTTGGCAGCCTTCGCCTTTTGTTTCCAGTGCTCCTGGCCTGGCCAGACTTGGCAATCGCCCCTTGCCATTGTGGCCGACTTACGCCGCGAGTCAGATTGGGTGACGGGGATAATGGCTTCGATATCCGTGTCGAAAGGGTTCGATTGCTGGAGAGAGAGCGGCGTTGTGATTTGGTCGTCGACATGAACGTTGAAGCCCTTCTCCGCGGAGGAAGATAATGTGGTCGAGGCGGCGCTTAGCGACGAGTCCGACTTCTTAGGGGACGCGACGTGATTCGTCGCGACAGTTAAATGGGCAACGGGGGCTGCGTCGGTGTCGGTGTCTCCGACCTCTCTTCTATTATCGTGGGATACGCCATTTTGAGGGGTTTGATGTAATCGTGGGGTGGACTAAGGAGACGACTGCGTGTTAGGATATGAACTACTTGTTAAAGAATCGGGCCCAGGTGAAAGGACCACATCCAATCCAAAAACGCCCATGGTAGATTCAAGTGACTACATATGTACGTACCGAAGATATGGGGGAAAGGGTTGCGATGGGGGTGGAAAGCAAGGCCTTGTGTGGTTGTGAGGTTGTCGGGAGATAAGGCCTTTTAGTGAGTGGGAGGGAGGCTGTGGATGAATTGGTGGTTTGATCTATAGATGGATGTGTTCAGATGATTGATGTTGGCTGTTTGTCAATGACGTCTGATGCCCTTCCGTGAGGATAATACCGATCAATTGATGTTCAATTAGGCCTGGTTTCTCAACGGACGCGGAGTAAAATGAGACCTCCTTTAGCTAGGTGAATCGGATTGTGTCACTGCGGGCTGGTGCAGAAACAAGGAGATGCAAGGACGGCTGTGGAGGTACTCCTGAAATCTTGGTTTTGGCCACTCCTGGCAAGGCTCGTGCTTGGGCGAACCAGGAAAAGGAGATGACGAGGGAAAAAAAAATAAAAAAAAAATAGAAAAGTTCCAATATGGCGAGCTCGCAACAGTGATGGGTTCCGAGAGTGGAAGAAAGAAGAAAAGAAATTGAAGTCTCTGGGGAAGGGCGATCAAGACGTATAGATGTCAGTGGTTGAGTGTCGAATGTTTTGTAGGTCGTCGCAAAACGCAGTGCTGAGGGACTGTCGACAAGAAACTGACGCTCTCCAGCACGTAAAAGGCAGGTAGCACCGCAACACACCAGCGATATTGGTAGCAGAGGATGGGAAGAGACAAGACTGCTAGACGGTGTAGGTCGCGAGGGAAGGAGGAATGCCGACCTTCGTGGAGGTGCAAGGTTGAAAGACGCGCAAGTGGACAAGAGCGAGCTTTACCTGCCCACGGGATGTCACGACAACACAAGACCTCTTGGATGAGAGAGCAGAGAGAAAGGTGGGTGGGAAGGGAAGGAGGGAGAGCGGAGGAAAGTGCATATGTATTGGTCGGCGATAATAGCATTGAAGTATATGTTCTGAGGAACGCCAGAACAGGGACAGATTGCTCGCCTAGCCGCCAATGTTATGCTTCCGGGGAAAAGGCATACACTAGAGTTGCGGCGGCCGTTGTAATCCATGATCAGGGCATTACTATGTATGTACAGACGGGGAACTCTACACCCCCAGTACTACGAGTTGTGCGGGGCGAGTCTATCAGCAGGGGGTATGGGCTTTGTAGCGGGCATTGTTCCACGGACCAGTCCGGTCTGGACAGAGGTGGATAGACCAGCAGCGTACCATCACTTGTACGTACATCCACTCCCATGCAGTGTGAGTTTTGAGGGACGAGTCAAATAGCAAGGGGTTTGATTGATGAGGGGAAGCGCGAGCCATCGAAAAAATTGAGAGATTTGGGGGAGGATGGAGGGGGTATGTGATTGTGGCTCAATGGCCCAACCTTCTCCGACCTCACTCTCCAGGAGTGGCGACAGCTCCAACCCTTTTTCAAATCGCTAAGAAGTGCTCGTGTACGATGAGCCCCAGATGGAGAGGAAGCGCGCTGCTTTCGTTGCCATCCACAAGGTGGTGAACTATGCTTGGTGGACGGAGAGGGCATTCTATGCTGTATGAGACCGAAGTCGTTAGTCTCTGAGATGGGTGAAGGAGCGCGACAGACGGATCCTCTTGCTTTTACCCCCTTTCACTTTGCACGAGCGATTACTGACAGAAGCTAAACAGTTGTGGGAGTATTGTTGCATGGATGTATTGTACGAAGTACTCACCCCAGGATTTTAGCTGTATCGGGTCTGTGTTGCTCAACCGGGACGCAGGGACCCTGTACCTACTTAACGCCGATGGTCATAGTGCAAATTGCAGGGCAGCAAGCGACATTGGAAGTCCACCTACATCTCTCCAACGAGCGTGGTACTCGGCGAATGTACAACTTGACCGCCCGTCCGCTCTACGAAACCTGCAGAGAGGAGCACTCAGGAAAAGAAAAAGAAAATAAGGAAAGCCCAAAAGTCCACCCTAAAACCTTGCAAGGACGAAAAAATCAACAGGACATCTAGACCCCCTTGCGTCGTTGAGCAAACCGAGTCCCCCTCCTTCACCATACATCCCATCTTTCGGCGAAAACCTACATGACTTCCTGTTTGGTGCCCCGTCTCCCCCACCTGTTAGGGAGAGGGGGCAGCTAGCGCAAAGGGGCAGGAAGAGCAAAGAGGAGGCGGGGCGACGCGACAGGCGAGCTTCAGCTTGTGCTAAACCGAAAGCATGGAGAGAAAGTTGAATAGTCCTTGGGAGCAGCGGAGTTGGTGCGGGTGGGCTGCAGCCACCAAAGAGGAAGGGCTTCAAAAGCTGAAGCATCATTTGTGGGACCGGACCTGGCTTGCCAAATCTGGCAACGCCCTGGCAAATCATTTGGGGTTCCTCGTCCGTCGCCTGCGAATCAAGAGCTTGGGAGCTTGGCATCACTCCTCCCCTGGCGCCCTCGCATCGGCCTCAAAGGGCCCCCACCCAAATTCCGACCTGCTTCGCTGAAGTCCACGCGGACGGTTCGCCCTGACCCTCCTCCGATTGCGACTCGACGTGGTCATTTTCACCATTCGAGGTCCTTACCCGCAATCTAGTTTCGTTTGCGTTAGCTGGAAGTTTGTTCATGCCTTTGCAGGTAGTGGCCAGGCCAGTTCAATAAACAAATGCTGCTTGTCCCCTCATCTCTTTCTCGTGCTAACTTCAATCCCAACACTAGTTGTGGTGGTCAACTAGAAGAGGCACAAGCTAATAAAAATCGCCGCCTGCATATCAATATCGAAACGGACAAACAGACAAGTAGATGGATCCTTGTTGGGTGCGTGGCACACTGTTGCGTTTCTCCTCCCGCCACTCTCACAAGCTGACACCCCTCTCATGAATCATGAATTGATGGGCACGAGTCACCAGTAGTTCCATGCAAGGACTCTTTCTCATTCGAGTTCTCACTCCACTTTCCAACTCTCCTTCTCCTCGTAGGTACCACACTGGCGTGGATAGGCATGTTTGACGTCCATTCGCTTGGAAGAGGTCAAGCGACCCGTGCAAGGATAGAAAAGGGAAAGAAAAAAGACGATGGGGGAAATAGGGGAGAGGAATGGTGCCCACCACCGTGGCATTCAACCTTGTATAATTTCCTAATCGAGATGGCGGAATGTTGCATTTTGCCAACAGCGCAGGTGGCGGGAAGGCAGGCTGCCCACCATCTCAGCGGGATGCCCTTTTTCACTCCCATTGCTGGTGTGGACTTCCTTTCGGGTCCATCGAAAGAGAGGCCGCCGCTTAAAGCTTATTGGTATAACCGTAAAACAAAGAGAGAAAAAAGGAATGGCAAAAAAGATCGAAAGGCCGTGGTCGCATCCCATTTCCGAGAAAAGAGAACCAGGAGAAATCTCGTCGCCACGCGGAATTTCCATGTCGTTCAAGTCGTCCAGCCACCTCACAAGCCATTCATATTACCGCATGCCAAGAGTCGAGACCGCTCTTGTCATTTCACGTTGGGAATTCTCATCATAACGTTGACGACGACGGCCCTTGCCAGCAAGGGAACAAGGGAACGCGCATTAAGAACCACCTTCTGCAACCACTTAACAGGGGCCATGGCTTGTTATTGACACTACCCTGTCTCTTCTCAATTCCTCAAGAAACAGGTGGATTGGCAGACGTGTTTTTTTTTTTTTCTTCTTTTCATTACAGGGCTATAAGAAAAGGAGGAAGAAAAAACATATCGCGGAAAAAGGAACAAGAGTTGAACAGACATCGGGAGATCCCAGAACTTGGGATACATTTATCGCTTACCTATCTAGTTGTAGGAAATAACAAGGCCGGCCTCGCAAAAGGAGGCCACTGGGCATATCGACAGTCTGAGGCCCTTGGAGTCTGCAAGTTTTTAGTCTAGATGGAGTCATGACGGACAGGTGTGGTGTGGTTTTCACACACTAGCCCTTGTCCGTTGACCGTTGTGCAGGGTCTCTCACTCCCGTTCATCCAGCCTCTCAAACTTCACTTGGCGGTGCAGCCACTTCAGTGTGGTACTTCGGTAGGTCTCACCTAACACATCTTTTCGCATGCTGGAGACTTTCAGTAAACTCTGAACTGGTAGAGTTGCCGCTCACCTGACAGTCAAACTCGCAAGCCGGGGAGATCTTTCTTTACCCCAAGAAGAATAAAACAAGGAAATGGGACTCCGAGAATAGGTGGGAGTGCCAAGGCACCAAGAAGTCCCGGATGAAGAGCTTCTTTTCCAAGTTGAACGCCTTTGGTCCCTTTCACATGCGGTGTATTGTTGGCCCGCGCAAAAGAGCCCCATCAGGACTTATAGACTTTAGGGTGAAGGCCAGAATAAATTCTAGCTATTGATCTCATTCATCAATATGACGTACGCCCATACGCTTGCGTTTCCCGAGTGCAAATCTCAATCAACGACCCTTGGGGAATTTGATTCGAGACGAATGATTTATGAGCACTATTCATTCCTTCCTTCAGTTTGTTGGAGATCGAAATCCTCTTCGTGGCCTGCCAGTCCCAGAAACAATCCTTGCTCCGTTCCGGCGTAGGAGTGAGGTTCGATCAAGAGACGAGGATGATTAGCAAGTGCTCGCCATTGGTAGTGTCTGTTGGAGCTCAGCGCGGACTGGTACGGTACGATAATACACCCACGCCTCGACTTGCCGTCAACCGCGAGGTCTGCGCCGGAAGATTGATCCCATTGCCGCAAGAATGGCCGAGATATGAGGGATAAGGGAGATGAGGGAAATATAAATGTACTGGTCACGTATACATACTCTTATTATAGCTGGCGATGCGGGTACTGTGTACATTGAGTTCCAGGCTGAGATCAATTAGCCAGCGTTCCCTTCGTCTCGGGGTGGTAAAACTGTCGACAGAAGTTCCACCTCTGAGAAGGAGCCCAGAGCAGAAATAGTTATCTCGAATCGTCTTACCATATTAATTCGCGGCAAGGGGGTCAACTCTGAAATCAACGTAACAAGATGAATTCTTATCGAATCTTTGACACCTCAGTGGCGCTTTTATGGCCCTCGGTCCTAGGAAGGTTTACCTTGTCAAAATGCTTGACGCCGTAGATGGGCGTGATGACGGTAAAGTGAAGGGAGAACGCGAAAGGAAGTAGTGGGGTCACTAGTTCCATCTACAGAGGCGCAGGGGCTGAGGATAAGCCCGCTGGTGGCTTCGATACTTTGAAGGGGTTGAGTGTCACTTGCCACGACCAAACCTGACATGAACTCTCTGGTATTAGGATCAATTGATGGATGCGATGCGAGAGGTGATGGCATATGTACGATGCGCAAGTACCTGCAGTGTGAGCACTTCTCGGTTGGGACTGATCTCCTCCCTTCTCAGTCGCCAACTGCCCATTAACAATGCGCTCGCTAAGGATTTGCGGCAGCACCAACTCATCGGCAAAGCCAAGCCGCAGAACAAACAGTTGTTCTATTCCGGCCGGGCGGAACTACCCTCCACGAAACCCGTACTGGTGCCAAATATATTAAGCGTATAATGCAACTTGATGATCGTCAGCCACTATCTTTAGTGGACGGGAATGTAGTTTCCTTTTCGTCTTCTATCTATGCTCTACCCGCCCCCGTTGTCTCAAAACGCATTGGCAAGAAGTGTGTGGCATGGCTTTGCCAGCTGACCACACCCTCCCCTCTTGAGCTATCTTGAAGGGAGGTTGCTCACACGGCTCTCTCGAACAATATGCTCCAGGATAGTGGTGTGGCTTGATGAGACAGCCCTTTCATCTTGCAGCGACTATCCCCCGTGAATGGATTTTTGGGCCTTGTGACTAATTGTAACATCAACTTAGGGCAGCTCAAGTGATCCACCTGGAGAGTCTGCTGCTAGATTCTTTGTTTTCTATCTCTACCGTGGCTAGCAATGGGTCCTTCCCGCCGCGAACGTCGTAGAAGACAACAGCTATGAGGCAGCTGTCTCTTCCGCTAGAGCTCAACTCGAACGCGGAAGAAGGAGGGCAGATGGTAGCCGTGGCCATTTTATTGAATCCCTCGCTCTTGGTACCCCTATGAAGTCATAGGCGTCGCTACTTTCACATGGGGCCCTGCGTTCTCTTGACTTTCTGCCATACCCCTTCACCCCGAACCGCATCTATGAAGGGAACTCGGAGGTAAGGGCTCACATGGAAATGGTTATCCGGCAACATGTGAGAAGGGACTTTGGACACCATCCTTCCGTGTAGGTATCATGACCGTCTCTATTCCTCGAAGAAATGCAGAAACAAAACTATGACGAAGGAAACCTCCGATATGTGATTGAGGCTTATCAGTTATAAATCTCTCGGCCGAGGCCTTACTGCACGATAGGGGTCTTGGTGACTCGGGCCGACCTAGACTGTCTCATCCTCTAAGTGGAGTGGGTGAGACTTGGTGGCGAACGATCTTGCCCAGGGAGTATCGATGCTGTGACGAGCTTTTGGGCCATTTGTGGGCCATCTTCAACCTCACGGAGGGCCCTTGATTTCGATAAGACTAGAGCACCTCACTAGCTAGATTGAAGGCTCTTGCGAACGCCGGGTTTAGTTCCAAGCCGATCCATATTGACCGGTTTTCCTGCCCCTCGTATAGAATGAACGCTAATGAACGGACTCACCAGTGCTTTCTGCATGTGCGAGGGAGAATAGACAGGAGAGAAAGGGGAGATGACGGCCCTGGCCACGAGAAGAGATTGTATCTGCCATCCGAGGGGCCGGCGGGCTCACAAATGGAAGGTGATGGCGGCTCATCGATGTCCATGATGGTTCTTCCAACTAACGGCTACGCTGCTAGAGCAGCCGGCTTGTTGGTACAAAGCCATACTCGCTGGATTGAATTGGGCATTGGCGAGTGCTCCTAAAGAGGTGCGATGGAACTAAAGCGCTTGCGCGGCCCCGATCACTTGTTCGAGACAGGCTTGATCTTGCATATGCATCCGAGCTTCCTCAGCACTTGGCAACGGACAGACATCTACAGGGCTTATTCCCTTTTCTTGTTGATATCCGATAGTAGAGGTTATCTGTATGTCCGTGTAGAGAGTTCCGGGGATGGCCTCTTACTTAGGCCACGGACCAGGAAATGCGGGTAGTGTTAGGCTGACCGGTGTTGCGGGGATTGTTTGGCGGTGTTCCGGTGGGAAGGCTTGGGTGCTGCTTGCGTCGAGCGAGCGGAGATAAGGCTAGAGAATGACAGACATTGCTTATCAATCTCGATCATAATTTGATCCCCTCTGAAGCGTTCATGCGATTGCAGATATCTGTACGAGTAATTGTCCAGCCCTTGCTGCATGAGACGTTCGTCTCGCGCGGACTTGGTGGCGCTTCTGGTATCAAGCTTGCGAGGGAAGCAAACGCATTGCGCCTGCAGCTAAACTCGCCGCACCCGGCTGCGAATATCCGTCGGCCAGTGAAGCTAAGGGAAACGCTGGAGAAATTTACTCCAGATGTGTGTTATACGAAGCAGCCTAACTTACGGTTGCTGCGCTGCAAACACGGGGGCCTTGTGGGAGTTGACGCAGGTTGTGCTGATGGGCTGAATCGAACTTGCCTCGCCCCTCCACTGCCTGCTGCCCCGCAACGCGTCGCGACAGCTGAACTTGAACATCAGCATGACACTCCCCTCCAGCCCAACATCACAGATCAAGCCACTCTCCGAAAGCCCCTGATTTTTCTTCTTCCCTTATAGCCTCTGTTTCTTACATCACGTCATTATCTGGATTAGCAGCCACGGGGCTCTCGCAATCCCATCCCCACGACTGGTGATCGAGCATCGATTCGGACGTTGGCTAGCCCAAATCCCGTCATGGTAAGTTACATCTGCCCTCCGCCGTTGGGTGTATAGAAAATCTGCCTCGAATTTCCAGCCTAATCGCCGCCTTCTGTTCCTCTGACCCAACTTACCTTGCTTCCAGCGCTTTCCCTACGCCCACGCTTACCCATACCGCTAACTGAACTCTACAGAATAAGGACGCCGCCTTCACGTATGTCCACATGCATCGCTCCCGGGACGCGGACCTGTTCGAGGATTTCTCCAAGGACAAGCTCCCCAATGATGAGGTTTATGTCAAACCTGAGCACCAGCCTGTCAACCCTGAGGATGAGGATGACGTTGTGCCGGACCAGCATGCCGCCTTTGGTATTCAAAAGGCGACTCAACGGGTCAAGGAGCCGGCGTGGAGGGATCTTGGCCTGAGAGATCTCATGGATAGGGGCCCCAAATCTAAAGGGGCGACGGCAAGCTCGGGAAGTAAGCTACCCCGTTGAGGGGTGTCCAGGGCCTTAAGGGAAGCATTGGCTATGGAAGCTCTTAACTTGAAAAGGTGTGCATGGCTACGAAAGCGACTTGACTTCATAGTTACCAAGGAAGGCTTTTGCTTTGAACCCGGCTGGCTGGCCGTGGCTGGCTCAGCCCTCGGATGATTTTAAGAAGAGAGAAAACCCGCATACAGGGCTCCATGATTTCTAGTATCAATATACCCATCAAACTCCGAGAAAAAGAAACCCCCAAACGCCATCAAGAGAGCGCATGCTTAAGATGTGTTCTCCTGTACTTTATACCACCGCCGTTATCGTTCCAGCATGAGATAGGCCCAGCGATCGCCCCATTCCCAGGCCTGAAGTATGCGCTTTAGGTTTTGCCGAGATACGCCTCCCTCTCTAGGACCTCCGGGGCAAATTTGACTAGGAATACTGTCCTGCCAGGCCACATCTCGCCCTCGCCCTCCTTTCCCACCGAATGGGCACCAACCTTGGCAGGGAAGCCTGCCCCGTCGCACACGCCCTCGATGATGCCCGCCACGAAGGCGGCACAGTTGAGCTGTGACATTTCACGAGGCACGCTAATGTAGGCGTTGACAAGGGGTTCGTTGTCGATAATCATATATTCCTCGGGTGTTTCGGGGTTTGCTGATTTCTCGAGTCGGTCCGCCTGCCGGCCGAAGAGGTGCGTCCAGACAGACTGCTTGATGAAGTGGAGGAGGGCGATGATGGTGAGGGGGCGGACTTGGTTACGGGTGGGTTCACGGTGTATAAGGAGGTCGAGAAGTTTAAGGCCAATGGGGTGGCCTTGCGCGTTGAGGCTACAATGGGGCACCGGGTGCGTTAGTTTGGCTGGTATTAAGAGACTAGCACGAAAGGCCTGACTTCCAAGAGAATCCGGGACGGAAAGCAAGAAAATTAAGAAACAAACAACCAGGGGAGAGGAGCGCCCGGGGACGGTGCATGGCGAGGAGCAGGGCGGGCTTACCGTTGTTCCAAGTCTTGGATTCCCCACACGCTTCTGCGCATAGCCCACCATTTCGGAGAAGAGATACGCAAAGCTCGCCTGGCTGAGCTCGCCAGTTTTTGTGCGGTTTAGTGGCCGGTGGTAGATGGTTTTGCCATTGCTGGGATATCGGAGGCTGGGCTGGTCTTTGTCGGGGCCCTTGCTGGACTGTAGGCTCGACATCGAACTTGGGGCCCGGAGGGTAACCAGGGGTTTCTCTGCGAGGCAGCCTTGAGTGTCGAATGTAGAGGGAATTAGTGTCGCAGAGGCAGGGACGGAGCGAAGACGTCGATTGAACTCTTCTGCGGCGGGCGGTAATGAGGGGGCGGCGGTTTCCGTGCTTGGATGGGCGAAGTCGGGGTTTGAGAATTTAGGTATGTAGGTGGATTGTGACGTGGGGAAGGCACGCTGCTGAGCTTGGGTGTACCGGTGGTCGTCGGCCCCTCACAAATCCATCAGCTGCAGCCCCAGCCCAAGCTCAGCCAGGCCTTGAGAAGTGCTGCCAACAAAAGTATTGCCATTGAATCAGGAATAAGAACCATGAAAGACAAGACTGAAAAGAGCCGAAAACAATTGATATATTTAAAAGTTCAAAGCTATATTGTGACAATATTCCCATTTTATTATTCTACTAAAAGGTATCGATGTTGGTGCGCCCCGTTGAGCCTCTCAGCGGGAGGCTCACATAAAAATCCTGATGCTAGTGCACCGCAATCCATTTCAGGGTGTTCCCCTGGTTCATATTCACCAATTGATGTGAATTTGTAGCCATTTAAGCGGAAGTTTTAGCCTCTGTAGACGCAGTTGCTTCCGTATTTTCTTTTACAACCTCGGCCTCTTCGATTTTGAGCTCCGCGACCTTCAAGTCCTCGGGTGTTGTCTCCGTCTTCTTGTCCTCTGGAGCAAGGGCGTCAGCTCCGATGCTAGGCTCGGCTCCTCCCCAAAGGTAATCTTCTGATTCCCCGATCTGCTTGCCGCCGGCGACCCAGCGCTCCTTGCGCTCCTTGCGCTTCTCCTCACACATCTTCGAAAGGGCCGGCCAGTACTCGGCATGGTCGTAATCAAAGTCGAGCTTGCCCTGGTCTTGGTACTCGGACCAGAGCTGCTCCGAAGGCACGTACTGAGTCATGTCCTCGTTGAACTTGAGCTTTTCACGCGTTCGGGGGTCGATGAAAGGGGTGATAAGCTTGAAGAAGCCCCAAACCATGAACGGAACTGCAAAGCACCGAGAGAAGTTGTGTTAGTGGTTGGCCCCTCTGGCTTTCACTCCGTGTTTTTACGACATTAACGCAACTTACCATTGACGATTAGAGCACGGCCTAGCCTCTCTGGGTAATGCATTTGTAGAATGTTTAGGCACTCCCTGGCCAGGCCGAGACCTGGTGCGGTGTACTTCCGCGATTTGCTCTGCTTGAAGTTGATCATCAGAGAAAGCGTCTCCTGACCCGGGGGCATAATGTCGATGACCCTATCCACCATGTATACGAGATGCTCTACTTGGCGATGTGATGGCTCGGTATTCTGCCTCCCTGGGCTGAGGTAGTGGCACGGCCTCCCTTCGGTATCGTAACCGAGGAGCATCTGCTTTCCCGTCTCGTTCTCAGGGGAGATGTACTCCGCCGTCAACTCATCAGCGCCGAACTCACGCCTCCACGCTAGGGTATCGTGAAGCCTCTTTTCGGACTCCTTCTCGTGCCACTTGGTCGCGCGGAGGTACCGAATCAGGCACTCGCGGGTCAGCCATAGGCGCTCATCATCTGTGATGGGTCCGCTCTTCTCGGAAGCCTTGGCGGATTCGACCTTGATTTCGGTCCAAGTCCTCACCTGCTTGAGGAGTTCGTCATACTTGACTTGTTCCGCAGGCGTAAGCTCAGGCCGAGCGGGGACTTTAGTAGAGGCAATCGGCGAAGCGATGGGGGTTTTTGAGTGGGAGACGGCTTCTCGGGCGCCGCAGCCGGGGGATTGGGGGTTTCAACGGTTGCCATATTGTGAGGACTTATGCAACTCGGGGGATGGGTGGGAGGATTTTGTCACTTTGAAAGCTGGGACGGGGATTCAGGTTTCAATCCGTGGTAAAATCAAGAAACAAGTTAGATTACGGATCCGAAGAGTAGTTCGTTTCTAAAAGATCTTTGGTGGAGCTGGTGTCGTTTACTTCTTCTTGCTCACGGTAGGGAGGCTTTGTTGAGCAATTCCAAGCTTTACTTTACACCGCCTTCCTCTTCAAGAGATATACACTGCCCTTTTTCCTTGGAGGAAGGTGGGGCTCTCTCTGGTTGACAGGGGTCCTGGCTCACCCCTTATTGCCCAATTATACTCATGCGACCTGCGCCTTGTGCTGAAGACGAGTCTTTTCAAAGTGATCAATTGATTGACGGTCAAAGGCCTTTCAATTTGAGCCTGTGTGGCTGAGAATCACGTGACAACACCGCCACAGACAGGTCCCTGATGGCACGCACCGTGGGTGTGACGGGCCTCTGCCTTATCGATTGGCGTTGCTAGAATTTTTTTGTCTTCGCACTTCAAGGCCCACCACGACAATTCGTTAACGACGAATTTTCCCCTCCGTTCACGACCCGGCCAGCCACGTCCTGTTCCTCTACTTTGCCTCCAATTCTTTACCGCCAATTTACTGGAACCGATATTTATAATAGCTACGCGACGAACCTTTAAAATCAGTCACGATGCATCTCATGTACACGCTCGACGCCAATGGCAATCGCCTCTACACCCTGAAGAAGGTTGCCCACGGACAGGTCACCAAATCCGCGCATCCCGCACGCTTCTCGCCAGACGATAAGTGGTCGAGGCAGAGGGTTACTCTCAAGAAGCGATTCAATCTCCTTCTTTCCCAGCAGAGTAAGAGCCCCCTTCCCCTTCACTCCCTCACGTGAAATACCACGAATGGACGCAATTCTGCGCCAGCCTTTTTTCCTTTCCCCTCTCTGACTAACCTGCCCCCTCACAGAGGATAAGGAGAAGAGCGATCTCTGAGCAATCTTCTTGGAGTAGTTTCACGAATGGGGTATTGGTCTGGAGTGGAGGACGGACGTCAGTTATCAAGACGGGCGACCTTCTCGATAGAGACCCAGCCCGATCTCACGCCCTCCGGCTGAGAAGACTTGACGAAGAAGATAGTCGTCGACTTAGTTCACACGTGTGTTTCTGGAAGTATACATCGGCTGCGTCCCTTTGTTGCTAGTCCTATCCCCCGTTTGATGTTTCCTAGTATGGGCGTTATATCTGGCGTTAGGCACAATGGGTTTTGTTCTTGGTATACCGAGAAGTTTTCTCAAGTTCAATAGTTGCACCTCCAATAAGAGAAAAGAAAAATCTTTTTATTCAGTAAGAGCACCGGGTGTCCCAGTAAACCATTGCCAATCCCAGTTCCTCAACGCCTTGAAGTTCCTTGGTCATTATTGCTGCGTAAGCGGTTTGCAGTAGTATCAGATGAATTCACTCTCACCACTTCTTCTTAGAGTTAACGCTTCTTCCTGCACCGACGCGAACCTTGTCGTTGCTATTCGTCCTCTCACCGGAGAGAATACCCGGGAGATAGTCCTGATCCATGAGGTCCTTTTGCCTTGTTCTCCTTCTGTTATCCTTGGCCCGGACATACTCCTTCTGGTCCTCTGCGAGGACAAGAGATTGACCCCAGCCGTCCCTACCACCACCCTGTACCCTTGAGATCTTGCCGCTCGATGTGCCGTGTACTGGCTTTGGGATGCTATAAACATTGCCTCGCTTGTTATATTCGAAATTCTTCCTCAGATGAATTTGGAAAACACCATTTGCATCTGTGGAGCAGCTGGTCCGAATAAGATTCGGTTGTCCACAGCGGGGACAGAACTGCTTGGTCATGTCTTTGGTTGTGGCGAAACAACCGTGGCAGCGGAGGACATATGTCCGTAGACGGGTGATTCGAAACATGCTCGATGACAACAGGTTCAAGTTGATCCTTAGTGCAACGTTTTGCATGGCGTAATCGGTCGTCAGGATGGCGGCTTGCAGGAACTGTGTCGGGGCCTTGGATGACTGGGATGCTCCCTGGTCCTTGGCAACGTGCTTCTTTAGGTTCGAGGGCGTGATCCAGCCGTCGCTGTCGTCACTGTCCCCATCCTCTTGGTCGTTGGTCGTATGCTGTTCAGCCTCCTCGTTGGCGGACGGCGCTGCATCGACTACAGGATCTTGGAGGGTGATGTTCTCTACTTGTTCCTCCACAGACGGGCTCTCTGCCAGCGTATCGCCCTGAACATTAGGGCTGTCATCAGGACGGTCCGCCGATGAGGAGTTGGCAGGCTCAACAGCAGCAACACCATCGTTCTCCGCCGCCAACGGTGCATTACCAGTGACGTTCGGATCTTGGCCGTTGAGGTGCTTCTGGGTGGGGTTGTTGCGAAGGCGCCAGTCGCCGCCGTTCTGTTCGCACTCGAGCTCGTATGTCAAGGCAAGGAGATGGATATCGGGGGTGCTCATGACCTCGAGATCACCCGTCTTGCGCGCAAAAGTAGTGATGAACTTGACACTCTCAGGTTTCGGCCCCTGATCTTAAGGAAGGGGCGCAGAGTGGTATCAACCCGACGGCGAGTCTCAACGTCTCGAATCTCCGCAAGAACTGCAGGGATAGTGTAGAGTTCGGTCGCCTGGGCAAGAAGCGTGCTCACAGTGGGCTCGTTCTTGATCAAGGCACCAGTATCGAGGACAAGATAGCCAACAGTCTTGCCATCATTCGATGAGACCGTCGCCTGAGGGGCAGCTGGTAGTTGGGCTGAGGTGACGGTGTCTGGAATCGCGGCGGATCCCTCCGAGACGGCAGTATCTGGGGCGACAGAGGGTTCCTCCGTTGTGGGTGCGGTTAAAACGGCGACAGGTGTTTCCGGAGTGTTGGCATCGAGGGTGGTATTAGATCCCTCCGGCTCGGCCGCATCTAAGATGGTGGCAGGTGTCTCCGGAGCGGTAGCATCCGGGATGACGGCTGTATCCCTTGGAGCAGGCGCATCCGGGATAGTCGCGGGCTCCGCCGGGGCTGCGTTGTTGGTAGCAGGAGCCGACATGGCTTCCTCTACCGCACGGTGGATATACTGAGAGATGCCAGTCAAGGGGAGAAAGTACCTGCAGGATGGGCGAACTGTTGCCAGAGACAACAGAGAGGTCATGGAGGGCGGGCTCTCTGAGCTCTTGAAGGGCCCTTTAATCGTACTGCTGAAGCAGATCCTGCACCTCTATTGGTTTTATGGTCGTAATTTTACGTATTTAAAGGCACAATTTATGCAGTATGAATTTTTGGAGAACAAGGAAAAATTCGCATCGTTCCTTGAGGCGGCGGTGATGGTCGCGAAAGAAAGTTGAAAAAAAAAAGCTATATGGTGGGGTAATGTGAGGGCTGACGGCTTTGCATGCTGGGATGTGGAAAAAAAAAAAAAAAGATTCAATTCACTGGAGCAATGCTTGAAATGTCATTGCAGATGGTGGGGTTGACTCGCCGGTCCGCCAAGGGTCCTGGTGTCGTGCCCGAATACTTGTAGGGGCACCACTCGTCAGTCGTTCTCGCCTTGAGGAAATGGCCCATGGCTGTGTGGGGGTGGGTGGGGGCGAAGGAAAAGGAAAGAATGGGGCCTGGACAGGCTGGGCCAATCTCCGTCCTCAAATTACAGGGGTTTGGCACTCCACCACAATCCACTGTCATTGATCAGCCATAGGGCCGGCCGCTGCTGGATGCTGTCGGAGTCCTCAGAGCCTTCGAGACAGCAAGACTCTTGGTCACACAGAGCGCGCACGTGTTGCAGCAATCGGCTCAGCGTTCCACTGGTCGTTTAGACCCTCAACCAGCACCATGGGAGCTCAAGCTGCAAGTGGTAGCTAACGTTGTTGTAGTGGGAGGCGCGAGTCAGTGCGTTGCTAGCTTCGGAGCGGGAAAATCTCGCCTAATTTCTCAGCCCTCAATGATCAACATCGATCAACATTGATCAGCATCCATCTTGCAGACTGAAAGCAAGAAGCCTTAGTTTAAAAGAAGGTGGCTATTTGGGTGCAGCTTCTGGTGGCCTATCGTTTTCTCAAAAGCAAAAAAGCCTGCCGGCTCTAAGATGGCATGCAGAATGCTGTGGCGGGTCTGATGGCTGCAATGGCGCTTTCTTGACAAGCGTAAGTGGCCTTCCTTTGCTATGAAGTACGAAGTCGCTTCTCTGTTCTGATACACTTTGTCTCATCAACAAGAGTCGAGGACGCCATGCCACGCTCCAGAGGCTTGGAGAGTGGCTCAAGATGACAGGGGTATTCGAAAGGTCTAGTCCGAGAACGTAGCCCCTGTCGTTGGCCCGCCCTTCTTCGGCGTGTATCCGTCTAATTCGGTCTTGGGTCCGCTTGCCCCATTCTCGAACGGGCCGTTCCCCTATTCATGAGGCGTCTACAACTGCATTTTGACCCAGGAGGGATGTTTTCTCTGCTGTTTATTTCATCTCATGGTAATTACATTGACCATCGGTTCCCACTTCCCTCCGCCACTCACTGGGTGCTCGAAGCCTCATGGCGTCTTTCGAGATAGGGATGCTCCTGCGCCACTTTCCTTTGTGCCCCGCGTCAAGTCAAAAGGGGTTAGACGATCATTGATGTCTATTGATTTGTAGTGCACATTGGAGTCGAGGAGGCAGGGCCTAATTTGGCCGCGTCCAGTCCCTGTTCCTGCATTTGGGGACAGCAGCAGCCTGGATGACAGAGAGAGAGAGAGGGAGCGCAATCGAAGTCATGGAACCTACCAGCTCGGTCAATTTCCCCCTAGGCTTTTCAATAGACTTCGCGACCCGAGCAACGAGCTGGGCCTGGCTTATTCTAACCAAAGGAGGGGGTGTATTGGGGTCGCCCCTTGACTTTTTTCCTGCTCTGCTGCTTGACACTTCTTGTAGTCCAGTCAAATGGTGTTCAGCTCGTCAACGGGATGGGACCTATCCTACTACAAACCTTGAAATCGGAGCGAGGTATCTTTATTTGTCTATAACGTTGAGAGCCAGTGTCGTCATCGTCTCTTGGCTCCTGCCTTACCGCCGCTTGTTTGCGTCTCTTCCTAAACATTTTTGCTGCGGCTCCTTAACGGGCTCCAATCGCACCTTGGCATCGTTGTGGGCTTCGCGGGTCCGGCCCTTGTCTCGAGCCGTTTGGGCTTGAAACGTCTCAATTTGGTGTGGGATCTCGGTGGCTTTTTGCGGTCTCAATGTGAAGAATAGCCTTCTAGTTCTTGGCGTTTGTCAGTGTGGCGAGTGGTTTCTGTTTTTCCTCCGACTAGGAACGCGAAACTCATCGAAGACATCGAGAATATCCCATAAGAAAGGGCATGACTCGATGCTGAGACTGTCTTAGCAGCCTCGGGAGGGACCGTTGCAAGCCTCGTCCGGCCCCACACAGCAAACACCTAACCACTCAGAATGTAAGGGCTACTCGGTTCTCGGATCGGACAAAGGAACCATGCTTGCTTCTTGTACGACTTCTGACGATCTTTTGCGGCTTCTAACCCTCGATATGGACCCCTCTCACTCTTTTCTCTTTCACGTTGGCTTCCTTTCCAGTTGATAGTACACTCCACCCTCTCTTTCCTACTGCCGTTATCGCTGCCCAGCCGCTTGGTGCTCATCCTACTGCATGAGCGATGTGCCTCTTCCGTCTCGATTTGCCCATCTACAGTAATACAGGTAGAGCCAGTCAGGGGCCACGGCTCGTTTTCTCCCAAGCGCCAAGACCGCGATGATAAGGGGGATCCGAAGCAATCTTCTTGGCCCCTTATCTTGGAGGAACAGCAAATGGGAACACCTAGGGTTGATGATGCAAGAATCTGGTGGTCTACGCAAGCCCTTACCCACTGGGGGTATGGAGATGTGATGCGACGAACAAATCTTGGATTGCCAGAGGTTAGTGACATCACTCAGCATCTCAAAGTCTTTCTTCCTTATGCTAGATTGTCTCGACTCAAAAGCGTTCCTCTGTTTCTTTGGCTTGTCTTTTCTGGATCGAAATATCCTGTGAAGGGTGAAGGGAGCTGATTTCGATAGAGGTGCTTGCTCCCTCAATGACCAACGCGACCCCTGTCAACCCAGGAGCCTCTCCGCGACGAGTGCCGATCTTTCACGAATTTGCTAGATATTAAAGACCAATCCATGGATGATAGAGTTGGAAGTCTCATTTCCACTACGGTTTGGTTCAGCTGGCACCATCTTAATATCACAAAATGATAGGCTCCATGGGATACCGCCCGAGAACTCCTCTTGCCATGGCCTTCAAGAGGCAGGTACTCTAGTTTTCTTTTTCTTCCGCCATCCCCTTTTCCCCTTTTCTTTTGTCCCCCTCTCCCGAATTGGAGGAGCAAAGAGACTCGAGGCCCAAGGAAAGGTGATCTTCTTACAAGTATGTATGTCTCGCGTGTGTGTTTATTGATCGAGGCTCTGGTGGTTTTCTGGCTGCATAGCCATTTTTACTTGGGATCTGCGGCTCAGGTCTCAACATCTACCGGCGGCAACTTCCCGCCCCGACCATCAGCGCCCACCTCCTCTGGGACCATCAAGCCCCGAGTATCCTCTTTTCCCCTTCTTGACCCCCATTCCGCGTATGCTTAATGACTCGACGACGCGGCACGCCTCTCAGCCAATGCTCTTGGGCGGTCGTCGGTAGGTTCATTCTACGTCATAGCTTGGGGTCTTGGTGGTTTAGATGCCACCCACACAAGTCTCAGTGCAGCCATGCAACCCATGGTCGACGAAGATGCTGGGCCATCGAGTATATTCTGAGAATTTCGTCCTTCCGCGTGTCTCATTGTGTTCGTAGGCCAGGCCTCTGTCGATGACGTGATAGTCTCGACGCCACACATCCGACATCTCAGAGCCGTGTCAACTGCTAGCGTTGTAGTGTCGGCAATGATTTTCACGGAAAGACGATCCGTGACACTGGCCTGGCCCTAGACTGGATCAGCAGCTACTAGAGCGGCCGAAATGAGGCATGACAGCCCCCTTCAGGAGTGGCTGCGCTTTCCCTGTTGGCCGTTCGTGCCGCTCGGATAGCTGAGTTTCTTTTGCTCCGGCCCTGCATGGGTTCCCGATTGTGGCGCCCTATCCCGACGGGGGAGCGGAGCCAAGAAAACACGAGTACGGGTAGAAACGTCGGTTGGAATGTTGCCCTGGATCTGGCTTGTCCTCCAGCCAAAGTAAAATCAAAACCCTCATCTCCCATATGGCATTCTTTCCTGACGAGCATTGCTTTTCGACCCCTCCAAAGCGACGACTACCGCTCCGCCCACTCGCAACCTGGATCTTTTGTCTGACTCCTGTGGAGGCTGTCATCTTTTTCCTTGGCCCGTCATCGTCACGGTGTGAGACATGCGAGATGCTTTCTATCTTGAATATGGACTCTGATGGAGTACGCGTAGTTGGTGTGGGCCTGTTCGTTCGTGGCCAGAACGTCAGCCCCGGGCCTGGGCGCCGGCTTCTATACACCCCGACGGACCCTTGGGTCCACTATGGGGAGTTGGAATCTGGATAACCCAGCCGTCCAGCATATAACCGCTCGTCTGTCCTCTCGTCGCCTTCACCTTGTAGCTTAGTCTGCTCAACACCGACTTCATTTCCTTTCCATAGCACTTGGCATACCTTTGTTGAAGCTCCAAGCCTCCGTGCTCGGGACTACAACTTGTTGCCCCCTCCCCTTGCCTGTAGCTAGGATATCTCTTGTCGGCCCATTTCTTTCGCCCCTATAATCCTACCTTCAAGTTCGTTCACAATATCTTTTCTTTAGTTCTAGTTCCTACACAGACCCATCATGGTTACCATCTGCCATGATGAGCTTGCCACCGCCGTGGCGGGCCTCCCAGGCACGCTAGACGAGCAGCTCGCATCTAGTACCCCCAGTTAGAATCTATACTGAAGCTTGCGCTTCAGGATCCTTCTGGCCTTTGTCCTCTCTTTGTGCCGTCACCGGCGATGCGGAGAGAGCCTTGGCGCTGCTTTCCATCCTGATAGCCAAGACTCAGGGCACGCTACCAGTCCTGGATCTGCTGCGCTGCTACGGTTCCGTGCGCCAGGGGATGCCGGAACTTGTCAAGGCTGGCCAGGTACCTGGGGTGACACAGAAGCTGGAAAAAGTTGTCGGCCAAATACATGGCACCTACGGGTGCCTGTCAGACCTGGTGCAGGACTCCGACAAGCCCGCCCTGATCTTTCCCGAGAGCGGCCTTTCAGTAACTCACGCGAGCCTCAAGCGCTCGATTCAGGACTTTCGACTCCCCATGAGAAAAACCGGCATCGAGAATCCAGTTGTGGCTATCGCCGTGCCTAATAGCCCGTTGTTGGCGGCGACTTGTGTTAGTGTGGCGGCCCACTACGCCGCAGCTCCTATCAACCCCGCCGTCGGCGCGGAGCAGTTCCGCGCCGATGTAGAACAGGTCAAGGCCAGATGCATCATCACCACTCCCGAGCTAGCGGAAAAGCTCAGTCTTACGGACAAATGGATTTCGGAGCGCAACATCGAAATCTTTTATGTCGACTTTAGCCCCTCTAACACACTGGTCCTCACCCGGCCGGATGGAACGCGGCTGCCGAACGAGAATATGCACTTCCAGCCAAATAAGAGCTCCGACATATGTCTCCTGCTCTTCACCAGTGGAACGTCTGGAACGAAAAAGATTGTTCCCCTAACCACTCATCTGGTCATATTTGGCGCTGTATTAGTTATTGATAGCTGGGGGCTATCATCTACCGATATCTGTTTGAACATGATGCCGCTCTTCCACATGTAAGTTTCCTTTTTCTCGTTTGCCTGGCCAAGGGTCGACACCCGAGACTTTGCTAACTCTCCAAACTAGCGGAGGACTCCTTCGAAACATATTTGCGCCTGTTCTGTCGGGTGGAGCGACTGTTTGCTGCTCCGCGTTTGATCCAGGCATGTTCTGGTCCGTAGTAAAAACGTCATCGCCGACCTGGTACTACGCGTCTCCAACCATGCACTCTCTTATCCTCTCGTCCGCCCCGGAAAACCATGGCGGCCGGTTTAGGCTTATCTGCAATGCCGCTGGCGGCCTGTTGCCTTCGCTGGCGCTGCAGCTGCAGGACATGTTTAGCTGCACGGTCCTTCCTAGTTACGGCATGACTGAGTAGGTCCCTTCTTCTTTTTCTTTAATTGCTCCCGCCGGCCGTTTGAGAGCAATTGTAGAGCTGACGAAAAAAACAGATGCATGCCCATCTCTACACCTCCTCTTACGTACCAACTCGACCGAACCGGAACCTCTGGAATCGCCACAGGACCCGACCTCACGATTCTCGATGGAAATGACAAGCCTCTACCGTCAAACTCCGTGGGGAGGGTTTCTGTAAGAGGGGAGCCGGTATTCTATGGGTACCTTCGGGATAATGGCGTCATCGACAAGAGCGCCTTTACAAAGGATGGCTGGTTTGATACTGGCGACATGGGCTACATGGATGGCGAGGGATACCTCTACATTACTGGCAGGAGTAAAGAGGTGATCAACCGTGGTGGTGAAATTATCTCACCATTTGAAGTGGAGAATGCCATTGTTGGCGCTGCGAAACAGCCCGACTCTCCCATCTACGGGCGAGTCTCCGAAGCTCTCGCCCTGTCCGCCCAGCACGACGTGTTGCAAGAAGTCGTGGGTGTCGTCCTGGTGACGCCGCCCGGAAAGCCGAGAGTGGATCTGAAAGGACTCCAGGAGGCCCTCAAATCTTCTCTGCACCAGGCGAAATGGCCCTCGGTCGTGGTCTACATGGACGGCCTGCCGAAGCGCAACAACAAGGTGCTGCGGATCAGGTTAGCCGAGCGCATGTCCCTACCCACATTTACCGACGAGACTTTGTACCGCGACCGGCATTGGGAGGCTACGTGCCCGCCCGACGAGACCAGCCTATCGGAGAAGATCGAGGCCCAGAAGTGTTTGATGGAGGAAGTTTCCGTCACCGTGGCGCTCAAGGAATGCCTCCCACACGACACGCAACTGGACTTACACGTACACCCCAATGCTCAGCAAGGTTGGCTCGAGGTTGTTGCAGCACCGGCCACCAACGCCGCTTCGCAGGACATCAGCGCGATTCGCGCCAAGGTCGAGAAGGAGTGGTTGCGCAAAGTCTCTGAAAGAATTGACAACTATCTCGTTCCCCACCGCATCCACTGGTTCCCGAAACCTCTCCCGCGAGTCGCGGAGGATCCGATTCTCGTGGACACCCGCGAGGTGGAGAGGATTCTCCAGGATATCCAAAAGAGGGACGCCGACGAGCTCCTCCACACAACCGAGGGCCGGGTCGTGGCCAAGTTCGCAGAGACGATCCAGTGCGACGCGGCCACCATCAAGCCGGAGCTCGACTTCTTCAGTCTGGGCGGTGACTCTCTCAAAGCGGGAAAGCTCATCGCGGGGCTCCGCTCCGAGTTCAATGTCGGCGTCCCCATCAGCCTAGTTTTCAGCGAGGGCACGCCGAGGGCAATCGCCAAGCACATTGATGATTGCTGTTCCAAGGCTACGAGTGTCATGTCGGAGAAGAATGAGGCCCTGCCCGGCTGCGAGAAGACGTATAGCTCCACTAGGCCGTGGCTTTTGCTCCTTCAGCTCGTCCCCATGGTCTTGGTGTACCCCTTCCGCCGCGCCATGCAGTGGACCTGGTTCATGGTAGCTCTCAGCTTTACGCAGCCCTGGCCGACCCAAGACTGGATCCTGGGTCGCTTGTTTAACCTTACTCTCTCCATCGTCTTCGCGCAGGTCGTTACGAGATTCATCATGCCCTGGGTCGGCATCTTGGCGAAGTGGATCATCATCGGTCGGTACAAGGAGGGTGTGTACCCCATGTGGGGTCCCTATCACACTCGATGGTGGATGGTGCAGAAGATTGTCGATGTCTCCGGCCCCGGCTGCTTCTCCTGGACAAGCTACACCAAGATCATCTACTATCGCTTGATGGGGGCCAAGATTGGCAAGAATGTGAGCATGACTAAAGTCCGCATCGGGGAATGGGACCTTGTCGAGATCGGAGATGACGCCATTCTGGAGGGTTGCACTTGCCGACCTTTGGCGCGGAGAGGAACACGTCCATGTATCTGGGCAAAGTTGTCATCGGCAAGAACTCGACCGTCGGCACTGCGTCCATCGTTGCTCCCGGTACTGTGGTCCCCGACAACACATGTATCGGCGCCAACTCCTCTAGCTGGGAGCTTGCCGATGCCTCGGAAGAGAACCGCGACCTCCTCCCCGGATCCCGCCCCAAGGCTCACTGGCTACTGACGGTCCTATTCACGGTCCCTCTTCAGTTCTTCTCGTGGATTTTCACCCTCCTTCCCTGGGTTGCAGGTCTCCTGGGTCTTGTCATCACATCTCCGTCCGAGGCGGAGAATGCCATATACGAGATTCTTGTCTGGTTCGCCGACAAGGAACGAGTGGGCTTCCACTACCTCGCGCTTGTCCTCCGATCCGCGCTCGGTCCCTTCATCGCTTTTGGCTTCGCGGTCACGGTGCGATGGATCCTCGATAAATCTTTGGGCGAACTGAAGCCCGGACCGGTCAAGGGCCGCAGCCAGGTGGCCATCTGGCGTGCCGAGCTGATGAGGACCCTCATGTCCAGCGGTAGACTTCACGAGATGACGGAGATGATGGGACAGCACTACGAGGGTACATCCATTGCCGTCCGCCTTCTCGGAGGCAAGGTCGGCAAGCGCGTCTACTGGCCTGGCACCGGCCCTGCGGTAGGAGACTACCATTTGTTCAACGTCGGCGACGATGTCGTTTTCGGATCCAGGAGCCACGTCATCACGTCGGACGCCATTGGGTCGGAGCAAGTCGTTATTGGCAACGGGTCGATGATTGCGGATCGCGTCACCCTCATGGCAGGCGTCACCATCGGAGACGGAACCACCATGGGCTCCGGCGCTCTCACGAAGCGCAACAAGCGGTACGCCGCAGGGGGCACATACGTAGGATCCAAGAATAGGGATGCGGTGTGCCTCACCCTGACCCGGCAGAACTCGATGGCCGATCTCCTCAAATCTAGCGGCACCTCGACGCCGACTAGCGGAAACAGCTCGGCCACGACTAGCGTGCACGAGGGCAAGGGTGGCGACGATTCGGAAGCCTCGCCGTTCGGCAGGGCCTTTACCTCAACAAGGCTCCCTATCGCGTCATCGGGCCGCTGGCCATCTTCTTCTACTCCAGCTTCCTCACCGTCGCCACACGTTTCTACTGGAACGTCCCTAGCATCTCGTCCATCCAGCTCGTCAACGTCCTCATGCGCGAGGCACCCCACGTTAGCGGCATCGAGACCAAGTTTCACTGGTCGGACCCCTTCATCCTCCTGGGGTGGACCACGGCCTTCATTGCCGTCCTTACGACGATCCAGGCCTTGATCGCACTCGCCATCGTCATTGCGAGTAAGTGGATTCTCCTCGGTCGACGACAGCCCGGCAACTATGACTGGGACAAGAGTTCATACTGCCAGCGGTGGCAACTGTTCCTAGCCATTGAGCGGCTGCGGCGCACCTGCTACCGAGGGTCGGGTATCCTGGGTATGCTGACAGGCACGCACTGGATCGTCCTCTACTTCCGAGCCCTGGGGGCCAAGATTGGCAAGGACTGCGCCCTCTTTGCCAACGGCAGCCCGAGCCTGTACTTTACGGAACCTGACCTCATCACCTTGGGAGACCGTGTGGTGGTCGACGACGCCAGCATCGTCGGGCACATCAACACGCGTGGCCGCTTTGACCTCAACCGACTGTCTGTCGGTAACCGGTGCGTTCTGCGAAGCGGCAGCCGTCTGCTCTCTGGCGCGCAGATGCTCGACGACTCGTGCCTCATGGAGCATACCCTTGTCATGGGTGGGGATGTCGTCACCGAAGGGGAGACGCTGCAAGGGTGGCCGGCTGAGGTGTTTAACGGCAGGCGCGTCAAGAACTTTTCGTAGGCATACATCATTCATGATGGCACCCATGCCGCTCCCCACTCACGCCATAGTAGAACTCGTGACTACATCTAACGAAAGGAGCGTCCGCCAGGAGCGGGCGACTCATTGCTCACGAATCTACTTTGGGGTATTCTTTCCCTGTTCATTTTTTACCTTGAGCTAGCCCTAAGCTATACACGGGGTCTTGGCTGTCTCTTTTTTCTCACTCTTTTCTCTTTTATTTTATTATTTTTTATTTTTCCTATTTCCCTTTCCCACACCTACACATTCTATATACAAGCGCACACATACGCTTTGAGATCCATTCCATCCAGTACTTCCACACACTCCCGCTCATACACCCTCTTCTCTTGACAGTTTTTGTCCATATTACCTCGAACACTCCTTCATGCTGATGATTTATCATCCTCTCATACCAGCAATTTCTTTGGTCTCTCATATGCATAAACACTATTCTTTTGTCTTACATACCCACACTCCTTTAGCCACTTATTCATGCCACATATCTGCACACGGTCCTGTCAGATCGTTCTGTCACTGTTCTTTTCTCACCTTAATACATATAGTCCCCATTGTTTTTTTTTCTTTTTTCTTTTGTTTGAGGAGGCTGGATTCAGTCTCATGTCTAATGGGATTTTAATGTTTCAAATGATGTTATAAGAAAAAGGAGAAGGGTACTAATTCACAAGGCTGGCTTGGTCTGCTCTATTAGGATGGAGTTCTGTTTGCTACACTTGCCCTTACCTTTGGTCGTTAGAAACGTGACACGGCAATAATCAAAGAAAATTTTACTATCAAAAATATTTCCATGATTCCTTTTGACTAGTGATGTAAGTCAAGGTAGGGAGAGAGAGCTTGAAGCAAGCGCCACTTTATCTCCCCATCCCCCACCCACCATTCCTCGGCGTGGGAGTTCCGTGTTCTTGGCCCGGGCCTGTGCTCCGAGAGCTCATGCAAGGGCCGGGATGTGACAGCTGCCTATATGTACTTTGTGTCGGTTTGCGCACTGCATGTTGTGCTCCGTCTCGCACCAGCTACATGTAGGTCACGGAGGACGGAAAAATAAAGAAGAAGCACGCCCCAAAAAAGCCTGCCCATTTTTAGGACACTTATCGATGCAGGTGGCTACCGAAAACGAAAGGGCTGAAGCGCTGTGGTCCGAAACACACAGGTTGGATGCCCGGCACCAAACGAGGGTGTGTAGCGAGGATTCCGAGCCGGAAGCTGACCCACCACACCATCAAACACTCGTCAATTCTCCATCACAAAGGAGAAACGTGCTGGGCGACATGATCTCGCGAATGGGGCCGTGTACCAGGCACCGGGTGGGTGTTGAGTAAGGAATTCTTCACGATCTATGTAGTTCCTAGCTGCTGCATAGACTTTGAAATCTCTCAGGTTTCTTAAAGGATAGATCTGCTTCTCTCTTCAAACATATCCATGGATTACATATAGTTCCCGGAGGGTGGGAACTGGGTTCATCTCTCGATGTGTGCGGTGCAGATTGCATCAGACAAACATTAGAGGAAGGAGGAATGGCCTCACTTGTATTAATTACGCAATGAGGGCCATGAAAACATGAAAGATAAGAGCTTGAACGCTAGTCGTCAAAATAGAAAAAGAAGAAGGGAAAAACAAGACCGACAAAAGGGGAGAGGAAAGGCTGATCAATCTATCGAGGTGACGCGAGGCGGGAATGTTTATCCGGCACACTCACCCAGATGAAGGGATCCAAATTTGGGCTGCGACGAACTGGTTTATCCCAGCTACCAGTTTCTGGGCTAAATAAAAATCTTTTTCTTCCAGTCCTCTGCCTGCTATCTAGGGCAGAGCTCTCTTCTGTTTCCTATTCCCCGCCCCTATCGTGCCTTGAGCTGGCGTGGGCATGGGGAGGGCCATGGCTTCATGACCTGGGCTATTCTCGGAACGGTGCATGCAGGCAGCTAGCTCCTTGTCCCCAGGCCAAGAAGAAGTTTTAAAGGACGTGAATTTCTTTACCCTCTTCATCGCTCGCATCTCTTTTTTAAACCAAGCTGAACGGGGGTCCGTCGGCGGGACTATCCTGGGAAGTGTAGCCTGCATTGAAGCAGCATCAATCATGGTTCCCGATCTCTCTTGAGGCCAATATATCCACGGTTTGGCGAGCTTACAATGGATGGAATTGCCTTACTGTTTCCCTAAGTGGGTGGTCAGTTGTCTCGGCTCATTCTGCAACCAGGCTAACGGACCGGAAGGGAACCTAGACTTTTGAGGAGGTGTGTTGAGCTCGAGGGGCGATATCAAGGATCCCTTGCGACGTGAACCAATGCCAATCCAAGGTTTTCAAGTATGCTGAGGAAGGCGGGAGGAAAGTAGAAAGGGGACCGGCTGGTGTAGAGGATGGGGTTGGCCTTGAGTCAAGAGAACCATCCCGTTGTTTTCCTTCCCTTCTCCCATGTACACTAGGACATGATGCACCAAGTCAAGCGTTCATGGACTTTATGAAGGGGTCAACATAGGTCCAATAGATGAAATCAACGTGACGGATCCGTCCTCCTACCAGTATCAAGCTCCTCCATACCCTCCCAGTCCCTTTCCTGCAGGAACCCTATGCCACCATCGGCCCCTCGGTTTTGGCATTGGGACCCGGCCCGCCAACCAGCACACCAGAGAGAAAAAGAAAGCGTTCGTATGTAATAGTCGCATATTGATCGCACGCGCATGAGGCTAGGGCCGTGGCATGCCCGCTAGAGTTGAATCCCGTACCGCGCCCCTTGCTAAGACAGTAAACTGGCCCGGCACATTACTCAGGTCTACTTTGTATATAATGGATATATATGGCGGATATATACGCGATGTATATATTTACATGCCCTACACACACGCATCCCTGTATTTGGGTTCTGCCTCTCGCCTCTATTACTTTACTTTCCAAATATAGAAGCTGGCCTGCCTCGTCTATCACGCACACATGCACCCTCAGTATCGAAGTCTTGTGTCGTGCGGGTGAGATAGCTCTCGGCCCAGGGCTTGGAAACACTCTGACGTGGATGCATCTGATAATATTCACGTCTGGTAGATACATTGCGATACGAGCCGGCGAGCTCGTCCTAGCCGGCATTGATCTCGTTGTCGTTGGCTTGGTGCCAAGAGGCAAGTGCTGGCCTTCGCCCTCCCTCCTTGCCACCTACTTGGGTGCCCTACCTTCCACCGTCAGGTTTATAAGTTGTTGAATTTAAAAGAAGGGCACGTCAAGCACGCTCAAGACATCCATTCAATGTGTTGTGACGCTTGTACCTCGTTATTGTTTATCGTCCGTGACGTATACAGAACGGGTATGGGTGCGATGAATACATGTAGTGCACACAACATGCTTGGAGTAGGTCGCAGCAGAAATCACGCTACCAACACAGCGGGTTCCTGATCGCCGCCAAAGGAGGGGGAAAATAAGCATATCATCGAGAGCTTGGGTAGCATTGCACCCTTCTATTTTCTCTTTGTCTTTTTGTCGTTTCATTGGGAACCTGTTACCAGCTTTATTCAACAATAAGGGCAGAGCTGACGTGCACACCAATCTCTTTCCCGTTCCTCATGCAGAGTGGCAGGCCAGCAACCGCCACTGGCAAAAGGGGCCACGAAAGCGTGGGTTGGTATATTAGAATCCCGGCAACGGGGATCCTGCTCCTTGGGTAAAAATCCCGGGAACCGGCCGGCTCAAATGGAGTTGGCCACCCATGACATGCCCTCCCAGAACCACCTCCCGCCGCACGCCTTCCTAGATCCGGGTATCTTCATAATGAGGTCGAGATTGGTCGGCCCATGGCACCAAACATCGCCTCTTCATTTGGACCCGAGTGAAGAGGGGGTTCTGGTTCTTGCGCCTGCCCGTCCGGTTGCACCGGCAGTACCTCTATGGCCAATGGCTCGTCCGTATGGAATCAGCACAAGTGAGGACATCACATAGACTAGCTGTCAAGGGAGGTAGATACAAGGGCTCGAGAGGGAGTGATGGAACCTGCATGGGGGTCCGGGTTGACGAAGGGGCCTCTGACCAACTCGGGACCGGTTTTTCGCCTAGCTGTTTCGTTCTTGCCCACCCCGTTCTTGTGATGCGAAAGGAACCCGGGACCGCTGGGGATCTCGGGCTAAGATGCCGTTCTCGAAATAGAAGTTGGACAAGAGTGGCGTCCAACATGCCATTGTTGTTCAGGAGAGGGAACGGAATGGTCACAATCTCTCGTCCCCCTTGGATTATAAAAGACTGAGGGCTTCCCGGGTTTTGCGTCAGGCTAGAAATCATGAGAACATCTGGAATTCATTCACTCGCTTTAACTTGACATCTATTTCCATTCTTTAGCACCTCTCCACCTCTTCAGAGTGGAAATTGTATATATCACGACAACTAATCTCGTGCCCTGCCTACCCCATACCTATCATCTAATATCCATTCAACGCTACACATCACACAAGATGTTCCAACAATCATTCCTCGCCCTTGTGGTCCTCGCCGCCAGCGTCGTCGCACAAAATCCCGCCCCAATCCCGGATCCCCAGCAGCCTATGCCGGTTTCTCCCCAAGAGCCCACGCCGACTCTGCCTGCGGAGCCTGCTATCCAGACACATTATGGACAATGTAGGTGACACAACGGTGCATCCACGCACGGGGACTGCTACTCGTTTCTAGGTTCTACGGAAAGCTAACTACTTGGGATGATAGGCGGTGGTAGCGGCTGGGAAGGATCTTTGAATGTGAACAGGACTACGTCTGCAAGGTTTACGAGTAAGAACTTCCCCCTCCCGTGCCCAGTACACCTAATTGAAAGAATTGCCGTATCTCTGACTCAAGATGAATCCTACTAGTGAGTGGTACTCGCAGTGCCTTCGTCCGGACGAAGAGTTCAACCGGTCCACCGAGCCTCCGGCGAGCCCCACCGAGGTACCCCCGGTGAACAACCCCAACCCCAACCCTAATCCCAATCCCAACCCACCTTTCCCGGGCACCCCGGACACTCCCGTCGGGGGCGACCCCAACAATGAGTTCCCCCGATGACGAGATTCCCGAGGGCAAGATTGTCGACTCCCCTGTCATCATCGGCAATCCTGGAAACCCCCGTACCACTGCGCCTCCCTCCAACGGCGCGCCTTCGCAGACCGTCACGAGCTTCGTCACGGTCACCAGGCCTACCGGCGCGCCCGACTCGCCTTTTGGCAAGTAGGATATGTCCAGTCTGGTCGATGGGAGCGGCGCCGGAAGAGAGATCTAAGAGAGATCCTTCCAACGGAGAGGGGTGGCGGGCTGTCAAAAATACTTGATCATTGATATCTCTATATAAGTTAGAAAATGCATGTCTGAGGGCGCTTGATGGGTTTCTTTTTCTATATTTATTTTCTTCTAGTCATAGTCCTTTTACTTATCTTATTCCTCTTTTAATTTAATGGCCGGCCTTATGCTGTTCATAAAGCCAGCCATTCTTACACTCAAGGTCTCGCCAATAACTTTCACAAGGAGAAAAGAAATCAGCGGCCCAATCCGCCGATCTTCAATCGTGTTGATCCGAGCTGTTATCCGGCTGCATTGGTCAAGTAGAGCGCCTCGGTCTATTCACAGATGTTAAAGCCTCCAAAGCTGGTCACGGCAAAAGAGGGATACACTGCTATCTGAACTAACTTCCCTGGGATCGATCATGGTTGACTATGTGGATCTATGCGTGTATTCAATTTCTAGAGAAGAAAAAGGGGAAGAAAAAAACAGTCTGACGCCTTCCTTGGTTGTCCGTGAATATTTATGCCCATGCCATCCATCCGGTCCCATATCCTTTGGTATACACCAAGATCCCTCAACTCCAGATCCGAACAGAAAATAAAATAAAAAGAAAGAAAGGTGCCATTTAATCAAGGTTGTTGTACAGGGCTTCAGATCCAGTTTTCGTCCGTGGCCCTGCCCGCTTCGAGGTACTTGTAGATCTCGTCGTAGTTCTTGCACACGTGTTGCGCGCCCCAACCGTCGCTCCCACCACGCTCACCTTCGGGGAAGGTAGTTTCGGCGCCCTCGAGGGCTACGTCGCCGCAGCACATGATGCTCTGGCGTAGGTACTGAAGCAGTGCTGAACGTGCCACTCGTTATGCTTGACACGCCAGTTGAGAGAGAGTCGGGTGTAGGAGTCGACGATGGAATGCTAGTATGGTGGTCATCTACGTTAGTCGGACTTTCTTCGCCATTTCTAAAAGAAGAGATTCATATAAACGGCGGATAAGAACTCACAAGGCAGTGAAGTTGATGCGTCATGGAGGTTGTAAAGACGGTCTTGTTGCCAAAGTCATTGAGAGGAACGGGTAGGTTGTCAAAATTGTCTGGATTCTGGATCTCGAGAAAACCAAGACCCTTGGGGACAAGTTCTAGCCACTTCCTGTGCGTCTTGGCGCGGAAGAACTTGTGTGTCTTTGTCGGGATGTAGTCGTCGTTGTATTCGAATGTGACAAGCTTCTGGGAGACTGATTTGGGGCGCAATGGCTATTAGAACCAATCGGGACATAAGATAGAAAAGAAAAAAAAGGCAAGGGTCCTGTCTCAGAAAGAAACTCGCGACAATTCCCCAGAGTGTTTCCCTCTAGCATGATACTCACATCGAGGTGCTATACCCGAGATATCCCCGCCTAGCTCTTGGGTATCCGCGTTGACTGAGCTGGCGTGATCCTGCCTCTGGACGAGGAGGATTATTACCGCAACAACGAGGCCGGCTTCGAGAATCCATCTTAAGGGTTTTAGCTTCTCTAGCACCGAGAGAACTCTGCTCCTCCGGCCTGGCATCGCTCTCTCATACCCCTCCTTCCAACCCATAGGGTCCTCGCTGTCCAGGAAGGGTATTGTTATATCTGAGGCCGAGTCATCATGGTCGTCCTTGGCTCCGGGGAGCTGTTGGTATGGTCCTTGGGACATAGTGGTATGCGACAACTCCTAGATCCGCGAAGGTTGCAAAAAGAACTTGGTATTGTGACGGTCGTAACAAGGTAACAAGAGCCAAATGGGTAGCTGCTTTGGTTTTTTTGTCGTTCTTTTGTCCTTTCCGTATGAAATAGTCCAAAGAGGAATCTGAGTCTACATGTATACCTGGAGACGGGGGCCGGCTGCTTCTCCGTGTGCTGTTAGTTCGTTGAGACGGAGATCCAAGATTTACAAAAACAAGGAGGGGAGGACAGCAGATAATAAGAGTCGATCTGGATGAGCAAGTTTGTTCTTTTTCTTTCTTTTGTTTCTTCTCTCGACCACAAGTTGGCTGTAGTTCATGCGTTTCCCCGTCGTGATGGCGCTCGCATTTCCCCATAGCTTCGTTTTTCCCGCGAGCTTTGAAACGCGGACCTTATCCCCGTCTCCATACGGCGGAATTTTGGCGTGGGTGCCGGGTGGCGCGTGGTGGTGCGCAACATTTCTGTAACGGGAGGCGTTTCGACATCAACCACCTGGATCCCCACCACAAGCTGGAGCTTTGATGTCGGCGAGGGGCCAATTCCATGCCCAGCGACCAGCAGGGAATAAATATATGACACTGAAACCTGGGCGATAGGGATTGAACAAAAGAGCCTAGAGGTCGTCATACGATTTTTATGTCGGTCGATGCAAAGCCTTGAAAATTCCCATCACTGTGCCGAAAGGGGAAAATGCGGTAGCCGGAGGTGGTGGGACTTGCCCATGGCGGAACCCAAGATGATACCGATCTGAGGGCCAAGTCAGATCGTCTAAAAATACATGGCCGGGATCCAAGATGGTAGTTTGGGCCCTTCAAGCTTTGGCCTTTCCAACCCGCAAGAACCCTGAGGGGACGTGTAGAGACTGCGAATAAGCCGGAAGGGTTGGAGACTCTTCAGTAGATAACCAGTCCTGGCCCGGGAATCTTGGAACTCTAGCTCGAGAATTTGAATATAACCTCGAAAGACCGGGTGACAAGCTGAAACCTTCTTTTCACCTTTGATGCAAGATAGTATTGGAGTATTGGGACTTGATCACAAGAACTGTGGCATAGCTAGCTTGAGGGACAAATACTGAGATACTCCCTACATCCTGGAGTATGGCGGATGCAGGGATTGAGTCTCCTGACCTTGCATATCCAAGCTCAAGCTTATTGGGGCTTTATCGTTCTCACGACGAGTCTCGCTTTTGAGGGTAGACCACACCTGATCTTAATCTTGCTTGGATGCCCTGCCCATTGCACCATCTTCTACCCTAGCATGTTCGCGACAGAATTGTTGACCTAGTACCACCAACCTACATGAGTCCGTCCTTGGGGATGTGAGATATCGGCCAGCTATCGTGAAGGGGGTCATTGATCTACCTCATCCGCTTTGACTAGCCTGGCTGGCCTCTACAAGGTAAAGAGGGTTTACATTGGCTTGCGGAGATTTCGCGATCCGAGAGAGTTCTCCCTGCTAGCTCTAAGCCGCCAGCCAGTCTCGAAGCTCCGCTGGCAAACTGATGTCCGCGGCCATGAGCAAGCAAGTAGAGCTCTTTTTGTCGCCAGTTCGCGACGTGTCCGGCTCAAAGTTCTGCCGCCTATTCGAGCCTCCATTCGCAAGTCAAGCCCTATCTCCCTAAAGAGGCTCACATTGTACACCACGACCACGGCCTTGATATAATACATGTAGGGTGATCTATCGCCAGTCACTTTCCTGCTTATCTAAGTTAGAACCACTCCTTGTACTCCATCTAGTACAATCTTGGGCGCGCAAAGGCCGTTGGCGGCGGCTAAATTCTCCGCTGGTCCACTGCGTGAATATCAGTCAGGTTGGACATAAATTGCTATGTGATATTGACATGAGGCCAGTGGAGGCTTGGCACCGATAACATCCATAGATCCCTGAAAGAAAAGAAAAAGAAATTAGAAGGAAAAAAGGAATGCCCTGCTCTTTTTCGTTGCTATTAGATCTAAAGCCTGGCTAGGCCCACGGCATGGTACATCACATATTAGCCGCGAATTTAAATGCGACTTGACACTTCGCCTTGTGTTGCACTTCGAAGAAATACCTGCATTGCAGTGCCCACTCTGTACTCAAAAGGTCTTGAGAGTTAACCATCCGTGCAATGACCCCTTTCATACAGAATTCTCCAAAGGGAAGACCTGCATCTACTTACATGTAGTTCGAGACCGTCAAAAGGAAGAGGAAGATCAAGAAAGGAGGGTTTGATGGTCGAAGGTTGGTTTATATGGAGGGGACATGATCTTAACCCTCTTGTCTTGTCTCCTCGCCTCTCAAAAAGGAGTGGCAGACCGTCGTCCAATCTAAGCTAGGGCTCCAATATGCCACATTCCTTGCGTGTGTTAGGAAAGTCCCGTACAACCGGAATGCCTTGGTTGTCATTCAAATTGATATGATTGGCCTTACTCGATATTTGCCCGCCTCCCGCTCTTCGATGCCGAACCGATCTAGAACGGCGGGTCAGTTACACGCATATCAACGCCACCTCTTTGTCGCAATGTTTTCGATATTAAGGTTCCACGTAAGCTGGGAAACTGGGGGCCGTGGTCAAGAGCCAAAGGACGGACGAAACTGCCAGATTGGCGTCCTGACCCCCTTTTCATTCTAGGTTCTTTGCCTTGCTTCATTTCTCGAATGGGGGTCTCCGGGATGTATTATGGCCTGATCTTGATCGCTCGCTGCCGCGCCTGTTCTCGCCTGTTCTCGCCACTCTGTGTTCATGTCGAGGAACCCGCGCGAGTCGAAGAAAGCGCGGGGTCGGCCGAAACGACGTGTGTCCTGTTCCCCACACTCCTTTTAGTGACTTGCACTACTCCCAAAAATCACATCTGGGGTGAGATTTGAAATCCGTGAGAAGTGCGCAAGGCATCGAGGGCAACCCATGTAGCTCTCCTAGCATGGCCGGGCTTGGCTAAGCTTAGGTATGCAGGGAGCGGCGAGATGGTTCCCTTGTCTTTCACTTTCCCGGCTTGGTTTACACCGGAAAGTAGTGTTGCTCATTGGTCACTAGGCACCATATTATGCCATTGCTTCTCCAATCCCGTAGGTGTCTATTCTATGCTCTGGTGTGAAGATGCCAAGAGAGATCGAAACCCATCACTGTTGGGGTTCTCGGTCCACACACCGACGTAGATAGTCTTGGTGGGATTTGAGCTCTTGAGCGCTCCATCAGAGGTGCCCCTCTCTCTCCACTTCGCAAAGTTGAACGCGGGCTCGCTTGAAGGGGCGCTTTAGTAATTCTGGTTTCGTGATAGGATAAGATCAAGAAATCCCGGTAAGCGGGATTCATTTCCTCGTTCAAGTTGCCTCGGATGTGGGAAGACTGTTCTCAGTGACACGGTGGCACCCGACTGGCGCCTCCTCCCCAGACTCCAGCAGAGACTCCGTACGACGTCGAGGAATATTCTTCTCTGACAGGCTCGATAACACTCCGTGTAAGCTTCCCTTGTCGACATGTGGTTCCTACCAGAAACGTCACTTCTTCCTTGTAATATGGGTAAACGTTCTTGGCCTGACCCTCCACTCCCTTCTCTCCGCTCTAGAAACGTTCCAATGGCCTGTTTCGTTTTCGACTTCAATGCTGGCTCACGTAGTCCCGTTTGCCATCAAAGTAACCCTCGTCCAACTTTAGCCGTTACAATGTGCCCACGAATAAGAGGCTGGGGAAAAAGGCAACGAAAAAGGAAAAGAAAAAAAAAAGGGAGAGAGAACAGAAAGAAGGGAAAGAGAAGGGAAAGAGAAGAGAAAAGAATACCCCCGGAAAAAGAAAAAAAGGCGAAGGAAAGGCAGAATACCCCAGATGTGATGAGAGCGTTGATACTCTTCTTTCCACACCCCTTCCCTCGCCCAATTGCGGAAGAGGGGATGGTCACGTCAATCCTGGGATTGTTTAGAGCTGACGACAGCCATGGTTCTTTTAATCACCAAATGGGTCCATTCTAGATGGCCCCTTTAATTACTCGTTCGCTTCCCCAGTATTGCCCAGGTGCCGCGAAGTGGGATATATATCGCCGCCGTTCAATATGCTATACTGACTTACCAGGGGAGGCATAGTGTAGGCTTAGAAAACCCCGTGATATTGGGGGAGTTGCGCCCGTTGCGACGGCAGGGAAGTAGAAGACAAGACGAAGGTGGATAGACAACGTAGCCCTCGTCGGAATATTAAAAAAGGCGATGCTTCTCTGAGCTCTAGAAGACGTTTTGGTCCTCTCCTCTCTTCTCTCCTTCCCTTCTGTTGTAGCCATCTTGAGACTCTATCCTCCGGCCGTCTGATTGTTTCTGCCTCCGTCGCCAGTCAGGGAACAAAAGAAGCATCAGCCATTCCTTTGGCCTTCTATCCCGAACGTCCTTTCCGAGCCTCTCTTCAAAGAAGAGCGACGATAGAACAATGCAGCTCAAGAGCCTCTTCGTCCAGCTTATGGCGGCTGCGCCGGTGGCGCTCGCCCACCCTCACGGCGCCCACGAACCCCTTCACATGGCGAAGCCTCTTCCCCGTGGTCTCGGTCACTGCCACGCCCACTTCGAGAGGAGCAACTTGTCCAAGAGGACGGCCGAGAGGCACCTGGCCGAGGTTGATACCCTCAAGAAAGAGCGCGGTCTCGAGCACCTGTAAGTGTGCAAACTCTGTTTTCCATCTTCGTTTCCTTTTCTCTTCCTTTGGAGAGGACTCTGGATCAAACAGCCTCCAACTCTGTCTCTGCCCTCTGACCTGTCACGTCGCCGGCATGAAGAAGAGTAGTGCCGGGGCTTGGCGGTGGGGACGGCAAATGAGCGGGTGAGGGTGTGTAAGGTATTAAACATTAAACACGCACGCTTCGAGGCGGGAAAAGATGATGTGCACGAAAATGTGAAGCAGGAGAAGCGGAAAGGAAAAGAAGAAAATAGTCCAAAGCCACTATTTTCCCGGGCAGGGGTAGGCGTTTATTTGCTTGACATATCACTTATTCTCTTCTTTCTCTCCTTTCTAGACCGACTATCCACCGCCGGCAATTTGGTGGTTTCCCCGGCTTCGGAGGCGGCGATCCCGCTGTCATTGCCGACATTCTTGGCAAGAGCCACAAGTCCGACAAGGACGTCACCGTCGACACCGATCCCGCCGAGCTCTTTGCTGATGCCGGTTCCTGCGTCTTGTCCCCCGAAGTCACCGAAGGTCCCTCTGTAAGTTGTGTTTTGAGACGCATCCCCCAACCCAACAATAACAACAAAAAGTGCTTCCCCCTCGCTTTCGATTGTTAGAGATGGGCATCCACTTACATGGCAAAAGATGTTCGCGGCGAGCAGATCCGAAGGGACGTCACGGATGGCGAGGGCGGTGTCAAGATGAGACTTGCCATCCAGGTGGTCGACGTTGAGACGTGTGATCCTATTCCCGATGCCTGGGTCGATCTCTGGAGCTGCAACTCCACTGTGAGTATTTCCCTTTCCTTTTTCTTCTTGACTTTTTCTTTCTTTCTCCGAAAGGGCACACTTGCCCCCGCCGTATGAAGGTGAGAGGCTGACGATTGGCTCACCAGGGCGTGTACGGCGGCGTTCTATACTACCCCGGAAACGGCGACCCGAACGACGAGTCCATTATCAATGCTACCGCTCTTCGCGGTGTCCAACCTACCGATGCGGACGGCATCGCCCTCTTCGACTCCTTGTACCCGGCCATTACGAAGGCCGTACCAACCACGTTCACGGTAAGTTCCCTCCTCCAAAAGAAGAAAAAAAAGAGGCGATGAGATATAACGTCCCTGCTCCTTTGCCTAGCGAGGACCTAGGGTATCTAAAGCTAAAACCTTCTGCTCACTAGCCATGGTTCATCACGGCGTCACCCAAAACGAAAACGGCACCATCACCGGTGGCCGCGTCTCTCACATCGGCCAGATGTACGTGGATGACGACCTCCTCGACATCGTCGAAAAGACCTCCGCCTACGCTATCAACACGCAGCCCTGGACGCGAAATGACGTCGATATCCTCTTCGGCATGGGAACTGCCGGCGGTGACGATCCCATTCTGCGTTACGCCATGTTGGGAGACGACATCGAGAACGGCATCTTTGCTTGGATTCGCTTTGGCATCGACTCCTCCGCGACCAGGAACTACAACCCTGCCGCGTACAAGGACGAAACTGGCGGCCACCAGAATCCGACCGGACCCGTCCAACCCGGTGGTATGGGCGGAGGCCTTGGCGGAGGATTTGGTGGAGGCTTCCTGGCTTCCCTGGTGCTCCTACGAATCCCTAAATCGCAGGGACAAATCGTACGCTGTTGCAGGTGAGAGATGGAGGAAAATTTATATATGAGCTGAGATGAACCTAGGAGCTGTGTGTATGAAACAAGACAGATTGGCCTGGGTACCTGTATGGAATGTATTCAATTAACATCCAACCATGCGATGTCTACATCAGCCCTCTGTCCTTCTGAATATTATTGTGCTGCTCGTATCATGATACATATCTAGATGTAGATAAGCAACAAGATAGGTATGGTTAGAATGGACCAAGCAGCGTCCTCTCGATTGAGACGTCACCTTTCGACTATAGAAAAGGTTTGATTTGAGTAGCCGGGCCGCGCTGGTCGATGCCGTCACGTCAATTTAAAAGGCTGTTGACTTAAGAATTTGAAGTGTACATGACCCGACGTGGTAATGCGGCTGCGGCGAGCGTTCACAATGTTGTTCTGCTTCAACCGGAAGCTCGGCACCAGATGTGTATTTTGGATGACTGGACCTCCCGATTGCCGCCGGAGGAAGTAGACTCGACGACTCTTCTTCCCCCATCAACCGAACAAGCTTACACGGAGAAATACAGGTCCCGTTCCTAGCCTTGGACTGTGACAGCGGCACGGGAGTTCCTACAACACCCGAGAGTTAGTGAGCAACCCAGACCTTGGTGACATCGGACATCCGAATGCCGTAGAACAGGCATTTGAATCGAACCGACGGCGTCAGATTATCAAAGGCCTGTGAACAAGGTTCGGCTTCGTCACGACTCCGACTCCTGTAAGAACCCTTATGTTCATTCGTCTACCCAGTATCCTAAAGTTAAATTTGATCACTCCTGGGGCTTGCATCGTGGGCAATTAAACTCTATCACTTTCTTTCCACGAATGACTGAGCCTCCAATTGAAATTATATAAATGTCTAAGTTTACCTGAGAGTTTACAACGTCTTGTAAGTCAGGTCAAGGGGTTAGTCGTAAAACCCCTGCTGTGCCTCATGGTAAACTTTCGCCGCCCCCATCGACCACAAGACTCCCCTCAAACCCGTCCATCTATGTGTTGCAATTGATCCATCCAATAATAAATGTAAGCAACTGGCGGTCGCAACCAGGCTGAGATTTTGGACTTCAGGAAACATGAACTGTGCTGCAAAGAAATCCAATCACAACCTAAGAACTGAACCGATCTTCATGACGATCCTTTGATTAGTCATCGCCAAGGATTGCCTCGTCGTCACTCATCAGAGGCGCAATGCCGTTGCCTCAGCCTTCGTAAACTTCGTATTTTGCGAAACTAGATGAAAATGAAACTCCTTCGCCGAATGTAGAGCATTTCCTGATATCCTCCGATCCCAACTCCCCACCCGGGAATCCTGTCTGTTGCGAGATGTTGCTGGGAAGAGAGGAAGAAGTGGACGTGGAGGAGGGTTTCCCTCTTCTCCTTGACGATGAGACAACTCCTGAGAACGATATCGGGAGCCCCGAGCCCGACGATCTAGGGTCGACTCGCGCAACGCGCGCTGCGAAGCGAGGCTTTCTGTCGCGCAGATGGCAAGTCACGTCACCTAAAGCCATAGTGAGGCTCCTTGCGCTCTTCAAATTCAACATCGTGTTGAGCGGCACGTTGATTATGCTGCCGTTCTTCCGCATATTAGAGGACCTCTTCTGCCACCAGTATTTCAACGACAAAACACCAGACTTTCTAGATGAGAAAAAGTGCAAAGAGGATGGGGTCCAGCAGAGCCTTGCATACTTCTTCGGCTGGCTTACTGTCGTGAACAGCGTCGTTGGTAAGCCTCTCCTCGGCTTGGGTGCTCCCGGTGCTAGTCCATGCAGCCTGGCCGCGTCCATCTGGTCGGCATCGGATACCAAAATCAAAGTTTTAGGCCCATTAAAAGATTCACTCAACGTCAAAGATTGTTACTGACTCTTTCTTAGGCGTTGTCATTGCCTTGCCATATGGTTCTCTCGCTGATAGGTTGGTATCCATTCCCCTAGAGCTTGCTGGGCCAGCTCCCTGCTTGGATGCATGCTGACCTGGGACACAGGCTGGGCCGAAAACCGGTCCTCATATTCTCCTATGGCGGCGTGTGCTTCTCTTTTGCCACCACGCCGCTCTACTTCCACTATTTTCGGAACATCAACCCTTATTTCATCCTAATTGGTAGTGTTGGGCAAGCATTCGGTGGTGGGATCCCGGTCGCGCTCAGCACCTTGTACGCCATTGCGACGGACGTGACCTCGGAAGAAGAGCGGTAAGTTTTTGCCCCGACCCGCCCCTTTCCACCGACGCATCCGCTCTGGGACTAATCGTCGTTTTGAAGTGGCGCAAGCTTCCTCCTGCTCACCCTCGGGGCGACCATTGCCGGACTCATCGGGCCTCTCATATCGGGCCTTTTGATGGAACGGTTCAGCCCCTGGGTTCCCATCTACATCATCTCAGCGCTCTCTCCCTTCTTCATCGCGGCCATGTTTCTCTTACCAGAGACCCTGCAGCGTAAACCCCAAACTGAAGATGACGGCCAGAACCAAACCGTTGTTGATTGGCTCAAATGCCAAGTTAGGGATTCCATCACGCAGGTTCGTGAGGCTTTCCCCTTGCTCCGCAGCAGGGATATCAGGTTCATCCTCGCCATATTCTTCATCAACACCCCCATCGGCGCTGCCCTCTCCCTCACACTCATCCAGTACGTCAGCAAGACGTTCGGATGGGACGTTGCTGAAACGAGCTACCTCCTTTCTCCCCTTGGCCTCCTCACCATCGTTGTTCTCGGCGGCCTCCCCAAGCTTGGCGAGGTCCTCATCTCCCCGACCACCGCTTCAAGATGACCGTGTGGCAAAAGGATTATCTTCTCACCGGGCTTTCCCTGGTCTTCCTCGCCCTCGGCGGCGTCATTGAGGGTCTTGCGCCCACGGCTGGCCTCTTCATCTTTGGTCTCTTTATTGGAAATTTTGGCTCTGGCCATACACCTCTGGCCCGCGCGCTCCTCACTCATTACGCCGACTCGCAACTCACCTCCCGCCTCATGGCGCTCATTAGCATCATCGAGGCCGCCGGCGCTTTCATAGGTGGGCCTATCCTCGCCGTCTTCTTTCAAATCGGTCAGAGCAAGGGTGGCTACTGGACGGGGCTGCCTTACCTGTACATCGCCTTCCTCTGTCTCTGCGCGCGCGCCTGCCTCAGCTTTGTCCGGGCGCCCGAAAAGCCTGAGGAGGTGGCCCTGGACAGTACGGAGCGGGATACAGATAGCCTGGAAAATGACGAGCCCGACGCTCCCTTAATCTCGCTCTGAGCGCCCCACGTACTCGATTGGAATTGCGCCTAAGCAAGGTGTGCATGTCGGTGGGACATGATATGAGCAACATCAATGAAGAGTTAGTTCACCCGGGTATTTCCTCTATCCACCGTTCGATCTAGACATTCCTGCGGGCGTTTGGCGTCATGTATTGGTTTACCTGTAGAGCCGGAAAATAAATAATAATAAAATTAGATTTATCGAGATACTGGCATCGCACCGTTCATTATCAATGCATCTCCCTCCTATTCCACCTTTTCCCACAGGTCTGGTCACAAAAAACGCCTCCTCTAAAGGTATCAAGTAAATCCCCCAAAAGAAAAGACCACCAGGTGAGACATGAGTAAGGAATAAACAAAAAGCGGATAGTCCGGGTCATAGAAGAAACAGAGTAAGAAACGTGACATTACGAACAACATTACGACATTAGCACCAAAACTCGAGGTCTTTTTTTTTTTTTAGTCCATTCGGTTTTCCCCTTCGCGAGTGCCCAAGCTCAATCTCTGGCGTCAGTGTACGCGGAGTCTGGCTTCGTGCGGTAGGGCGCACAGGGTTCGCGTCAACCACGCTCATATCCATGCGCACCCGGAACGTGTTGCCTCGCCAGCTCACGGTCGTACCGAGGAGGACAGCCCAGGTCCAGATGGGGAGAGCGAGGGCCTCTCGCACAATCCAGGCAGCAAGCCATTCTAGAAAATTGCGCTGCGGGACTCCGGAGGCGGAGTTAGAAGTGCCCCTTGCAAAGAATGGCGTATCTTGGTCAACATTTATCGTGCCTCCCATGTGCAGTCGCTTGAATAAGAACCTATCGGCGATCATCCAGCAGCAGACCGTGCTGATCCATATCGTAAATGTGGCGCTCCATGTCATCGGCACATCATAGTGAACATTGAACCAGGGGATTGTTGTCAGAGCAAACGCAAAATAGAAACAGCATAGCAGCGACTCTACGCCGGGCTCAACGAGTGTTGCCAGGAGCACAGTCCACTTGCGCGCGCGAAGCCATCGAACTCGGCGAGCAGCGTAAGCAGAGACAGACATACGATCCATGGGCTGAATGGCAAAATCACCCAAAACGAAGCCGTGATTGGCGAAGCCGGGAATTTTGACCTCCATAGCAGATCCCCAATCAGGTGGTCTTCGCAGATATACGAGGAGAAGTAGTCGATGCCGGTAGGGTGGTCACGGCCTTGGGGCAGGTTCGGGTTCTGGCTCGGGTCGGTAAGGGTATCCAGCTGCGACTTTCTAAACATGTTACTCTTGCCTACAATGCAAGGCGCAACGCCGACGGTGTTGATGGCGCTGTAGAATTTGGCGTGAGTTGTCGACATGAACATCTCATCAAGTCGCCCACCGCCATGCTTCAAGAGGCGCTGAAGCCAGGATTCGCCTTGCCCAGGTACGGGCTTCGGAGGCGGGGTTGACGTCGAGGTCTCGGCGTCCGACTCAAGCAGGGGATGCGCGCGTCGGAAGGAGCGCGACCACCAAGCTCCGGGGTGATATCGACGACGAGCGGAATCTGGTGCACGAACTTGTAGGGTTTCACGAGCTGGCCGTCTGGCCCGAGGCCTATGAGTTTGTCGACCATGTGGCCAGTGGTGACACGAGGAATCCAGACATTGCAGTCAATGATCCAAATGATATCGCCTTTGGCCTCGCGGTAAGCGCGGCTGATGTTTCTAATCTTTGGATTTGGACCAAGGTTGTTAACATGGCCGTCGGCGCCGTGAAGCAAGGGATCTTCGGCCTCGACGAATACGCGAGCATCAAACTGCGGGAAGTCTTTGACGATCCTTTTCAGGACGGGATAGGCGGGGTCATCAGGCTCGGCTACGCAAAGGTAGATGGTGAGCTTGTCGGCGGGGTAATCCTGGCGAAAGGTCGAGGCGATGCACTCGTAGAGCTCGGGCTCCAGGCCCTTCACAGGGCGGATGATGGTGACGTGCGGGACATGATCGCGACTGAGGGTTGGCGAGATAGGAGGCGGCGGCGGGGAAGAAAAATAATGAAGACTACGGTTTGACACACCGGTTAGTCGCATGTTCCCCCGGAGGGGGGGAGGGGACGAGGGAACGGCACAGGCGGCGGGAGAGGGCGATAGACCACTTACAGTCGGCTAGTTCCAACGATTTGGACTAGAAAATAAATACTGCCCAGACCAGGGCGGCATAGGCAAGTAGAAGGATGGCGGCTGAGAACATGTCGGAGATGAGAATGTAAGGAAAAGATGAACGTTCTCTAGAGAGTTGTACTCATGCTGGGAGAAGCGGATGGTAGATGGGTTGAGGAAGCGAAAGGGTTGAGACAGGTTGAAATTAAACTGCACAAAAAGCGAAGCTGACCATGGCGACCTGGGGGCTGGGGAGAGGGCAAGATCGCGAACAAGAGCCGCCAGGAAGATAACAAGCGGAGGGGAAAGGGAGGGGAGAAAAAGAAAGAAATGGCCTTTGGGCCGAGGACTGGCGATCGGAAATGTGTGGATATCACAATTTTAGAGATCCTCCCAAAGGTTGAAAGCCCGTGGCATCCGATGGCCCAGCACACCGTGCATGATCATTGGATGTTGGGGTTGAGAAACTTGTAATGTCCCCCGCTGCTTGTCCCACTGTGACCCCAATCAACGAGTGCAGTGCAGTCGGTCAAGTTAGTTCATGGTCCTGGCCCGGATGGTCCATTGCACGCATTAGTAATCCTCTGCCGGCACCTGCTCACCCGGACATGACCCGCTCTTGCTCTTTCCCTCCGAAAGGCCCACCAGGGCATTTTTCTTGGCTGGACTATTTTTCCCCTTCACAAGCGTGGACCCCGGCCAGCCAGGTGGATGCATTGGCAATCAAGAAAACTTTTAAGTCAGGCAAGCTTTGGAAAGTTCCCGTCCCCTCAATCCTTTCAACGTCGTCCACACCAAACGGCCTCGAACAGAGAAAAAAACCCCCAGCCGCACTCAAATACACCTTGCACATTGCGCCTTGCTCAATTGTCTAAAGGGATATTCGAACCATCTCTTTCTTTGCGGATGGATTGAAACCTCCCCAGCCCTGGGGTGAAATCGCCTCATTGGTAAGTAATTGCCTCGCCTCTCCTGATCCTCCTGCGAACTCCAATGCAATGCCTACCCTCCCGACGCTGCGGTGATGACGACCTTTATTTCTGGTGCAGAGAGAAACGGATTCACTTCTATCTCGATGGCTGCTTAACCATATAGACTACAACGGTATCTGAGCAGCTGAAGATTGGCATTGCCTGCATCGCGCCATCCATAGCTGTGCAACCAGCCAGCGGCAAGCGGCAAGCGACTAACTTGACCTCTCTAGAGCACCAAAAATGACATAGCCTTCCAAGATGGCCACCACTCAACCTTCTATTTCACCCGGCCTGCTTAATGCGGGCCCCGTAATCAACACCTCCGCCGTCCCTGCCGCACCTCTCGCGCAAACGAAACGGACCAAGGCCGATTTACACCAACTCCACGCCCTACCAGTACCTATTCGGACCTTCCCCTCCCTGTTTTCTACCCAAGCAACCCACTGTCCCTTGTCCATCTAGCTTATGCTTGGCTCAACCATGTCTTGTTCACGCCAAAAGAGCCCGCTACTATCCATCAAGGAATCTGGTCGCCGCAGGCCGGTGCCGTGCTTGTCAAAGACGCCGTCTCCATTCGGGCCCTCTGGGAGCAGGGCTTTTATGGCAAAGGCCATCTCAGTCGCAGTGAGCCAGAGTGGTTCCGTCAGGAGCAGGTCAAGAGGGGCCTGCTGCAGGCGCACGTGAGCCATTTGAATACGGCAAAACGGCGAGAAGAGCGGCGAACCAAGAAGTGGGAGAGGGCGAAGAGCGAGATAGACGCGTTGCGCCAGCTTCAGTCCAAAGAGGCCGAGATCCAAAGGGCGAAGGAGGCGACGGAAGCTATCGTGGACCCCATTTCCACCCTGCCCCCGTTGGGCCCCTGGAGCTCCTCGCCCTTCCAAACACCCTGCCATCACCCCAAGAACAGGCGCCGCCAAGCGTCGAGAAGCCCTTGACGGACGCCCCTCCCGCCAACGGACATGTTCATCTAAATGGCTCTCTTGATGACGTAGACGCGCCAACAGAACCGACATCTCCACCGCGAACCCCTCAGCGACAGGCGGTCAAGCGGCAAAAGAGTGTGCGGTTCTCACCGGAGGTGCAATCTACCACAGTCGATCTTTCGCTTCCACCTAGCCCTGAACTTGCGGCTCTCAATGGAAATGGACACACCACCCCACCCGGATTACCTACCCCCTAAGGAGTCACCGCTCCAGGAGCTTGACAAAGATGAAAGCGCCCTCGAGTCACAGCAACAGCAAGTCGCCGCCGTGCTAGGCGACCTCGTGGACAAGGAACACCTCCAGCTCACCCGTGAAGAGGCATTTTTCCTCTCCTTCGGACTCGGGGCTCTTCAGGTGGTCGATGGGGAATCCAAGGAGCCGGTAGCCCCGCGTGACTTGCTGGAGCTGTTTCGCCGCTACTCATACATTCCCCCTCAGCAAGGGCCTCCTTCTGAGGTCTTGCGACCGGACGACCGCTTCCTCCTCGACTACGTCATTTATCATCATTTCAGGTCGCTCGGCTGGGTACCGCGAGGCGGTATCAAGTTTGGGGTTGACTGGCTACTCTACTTTAAAGGACCGGCCTTTGACCATGCTCAGTATGGCATCATCATCATGCCCTCGTACTCTCACCCCTATTGGAAGGAACGTGGCCAGCATAGCCCAAGCAAGGATTGGGCTTGGTTTCACCGTGTGAGCCGAACCTTGGCCAACGTGCTTAAAACGATCGTGCTTGCCTACGTAGATATCCCTCCCCCACCCGTCTTCGAGGAAGCGCTTGACAAGGGCATCACGGACGTGATGCAGCTGTATACTGTCCGGGAGATCATTGCGAAGAGGTTCAATCCGAACAGGGAGCGAAAATCTTAAGGTTATTGGAGAAACGGACTACATGTATGATTAAAGGGAGGCCCATATGCATTACTAAAAACTAAAGAAGGGCGGAAAGGATCTTGCATTTCATGGATTGGGACTTTTAGGATACCCTTGGGCAAACAGGCGTTTTTAGAGCAAATCCCAAACCATATCTCATTATCTTGATTTTTTTGCCTGATTCTTTGGAACATGTGTATATGCTCTTCAAAAGAAGAAGCGATGAAAGACACATCGGATGTATCTACCTTGGCAGGCCACGCTTCGCCCTATAGAACTCCACTATCTAAGCAGCCTTGCAACTAGCCACAACGACCTGCCCGCCAGCCTGGCGTAAATACATTCTTGCATTCCTCTAGACAGCGGCACTGCTTAGTCCCATTTCTTCGCTTCCACCCCCTCGGGTGGCTTTGTTTCGACCTTGCCCTTGGAGACATCAGCCCAATCAGTGCTAAGGGCAGTCCCATTGCTTTCCGTGAAAGACTTCATCATTGCACGCTTCTGCTCGTCCGACGCACCAGCGTAGAGTTGCTTGAACCAGAAGTCGGGGTCCTTGTTCGTCTCGGCGTCGCCATCCTCGTCGTCCTCCAGCTTATCCCAATCCTTGGGCCCCGTCTTCGAGGACGTAGGATATGCGGGAGCGCCAGAAGGCTTAGGGGCAGTAGTGGGAGGTGGGAGGGGGCGAGTGGCGAGCGCTTCGGTGGGGTTGGGGATACTGCGAGAGGCCGAGGCCGCGGTGGTGGGTTCGGCCGCAGATTCTGTGGAGGGGGACCGTCCTGTGTGAATTTCGGGCACGTTCCACTTAGCCGGTGCGGCTTTGGGGACCTTTAGCTCAATCTTCATGGAGATGATGCGCGTTGTGACTTGTTCCGGAACTGCGTCTCCGCCGAGCTGGAGGGTAACGTCCTCAGCGAGGCCGCCGTGATTGAACTTCAGATTCAGCTAAGGAAACAAGGCTGTTAGCTTCATTACTCAAGAGATACCCAGTCCATTATAAACGTACCAAGTTAGCGGCGGGCCACTGGACTTGGAATGAGGAGGCGTCCACATTCTTAACAAAGACTGAGATCGTTTGCTGGGCATCCGTTTCGTAGGCATCTATCCTGAGCGGGGCAGGCGTGGTCGATGGGGCTGGCGTGGCTTTAGCGACAGCCCCTCGCCTGTAGGCCTTTTAGCATCCAATCCATCAGCCTTCTTCGCCTCTGACGAGGAGGTAGGTTCAGCGTCCAGCTTGGCGGGGCCATCGGGGCGAGTTGGTATCGGCGTGATGGTAACCTTGCGGCCCGGGTGGCCCTCAGGCGACCTCTCTAGGTCCTTTAGACATCGAATCCTCATAGCAGCGCATCTAGTTTCCAGTCTGCCCTTGGCGGTTATCTCTGTCTGGGCCCCGCCCCGATTCATCTTTGCAGATTGCGCCTCCCTAGCCACCTGAATCTCGCGTTCAACTTCCTCCGAGGTAACATTGTAGTCTCCCGCGCCATCAAGACGCGCTACCAAGTCCTCTCCCTTAGGAAGCGGCCCTTGGCCATGGCGAGTGCCATGGCCCAGCACACATCTGCGTCGGCGTACCTATTCTGGCGCACAAGTGCTACCCCGCGACGGTACTGGGCTTCCATCATCAGCTCGCGGTTTCCGCGATCGCCCGCCACGTGAAATGCGAGCTCTGCATCCGTCAGGGCCCCAGCGGCGTCGCCTGTGGAGTTGAGTGCGGTTGAGCGGCCGAGAAGCCATTTAGGGGAGGACGACGACTTTAGGGCGAGGGTGAGGTTGCGAATGGCGGCATCCCAATCACGGCTCTCGACGGCGTCGAGCCCGCGCTGGCCCAAAGTCACTGCGGACATGACTTTTCTCGACAGTCTTTTTTCTCTTGAAGTCGGGTTGGTCCGTTGGCGCAGGCAGCCGATCAAATAGCTTAAGACGATGACGTGAGGCGACTTTGATTTTCAAGTCCCCGCACACACGCCACACACAATCTCACAGGATGAAAGAAAAAGGAAGACGAGCAACGTGCAGAATACACCAAGATTGGTAGGAGGTTGTGAGAGGAGAGGAGAGTTTGGAATATAAGGGAAAGCCGAACCCGTGGGGTGGTCTTTCCGTTTGGGCGTGGAAGCTGTTGGAATGTGGAAGCTCCTTGCCTCCTGCAGCCTGGGTCTCGGTTTGGGAAGAACGAGGGGCAGTCAACTCACCAGAGCTCTTTGGGCCCCACATAAGCTTGATCTTGATGTGTGTCGACAGTGCGGAAACGGTGTAATTAGCACCTGCAGGCTATTGTGCGGGAAACTGCCTTTCAGCTCAATACCTCTATCTAAAGACAACCTTTGCGCTTTGTCTTGCGCGAACAATCATTGTTTTGCAGTATATATAGTTTAGTGTATGCGACGCTACTCATTCCGAAAGGCGTGTCTAAAAACGGATCAAAAATGCGAGGTAACTAATTTCCTGCTACCGGAAAAAGAACAGAAAATAGAAAAAGAAAACCCCCATATGCTACATTACGACAGCTTCCCTTCGAGGGCTTCTTGGGGCAGCTCCACCTGAGGAGTGCGTAGCCACATACCCAGAGACCCGTACCCCGCCATCTTCTCGTCCGCGTTCTTCAACTGGGATGCGGGGCCAGATATTTTCCTCTCCGCCTTGTACGCCTCCACGCGCGCGTCGCCGGCGCTTCTCATCCTTGCCCTAAAGTCCTCATCGGCGATATAGGTGCCTCTCAACCACCTGTAGCCGGAGCCGGTGTTGAAGGCCTTGCGTCCGTGCATGACCCGCCTGTTATCGAAAATGACGCACTCGCCGGGCGTTAGCTTGTACTCGTGGACGTTGGCCTCAGCGTTGAGGTGGCGCTCGAATGTTTGCATGGCCTTGTGCCAAGCCCGGTGTTGGGCGTGTCCGGCATCGCGGCCCAGGGGCGGATTGGGGGCCTGGAAAGGGGGAGACCACCACACGTTGACGAGCTCCTTGTTGCCTAGGTCGTCCGTCTTCATGTTGAAGACGGGCCTGGCCTGACGGTAGAAGAACGGGTGCTTCTGGTAGTGGTAGCGGACGAGGTAGTTGCTTAGCAGATCAACGCTCTCGGCCTCGGCCGGATCGTCAATCATGGCCCTTGCGGCATAATTACCATCGCAGAAGATGGACTCGCCTCCTTCGCACGAATTTTCGATGCAGTGCAGGAGCTGGATGCGGGGCGGCTGGACCACGTAGAGCATATCCTCGTGCAAACCGAGGTATGAGTTGGTATATGCGACGTTTTCGGCATTGAGCTTGGAGATGACGTCCCAAGTCCTTCCGTAAAAGGTCTCCTGGAGATTGGCTATGCGCAGGCCAATGGTCGATACCGAGTTCTCGTCCTTGGGCACGTTCTTTAGGAAGACGAGGCCGTAAGCCTCGAGGTCGAAGAGAATCTTCCACAAGCCCTCCTCGGTATTCATGTACTCCTCGTAGTCCACTTTGCGCAGCTTGTCGGCAATCGAGGCCTTGTTCCAGATCTGATAGGGCACCTCCCGGTCCACGACCCTAAAGTCATTGTCTTCCCTTTCCCGCAGTTCCCGCCTGAACTTGAGCGAGTCAAGGTACTCGGGCGTATAGGTCGAAATGTGCCCCTGCGCCGCGGCGTCGGGAATATCATTTTCCCACTCGGCGACCAACGCGTTCTCGGGCGACACCTGGACGCGGCGTGGGGAGACGTTGTGGGGATATCAGGTGTCGCAAACGATTTTTGGCCCGAGGAAGGGCTCACGCACAGTTCGCAGGGGCACGAATCGCGCAGCCAGAGGACGCCGTCGCCACTCTTTGGTGCAGCCAGGCAGGCGCAGCCACGTGCTCTTGCGAAGCCGCGGCGCTGGCGGGCGATGACTGCGTAGCGGCCTCGGTTGACGGTGGCTTATGGAGCGACGACGTCGAGGTGAAGAAACGAGCCGTCTTGCGGGTCGAGAGAGCGCTGGCGACAGCTGCGGGAGCTACCCTCGCAAGGGCCGCGGCGCGGGCGGCGGTAGATGGAGTCAGGACCCTGGGCAGCGCCCGGACAGTCGAGGAAAGCATCGTTGGGAACAGTGACGCAAGGCGGGAAAGCTGAGGGAGAGTGGGGAAATAGATGCGCACCCCGGCAAATGCGAATCGCGAGTCGAAGTCTGAGCAAGTCGAATCGTAAAGCCCAGCCAGCAGGTTACGAGGAGAATCAAGAAGAAGAAAAAGATAGGCAAGAGGGGGAAGAGCTAGGAAGGGACGAAAAATAAAATAAAACGTAATAAATAAGAACTAAACCGTGGGTAACTAAGAATGGAGCCAAGTGGAGGCGGAGCTTCCCAAAGTGATCGAACGACGTGCACCAATTGCTTCCGTCTCACGTCACCGAACAGTACTGCGCAGCAAATGTGCGCCGAGGGAAAATAGCGACAGTGTGCAGCTCGCGGTCCCGATTGCCCCGGATTATGCGACCAAAACCACCAAAACCCGAGATAAAACGCTTCTCTCCCCCACCTTGCACAGGTCGTGTAAACCCGTACATCTTCGCCTTGCAGAGATTGTGGGCTCATTTTCTACCCCGCCGTTGCCTTTTTGGGTACCAGTGGTACAAGCGTTGAGAATTAATTTTTGCCCTTAAAGACAGCCAAGATCTCAGGTACAATTCCTTGATGAGGGCGGCGTTCCCGCAAGGCCACCTCCGCCAACATGTGGCCCAGTTGAGGGCTGGACCTCGGCGGAAGGGAACCAGTGAACACTGCATTTAACTGCTGAGCCTAACATGGTGTGCCGATTGGTTGCTGGATGTGGAGGCATTTTCAGTACCCCGCCATCGCCGGACAGCTTCCCCAAAGCCTTGGACAAACAAGTAGGTAGCTGAATGTCTCGAGTTGTGGTCAATTGAGTTTTTCCCCGAGTTTCTTTTGTTTCTTTTTCTACACGTCTCTCTTCTTCTTCCCCTGCCTTGCGAAGAGGACGTGAGATTAAAATATACCCATTAATACAAAAGTTCAATTATTAGATTCGTCGTGTATATACACGGCACAAGTAAAATCCCTGACTTGCACGTCTTCTCCCTTTTCTTGCCTCATTAAATGCATTAGTGATTCCTAGACAACCTTCTCATTAGGGAACTTCTTGGAAAAGAGCCCCAGAGCCTTGATTGTAAAGGTAAATTTGTAGTTTGGGTACGAAATCATGCAGCTTTTGTTGAACACGCCTTCGATAGCCTCCTGCAGCCACTCGCCATTCTTTTGCTGTCTATCCATGATGAGCTTGATGCCCTTTCGGAGCGGCTCGACGTGAGGATACCCAGCCTCCATGAGGGCGATGAGAGCCCAAGCAGTCTGCACGACTAGCGAGCCAGTAGGATGTTCGTGCCACGTCATATCCTCGCAGGCCTAGAAAATGGGGGAAAGGAACGGAAGAGTGGTTGGTTAGCATGGGATGGCATTTAGAGGGTCGTGGTCTCGCCATCAACGAGGCGAAAAAGGAAGGAGGAATAGAGGTGATGTGTCCTTACCTTGTAACTCTCAGACCACCCGCCATCCTCGCGCTGCTTGGAGAGCAGGAATTCGCAGCCTTTCTTGGAGTAATTGCTAGTACTGTACGTCTCGCCCACGCTCGCCAAGCTCTCCAGAGCAAACATGGCAGCGTAGGTGAAGCAGATGCCCCAGCTGCCGTACCAGCTACCATCGGGACGCTGGTTGGTCTTGATCCAGCTCACCGCTCGCTCGATCCATGCCTCGATCTCAGCCCCCGGTAGTCGGGCCAGTGCTTGTGAAACAGCGACAGAGCCATCACGCACGCAGTCGTGCACTCTGGGTAATCGTACTCAATCATGATACGGCCAAACACTTCGGCCGCGTTGAGCATCTCCATGTACTCACCGCCCCGGCGCAGCTCGTACGAGGCACAGCCACCAGTGTCGGCGTTTTGGTAGACGAGGAGCGTGTCAATGGCGTCGAATATGCGCTGATCGTTGATCAACTGAGGGTAACCGTCTGTCTTCTGGAGAAGGATCACAGCCTTGAGAGCCTCGGAGATGCAATCGCTGACAGCATATCCTTGGTCCTTGTTGCTGAAGGGCCACCCGCCCTTGCGCTGTTGGCGGTAGCATTTTTCTTGGTCCTTGCAGTTTTCGCGAATCTGCTGGTTGTCGAGGAACTCGAGGGCCTTGGTGAGCATAGGCCGCCATCTGTCATCCGTCTCAAGCCCAGCGGCCATGGCAGACTGGATCGCAAATGCGGTATCCCAGCATTGCACGCCGTTGGTTCCATTGACGAGCATGCCCTCGTCCTTGACCCAGATGAACTCTTGTAGCCTTTCGATGTGACGACGGGTAGAGTAGGCGTCTGGCCCGTCACGGATGTAGCACACCAAAGTGTTGAGCGGTGCGTTCACAGGCGCGAGGCACGCATACCCGGTGTTGGCATCCTCCATGTCTACTAGCTCGCTCGTCCACGCCTCGGCCCAATTCTTAATACGATCCGTCCGCAGGTACGGGTTCCACACCTTCACAAGGAACCAGTTCGCCACGTTGAGAAGCCAGGTTTTAGGATGGTAGTTGTCCATATCCGAGATGCTATTTCGGTTGCCGTCCCAGTTGATCTCCGCCCACGGCTCCACGAAGAGCTCATTCTTGAGTTCCTTGATCACGTCCGTCTCCTCACAGACCCACTTCTTCGAGTAGACGTAGGACATGGGGAGAAAGACCATGCGGATGTGGATCCACCATCGCCAGGGAGCAATAGGTACCCAGTCAGGTAGCAACCAAATCTCTGGTGGCACCGGATTGACGATTTCCCACTTCACCAAGCCCAGCACGGCAAACCAAAACTTGAGCCAGTGCGGCCCGTGGGTCGCTCCGCCAAGCTTGTGAAGAGTGCCTCGGGCTTTGACCATGACGGGGTCTTCCGCATCCACACCAATGAGCCTCAGGGCGACGTAGTTCATTGCGGTTCCAAACACGGAGCTCTCGCCTTCGATGTGGAGGCCCCAGCCGCCATCCTCCGGGTGCGCGCGAGAAAAAGGTAATTCCGAATCTCAGTGGCACAATGAGGCGGGATAGGCGTCTTTGTTACATGCCACGCAAAGACGAAGCCCGGAATCAAAAACATGGGACCGCCATACTCGCAGCCCCAGGTACCTGTGGGGAGCTGAAGCCTCTCAAAGAAATTGAGTCCGTTGGTGGCAGCATCAAGCGGATTCATGGCCTTGGGCAGATCCGGGGCGTCCTAAAAGGCGGCGTGAGAAATTCCGGTCATGGAGCTGAAGGGGGATAGCTAGGAGAGGGCACTTCGGTTGACGGGAACTACTTACCAGCGGGAGGCCTAGATACCACTTGTCCGCGTCGCTCTGGGGCCACTCCTTCGCAGCCTGCTCATCCAGCATATAATGCCAGGTCAATCGGCCTCCATCATCCTGGAGGCGCCACCTGCTGAGGTCCGTCTTCTTCTCCAAGCATGGGCGCTTGGGAAATTCACGCTTGTCCGTCTTTTCAGATGATGCATCGTGACGGCGCTTTGCGCCAGTCATGTTGGCGCTAGACATTTTGTCGCGTCAATTGAGCTAGGTCGGAGCTGTAAATGGAAGGCAATCCAGCTACGAAGAAACACACCAGGTTCCTTATCGAACAGTCCACGCCGTTTATGATATCCAAGGGCAAAAGTTGTTGCCTAGAGAAAGGAAACTCGTGGCATGTGAAGGTGGATTAAATTTGGCGAAGATCGTAAGCCCCCTGTTCTCGACGCCAACAAGGCTTGGCAACGGAGAGTCGGTGAATTCTAGGGTCCGCTCTGTGGGAGGGATTCATCAAGCAAGCACAGACGCTCTAATAAAGTAGCACCAACAACAGCCGTGGTTTCGGCGCAACGGTAATTTATTGGTTAAATTGTTTCTCAGTTTATCGTTTTTGCTGACTGCCCTTCGCCTCTGCGACATCAAACTCATGAATTGGGTGGGAATCCCCGATCAGTGGAGGAAGGAGCTGTTGACCTTGATCTTTGTTTTATCACGATGATGCATGGACCATCGGATCAGTTGATTAGGTTAGGCCTTGCAAATTCCTCTTCTTGGCCAGCTTAAGTCCCGACTTCGATGCCAGTAGATAAGCACAACGACATTCCCAATTCCTATCAAGCAGCCAGTGGGAGGGACTGGTAATTTTCGGTTTCTTGTCCCGCAATGGACCTCCAAGTACAAAGGGGAACAGCTTGTTCCTCTCCTTCGCGGGGACTTCCTTTGGCTATCGACGTGATTGCCAAGATCGAGAGTATACTCGAGGAAGCCGTAGCAGATCCACTTCTTCATGAAGCACCACAGCCCATGTCCATCCGGTTCTGTCATCGAGGTCATACAGGCCCAGTTCCTGCTCTTGTGCAATTCCCCGGCAAAAACGAAGCGGAAGCAAGGAAGTTTTGTAAGCTACGACTTTAAGCTGCGACCAGATACCAGCCCCAAGATATGCGCTGTGATCTATAGCGAGAGACATAAGCAGTGCCTACCTTGCCTAACCTGCTTCAAATTCAGTTCAGTTGTTGCACATCCTCAAGAGCGCCCATGCGGCCCTAGTTTCGGGAAGATGGTCACCAAAAGGTCTGAATTCTTTGAAGAGTTTTGCACTTGAAGGCCAAACGCGACACAAACTTACAGGGAAATCGGGGTTGGGAATGAACAGGAACCTATATTACGAAGACCCGGAAATGTTCGGCTCCCAAGATCGGGTTGACGAGCTCGTAGATGGCCTAGCCCTTGCTCTTGGAGTAGGACGGCATGACTTAGGCATTGTGGGTTGGGGATGCAACTGCTACTTGCTCAACCACACTCATATTCGATACAGGTTGCTGCTTCGAAGGGCGTGATCTCGGGCCCCGCGGAAATCCGAGTGCGCGGTTCCACGGTGATAGAAGCCTCACAGAATCCGGAGGCATGTTCCTTTCTAACGGAAGAATCAAGGGGCATGGTTCACTGAACAGGGTTTTTAACTAGCAAGATAGGGTACCGCGATACCGCCTTCATGTGATATTGAAGGTCTCGATCTAGGCAGGATTAGATGGGTTCTCGTCATTGAAAAAGAGGTATGATGGACTTTCTTCAAGACTCCGAAAAATGGACGCATAGTCTAAAACCTCGGCGGCAAGGCTACGTTTCGGTCGCTGTCCAGGTCGAGGTATTAGGACCACTCGGCGGCTGGACAGGGCCTCCTAGTCACTGTAAGTCCCCACCAGTACTGGTGTGAAGGCAGGCCAATGGAAATAGTTGAGTAACGTCGAAGGTACATAGGGCAAAGGATATCCGGATCTCGTAACGCGCGGCTTTCTTTGGACTGTTCAGTGCTTGCGCCCCGAAATGCCCATATATGCTCTGGTGGACTTCGACCCAGACGGGGTGAACATCCTTTTATGTTACAAACAAGGGTCAGACCGGCTGCAGCACGAAGAGAACGTGACTGTTCCCAAACTTCGCTGGCTAGGCGTTCAGAGTAGTGATGTATTCAGCGCCGGAAGGGAAGGGGATTTTACAAGCTTCCAGGCCCTGGTGTCCCAACATTCCGTCATAACAGGGCCAGCCTCCCCGGCACCGGGTTGGCCTTCGATGCGACGATTTCGACCACTGACTGAAAGAGACGTGAAGCTGGCTGTTGCACTCGTGGGCAAGCTCCAAGACGAGGAAATTCGGCGGGAGTTACAAATCATGCTCGTGACCAACGTGAAGGCCGAGATCCAGATCATGAACGAGGATGGAGATGTCGCCAAGTACCTGGATGCAGCCTTGACACATGATCTAGGAGGATAGTTATTCACTCTGGGTTTTCATGGAGCGGTTTCATTCAACTTTTACAGTTTCTTTTTTTTGCCCTTTTTTATATTTTTATTTCATTTCTAGGGAATTCCAGATTCTAACTTCTTTCATTCTAAAGTCAACACCTCATGATCAAGGCCTTTCGGATGCGTGGCTGCGGATATCATTCCCGTAAAGACAGTGCAACTGCAGGTGCAAATTTTAGTTTCGACACTGTATCCCACTTGATGCGAAGGTTTCCCGCATTGGAACCTGAAGAAGAAAAAAAAGTTGCAATGCGACAACAAGCAGTTCAGGTTCTGTCACTATCAAACCTACGACGACAGAAGAAGAAAAGAGTCGCGCCACCGGGGAAAAGATACGAGGGTAATTTCAATAAGAGCCGCCCTTGAAACGAAGATAAAAGGATTCCCAGTCGATTTCTCACACAGACTTTCTCACCTTTTCGGGCAAGACTTCATCCCCTCACACCACCAGTATGGCGCCCACTCTCACAGAGGATGAGATTGACGATCTCATCTTTTTCTCTCGCGCGGGAGACGACAGTGAGCTTCAAGACAGTCTGAAAGTGCTAGCAGAGAGAGAGAAGGTATCAGAGGCGGAGATTATCTCGGCGGCTCAGGATGAGGGAAAGTCTACGTGTTTGCACATGGCGACGGGGAACGGACATCTGGGTGAGTAGTTCTTCCAAAGACCCTCCAATCAACCCCGCGACGATGTCATAGAAAAAACACCCCAGAGGAAGAAAAAAAAGTAGGGCAAACCCCCGCGCTCACGCCTCGTGCGTTCTTTCGCCCACCTTTCCCCACGCAGCCTTCACTACGCTTGTTTTGCTTTTTCTTTACCACTCCCTTCTCTAACCATTTCCGCCGCCTGGCAACGGCCAACTATACAGAAACGGCCAAACTGCTTCTTGCGCGCTTCACCGAGCGCCCCAAGGAGGAGAAAAAGCAGTATGTGGACGCGGCCAACGAGTATGGAAACACGGCGCTGCACTGGGCGGCGCTTGGCGGCCACTTGGCTGTGGTGAGGATGCTTGCGGAGGAGCACGGCGCGACGCAAGCGGTGGCCAACGACCGCAACTACGTGGCGCTGGACCTGGCACAATTTAACGGTCACGAGGATGTGGCGGCGTACTTCCTGAACCAAATCAAGGATCTCGAGGGGAAAACGGAACGGATGGAGGCCTAGAGGGCGCCGCGGCGGGGATCGAGCTCGGGGGTGAGGGCGATGCTGAGGGTGGAGATGCCAAGGGCAAAGGAGAGCAGGTGACGGCGACAGCGACGGCAACGGCGAGCTTGGGCGAGGATGAGAAGAGTAGGGGAGAGTAGGAGCTGGAGGGTAATGCCACAACGAGTGTGAATCTATCGAATAACCTCTCTCGACCAAAAGGAAAAAGGGGAAGAGCGAAAAAAAGAAAAAAAGATTTCGCTGAGAACAGACTGCCACAAATATTAACAGGAGAGGGCATCTTTCCTACGACGTAATGTGACTGTGACAGCAAGCTTTTCCCCGTGAAAAAAGGGCAATACTTGGAAAGCTGGCCCTCATGTCCTCGCAAGCCTTTCCGTAGACGCCCCATGCTGTAGGATTTTGCCCCCATCACAAGAGCAAGGAAGTTAAGGAGAAATCACACACACCGGAATCCGGTGTCGTGTGCAACCCCTTCTCACCCTCGCACATCGTAGGTCTTGACATCAATCCTTGAGTGCGGCGCAACCCTAGGAACCCTGCTCGATTTGTGATACCCTCCGTCCTCGGAACCTGGGAACCTGGGGTATGTGGGGGCTGGCGATAGCCCCCAGCTCAGGCTCAGCTGAGCACAAGGGGGCCTGCCTGTGATGACAAGAGCTTATTTCCTCCCAACGCCTCTCGCGATTATTTGCCCTTTTGTTTTTACAAGCCCTTCTTGATTCGCTTCCCCGAAGACTTGGCTATCTCCGGGTGCCATGCCATGTGAGAGCAAGGGTGAGGTAAGACATTCTTGCTTTCCTTTTTTTTTTTTCCCTGTGGGTAACAGGAACAAGGAGCCTACATGGGAGTGGGAGGACAAGGTTGGAGATCTCTACCGGATGTGGAGACGAGGGGCCTGTCCGCTGTGTTGCCTCATCCCCCTTGGTCCATTCAAAGCAATAGTGTATGTAATTTTTGGCCACGATCGCGTGTGATGTGCTGCTCTGTCACGAGAAGTGGCGTCTTGGGGCGTGGAGAGAGGGCCTGACCCTCGTGGGAAGTTGGCGAGCCTTCCGAAAATACCGACCGAGTCACGCCTTCCCAATATGTAATAATGCGTGCCCCAGAGATACACAGCTGTCGAGGTTTTGGGGGCAGAGAGAGAGAGAGGGAGAGGGATTGATAGAGAAGGGGAAGCAGGGGTCAATGATTGGGTTACCGGAATGGGCAACATGGCTGGCTTTTTAGATCTTCTCCTCACTACCGGCCGGAGATGTCGAGACGTGATCCGACCGAGGCATACTGCTGCACGATGCCTGCAAAAAGATAAAACAGATACGGCTCCGGCGAGGAGGACACGCGAAATGACAGGGCCACGGGCGCGCCGGACCACAGCTCAAGGATTGCAGATCACATAACTTGCCGTGTGCTTTGATGGGCACTGAACCATCTTGCCAATACTATAATAGATAGGGGAGGGACCAAGGGAGAAAAAAATAGAAAAAAAAAAAAAAAGAAAAGAAAAGAAAAAAGCCTCGTCTACAAATAGAACATGTAGAACAAGAAACTAAGAATTTGAAAGAAAAAAAAAGGTGAAGCATGAGAAACCGTCTTTAAACCCTGGGTAACCAGATCCTCAAATTTTGCAAGAAAATCATCCGCAGGGAAAGAAGAAGTCCGGGAAGGAGAAGCCCGGAAAGAAGAAAAGAAGCAAGAGAAACCTGGGCGCGGACGGGTTGACTGCCGAGACTAGTGTCTGGTGAAGATCGTAGTGTTCAATGAATACCTTCGTTCACAATTGTCCCGAGCGTGGTTGACACACGTCGCAGTCGGATTGAGAGCATAGCGCGATCCTCGCATGCAAAACCGAATCCATCCGCAACTGTAACCCATGCCCTTCCTCCCCAATTGATATCTATTACTTCGTACACCTATGGGGATACCTAGCCATCCACTGTCTCCACTGCAACGGCAACACGGGACGCAAAAGGGGAACGACGAGTGGACCACGGTAGAATTACGCTGTCTTGCGCGGTCTGGGTGCCCTGCAGCGTAGGCTCCAGTTTTCCCTGTCCCTTGCTGGGTGTCGATATCACTAACCGAGACATCAATGGATCGATGGGCCCTCGATGGGCCTGGTGGTGTATTGAACATGGAATGGAATGGACCTCTGCTCTGCCGCGCTCCGGAAATACAGGAACAGAGCTCAGCAGCAGGGGAGAATCACGCTTGATCGACGCCATCAATCCATCAGTCCGAACGGGCTCGCCCCCAGCGGCGACTCCTCCTCCACCTTGCCACAGATCTATCGTCCATTTCCAGCCCGTCCTTCCCCCATCCTCCCCGTCCTCCACGTAATTTTCCCTGTACTCCCCCTCCCATTCCCAATGGAGAGGGATGACGGGGGCCGGGATGATGGCTGTCTGGTCTGGATGTCAAGAGGGGGAAAGAACGGAAATTGTCTAACCCTCCTGGTTCTCACAGTTGGAGCCCCCGCCCATATCCTTGCCCCGTCTTGTCTTGCGACAACGTCCCCACCTCGGATGATGGGATGGTGCACCCCACTCTCGTCTCCCTGCCTGCCCCATGCGCGTTTTGGGAGTTCTTTTTGAGCGCGGCTGAGGTGCGATTATCTGCTCACGCAGACAGTTCTCACGGCGGGAACTGGGGCGTGGGGGTGCATCTTCCATTTGACCTCTCTCTCTCTCTCTCTCTCTCTCTCTCTCGGCCACCCTCCCTCTTTGGGGCTTGGCCACTTCCCGCCTAGACTATGGTGGTAAAGATGTGCCGCCAGTCCTGTCCTGAGCGTTCTTTGGTTGTCAAACTCTGGGTAGGTTAATGCTGATGGGGTGTTAATTATTCCCTTGTACCTGTCGAAGATCCAAACAACGAACCGTTGTGTCGACACAGAGGGGGACCCTGGTATCTCCTCTTGCTTCCCGTTTTGATTTTTTTTTCCCTTCGTCTGGATTCCCATGCTCTGGGAGTTGGAAATTTCATTTTTTTCAGACCTCGTGGCTTCACTCTTTGTTGGTTACCCTGGTGGCCTGTTCCCGCCCCCTTCCCCCAACCCTCACGGCCCCCGCGCGTGTTCCCGATACCGCGTGTGGAATATCTCGCTCCTGACACTTTTCTCCTGGATTGACATTGATCCAGAGCTGTGCAGGCGTTGTTCACTTTGTGTTTTCCCCGCCTCTTTAACCTCTCTTGCCTTATTCGACTTCATCCGAAAAAGATCCCAGCACCTCCACCCACTTGATACTGATCTTTTATCCACCTGTGTGGACTTGTTGCCTGGAAAGACGTCTCCCTTGACTGGATGCGCGGTTGCCAGCCATCACCGCGCGAGATATCTCTTTCTTTGAGGGGGCAAGGCGGTTCTCTCTCGAATCCCTGAGATCAACTCATTTACATTACTGAAGTACCTGAACCTCAAACTCTTGGCCCTTGCGTTTTTTTCGGAAAGGGAAAAGGAACAAAAAAGGGAAGAGCAGGAACGATCCGAGTTTTCATCCTTTCTTCCCTGCTGCCCCGTCGCCCGTCGCATCCATCGCCGTAACCATTTTGGGCGTCCCAGTTTTGACGCATCATTTTTCTTTTATCTCTTCTAGACATCCTGCTTTCTTCCTTTTAACCCTACCAATCTTTATTCTTACATTAATCTTGGGGACCTTTTCACAGCCGGGGGTGGATGTGTCTATTTTCCTATCATCGGCCCTGCTTCACACTCCAGCAACCATTTATTCGGTCCCTTACCCCCATTTAACTTGATTGCGACTCACCCCCACCCAGCATTATATCCGCATTGACTCTCGCCCAGGCTTGACGCCTTCGACGCTCAATATTCTCCAAAGATTTTACCACCCACCCCCAAACTTGTCGCCTACCTACGCCGTAGATTTCGCGACCGCTGCAGGATAACACCCCCGCCATCCCATGGACGCACTCAGGTAGAGAACAAAAGGCGACCTCCGCGAGATGGCCACTCACCAAGCCCCCACCGGCGCGTCCTCAACCGTAACAGGAGGTCAGGACCCTGGGGATAGCGACACTGGAGCCGACAACCACCGCGCCGACAGCATCGGAGCAGACGACCACCCACCGCGCACTGGCTCCGCAGGTTCAGGATCAGGCGTCGGAGCTGCGTACAAGCGCGCGAGTCGAAAGGGCGCACCGAGAAGATTCTCGTGTCCTTTCCCCGGATGCGACAAGATCTATTCCAGAGCTGAGCATCTTCAACGCCACCAGTTGAATCGTAAGTATTGTCGCGCCGTTTGGTTTCATGCCAGCTGCCGTGGCCGCCCCCATGCCCACCAGCGGGCTCTTCGCGATCGCACTCGCGGGGTGGTGAAGAATGGTGAAGCTGGTAGAACAGGGTGCGGAGGCAGGAGGCTCTTGGAGCTCATCGCCTAGAGCTCTTTGATGTGTGATGATGAGCTAACACGAGCGGTTGCTTGCGCCCATAGATAATCCCAAGGAGATCTACCAGTGTGACGTGGTTGGCTGCGAGCAAAAGTTCGTGCGACTCGATCTTCTCTCACGTCACAAGAAGAGGCATTCGGGAACGTACATCCCCGCAATCGCGTACCCAACTTCAACACCTCCGCCACCGGGGCGCGTCGAATCCCACAAGTCCGGTAACCTCGCCGACCTCTGGCCCTCCGCCCGGACCCATCATGCAGTCCCAGCAGCCTCTCCCACAGCATCCCCACCCCCATCCTCACCCTCATTCACATCCGCACCAACCGCGACAACACCAAACCTCCCTCCAGCAGCAGCAGCAGCAGCAACAACATCAGCAGCAACCGCAGCACTCTCACCCGCAGCACCGCCAGCATCAGCACCCCCATCAACATCAGCATCCTCCCGAACGCCCACCCTCACCCTCATACTCACCCCCATCCTCATCCTCACCAGCATCACCCTTCTCCAACCCAACAAGCCCAACAGCCGCAAGCGCAAGCGCCTCCCCGGCGCAACAGCCATCAGGTTACCCTCAGCCCGTATCCCGCGGACCCTATGACTCGTCAATCCTCCTTACACCAAGCCCTAACGCTGGGCCGCCTCCCAGACTAGCCCACAGCAACTCGTGGCCACCCCCGATCAACGACATGGGGGTAAACATGATTCGATCTAAGCCAGGAAACTTTTATCCTCGCGATGCCGCACCGTTGCCTGGACCGACGAGCCTGATGGCCTACAGCGGCGTATCGGACGAGCAGTTGATGGCACGGGACTTTACAGTCTGGCTTTTGATCCCCAGACGAGTTTCAGCGACTTCAGCGTCGCTAATCTCCCCTTCATCGAGGGCGGCCTCGAGTCCACCTTCAACAACAATATCCAATTCGACTACGAGTCCCTCACAAGCCGTTCCCAACTCGATCCGACCCCACCGCGCCAAATGGAAGGACTCGACGATATCATTAGCGAACCGAGGCGGCAGGAGATCTTGCGCCTATTCCAGCTCTTCCGCAAGCGAACCGACCGATACGAATCGAGCATTGTGAATCTGGTGCGTGAGAACGGCGGAGACCTCCCCGCTCTGAACCTGGAAATGATGCGCGACTGCTTGCATGAATATTGGGAGTCCGTGTCCCCTCGACTCCCCATTATTCACCAGCCCACGTTTTCCTCTAACCGGTGCCCCATCTTGCTCCTGATGGTCATGGTCGCGCTCGGGGCCGCTTCTCTACGCAGTAGGGATGGCGGCGGTAGCCTGAAGGATTATGGCGCGTTTGCGGACGTCATCATCGAAGGCGTGCGCTGGGAAATTGTAATGGCGGACGAGGCCACTCCGCCCGTCGGGCTCTGGGTAGCGCAGGCGCTGCTTCTGCTCGAATTTTACGAGAAACTCTACTCTTCACGGCGATTCCACGAGCGGGCGCACATTTATCACTCAGCGACCCTCACCCTGCTCCGTCGTGGCAGCCCCCTCATCGGCAGGGCAGGGAGCGAATCCCCACCCGAAGAGGCGCCGCCGACTGGGGATCAGCCGTCGCAGCACAGCGGTGCGGCTACATTTGATTCGAGGATGTGGTGGATACGATGGGCGGAAACGGAGTCGATGCACCGCGTCGTGTTTGTAGCGTTCATGCTCGATATTATCCACGCTGCCATGTTTGGCCATACCGCAGACATGGCCCCGCACGAGATCCGGCTGCCTCTGCCTTGCGACGACAACTTGTGGACGGCATCGAGCCCGGATATGTGTCGGCAACTCGACAATAACTTGCGAATGTATGGCGTGCAGCCCGTCTCATTCCTCGACGGCCTCAAGAACGCGCTGCACGGCAAAGAGGTCAAGACGCACTCGTTTGCACGCATGATCATCATGTCGGGCCTGCTCAGCGTAGGATGGCACCTCAGCCACCGTGAAACACACCTCAAATGGCTAGATGTGCGCACGCCTTCGGCGGATACCAGGGATAACTGGCGCAAGATGCTTCTCAACGCGTTTGACGTGTGGAAGGGCAGCTTCGACAACGCCAATGGCGACACGGCCGACACTCGGGGGTCCACAAACGGACCGATCCATAGCGCCGCGATGCTCTACCACCTCGCGCATATTTGCCTTCATGTGGATATTGTGGACTGTCAAGTGTATTCCGGGGCGAAGCGGCTGCTCGGGCGCAAGGTTTCGACGCGAGATTACTCCAACGCCGTGGGCCGCATGAAGGTGTGGGCGAAACAGGCGTCAACCCGGCACGCGATCCTCCACGCCTTTAGACTCCTGCACCGCGTGTTTGTGGACCCGCGTTCGAAGAAGGGCCCTCAACCGACGCCTACATCGACTCGGGCTTTCTCCCTACTCGATCCGGCACGAGCCCGACCCACACCGGCCTTGGATCATGTACTATGCCGCACTGAGCATCTGGTCCTTTGTCCGGGCCGTGACGCCGACGCACAGCCGCTCCCCGATGCAAAGTCTCGCCCCGATTGACAGCTACCGGCGCATGGGCAGCTACCTGACGGGCGTAGCGCGGATGAACGACGTGAGCGACAAGGCGGCGGCAGCAATGCAGGACGGCCTCCCAGATCTGCTAGACGCGTTGAGCAGCAGCCTGGGCGAGGCGAACTCGGACCTGCTACGGGAGGCGCATGTGAGGCTTCAGGCCTGCAAGGACATGCTAGCTGGGACTGCTAGGTGGGAAGAGAAGTAATGGAAACCGCCACCGTTTCCTAGGGGTATATCCTTTATGAGATGGTGTGACTCGGATGGTTGAAAAGATCTGGGAGTGAGTTTAGATGTGGGGGTGGTTGTGCGATGTTGCGCATATGTAGCAACCCACCTTGCCTTGTCCATATTCCATCTTTTTCCTTGTTTCTCCTTTTCATTTGTTTGGCATGATGAAAAGCATCCACGCACCTCTGCGTTGGAGGTGGGAGCCGGTAGGGGGTGAACTAGGAGCACGGCAGGTGGTAATATAATTTACGTAGAGCGCTGTGATGTTTGGTGCGGGCGTTGTAGCGACTCTTTTTGGATGGGTCAGCATGGGGCGTTGTAGGATGAGCGCGTTTTGAATGAAGTTGCTTTTTTCATTGGACTCTGAACTTGGTTGGGGCATTTTCTGGCCCTGGTGATATATTGCCGTCGTTGACCCTCTTATGCTCTTGACTACATTGATGTGCGGAGCAGCGACAGATCCATCCAGGATGCATTGTCTCTGGGGTTGTGACCATCAATAGCCATCAACTGATGCCTACGTGCACATTAATAGCATGTAGTCTTCGAGAAAGATTATTATTTTTGGTTCATTTCCAGGGCACAATTGAGCCGAAGCAATCAAGCTGTCGGGACCCTTCAATGTTCTTCGTGCAAGCAAGCCATGCAATGACTCTCGAGGGCTGGGGTTCGTAGCCCGGGACGGTCTCGGGGCCGTGGTGGTCCCATGAAATGGTTGAGGCCATTGGCTTTCTAAGATGAACGAGTCGGAAAGAAGCGTGGTATGTCCGTCCACAGACATAGGTGAAGCCTAACGAAACCTAATATTGGAAGGCTCCTCGTGTCTCACTAAATACCAATCGAAGGAGTCTATTGGAGTGCGAACAGCTGCTCAAACAACACAAGCTTGAGAGCCATGATTCAAGCTCCAACCGGATCGAGTGAATCGCTGGTGGCGCAGCTCCCACTAATGGCAGGCGTAAGGCGCCACCCCGGATTCCGCCAGCTTTCAAGCTGCTCAGCCCGGACTCGTCTCGATTAATCCGGCTGCCTGGGAGCCCTCTTTTTCGGGGTTGGGAATCATAAAAGGGTGCTTGGGAAGACGACTTCGAGGTGCGAATGTAGACGAAGCTTAAAAGCCCTTCTCTCTTCCAAGATCACATTCTCGGGCTCTTTCCCACTGTAATTGAACGATTTGAACAATTCCTTCAAGCTCTTTGCATCAAGTACACTCCTACTTGCAGCCACTAGTGGTGTCAAATTTCTAGTCTCTCGTCAGAATAGCACTTGAAGCTCTCCTCCCTTTTCATTTTATTCTGCTCTTCCCCCTTCCTATCTTTGCACAGATCCAGCCCCGGCTCAGCCTGCCCACCATGACGTCCCCGGCCCCAACCCCGCGAACGCTCCCCCAACCTCAAGCTCTCCGCAGCGACAACCGCCGAGCTCGTCCTCTTCACCGTCCACGACCGCATCATCGGCTCCATCATCGGCTCCGCCCTCGGCGACGCCATCGGCCTCTACACCGAATTCCTCTCCGCCCAGACCTCCCGCGACTCCTACCCCACCCGCCGCTTCACCCTCAGCCCCCGCGGCCAGGCCACCCCCTTCCGCATCGACTACCACCGCTCCCCCACGCACCCGGCGACTGGACCGACGACACCGACCATGCCTGCCTGCTCCTCCTCTCCTTTCTGCACAGCGGCGGCGCCGAATCGGCGCCGGACCCCGCTGACTTCGCCGCCCGGCTCAGTGTCTGGGTGAGCAACGGCCTGCGCGCCCTCGACACCCTACCCCTCGGCCTCGGCCGCACGGTCGGCAGTATCGTCAGCCAAAGGTCTTTACCACGGATCCCGAGGGCACCGCCTACGCCGTCTGGGTCAAGGGCGGCCGCGAAATCGCCCCCAACGGCAGCCTCATGCGCACCCACCCCTCGGCCCCATGTGCATCGGCAAAACCCAGGCCGAGACCTTTGACCGCGCCGCCGCCCTGTCCGTCATCACCCACGTCGACCCCCGATGCGTCGTCTCCTGCGCCATCGGCACCGACCTTATCCGCGGTCTCCTCCTCGGCGAGTACGTCTCCGAGGCCGACGTCGACGCCGTCCTCGACGCCGCCCTCGCCTGGTACCCGGCCTGGGCCGCCGCCCACCACGCCAAGGAGCGCCCCGGTCCCGCGCGCGAGCCTAGCCCCCGCTCGACCTCGACGAATTCAACCGCCACGCCCGCGCCCCCACCCTCGAGGCGCTGCAGCTCGACGACTCCCAAAAGATTGGCTACGTTTACAAGTGCCTCGGCACCGGTATCCTCTGCCTTCGCCTCGCCATGCGCGCCCTGGCCGATCCCGCCGCCTCGCTGCGCACCCGCATAGGCTTGTTCGAGCGCCTCATCACCGATCTCATCATGTGGGGCGGCGACGCCGACACCAACGCCTGCTTCGCCGGTGCCATCCTCGGCGCCTACCTCGGCTACGGCGCGCTCCCCACCCACTGGACCGACGGTCTCACGCACGGAGACTGGCTCATGGCCAAGGCAGAGGGCCTCTCCGCACCCTGGGCGTGGGCGCGGGAGCGTACGATGGCAAGCTGGACAAGGACACCGCCGTGGACGGTGGCCGGGGCCTCCTCACCAAGGACCAGATGGAGGAGAGGTTCATGCGCCTTCAGGGCAGGGTGGCCCAGGAGCTAGAGGAGGACAGGAAGAGGAGGTACGCGGAAGAGAAGAGGGCGAAGGGCCTCTTTGGGAAGCTGCCCATCTTTAACCAGCAAAGGTAAGGATGCCCTGCTTCTCGATGCGCATTGTCTTTGGCGTTGGTTCTGTGGTTCCTTTATGAGGTTGAAGGGTTTCACTTGCTTACATGGATGAATGAATACATGTAAATATGATATGGAAATGGAGGGGAAAAAAAGAAGGAAATTCGGATAGCATATACCACAGAAATTCACTTTTTATCTTTTCTTTTAATAACTCCGGGTTTCTTTTGTTGTCAACATGAACTGCATGCGAGAGCACTCCTTTACGGTTGGTTTGGTTCTTCAAAATATGAGCATTAGATTAATATAAGGTGTATCTATTTAACACGTTTGGCGTCTCTTTCCACACGGAGCATAAAAACACAGTGTCCTGTCCCCGTGTAGCACATCCTGGCTTTATGTATAACTTTTGTTTTTAATCAATGCGCATGCAAAGGCGCGTGCCGTACTCGATGACCTCCCACTCCTCGGTTCCGGGGTGGACACGGCGTAGAGAACACCACGGGGATCCCACTTCTTCTTCAGGGCACGGAGCTCGGGGTAGATGTCGCCCCAGAAGTGATCCTGCCAGTTGGGCTGGAAGGGGTCAGCCTCGTTGACGTAGGTGAAGCCGTTCGGGCCCGCAGCGCGAAGGGCGGCATCCTGGACGTTGGTGAGGACGTCCTGAAGGTCGGCCTTCACCTCGAGGGAAGCGCCCTGGGGCACGGAAAGGATAGCGATGGTGAAATCGGTGCCCTTCCTCCAGAGAGGGTGGGTAGCCGAGTTGGGGACGGGGTGGTTGTGGCCGGCGTCGAAGAGGTGGCCGATGATGCCGCCCTGGTACACGAGGTCGGGGCGGGGGCTGATGACGGTCTGGAAGGCCTCGACGATGGCGTCGTTGTGGTCCTCTACGTCCTTGTGGGTGAAGAGCCAGCCGCCAGTGAGGGCGAAGGCGCCGGCTCCCTCGTCCTCGAAGCGGTCAATGTAGAGGTCGTGGAAAGTCTCATACTGACGGAGCTGGACCTCGTGAGGAATCGCGGCCTCCTCGAGCTCGGCGATCATGGGGGCGAGGATGGCCTCGAGCTGGTCGACGGTCTGGTTGATGGCGACGAAGGGCTTGGTGCGGAAAGTGCCGGGGAAGATCTCAAAGTAGGCGTAGAGGCCGCTATCGACGAAGTGGTTGCTCCACTTGTGGAAAATGCGCACACCCTCCCAGAAAACGGCCTCGTCGCTGATGACGGTGGTGTTGATGAAGAGATCGGCACCCGAGGCGATGAGCTCGGGGAAAGCGCGAATGGTGGCGGAGAGGACGACGGCGTAGGTCGAGGGGCCGCCACCCTTGAGGGCCCAGAAGAGCTCGGGCTCGTTGTCGGCATTGACGGTCTTGTACTCGCCGTTGACGGTCAGGATGTCGAACTCGAGGACCTGGTCAGCAGCCATGCCGTAGAGAGTGGTGAGGGGCCCGTGGCCACCACCTCCGATAAGTCCACCAGTGATTCCGACGGTCTAGTAACGCGGAGGAGCCTCAAGTTAGCGCGTCTGTCTCTTTGATTATGCCTTTCTCCCAGAGCTACAATCAAAGGGAGGTGAACTTACAGGGCATTCACCAGTAACGACAGCGAGGCCTTGGGCGGCAACGGTGCGGACGAGCTGACGACCCTGGACACCGGCACCAATCTTGACAGCGGGGCCGTCATAGTTGCCGGGGCCGCTGAAGCTGGTGATGATGTCGATATCCTGGAAGCTGTGCGTGTTGATGATGAGGGCGCCCCAACCGGTGCTGCGACCAATGAAATCATGGCCGGTGTTGCGGATGATGAGGCGGAGGTTGTGGGTGCGAGCAAAGTCAACGCCGGCCTTGATGTGGGCGTGCTTCTTGGCCGTGATCACGTACACGCCATAGTACCCCAGGGTGCAGGGCTCGCTAGGGTTTTCCGTGACGGTGCAAGTGTTGTTGGTGAAGTACTTCCAAAGGTTCAGAGCGGGCTGGTCGGTACTGTTGGCAATGCGCAAACACGCGCGCGTTAGCTATTTTCCATCCCCCAGATTTGTATTTGCATCTAGCATTGAAATGGCAACTTACGACCACTGCTCGTCGCCGTAGTTGGCGGTGACCTCGGCGCACTTATCCGCGTCAAAGGTGTTGAGCGTGCCGAGGGGTCCCTCAAAGGTGTTGTGGCACGCCGCCTCGGGAGGGACGTGGACCTGGAGGTTGCCTTCGACGGTCGTCTTGAGCTGGTTCCAGGCCTTGGCCTTGGGCCAGCACGAGTCGCCGACGTAGCACTTGCAGCCGTACTGCCTGCCCTCCCATTCGCGGGGGACGAGGCCCGAAGGGCACTTGGAAGCGCCAGCCTGGACGGCCTGGACGAGCAATAGCGCAGAGGCTAGTATGGAGCTGAGGCGAGCCATCGTTTGTCAGCGTGCTCTTCTTCTTCTGTGCCAAGACTGTCTTATGTTGTCCTTGCTCTCTCCTCTTCAGTCAGGCTGCGGCTGGTGGGGAGGAAAAAGAAGGAAAGGGGAAGGAAGGGAAACCGCGGATGGAAGACGGGGAGGGAAACTGAGGCTAGATAAACAAAGGCGAGCGGATAGATACCCTTGGCCCGGGCGGAGTGTCCTTCTCTCTCAAGCTCGACAGCGAGGGGGCGCGCATTGAATTGCGTGGTTGCCGAACAACCAATTCCCCACGAGGTGACGGCGCACTGATTCGAGTGTGACAACGACAACGCGCGGAGGTGGCGGGAGGGTCGCCCGAGGAGCGGGCCCGCTCACTTTCGCTTTCTCCGCCCCTTGCACGCAGGGCTAATTAGCGCGAATGGCACTCTGAACGCGTGGGTGCGGAATCAATGTGTTGGAGGACGCTGAGAGAAGAGCACAGGGGGTGAAATCAATCTTCCCCGTGTACCCTTCCATGACGAATGCCGTGAGGGAATACAATCCTCTCTGCGCAGACAGACTTGGCGGATCCTTCCTTCATGGGCCTGCTCCCATCGACAAATTCAGAAAGGGCGGCAAAAGGCATGTCAGACTGACGCTGACGACTGGGGCCAGGATCAGGGGGTCACCCAGCTGCGGAGAAGCTTACACTTGCGGAGTCGGCAAGTTGGGCCACTTTTCTTTTCTTTATGCTTTCTCTTTGTCTCTTTTCTTCTTTTCGTATTATCGAATTGTAGCAAGGAAGAAGGGAAGACTTTTGAGTGTGAGCGGGAAGGATCGTCGTGCTGTGTCACGCAAGAGCTCCGTGTAAGTGGGCTTGTTTCTTCGTCTTCAATGTTCTCTTTGTCCCGCTTTCCCAGAATCGGGTCTTCGCGCTGAAGGAACTCCGACTCCTGTCTTACAATTCCTTGCCTTCTCGTCTACTGACCCAAATTTTCTGGTATTCTTGGCGCCCGACTCATCAGTAAAACGCGACAACGGTGGAGAAGGTATCGAATCGCGGGAGAATATTTCCGGATGCACTTCTATGTCAGGGGTGTGGGAGAAGGACAAGATCCGGCCACGCCATCTGCCATGGCCATTGATGCTTTGGAGTAATTTCGGGTGCGGCCAACTTGCCTCTTTACAGGGTGCAGCAGCCGAGTTGGGGGAGAGATCTCTTGTGCAGGGTTGGATCCAGCATGACACGACAGAGAGAGTGTTGCAGTTGAGCAACACAGCCGAAAGAAAAGAAAGGGGAAAAAAAGGAATCATTGTCGCCCCTCCCAGAGCGGGAAAATAACACCGCCAAGAAAACCAACACAGGGTCACAGGCAAGAATGGAGCCTTCGTCCCCCTTCATCTTTTCAATGAGCCTTGTCCCTTCAATCTTCTTCCAAAGGCATCCCTTCTTCCCATCTTCTTGGCACTCGATGCCGAGCCTTCGAATATTGGTATGGAACTGCTCGCAGCGAGCCGCCAGCCAACCCAGAGTTTGCACGGACAAGCCTTGAGAGACCAGTCGCGCCGGTATCGCCGTGGAGAACGACTGCGGGTGTGCTCCCACTTCGTCTCTCGCCCTCTTGCATCCTGTGCCCGCCGCTTTGTGCCCGCGCACGCCCATTTCTTGGGACCTGCAGGATGCCATCCATCCTTTGTGGGCGTGGTCGACGCCACTCACTTTTCTTTTGTGGGCTGCTAAGCGTCCGATGTAACGCTCTTGTGCGACCTCTCGTCTCGCCAAAGTATTTTTGGACAAATGGATGAGCTCTCTCAATGGCCCCGGAACTGCTTTTGAGCCTTCCGGACCGGGGAAAATTGTACCAAAGGCGGAAACGAGATGGAAATCAAGGCCATTCGTGCAGGCGCCAACAGTCACCGAACCATGTAAACCCAAAAACAAAGCGACCAGTCTGTTCGGAAGGCATTGCCGGGTCAAGGCGTCCGCAAACAGGAGCCAAGACTAGGACCGTTGAGGAATTGATCTTCCGATCGATTACCGTGACATATGTAGTGATAAAGAGACGATATTAGATCTCGGACACGGTTTTCAAGGCCTTCAAAGTTGCCATTGTAGAGGTTTAATAGTTCAGAGAGCACGCTCCGTATCCCTGAATCGCATCCCAGAGAATGGCACATGTGGGGAAGTAAAGCAAGGAGAAAATTTAGGAAGAACGGAATAAGCGATATTCTAGGAAAGGTAGAAGGCTAGAGATGAAGCGAGTGGGGGTCAAGACACAGCACCACATACCGCATGACAGAGACCCGACAATTTTCGCTCGGCTCGGATCTAGCGCCCTGAAGGGTTACAGACGCGAGGGTATCATGACTTTTAAGGCCCATCCAAGGCCATCACGGACAGGGAGGTTCATTGGAGCCAACAGGACAGAGCAGAGGTTGAAGGAGCGTTGATGGAGCCTGGCAGCGGTGCGGGGAAGAGGAGCAGAAGTGGATGTGTGTGATCAATCCGGCTCCTTCGCCGACAACCTGGCTCACCCGACCTTCGTTGAGGCACCGAACGGGAGTTCCGGCACTTTGACATGAACATGCCAGAGAAGAAGATCACTTCCGGTGGGGGATTCTCGTGAGGGGGATGCCGATGGATTGGACTGGGGCAACGACCAGGCCCGTGGATGTGCTAAATGATGGACGTGCGCTGCGGTTCGTCCAACTGAGGAACCAGGACGGACGATCACCAACCTTGCTCATTAGTTTAGACACCAATGATGCGAATCGCTTCTCGCCACAACAGCTGAAGGATCAATACAAATGTTTGGCGTTTTCTCTTTCCCTTCTGAATCTTCCCTTTTCTTCTCCACAAATAGCGGGGTCTGTAGAATTGATCCGGGGCCCGCTGTTGCAAAGCCTCGTTGGTATCTTGGCAGCCTGGCAAGGGTCAACTGGTGTATTATCCAAGGAGGAGAGGGAAATGGGCAATACGATCAACTTTGCGCCACCCCTCAAAAATGTTGCCGGGAAGGCCTGTGAAAATCATCCATGGGTCGGTCACTGGTGTGAAGGCGTCTTGACGGGGAGCCACGACGGGACCACCCTCGTCGGCACATGGTCCAATACCCTGTCAACGGTCTTGGAGGCGCCTTCCTTCCGCGTTCTTCAGGGAGAGAGTCTGGCCTTTGAAGGGGCAGCTATCCACAAGTCTCATCTCCCCTCGCCTCTACCTTTCTCCTTTTCAGATTTCAGTGAGTTGGGGTTCGCCCTCGAACATCAACCTACATGTACACTATGGATATGACAACCCGGTCCAACAGATTTTTTACTACCAACACGTATTTCATGCAGCTCTCGCTTCGGTTGCGACGGATATCGCTGCAAGCCTCCAATATTGCAATCTAACCCTCCCCCAGCCCTGTTACCTTTGCACAGTGCCATCCATGCACAGCAATGCCCAAGATCAATGGAATCTCCGAGGTGCTCGAGCTCCACGTTGCACAACATTCATCATCGGCGCTGGCTAATATTGCATGAGATGTCCTGGAGTCAATCCATGTCTAACGTCATCCTACTTTCTCCAGTTACGAAGTATGATGCCCGGCCGTGCTCTGCTCGGCCATCTCCATTTCTTGTGCCATAGTTCAGGAGGTATGATCACACCATAATGATTTTAGGATTGATTATCTAGAACAAGTCAGATGGAAAGAGTTTCAATGTCTGGGCCTTCAGCTGCTCTGTTTCTGAGTGGCCAGCGTTACATTCTGTTCTTTTTCCGTCGGCTTCGTCGCCCAGTGTCTGTTCCCTCCTTCAATTTCCCGTATTGCTAGCCTTCCGAACTCTTACCGCAGTTGGTTCCAGCGCATGTCCGGAGACTGGATTGGCCTCGATGAGCTCTCCATTTGCGCACCCCTGTCTGGACCTCGAGATCTCAGAAAACGCCATCACCGCATCCCCATTGCACGCCACCTTCAGACTTCCACGTCCTCCCTCTTTGGGATGACGGTTCGCGCAGAGGCAGATCAATATACAATTCAGTATATGTTGATAGGAGCCCCTGATGTACGCGGCCTTGGTGGAATATATGCATGTGGTGACTACCTTGGCAAACGACGAAATGAAAGGCTCCGCGTTGGCATGCAGCACGTCTCGTTGTTTAGACCGTTGGGAACGGCTGCCGAACCGTGGGTGGCTAAAGGCGAGAGAGGCTCTTCCCATTCTTCCAGAACGCCAGCCGCCATGGGACCGAGTGAGCCTATGGAAGCTTTTAACAGAGATCGAACCGCTTGCCCTAGGCCCCGGCAGCCCGGATTCACTTAACCCTTCCCGCTCACCCCGAACCGTGCATAAGCAGAAGATTATTGTGGCAGACAGCCAAAGGCGGCCCAGAATAGAACTGGATCTGGCGCCATTGTTCCGCACTCAGAGCTAAACAGCCAACGACACTAAAGTCTCTAAGAAGATGAAGTAGATAGAGACGCAAGAGCAGAACGAAGATGCGGGTTTCTGTGGACCCGTCCCAACACTTGAAGTGTCTTCCCGGCCTGCCGCGCAAGCTATTTTCTTCAGTGTTCAGTGTTGTCAATTGCTTTGAGCTCCGGGCTAGATCAACTGGGGCGAGTCCTAGCCCTCGGTCATCAGCTCTGGGCTCATGAGCTACGTAGAGTGTGAGGTTCTTACTTTCTTCAAGCCCAATTGATCCATTCTCTCCGAGATGAAGCCAAGGCTTCGGTACTCCCCACACCCACCGCTGACTTGAGGCAAAGCTCATCGCCGAGGTGCGTTGCTTGACGCTGACGCGCAGCTCTGACGTGGAAGGGGAGATAATACACCAACTCCTTGATCTTGTGGATCAGTATGTTGACCAATGAAGATTTCTTCATCCATTTTCTGCCTCCTGTCCTCCCTTGCCTTCTCACTTTTGGCTTCATTCACTGGGCTCCTATGCGTGCGCCTTTTAGGTACGGGCCCAATCGACAACTAGTTGCCGAGTCCGATTTTAATGTCTCCTGTTCGATTTTTCTTCGTTTTCTTCTTCTTCCTCTTTGTAAACTTCCTTTTCCTCGTTTCAAAGAGGAGGAACAAATTATTTCAACATAATACCGAGAGGGTTTCTATCCGGCCATCTGGCGTCGGCCAGGTCGGCTTATCCTGTTGGCGTTGGAGCTGGCGTCCAAGTTAGGTTGTCGCCCAGATTTTAAGCCTAACGCCAAAAATGAGCTCCCCTTGCTCGCCGGCAACTAGCGCCCGCACTAAGCTTCGAGGCTTTCAAGGGCTCGTCATGGGGAGGCAATCAGTTAGTGCGGTTTCACGGGAGATGAGCCCCACTATTCTTTCGTTGCCATCAGCCGTTGTTGATACAATGGATCCAGTATGATCAAGTTGACCCTTGTATCTCGTGTTGTGTGTGAAGACAATGGATCCAGGATGAACAACAAGAGTACACAGTGGGCAAAGTAAATGCTCATGGCACTCGAGGTGACTATGGGTGATGATAGTTCAAGTACCTTGGGAGGGTAGTGTACGACCATACGCCGATCGTTCCACCAACTAACCACCGCAGAATACACGACACAGAGAGAGCCCTAGTGCCCACCTTAAAGCGTGCTACGTACGACTCGGAAGAATTTCCTGGTTTGTCGTCTCTGCGCCCGCGTTCACGACATTTACCAAGGTCGATGGCTGACTGCTAGCCAAACACATTGGATGCAATGGATCCATGATCCATTTGTGATGAGTTGGGATACCAGTGACCAGTTATTAACCAAAGAGTACTAATAAACCGCTTGTTGTTTTCGGGGTATGCTACCATTCCAGATTTACATTATAAAACAATAGACAAAATGGATCCAAATCCACAGATGTACCCCGGTATGCTATTCTCCAACAAGTCCAGCTCCCAAAAAAAAAAGAAAGGAAAAAGAGCCAATACTACCATAAGCCCAGAAACCGCCAATGTTGTTACAAGCCACCCTGCGGGGTGCAGAGGGTATCATAAAGAAAGACGAACCGTTCAAGAGGTTCTAGACTTGGCACCAGGCTTGAGCCTCACTTTGGCTACCAGGCCGTCGACAGGCTTCGCGGTGATTTGTCGGCTCTGTTCGTTGTTGCATGTGGAGGTTAGCAAGCTGTGCTTCATGTAGTGTAGACGCATGCAAGATCAAGGGTGGGTGTCACGAAAAAGGAAAAAAAAAAAAACTTACGCTGTACAGCTCTGTCTCTGCCACGTATTTGCCATTATCCCCCATGACCTTTTCGCCCGCCTCGTCCCTCTTGATCGCCCCAACGCCGACCTTGACAAACTCATATCTCCGCGCTACGCACGCAAGGATGATCTTGGACTCGATGTTGGCCAGCTCCTGCCCGATGCAGTTCCTAGGACCCCTCTCAAACGGGCGCCATGCGCTGGGTGGCGTCTTCTTCCCGGCTCCCGCCGTACTCCCGCCCGCTGACGCCTTGTCGCCGTCACCGACCACAAGGCCGCTGTTAGTCCGCATGCTGGTGTCCGAGTCGCCGATCCACCGCTCGGGTAGGAAATCGTTGCAGGTGGGTCCAAAGACCTCAGGGTCGCGCTGTATCACGGTGGGACACAAGTAGATGAGCATGCCGTCAAGGCAGTACGACTTGCCGCCAGGCGCCGTCACAAACAGGCCGGTGCCGGGAGGTACTAGGCGCGCAGAGCCGCCGGGTGGGTACAGCCTGAGAATCTCCTTGATGAAAGCCGAGGTATACGTCATCTTGTTCATGATCTCGTCCCCGCGCTCTGCCAATGCCTTCATCACGACTTCGGGGTCCGTGTCGGGTCCGAAGAGCTCGTCCAGCTCCGCGCACAGCGCTTCAGCGACCTTGGGCGACCGCTCTAGCTCGTAGAACGACCACTGCAGCAGAATACTCGTCGTGTCGTGACCGGCGAAAAGGAAAGTCTTGAGGTTATCGCATGTTTGTTGCAGGATATCGTCGGTCAGGTTGTCAACGCCCTCGAGGGCCAACGAAAGCACACTTCGCGTCTTGGGCGCTTCGCCCCGTATGAGTTCCTCGTGCTTGGCACGGATAAGACTTTGATCATGGGGTCGATGCGGCGGGCGATTTGGACTTGGCGCATCGCCACCATGGGGTGCAAAAGCCACGGGGAAACGGGGGTGTCCTCCAAGGCCTTGAAAGAGTCGACAAGCTCGATATAGAGAGTCACGAGTTCTCCGCGCTCCGCAGGCGGTTTCTGGGCGGCGAAGTCCATATCCATCGTGGCCATGCCAATGATGTCAAAGGTCAGATTCGTCGTGTAGTCGCTTAGCAGGGCAGTTTCGCCAGTCTCGGCGAAGCGGTCGAGGTGGTCGAGGAAGGGTGGGACCTTCTCGATGATATTAGGGAGGAGTTTGAGGAGGTGCTGAGGAGCAAACCCCGAGTTGAATCGCTTTCGGAGAGTCTTCCACATCTCGCCCTATAACATTTGTGGTATCATGAGTTAACGGAATGCGACAGCGCATATCGCGGGCCGAGGTGACCGAGCTACGTACATTGATCGAAACGAGAGAATTCTTGCCGATCAGCGGGCTAAGATAGCTCATCGTCGGGGACTTAGGGGTGCCATAGGGGAAGTTTTCGAGGCGCGAGAGATCTGCTCGGCGACATCGTGGTTGAGGATGATGGCCATGGGGTAGTTGAGCGGCCAGATATCGAGCACGAGGAGGGGTGGGTTGTCAAGCGATTCCATAATCCGGCCGAGAGCGAGGTCTACCACACAGTCCTTCGTCAGTCCTGGTCTGCATCCTTGGTGAAGCAGCGGGTCGGTGAGGGGTGGCAATGCGCAGAAAAAGCAGCCATGCGATCGGCATCCTGCTCCGCGTCTTTTTGACAATGAATGTCTGCATCCCTTCCCCCTTCCCCGCCAACAATGCGCGACCATGTACTCACCAAACTGTTCCGCCTCTGGTCCTTTGCCCATCTGCACAGCGAGCTCCGCCATATGACCCCACACGAGGAAGGCTTCATTTGGGGCCAGTCCTTGAATCGGACCAACCTATGGTGTTTGAGCCATGAGAGGCCCTTGATGATAAACACCGGTATCGCCGAGAGCGCGATTGTGAGGAGCGTCTTCGAATCCAACATGGCAGGCGAGCTGAAAGCGGAGGTGAAGATGGAGGAATGTGGGGAAAGAAAGGTAGGAGGAAGAAAAAGAACAAGAAAAAGACACGGGGAACGGGCAGGAGAAGGGGAAACAAGAATGTTTCCCCAAACAACTGCTGGCAAGCGAATGCTTCCACCGTAGGATCCGGATTGCAAAGACGTCTTCTGGAAATCTGTAAACTAGCGCGATTGGGACGATCGACCCGTTCAGCGACCTCCCACTTCGGAAACGTCTTGTCCCGAGCAGGGTGGGGATGTGGCGGCAAGACAGGGAAAAGCAACAGAGCTTAAAAGAAGAATAAAAAATGAAAATCCAGCAAGGGAGAAGGGAATAAGGCAGAAGAGCCAACCCTCAACGGCCAAAGAAAGGATATTGACAGGATCACTTCAATTAAGCGAGACTACATGTAGGAGGGATAAAAAAGATTAGATGAATCCAGCACACGTAGGATAGGAAATGAAGCCGTGGAGGCAAATCTAAAAGCTCTCAGAGCCTTCAATGTTCTACATGTGAAGGGGAACGAGGAAGGCAAAACAAAGAAGAGAAAAGTTAAAGAATCAAGAACCCTCCATTCCACATCATCTCAAAAGACCAGACCAAGCCCATCCGTCTTGTTTCAATTCGGATTATCAACATCTGTTCTCTCAACCGTTTTGCCGGCTTTTCTCTGGCGCCCGGTTGCGAGCTTGTTCCATCTGTGTGCCAAGACGGAGGGGCCTCGCATCCGGGACGCCTCCTGCAGGACTCGAGGCGAGCACAGTGGAGTGGTGTGGCAGGGGCCTTTTCGCGTACACAATCATAGATGTTTGTGCTCCTCGCTGGCACGCACCGACCGAATAGATCAATCAATGGGAGAGCGATAACGATAACAGTGGAGGCAGAGGGAGGAGCGGGACAGCCCCGAAAGAGCACTTGAGCACAAAGAGATGTGGGGAGCGAAAGACCCCCAATGTTAGACGAATCGGACAGGCCCTCTTTCTAATTGACCGCTTCCCTCAGCTGTTTCAAAGCACGCACCACGTCCAACAAGTCACTTTGTATTTTCGAACACTGCCAGCCATCACCAATTCGATTTGGTTCGTTTGATGGGTGGATCAATTCTTAGGTTCAAGTCAAATTGCCAAAGGGCTCCACACCAACCAGCTTAGGCTCTGGAGCTCAAGCTCCGGTCGACAGAGGCTGTTGAGATTGATACACTTCAATACTGCATGTCCCGACGAGCTCGTGCTTTCTTGTGCCCTCTTTCTTCTTTCAAGATACTGTCCTAGATAGTAGTAGCTGCCCCTCCCACCCACATCCTCGACCTACATCTTGATCTCGAGCCTCAGGCGAGGTCCAGCGCAAAACAAATACTAGGTCGGTGAAGAAAGCCTTGTGACTGGCAGAGGGGCCTTGACTTGAGCGACCATGACTATAACCCACGCGAAGTCGGAGAAAAAACCACCAATAGATAGATCCATGGATGAATCAAAATATGAGTGGCCAGTCCCTTCATTTGTCGAGTTTGGGCAGTGGTTGAGATTATTTCGCCTCGGTTTGCTTCTCTCCCGCTCGTCGAAGTTGGGAGGACCATCCGTTCCATCCCTTATCCCGAAAGGACGGTTATGGTCAACAGAGTCACGATGTGGATCATGGATGCGGAGAGTACCTGCAACCGAGGCGTCAAGGATGTTAATAAGATCCGGCCAATTCCGGCTCATTCGACCGCGGATGTGCTCGACATGAGTCTGTTGAGGATCTAGGCCTTGTCATGCAGCCCGCTTCGAAAGCAACGTGAGGGCAACTGATGGCAGTTGAGGATATGGAAGGGGAACGATCCATCCATGGATGGATGGATCAATCTTTGGAAGCGGAGGTATCAGCGATGATACCGCACACGCACACCTCCAACGCACGCAGTAATACACTGTCGGAGCGCAGCACAGATGCCCAATATCTGCCCTTGGCCCTTTCGTCAATCAATAGGATCCCGAGTCTTTGGGATCAGCTGCTGATTTATTATTCGCTTGATGGAAGAACCGTTGTCCATTGCAGTGGCAGGGTGGAGGCGGGACAGCCACAAAACGTGATTGCTCCCGGAAACGGCAAATGAAAAAGAAACAAAGGAATGAAAGAAGAAATCAGTAGAGGGTCCACCATCCCATTTGATACCATACCCTCCAGCCAGTGACTAGAGTCTCGGTTCTATTTGCCGATTGGATTCCACCATTGCAACGGGTCAAGGAGAAATGAGGGGTCTACTTGATTCTATGCTAATAATACGTTAGTAACCCCTCCTTTCCCTTCCCTTCCCCAACCCAAGGAAACAAAGAGTGACCCAGCCCATTCATTGCCTTTCCCCTCCCTCTCGCCGCCCACCAGTCAAGGGTCCAATCCCGCAATACTATGAGTTGATAGCTCGCGATCTAAAGGCCAGCTGAATTCCCAAACGGGAATGAAGCTATGAGGACATTGACAAGGGACAAGTGGTCCGGTGCCAATCGTGAGAATCACCCTCGCTCTCCTTGGAATGGCTCTTTTTATCTTCCCCTCCTTCTCGACAGGGGCCTCTAGCGGTCCGGGCTCTTTGGTCGGGTCTAGGTCACTGCTGCTGGCCCATTGAGCGTCTCGGCCCTCATTCAGCGGGGTCTTTATGCCGGCTCGGGCCGCTAACAAGATGGCTATCCTGATTGCTCACCACTACGAAGGATTTGGGAGAGTAAGGCCAGGAGCTCTTGGACAAATCGGCGGAGACCATGGTCCCTTCCGAGGAGAACAGGAAGGGGATTTGGGAGCAGGCGTCATTGTCTTTGGTTAGGGGACGGATGAATTACTCGAGGGAGATCAATTAGTGAACATTAATCAAAGCAAGGGCAAGCGAGGCCGCGCCCAAGGCCGTAGAAACCACCCAACCGCAACCCCCGGGTATGGTTGGAGACAGAGGAGGAGGAGAAGAAGGAAGGAGAAGCAGGAGGAGGAAGAGGGGAGAGGAGCAGAAGTATGGAAGGGGAAAAAATTTATAATGGGCCCATCCAGTTCCCAGTGATCCTTCCCATTCGGGAATGTTGCCCATCCCTCCCTCTTGCCAGATCAGCGGCAAGCAGAGTTGAGGCCTTGGCTCTTCGTTTGTAACCGTGTCTGGCTGCCAATGCGCGGGGCTAGTTGAAGAAATTCAGACGGGGTTTTTTTTTTTTTTTTTTGCCAGCACATCAACATTTGAACATTGACCCATTCACCTTCCATCATCTGCATCTCGCATCCCGCAGCCCACATCCCACATCCCACCTCTCTGGAAAGCAGTCAGGCAGATACCGAATCATCCCCAGCCGGTCGGTTGTGTGTGTGTCTCTCTGTCTTTTCTTCTTCCTCCCCCTTCCTTTTCCTCTTTTGATTCTTCTCTCCCCACCAATTCCTAGCTCCCTCTTTCTGGACAACCCCTGGCCGACAACCTCTTTACCCTTACATTTCTTTTTCAACTTCATCCACCATACACTTTTTTTTCTTCGGCCCTCTGCTTCATTCAACCTTGACCCCCGTCGTTTGTATATTCTATAATAATTCTATACACTTTTTGTTACCTCTTGCCTGCCTGAACAGGGCTGGCTGAGCACTTATCTTAAAGCGGCCGTCGCCGCCGAAGCTGAAACTGCACGAAGTGCCACATTCCGATCAATTGAACTATTTGTCTTAAATGTACGCCTCGATTCCCGCCTCTTCCTTAGTCGTTGTTTTTCTCCTTGTCCCAATCTTCCTAAATTTGGCGAGTGGGGGTAGATTTGCTGCTGCTCTCCGCCTCCGCCTCCACAGTCTTCCCTTTCCAAAAGAATACCAGGGACGGCATAGCCCCGGTTTCTCTCTGCTTTCCAGCTTCTCCAATAGTTTTCCTTTTTCCTTCTTTTTCTTTTCCTACTTCCTTCGGTTCTTCTTTTCTGACATCCTTGCGCCAGACGTCCCTGCGAGCGAGTCATGTCGTCTTAGCCGCCGCTTTTCTCGGATTTGATCGGACCCCTCTCATCACCCCCAGCTTTTCCAGCTCCCCGGCTCCCGGTTCGAGCTCTTCTTACCAACACCCAGCTCTATCCTCCCAATAGGCAATGAGTGGCCCGTCTCTTTGCGCCCAAAGAACCCTCGCTTGCCCTCCCTTTTCCATTTTCTCGAAGCCGTCGGCCATGAGAGAAAGAGCTTCTGTCGTACACGTCCATATCGCCCGCACCTGCAAGAGTCCCACCTCGCTTTTCTCAAGCCCACTCTTTTAGAACCTCCCGAAAGTCCCCGATCCCGATCGCATCATTCACCAACACCGCTCCAAGAAGAAAAAAAAAACACAGCAGGACGACTGAGCCATACCACTTATTCCCCTAATACTCTTCGATCTAAGTGAGGGCCTTCTTTATATTGCTCTCCTCAAGCGGGTCGCATAAATTATCCCAGCTGCCACGAATCCTGCTACACCTCCGACGTTGTCCGTCCCGCTCGAAATCCCGTTCACTGGTAGAACCAGCTGCCCCTTGAATCTTCCCCAGGAAAGAAGGCGGAAACAGATATAGACGACGCCTACCATATGCCGTCCCACCTCGATATATTAGACAACATTGAAAACAACAAAACCATACTGAATTCGCCAAACATGCTGAGCCGGCCAGTCCTCATGACTGTCTCCTCCAGTTCTTCCGCCAACAGTGGGGGCGGTTCGGTCATTTATTCCGCCAGCGGCAGCCCCTACAGCACTTCCTCTGGCCATGGTGACCCCACCGATGTGATTGAGCAGGCCAAGCAAGCGTGGAAGTGCGGCTGCGGGCATAGCAACGCTGTGGGCACCAAAACCTGCGGCAGGTGTGGGCGAAGATGAGGTGCCCATAGTCTTTGCGGTGCTGGGTCGTTAAGAAAACGTCCCTACGAAAAGAAGCAACTCCCCGGGTTCTTTCGCTCTTCCACTTGATTTCTTTATTGTCTTTCTTCTTCCTACTCTTCCTCATGATGATACGAGACCTTTTTTACTCTTCTTTTGATCTATTGTTTGTTTTGTTTGGGATACCTTGGAACCGGATTTGGAAACTGGAAATCGGATGGTTTAGGATACTAGAGCTACATGGCACACGATGTTGCATAGAGGTTAAAGCAATAACCTCAAGACCCTCCTAATGCCTTCATAGCTCATCGGGAATGGTTTTTAGCTCGAGAGCTCCTCGGAAAAAAGAAGCTGAAAGATTGGCTTGTTGGGAGGATTCATCTAGCATTGGTCGCAATCAAAAGAAAAGAAAGCCTTTCTGTTATTCGCTACCTGTAGTGTAAAGTGATCTCCCGAGGTTTCGTGTTCGATTCCTCAACTAGCATTAGCATTCAACATATTACTGTCTTCGCTTCCGCTTCTTGGCGCGTCCAACGAGCATTGTAAATCTATCAGAAGATTGTCTGTAGGTGGAGCTCGTGATACGCATAAGAGGTATGCGGTGCAGGCGGCGTTTCTTTTCTTCTTTTGTGCGGAGAAGAGAGAATGGTATTAAAAGTCGGAGTCTTTCCCTTTAGTAACGGTTAGATTCAAACAAGGTTCGCATTCGCTCGACAGCCTAGGGGCCTTGTTATCAATTGAATATACGTTGGGCTCAAGTTTACACATGTTCAAAATTATTGAGAGAATTGTGCGTACTTCCTCCTCGTATGTAGCGTCTATTATCCCCAGCCCAACTCTCACTCTAGACGTGCTTGATGGAGTCGCACGGATTTTGAAGCATCGATGCCCCGCCTTCGGTCGGGGAAGACGCTATTAAATTGGTCCGGTCCCGACACGCCGGTTCTTCGGTAATTCGATAGTGATTCGGATAGACCCTTTTTCTTCTTTCTTTTTCTATTCGTCTTTGTCTCCCTTTTCAGGGGAAAATTGCAGAATTGCCTAGATTGATCAGAAGGGGGACCTTGACGGCCGGTTCCTTCCCAGCCACTCCCGTGCTCCGCTCTCCCACGTGCCCCTAGCGCCCAGAGATCGTTGGCAACGTGTGTCATCGGGGAGCTGGATTCAACAAGCTTTCATGATCCACACGCTCTTCTCGGAAACGTCGGTGCCCCCTAATACTTGTCTAGAGGTAGCTTTGACATCCCCGTCCCGTCCAAAGAACCCCCGCCCCCGGTCCGGTTGGAGGACACCGTCATGGGCATCTTGAGCGAGCAGTTTTGAAGCCGTTCGACAGATAGGTTACCAATCATCCGCTACAACAGATACGTCTCCTATCCTACCATTCATCACCATTCACGTGAGACAAAAACGACCCTGCCGTCTTCAATCAAAGGTTGAAGCGTAGCTACAGCCGGTGGTAACCCACGTGCTCGAGCACGACCGACGGGAGGGACGAAGTAGGACTCAAGGCGATGGGGGATTGGAGTGGATAAGAAGCGAATAGCCCGCCATGGCAGCACATAGGGTGTTGAGGGCATCCACCCTCACATTCTTGATCTTCGCCGTCTCCATCCTGTATTTCGTTGCAATGTTTGTTTCCAGACAAGCCACGGCTCTTCTTTCCGCAGTCCCGTTGCCTGCAGTAGTGTCCGCTAAAGTGGATATCGCATGGTACCCTCCAGCGCGAACTGACATCAACGACCTGGACAAGGTCCTGAAAGGCAAGGACATCTATGGCTTCATATATGACTCGTCCGAGACGCCTGATGACCAGTACGGGAGTTATAACTGGTGCAACATGCCTCATGTTCGAAGGAAGGAATACGTGCGCCCATCTGACGAGTACGAGCTGCACTACGTCGAGCTGGTATGTGCTCTTCCAAGGCCTTCTAGGCCGAAAAAGCCGAGGATTCGGCCCTAACACTTGATAAATAGATTCATCGCCACCATAAACGGACCCCATATAGCTCCAACGCTTTCCCGATCGAGTCCTATCAATGGAATTGCGATGATGTCGGCCTTTACTACCACGGCCAGGGCTGGAAAAGGGATGCTCATGGGCCCGCCCGCACGTACTGGCAGGGCTACATCTCATCCACTAACCCCTTCGTACCGGAAGGCTGGATCGGGACCTGCCAGTTCCCACAGATCACGGCAGAGGGTCTCGACGACTCCTGGGTCCATGGCGCGGATTTGTACCAGGTCTACCACGATCTCCTCGGCTTCTTGCCGAGTCGTAGCGAGGATTGGTCGAGAACGGTAAAGTATCGAGTCACGAACAATGTCATCACGAGCCAAGTTGCCGGCATGGTTGTGAACGGCATGTGGGGAACCAGTGACCCTGTCCCCCTTTGATCCAGGTATGATCCTCCCCCATCGCCTTACCTGCCTCGGTGCTCGGAGTGAAGTGGCCACCTGTACGCTAAACCACTTGAATCATCACCTTAGTCTTCTGCCATTGATAGCCTTGAGCCCAAGTATAGCTGCCGTGCAGGTTCTCAGGCTTTTGATGCAATCAAGTCAAGCGCCAATCCGCACTGGAAAAGGCATCTAGACGCTGCCTCAGGTCTTTACGCCACCTTGGACGATATCTCCGGTGTCTTGGAGTCCGACAACGGTTTTCATGAATCCTTCGACCACTACTACGATAACCTATCGGCCCGCCAATGCCACTCTAAACCTCTTCCTTGCAAGCTCGTGAACGGGGTCAACAGTACCACCTGCGTTACGCAAGAACTCGCTAACGCAGTCTATCGTATGGGCCACTGGGAGTATAGCCAGATGTACCGTGACGCACCAACGTCTCTAAGGACCAGCGCTGCAAATTATGGGGTCTGGATCGCCGAGCTCGCAGCCAACATGCGCAAGGCCGTGGAAGGAAACAGCCCCGTCAGGTACATGCACAACTTGGCGCACGATGGCTCCGTATCTAGGGTCCTCTCCATTTTACAAATCGACACTATGATATGGCCCGGAATGGGCTCAGAAGTGGTCTTCGAGATGTGGAAGAAGCCAAGCCCTCCTGATCACGGGGTTGGTGGAGGGGGAACACGGCGGTTGCCCGCGACGAATACGAGGATAGCCCAGCCAAAGAACGGGTGGATTATTTCGTCCGGGTCCTTTTCGGCGGCCGAATCCTCAAGTCTTCCAGCCCGACCTTGGGCGTCATGGACATGGTCCCACTCTCGACTCTCTTGGGGTATTTTGACGGATTGGTTGGTCAATCCGCAAGCTTGGTAAAGCCGTTGTGTAGCGCATAGACGCGTGTAATGTTAATCGGCGTACATAAGTCTTTTTATAAATAAAAGGTGCCCTTTGGATTCAAGAGTCAGTGTGGCGGAAGCACAAATCCTTGTCCGCAACAGCGCAACCGCCAGAGGTTGCGCTGACGCTATCGGATCCGAAAGTGTCAGTCGTTGAAGATGCCTCCCTGCCCCCGGCCAAGAAAATAACATGAATCTACCACTACCTCTATGAAAGGCAAGAGTAAAGCCAAGAGTTGGCGGAATCCCGCTATTACCTAAACTTTTCGAAATCGAATTGCTTTTCTCGTTGCTAGCTTGCTTTGCTGTCGGAGTGGGCCTTCAGCAACGCCGAAGAGCATGGAGAACAACACTGATGCGAGCAATCAATCAGTCATCGGAACTGCTCGAATTACAGCTGGAGGTATTATAGGCCCCGCCCCCGCCCCCGCTTCTAACCGGGTAGAACCCGAGGCTCGCAACATGGTCAACAAGAGCTTTTGACCCTCGTTAAATCTAGTGGAATCCTGTATGTCAAAGGCGTCGGGCGTCGACACGTTTATGGGCTATACGGCATCAACGCACCGCTGATCTTCTTTTACCTAGGAGAGTTTTCACCTGTTCGGAGAAGCCGCCAACACTTTCACCCCTATCCTCCATCGCCCTTTCCTTACGCTGCTTTAGGAGTGAGTTAGTCGAAACATTCCAAGATCGTCATGGCGCGGCCGGCTTCCAATTTTACCACTAGGGTCGCCACCCTGGATGATTTCGAGGGCATCACAGCTGTTTACTTCGATGCTTTCTCCGGCGGTTACATCGGCAGCCGCTGCTTCCCCGCAGCAGTCCACAGACGGAGACCTGCTGGCGCGATTCACTCAAAGCCTTTTTCGCCGAGCCGCGGTCCACCATGGTGATTGTGACGGACAATGACTCCTCGCCTCCTGGGCGGGTCGTTGGTTTCGCCAAGTGGACGCGGCCCCATTCAGATGGCGAGGAGCCTTACCCGGAGAGTCACGATCCCTTGATGAACGGACCGTGGCCGACGGACGGAAACCCGGCCCTGGCGGAGGCCTTCTTTACCGGAATCGAGCGCAAGCGTAGGGAGACGATGGGAGACCGGAAGTTCTGGTTCCTGCATATCCTGGCCGTGCACAGCGACTACCAGGGCCGCGGGGCGTCGAGTTCGTTGCTAAGATGGGGTGTGGGTCGCGCGCAGGAGGATAAACTGCCGTGCTACCTGGACGCGTCGCCGGGAGCGAAGCCAATTTACGAGAAGTACGGCTTCAGGGAGGTGGACCGCCTGGTATTTGGGGATAACGAGCTCATCGAGACTCACATGGTTCGGGAGATCGTGCCAAGCTCGGAGGGTTAGATAGCGGAGATGGGGGATGGGGGAGAACAAAGAGGAGAAACATCCTTCCCGTACCAAATAAGGAATTAGGCCAAGGAGCGGAAGACGGCAGAGAAGGGGGATGATGGGGGAAACGGACCCAAAGAAGGTCGAAGAAAAAAGCTTGATGAGTCTTGTCAGTCTGGGGAATCCACACATTTCAAATCGTTTCCGTGGCCCGTCTTGGAAAAGTCTTGGTATTTGCTTGTTTCGCCGCGCACTTTGATTGTCTCCCCTCCACTTTTAACCACTCTCTTCTTCTCTCCAGTGCCCTCCACATTTTTCTTCCTCTCTCTCGGTTCTCTCCTTCTTTCTCCTTACTTGTTCATACGTGTTCATCCTTGGCTGGGGTGAGCCGTCTGAGGTGGGGCCTTGATCGGGCGACGAGACGGAAAGAGGTCCATTGTGAAGGAGAGTAGCCAACATGCGCCAAGAAGTTTGTGCGATGGTTATATATAAATATGGATATGTCTGCCTATGTGTACGTTGCGGCTGGGGAGAAACACGCGGCGGCCAATCTGGGTTGGAAATCAACAAGACGAGACTATAAGAGTCTCCATGGTATGAATGGCTCAATTGTGGACCTTGACGAGTCAAGTATGTCAATATGAAGCGATCCCGCTCTAGGTGGGAGAAGAGTCTCTGCAAGTCTCGCTTTGCGGGGGCTAAATAGAGACACCCTCGGTTGGCTTTTTCCTTTCTTCCTTGTTGTATTTCTCAAATCCAGTTGACCGAAGGTCCTCGCAAGGAAAGGAAAACTCAGTTTCCTTGTCCCCTTTGTTCCGTTCCTAGAATAGCCCCTGTCCTCCCGAGCTCCTGGCAAGGATCAAAGGGCATGTGCTGTTCGATTAATGGTCGTGAATATTACCCCAAGCCTCGCTCTGTGATACGCTCCAGGTGTTTTCAATCCTTTTGTCCGCATCGCGGTTGGACCTCTTCCCTCCTTCGGGGGTACCTGACTTCATAATGTATAGGTTGGTTTTGGTTTCTTGCTTCGCAAGTTGGCTAACGCTAGGTGCTGGCGGAGATGGCCTTGCCACGTACATATATGGATCCCGTTAGCATCCGCTGGATAGATTTAATATTATATTGAAATCGAATAATGGTCCCAAGTAGCCGCATTGCTTAGTTTTCCCATCGTTTCTTTCTAAAGTAGCCCATTGAGAGCGGATTGGATTGAATGTGTTGCACTCGACCCTTATCATCTGATTTTCACGCAGCCGCTTCCCCTTCCGCCTAATTAGACTTAATATAAGCCGCGTCCTTTGATCAATCTTTAGCCCAGGAGGAGGGGAGTTAAGATGGTTCTAGAGGTCTTTTCGAAAAGGATCTTCAGCCGCCTCCGTGACAAACCACTCTTTCACTACCAGTTTCGCACGCTACACGTACACATGCTACGTGTACCATGTAGACCTCCATTTCCCCCTTCCCACTGTTAAGCCTCATTCACCCTCCCTCGCGGGTCTTCCTGAAACCTTTTATAGGTAGGTCGTTTGAAGGGTGATTGAACAAGAAAAATAATATTCAGGAAAGGTCGTTTGTTAGGGTGGAGGAGCCAGCGGCGTGCCATTGATAGGCAGTGAAGACTAAGTCGCCATGCCATGTAAGTGAGGCTTAATCACGCCTCGCCATGGATCCTGATCTTGGCACTCATGAATCTTTATATTGCCAAAGGCGACGGGCCCGTCTTTCACATCTATTCCGTGGCCTTGGCACTCCACCGCATACCATTCTATCGCGCTTCGGTAGTCACTTTGGAAGAAATGGACGCCATGATGCCCATGTCTATTCTCTGCCCTCCAGGAGGGCGGGTCGAGCAATGACTTGGACGGGTCCCCTCCATGTCCTCGCATCGACTGGCTACTTTACTACCTGGCGATGAAACTTTCCGCCCCGATTTAAATAATAAGGTGGAAAGTGGAAGGGATGTGGTAAGGGGACTGCCGACGGGTCTGAAAAGCCAGGAGGTGTTTTTATATACGCCTCTAGCCGGTCTGCCTCAAGAGAGCGCTGAGGATTCTTCGTCTTGTTTCTCTCGTCTAGCACGATCAATGATAATAGGGTAGCCTTGCTTTTTGACTTGAATCTACTCACTCGTCTTTGTTTTGACCAACAAGGGATCAGCATGCGTTTGTCAACTGTCGCATCGGGTGTCCTCGCCCTCGCCGGATTCGGTACGTGACTACCCCAGCTCTTAAAGCAAGAATATGCAAGCCGCAAACATCACTGCCACACAGCGCTGGATTTCACGCCGTGAAAGAGAAAGGGAAGGAAGAGAAGAAGGAGATGTGCGAGGTATTGGAGACAGATGGGCACATTACTAACATCTAGTCTCTCAACAGTCTTGGCCCAGGATGAAGCCGCCGAAGTGGCTCCCATCCCCTTCCCCACCACCTGCCCCGACGTCCCCGCGAACCGCTTCCCTTACAAGGTCCACGCCGACTGGCAAGTGACCAAGGTTGCGGGAGGGCTCGAGCAGCCCCGCGCCCTCGTGTTCGACTCCGCCGGAAACCTCCTCGTCCTCGGCGCTCGGCAGGGCATCAACATCCTCACCTTTGGCGCCGACGGCTGCGTCGCCAGCAGCAAGTCGCTCAACCAGAATATCCGCTTCAACCACGGTCTCAGCCTGACCCCCGACGGCAAGAAGCTCTACGCCAGCTCCGAGACCAACGTCTGGTCCTGGGACTACGATGCCGCCACCCAAGCCTTGACGAACCAGAAGACCATTGTCAAGAACATGAGCAGCGGTATCCACTCCAGCAGGACCGTCCATGTCGTCCCCAACAAGCCCAACTTGATTCTCGTCTCCGTGGGGAGCAACTCCAACTTTGATATGAACGCCGGGGATATGCGCGCCACCGTCAGGGTCTTCGACGCCGACACGGCCCCCGCCGATGGGTGGGAGTACAATACCCAGGGTCACCAGCTCGGTTGGGGTCTCCGAAACGAAGTCGCGCTCGCCTTCGACCCTAACGGCCACGTCTGGGGTGCCGAGAACAGCGGTGATGTAAGTGTCTTTAGGCTCCGAATTTCTTTGCGGCTGTCTTTTCCTTGGAAATTTCCATAGTTTCGAGACTAATGCTAGGGTGTTCAGGAGTTCCAACGAACCGTCAACGGCCAGGCCACGGACATCCATATCGACAACCCGGCCGAGGAGCTCAATTACCGTAAGTCTTTACGATATTTTATGTATCTCTCTCTACCTTTGCTATGGCGCACTAACAGGTTTCGCGGTTAGTTGGTGACCCGTCCGTCCCTAATGAACAGTGGTATGGGTATCCCACTTGCTTCACCGTCTGGGATCCATCCGTCATCCGGGACGCCGCTTTCAAGACTGGCGATCAGTTTGTCGTTTCTCCCAACGCTCAGTTCGACGACGCCCGCTGCGTGCAGGAGTCGGTACCCCCTCGGCTCTCTTCCAGGCTCACAGCGCCCCTATCGACTCCACGTTTGACAAGACGGGCGAGAACCTGTACATCACCTTCCACGGCTCCTGGAATCGCCAGCCTGCCACCGGATACTCCGTTATCGAGGTCCCCTTCACCCAGCTCGAGGACGGTACCTGGGATCCCGCCGCCCCTGCGGACAGCATGTCAGGTTACACCGAGATCTTTGGCGCCGAGAACCCCGGTGCGTGCCAGTCCATGAGCTTGACTATGAGCACCTGCTTCCGTCTTTCCGCCATCACGTTTGACCCCTCGGGCACCAACCTGTATATCTCGAGCGACAACCAGTCCGAGGGCGAGATCTGGGTCCTTAAGAAGAAGGCATAAGCTATTCACGGATCAATACCTACAGGACTGACTGCCAGCGGTTGGCGATTCTGACCATCCTTGTCTCGTCCTGTAATTGTTCCTTTAGGGCTATTTTAGAGGCCATTGAAGCAAGAGGGTGGCTCTTGTAGATAGTTTTATTTTTACCTGTATAAATTGTTAGTTGGGCCGGGGGATTATAAGTGCACCGGATCGGCATTTAGGGATGCCCCCTTGGCAATGAGAGGGAGACGACCAAGCGAGACCGTGGCGTAATAAATGAAGTGATATGTACCGAACATCACGGAATATCCATTGAGCCCAAACCTCTTTTAAAGAAAAACAAAGAAATCGGAATTGTTAACAAGACTGGACCTTGAGCCTCATAACTGAGCTCTCATACGAGTTGAACTGAATTCTTGGCTCCTCTGCGCTGTCTGGGCTCCTAAGAAGCAACTGCTCACAAGTGCGAAGCCCTCAATATTCCTGACTAAGCTTCCGCCGAAGCCCCGCCAAACCCCCACTACTCATGGAGTATTCTGGCCATTCGTGCAGCGACTTGGCACCTCAACTCATATGTGATACCCTTGTTCTCGCCAACATCACTCCTCGCCCCCCTTCGCCAACTATAATTCGCAACCTCACGCTGATCCCATATTTCGCGATCAAGTATCCGGCTGCTTCATCACATATCCAGCCATGGTTCTTCAAGACCTCGGTCGGCGCATTAGCAGCGCTGTGCACAACCTCAATCGAGAGGCGAATCTCGATGAAAAGGTGCGTTTTTCTGTTGAGCTGAGCTCTTTTGCGGCGAGTCAGCTTCGCTTGCTCTCCGCTCGCCCGTTCTCCCCTCCCCGTCGATGGTATTTCAAATGCTGACCCTTTGCCCCCCTTGGCGCTCTGCTTTCTAGGCTTTCGATGCCATGCTCAAGGAGATTTGCGCCGCCCTCCTCGAATCCGATGTCAATGTGCGCCTCGTAGGGCAGCTTCGAAAGTCGATTCGCGCGAGTGTCAACTTCAAGGAGCAACCGGCGGCGGTGAACAAGAAGCGCATCATCCAGATGGCCGTCTTCAACGAGCTCGTCAAACTTGTCGATCCCCACGCCGAGGCCTTCCGCCCCAAGAAGGGCAAGACCAACATCATCATGTTTGTCGGTCTGCAGGGTGCTGGTAAGACGACAACATGCACAAAGCTGGCGAGGTACTACCAGACAAGAGGATTCAAGTCGTGCCTGGTCTGTGCGGATACCTTCCGCGCGGGTGCGTTCGATCAGCTGAAGCAGAACGCCACCAAGGCCAAGATCCCCTACTACGGCTCGCTGACGGAGACGGACCCGGCTGTCGTGGCGAGGGAAGGTGTGGAAAAGTTCAAGAGGGAGAAGTTTGAGGTGATTATTGTCGATACCTCGGGTAGGCACAGGCAAGAATCGGCCCTTTTCCAGGAGATGGTGGACATCCAGACAGCGGTCCGGCCAGACGAGACCATCATGGTGCTGGATGCGTCGATAGGTCAACAGGCCGAGTCTCAGGCCAAGGCCTTCAAGGAGGCGGCCGACTTCGGTGCCATCATCATCACCAAAACCGACGGCCACGCCAACGGCGGTGGTGCCATTTCCGCCGTCGCCGCTACGCACACTCCTATCGTGTTCATCGGTACAGGTGAACACATGCTTGACCTCGAACGATTCTCGCCAAAGCAATTTGTGCAGAAGCTCCTCGGCATGGGCGACATCGCCGGCCTTGTAGAGCACGTGCAGAGCCTACGCCTGGACCAGAAGGACACGATGAAGCACATCGCCGAAGGTATCTTTACGGTGCGCGATCTCCGGGATCAGCTGTCTAATATCATGAAGATGGGACCTTTGTCCAAGATGGCGGGCATGATCCCCGGCATGAGCAACATGATGCAGGGACTCGATGACGAGGACGGCAGCGCCAAACTCAAGCGCATGATCTACATTTGCGATTCTATGACGGAGAAGGAGCTCGATTCGGATGGCAAGATTTTCGTTGAGCAGCCGACGAGGATGACGCGCATCGCCAGAGGATCCGGTACCTCGGTACGTGAGGTGGAGGATCTCCTCACGCAGCAGCGCATGATGGCGGGCATGGCTAAGAAGATGGGAGGAAACATGAAGAACATGCAAAGGGCGCAGGCGGCCATGGCGGGAGGCAACAAGGCCCAACAACTCGCGGCGATGCAAAAGAGGATGCAGAGCATGGGAGGTGGCGGCGGTGCGGGCGGCATGCCCGATATGGGTAGCCTGATGAAGATGCTTGGGGGCGGGGGTGGTATGCCCGGTGGCGGCGGCATGCCGGACATGGCTGCCATGCAGAACATGATGAAGCAAATGGGCATGGGTGGCGGAATGCCGGGCATGGGAGCCCCAGGCGGCGGACGGAGGCGATAAGTGTTTCTTCCAGTCTATCTTTTCAAGACGAGAGAAGAGCATAGAGGAGGAGCTGTTCCGAATTGGGATGGCTGGGGGAATAATTCGGGTATCATTATGCGCATCGCGAAATCGACGAACCGCAAGTCAAGGGTATGGAAGAGGTACAAGCGAGAGGTGGCATTTGGCAAGGCGTTTTTCTATTTTTTGTTTTGTTAATTGGGGAAATTCTTTAGGGGCTTGGCCAGTTTCCAGTTTGCACATCAGATTTGGGTCACTTTCTTTTGGCACTCGGGCAGTATTTTTGACTCGTTATTTACGGTTCATGTCGTATAAGCATTAAAAATTCATTTTACTATTCTTGCCATCTTGCCTGTTTTAATTCCAACGATTCCTAACGATATGGAGCTGGGCATATATCATTCTGGAGCGGAGCGAGCACGACATCCGCTAGCTGCACGCTTAGATCTCTGCAATTGGAGGGCGGGAAAAGTTAGCAAACTGTTACAACTCCCGAGACTATCGGCGACGGTGACTTACTCAACAGCTTGGCGAGCTCTTCGGCGACCCCTTGGCCGAGGCCGGGTTCTGGCCAGTGATGACGTTGTCGTGGACGATGACCTTCTCGCCCCACGGCTCGGCCGCCTTTTCAAACTTGCCGCCGCTCTTCTCGTTCAGGGCCTTTTCGAGCGAGAAGGGCATCTCATCGACCAGCTTCATCTGCTCCTCCTCGACATCGCTGAAACCGGTGACCCTCTTGCCCTTGAGGATGGGCAGGGTGTCGGGCCCGTTGACGTTGACGAAGACGACGGGGCCGTGGCAGACGGCGGCGACGGGCTTGCCCTTGGCGTAGGTCTCGCTAATGATCTTGATGGAGTCCTTGTCGTTGACGAGGTCGTACATGGGGCCGTGGCCGCCGGGGTAGAAGACGGCGTCGAAGTCGTCGGCGGCGGTGGCGGCGAGGTCGGACAGCTTCTTGGTGTTTTGGTAGACGGACTTGTGCTCCTTGAGGAAGCTCACGGACGCCGGGTCGTCCTTGGTGGCTTCGATGGAGGAAGGGTCGAGGGGCGCCTCGCCGCCGTTGGGGAGGCGACGGTGAGCTCGGCCTTGGGGTGGAGGACTTCCCAGGGGTGGGAGAGCTCGGGCTTTGGTCAAGGGGAAAGGGGACAGGGTTCCGAGGTTAGCTTCTTGCTTCGTTTCGAAAACCCTGGTTTCTAGAGGGTAGGGTTTTGCGTGTATAGGTTGGAGAGGGGGAAGGTGTCTCCTTTCCTTGGGTGAGGGAAAACTTACAAGATACCAGCCGGTGGGTTTGCCGCTCTTTTCGAACTTGCCGGCGGAAGTGAGGACGATGAGAATCTTGGGTGCCATTTTCGGAGAGGAAGAGAAAGAGTCTTGGAGTTCGAGAGGATGATTGTTGTCTAGTGGGGTGATAGCTTGCTACTAGGGAGAGGAAAGGGAGCTTCTTTTATTCGTGTGCAGGATAGCAAGGGAGCTAGGAGATGGAGCGTACAGCGAGAAAAAGGTAACGAAAAGCTTCGAGAACCTGAGTATATGTAGTGGGGGAAGTTCTTGGGTAAAAGAGGCTACGTCTACGAGGTAAAGCTTCCCTTTCTCAATGTGTTACACTGGGAGGGGAGGGGAGGAGAGGGCCAAGGACTCGAGTTCCCACAGCTTCACGAATTATCAGTTATTTCTTATTTCTAATCATACAAGTCGTACAGATGCGGAGCTGAGCTGCACATCACGTCAATTAGAAAAGCCCCTCCCTTCCCCCCCACCATCGTCATTGGAGAACGTGCTCCCTAAAAGGGCCAATAGCTTTAGCCACCCGCGAAAGACGCTGTTTGTCTTGGATGGGATTCAATGGTTGGATCAATCCATCTAGGGTTTGAAAAGTCATGGATCGGCTGCTTTCTTTTGACGTCGGTGGTGCGGTATTAGGCCGTGGTACTCTCCGGTTAGTGCCCGCACCGCACGCTTAACCCACCAAGGCAGGTGGGGAGGCAAAGTCTACGCGGGCAAAACAGTGTAGACTGCAGCCGGTGCGGAGCAGTGCGTGGCGGCGAGAGCTCCCGTTGAAGAGAACATCGGGGAATTCGCCTCAACTTTTCGGGGAAACACGAGCAGGTTTTAGCGGTTCGCCCAGCTCACCGGGTTGACTTTTCCTTTGCTTAGGATTCCAATCATCCATGTAGTTTGTTAAAGACGACAAGCGAAATGGGTCTCTACATCTCCTCAATCGGAGCACCGGTCTCATCACCACGGGCAGCTAGCGCCGCATTATCTTATACTTCTTGGAGCCGATCCCCATGCTTGGCACCTCCGCGGCCCGACTCACAATTTAATCGTCAGTCGCTATCCCAGAAATCTTTCCCACCGTATTTATTTCCCAATAGTGCTTTGCCACCAGCCTTCACCTGCACCCGTAGAAACTAAGCTCCGCTCCCACCGCCTCGCCCTTCCAGTCGTTCGCAAAATAGTCGCCGAGCTGAGCTTCGCCCTCGACCTCCACGTTCAAGTATCTGTGGCCTGTCAGGGCTGCTCTCGAAGCTGCCTGAGTCTATCATCCACCCCTGCGTAGCCGTTTCGACGAGCTCCAGCGCCCATCTATCCCGGATCTGCTCAATCTCTTGTTTGACGAGCGCCAGCTGGGTTTCCGGCGCGGGGAACAGCTTTTCCATGTTGTCAATAATCGTCGTGATGTTTGAAACGAGTTCTTTGAGTTGTGATCTGTGGTAAAGAGCCCATCCTGTCTTCCGCAAGACACTGTTTCCCCTCTGCCTCCCGATTGCCAGCGCCTTGATCCTTTCCACGAGTGATGCCACTCTCGAGTCTCCCTTCTCGCACAACGCCGCCGAAGCTTCCCCTGCAGCCTCAGAACGCGACCTGTACTTGCTAGAAATCCTCCGCGATTCCTCAAACAAGGCGAGAATTTGGAACAGGCAATCCTTTAGCGCCCGGAGCTCGGCCGGGGTCGCGTCGGGTCTTCCGAGCGTGGGGTCTTGGAGGACGTCGACGGCCTCCCCACCTCGCCAGACGGAGCCAGGCGCAGGTCAGCGAGAGCTGGTCGGTCTGGTAATCTCGCGCCAGGTTCCGACCGAGCTGGACGTACTTGAAGCAGTCGACACAGGCGGTAAAGGCCGCCGCGATGCCGACGGCGCCGGAAATTATGCCAAAGATCTCGGCCATGGGGATAATGGGCGGTGATGCGACGTCGGATCCGATGCGATTTGATGGGGAGGAAATATGATCCAGGAAATCTAGCCTTCTCATCATACATGTAGTGAGTGCGCAGCATTGGCAAGGCAGCAGACATGTACATTGTTGCAGGCTTCGTGGCTGAGTGTGTCCTGAGCCCCTCCGGACATTACAATTGATGTACTGGATACAGACACCGATGCACACGCAGAGCCCCTCCAACCTTTCTACCCTTTCCACTCTTTTTCCCTGCGTCGTCGCAGTCATGCCCATCAATGAAGCGGAGTGCGCGAAAACAAGGGGCACGGGTTCCAAATGGCATCCCCCAAAGAAAACGCCTCCAGTCGCGGAGGACATGTCTATAACAACATTATCATTAATGGCAAGGCTCACCTTGGCGATGTTTGTAAGTCGCGCCTGATTTCGTTCCAGCCAAACCCGGCCATATCTGATCTTTATCAGTGAACGGTTATCCACCAACCCCAAAGGCGGTCGATACTTGCAGGACGGCGCTATTCCTCGCAGCGAGCAAAGGTGTGAAGCCCCGGCCGCTGAACCGATGAAAACATTGTGTCGGAATCCGGCTTCAGGGCCAGGCTAACCATCTGGAGAACTATCAGCTGCATCCTCGGGACGGAATTATACCTGCTCCATCCCGCGTTCACCTTGGCGCCGCGCTCGACCAGCATCCGTACCAGAACTAGGTCGCCACTCCGCGAGGCTTCCGTAAGCGCCGTGATGCCCCTGAAACACGGCGCGTCGACGTCGGCGCCGTGGTCGAGCAGCAGTCGTACCACGGCTTCGTGCGCGTCATATGTAACGTAGTAAAGCGCAGTTGAGCCTCCGCCGTCCTTTTCGTTGGCAGGCTTGCGCAGCGTGAAGGCGCGGCTGCGGGCCGATGGCCTCGAGAGCAGTTTCTCCACCAGCCCGGGTAGGCCCAGCCAGGACGCGATGTGTAGAATCGGAGGCTGACCGGACTCGAGCTCCCGCATATAATTCCGCGGTCAGTCTTCTCCTCTGCGAACTGCCCACCAGTTCTTTTGCGAGTTGGAATTATCCTGGAAAAAGGGCCTTTTAATCTCCCTATCCCAGTCCAGGCGGGCGGAAGCACGCCTCGCGTGGTCTGGCCAATGCTTAACGGCGTATGGCAACAGTGGGGACTTTTCCAGGGCGGCTCGGGGCAGTCTCTTTGTGGGCAGAGGTCTGTCGCGAAGCTCACTCTCTTCGATGTGATCAAGGCATTTCCTGGCCAAGATGGCATGGCAAATGTCTTCTTTGAGGCGGAACTCCTCTAGCAGTGGGTCACCGTCCGCCTCTTTCCGCAGCAGGTACTCGCGTGCCGACTGGTGGATAAGGGAGACGTGCTGACCTATGATCTGTAGGATCGGACCACATATGGAAACCAGGTCGCGGGTCGCTTAGCTCCTACTGATGGGTGCGATACACGGGATGTCAACCGCCGCCGATAGTTCTTCTAGCCTGAGAGGCCGGACAGCCGTCGCGACCCAGCCCAAAACGTCACAGACGATGTGCCTTCGCTTTCTGTCAACCTGATGCAACATCCTGCCAAGATGAAACGTTCTAGGTCGCGGTTGACGAATTCGTCGTTGTGTGGATCTAGATGTATTTGGGTGAATGTGTCTAGATCGGCGATCGCGCGGCTCACAATCGCCAAGTGGAGGGTCCTGCGAGACTGCGCAGTGCCCTGTGCAGAGAAGAGACCGCGGAACTTGGCAGCGAGAAACTTTATGGACATAGCGTCGCACTCATCCAGGCCGTCTATCAAGCAAAAGATGGTAGCGCAGTCTGGAGCTCGAAGAAGTGTGCTGAGGATGATCCAAAGAGCGTCTTCAGATTCTCTCGTCTTTTGTGTCCGTTCCTCACCTTCGAAAAAGGGAGAGACGTGCTTGTACAAGCCTGGGCGTTTTTTAAGGAGTTGAAACACCAAACTCCGAAGGACGGCGCCTGCGCTGTTGCGTTGCTCATCTTGGTGAGTGCAGAAGTAAAACAGGAGCTCCGTCTTATCCGAGGCCGCAGTATGCCTCTATAGCTCCTCGCTCAGGAAAATAGAAAGCATCGTCTTGCCCTTTCCGGGCCCGCCGGCTATCCCAAGGCACTCACCCTCGCGAAGCCAGGACTTATAGGCTACATTTTCGAGAATCCATTCACAGGTTCCCGCGGTTCGTTGGCCATGGGCGGTTCTGAGTTGCTCCCGATCAAGGACAGGATCGGTGAGCACGGAAGGGCACGAAGCGGTGGTCAGGTTCCTCCTCGAGCGCGGAGCCCGACGCGATTCATCCTTGGTCACCACGGGGGCGCGCTGCACCGCGCTGTCGACGGGGGCCACGAATCCATTGCCCGGCATTTGCTCAGGCACGGGGCTGATATCAACGCCGAGGATAGGGATCGCGAGACTCCGCTCATACACGCCGCATCACGGGGACACGAAGCGGCGGTGCAGCTATTGCTTGAGCACGGGGCCAAAGTTGATACGAAATCCGCCGACGGGGTGACAAGACGGACGGCACTTCAGTCGGCTGCCTCTAGGGGAACTGTACCGATCGTACGCTTGCTGCTAGCTCACGGAGCTGACGTAGACCGAGGGTTTGACAAAGGCGTATCGGCGATGAGCCGCGCGGTGGAAGGTGAGCACGAAGAGGTTATCAGGATACTGCTCGAGCACGGCGCAAGGCCTGTCCGTTGAGGTCGTGAAGACGCGGAAAGGGGAAGCATCGGTAAATTTGAACATTGTGTGACGCAGACATGGCTGGCTGGGGATATAGCAAGGGTCACTGTGCCGACCGCGGTCCCGAGACTCTGTCACTGAGGAAGCGTGAATATTTTCGAGGACCATTCTCTTTCATCCTCCTCCGGGGCCGGCTGCCCACGGGGTGGTCGAAGAAGTTCTCATCAAAGGCCTCATCCAGCTATTCTGTGCCCATTTCTTAATTCGATGAATAACACCAAAATGCCAATCCTGGTAGGATACATTGATGTAGCGAAGCCCGGTTCACGATCCGTAGACGCCAGGTTTTCGGCGGCAGAAACCCGTTCTCCGCCCATACGTCCATGGGTCTGAGCTTTTCTTCCAGTGTGGCTACTATTGATCTATCTTCATTTTTCAATATTAGCTAGATCAATTCATGTCAAATCCTCGTTTTTCAATGTCGTACAGGGCGGATGTTGGACAATGATGTGCACCGCGCGAAAATGGCCAAGGCCGAGCCTTTTAACATCAATTGATTCAATGTTCCAATGTCTAGCCTTGAAGCCATCTGATGGGCTGGTGTCTCCATAGCGTTTTACCCCTCTAACAAACTAACAATGCTCGCGATGTGGGACATTCAACGGCTGAAGTGATTGACGCCAGTGCAGAGGCTCCAACACGTGACACTCTATAATACGTAGAAACCAGCCAGCCACCCCCACGTCAAGCTTCAGAATTACGGGCCCAACTCCATGTCGCGATTTTGAGAGCTCCCTCCGAGTTTCGCGACAAGCTGGTTGACCGACCCCGTTTCCCTCCCCCGTTGAGCTTCCACTCTGCTAGAGTGCCCCGGAACAACCAATTCGAAGGCTTTTGCATCTTCATCCCCGATACAGACCCCTATCGTCCAAACTCCCTCACCGCCCGCTTCTCATCATCCCCCCGCCCTCTCCGCCAAACAGTCCCTCGAATCATCTCCCCGGCCTAGGCTGTGCGGCACAAAATGGCTGCGCAGGCGACGACGGCGGCGGCAGCGACCGCAGCCACGACGACAGAGCAGCCCAAGCTGCTTTGGAACCCCGAAAACGTGCGAGACGTCGCCGAGTCCGTCGGCATCAGCAACATCTCCGAAGAGGCCCTCCGCTGCCTGACCCAGGATGTCGAATACCGTGTCGGCCAGGTCATCATCGAGTCCCTGCGCCTCATGAGGGCGGCCCACCGCACCACCCTGTCGGTGCAGGATGTCAACGCTGCCCTGCGCATCCTCGACGTCGAACCCCTCTACGGCTACGAATCTACTCGTCCTCTGCGATACGGGGAGGCAAGCCTGGGCCCCGGCCAGCCCATCTACTATCTCGAGGACGAAGAGATTGACTTTGAGAAGCTGATTAATGCGCCTCTGCCCAAGATTCCCGCGATACCACCGTGACCGGTACGTCCTCCGTCGCTTACCCTGGACTAGCCAAGCGCTGGCAGCCACCACCCCTTTCCCTCTTCCCATCCCCCATGCCGGCCCCCACCATCCGTCCAAGCAATGCGCTCGTGAGTAACTAACCCGCGCCCTGTTCTAGCCCATTGGCTTGCCATCGAAGGTGTCCAGCCTGCCATCCCCCAAAACCCCATGCAGTCCGATGCGAGGTCCAACGAGCTCCTCCCCAAGGGCACCGGAGCCAACCCCGCCCTCGCCGCCCTCGCCGGAACGGACGGGGCCAATCGGCCAGCCGTCAAGCATGTCATCAGCAAGGAAATGGTTCTCTACTTTGATAAAATCCAAGCCGCGCTACTCGACGATAACCCAGACGAAGAGGTCGTTCGCCTCCGCCAGGCCGCCCTCGCCTCCGTCCGGGACGACCCCGGCATCCACCAGCTCGTACCCTACTTCATCAACTTCGTGTCAGACCAAATCACCCACCACCTCGACGACGTCTTTGTTCTTCGCCGCATGATGGAGCTCACCTCGGCCCTCATCGCCAACGAGACCCTCTTCCTCGACCCTTACGCGAGCCCCCTCTCCGCTCCCGTCCTCACGTGTCTCCTTTCCCGCAAGCTGGGTTCGGATGAAGGACCGGACGCCGTCAAGGAGCAGTACCAGCTGCGCGAATTCTCCGCTTCCCTCGTGGGCGAACTCGCTCGCCGCTATTCCGCCTCCAACCCTCTGCTTCGGTCCAAGCTCACGCGCACCTGCCTCAAGCACTTCCTCGACCAGAGCAAGCCCGCACCGGTCCTCTTTGGCGCTATTAGCGGCCTAGGCGCGGCCGGCGGGCCGAGGCCGTCCGTCTCATAGCCCTCAAGACCCTCAAGAGCGTCAACGACATCATCCTTCACCCCCTCAAGGACAGGACCGACGCCAAGCTGGACTTTGAAATGCTCACGGGGGCATCGTCAGCGCCATCGCACTCATCTCTCAAGACCGCGTGCCTCTCGAGGCCCGCGCCACCGCCAATGGCGCCATCTCCGACACCGACCGTACGGAGCTTGTCGACTTCCTCGGCGATATGATTGCCCAGCGCGTCGTAGCCCTCGGTGACCACCAACTTGTCAAGAAGATTCTCGAAGTGAGGTTCACCGAGTAGTCATCGGCGGACTCTGTGGTTCTACACTTGTTAGGGCGTGACAGGGCGGCGAGGCCTTTTATGGCGGGAACCGTCCCTGGCATGGCACAGGAGTTTGGAGTCTGGGATTCTTCTTCTTCCTCTTCCTCTTTGACCTCGCCGTCTCCCGTGGGTGGCGGTGTTGCGATTGGCACGGAGTCTGTACTTTTACAAGAAGGTCGCACAGCCGACTAAGAGAATGGGCTAGAGAGCAGCCGGACTTTTCTTTTTCATTTTCTCTTTTATGATGATACCAGCGGTTATCTTGTATTACGGGACGGATCCAACGAGCATGGAAGGAGAGTGGCAACACCAAAAAACAATTGGCAAAGTAGTTTGCCGGTGCTCTGATAGTTTGCCGGTGCTCTGATAGCAATAAAAGGAAAATCCTCCTCATTTTATGACCATTCGCTTCTTCAGTCCCATTCCTTGTTTCGACCTTTGACGGGGCCTCAAGAAACAAAAGAAGCCGCTTTCAAGCACAAGGCATAGGTATCGTAATCAATGAAAGTTACCATTCTATTCGGTGTATGGACATACGGGCGCCTCTTGTAATAACCCAAGATAAAAAAATATAAGAAAAAAAAGTACACTTTTCATTCCAACACCAACCATGGCCATGGAATTAAAACCACCAACCGGTCTTATCGCCCTCCAATGCTCATGCATGCAATCAATTTCTCGCTCCTCCACCGTCTAGAGTTTACAGGTTTTGCTGTGCCTTGGCCGCCTCACACGACCCTAGGCCGTTTCTCACCACTTCGATAGCCGAAATCAAGTAAAAGTCTACCACAAGAATCCGAGGCCGAGAGCAACGACGGTGGAGGTGGCGGTGATGGCGGTGGCCACCTTAGAGATGACGGGCTTGGAGAAGCCCCAGGCCATGTCGTAGGTAAGATGCCTGATGCCGTTGAAGAGATGGTACACGAAGGGCCAGGCAACGACGGACTTGATGGCACCCTTGCTGAAGGCGCCGAGGCCAGCGAAGGCCTCGACGAGGGCGGAAGACTCAATATGCCAGCCGAGGAGGGGAGAAGCGAGGTAGACGATGCTGTAGCCGTAGAGCGCGCCGGCGAGGCACCTCCGGTGATACGGGTCCAGATAGAGGCGCCGAACCAGGTCTGCTCGGGGCGGTAGATCTGGAGATGGGGGAGATGGGGCGGAGCTTGCGCTGAGCGGCGACGATCGTCTCGTTCTGCTCGGGCGTGAGCTTCTCGGTCGCAATGGCGGCGTTACTGTTCAAAGGCGACCCAAAGGGTTCCTGCGTTAGCCCAAGTCGTTCTTGTCTTTGCTCCTTGCGGCATTTCCTCTTTTTCTGCTCCAGCCGGTTCCCGTTCGTTGTCCTCTTCGAACTTGCTACACAAAGCTCAAGGGGTAGTGCACGGGGGAAGGGCCGTTTCTGAGTCTGACACAACTTACCGAGAAGGAGTCGAAGTGGAGAGACCGGCGGCGACAGCAACCTTGGGCATGTTTTGCGCAAAAGAGACGTTAGGTCGGATCGCACCTCCTATAGCACAACTTCATGTCAGCCAAGTCCAGCATCTGAAATGATCGCAGAGAGTCCCAGCACCCCTCCCCGTCATGGAGCAAGGGCTTGGAATCTCCCCCAAATTGAGCTTGTCTGTGTTCACGAACCTCGTCGGAGAGCCGACAATCCCACCCTTTGCGCGATCATGGTGACGGAATGGAGAGAGAAACCCGAAAACTAAGTCGTGTTTGGTAGGTAAAGGCGGATTTGGAAGGGTGGTTGGAATGCACGCGAAAGTGATTGTGTCTCGAGCTCGGCAATTCCAGACAATGGTCGACAAAGAAAGAAATGGCTACTGTCCCCCACGGGTCTGGGCTTGGTGTTGGTGATGTGACGAAACAAACGTTAAACTCGGCACCTCGGTCCAAGCCAGCCAATCGTCATTCCCCAATTATCAGCGATATTCACGTGATAAGTCACATGACTAACTGAGCTCCCGGCTTCCGCCGCCCTCTCTGATTGCGCACAGGACCAAACACCGATATTTCTCCTCGATGCTCCCGGTGTTCTTTTCTTCCCTCCTTTTTCCTTTCCTTCTTCCATGAACGGCCCTGTCGTCTGGAATTAGGCCCACTTGTCCCAGTGAGTGTCCATGGTAATTTCTGCTCGACGACAACAGCATTCTGCTGTCTTCGGGGTGTTCGGTGAGAAATCTGATAGTTCGGAAGAGTCCGTTTGATCACGATCCCCGGTAGCTCTGATTCACGTCAATGCTTCGTCTGGTTGTCGTTTCATTCACGAGACCTACATGCCCAAATCTCGTGTTCCCATGTATATATGCATCCGCGGATACATACGTGCGAATTTGTGAATGTTGTATCCTCATTTGATCATGACGAGACACAAATAGAAAGTCGGAGTGCTGTCACGATCCCCTCTGCGTGGAAGGTGATGCTATTCCGGCCTTGCCTATAGGTGACAACAATAGGCATCAACCAGCACGTATATACTCCACCAAAATGGAGAATCATAGGTGGCAAAGGAAGTCAATCGGAGGCAATAATAATAATAACTTGTTAATTGATCAGGATTGAACGGGTGTGCAGCACCTCACGTCCCTTGAAGATCCCTTGCACTCGACGTTAAGAAAATCGTATTGGAAAATGAAAAAGTATATCAAACAAAAACGAAGCACACGCCCATACGCGCGAACCAGGTCCGCTGCAGAGGCATCTGCTGGCCAACTCCCCCTCGCCGCCTTTCGCATTCAATTGCTTTTTTGTCCCACGCTGCCACCCTGTCGCCTTCTCTCGCTGTGCTCCGACAATCAAGGTCTGCGCCATCGTGTGCTTCCAAAACCATTGTACAAGCGAGAGAGCGAGCCCCAAAAACACCGATTACCCCGCCCCCGTATAAATCAAACAAAGAGAATCGCCATCCGCCCGGTCGTGCCATATGCCGTTCCCAAATCATGGTATTATTACTCGGTGTTGTTACAGGAGGAGTGAACCCTCACTCGCCGTCAAGCAACGCGTCCATGCCGTTTCGCTCATTCTCAAGCGAGTCTGCGGTAACGCGCGTTTCGGCGGGAGCCACCCTGTTCTTCCTCTCCTCATCTTCCTGGTTTGTGAGATCCACAAACATCTTGTCAACCTCTCGGGGGTCATGGTGCTCAGTAGCTTGTCCTGCACTGACACTGCTACTAAACCCACCACTCTCTCGCCTCCACACATCAGCGCCGTAAATCTCCTGGGCTTGTCTCCTCCCCACCTCAGAGTGGCGGAAAATCTCAAGAGCCTTACTCTTGACCGCATCCGAATGTAGGTTTAGCCCGTCCAATTGGCCACGTAGAAGCCGGTCTTCAAGCGTGAGGCCCTCGTCGTCGACTAGAAGGCGCGGGCCACCTGGCATCAGAGGGTGCATTAAACCCCCATCGATGTTCATGAGATCGCCCTTGGACTCGCCTAGGGGCCGGGCAATCACCGAGCTCCCCTCATGCAAACCGGGAGTCTCTAAGCCAGAGCGTTCATGAGGCGAGCCCCCATGCCATAAGAATGTCCATCCCGGTGCGGCGTGCCAAGTCCACCCAATCCTGGTGAGCCGTTGGCAGGAGGTGACCCTTGGCCCCCTCGCGCGACGCATAGTATCGCGCCTTGCGTCGCAGGCTGTTGGCTTTGCCCTTGACATCCTCCGGTAGATCGTCCGGATCCTCGACGCCATGCTGCGCCATGAGCTTCTGGAGCTTGGTTGGTCGCGGCTTGCGCGTGCTCTTGGACTCCTGGAAAAGAGGAGGCGGTTCCTGAGCAATATGACACCACTTGTAGAGCTCTTGGCGGAAGAAATTAGTTTCCGATACGAGAAAACCTCGGAGCCTTCAAGTTTGCGCAGGTAGAACCGTTGGGTTTCCGCCTCGGCCTGCGACGAGAGAACTGGGTTGATGTATGGTCTGATATGGTCCCGGAATGCTTGCGCATTGTCGATAATCTTTTGGAGAACCTCTTCCTCCTCGGGCTGGAAAGGTAAATTGGGTATCTCGTCGAACCAGACCATGAGATCCTCGAGCTTAGGCCGAGCGGCATCCCGCGGGATACGAACTCGATGGTCACAAATTGGACAGGTCCAGGGCGCCTTGTCATCGTCCTTCACCTTGCCTCGGGCAATCTTCAAGCATTTGCCGTGATACCTAAGACTGGGTCAACATGCTAAATCCTAGATAATCAGGCCTCATGCGGCGCACAGGGCGACACTTACCACTCGTGGCAGATGCCACACTCAATCATCATGCCGGCTTCGACGCGACGGCACAGGCAAAATACCTCTCTGTTAGGATCTTCCCAGTGCTTTTGCTTCGTCGCCGGGCTAGGCTCTCTCGAAGCTGGTTCGGCGGGGTCCCGGGGCTTGTCGTGAACAATATCGAAGCAGTCCAGATTGCGGCCTAAAACGTAATCGAGATGGCTTTTTAGTATGTGGAGCGGCGCGTTGGACTTCCCGAATAGCTTCTTTCCCTGACGCATCCAATCTTCATGCCTCTTCTGCTCCCTTTCCAGATCCGATGTCCCGCTCGGCTTCGAATTGAGCTCTTCAAGCCTCTTCATGATATCGCAGACTTCATTGTATTTAGGCCGCTGACGAAAGTCGGGGTTCCGGGACCGCTGCGTTAGGTCAATAATCTGTCGATGAGCATCGCGCTGCTTGAGCAAGATCTGGTCCACGCGGAGAAGGGTCTGTTCTGTAACTGGTAGGGCGTTCATCTGGACCTGCGTCGATAGAGCCTCGAGTTGGGGATAGTGGATGATTTCCGCTGCGATCAGCTCTCGCGCCTTCTTCTCCCACTGTTGGCCAGCGAGCATCTGCTCATTGTAGTAGGTAAGATAATCATTGTACGGCGGTATCTCCAGCCTCTTGCCTTCTTCGATAAGTTTCTCGACATCATTAAGAGTCATGAATAGACCCCGGCTCGCGCGCGCTTTTCGTTCCATCGGAGTTGATCAAGGACTCGCGCAAGTCTGTCAACCTCTTTGATATCGACGTTATAGTTGCGGCCTTCTTCGAGCAAATCCTCGATTTCCTGGATTCCTTGAGATTGAACATGCTCGAGGGCTCGCTGGGCATTCTTCTGAAACTGTTCAATTGCGTCGGCACGCTCCTGTAGTTGTAGGATTTCGGAGCAATCAAACCCAATCTGTTCTGCCTCCTGCAGAAGCCGGTAAATGTTGGAGACATCACGATCGCGGTCCTTTTGCTCCGGCGAACCTCCACCGATTGATTTTCTCTTACTGCTCTGCCAAGCTTTGTCGTTCTTGCGCCGGTTCTGTTGCTTGCGAACGGTATAATTCGTGGCTTCGTCCACCCATTCATTACAGCGGTCCACAAACTCACGCAAGAGTGAGAGCGAGGGAAGCTCGAACGGTATTTTTCACCTTCATGCAGCAGTGCCTTGAGGGTTTTGAGGGAGGGGACGGCCTCTTCATCGAGTAACTTTTCGTACTTCTCTTCCCACGCCTCGGGCGTGCGTGCCTTTCGGCAACCTTCCGCTGCGCCATGTCCATGTCCTCCTCGGTTTTCCTATAGACAAGGACGTGGTCGGCTCCGACGAATCTTGCGTTTTCCGATGCATCGCAGCATGCGTGGCTGCCAGCATGCAGCAGACAGAGAACCCTGCCAGTCTTGTGGCACTTGAATCTAGAAAGGTAGGTGAAGGCCTTGCAGTACGAGCATTGATACTCTTCTTCCGGAACATCTTCGTCGTTCACAACACGCTCCAGCAGAGCAGGTGCTTTACTGCCACCCCCAGCCTGGGCGCGAGCCTCTCCGTGCTTAGCAAGGAAGGCCTCCCTATGAGCCCTTTCCCGGGCGTGGACGCGATCCAGGGCGGGAGCCAGCCACTTTGCGGTCTGTATCGTCAAAACCCCGCTTGTGGTCCCTTCCGCTGCGGTCCAAAGAAGTTCATCATGAGAAAAACATGGCTGTCGTCGGAAAAGCTGCAGCCTCTCCACGCCAGAGAGTCCGTACGGTTCCCAGTCACAGGGCGCAAAGTTTACAGCCTCATTGAAGTTGAAACCATGATTAAAACCTGCATGATAGGCTTGGGGAAAGTGATGACGAGCTCACCCGCCCGCTGATCGACAGCATAGACTCTAACGCCAGCCTTCTTTAGCTGCTCCGGAGTCAACAGGGTCACCAGCTGGAAAAGTAGGTCTGGTTGGGTCTCAAAAGCTCCGGAACTGCTTCTTTCATGGCAGCCTCGAACCTCTCAGCGTCTTCCCCAGGGATGCCGTACCACGTCTTGGTGTCGCCAAAATGTTGGTAGTTCGCCGAGTATGAGTAATGGTCTTCGTTATGCCAGCAAAAAGTGGAAAAGATCATTCCCACATATACCCAAGGCACGGTCATGCCTGATATGTCAGACTTGATGTGTCGGAAAAGGCTCTCGGGGTGGAGAGGCAAAAGGTTGAGGTTCCAAGGGTCCAGTGAATAGGGATTCTTCGGGTGCTTCTCCAGGGTGGGAAAGCCGGAACCATGGGTTGTGCAGTGAATGTCGGCGCCGTACTCAACCTCAACGGTCTCTTCGATGTCCGTTACCAGTCTCCAAAACTCACGCTCCACGTCCTCTTCAGTCACGGGTTTTGGGCCGTTTGCGCTTGAGTCAAAGGGGATCTTTTTCTCAAAGTAGCCGGCCTTGAAGTCGGCAGCCTTTTGTTGGAACTGCCGCAAGGAGTAAAGACCACCTTCTTCGAAACCGAATTGTCCGTCACCAACAAGGCAGCGCGGGCAGTTCCACCCAGAATCCGGCTGCTTCTGTTTTGCCGGTGGGTCAAGGCAGGTGCCGTGATAGGAGTGGTCGCACGACTCGCAGGTCAGGAGAACACCGGCCTCCTCATGTTTGCCACACTGTTCACACTTTTCAAGGGCGGCTGCGGGTCCAGATTCGTCTCTAGGGACTCGAGGAACCGACGGTCTAAACTGAGACATGTGGGATCCTGCCACTGTGGGGACAGCTTCCTTCTTCAGGCGCTTGCTCCGGCGGCTGCCGTTGTCTCCATCATCCAGCTCAACGCCGTTAGACTTTTGGACGAGTCGGCACTGTCGCAACTGAGTTGCCGCTTTAGAGAGGTGCCCTCTTTCAGGTGTGGGCGGAGCTCCGGGGTATTTTTGAGGAAGCCAGGGGGCTACCAAACTGCTTTGACGGAGTAGGAGCTCTAGACTGCGGCGCTGACACATTGGGCTTGTTCACACTCGTAAAGCCTCCGCCAGAGTTTACCGCAGTAAAGCCACCCGAATTTATGGCAGTGAACCCGCCCGAAGAGGTAGGTTGAGGGGCTACTGGCGCATCCACCATGGACGAGTCCCCGTCGGTCTCCTTCTTCACGCCATTCAGCGAGGCTTGGAGAGCGTCCGAGGCTTGGCGGGCTGGTGAGTTCGTCCGGGGACGAGATGGGGTATTGGCTTGTGAGTGTTTCACAGGAGTTGGGGCAGGACTTGGAGTAAGGGGACCGCCGTACTCGAGCTCAAGTTGGTGATGCACACCGGGTTTTGCGAGGCGTAGGTATTCCTCGTACGGGCAGAGCCACTTCTGGTACGAGTTTTTAGGGATGTGGATAGAGACGACATGATTTTACCACTGTAGCCGAGGTCTCTGCCGATTTCGGCCCATTTCTTGTGCTTGCACACTTTGTCAAATCCGCCACGTGCTTCCACAGCCTTCTTCAGTCGATAGAGATCGAGGGGTTTTTTGTCGACGTATGGTACTCGACTAGGATTGTTTCCTTGTTGTTTGTGGAATTTGTAAAGTGCGTCGGTATATGTCAAATTCGCGCGTGTGCCTAGGGAGGTTGAAACGTTAATTCCGGGGTCACGATTGTGAAAGGATGGGGACGGCTGAGGACTCACTCCCTTCTACCGAATTCAACTCTTGCTTTCTAGTTCTGAAATGGAATTTCTGCGCGCATCAATGTTAGATCAAGGCTCTATCCAAACAGTTCACCCTTCCCTCGTCGGCCGGTTGCCGACCAACAAAGGGGGCTTCAGGTGCATGTCTTACCTCTGTGTCTATGGCGAAATCAGGATTCCACGACTCTGGGGGACGATTTTGCAGATGCCATATTTATTTGCTTCGGGAGAAATCTTTCTCATGTATTCCATCGGATCTTTCCACTCCTCTTCGGTCGGATGGTAGATGGGTGCATCCTGTAGGCCGTGCGGGCGGTTCTTCTTAGGGGAGGGCAAGTCGTCGCAAGGCGGCCTCGCCGCTCCACTGTCGACAGATCGAGAGGAGCGCTCTTCATCGAACTTAAACGCGTTTGGGAGGAAGATGGGTGGTATCCGTTGGAGTTGACTTGTGCAGCCTTGGGCTTCGAAGATGCACCAAGGCCGACGGCGGGAGAAGCGCGTGAGCTGGCATTCACGCTATTGCTGCCCGCACTCGCAGCTCCAGAGGGGCGAGTGGAACTCCCTGCCATAATTGCGGGGATACAAACCAACAAGAAGGGATCGTAGGGAGAGGCGACTGTGTGAAGGGGATTAAAGAATCGGGAACACCGGTGTTAAAGGAAAAAGAAAAGAAATTAAACAAGATCGTCTGGCCGTGCCGTCATTCTCTGGCAGATGAATCGATAAAGAGATATGGGAAGTCTAAGCTCGGGGCATGACAATCGAATGCCTAGGTAAAGGGCACAGAGGGCGTGGGGGCGGTGCGCGCGACGAAAGGGGTCGAGATCGGGAGTTCGCAGCCGCGATGTCGTGTCATCCGTTGCAGTTCGGATCGGTAGTTCGCGAGTCGCTGTAAGGCTGGAGGAATTATTCGGCAAGATGATGAATCGTTTTCCTATTGCTTAGATCGGCGCCGAAGACAAGTTTCCGGCTCCTCTTATACGGGCTGCGCCGAGGTCAAAGGAGTCGAAGAGGTCGGGTTGGGTGGGCGAGAGGAAGAGGATGTGAGGGACGAAGATCAGAGGAACAAGTTGGCGAGATGACAAAGAATTGGCCGAAAGCGAGCGAGGTGCGCGAGGGAACAGACGAGATTAGGGAATAAAGGGTCGGGGTCAGGCACAAGAAGTTGGCATCGAGTGGGTTAAAGAGGATAATTTCCCCAGATGGAGTTACGAGGTGCAAAGGGAAGAAAGTGAAGGTGGGATAGTGGAAAGGAAGGTACATCCAAGAAGAGGCATTGATGGAGGTTCAAAGAAGGGAAAGGCGAGAAGGCAAGACTCAAGCACTCCAGGACAAGCACGGGCAGAATGTGGTACCGGCGGCGGGTCTAAGTTTGGTCGGTGGGTGCGAGTGCAGGGGAGGTGCGAAGTGCGGCAGCGAAAGTCTCCTCTGAGGTACCCGAGCCGGATGACACGGTCACGCACTGTGATGTCCTCGATAGCGCGACCTAGCACACTGCATATTGTAGGCCTTCCTTCAAGTCTCCCATGCGGCGAATACAGTGTCAATCTGGAGATCTAAATCCAGCCGATACCCAGTTTACAAACCAGCAGATGGGATTGATGGAGACGACACATCAATCCAGATCAAAAAGAAAAGAAGAAAAAGAAAAAGAAGAGAGAGGGAAAAGAAAAATATGGCACTAGCGTCTGATTTACAACTGCACAACACAAACCACACCACATTCACCCTTCAACGCCGCCTCCTCCACATTGTTCGCCGAATAGTAGTGTCAGACTCAAGTCGATCGCTGGTCCGAATGAGGTACTGCCACGACAGGCCTGATAGCCGGCATCTGAAAGGCATCAGATACCACCCAAGATCTATCAATTGATCCATCACGCCAGCCCACCCCCGGCGCAATCCCATCCATTTCGACCCTGACGAGGTCAATGAACACCACACAGATATCCAATTTTTAGTCCACCACCGAACCAGTGCCATCAGCGCTATCATTATCGTGAATCGGGTTTAACATCAAGAAAGAACGAGACAAAGAAGGGCAAGGCTACGTGCATGTTGGGATGGATGTGCCTATCGAGTCATCCATCAATCAATCCATCCGTAGTACCCACCAACAGAGCCTACCTCGCCCAAACCAGCCATGTTTTCAGGATTAATCTTATTACGCATCAATTACTGAACCATCCCGGCGTACGGTATATCGTGGCTGCTGAAATCAGGTCTAAAACAACATCATCCACACCTCTCCACCAAAGTATTGTTAACGTAACAGCTAGCGGGTATCTGAAATAAGAAAAAGAAGGAGAAGGAGAGGAACAGGGAAGGGGAATAAAAGGGAATAAAAACGAAGAAGAAAGAAGGAGAAAAAAAGAAGAAAAAAGGTTCCCCCAAAGAAAAATGGGGGACAAGAGGGAAGGGAAAACCCTTTCTGGCTTGTACAAAAGCCGATCGTGTCGAGGCCGATAAAACATACCCAAAAGGTACGTACCAGCTCCGCTAGCTTTCTCTCCCGAGCTGGAGATAATCCCAATCTAGCAAGAGTAATGACGCTACCTCGGTACAGAAAAAGAAGTTCCTAGAATTTTTTAGCGTCTTGCTGTGATTGAAGAGGAATTGTGCTATCGCACACATCGCTACATTGGTATCAGTACATCATCAAACGACTTTGCACAAGTATCTCTCATCAAACGCGCCATATATTTACGCAATTCGCGACCTAACAATCCTGTATCACTAACTTATTTGCCCAGTGTCGGGATGAAGCCGGGTGCTCAAGGTCGTTGCGCCATCAAGCCCAAAGAAAAAAAAAAGCAGAATGGAATAGGGAGAAAAAAACCATAGACAGATTGAATAAGAGCGCACTCAACCCTGAGAACGCAAGCAAAAAGTGAGAAACTTATTAGGGGTGAGGAGGTTTGAAAGTAGGACCAAAAAAATTTTGGCATCGTCACGCTTGTTGACTTCGGTTAAGCTGCTTCGTAAATTTCGGTGGAGGGAGGAGGCAGACTTCGGTAAAAAAAAAAAAAAGGAAGGGCTGGGACCTTCAACGGCCAGATTTGAACGCCTAAATCACGACGCCTTTTTCAGGAGTGCAAAAATTGGGTGTGATCACCCGAAACCTCTCTGATATCGACGACTAGCAATGCAAGGGTCAGCGTTAGGATCCCTCCTAGTTAGCCAATCAGAACCAACTGACGTTCCTCGAGTCCGACGCAAGTCAGGCATGTCAACCTTGTGGGGAAAATGCAGCGCTGAGTAAGCCAGCATTGATGGTCTTGAATATTTCCGATCCAACACGGTATTTATCAAGGAAAAGAGAACGCCCCTCTGTTAATCACTATGGGAATTGTCGGGTGAGCACTATTGGTGAAACGATCCGAGGCAGGGGGCAGCAGACAGGCCACTAGCTAGGTTCAAAAATATTAGAGAGCTCTTGCGAGGCTTCTTGTGTTCAAAATACTTGGAAACAGGTCGGCACAAAACATCTATGGATCTAATATCAATTGGAGCTTCAACACCAATGCGTGCACGAGCCCCACTCCGCATTCGACCCATGTCCTTCACCCGATGCTTCATCGAAGTCGCGAAATCATATGTGTCTTCTTTGTTCCACCACGCGCGGTCGCCTCTAACCACTAGCCTATCCTTATAGAGGACAATGAACCCGTGCTGCCGTTGTTATCTTGCCCCCAATGCGTTCGTGTCCTCGGCCTCGAGCCGGTGTGGCCTTCGGCAGGCACTTGTTCTAACTCACTTGTGGAGTTTTGCTTTTCTTGGTAGTTTTCAGTAGCTTTTCTACTTCCCTCGGGTCTCTGATCCTCAAGCTCAGCTCCTTCATCATATCCCCCATCTCAGCTGCCCCTTGCAGGAGGGACATTCGCCTTGGATAGGGACCACTGCGTCTTGAGGGCCCTCTCCAGACAGAAGATGGTTGCTCCAGCACGTGATATGGCCCACGGCTTCGCAGTCGTGATTAGGACAGACGGCGTAAAGCCCTTGGCCGGTGGGCATATCTTGTCCGCAGTGCACGCAATCCCCTCCCTTTCAAATGAAAAGATAGAGTTCGTCTTCTCAACGTAGTTTCGGAGCGGCTTATAGTTGACGGCCAAGGCATGGATACCCCACGACTCTCCGCCGACTGGCTCCGGTGCGGATGTCGCCGTAGACGGGCCAAAGTCCGTCTCGATAACAAGGTTCGTAGGAACAAGGTCGTTGCTCTCGGCCAGCCAAGCCTTCCACGCTTTATGCGCATCCTTGTGGAAGAAATGGAGCGTTAAAGGCCACCTTACGAAGCTAGGTACGCCAAGGAGGAGATGCAGGTTCGAAAGCACCGAAGTGAGGCTCTGACGAGGGCGTTTGGGCTGGCCGTTCTTCTTCCTTTGCGTCGCGACTGATATGCGAGACTCGGAAGGAATATGCAGCGAGAGGTGCGGATTTGCGAGCGCCCACCTCCAAACAGACACGCAAGTCAGCGGAAACTGTACAAGTACCGGGTATTCCCGCACTCGAGGGAGGAGCATTTTCCCACTCACTCAAACTTTAGGGCAGCCAGCATGCCAGGGAAGCCCGAGACGATGGCGACCATTTCCCAGGGCCTCAAACTCGGGCGCGACGTGCGCGCGGCGCCTCCTTTCACCTCTCCATTGTGCTGCTTCAGCCGGCGCGGCGGGTTTGGTGTGGAACCAATGTAGAGGGACGCGTGCCGCACGGAGGATCGCAGGATGTAGACCGTGTAGAGGGCCGGGATAGGTTTTACCAAGGCTGACATGCCTAATAGGAGGCTCTTACAGCTTCATATCACATTTCACGCGCGCTTCGAGCCGCAAAACGAGAAAATAGGAAAGGAGACGTGAGATCGTTGGCGCAACAGGGTGGAATGTTCAATGTTTCTATCTGTTCGAGTGACCGTGCGATTTGATCAATGTGAAAGCTTGCAAGGTTCAAATGGACCAATGTGGGCCAGGCTGGTCGTTTGTTGCTGGCTCAGGCCTGGGCACCGTGCTAAAAGTCCAGCGGGACTGCTGCCTGGACGAAATGCCCCGACAGGCCCTGCGCCGGACGACGAACTGAAAAATGAATCAATTGATGGGCCAGCTTCAAGGTCCGCCTCTAACAAACCAACTGCGCGATCCGTGCTCCTTCCACCACCAAGTTGAATACCCAAGGAGTCTTGGCAACATTGAAATGATGGATTGCTGAATCTATCTGGAAGCGTGAATGCAGGTACGAATGACTTGTCTCAATCAAGCACGCTGCACAAGACGCAATGCCAGCCCTTACCGTTGTCAGATGGCTCCATTATTCCAGGTACGGGGCCATGACGATGAGTGACTGGGCTGGCCTGAGACTATTCTCCGAGTATTCCTAGAATTTCAACATCATACGTAACATCAAATGAGGAATCCCACTCAGGAGTTTGCGGAGACCGAGATGCATTGATGCTGCAGCCGCCTCCCGTCAACATCAGATGCTAGACCGACGACGCAGGTTCCGTTAAAAAGAGCAGTAGATGAAGGCCTGAACCATCGTCCCTATATTAAACCAAGACCAAACTCCGCCAACCCCAGTCCTGACAAAATAATTTTACAACAAGCCCTGCTTCTGCAAGTCATAGTACACCTTTTCTGGCATCACGTTACCCTCAGCATCCTCCATCTGAACCACGGTCCCTTCGTCCACCTTGTTCCTCTTCTCTTCTTTCTGAATTCTCTCCCAGAGTCGGAGGGCTTCGTCGATGTGTGAGATATCCCTAAAGAGGGTTGTGTTGGTAATGCCAAGGCACCGCAAGCCATAAACGTGGCGCGCCTCGTTGAAGTGCTTGTCGAACGCGCGTCTACCCATGTAGACGAAATTTCCGCAGATCTCGCAGGGGAACTCGACGCCGAGGCCGTGTAATCTGTAGAGCCAGAAAGGGATAGGCTTGCCGTCCCAAGCTAGAGGAAGCTTGAGGGGTTGTAGATCCTCTCTTCGCCCTCATCGTCCCCTTCCGCCTCCTCTGGCGCCGCCGCCTGCTGGGTCCGGTCCGCCATGCTCATGAGGTTATCGAGCTCCTGCTGTCGCTCGCGTTCCGTCATGCCTTGTTTCCTTTCGACGTTAATTCTGGTATCGCCGCGCTCCGTGGACATAGCGGAGGCTAAGCGCTTGATTCGGAATTCTCGCTCCGCGACTGCCTTTTCTTTGAGCCGCCTGGCTGACACCCCCCAGTGCGTGTCTGTGTCTCCTCGCCTCCCTCTTCCTCTTGTCTTTGGGCACGTCTCTCTGCCGCCTTGATATGTTTCCTTCCTGTAAGGTGGTTTTTGTAAACGTTTTCGTTTTTGAATTCCTTTTCGCAATCTTCGCAGTATACGGCATCCGCCGTGCTAGTTTGGGCGCCCGATCCATTCGTCTTGGCACCCGCGTCTTTCTTCCACCCTTCTACCTCATCCTTCTCCCAGGCAGCTTCGAACTCGTTATCGAAATCCGCGACAACTTTGTCGACGTTTTCCAGCGGTCGGGTTCGGCGCATAAATGACTCGAGGTAGTCCGCAAGCTCCCCTAGATATTTAAAATACTGATCCGTCAACTTGTCGTCTCGCTTTATCCCTCCAGCGCCGACGGCAAAGTTGTCAAACAGCTCCAGATACTGTATGTAGTTGAGGCGCTTGACGTTGGGCAGGTTGAGATATGAGTCGTGGCACGCATGGAGATCCAGAAACCGGCCAAAGGCTTCCTCTCCGGAGAACAGGGCGTCTATGACATAAGGTATGAGTTCGCCGTCCGCCGTCCGCTTCGCGCGGTAGCGCACTTCGGTGTTCTCTGCCTGCTCGTTGGGATAGCGAGCGTGATGATCACGGATGGCTGTGACCTCTCGGTAGAACTCGTCGAAAGGATCACCGGTCCCTATCCGCTGGATCTCGTTTGTTAAGCCGGAATCTTCGTCCCGGTAGAGTTTTAGTAATGACGCGGACTGTTCCTTGATCTGTTGGAGGAGTTGCGCAATCTCGTGGTCTTTATTCAACCTGTCGCGTATGTGCTTGGGGTCATCTCCGATGCGGTCGGCAATAGCCTGCTCGAGCCGCTCCAAGTCCTCGTGGAGGTAGCGCTCGTCTTCCAGAAACATGATTGAGGTTGAGGGGTCGTTCTGGTGGGCTTTCTTTTGACTGTTTTTCGAGCTAGGAATGAAATTGTTTGGAAACTCAGCTTCAAAGGCAACAAGAAATGTTCGAACCTGAAGGAAGCTCTTGCGGAAAGTATACAGTGCGTACTTCTAACAAATACAGTAAATGCGCGGCACTTTGCAAGGCTACCAACCGATGAACTTGCGCTCTGCACTGTTAATATTTTTTTCCTTGTCACTGACCAGCCGTCCTCTGATTGTTTGGAAACTTCAACCAAGCCATCCCGCCATCTCATTCAAATCAGTTTCACCCACAACTTCTCTTCGACCACAGCAATCGTCTCCGTTCCCGAGATTCCCTCCTCTTCGAATAAATTCACTCCCTAGAAACCATCTCGCCCCCTTTCTGCAATCATGGCCGACGGGGCTGCTTCCGGCGGCATTGACCGCAAGGCTGAAGAGCGCATGGAGTTTACCACCTCGAAAGAGGTCACGGTCCACCCGACCTTCGAGGCCATGTCGTTGAAGGGTATGTTGGAAATCTCCTGTCGCAAAATCCTATCGGACTTTTATCACTAATTCCTCTGTGTAGAAAATCTTCTTCGAGGCATCTACGCATATGGCTACGAAACCCCTCTGCCGTCCAGTCGCGCGCAATTGTCCAGATCTGCAAGGGTCGCGATACCATCGCCCAGGCCCAATCCGGTACTGGTAAGACGGCGACGTTCTCCATCAGCATGCTCCAAGTCATAGATACCGCCGTGCGCGAGACCCAGGCCCTCGTCCTCTCCCCAACCCGAGAGCTCGCGACCCAGATCCAGTCCGTCGTCATGGCACTTGGCGACTACATGAATGTACAGTGCCATGCGTGCATTGGTGGCACAAACGTTGGAGAGGATATCCGAAAGCTAGACTATGGTCAGCACATCGTGTCGGGAACCCCCGGTCGCGTGGCTGATATGATTCGTCGCCGCAACCTCCGTACGAGACATATCAAGATGCTCGTTCTTGATGAGGCCGACGAGCTCCTCAACCGCGGATTCCGTGAGCAAATCTATGACGTGTACCGCCACCTTCCTCCCGCCACCCAGGTCGTCGTCGTCAGCGCAACTCTCCCTTACGATGTGCTCGACATGACCACCAAGTTCATGACGGACCCCGTTCGCATTCTCGTCAAGCGTGACGAGTTGACGCTTGAGGGCCTAAAGCAGTACTTCATTGCCGTCGAGAAGGAGGACTGGAAGTTTGACACGCTGTGCGATCTTTACGATACCCTCACCATCACGCAAGCTGTCATCTTCTGCAACACAAGGCGCAAGGTTGACTGGCTAACGGACAAGATGCGAGAGGCCAACTTCACCGTGAGCAGCATGCACGGCGAGATGCCTCAAAAGGAGCGAGACAGCATCATGAACGACTTCAGGCGTGGTGATAGCCGTGTACTGATCTCGACCGACGTCTGGGCGCGTGGTATCGATGTGCAGCAGGTCAGCTTGGTCATCAACTACGACCTTCCCAGCAACCGTGAGAACTACATCCATCGCATTGGTCGAAGTGGTCGCTTTGGCCGCAAGGGTGTCGCCATCAACTTTGTCACCACGGAGGACGTGCGAATTCTTCGCGATATCGAATGTGAGAGCCGCCCTTGGTCACCTATTCTCCCTGTTTTCTTTTTCCTAACTTTTGACAGTGTACTACTCGACCCAAATCGACGAAATGCCTATGAACGTCGCAGACCTTATCTCGTAGACGGAGAAGCGGGATAAAGCAAAAAGAGGTTAATAAAAAAACAAGAAAAGAAAAAGCAAGGCCATCAGAGCTTCTATGGCAGGTAGGCGGAACCGAATGGTTCTAGTCACCCCCGAGTAGCCATGTAGGCCTCGGGTCAAGCCATCGCGTGGGAGGAAAACGGGTGTTTTCGCATCCAGTAAGCCACCTCTCGCAGCAAGCATGCTCACTTTGCAAGCAATAACCGTTCTAACCTCCTCGATCTCTCCTAGATACAAGATTGTTTGTTGTAGTGCATTGCCGGAGAAAAGGCAGCGCAATGGCAGGCGTTATGGGGTTCGCCGTCTGTTGGACTTTATGTAGTTGCTACGCGAACATGGAGATGTTGCCTACGGGGTCCGACTCTCCATGCCAATCAAGCGCACCGTGAATATAAGAACAGAAACTCTCACATACCCGCACGATTGTCCCATTTTCTCCTCGAAAGCCTAGATGGCATCTGGTAGGTTTTTATAAGACAGTGAGCTTCCATTGAGAGTAATGATGTGTTAAGGAACCCGCCTCCAAGTATCCATTGAGCGAGCCACGTAACGCTGGATAGCAGGGAGGTCTGACGGAAGCGAAGATAGATACAAGAATCGAAGTAGCTCTCCAGAGATAGAACATCCAATGAACCTCCAACCATAACAGCAACAACACTGGGAACTATCCTCCTTATTGGCCTATACCCGAAGACCATTCCCTCATGCTCCCGTTTGACGCCTTTGTCGACCCGCGAAAAAAGTAAAAAAAAAGAAAAAGAAAGAAAAAGAGAAGAAGAAGAAGAAGAAGAAGAAGAAGAAGGGATATAGGCATAAATCAAGGAATGGTAAAGAGAGGGGTGTAGGGAAAGAAAGCAAGAATGATAGCGCTCCAAAACCCAAATGCTTACATACTCATGTCATAAACGGCATTCAAACATCCATCATGATCCTCGTCCAGCTCAGGACGAGAACCTTTCTCCATCCGCCGGCTTACATTCCCGCAGCGACACCTTTTACTCAGTGGCAGATTTTGGGTCTGACGCACTGGACTGCAGGGGCTTCTCATTCCTGGAAAGCGGCCGAGCCCCGTCCCGAAAGGCCTCCGGGTCCTCTCTATCCACGGGCGTCAGATCCTCGAGGGCGTACTCCTCCTCGCGCATCCTCCCCTTGTGCAAGCTCGCCCCGTCGGAGCAGGAAGCGCAGCTCAATCTCCGCGCGCCGCCCAGCTCGACGTCGCTATCTCGAGAGACGTCGTCCGCTCCGCTCAGGCGCCGGTCGACGCCGCTATTAGGCCCGCGGGTTCCGTCGTCGGTCATGGCTAAGGAGGCGAGTAGGTCCCGGGCCGAAAATAGGTTTCTGTTCCTTCGGCTGGGGCGGGTGCCGATGGTGAGGGGCCGCTCGTAGCCGGCCATACCGGCGACGTCATCGTGCCAGTCGGTGGCGGGGGTGCCGGAGCGGGAGGAGAAGTTGGGAACGATGCGCATGATGAGGGGCTTGAGCGTGGGTAGGCAGGCGCAGAGGATGGAGGCGCAGATCTCGATCATGGACCAGTTCGCCATGCTAATGGTCGTGAAGGTGATGTCGCCGCGGTTCGGCTTATCGGCGGCGTTGGAGTCGAGAAAGAGGACCATTCGGAGGACGGATACGGCGCAAACTCTGTGGAGGGAAAAAGGGAGGAACAAATTAGTGTCTAATGCGTATAAAAGGAAAACCATGTCCTCCTTTGTATTTTTTTTCAACCCTTGTCCGGCTGGGGCGTTTTTCACTCTACTTACCCAAACGCGAGGAGGAACACCGCCAAAAGGCTAATCTTTTGCTTCTTCGGTATGCGCAGCTTGGAGATGACGGGTAAAGGTAGCAAAAGATGAGGAAATCGGTAGCGATGTGGAGGACGTAGTTCGACCAGTAGATGGAGCTATCGTGGCAATACGATGTCCTTCGCAGAGGAAAGTCCCAAAAGGCCTTGAGAGGTATGCATGAGACGAATAGGTTGGTGAGGATATACGTATGGGAAAGGCAGACGGTGAGGATGAGGAGCTTGGTAGCAAGCTGGGTATAGTCGTAGGTCAGGATTCGGAGGTAGAGGCTGAGGATGGAGAGCTTCGTAAAGGTAAGCGAGGCAGAATAGAGGATCGAGGTGAAGAGATTGGCCTGGGGGTTTCACTCTAATGTCAGTACTGCCCGGGAATTACAGGTCGAGATGGATAGCCAGCCGGAAAGAAGGGGGTCTGTTTCTCACCTGGAGGTACGTCTCGAATTGCTTTGTCGTGAGGTATTGCCTATGGCGCCCGAGTCCAGCTTCGACCACTGAGAAGGAAACGTGTTAGCCGCAACGTTGGTCCTGGCGGGCATGCGATAGCCAGGCTGGCTTTTGGCGCCCCCTCCCGACAAGCTACGCCGCTCCAATAATCATGGTGAACTTACTGGCGACTGTTCCGGCCATGGAGCCGAGAGCGAAAAGCTACAGGTAATGGCGTTAACGACCTCCCCATACGTATCAAAGGTCCCGGAAGAGGATCTCCAAACTCACAAGCGACACGAGTATGAACCAGTCCTCCAGCCCTAACCTCCGTATCAAAACGCCCCTCGTGTAGAATCTCAGACCGACAAAGGTCGCCGCAATGACGGTAGAGATGACGGCGCACGGCACCACGGTATGGCCGACATACTCGTCCGGGACGTCCAGGTTCTCGACTGTTGTATTTGACGCCATGGCGCCGAATCGCGGTTGGTGATTATCCTTCGGCCTCCTTGTCCCTGCCCTCGTTTCCTGCTCTTTTTTTTTTTTTCCCTTCGTCTTAGGGCGTTGCGGCGCGTGTAAGTCGAAGGGTGACTGCGCGGCGGCGCCAAGGTTAACACGAATTTCCCGTCTCAGCGATCCCAGAAAAGCGACAAAAATCCCCCATTAGGATCTCATTGCCGATAAAGAGAGAATCGTGGCGCTGAGGGCCGGGTGCTTGTTCTGGATATTGTGATCGGTTAAATTGTACGTTTGTCGAGTCCTTGCGCGGGCATCAATGGATCAAGCGTTTGTTAGTGGCGGCGAACAAGTCCAGCTCGGCCGTTAGAAGGAACGGAAGAGAGACAGAGAGAGCGTCAACAAATTCAAGTCTCTCCAAACGAGTTTTTGGTTCCGGCCAGGGTCACCAAAAAGATATTGAATGCTCAAGGTTAAAGGAGGAAAAAAATAAACAAGTCAGCGCCCGCTTGGGAAGACACGGGGCGAAGATAAAATGAAGGGATGAAGGCGAAAAGAACGAGTGGCAAAGCAAAGTGAAGACGGCGTTTCCTTGTAAAAGAGACCAAAAAAGACGATTAGAGATCAAGGGACGGCCGTCGCAGTCTTTATTGAAGGATGACGAGACTTTCAATGGTTCCATGTGGTGTGTATGGTCGTCAACTGTTTCTACCGCCGGAAATGTCATATCCGCCCCCAGGTCCGCTGCAATATATCAAGGCCCTCTCTTCACCCACACCTCAATAGATTGCTCTCCCGGATATCCCCAATCCCATTTATCATGCAGCACGAATACCATGCTGGCGTGCCACCGCCCTTATAGCAGCGTCAATGGGCGGAGTGAGCACCCATTGATATTGATTGGATTCGGTCGATGCTTTCAAGCCCTCCATGTCTCGTCGGGTGTAGGTGGGCATACATCCATTGTATGCAATGGATCAATGCTCGTGCTCCTCCCCGCATCTCAACGTACGTCTTCATTGGCATTCTTGCCTTTTTCACACACAAAGGGCACATAGATCCAGAGATGTGTTTCTTCACCTTCCTGCTTGTTCATATTTTTTCTGCTCTAGGCTCTAAAATACAGTTTCTTGGCTCGCTACTCTCCATCACACCAACTTGCTTGCTCCTGCAAAAGGATTTCATCTTCGTCATGAAATCTCACATTTACTTAGTTCATTGCTCTCATCACCTGCCCTCTTCTACTTCCCGTCTTTTGTTTCCTTTCTTTTTAATAGACCTATTATATTGTGCTATACCGAAGAGCTGAACAAGACTCGAGTCCTCTGAGCCCACGGGCATGGGACTACAGTCATGCGCCGGCTGTCAACGAGATACATTGACATCGGATCCATGGATCTCCAAAGTTAAGCGTATCCAGGGAAAGGGTCGGGTAACCGGCGCACGGGGCAAGCGGAGAGGGGGAGTGATAGAGGGGAGGGAGAGAAAAAGAAAGAAAAAGAGAAAGAAAAAAGACAAGAAAGTCAAGCCCGCTCTGTGGCTGGTTATACCCGCCCGTCTTTTAATCCCTCCACTTGTTTTTCCCGCGGGCTCTTGAGGCAAAGACGGCCTGGGATTGAGAGCACCCAGAAAAGGGTTCTCGGTGGCACTGGTTTGGTGTGGATGGAATTAAAGTTGACCAGTGAGCCGGCTGGCTTCTCCCCCAGGTACACGACGGTCGCAAAAGTGCAGCGGACAAGCAGGAAAGAGAGGAGAAACGACACGTTCCCCATCCATCCACGATCGATCAATGAAGTGCCTAGATGGAGATGGATGGGGTGGATGCGTAACGCCTAATTTCGCCTGGCACGTCAGATCGTGGCTGCTTCCACGGAGTGTGCAAGGTACCAACCCCAAATGGGGGCGACAAAGCAGCCATGTGGATGGCCGCCAATATCTGCTAATGTATTATATTGGTGTACGACGAGCCAGAACCAAGAAAGCCGCCACTCAGTCTTTTTGTCCCCTTTTTTCTTACTCACTTGGGTTGCCCTTTCGCTTCAACTGCGCCCTTTGGGCTAAACGGTAGAGGGCCGCTGGGTTGAGGGCTAGCAATGCACTTCATTTGAACTCCTAGTTTTGGATCGACTGCGAAGGGCGGACAAGTCGTCGTCACATCCATCCGCAGCTATAGATAATTGTACGCGTACACGTAGCGTAGCGTCGCGCCTGCCAAACTGGATTTCCCATGTGTTCCTCCAAGAGAACAGAGCAGGCTGCGATTGATATTCTCCAGCATGATCTTCCTCCCATCGCCGTCAATGCCATCCGCTGGGCCGATCCCGATCCTGGGCCGTGGCGCTGGTTAGGTAGGCTAGGAGGTGTCCCCGCATGAAGAAACGAACCGCATCTGGCGATTTTTCTATTTTTGGTCCCATACTGGACAGGCCCCAACACCTCATGGGCAATGGCTGATAGAGATGCTATTACTCGCCGCCTCCGTCCAGAAAGACGGTCACTGAGGGCGGGCGAACCGAGGATTGAGACGAGAAATTCGGAAACCGGCGACCCTGGTGGAAAGAGCGGAGAAGAGACCCGACTAAACGGGGAGGGAGGGATGCGAATGAGGAGTCGCGCAATCAATCTGGCGGCAGGATTGAATTGAGCCGTTGGGTGGAACGTTGTCCTGTGCCCCAACTCTGCTTGAATTAAGGTTTAGTGTAGAGTTTATCAATTGAAGAGGATTGATCCCTCCAGCCACAGATCTATTGGATCCATGGATCCGTGAATGTGCCTACTCCAGCACATCCATCAATGGATGGTGGAGGCCAGCACTCGATTGCGTGTCGTTGATTCATCCATGGATCCATCGAAAAAAAAAAAAAAAGAGAAAGAGGAAAAAACCCTCTCAGCCTGCCAGCCGATGCGGCATGCAGGCAATCCCGTTCAACCATGTCGAGAACACCAAGGCAAAGAAACACACCCCTCCAGCAATGGCAAAGCCATCCGGCCTCTGCTTGGCGGGCGGGTGAGCGCAATACACAAGCTCTCTCCATCACCCAGCCTATCATCAAATGAAGTCAAAACCCGCCCCTCACTTTACCCGCTTCGGGCGCCGGCGACTCTAACCCCACGGCCCGAAAGGGGCATCGTTAACAAAGCCAAGCTAGTACATCTTGATCCAATGGATCAATCCATTTCGTGGCTCGGCCTGCTTGTGTGACTCGAGGGCCAGCCTTGTATAGCAATCCCCTCGGCCTCGGTGGTTTCGTTTCTTAGGTTGATTGAGCTACACTTGATTGCGAAGACGGAAATGCCTAGGACTTCACGATCCAAGTCATTGGACAAGGTTGGTGTCACCGCTTCCTAAGGGAGGGGTAGCTTTGTCTTATTATATCTCTCCCTTCAACGAAGCGAAGATAGAAGGGAAAAAGACGCTTCGGTACACGCATGAAGAGACGAGAGAGTGTGTCTCTTTGGTGCGCCCCTGTTGGTTTCTTGGCCGTTTGGAAATAGACTTTGCGATGAGTTCGAGTCAGCCGCCGCTTGGTGTAAGCAAATCAGTACCTCTTGAGAAGCTACCTGAGGCAGACGCTCCCACTATGCCTGAGCTACACCCGTTGCGCTTGGGTATTAGAGGCTTAAAGAGACTTCAAAGGTTGGTGAGGGCGGACGGCCGACTTCATCAATGTACGAGCTTCAGGTGGCTTACAACATTACCTGCTCGCACCCGTCCGCGCGCACACCCACAATCACCGCACCTCCATCCACCACACCCACTCGTTCACTTACTCTTTCCCTTTCCGCGTCTCTAATATCCCACCCGCCGAGTCTATCCCAGAATCTGGCAACGGCCCTTTGGCAATACCCCGCTGACGCTTATCTCGTTTCCAAACCGTGGTAGGACCTGTTGGGTGTGCCTGCGCCGCAACTTTGTCATCGACTCCCGACACACGGTTTCTTGCGTCGAGGAGAGCCTGTCCGACCGGTTTCCGGTTTCTTTTCTCTGGATGACCTCGGCCTTGTTCCATTTAGACATCTTACACCCTCTCGCTTCACAAACTGGCTAAACATGTCGAGGGAGTAGCTTTGAGAAACCCGAGAATTTGGGTTGTGATTGAATGAATAGCAGGCGCCATCTCCGTCGCGCTCCTTCAAGTCAAATGATGTATTCCGCGCTTTCTAGGATCTCGAAACAGATCCATGTTGTCCTGCTGGGCATGCTCTTAATAGGTGGGCTCTTTTCGAGCACGCCTTAAGGCGGGCGGAAGTGCTTCCCGTGACCATGTAGAGAGCGGTGTACCTTTGAGGAAAGCATCATCTCGGTAGGCCGAGAGGGATCCGTTGAACAGGAGTCTACAGATTATCGGTTTGATGCTAGCAGCGTTAGCCATCACCACCTTCTCGAGGCTGAAGACACTCAAAGAACGCACTGGCTTCTAAAGTAAAGGAGTAAGCCCCAAGATACAACCAAACAATCATAAATTTGAACTACTTAGCCAACTAAAGACGCAAAAGCATCTTAATGCGAACCAACACCTTGCCACATACTTGGTCATGTAATATGAGACAGAGAACAACACGATTGGTTCAGTAGTAGGGTTGATTTGTTGTCACATCTGGGTATTGGTCTTACGCTAGACCCTGGCTCAAGATTGGTCTGGTCAAGTATGCGCGCGACGTGTTTTGAGGTTCGTGGAACAACAGTCATAGTTGGGATACCCAAGACCCATGATACATGCCTGGCCCCGTTGTGAGTGCCCACCAGACAGAGCGACACCGTCCTCTTCTCTGCTTGGCAGAGACTTACTCCTTCTTTTCGAACTCGGTTCGAGGACAAAGGGAAGACGGACATGAGCAAGGTCGAAATGGATTGCAGAATGCAATGTGATGCCGGGGATGCTTTGTGTCTGGGGCGAGGTGGTCTGTCGATCAGCTTCCCTTTGTTGGACATGCCTTGCAGATCTCTGAGAATTATACCATTAGTAAGTTCTCCTCTACCTCGGTACGCCTGGCAAGAAAGGGTTGCATGCTAATCCAGCCTATTAAATTCGTGAAAGCCAGCTCTGAGCTTGTTAGTGGAGCGTGGCCTTGGAGCTAGGTGTCAATGCCGGAAGATTGGGGGTTGCGATATTATTGACGAGGCTTCAATATAGGTGGGAGCCAGGGTGTGAGCCAGCCCACTGACCACCTGCCAGTGCGATATTTCGCCCACTCCTTTTCCTGCCTATATCCTGGTACATACAAACTCGCCGTCAGTGGGACGGGGGAGGGGAAGAGGCCCTTGGAGCCGACTGCAACCTTAATCTTCGACGGGCAAGCCTTGATCGCATCCTGCCTCACCCTTGAGGCGCCAAAGAACGGGAGAGGGGTTACGACGCGCTTGACGAGGCACAACTTCGCGAGACCGTCAGTTCAAGGGAGGCGGCTGCCTCCAGTCTCTGAAAGAGGTGCCGGGAGCGCAGAGTCAACGTGGTCCGCGGAGTATTCTTACACGGGCGACCGTCTGGAAATCGCCACTCCCGGCTCGGGCCCCTGGACATCCAATCTTCCACTCCTCGGCTGCCTCAAAGATCCTTTGGGAGATCACATCCGGCATGTAAGCAACGTTGCGGTCATAGTTGCGTTTGCCGATCGTTTGGACCATTCGTATGTTCGCAATTGTCATGCGTTTTCACAACGCTTCAAGTTTGCTTCGCTCCTTCGTGATGCCTGTGGAGGCCCTTTCTGGCTCCTTTTCTGCGAGCGGTGCGGGGTTTAATTGCAAGGTAGTGCTTTACGACGCGGGAGGAGTCACTCCAACGGCGCGTCCTTCCTTCAGCTTTTGGCTTCAGACACTTCCACATCCATTGATATCTCCCTTCACTACCCTTTGTATTTGCTGCCCGGTGTTAGTGTCTCGCCTCGAACATGCCTAGGCTCAAGTTACAGGACCAGCAGCTTGGCAGGGGTCACGCCACAACCGAATACTGAGATACGCAGATAAGACCAAATATGGTGTTTTGAGCTTGCGTGCATCCACCGTCTCTAAATGTGATATTCTTTTCCGCAGGGGCTGCGGCAGCAGGGAAGCGCGAGCGGGTGGCGCGAGCCTTGATTAACACTGGTTCGCCAGTTTGCTAGACGCTAGAGCAATGGTTGCGAAGGTAGTGCCTAGTCCTCTCGCCTAACCGCGGATTTTGATCCCTTGCACCCAGGGAAGGATCGCGAGCGAGCGAGCGGGCGAAGCGAAATATATGGACACGCCGCCATGATGGCCTTTCTATGGGTTGGAGTTTTCTGGCTGCTTAACCTAGGTTTACATGTACTCAACGGAACCTCTTGATGGGGGAATGGCATCCACTGTGGTTGGTAAAGTCCTTCGCAATCTGGTAAGTTCTGGAGACCTCCACCCGCCCTAGCAGCTCGAAGCGCGTGGCTGGAGAAAAGGGTTGAGTCTGGGCCATTTTTGCACCGCGGAATATCGGAACATTGGAAATTCTCCATGGATCGTGCTCATCCACCGACCACTCGGAGCGCCCTGGACACTTTTTAGGTGTGGAAGTCTCCCCAGTGGCCTGGGTTTTGGTAACCCGGAAAAGGAAGTTGTCAAAGCTCGGCTGACCCCTTTGCCCAAAACAAAGATAGAACCAAGCACGGATCGGAGATCTGCAAGGCCATTTGATGCACTTCCCGTGCACAGCAAACGTAACTATGCACGTCCCGTCTTCATGCGCGCGAAGGCTCTTCGACGCAAAACATCAAATCAAGCGAGTTGTTCAGGCTGACTACAACCTTGCGCATGGGATGAATCTCTGTGCAGTGCTGGGCAGCGGTAGAATATGTTTACATCCATGCATCATTTCACTTTTTCTTTTTCTTCGGATCCGGACAGAGGAAGGGAGGGGCGGTTTGTTTTCAAGCGTATAGAGTTGCTGGCTATTATCCACGATCCCGCGAGATGGATGGTAGAATCTTAAAACGTAAGGGAACACTGCTCAGGCAATGTTTTCTCCGCTTCTCGATATACGTGGACTGTTGATGCGTTGGATCAATTTGATAAATTGGCGCTCTCAGTGCATTAATTGGTGGTCATAGTAAAATCAGAATATGTGACCAGCTCTCTCGTAGAAAGGGAGAGCACGCTGACGGCTGCGGTTCCAAAGCCGAGAGAAAAACATCCCAGTATAGGGGCGGGGCGCCCGATCCGCCTGCCCCGCAGATGCTGCCTCTTCAGTTGTAGTGTTCGAATAATTCAAGGCCATTCAGTAATATCAGGGTCCGTAACTTATAAGGCCCGTCTAGCCCGGTCACTCGTGGGTTGCTTCAATGTTCCCTCAAAACGTGAGTGAAGGCGTGTGTGGAGGTGCTCGACCTTCCTCTCACCCATCAGTCGGCTTGGAGTTATTCTGACCCGTTAAAAGATACCGATCTATAATCGAATATACAACATTGAAGTGTGAATATAATATAACATTCAAGTTGTTCGAGCGAATGGCAGCCTTGGCCTACTTCGTACTTCGCCTGTCTTCCTGTTGTTTCCATTATTACTTGTATGTGTAGCCCCTCCGCTTTTTGCGCACCTCTTTCGCCCCCTCGTTGGAGGACATCACGGACCACCCAGGAACCCATGGACTGAGCTTCTGGGCAATCGATTGCATTGTTAGTGCGCCACTATGGACGCATGCAGTTTACGGGAGGCCGTTGGTCTGAGCTTGCCAGGGTAGCTCCCCGCAGGAAGAGGAAGGGAAAAGGGCAATATTGTGTCAGTGCACAGGAGGTGAAGTCCAAGCAGTCAAGATTCCCCAGAGCGCTGCCCTCTTGGCAGACTCAGCATCTGCTGTTACAGCATACACGTAGGTGAGAAGCATCAATGTAACCTTTCGATCGAAGGGGGCAACGACCGAGAGAAGGGGTTTATGCCCATTCCAACTCTGACAGGAGGTATACCTGCAATAGCTGAAGCTCAGAAGCACAAGTCCTTGCACCAGGCGTGCAACGCATCTCACTTCATCGGACCAAGTGATGCGATTTGGAGTTGGTGGTGTGGTACCGTGCTTCGATTGTGAAGCTAGGCGAGACTATATTAGTGCAACTCGGTTTTGGCGTAGTTGAGTTTGTGCATGGACGAGTATTGAAGATTTGGGGTGTGAGACCAGCGCCCGATGGAGAGCTTTGCATCCAATATCTACAAGTACGTCGAGCCAGAGACAGTATCATAGAGATGGTTGATCCTGCACCCGAGTGCCAGGTGCTGGCAAGGGAGCCTTGAATTTTCTTCCCGGATGACGGAGCAAGACTCTGAATTTGGCGTTGAAGGAGCGGTTCCTTGCAGTCCAGAATGCGGGACGAGGGCACCAGAAAGAGAAGAACTTTGGAAGGGACCCCAAGGTTGCATCCCTGGACCCAGTCCAATCTCCCGGCTCTGTGAGCCGTACCAGCCTAATGCACCGCCGAGAACATAGTGCTCTCACTTCCACGCTATGGGATGCGCCAGCACTCGGTGTGAAGCACACTACATACGCTAACGTCCACAACCGTGACTTTCGGAGTGACGATGTGAATTTATGATGATACTTGTGGAAAGGAAGTCGTAGGGTTACTGGGCCACGGGTGGAATGTATCATCCTTGGCACTGGAGTATTTCTGGTTTCTTTCTCACTCCGCTACCCTTTCAATCATATTCTTCCTTTCCTCTTCTTTCGCGATTTTGAGAATAGGTTTGACACGGAGTACCTTAATCTGTGGAGGGTGGAGGTCGAGATCTTCTGGCGGGAACCTTGTCGGGCCGCTCCATCGCGGGAGCAAGGAGGCCAAGCTCCTCCCGCTTGAATAAGCAAGAAAGAGCAGAGGAAAAACAAGACCTTCATGTGGGACACTGGCCAAATACTTGGAATTAGAATTAGCGAGTTGATCTTGATAGCCGAGTCCGACTGTCAAGCGAGGTCTCGAAGCGCTCCCTCTCACCTGGGCCAATGTTGAATCTTTTGGGGGAGTTTCAAGAATTGACTGGTCCTCGTTCAATGGTGGAATTGCACTGGCCAACGCTCCCGACTAGGATCTAGCTCTGCTCTTGGTCTAGCGGAAAACCCGAGGAACTGGATTTGCTGCTCGTGTGTCACACAGCTTTGAGGAATTTGGAGGATATTCCTGTAGGCTTCCTTGTGTTGCCCGGGTCTGTTCCCGGTTCCACGGCCGCTTTCGCCGAAGGAGGAATCCGATGACGACGAAAAAGGAAAAATAAAAATAAAAGAAGAAAAAGAGATTCGATGATTCGTTTCGTCCCGCCTCCTACCTCGAGACTTCAAGGCAGGCAGAGTGGTACAATTAATAGCGTCAAACTCGAATTCCAGCAGGCTTCTGCCCTTCTCGTCGCCCGACAGCGATGGTGGCCGGAGGAGTTCACCAGTTCTGACTAGTGAGGTCCCCCAAGCACCTTCCATAAGGGGATGGTGCTCCTGAGTGGAGGAGGGAACAACCCGAGCTATAGGAAGGCACAAACCCTCATCCAAGCCAAGGCCACGCCTAAATTGCGCTTGCTCTCTTAACCCGGTGGATGGATGGAGGTGTCCCACAAAATATTATTGAATCCTGATCGTTTGTAACGAACAAGATCGCGTTGAAGCGACTTGCTTCGCTGCTGGCATCTCTTCCACGGTTTGCTCCTCGGGCTAAAAACCTCAACTGCCTTAGCCTCAGGTATGAGGCGTAGAGGATCTGTTAGGTACATCGTTGATGTTACTGAGTCGGGGGCATGCAGTTGATCCCGCGCCGCCTGCTCCCCGTCCACTGGGCGGACGGGCCAAGGAGAGACAGGGGCTTGAGTAATTGGACGAGCTCAACATTGGACTGGGATTAAACACGGCAGGCCCATCAGGGCCAATGGCGGAGAAAGCTGTGAGGATCTACCGAGGTCTGCAAGTACAAGTATTATGAGTGCTGCTCATGATCTCGAACATTGCAGCTCAACTTGCAGCGTTTTTGCTTTCAGTATGCTATGGATCCCATAGTTTTTATTTCCGGTGACGAGACTCAGCCCTTTCTGTTGATCATTTCAAAGGCAGCAGATCCTCACTTGGGAGGGAGGGGTTGATGGCTGCGTCAATTTTTGAGGGCCTTTGAATTTGATGGCGACCTCCTTTTCCCTTCTTCTTGGGAAAGGCTTGGCAGGGATAAAGTATCCAAGTACCTATTGATTCTGCTAGCAAAGGGATGAGCACATTCTAGTGTGGTTTACGGGCAAAAGCTCTCTGCACAGTTCTGCAAAAGCATTCTCGATGACTCGTTGCATCTGAGGTGTAATAGCTTCATCACTACCCGATACGCAGCGACGAAGAGGAGGCGAAACTGGGGCGGACGAGCGTGATCTGTTCACAGTGCCCTTCTCCACGTGCTGTTTCTAGTTAGCTAGTGGACGAAGAAGTGTGCCCCTGAGCTGATAGGCACCTCGTCCTTTTCCCGCCTTCTCGTGGTGGTTGACAGGGGAGGAAGCCTCCCAACCAGCGATTGAGAGCCTTGGTTGGTATGAGGAGACCAGCCTCTGGCCGGCCATGACTTTCCAAGGGAGGCAGAGGGGGCGAGGAATGGAGTGACTTGTTCGCTTGAAGGCCCCGGCAGGGACGCACAAACCAAACGTGAGTCCCTGATCAAGCAGGGGCCGGGCCAGCTCGGAAAGCTGCAGGGATCCAAGGATCAGGACATCTTTTGAGAGATTCCTCGAGCTTGCAATTCCGAGTGGGTACCAGGATCTGCAAGGGCACCCTCAATCTCTGGCCAGTGGTACCCTTCCCCTTGGCCCCGCTATGCTCCCCTCCTCTTCGCACTTTCCAGAAGGGATCAAGCCCTTGATCGAACAATGTCTTGTTCCCCTCCTTGCAGCGCCCCTGCACTCTGTACATACATGGTTGATAATGCCTTGACTGAAGGGATTCCATGCAAGAATGGAAAGAGGGAGCGAAGGGGGAAAAGAAGAGGAAAAAAGAAGGGGAAAATAAAAAAGTCTCTCCTCGAGCGGGGAGCCTTGAGCTGGAGGTCTTCTTTCTGATCCACTCATGGCTCAAGTAGCCTGGGCCAAACCCGACGGTTTCTCTCAACGCCGCACCAGACCAGACCCCTTTGGTTCGCCTTATTCCTCTCTGGCCTGAGTTGCTCTAATACGCACTGGTCCTATTATTTGCCGCGCCCGAGTCTGAGAAGATAGTTGAGAGTCAACAGTGCCTATTCCCACGTGGTTTACACCCCTTTCCCTTTTCCCTCCATCCCTCCGTTGGCTTGGAGTCTATACTCAAAGAAAAGTGCATGGGGGCTTGTTGTATTGGTCAATGTATTATCCGAACAGGCCTTGGTTCGATTGTAATAAGATGGAGGCGCTTTCCTCCTGCATATGGGACTTGTCCATCTTAATACTTGTACACCCGCTGTCTGCCCCCTCCTCTGAGCAATTCTTTTCCAAGTGATCCTTTCCTCTTTACTTTCTCGGCCTGGAACTCGCAGCTTTTACTCCTTCATTCGTTCTTGCGGTGCAAATTATCTGTCTATTCTTGGCCCGAGCTCTTTCCTTCGCCGGCTGCGAGCATCGTTCTCAGACCCCAGGATATTGGCATACTGATCTCGAAGAAGCCGATCAATTGGGCACACCGAAGCCTATCATCAGCCGTTACAACTCTGAGTTGGGCGACCCAGCACTCATCAGTGCTGTTGTATAGCCGGTAAACCTCCCCGTCACCTTCTAGTCAACCCTCAACCAACCCGAGTTTGTCCCACCCTCCGATTGCCGGGTATATCCCACTACCAAGGTGGCCGTGTTGCGTTCGTCGTTACCATTGAAGAAATTTCTTTAACCACCTGGTTGATAGGAATTTATTTCTATAGTGGCTCAACCCCGTAAGGAACCGACTCCTTGACATTGGGAAAGGGTAAGTCGGCAACATGTCAATTTTGGCGCTATTTCGATCAATTTGCTGTGCTCTTACGCCAGGAACCCATCCTTTGCTTTCCTCGGCGGATGGAGACGAGCGTGTCCTCTGAGAGCCCAACTAACAAGGTTTCCTTGCGGACAGCTCCGATACATCGCCTGATTCCTCTCCACCAAGCCCCGGTTTTCTCAGTATTGGCCAGACGAGCTTGCTTTCAATTTACCGCCTTGTCACTTTTGGACACCTTTTTTCCTCCTTTTATTTTGGTTGCTCCAAGTCAACTCCCAGAATCCGGCGAATAAAACGCGAGTCGAATCGAATTATCGATCTGTAAAATTTTCGTGGCCTGTGGAATAGGGGCTCGGAGCCAGAAGGAAAAGAGAAAAGAGAAGGCAAACGACCACACCCGACAGGCATTAAAAGCTGCGAAAACTTGCCTGGGTGATCGAAGAGCCAGACTAAGCGCGGTCGTGATACTTGCAGCAACTGCTCGCCCAACAGTTTGTATTGTTGTCGCAACCTCGACGGAAATTCTGTTACTTTGTTCGCTTTTGTCAGCTCCGAGGATCGAGGTGTTGGCGAGATTCACATCGCAACAACTATTGGTGAAGAATCGGACGTGCGTTCTCCGTCTCAGCTGAACTACTGCAGTGATTGGAGTCTCGCTGCCCATCGGACACGGCCCAGTTCCACCGCCAGTCACAACCCCGCCCCTGCCGTGGCCATGCGTCTCTTTAGTAGGAAGAAGTCCCAAAAGGGCATCGATGCAGCCCATACAATCAAGCCATCTCAGTCCAACGCGAGCCTGAATTCTGGACATTCAAGCATCAAATCCCCGTCGGAGCCACCCTCAGCATCAACCGAACATCTGGTGGAAGCACACATCCTTCAACTCCCATGTCTCCTTTCTCACCCACCACCGCTTTGCCAAAAGTCGATATGCCACGCCCTCCTGACCCGCAACTCGACCCCGCCGGCTACCTCCGGAGCTTAAATGCTGTTCGGGAGAGGAGCAAATTGGTCACCGAAAAGGCGCTGCGGAATGATCTCAAGCATTTCGATGTGGATATGGGCAAGTTCCCAGACGTTGTTTCCTTTGTTTCGGGAATTATCAAGGTTTGTATCTTGAACTACCCCGCGAGGTAGACTGAACTGGATGCTAATCTACTCGTTGCCTAGCGCGATTACGATGCCCCTTTCACCAGCATCCCACCGCACGGGCGCCATCAACACTTCTGCGTCGGCGGCCGCGACCGTATAGCGTCGCTTCTTTCTACGTTCCCCGAGGAAGTGGACAATTCAGAGAAGTGCCGCCGCCTGCTCGACCTCTATCTCGTGAGCGTGCTGCTCGATGCTGGAGCGGGAACGGAATGGAGTTATAAGAGCATGGAGAACGGCCGTGTTTACCGGAGATCAGAAGGTATCGCGGTTGCCACTTTGGAAATGTTCAAGCATGTAAGTTTGTGCTTAGCTCTGCCCTCGATTGCCCTGATAGCTAACAAGCCTAGGGCTATTTCTCTGGCAATCCCGCCAACAAATTTCAGGTTGACAAGCACGGCCTGGCACAGCTCACTGTCGAGCGAATAGCCCAGGGCCTGCAGTCGAAGCCGGGTAACACTATGGCAGGTGTTGCCGGCCGTACTGATCTTCTTGTTCGTCTTGCGAAAGCCTTGGATGAGAAGAAGGAGTACTTTGGCGACGATGGACGCCCTGGAAACATGATTGGTAGGCGTGCCCTCTGCCCAATCTTGACAGTCATTGGGTAGCTTTACTGACCGGTTATTGATGATAGAGCACCTGCTTTCCCATCCCTCCACTCAGGCTAGCTCCATGCCTATCGTCCCATTGCCCGTTCTTTGGAATGTGCTTATGGATGGCCTAGTCTCGATTTGGCCCACATCCCGCACCACAATCAACGGAGTCCCCTGGGCGATGCTTGGCCATGCCAGTCGCTGCCCCAACCCGCCGCTAGCCCAACAACCTCAACGTTTTCCCCTTCCCCCAGTCCGGGCCTGCCTCCACGGCACCTTGGGAGTCGATTCTCCCATTCCACAAGCTTACGCAGTGGCTCTGTTACAGCTTGATGCAGCCGATGCAGTCACTTCTGCGTATCCACTTCGCCGGAACTGAGCTCCTGACTGGTCTTCCCGAGTATCGGAACGGTGGTCTGTTTATTGATCTTGGTGTCTTGACTTTGAAGAAGGAAGACATGGAGAGGGGTCTTCACAATTACTCGGAGCATTTCCGTGTTTCGGGAGCCAAAGGTGTCGAGGTGGCTCCTATGTTCCAACCTAGCGACGATGTTGTTGTAGAATGGCGAGGCGTGACAGTCGGCTTCTTGGACATGCTATGCACAGAGGTGAATAAGGCGCTGAGGAGCGAACTCAATGGTAATGAGCTGTCTCTGCCCCAACTTCTTGAGGCCGGAAGCTGGAAGGTATGAATCCCCCTCCTCTCCTTCGCGAATTTTCGATTTTTGCTCGTTGTCGATATCACTAACAAGCCGATAGGGTGGTCGTGAGATTGCTGAGGTCAGCCGGCCGAACACTAAAGAGCCGCCCATCTTGATCGACACGGACGGAACCGTCTTTTAATGTGGCTGTGGCCAAAATGACAAAAGTTTGAAGCGATGGGGGATGGGGATTTAGATTTTGCGTGGTGATTTGTTCATGCCTTTGCTTCCTTTTCTTTTTCGGTCTCTTTGAGGCTTTATAGTCGCTGTTCTTATGAGTCCATGGCAAGAATTTTATTGTGTGCACCCTAGACGGAGGTGGTGTGGGACTTGGATCATGCATGAACCTGACGGCTTCTTTACCCGCGAGTTTGGAACTAGTTCTCAACATTTCTAAGCATCGATTTGAAACTATACCCTCTTCATATTCGCATCCTTTATATTCAACTCAAGATGCGCTGGAATCGCTTGGTAGGGAGAGGTTGGCCTTGTGCTGTAGTGGCTGGACATGCCCCATCAATTCTATATATCTCCATCCCTTTCTAATGTACAGTACACATGGTGTGATGCTGCTGAACAGCGAGGCTACCCCCGTTTCCCATCTTCCGCTCGATTGAGATGAGCAATATTGAAAAAAAAAAGATACATGTAGTACAGGCCTACTCGGCCGATTAGGCCTGAGTGGACTAGCGATTGGACCTTGGTGGACCTATAAGCCGATAGATCTATCTGCTGATTGCACGGATTTGGTTCTTAGGGCCTCCGCTTCATCTGCTTCTCTAACTCGGCCATCCTTTCCCGGAGAGACTCGTAATATTCAGCTTGTAGTTTAGCCTCCTCAGCTTCGCTGGTCTCCTTGGATTTCCTCTGCTTGGTACCATCCCTTTTAGCTGTGGCCGCTTCAGTAGCATCCCGGAGAGACTTCTTCATGCTCTCAATCATACCGGGAGGGCTCTGAGTTGATGTCCCTGTGGCGGATATCGAGCTAATAGGGGCGCTGGCGAGGGGCTCAGGAAGGGGCATCATGCCAATCCATCTGCGGAACCAGGGCTGGACCATGAGCCAAGTCTGGACAAGACTGGGGACGGACGCGGTGACGAAGTACCACTGGAGACCAGCGGGCATGAAGCTGGTGACGATGAAACCAAGGGGAATCATGACGTAAGAAATCGCTTTCATCGTGGTCTGCTGCGTAGCATCGCTGTGTTTGCTGGTAATCTGGTTTGGAGAGAGGGAAGTTAGCATATCCGTGGCTGATGGGCATCTGTGCGTGGCGTGGGAAGGGGGAGGAGAAGGGAGCGCATTACCCTCATAGTGGCAACCATGGTCAGAGGACCGATCAAAGGAAGAATGTACCATGGGTCGGGTACAGTGAGGTTGCTGAACCACGCCAAACCGCCAGTTTCGAGGGCAGGGACGGGCAGGTCAGACATGGCCCTTAGGATACGGAACATGCCGAAGCCGATAGGGAGTTGGAGGAAGCTGATAAAAGGCATGAGCTTGTTAACCTTGTGCTTCTCCTCAAGGGCCTTCATGGCGGCCTTGGCCGCCTGGCCGCCGATGACGTCCTTGTTGATCATAGACTCCTTCCAAGCCTCCATGGCACGGTTATAGCCGGGCTCATTCTTGCGAAGCATGTTGAGGCGGGTGCTGTGCTCTTGGCCCATAGCGATGGGCTTGAGAAGGCAGAGTCGGATGAGCAAGCTGGTGGCGAGGATCGAGCCCCACCAGTGGAAGCCAGAGTAGACGTGGACGTGCTCCAGTAGCCACTGGATCATGGAGGTGGTACCGACGCCGAAGTCGATGCCGAGGGTATGGAGGTATCCAATTTGTTCTGGGATCGAGGAGATGGATTCATAGTTGTCGAGCTCGGAGGGAATGATTTTGGAGAGCTCGGCGGTGGCGTCCGATCCAGGGAGGGGCTCGGGGGAGGAAGCGGAGGCAGCAGCAACGGTGGACTGTTCGACGGCAGCGGGCGCGGCAGCCGCAGGTTCGGTAACAGCGGCACTGGCGGGAGTCTGGGTTTCGGGTTGCGCGGTGACCGGAGTAGACGCGGGGTCCTTGGAACCGGAGCCCCAGCCCCAGAGGGAGAAGGATCTGTTTCCGGAGGGAAGCTGGCCAAATGCGACGGAGCCAGCAATCGCAACGTTCCTCAGGGAAGTGTCCGACTCGCAGGGCCGATGGGAAGCCGTATCGTCGTTGCATTGCGCTGTGTATGTCCGACCCTAGCAGTCGCGAAGCCCCGAGGAGCACCCTGCACATTGCCGCAAAGAAAAGTTAGCTTCGGTTGAACTGGACTCCCGAGTAGTGGGCGAGAAAGCTCAAAAGGCGAGAACGAGAGACTCCTGGGGGGGCATCAGGGTGGCGTGAGCTTGAACCATACCAATTGGTTAAAAAGTTGTCTCCTGGAGGCCGTGGACACGGACTTGACGACTCCCTGCTCGGAAGCATCGTGGCGATTTGGTAGGCGACTCGTGGGTTATGACAACGGGGCAGAGTCGGCGGAAGGAAGAGAGTCTGTGGCCCGGTTGAGAAAAATCGCGAAGATCACTTTTCGCGCGAAAGGTCCCTGGCATTTGGATTTTTTCCCCGGCTGGTAAGCTCCCCTTACAGCTGGTCAAGCCGGTAGGCCGAATCACGTGAAACAGCCAACATCAGCACTAGGACATCTAGTCTCTGTTTATTTCGAGGGGAGAGGACCGTTCCCATGGAGAGCTAGCTTTCTTATATTAAATATTTCCTTCCCTCTTTTATCCATTTTACATCATATTTTCCCTCCCATTTTATCTGTTTTATGAGCAATGCTGGTTCGTTGTTGTTGTTGTAGTTGTTGCCCACGCTTGGGTGGTGCCACTGAAGACTGGGGACAGCCACAACGATCCTTAGCCTCGGGTGGTGGAAAGTTGGAATTGGGTGCTACGCGGTAGTCAACTCAAGATTTTTACCAAAAAAAACCTTTCTGTGATGGAGGATAAATGGAGGGCTATGGGCCATGCTCATCGCAGCTAGCTATCCAGGGAACCCCACCAGGTTCGAGACTCACTGCTTTGTCTAGCAAAAGGCTGAATGGTCTGGCGGAACGGTAAATGGTACCATGTTGAAACCTTGCTGAGGTGGCGGAGCGGGCTAAGAATCTTTGGACTGGTCGGATGGATCTACACGTTACGGTTTGTATATCCGAGGAAGTCTAGAGGCCGAGACTTTGGTTAGGATGCTGGGGAGGCACGCTGGAGACGGAGAGACTCTCGACACTTAAACTCTACGCCATTTGGCAGCGACCAGGCATGTTATGGCTAGAAACCGTCTATAAAGCCTTACAGATATCATATGTACATCCCAAATCGAAGCCCAATCACAGCTATTCCGTCTTCCGCTGTCAAGCGTCACCCTTCTGCAGGATCCCAGCATGCGCCGTACGTAGTTGTGACTAACCCCGAATCTTTTAACTCAACATGCTCGATTTCATTCCAAGCTCGTAGTGTGTCGAAGCTCACCTCGCCTCTTTCGATCCACAATCTCAACACCGGGGCCGATGGGATGCGCGCGACGACGGTTCAGGGGAAGACCTAGGGGCAAGTTAGCATCTGCCCTGCGCGGGTGTCTGTGACGAGGAGGTTTCGCAGGGTGCGAGCCTGCTAGGGGCAGAGTAGGCCTAGTTTGTGATTGTTTGAGGCCCTTTTCCATACCTTGGTACCACCCCAACCTAACCGGAAGGCCGCCTCGTGCGCAAACAACTCGCCAAAGCCAAGCATCATGCCGTTGATGAAGGGAAGACAGAGATTGATGGCAGCGCCGCGTATTATCGACCACAGGGTGGGAGGTCTGTAGAGAATAACAGGGGATGAGGAAGACGGCCCTGAGGTCGAGGAGGAGTCTTCGACCGCGGAGTAGTGCTCGCTGTCGGAGTGGATCGTGATGCCGGATTCGGCCAACCGGCTAGATGAATCCAGTGACGACATGGCTGCGCAGATGTGCTGAGATGAGCTAGGGGAACGATATGGCCGTGGTCGTAGGGTGGAAAGGAAATCCTTCGTATGGGGCGGCTTCGGGAAGTCCTTTCCGACGCGATTTCGAATTTCGTGAAGAAATTGCTACTGTTCGAGGTCGGTCCAGGCTCGGCGCTGAGGGAACATGAGGTTGGAACCGTTCCTGGTGATGTCTGGGGACAATTGGTCGAAACCCGTGGAGTGCTTACATAACCTAGCGCTGATGTCGAAGCTCTTGTTGGGGCGTCGTTTGAGAGCTAGGAAGAGGGGCAGGGCGAATGGACGTCACCGTCAGTTGCCTGCCTACCAAATTCCCTGGCTTCTGACTGGAGCTCCCACTACACCTTTCATAAATCGAACGTTTCAACATTAACGCTCTAGCAGCTCTAGATTATTAGCCAACATCTTGTTTTACGTTTTTGTTTTTGTCCCTGGAAGGAACCTTCATCTTCTCTAGTTCTCTCCATTTCGCCTACTTGAAGATATGGCTTCCAACGACGAGAAGATCGCCAATCTCCAGGCCATTACTGGCGCTGACACTGACAAGGTCTGCTTTCAAATCCGTGCTATACACCATCTCTGATCGCCCTGTACCAACATGCAGGGTCACCGCTTGCCTTATATACTTCCGAGCTTGCTAACCACCGCCATCTTTTCCAGGCTAGAGATTATCTCCAAGCGTACGACTGGGACATGCAAGCCGCTGCCCAAGCACTTCTCGAAGACGTAGATGAGGGCGACGACTCCGACCAGGAAGAGGCCCAGGGCCAAGTTCCCGACAACTATACTGGACCCCGCACTCTGGATGGACGACCGGTAGCGACTGGTTCCGGCAGCCAGCCTCGGGGCCAGCCCAAACGCCAAGAGAAGAAGAGGGGTGTCGCCACCTTGTCATCCCTCGGATCGAGCAGACACGCGCATGGTTCGGAAGATGATGATGACGAAGATGATGAGGACGAAAAGGGTCGCGGCGATTTGTTTGCTGGTGGAGAGAAGAGCGGTCTTGCCCTGCGGGATCCGTCACAGAGGCCAGAGAGGGTGAGGGCTCCCGAGGAATCATCAATGACATCCTCGCCAAGGCTCGAGTACGTACACCGACCTTTTCCTTCTTCTCCATTCCTCTGTCTTTAGTCACCTTTTCCCTCTTGGCCTTTCCACATCGTTCTTGAGCTAACCGCCGGCTAGGCAAGCGCGGAAGGGTGCAGATGAGGAGGCCGAGCAACAGCCTACCCGCAGGTGGGGCTCTGGAAACACCCTAGGAGGTGATGGCGTCGAGAGCCGACGCGTAGGCGATTCCGCAAGCGGCGCTGGCACATCACAGGCGGCTGCTCCGCCAGTCGGTGAGGCTCAAGACAGAACAATCCATATCTGGCATGATGGTTTCAGTTTCGACGATGGCCCTCTATATCGCTATGACGATCCGGAGAACCAAGAGACCTTGCGTTTGATTAGGAGTGGGCGCGCGCCTCTCCATCTTATGAACGTCCGGTTTGACCAGCCCGTCAATGCCCATATTTCCCAACACGACGAGCCCTGGAAACAGCTCCCCAAGATCTACAGACCGTTTGGCGGCGAAGGCAGGCGCCTAGGGAGCCCGGTCCCCGGCGACGGCAACGCTGTGAGGGCGGTTCCTGCGACTTCGCAGCCAACCTCGGCTATTGCTACGACATCCTCATCGTCATCAGGGCCCCCGGCACGGGTGTTGACAGCTCTCAACCGACAGTCGCGCTTCGCGTACAGCTCCCCGACGGCACTAGGCTGCCTGCCCGTTTCAACACGACGCAGACGGTCGGCGACATTTATAGCTTTGTCACGAGGGCGCACCCCGCCACGCAAGACCGACCCTTCGTCGTCGCCACCACCTTCCCTAACAAAGACCATACCGATCACTCGCTAGTTCTCGGAGAATTGCCCGAGTTTAAGAAAGGCGGAACTGCCGTCATCAAATGGGTCTAAGGGGTTTGGAATGGTTTAATCCTCTTAGATCTTCCTAAAAGGCCGGATGAAATGGTTTCTTTCCCCCTCTCTCTTTCTTTTTCTTATTCTTTTTCCTTTTCCCCTTCTAGGCTTCATTCGTCATCAGGGATCAGGACGAAAGCTATGGGAACGGCTTAGGGCAATAGGTCTTGCGTAAATGGAGCTGTACGTATTTCCCTAGATGATGACATAAAAATAGATATCAATTAGTGCATGTGTGACGGTATGAACCATCATCTGTGACCGATCCATGCCTCCTTCCACTGCCCTTTGCTATATGTTTCTTTCACGGATTGGTTGCTTCAAGGCTCTCCCCGTTCTCGCGACAGGCGGCAAAATTCATTTTTAGCCAGCTTTTCATTTTCGTGAAATCAGAATCCCGAGCCTGCTCCTCTTCCGAGCCCGTACCGTCCCATTAACGCCAAAGACAGGGCAGCTAGCCAGACTTGACTACCCAATAGTGTTACATGAAAAGAGCATCCGAGGCCACCTTTATTGCAACCGAAACTCTTCATTTCGCCCCTCCACTCGCTTAACCCTCGTTTCCTTGGCTGCCTAGGACCCGAACTGTTGCGGATTGGAGGGTGACGGGCTGCTTGGGCCGTCGAGGAACTTGAAATGCTCGATGGCAATGCGGCAGTTGAGCATGGCGGCGTTGAACCGAGCTTCACCAGCGGGTAGGACGGCCATGAGGTAGGTGTTTGTGGTAAACTTGAGGATGAAGAGGCTGAAACTGGTGCCAGCCTTGTGCTCCATGCAGACGAACTGCTCGGCGTTCCTGGGGGTGCCCGTGAAGCGGCTGATGGATTGCTTGAATTGCTTCATGATGTTGGACATGCGCTCGAGACGGTCGTGGGTGGGGTTGTCTTGACCGGACTCGGATGTCCAGGAGGAGACGGCAAGGAAAGACGTGCGCTCGAAGAGGAGCAGCTCCTCGGCCTCGATAGCGACGCCGAGGTTGGCGAGATTCCGCTCGATCGCGGATAGGTTGGGGACGAGATCGTGTATGATGCTGGCCCAGGCCTTGTAGAGGCTCTGGTCCCATATGGAGGTGGCGAAAGGGGTGATGTCGAGGGGGCACGTCGCCGGAAGCGCCTGCCGCGAGACCGACAGAGGCGGCGAGCTCGGCCGTCTTTTGGCGGACGGTGCGGACGTGCTCGTTGAACACGTTCTCCCGGGAGGAGGGGGCATGAGGTCCATCTTGTGGATTAGGACATAGATGCGGGCGGTGGGGGAGAACTGGACGAGGGCGGAGATGATGGAGACGAAGGTGGCCATGTCGCGGTCGACATCGCGCGACTCGATGTCGAAGACGTAGATGAGGACTCCGACGTGTGAGAAGACGTGGACACGCTGCTGGGAGAGGTAGTTTTCCATAAATGCCTCTTGGCCGCCGCAGTCCCAGAGGTTGAGGGTGAGGTTGCCGAGGAACTTGACATGGGAGAGGTCGATGTCTATGGTGGCGCCTCTATAGTTGGGGAAGCGGCAGTAGTTGGCGCACCCCGGTTAGCAGGCATGTTCCTCGATTCATAAATACGCTGTCTAGGAAGTCCACCTGAAGGGAAGCTTCAGGGGGCCAGGCTTCAGTGCGGAGATCTTCGCGATAGGTAGCGACAGGGAGGAGAGGGGAAGGAAGGGGGAACATACAGCCTTCGAGTGTCGCGGGCTATGTAGTTGCTGAATATTATGCTTCTCATGCTCGACTTCCCCGAGCCGCTCTTGCCCATGAGCAAAACCTTCTTCTTCTTAGGCTTCTTGATGCCGGATTTTGCGTCCCCGGCGGGATTATCCCCGACCGGAGGTGCTACGCCTGACTCGAGCCGGCCGGACATGGTGTCGTGCGGGGGCGGGAGAAGGGGAGCTGTACTGGCGTCAGGCGGGAATAGAAACAAAGAAGAAAAAAACAGCGGTGGGCAATTATGGAGGGTAACGGGGAGATGCGAGCAAGTCTTGTTAGGTCGTCATTGAAAGAGGTGTGCACAAGGGTGGCCTATGAAGGCGAAATGCTCTCTCCCTCTCTTTTTTTTTTGCTTGGTCTCGTTACGGTAAAGAGCTCTTGAAGAGGCGGGGAGAAAGATCGTGTGCAGCTCTGCTGAGATGGTGGGGTTGTCTTGATGCGGCTCCAAAATCAATTGATGTCCGATCAATTGTTCAAGTTAGCTCCATTAGTGCGGCCAGTGCAACGTCAAGGTGGGGGCCGACCTGGAGCGAATGTGCCGCCCAAGCTCCACTGTGTGTCACGGCCTTCCATCTATCCAATGGATCGATACTGTAATGGCTGTTGGGGGAGAGGCAATCAGTGACGGTGATGCACTTGAGCTGCCAGGTGCTCTTGGCCAGCCATTCAACGGTCGACGTGGTTGTGCGACGGCTAATCATCGCTGATTCCACCTCGAATCAGAGACACTTTGAGGGCACCTTCCTCCAATGATTTGCGACTTTCAGCGCTGCCTGGACTGCCTAAATCACTGACCTCTTTTGTTCCTGCCTGGGTCAGGCTCGCGCGCTGTGAGCCAACCTTTTGGCCGCGAACCGCACCCCTGAGAGGAATCGGGTTGCATCATGATCCTAGCGAGTTTACATATATACATATATATAAAGGGAATAAACCTTTTCCCATGGCTTGAAATGCTGGTCGTAGGAAGCCATCTATTTCCCTCCTGCAGAATCATCCATCGTCATGAAATGAACTGAGCACGCACCCTCCCTTACCCTACTACCTCCACTAGTCCTTCTGCACAACACCAAAATCTTGACGAAACAACACGAGGTTTTCGTCCCCTTCATTCTTACGCCGTCTTCTTATAGTTTGCTCGTTTTATTTCATGTATTTTAGCGGATTTACTGATTATTCCTAAGGAATCCAAGCTCTAAAAGACGGGGTTTTGGCTGTGAGTTCTCAGAGTCGCCTCCCTCATAACCTTGGCGAGCCTGGACATGGCAGTGTCCGCGATGCAAGACGTGCCGATGGCGGATCGGGAAGTCGGGAGGAATGACGCTTGTCTCGCCGTCCTAGCCATGCCGGAACTCCTGGAGGTCATCCTCGAAATGGTTGACGTGACAACTCTCCTGACATCGGCCCAAAGGGTCTGCAAGAAATGGCACGCCGTTATTCAGACGTCTAACATGCAGCGGCTTCTCTATCTAGAACCCTGCGGCGTACCCAAGGCCCCTCAAGGGTCTCGTGAGGGAGATCTTTTGGTAGAGCAGAACCCCCTGCTGAAGACACTCTTCCCCTATCTTTTCCAGATCATGGACGTCGCGCGGCGCCAGTTGCCTACTTGTACCGGATACCTGACCCTCACCCTCGGTGGCTGCGTCCTAGCAGACCGTCGTGTCGACTATAAAAGGCATTATGCCTTCGTCCGTCACGATGCCAGTTGGCGCCGCATGCAAGTCTCCCGGCCGCCGCTCCGCCATGTCGGCTGGACGAACGGGGCCTGGTTCACGGGAGATCCCCGGTGGCGGAGCACGATCTGTACCGCACCCTAGACTTCCCGGACGGTCTACGGATGGGTCAGCTCTGGGACATACTTTTCAGAGCTGTTTTTGAAAGCTACTCGGAGGACATTGACCCGCGCGACGGTGATGGACCCGCCATCCTCGCGTTGTGGCGGCAGCACTGGCCGCATAACATGCGGACGCCGCCCAAGGGGTTTGTTAGCATGAGGAAGAAGATTCAGATGTTTGAGAGGTGGCCCAGTGATGTCAACTTGATCCTCATCCAAGACGAGGAGGGAAATTCAATGCCGACTTTGACCGCGCCAACCCTTGGCTCGTCCCCACCTACTCGGATGAGAGTGGGCCTGATGACTATCAGTGGCTGTACGCATGCGAAGACTACAACCCGAATGTGCTAGAGGAGCATTTTCGCATTAGAGCCTGACCCCAACCTTCGCTTTAAGCTGCAGATGTGTTGCTGGTGAATATCACGTATGGGGGTCGTGAAGATGTCTGTGATGCCGTTTCTAGTTTAGATGAACGAGGAGGCGCCGGGATGAAGATAGATATTAAGCCTACGACACAATACGGACCTATCATTACGAAGATATGAACAGCAGCCTTTCCTTTCCCCCTCTCACCTTCTCTAGTGCTGTGAAGGTTTAGTTGATATAAGAGTAAGCGCTGTTGATTTACCAATACATTTAGGTAGTTCAAGATACGATTTGCACCGAGAAACAGTACATCCGACATGTAGTCGAGTCCTTTGTTACTTTAAGACGTAGACAAGCTTTTGGCTACACCATTTTCAATAGTTTTCCTGAACCCTTCCGCCAATGTACCGCGGTCGCATACGGCGAACCTGCGTCCTAGTAGCTCGACAGCTCCCACTTAGGACGGCTCAAATAGAGCGATTTCTTTTTCTCCTCTTGATAGCCGCTTCGCTACCCTCCTCTTCCACTGGGTCTTCGGTAGCGGAGTCTTCTCCAACCAAGGTGTCGAGGACAGCAACGCTCAGCTCGGGCATGTCAAACTGGAACTCGCCGTCTTGGTTGGCTTCCAGTACAGACTTGGTGGTCTTGACGACGTTCTCGCCGGTCCATGGGTCGTTGTAGGCGTAAGGGTCCTTGGGTCCCGTCAGCAGGGTTAGCTCGGCACGGGTGCCTGGCTCCACGCCCTCAAACGCCACCGAGACGGGCACGGCCTCGTGGTTCGTGGTGTTGTAGCACGCGCCCTTCCACACCAGGGAGTCTTGGGTACTCTTGCCGGCCACGAAGAAGAGAGGGTCCAGGTCACCGGATACAGGGAGAGTTTCCTTGAGGGGGTGGGCGGCAAATAACTAAGAGTGAAGGGAAAAAGAAAGGTTAGCGGGAACATGATGTAGGGAGGGAGAAAGGACGATTTATGTTATCGTCTGTTGGCATTCACATACCTCCCAGATGTACCAATCTGTTGACTTGGTGGTTAGGGCGGGATCAGCAGCGTGCTGAATCATGGTGATGGCCCACTGATAGCGGTTTAGGTTACGGAGGATGGGTGCCTTTAACGAAGGATATGAAGTCAGTAGGTTTCATCGCGGGAGCGCGAACTAGTGAGAGTGGATGGCACGACATACGTAAAAGTTCCGTAGATTCGGTCAGCGTTGCGCTCGTAGCTGACTAGGCCAATAGCTCCGCCCACGGAACCGATCCACCAGGGCCACGGGGCGAGCGGACCATCCCAACCAAGCCCGCCGTTAGGGTGAGTGGAGGAAACCTCGCCTAGAAAGGAAAAGGAAGAGATAGCTTGTTAGCTGACATCCACCAACCCGAGGAGAGAGGAGGGAGGGAAACATGGGAAGATGCCATAGAGTGCCTCACCGATAACATGGGGAATGGGTTGATTGTCAAACAAGTTGAACTCTTCCAGGAAGTTGTCGGGCTTGCGATACGGGTGGTAGTCGCCGATGCCGGGCTCGGGTATTTGGTAGCCGTCCGTGGTAGCGCCGGACGCGATGACTGTGATATCGGAGTACGCTTCATTGATTGCCTTGAGGAACATGGGGAAGCGGTATTTCTGGTACGAGTCCCAGCCGCCGGGGTAACCAGCAAGCCAGTCTTCATTGCCGACTTCGACGTAATGGAGCGGGAAGGGCTCGGGGTGGCCGAGTTCCGCGCGCTTGGCGCCCCAGGTTGAGTTGGCGGGGCCGCGGATGAACTCGATTTGGTTAAGAGCGTCATCGATGTAGGGCTGTAGCTCGTCCTCAGGGACAACGTAGCCGTCAAGGGCGAGGCCACCAAAGACTCCGACGACTAGAGGTAAACCGAGGAGGTTAGGACATTGCTCTTTACTTGCTTTCATAGAACGTGGCAAAGGATGGGAAAGAGAATAGTCACTTACTCATCTCCATGCCCATGTCCTCGGCCCAGAGGAGGTACTCCATGAGCCCGAGACCGTTGGTCATTTCATAGCCCCAAGTGTTTTGAAAGCCTTTGCGGTAACGGAGAGGGCCGAGGCTGTCTTTCCAGTCCCACCAGTTGTCAATATCGTCCCCTTCGAGCATGTTGCCACCGGGGAAACGGAAAAAGGTCTTGTTTTGGAGATTTAAAATGTTAGTACTTGTTTCCGCACGGACTCTCTTGCTGCAACGCTGAGCAAGTTTGTTCTCTGCTAGGACCTGACTTACAGGATGAAGACCCTCGAGCGCCTCGGCGATGTCGAGGCGGAGGCCGTTCTTGCGGCCCTTGTAAGTGGGGGAATAGACTGATGAGGTTGAAATCGAGAGAGCCGTCTTTCACGCCCTACATCATAAAGTTAGTAGGCAGTTTTGGAGCAACATCCCAGGGTTATGCCCCTCTCTAGTAGCCTTCTGTTTCCTCCCCTTCTTCTTTTTCTTTCCACCACTCTCCTATTCTAGATGTTATGCAGCAGCATGAATCTTACAGCAGGATCAAAAGTCACGGTAAACGTGTTATTCGTATTGGGAGCGTCGGTGTCCGGGATGAGTTCGACCTCGTGCTCAACCCAGTCATCGCTCACGGACTTAGACTCAATCTCGACGCTGCCAAACACATCATCATTGAGCGCCGAGCGCAGTGATGCCGTGAAAGCGCCTTCGTAAGCACCCCTGACCCAGAAGGAGCCCGTGTACTTTTGCTTCTTAACGTCGATGCCCCAGTAGCCGTCGTTGGAGAAGCCAACGGGGCCCTCAGCATCGCCGACTGCGACGCTGAGAGAGACGGGCAGCTGCTCAGATAGGGGATCGTCGAGCCGGTTAAGCTTGAGGCTGGCCTCATTAACGGGCGACCACCCGTCAAGCGAGACGGGGAACCGCTTGCCGTACTGGAAGGCTCGGTTGCGGATGAGCTCGCCGTAGACGCCGCCGTCGCCCGAGTTATTGATATCCTCGTGCAGGAAGCCGTACTGGTGGCCGCTCGTGACGTTGCCACCGGTGGCCTTGACGGAGATGTCGACGGCGGACACCGCCGAGATGGCGCACGCGGCGGCGAGCAGGAGCGATTGTAAGAGCCGAGGCATAGTTCGTCTTTCCTTGCGCGGGTAGGCCAGCTTTATCGACGTGTGAATGGTCCCACTGATTGCACCGGTAAAGCACAGGTCGGAGAAGCTAGAAGCAAGCTAGAAACAAACAAAGGGAGAAGAAGGAAACAAAAGTTGCTATATAAGTAAAAGCCAGCCTATACCAAGATTGGTCCAACTCCCGGCTCTGTCTCCCGGCTACCTGTATAGACGGGTCCTTGGCCGTGACATTGGGTACACTCGACCTCCTCCCCTCATAGCCGATAAAAAAAGAACCTGCGTCACTGCTGGGCGTGATGACGGCTGATTTTTCCTCCTGTCTGGAGCCGCACCATTCATTTCTCGTTCTCCAAGCGGCGCGAGCGGGAAGAGCCCTTGGCTACCCCAACCCGTCAATTGAACGCGAGAGGGTCCATTTTGCCGGACCAGCAGGCTTGTCATGTACTGCTAAATTGCCTTGCTTCCCGTCCAATACGGACTCGGCGGCAATCTAAATGCGGGTCCCAGGGTATCCTCCGATGCTGCGCATACACAAACACCTCAATGCTACGCGTGGAGAGAGCGTGCAACCCTCCAATTCCGGGGGCGAGGGTAGGGAATCGGATGGGTAATCCCCGCATCCGCGCGCCCTTGCAGCGCCGATTGCGCCTCTGGCGTCGTTTGCCATTGGAGCGCATGCGGGAATTCAGGCACCGCTGAAGAAAGACGGAGAGATAGAGAAGGAGAGGAGGGACGGCGGGCGACAGTGGGGAGAGGAGACTTAAGCGGTTCCATCCGGAGCCATTGGATCATCGCGCGGTGGTTTCGAACCGGATTAACATCTGGGAATATGTGCTGCGTTTGGTTGCTTGACCATGTTTGCGAATACGTGCATCATGGATCTGTGTAACGGAGCTTCTCCGAAGGCCCACGTCATCGACAAACTAAGGGGTCTATGCGCGACAATCAGCTTTTCCCAAATTTCGCTTTAGTTGATGGTGCGTTCTTGAGTGACTTCAGTTAGCAAGGAGGAATTCCTCCAGTAAGCATGGAGGGACAGTTCAGACTATATCTCGACTATTATTATTGTTGACATTGGATGAAATCACAGCTGGGGTCGGCGCTGAAGACCACGAGGATCGGGGTGGTCTTTGCTTTTGCGCTGGACCACCCAATGCATCCGGCCGTTCTTTCAATAGATGCATCGGAATTGACATCCATCTATTGCTACATAGAGTTCTTGGTGATGGGTAATAAGTTTGTCCACACTTTTCGGGGCTTCACATAATAGCAATGGCTCTATGCCGAGTCTCACATCCCGTGCGCTCCATGTCTTGATTAGAGTTGGTTCTGCGATAGAATGGCGCGGGGCCTACATCCATGTCCGCATATATGCATACACGTATAGCTTTGGCAGCGGAATGTGGAATGTGTCGATCAATCCTCAGATATGAGTTCTAGAAAGAGTGTTGTAGGTTTCTGTAGGAGGTCTATTTTTGCTTAACTCGACATGGGTACCTGCACTCCAGCACGTGGACAATCGTCAAAAGTGGCATACACTGTTGCCACATGGTTAACTCGCATTCCCAACCCGAGATGCAACGTATAATGTGAGCACGTTGTCATGGCCATTGAAATGATGTATCTAATGTGAGAATTTCCTTAACGACGAAGCGAAGTTCAAGTTCAGAACGGTCTCTGAATCTATATGTCGCCAATATACCCATGGGCAGATGTATCTCCAGGTCTAGCTGGCCTGGCTCTGTAGCCAGGCACTGTCTAACCTAGACAACAATCTAATGTAAGTGTATACCTATGGGATTGTTGACGTAGGCCATAGAGCCCAAGAGGAGTGGGACAAAGCGTACTTCGCGTCTCTCGACATCCGTAGATGTCACATAGATGCACGTCTATTCTAGATGAAGTTCGACCCTTCAAATTGTCAACTAGCTTACGGCAAGAGGCACATGATATGCTTAAGAATATTCAACGCCGTGGTTCTGGATGGCCTGGATAATATAATCTTCGGTGACCCTCGTCGTCGATTAGATTTCGTGCTTTGCCGGCGCGTCAAGATTGAGTTGCGCTTCTAGCAACCCCTGGACCACTAGGGATGAGAGAAGGGTGTGACGAGGTGAAACCCAATCTTAAAAATGAGAAACCTTTCCGAGCCAGTTCATAACTTGACCAAATCTGGTTATGTCTAGTTTGACTCTGTTGCAAAGACACTACATCAAGTTTTTAGTCTCTGTGTAACGAACCACTTGCATATTCTTTCGAACCCAACCCTTATTATCGTCACTTGGTTATGAGCCTGGACGCGCTCCAAATTAAGAGTGGAGGAGGAATTAAAAGAATTGGCGCCAACTTTCGGGAGAGAAATCTAGATCGATCAATGATGACCTGATAACTACGCATCCAATCGCCAAATCTGTTGATTATTAATCTGGCGGACAATGGATGGAGTCACGAGCGGAGTCCGGCTTAGAATGCCTGTGGTTGATGGAATCGTTGATGTAATAGGCCCTACGCACCTTGCAGGCTCCATGTACACATATAGTCGTGGCCAAACAAACTATCACCATAATCGCCGCGAAACTTGTTTACCCTCTTTTCTCGGACAGCTGACATCGTGGACATTGCTACCCCCGCACTCTCCAGGTATTGTTCAGATGTACTTTTAGAAGAGAGCCGTGGAACTAATTATCACCACCCTCACAGTATCTCCGCTCTTGTGGCTATAGATCACAGCCGCCAAGAGCAAAATGTCTCTCTCCGCCCGCGCCGAGACGAATGCTAAACGCACAGGCACCGCCCTGATCTGGCAGATCATCCAGAACCTGTGGGAGCCCACAACTAACCCTTTGGGCTACATTAGTCTCGGCGTCGCTGAGAACCTTCTTATGCATGATGACCTGCTAGCCCACATCCACGCCAATACCAAAGCTACCAGCCAGGCCCTCACCTACGGCGATGGCACCGGCGGCTCCAAGCGGCTCCGTGCCTCCATGACCCGATTCCTAACCAAGCACCTGCGCCCGGTCGAACCCATCCAGTCTCAGCATATTACCGTTACCAACGGCTGCAGCTCCGCCATCGAGCACATGTCCTGGGCTATCGCGAACCCCGGAGAAGGCTTCCTGCTGGGACAGCCGTACTACGGTACCTTCAAGGACGACATCACGCTGCGGACCGATGCCCACCTCGTCCCCGTACCCTTCCATGGCATCGACCCACTCGGTCGCGAGGCCGTGGCCAAGTATGAGGAGGCCCTCCTCAAGTCCCAAGAGAACGGCGTCAAGATTGCGGGGCTTTTGCTGTGCCACCCGCATAACCCCTAGGCCGCTGCTACCCGCGCGAGGTCATCATCGACCTGATGAAGTTGTGCGAGAAGTATGGCATCCACCTCATCAGCGACGAAATATACGCCCTGTCGGTCTGGTCCGACGAACCCCCTGCCGTCCCCTACGAGTCCGCGCTCTCTATACCTCTTGCGGGCGTCATGGACCAGGCCCGCCTCCACGTCCTTTGGGGCATGTCCAAGGATTTCGGAGCCAACGGCTTGCGCATGGGCGTCATCATTTCCCAGCACAACGAGGCCCTCCACACAGCCCTCGTCTGCGTCTCCCTCTACAGCTCCACCTCGTCGCTCTCGGAGATCGCCACCGCTAACATCCTCGACGACGACGCCTGGGTCGAATCATACATCGCCACTAACCGTAAGAAGCTGGCTGCCAACTACGCCATCGCGCGGGCCTGGGCCGATGAGAATGGCGTGTCTTACGCCAAGGGGGTCAACGCCGCCTTCTTCCTGTGGGTCGACCTCGGCGCCGTGTACCGCACAAAGCACCCGGACAGGGAGGTGGTCAACGCAGATAAGGTGGTCATGGACGCTTTGCTTCGGAACCGGGTCTTCCTGGCGTCCGGGAAAGCATTCGGCTCCGAGGAGCCGGGGTGGTTCCGCATCGTGTTTTCCGTCAACGAGGAGTACCTGCTGGAAGGCTTGAAGAGGGTCTTGGCTGCGCTTGATGAGTAATGATGATAACGTTGGATATATTCTTCCATTCTAGATCTGCCTGCAGACCCATGGATAGGGAGCCACTGCATATAGGGGATGTCTGGGGCCTCATTCAATAGAACGGTTGCTGGACATATATATAAATCTGCACATAATCCCTATGGTCCGCTGGTTGAATCCCTCTTCGTGATCTTTGCTAAGCTGCATCTTCTATCCCCTCCCCGGACTCTCGATAACTCCCACTCCTCCTGATTAGATAGGCCTCGTATCATTATCATTATTCCCTCTTAGAGGCTATCAGCCAAAAGTTGTGCTGAACAAAGACACCCCTGCATGTATTGTCCCAGACCCGAGTCGGGTCCAAAACATGAAGCTGAAAATGGCGAAGTAGCTGGGCGAAAAGAAAACCGGTATGTCAGCACGATAAACTTATAGCCGGGGTTGGGGTGCCGGCGCTTACTTCGAAAAAGATCTTGTTGAGTTCGATGTACGCAATGTTCTGGCCCAGGCACTTGAACCGACCGTGCCCAAACACCATGTCCAACACCGATTCCATGGCTCGCAGCTCCTCCACCGTGCCCTCCAGCCATCGCTCGGGCCTAAACACGTCGGCGTCATGGCCCCACACGTCTTTGTTTCTGGATAGGCCAAAGGCGTTGTATCCAATACACGTACCGCCGGGGATCCGAATCCCCTTCCAGTTGTCACCTTCTGGTGGAGCTATCTTGGTCATGAGGCTCGCGACGGGCGGCCAGATGCGCAGCCCCTCCTTGATCACGGCTTGCAGGTAGGGAAGCCCTTTGGCTTCAGCGTTCGTGATGGGACAGGATACTGTTTTTGAGGCTTCGAGAATCTCCGCGAGGAGTCTGGAGTAGACGTGAGGGTGGGTGACGATGTAGAGCATCGTAGCGCGGATAGCGGTTGCCGTAGTTTCAGATCCGGCGAGTCTGCTCGAAGAAGTGGGGAAGCACGGATGTCAGCGTTAGACCTATAGGCCTTAGGCTTGTTTTCAAGCTAATCCCGAGAACAAAAGAAACTCGGGGGCAAGGAAGAGTTCCAACGGTGGAGCAGGAGGTGCAGTCGGCCAACTACTAACATTTGGAGAAGAGTTTCTGACTGAGCCTCTTCCTCAGTAAGGCCGTGGCGGACAAAAGAGCCCAACATGTCATGCTGTTGTTTCCCATCCGGGCCAAAACGCTCGGCGGCCTTGTCTTTGCAGATTCTAGCCAAAAAGAATATCCTCGGTTAGAGAGCTATTCGGAAAATACACCTTCATCTTCCGGTGCATCAAATTTCAACTAACCCTAGGACCCGACCGAACCCGAACTGATCATGTTCAGACGGGAGAAATCTCTTTACCAAGCTCGACTCCATAATCCAATTCATTTTCGGCATGGTAGAGATGAGCATGACCGCCGGGAGATTGTCTTCTATGGTCGCGACATACTGGAATCTATCCGAATCGGTTGGAAGGCAGCCAAATGCCTCGCTGTAGGAGATGTCGGAGATGGTATCGAGGGTGAAGAATTGGACTTTGCGTCCAAAGTCGAAAGGCTTGGTGTTTCCCGGCGTCGAGAGATAGCGGCGCCGTATGAGGTCGATGAAAGCCAAAATGTTGCGGTCAACCTTGTGCTCGAGGGCGTCCACATCCCGACCGGAATACTGTGTTTCTCCCGCCAACTTGTCAGACTCTCCAATAGAAAGGCCCAAGACCAAAGTGGGGAGCTAGTAAAGGGGGTACTCTTACGCCATGCATCATTTTCGAGCGGAGGCTGTTGTGTAAGTCATCATCCATCTGGGATAAAACGTTGTCCCGGTTCGGGTCGAACCTCATGGCTAGGTACCATGTCGACCGTTTGTACGTAGATCTTGCACCGTCCATCCTCCTCAAGAGGTCGGGATCACAGGTGCTTAGCTCGTTGGGACCGACGCGGACCAAGGAGCCTATAAACTCTAGCTGTCAGAGTGGCCATCTTCTTAAGCTTGAAGATGACATAGAAGGATACAAAGTAAACTCATGAAAGGTCGTGTTGAGAAACTGCCCCCATAGAGCAGTTACGATTAGGAAAACCTCCGTCGGCTTGAACATACCATACTTCTCGGCAGCCTTTTGCAGTCTGAGGTGGGCCTTTCCGCTCATGATTGTGTAAATTATCCATAGATTCGTGAACCCCGCCAGGGGGTCCTCCGATATGGCGCAGACGATTCCATGTTCTCAGGACGAGCGCGATCTTGAGCAGAGCGATTACCGCTGCTAAAATGATGGCAACTGTGACCCAGTTTTGCACCAGTGAAACTAAGAGACGTCTCGTCTCGGTCGTACGAAGAAAGCCCATGGCGGCGGTTGAGGCGGTTTCTGCACAGGCTGAGAGCGAAGTGCTTGGAAGATCACGAGAACTGGAGTTTCTTCGAGTCGTTGAATATACCTACGTTCACTACATGTACTAGATAATGTAGTTATCACAAGGAACGCAAGTACAGCAGATATTGAAGGGCCCTCTTCGAGGAGATTTGTATTATAACCTTCTTCTATATACAGACCAGGCCCAACAGGCAGCCAGCCGTGATACCACATGGAACGCTCGATTCACACCCTCTCTTGTTTTGGCGTCACAGAGAACCTGTCAGTGGTCGACTGAACTGCCGGTAGATGCCATCATCACATTCCTACATGTAGGCCAGACTTATCGCCAGCGAGTGATAGAAAGAATCACAGGCTCTCGAGCCATACAGGATGCGATGGCGGATGGCAGGTGACGGCCACTTGGGCAATTTGGGTGGCTGATGCTGACCAGGGGCGCGTTACACCAACCGAATTGGAAACCTCCGCTTTGGGCCTATCTACGTTGGTTGGTGCGGTAGGGTTGCGGCACAGAAGCAAGGGAGAGAGCCTTGACGGGCCCCGTCTAATTCACAATGCACTCGATCCCCTTTGGGTGTACCCCACACTACGAAGCAAGGGATGATCGAAACGGCGTGCATCCCCAGAGACTTGTTTGCGTGGACGCAGGAAGCACCAACTTGGTTCTCCACTCTTGTATTTACCTCATTTACAATGAACCGCTCGATCGGGACAGGTAAACCCCAGTTAAAAGGGCGCATTATGGCCGAAGTCATTCCTGCATTCATGTAAGCAAGTGACACTTTTGTCGAGCGGCGACGGGTAACACGTAATTGGCCTAAAAGAGAGAAGGGAGAACAGAAAGAGAGAGAGAGAGAGAGGAAGAGGGTAGGGTCTCTGTGTGACTGGGGCACCCCGTTACCCCTGTTTTTCTCGACGTTGGCGATGCTCAAGCAGGGGCACCACACGCGGAGGGCTTTGAGGAACGCTGTGCGTCGTCCTTTCCACTCGCGGATGGTATATGAACCCAGCGAGCACTTAGGAGATGGACTCGGCCAAGAAGCCCCAGGAGTGGAACCAAGATGTGAAATGCTCAGTATCCTAGACAGGGAGTATGCACACCCCGCGGCCGAATTCAGAATGTCGAGTGCGACAATTTACCAAACGAGCCATAACGCTCGAGAACTAAGAGGGGTAGTTTGAATCGACTTGAGCCGCGAGACAGGAGTGCCAACGTAAGCCCCCGCGGCAAAGAAGGAAACGAAGTAAGCAAAGGATCCGGAACCTAGTGCTCCCCATACCGAGAGCTAGAAACAAAGTGCTGGGATCCAGGAACGTCGCCAAGTTGTCTTGAGGACTCGCTAGATTTGGGTTAGAGGCTTTTATGCACCCTTAGGTATATCGCCAAGTTTGGTCAACTAGGCGACAGAGGGGAATTGTCTCAATTCTCCGATAACATTTCCCTAAACCAGGTCCTTACCCGGACTAGCCGAGGCGCATTTTTAATTGGGACATTTTTCGTTCCTGCGTCCCGGCTCGGAATCGAGCAGCGGCGGGACCGGGGGCTCGCGGCGGAGGAAGAAACACGGAATGCGGTTCAGGCCCGCCAAGAACCTATGCATGCTTGACTGAGCGGTGAAACACGTTGGATGCAGACACAATGCCAGGGACGGCCGGGTGTCTAGGCTAGACCTGGAAGAAAACGAACGGGCGGGGGAGCAAGCGCCGTTTTCTGGCACGCCTGGGGTTCAGAATCATGCGATGAGGAATGGTTTTGGGATGGAGAAGGATTGTGCTATTGTCTGCAACTGACGAGAAGGGAAAGGGTGGCCCTACGTTGAGTTGAGGGGTCGTGGCGTGTGAGACAATAGGGTCAAGGGGCCGGGGCGTGGACGCCCTGTTGATAAGGCTCGTAGTTGTGCCTCGAAGTAAGTATGTCAGTGGCGAATAAACTGAGGACTGATTCTCAAGCACTTCCAGAACGTCGACGCTAGTGATACCAAGAAACGGTTGTTCCGAGGCGAGACAGAATTCCGTTAGTAGGCTTTCGCGAGAGATAATGCGGGGAAGAAAGAAGAATGGGTTGCAGGGATTCAGTTCCTCTTTACAATAGTTCCAGCCTTTTTCCTTTTTCGTTCTAATATCAATTCGCCCCGTCAAGGGAATGCTCGAGAACCGAAGGAAAAGAAGAAAAAGCAACGAAGAGCGATAGGATGATACCCACTCTAGCTAGCGCCATTTTCGAGGTGGTTCGAGCCCAGAGGGAGCTACGACCCAACTCATCTTTGGCTGACGCGGACGAGCGATGGTATAGGCTACACAGCAGGACATTCTGGGAGTCCGTCTGTCGAGATTGGTGCCGAGCGCCGAGACAGGGTAGAGGTTTGCGCAGAGGAGAGCGAGCACCCCTGGGTCAAAATCGCACCATCAAGTGAGACGGGGTGGCCTCCCAACTTCCACTACGGACTCTCAGTACGATGGGGCCGTTCAAACATTTCCTTCCATATTGTGTAGTCGCCGTGGCAGATTCTTCGCGTCACAAGTATCTGAGGGAGGAATATAGTGATATTCATTAGCAAACGGAGAGGCCCACCTCTCGGACAGTACGGCTATATATGTTTGACCCATCGATCCACGAGGTGAATATATTCGGCCGTAAGCTAGCTGGAGTGTTCGATAACACTGAAATCCGACACGGAATGGGTCGTTTTCCTACCGGTGTTAAATAGAGATGGGTCGTACTTGACCTAGGATAACAGGCGACGGACCTCATTTCCAGGCCGTTACATAGACGAGTAGGAGCCGATGGGGTAGGACTTCTTGCTCAAACGATGAGAAAATGATAACATTCCACATCTCCGTTACTGCTACCCGCCACGGGGACACGAACTATTTAACCCGGCGTAGTCATTGATGGCCATGTAGAGCCTGCACGGCATGCGCTGACTAGAGTAAACTGTGGGATGCGAATAGATCTATCTGAGCGAAGGATGACCTTTAGGGATAGCTTTTCGGGATAAAGTTTGGCGAGGAGGGAGCGTATTTAGGCGCATGTTAGATTTGGCTAATTTAGGGTTGTAGTAAGGTAGTAGAGATCAGATGCGTAGGATGGTGATGAGGGTACTCCATGCCGTATTTGCACGCATATCTTACGAGGCTTGAATTTGGGTGGCAAGAATCCTCTTTCCTCCGTCCGTAAGTAGCCTACCGCCGTAATCTCGGTGATGAAGGTGGCCAGCCCCCGTGCGTTGAAGAAGGGAGAAGCAAATGACTCTTGTGTGTGTGAGAGAGGAACAGATGAACATGTTGATGGAGACTATATGGCCTACCATATACATAATCACACGTTACTACCGCTTACACTCTGTATGCGGCATGGCCGTAAGTGTAAGAGTAGACAAGTTAACCGCTCAGATCTGCTGCCTTCGAAACATTTGCAAAGTTGGATATTTTCTCGCGCGGTCTACCCTGTGTCAACGCCGTATCCTATGTGGCATGAGCCCCGGGCTACCTCCCACCAGCCGGTATGCCGTGGCGCCCTCTTCATAGTTTAGCACCCGGAGGTTACCCGCGATTCCGGGATATCGAGGTCGCACTGCCGCAGCGTGGTGACATCGGAGTGCAGCATGTGTGCGTGTGCGAGTCTTCATCGGGGAAAAATGGGCCCGCTCCGCCCCGACCCGCCCCGCCGCGGGAAATGTGGGACTGAGCTTTCGGGCACGGCGTGTTACAAGACTCCGCAGCACCAAAAGCGTGATGGCGACGGTGTGACGTGATATTGCCAGGATCTCTAGGTACGTACCGGCATATTTGCTATCGGCCATGATACAACCTTATACGTCTGTTTTGGGAAGACCCCTGAACCTATAGTCGAGTTTTTCGAAATGTATATATTACTCAATAGTTAGGTCCACCTGCACTCGATGGACAACTCCGAACACTTAAATCAGCTTGAATGCTTGCGCGCGGCAGCTAACTGCTAAAGAGTCTGCTACTTAGATTCTTTATATTGAGGAGATGTAACTCGACTAATTTATATCGCTGCAATGGCAGACGTCCGTGTCAATCAGTCTCAGCTATTCTCGTGGTGCCGATATTCTCCGGGAGTAGTGCCGTGGGTTACGAAATTATCGCCACTCTATAGGTAAATGTTTGACGGATAGAGCCTGTCAATTCCAGGATCAATCATCCCTAAATCGGCAGGTGCTCAAGGATCCAGTGCATCAAGGACATCCAGTCGTCCAAAAGAATCTACAACAAATTGATCACAGGTTGATAAAAGACTTCATCTGTATCAACACGAAAACAGATATAACGCCTCTTTATCTCGATATATACCTTATTTACTCTAGAACCGGAAAGAATCCTAGATTCGCCCCTTCGATGTTCCTAATAAACTATTTCGTCTTTAGTCCCAAACCCTAATGACGTGCAGCGACGACGTGGCCACGCGATCGAGCTCAGAAACCAAGATGCGTAGCTTCAAAATGGGCTTCATTTTTAAATTACCTCTCGCGGCGGATTGCAACACACGGCAAGGAATATGACGCGCCGCGCAGTACGGACAAGGGAAAAGCCCTGGTTTCCAAACTCCTTCACTACCAAGCCAAGACCAAGCCGCCGGCGCCGGGTTGATGGTTGAGGTTCGGCGATTTTGGGGAGCCGAGAAAGTTTTCCAGCCTCGGCAAACATTTCCCAAAGAGGAAATTGGATACCGAACCCCGATCCGAGGGAATTCTCAACCCAACTTTATCTGCCTTCATAGCCCCCTCCAGAACTTCAGCTTTCCCACCTTTGCTTGGCTTCGGTCACCGACCATCTACATCTCTCTCTTATTCTTCCGACTTCCTTGGAACCCAACGTGCGGCACAGGAGCGACGAGAAATCCGAAGTTGACGCAGGGGGTACACCGAGATCTAGCTCGCCCTTGAGGTCGAACCGACGTCACTCCCCTGCCTTGTTCGGCGGATCTGAAGGGATCGTGAGGGCCGAAGGAGTACATGAACGGACCCATCTTGGCCTCTCCGAAATTCCCAGGCTATTGATGTCCTCCGTCTCCAAAGTCGGCTTAGGTTATTCGACTTGCATTCCATGTTCAGTGTAACCCACATTCTCCCCCGGGACTACTCACCTTGTCAAAACCCGAAAAATAATTAAGCGTCGTCGTCTAACACACACACACACACACTTCAAATGACCGCCCTGCACAGCCCTACCCGTATTACCCCAGCTCCGGCTTTAGCTTGAAGAACAATAAGACCTGCGACAACTGTCGGTCGCGCAAAGTACGGTGTACAGGTGCGTACCGGGCCGGCAAAACTTGCAGCTTGTGACAGCCGGCAGTCATCACTAATACTCTACTCATATGACAGGTTCCGGCCCCCTTGCGACCATTGTGTTGTAGGTCTACCGTTTTTGACTTTCTTACCTGATGGAGAGAGCATGAAGAGAAAAGAGGCATTCGAGTAAAAATTAAAAGATCAAAATAAGAAGCTTAGGTTAGCTAACGTGACGATACGTAGAGAAGGAAGGAGGATTGTCATTATAGCCGGAGGCGGTTAGGTCCACCCCGGCGAGCCGTCCGGTCAACCCTCGACTCGGGGGCAGGTGAGTGCATCCCCCTCCCTTCTCCCTTCTCTTATTCCCGACGTTTCGCTCCTGTTTTTCTTTTCTTCGTGAACGATGCAAACATCTAATGTTTCCATTCCTTCCTTGGACGCACCTCGTTTCAGTGGTTGGCCACTTCTCGCTCTCCGAAGATCCGGAACCACAAGAATCTGTCTACACCAAGCAACTGCCCACACTATCCCCTCAGCGCGATACCATACAGCAATCAGAGTCTCCACCCTTGCATGGGAGGAATTCCGATGAGCTGTCACTCGACCATGACTCCATTCCCGAGCTCCATGTAGACCGGCTCCTTGCAGGTGCCCAAACATCTCGCATACCTGCGACACAACAGGGCACTCCTAGCGGTAGTGGTCTGGGTTTTGTGAGGGTAAGTAGACAATTCCCCTCTGTTCCACGTTTCCAAAACGGAATGATTTCTGACTTCCTGCTCTACAAGGGTAATGGTATCTTTGGCAAGTCTCCCGATCTGCATGTGTGGGGCTTATCCCCATTATATTTCTGATGCTGTTGCTTATTTCCCTTTCCTCTCCCCACAACGCCTGGTAACTTTGGCTAATTACGAAAACCGCCATCTTGGGTCTCGACAGGTGGCCGACATAGTTTGACCTTCTTCACAGACGCAAGACTCCAGTCACTTTCCGCATGCCTGGGAAACAATAGGGTGAACGAACTTGTTGGCCGCATTGCGGTCAATATCAACAGCCGCGTAAGGCAGGTTGACCCCTTGTACACTGCCGTCCGTCGCCGGGTCCAAAGTCCTAGCCTCCAACTACCTGACAAGAACCTGGCCGCATCTTACATTCAACGTAAGTATATGTTGGTCAAGTCCCCTCCTATAGTAGTGAATTTTAGACCTGCTTGCACAGTCTCTCCCCTACCTCCCACCGACTTGCAACGGGCATACCTTGCTAGCCGGCGCCCGTGTCTTATCCTTTCCGTGCTGACCGATCCGGAATAAGTTTATTTTGACAAAGTACATCCCGTTTACCCCTTCCTCGACCGCGCCGCCTTCGAAAAGACCGCCCTTAGCGCGGAGCTAGCCCAGGTCCTCACCAACAGCAAGCCCTGGCTATGCATGTACCACGCCGTCCTGGCCATCGGCTGCCAGCACGCCAACGGCGGCAGCTTCGAGCCTGGCAAGGGCGAGGACTGGAAGCTCTTCGTCGTCGCTACCGCCGTGTTCTCGGACCTGGTGCTCCTCCCCGACTCCCTCATCACTCTGCAGGCCCTCACAGCCATGGCTGTCTACGGCGCCAGCCTCAGCGGCCTAGCTCTAGAGCACGCCATCCTCAACGAGGCCGCCCGCCGCGCCCAGAACCTGCCTACTGCGAGCTTGAGCGCGCAGGAGATGCAAACGTACCAGAAGACGTTTTGGATCTTGTACGGCCTGGAAAAAACTTCTAGTTTCCACTATGGACGAAGCTCGGTACGTATTACATGGTCAACAGCGGATGCGTCTTTTCTTTTCTTTGTTTCTTTTTATCCATCCCCTCTTTTAAGAACTAGAGATAGGCTGTGATTGGAAGGATGAGACATTTAGCAGCGCTAACGAGAACGAAAAACGCACTATCCAGGGCTTCGTCGACTACGACATCTCCTGCCCCATCCCCTACGTCCCGGAATCCGTCTTTGGCGAATTCAACTGGTTCCTGGCCCTGATCCGCCACGCCCGCCTCCTCTCGCGGGCCTACACCTCCCTCTTCTCCGCCGGCGTGTCGGGCAAGCCCAGCGCCTACCACCTCGAGACCATCACCCAGCTGCGCGAGGAGCTCGACAGCTGGCGCATGTCTCTGTCTGACACGGGCTTCCGCCCCGGTGGCTTGGTGAGGCTGCAGGCCGTCACGGGGCCCAGGACGCGGCCCCTCGCCCTGTACATGCACTACATGTACTATAGCTTCGCCGCGACGCTAGCCCGCACGGCGTTGCTTTACCTACCCGAATCGAGAGAGGCCGACGCCCTTGCGCAACGATGCGAAAATACTACGATAATTATCCAGAGCACGAGGTCGGTGCTTGATCTCACGGCCCTTATCGAGGTGGAGCCGTACACGCCTAGTCTGTAAGTCATCTCCCCCGCCCGTTTCGAGTGATGGGAGAGTGGGTGGAAAAAAGCAAAGCAACAAACCCACCATGAGAGGGGAGAAGAAAAGAATAATGGAATCACGTCAAATACGTGGCAAGTGAGAGGAAAGAAAAAGAAAAAGCGAAGAAAGCCCCCAAAAAGGCCAAGCCGAGATCTCGAAAGCTAACGATTGAATGGTATCTGGTAGCATCATCGCCGCCGTCCCCGTCACCGCCCTCTTCACCCTCTTCGACTTCGTCATCCACAACCCCCTCCAGCCGGACACGTGGTCCAACCTCGCCCTCCTCGAGATGGTCGGCGGCCACTTTAGCCGCATCGAGTACGCCACCGGCGGCTCCATGCCCGGGACGCTGGTCTCCGAGTTCTCCCACATCGCCCGCGACTACGTCAAGGAGGCCCAGCGCCGGACGGGCGCGCCGGTGGGGAACCCGCACGCTCTTTTTGTCACTCCGGGGACCGCTGCTCCCGTGTCGACGGGCTTAGCGGCGGATTCGTGTGCCAAGGGCGAGGCGCCGCTTGGCGACGAGAACGTAAGTCTCTCTTTTCTTGGCTCCTTGGCTATACTTTTCTTTTCTTTTCTTTCTTTTCCCCTCTTTCTTGGCTCATTTCCCGGCCGTGGCATGCGCGATTAACGATTCGAAGCCTCTGACCTTTGAAAACGATATAAAGCAGAAACAAATCGAACACGGGTCACAACACCTCATGATTGACGTACCCAGCGTACCGCGAATACCGTTCATAGATAATGTTCAATTCCCGGTATCGTCTGCCCCTCATGACGGATTCGTCCTCCAAGGCCCGGGCATGGCTGGCACGGATGTCATGGGGTTGTTCAGCTACGTCATTCCGGAAATAGACTCCATGCTCTACGACGACTATGTAGGCAGTTGAAAGGCGGAGACGAAAAAGGCTAAAAACTTCTAGCCTACACCAGATGTAGTCAGCTACTGGTGCGATTCGCAGATGATGAGGGCACACAGGTGGCGGTAGGGTAGCCTCTCATTCTTTCGCAGGGAGTGCAAATCGCGTCGCGTTCATGTACAAGGGATCAATGGATGTACCTGTTCAGCGCACGGGTTCTGCCCCCAAAAGATATAGGATGGTGGCTCCGGGAACATAGCAGGTCTATGTTCAAACTCTCTCATCAATAAGCCTCCAGCTCCCATCCTCACGGACCGAGTCGTCCGGGTCAAGAAATGGGCACGCACGCGCCACGATCAGCTACTTCCTGGAACTCGAAAGGCGATCAAACCTCTTTACAAAGGCGGGGGAGGAGGGTGGACCAGGCCTCCGATAACTTGCCTCCCCCTTTCCCCCAGCTGGCTAGCTGACTGAGTGGGTTGAGCGTGTCTAGTGAGACAAAGTGCGTCAAACGCGCTCATTTTTCTTTTTCTTGTCTACCTCGCGACAATCAGCAACGCAGTGCGTGTCTTGGTTCAATGACCACGCAGCAACCACGAGTTTCGCGAAATTGGTCACCGGGGTACGCGCCCCTTGAATTAAAGGGGTAAGGATCTGGACTGAAAGCTTTGGAAGAAAAAAAGGTGGTATTCTAATTCGAAGCATGTGGTATAATGTACAAAGTAGGGAAGAAAAAGCAAGCTATAGCCGTGACTCCCAATCTAGTATAGACATGAGAAAAGAAAAAAAAGATTCAGCCCAATGAAGGAATCGTAGAGATTGAAGGGCAGCAAAAGAACAAGGAGGGAGAAAAATGGAAAGATGTCCAAGGCATGGAATGGCGGCCTCGCGAATTACAAATTATGTTCAGAGATGCTCGCTTGGTAGGTCAGAAATCCGTTATCTGTGAGAGGGCGTGTGGAGACGAATTGGAAAGAAAAAGTGTCAAGACTCGATCCACAAGCTGTGGTACAAGTTTGCGGTGGTAAGTGATTGTTGAGTCGTGGAAAAGTAAAGGAAGACGGAGGAGGGGTTAAAAAAGGAATGTGGCGTTAGCTGTGGGTCGCGGGCGCGTGGAGGAAAAGGAACGCGTTGCGAGGAATTGATTTTTCTGGTTGGCGACCGTGACGTCTTGCTTAGTACGTCTCGGGAGCTTGCCAAAGCTGGGGACAGACTTGGAGCAGTCCCAGTCGCGCTTGTAGGCGATCTCGGGCATGAACTTGCCCTTGAGACCGGCCTCGTAGCTCCATTGGTGGGCGGACTCGGACTTCCACGTCCAGTAGAACCAGCCCCACGACTTCTCAAAGGCGTCCATCTGGGCAATGGCGAACGTCTTGAGGAAGAGCCTGTACTCGTCGGTGTAGGTGGAGGGGTCGGCGTTGGCCTTGTCGCAACTGCACGAGTCGTCGCCGGTAGGGCAGCGAGGGCGGCCTATCGTGTCCGAAAAGGTACCTTCCCAGCGGCTGCCGCCACCGACACCATTGAGGTGAAGGGTGCAGTCGGTGTCGGCCTGAGACCATTCGCCCACCATGGTGTCGCCGAAACCGTTAGCGCCGCTCATGCTGTTCACGACCATGCTCTTCCAGTCGTTGCAGACGAGGGAGATCTTCTTGGCGTGCTCCATGGCAATCAGGTTGGGGTCGAAGATGGTGTACATGTGCGTGTCAATGATGAGGTCCTGGCCGGTTCCGCCCAGCTTGCCCTTCCATGTCGGGAGCCCGCGCATCGAGTCACTGAAAATCTGGGGGACCTGAATGCCAGCATCGGCAACGACCTTGATAGCGGCGACGGTCCACTCCTCCAAGTCATCGAGGGGAAGAGCAAAGCCGGGCTCGTTTCCGAGGCCGTAAAAGGCGACAACGTTGCGGTAACGGTCCTGAGCGAAAAAGGTGGCAAGCTGGCGGTGAATATCGAGGGCGCGCTCCGCGTTCTTGGCGCCGTCAGGACCGGAAATGAAGTTGATCTGGCTGGAGCGTCCGCTGTGGTTCCAGCCGTTCTGGCTGCCAGGGAGGCCGTGGAGGTCAAGCTTGACACGAAGACCGTACTTGCGGGCCCACTCGATGCCGCGGAGAAGATAGCGCCACGAGATGTTGGGGACGTACGGGTCACCCTCGTAGGTACGCACAGCCCAGTACGAGAATGGAATACGGAGGTGGTCGAGACCGGCATCAGCAATGGCCTTAAAGTCAGCCTCGGTAATAAAGGTGGCGTAATGTTTCTCCAGTGTCTCAGCGGCCTTTTTGGCACCCAGATGCTTGCAGAGCGTGTACTCGTCCACAACGCCCTTGCTAGCGTCGTAGTCGAAAAGCGAGGCGGTGATGAAGGGCTCGAGAGAGAGCCAGCCTCCGAGGTTGACGCCGCGGATGGGTCGCTTCTTGTAATCCCAAGAGTCTTCGATGGCCGGGACCTCGGAGTTGGCGCTGGCAGAGTCGTCCCAGCTAGAGTTGAGTCCAACGAGGGGCAGGTCGCCAACGAGCTGGGCGGTAAAGGAGCAGTTGAAGCCCGTCATGTCGTACCAGGTGGTGGGGTCAAGATACGTGCCCTTGTGCTTGGAGGGAATGTCGTCCGAGGTCGAGCACTTGACGGGCTCCGCGTCCACGCCGCCGTTGTTGCCAGATCCAGGCTTGAGCCGGACGAGCCCGATCCCTTGTTGGAACCCGAGCCACCAGAGCTGGAACTATCGTCATCCCCAGCATTGGAGCCGCTCGAATCTGAGCCGGAACCAAGGGGAATAATCTTTTTACTGAGAAGCACAGCAACCACAACCGCAGCGGCAACTCCTACACCGAGGATTCCTACTACGATCCCTGTTCAATGGGGAAACGCGCAGATTGTCAGTTCAAGTCCATTTTTGTGGCATGTCGCACGATATCAAGACCAGCGCGCCGGGATGATATGCGCAGGTGGAGATATGCAGTCGTGCAACGATGTTGCCTCTTAACTAGGTCGCGCTTACATAGGATCTTTCTTCTCCTTCGCTTGGCGGCGAGATCTGGGTTGGCTTTTCCTTCCATCTTCGATTCGGTTTAAGAGAAAAATAAATAAAAGAATTAAGAAAAATTAGAGTATTAAAGAAATAGAAAAAACGAATGTCGTCGACGATTCTCTGTGAATGGAGAACCGTTGGAAAGCCTGTGGGAGACAGGAATCGGGTGTGGGGGCAGCTGCTGGTTTTGAGTCGGGTTTCTTTGTTTTTAATTAGGGGGAACAAGAACACCTGCTCCCGGTTCGCTTTTGGGGCCAGGGTATCCCACGGCTACGCCCAACCTTATTCGTTCATAGGGCGACAGCAGGAAGGATGGGAGGGTAAGAAAATAGAAATCTGGAGCAAATGGGCTCGAGCCATGCATACAGGGATGAGCATAGAAAGAAGGATTTCGGAGGGAAAAGGAGATGCGCAAGAGAGGGGGAACACGGGAAAGTGAACGTGTTGGTCGTGCTTTTCGCCCAGGCTTACTGCCTCGAGTCAGCGCGGTGCTGGAAACCGTTAAATTGCGATATTCCCAATCCGGGCAGGGCTGCCAATACCCCTGTCAACGCCGAGCAAAGCAGCTTTGACAGACCGGCGGGATACGAGATCACCTCGTATGGTGGCCCTTTGAGCCCGTATATTTTTCCTTGGCTCCAAGAGTCTTTTTTCCCCTTTGGCTTCGTCTAGCCCTCTACTATCTTTCGTGATGAGCATGGCCAAGGAATCGGGGAACATCCAGAGCCGACCTGATTGCCGATTTCCGTCAATTGCTGATGGTGTTGCTGATGACCGGCATAGCACGAACGAGCACCGAATACCCGTAGTCAAAATGGAAGACATGGAGTGGGCCTGGGCCGGTCAAGCGTGGCAAAGGGGGTTCAGTCAGCCCGGGTCAAACACCTGTCAAATGTTGCACGAATCACGAACTTTGTCTGCCATAGTCGTCTCTCGTAATTCACTTTCGAGGCCCAACCCCATCATCATCAGGCCTCGTGAGGAGTCTTTTGCGGGCAGGATGCGGCGCAGGCAAGCACTTCAGCTCTTTGGCTGGTGGTGTCGTTCCACCAGTTGCTCATTGGCTGTTGGCTGTTGGGAATGTCCATCCCCTTCCAAAATGGTATTATTCTTCTCCCAGCATCAGCCACGACTCGATAAATGCCGCTGTTTTTTGCAGGTATTGGTGCAACAGCGACTGGTCGTTTTTAATAATATTTTTGATACCGCATCTGCTATTGCGCGATGCCAAACGCTAGCTCGAGAAGATGGCAAATGTGGTCAGCCAGTGAAGGCAAGGCTTTGCTGCCATTCCAGAAGCCGTTGCTTCGAATGGGAGAGGGGGAAAAGCCGGCCCTCGGAAAAAAGGATTAGCACATTCGCGCTGCTCAAATTAGTTCGCGCCAGAACGAACAAGTCAGGTGCGGAACTGGCCTGGTTGGTTGGACCCTGCGCCATCAACGCCTGCGGGTAAATTAAAATCACTCTAGGCCAGGCTCCGTCTTCTGTCTGTTACAATGCCACTCAAAGGCAGACGCCGCGGCGCAGGGGTTAAAATGGCAGCTCTCATTGGCCTGTTGGTCCTGACACAAGTGGCACCACAGAGGCCGTCGAAATCCTTCTCGGCTTCAATGTCCGTTTGTCGTGTACCAAAATACCAAAATGCTTGGGGAAGGCTCTTGGGGTTACACCTGGGGATTGACCCAAGCGTTCCTTCCAGATCCACCTTCCTGTGGCCTCCCTGTGGGGAGGCAGTGCTTTCTGCAATTGGGCGATTCGTGCAGCCCGCCTGACACTCCCTCTGGGTCGTGTGCGGGTGCAATCTGCGAAGGAGCAATGGGCTGCAACGCAACAAAAGCTCATTCATGGCGTGCCCCCGCGACTTGAAGCGCCCCTCAAGACAAGACGCTTCGAAATTATCGGAAATCTGTGGATATCTCTCGCTGGCGCCCCCTTTTTCTTGGAACTCTCAATGCTGTTGGCCATGACGTGATGGATCAGTGGCGCCAGCCCTATTTCGGTACAGGCCATCCTCGACAAATGTGGATGCTTGAGAACTTGGGGCAAGCCCTCGATTTTCATGCTCCGTTTCCATTCCTAGCCTTTCCTTGGGCTTGGAGTTTCGCCGGATCGTCTCTTTCATCTCGTGCACTCTCTACTAGTTTATCCAATGAAATGCCGAATTAATTCGTAGACGGGGCCACCATTTAGTTGTTCCCACATCTTGGTGACTTTCCTTCTTTCATATCCACGATACTTGTGCAGATCATGGCACACTTCGCTTGTCGCCAGACAGTGTCACACCTGATACCGTCGCGCGCACTCCATATGCATTGGAGCAAAGCAGCACGAGCCGAGGGTTCTATCGTGAATATCGTGACTTTTCGAAAGTGCGACATGACCGCAGCAGGATGCTATAACTTTCCCACGACAAACAAGAATAGACTCGAATCAGCCGAGCGTGAGCTGAGAAGAATGGGTGAAGTGAAATGAGTGAAGCTTGGCTAATTTCATTCTACCCTTTGGCGGGCTCACCTGTCTTCTTTGTCCTGAAAAGTCCCCAGAGCTTGCCGTACCATGCGTCCTAATAAGAGTCCGGGGCTGACTAATAATACCCATCGCCTGGATTAATTCTGAGATCACTTCCTATTCAGAGTCTAGGAGCACCCGAAGATGTAAGCCAAAAATATAGAAATAAAAAATAAAAATAATAAAAATAAAAATAAAAATATAACCTCCAAGATTTAGAGAACAAGGAAGATAAAGACAGTCACTCTCACTCCTCATCCATGAAAATTTAGAGACAAGTCTAGAATACCAGGTGTCCAGGTTCAACCCCATCGTCGCTTCAATGTGAGAAGCTTGGTGTCATAGGTGGTCTGAAACCAGAGACTTGGGAAGTTTGTTGTGCTTGTTTACGTGCCTTGCGTGCCTTGAGCTCCGTAGCTAGGTTTGCCTTGGATCATCAGGTGCGTACTTGTATTATCAAATTTTCCTAGAAAGTGTTAAAAACCCCTAGTCGGACAGGGGATCGATCGGCGCGCCTTTCAAGATGATCGTCCGAAATACGGACGCAAATTGCACCTGGGGAAGTTAACGACACCCGATGATCACTGACGGAAATGCAGGGTATTCCCAGCTAGCTCTGCGCCGCGTGCATCCCATCACACATGACAGTAGTTTTACTGCATATATCGTCATACACACCGTTGTGCTATTATCGAATCCAAGAGCTGGGATTCTACGTCTTGTTACGACGATATTATCTCGATTCTAGGAGACTATCCAGCTGGTGTACGACAAGGAGACATGAAGGCTACTCAATATTGTTCGCCTGCGCAGTCACAGTTTTCCGTGTTAGCAAATACATGGAAGGTGTTATTATAATTTACAAGTAGATATGTAGACAGCCAATAACCGATGGTAGCGGTACTTTAGGAGAATATGACATACTCGCGCTAGACGAGACGATGCCTCCTGGATACCCCAAAATGCCCTCCAACGATACGATGTAAAAGAACAAATCCATCCATTGTAGTGAGCTGGGAGCAGTCCAAGTATCCTTTTTGGTCACATCCACCGATCTAAATTCACTTGCAACCCACCCTATGAATGGAAGGCATTCCATGTGCAGTCTTCTTTAACAAGCATACAATGGATGAGTTATCAACAGCGGACCTTTCTTTCTCTTGGTCTCGCACTCCCTCAAACATGGGGGCATGGTATGATGAGATCCAAAGTAATGTATTGCCTACTGTAACACCTCGAATCGTCGAGCAGGAACCATCATGACTTCGTGTTTTCACTATCTTCATTCGTCTCCTTTGCCGTATTCATACTATGATCAAGAAGTGCCCGGAATTTGGCCGGAAGTAGTGAGATTTGCGCGTTCCGGGCTCACTTATCGCTATCCAGGGCACTCGCAGTGTATTTTGGTCATCATTTCATTCTTTTTGTTCCTATTCTTTTCGCTCTAAATATATATATGTTGCTAGAACCATAGTCTTGCGTGGCTTGGGGCGTGTCTTAAGGAAGAGGGAAAGAGAGAAAGACGCTCACGAGACGTCCAGTTTAGGAGTGTAGGGGAAAATTCAAGGTTGATGCTCACCCTTCAGATCTGACCATTACACCGCGTTAGAGATATTATTAAATTTGGATAGTTGAAAGTGTTCTTGTCTTGTTTACCTGGCTCTTGGATGCTTATCTGTTGAGATTTTTTGGCTGGCTATGCCTCATCATGAAGTTGAGAACTCTCGCCGGTATCCCCGTAGGCTCGGAGGATCATCATCATGGACGACGATTCAGAACGGTATCTGGAGGTTGGCAGCGATATCAAGCTGCAGCCACGGGAGTCTGTGAAGGTAATATGGCAGGCTAAAGATACCGGGGCCTGGGGCTTAGATCCGTGGATATACACTTTTGTATGGGGACGACAGTAGGGGCCTCTTGATAGAAGCTTTGATTCTGTAACGATTCCTTAGCAAGGTATGAGCTTGTCCGGACGCACCCTAGCCTACGTATTCACGTTCACGGGTACGTCGGTTCTTCGTATGGCTATCTGCACATGTGAAGCTCTTTACTGTTGAATACATGTACGCTTAGCTAGTTCACTCCGGGCAATCTCGGGCAATGGTGCGTAACTTTTGGTATGTGAGACCAGACCCCTCAACAGATCCATTGATGTCATCTAGTTACCTACAGGCCCTGTTTCCTTTGTGGATTCTCGACCAGTGTGTGGGAATGCTTTCACGGGCCTTTCGACGCCGGCGCTTCGAATCTAGCCACGCCATGCCGATTTCTGAGGAGTATAGCTATAAGTATCTGGTGGCTTGCGGTTTTCCGGAAACACTTTGGTACCTTGACAATCCTGTCGTCAGTCCGGATTCGGTCAATTGAGATTAAATTGAGGCAACTTCGTGTCCTAGCTATCATACACATAGCAACAGATTCCCTAGGGAGTGGGCGTGTTCCCAACTATTTGCGAACCCCTCACCACAAAGCAATGTGGTTTATTGGTTCTTGACTGGAAACGGTGCGCCCCCCGCGCGAAGCTACGAGGACCCTCCACCATTGGTCAGGGGATTATGAATATTAATCCTATAGCTCAACATGAAACTTGATTTTAGAAAGATCTAGCCCTCCTGGGATACGGAGAAAGACGGTCGTGAGGAGACTAACTATCGAGTACGCCGTGCAGGGTTCAGGAACAATTGACGCTCCTATGGCTCCCAACATGGTGAAACTCTAATACAAATAGTCCGAAGATAGTGGTGGGAACTACTTAGGTTTCGGAAACGGACGTGGAGGCGGAGATGGGGCCTCGGCGGAGCGGGGAGGCGTGTGTTGAGAATTCTCGTCCCGTGGAAGAAGGATCCATAGGTCTAATGGAGCTATCAATGGGTGTCAGCTTTGAGACAGGTCTCAGGGCTCATCAGACACGGAACCCTCCACGAACTGTCCAGTCCCATCGGGCCCGGCCTTGGTCTAGATGGGTCCAGGGTCAAGACGGACCTGTTTACGTCAGCTCGACACCTCTCCAACACTTCAATGTTCATTGTCGAATTTCACAACATCCTCTTCACTTGGCGGCCTTGTTTACAACCTAGGCTGGCTGGAGGATCATTCAGCTTTCCACTCTTTCTCCCAAAACCATACCCGGATGTTTCTAGATTTCAAGACATAAGACTGCATTGTTTTCTAAGTTTATTGTTTACAAATCAGGCGAGAGAGAGACGAGGTGCCCGAGGATTGGTTGCCCCTGTGTCAAGCATGGCCGACATAGTGCCCTTTCTCCTTGCCGCATCTCGGACAATCAGGGCTTGCATCCAGTGTCTCAAGCGCCTTTTTGATGGTAACAAGGTAAGGGGTTGTCCCTGAATCTCCCGACACAACACTTCATTCGATCATGCCTCGCTGATGAAGTTGTGTGGGCATACCTCTGCATACGAGAGCTGTTGGCCAGCCTACCGATAATTCATTTTAGCGCGAAGGGCAAACTGACCCTGGGGTAACCCGAAAACAGGTGACGATCGTGACCCTCTCCCCACAACATCTGTGATGGACGCTGTGGGGAGCAATGGATCCATCTACCAATCTATCCACCTGGCGTGGGGCTGGCTTCGCGTGTGCAATTGCTGCAGTGTGTCAAAGGGCCCACCCCTCCAAAGACATAAACTTTCCGAGTATTGACTGCTCTAGCCATAGCGGTAGATGCGGAGATCCTCTTGCATTTGAAAATAACAGGGGCGGTGCTTTACATGTTGGGCATCGGATCACGGAAAGGGGAACAGATGGCCAAAGTTCAATAGAGAGGAAGATGGGCGCACAATTCGGCCAATGGAGCACTCTAGGCGCAGCGGTGCACAGGGGAAAATGACATCTTCCTCACCAACATCTTTAACGCTGACTCGGCGATCCAAGTAGAGCCTGGAAGCAAGACACTTGTTAGAACCAATTGATGTGTTCCTCGCCCGCAAGTTGTCTCCTTGGGGGTTCAGGGTCTGGGGAGAGTTGCCAGGTGTTGGAATTCACCAAATACAGAACATCATTGTCAATATGTACGACGACGCGTTTCGGGTGCGTGCTCAAGAGGCTTGACAAAAGTGGAAAGGGTGTGGACCACTGAAGCTGATGAGTCAGCCGCGCATTTCACTTTGACCTCCTCCAGGGTCGAGAAGGACAATCAAGGAACCCAAACCCCAAATCTCACACTCGCGGAGTGGTGCTACGAAACGTGAGGAGAAGAAAGAAAAAGAAAAGAAAGAAAACCACAGAGTAGAGAAAATGACCTGATGAACAGGAAGAGGTATTAGGAAGCAAACCGTGTGCGCCTCAAAAAGGAATACAAAATGAGCAACAATTCGGGCAAACGTGAGTTTCACCACTCCACCGACGACATGTGGGACTAACCTAAGTCAGTCGTTGCCTCGTATTTAGAGATCCATGGCGAAACCCACACCCTCTCGCGAATCCGGGTGATTTTGGATGATATCTTGATGCGCCGCCTTGAAGGAGGCTAGAAGCAATAGTTCTAGGAGGGCATCCGACGACTAGGGCCAGAGTATGCTTGCTTCTTCGAGAGCGGGTTGGTCGCTGTTGCCAAGTGTGCGTGTACACACACCCCGCAGGTCCCTATCAAAGTCAAATAACACTAAACGGAGAGGGAGGAGGGGTTTGAGTGTGTGATATCGCCACTAATGCTGTTTTCTCTGAGACAGCCACTGGTGAGGGACGACCCACCTCGAAATATCGGTCGAGCTGGTTCATCTGAAGCAACAAATATGGACATTTCAGATGTAAGCGGAGTCCAGAGCCAAGCAGAGCTGGGCTAAGGTCCGGGCGGACCAAGTGGCGTCGATGGTGGGAGAGATTCTGGGACTGACGACGAATGGAGTTGACAGAACAGAAATGCACATGGGAGGGCGGCCAAGAGGGATTTCCGAGTATATAAGAAGTCTCCTATCCGTCGACAAGGATGGAATTAAGCCTACCCAGACGCGCTGGTCATCAACAACAGATAGGTCGCTTCAACAAATCAGCCAACGACCGCGACCGGAGACCATACGACGTCCACCACAAAGATTGAGTGCCAAGATACAGCTCATGTCACAAATCTAACATGAGGTTGATAAACCTTATTCCGGTGCTCATCATAGCACCGGGGATCCTGGCCTGCGATGATGTCAACGACCCGTGTCTTGGCGAGGGCCAGACTTGCATAAACGATGTATGCGAGGACCCCGAATGTTCTAGTACTATTTCCTGCCCAGGGAGCAGATTTGCGTCGCCTTCCAGTGCGAGACCCCAGAATGCTCCGATACCATTCCTTGTGGTGGCGAGCAGGTCTGCGTTGCCAACGTCTGTGAGGAACCTGAATGCTCCGATACTATTCCCTGCTCTGGCGAGCAGATCTGCATCGCCAATGCCTGCGAGGACCCCGAATGTTCCGATACTATTCCCTGCTCTGGCGAGCAGATCTGCATCGCCAATGTCTGCGAGGACCCCGAATGCTCCGATACTATTCCCTGCTCTGGCGAGCAGATCTGCATCGCCAATGTGTGCGAGGACCCAGAATGCTCCGATACCATTCCTTGCTCTGGGGAGCAGATTTGCATCGCCAATGTGTGCGAGGACCCAGAATGCTCCGATACCATTCCTTGCTCTGGGGAACAGATTTGCGTAGCCAACGTTTGTACTGAGCCCGAATGCTCCGATACTATCCCTTGCAGTGGCGAGCAAATCTGCATCGCCAATGTCTGTGAGGACCCTGAATGTTCCGATACTATCCCATGCTCTGGGGAACAGATTTGCGTGGCCAACGTTTGTACTGAGCCCGAATGCTCCGATACCATTCCTTGCAGTGGCGAGCAGATCTGTATCGCCAATATTTGCGAGGACCCCGAATGCTCCGATACCATTCCTTGCAGTGGCGAGCAAATCTGCGTTGCCAATGTCTGCGAGGACCCTGAATGCTCCGATACTATTCCCTGCTCTGGGGAACAGATTTGCGTGGCCAACGTTTGTACCGAGCCCGAATGCTCCGACACAATTCCTTGCAGTGGCGAGCAGATCTGTGTCAACAACCAGTGCACGGATCCTGAGCCTGAATGCTCTGATACCATTCCCTGTACTGGCGAGCAGATCTGCGTTGCCAACGTCTGCGAGGACCCTGAATGCTCCGATACTATTCCCTGCTCCGGGGAACAGACCTGTGTTGATGGCCAGTGCACCGATCCTGAGCCTGAATGCTCTGACACCATTCCTTGTACTGGCGAGCAGATCTGCGTTGCCAATGTCTGCGAGGACCCTGAATGCTCCGATACTATTCCCTGCTCTGGGGAACAGATTTGCGTAGCCAACGTTTGTACCGAGCCCGAATGCTCTGATACCGTTCCTTGCACCGGAGAACAGACCTGTGTTGATGGTCAGTGTACCGATCCTGAGCCAGAATGCTCCGACACCATTCCTTGTACTGGCGAGCAGATCTGCGTCGCCAATGTGTGCGAGGACCCCGAATGCTCTGATACCATTCCCTGCTCCGGGGAACAGATCTGCGTAGCCAACGTTTGTACCGAGCCCGAATGCTCCGACACTATTCCCTGCTCTGGGGAACAGACCTGTGTTGATGGCCAGTGTACCGATCCTGAGCCGGAATGCTCCGACACCATTCCCTGCTCTGGCGAGCAGATCTGTGTCGCCAATGTCTGCGAGGACCCCGAATGCTCTGATACTATTCCCTGCTCTGGGGAACAGATCTGTGTTGATGGCCAGTGCACCGATCCTGAGCCTGAATGCTCTGACACCATTCCTTGCACCGGCGAGCAAATATGTATCGCTAACGTCTGTACTGATCCCGAGTGCTCTGATACCATTCCTTGTACCGGCGAGCAGGTCTGCGTTGATGGACAGTGTACTGATCCTGAGCCTGAATGCTCCGACACCATTCCTTGCACTGGCGAGCAGATCTGCGTTGCCAACGTGTGTACCGATCCTGAGTGCTCTGATACTATTCCTTGTACTGGGGAGCAGGTCTGCGTTGATGGACAATGCACTGATCCCGAGCCAGAATGCTCTGACACTATTCCCTGCACCGGGGAACAGGTCTGCGTTGATGGTCAGTGTACTGATCCTGAACCTGAATGCTCGGATACTATTCCGTGCGATGGTGAGCAGGTCTGTGTCAATGGCCAGTGTGCTACTGAATGCTCTGAGAGCAATCCATGCACGGATCCCGACTTCCCGGTTTGCGATCTAGAGGAGAATATCTGCGTAGCGGAACCCGAGACCACTACGAGCCCTACCGAGAGCCCTACGGGGCCCACTGGTACTACCGATCCTACCGAGAGCCCTACCGAGAGTCCTACGGAGCCTACCGGTACTACCGATCCAACTGAGAGCCCTACCGAGAGCCCTACAGAGCCCACTGGTACTACCGATCCGACCGAAAGCCCGACCGAGCCTACCGGTACTACCGACCCAACAGAGAGCCCAACTGAGAGCCCCACAGAGCCCACTGGTACTACCAATCCGACCGAAAGCCCGACCGAGCCTAGCGGTACTACCAACCCCACTGAGAGCCCTACGGAGCCTACCGGTACTACCGACCCAACTGAGAGCCCTACGGAGCCCACTGGTACTACCAACCCAACTGAGAGTCCTACGGAGCCTACCGGTACTACCGATCCAACTGAGAGCCCTACCGAGAGCCCTACAGAGCCCACTGGTACTACCAATCCGACCGAAAGCCCGACCGAGCCTACCGGTACTACCGACCCAACCGAGAGCCCTACCGAGCCTACCGGTACTACCGATCCTACCGAGAGCCCTACCGAGCCTACTGGCAGCTCCACAGAACCTACTGGCAGCCCTACCGACACAACCAATAGCCCTACTGACAGTCCCACTAGTGGCTCTACCGGCAGCACTTCTGGTTCCACGGATGATCCCACTGACGCTACGACGACCCCTACATCAGTGGCGACGGGTACTACCAGCTCCACTACCAGCAGTGGTAGCGCGTCGGTTACACCTGGCGTTCCCGAAATCGTTGGCGAATTCCTCGCGCTTGGCTGTTTTGGATCATCTGGAGGTTTCGACAGCTTCTCGCTGAGCCAAACCTCGTCGCAGATGAGCCTGACCTTGTGTGCCGCCTCCTGCGTAGGCTCGCCATACTTTGGTGTCACTGGACAAGACTGCTTCTGCGGCACAACTTTGGAAAGCGACGCTGAACTAAGCGAGGGTCTTTGTAACTTGCCGTGCCCTGGCGATCCCTCGCAGTTTTGTGGTGGTTTTAGGGCCGCGGTTGCTCGTCGCCAAGTCCCGGCCAACTACTTGCTGAGCGTGTACGTTTCGCTCGTCAACCCGCCTGCAGGCGTGACCCACACCGTGACCCAGAACATCACGTCGACTCTTACCAACGTGATTACTCAAACCACAACCTTGTCTAATGGCATCATTTCGACAACGGTGGCCACTAGCACAGTCACCACAACCATATGCCCGACATGCCCACCTAGGCCTTGCCCCGGAGGAAAGTGCCCCGATAATGGTGGTGGCGGTGGCGGCGGCGGGGGCTGGCCTTGGCCTTGCCCTGGCGGCGACTGTGGTGGTAACGGAGGGCATGGAGGCAACGGTGGAAACGGAGGGCATGGAGGCGGCGGCGGCCATGGCTCTGGTTCCGGCTCTGGTGGGAACGGAGGCAATGGTGGCCATGGCGGCAACGGCGGTCACGGCGGTCACGGCCCCGGCTCCGGCTCCGGCTCCGGTCCTGGAGGCAACGGTGGAAACGGAGGCCATGGAGGCAACGGCGGCCATGGTTCTGGTTCCGGATCTGGTGGTAACGGAGGTAATGGCGGCAACGGTGGAGATGGCGGTCACGGCTCCGGCTCCGGTTCAGGAGGCAACGGTGGAAACGGAGGTAATGGAGGCAACGGCGGCCATGGCTCTGGTTCCGGATCCGGTGGCAATGGTGGCGATGGCGGAAATGGAGGAAACGGCGGTAACGGTTCCGGCTCCGGGTCTGGAGGCAATGGTGGCAATGGTGGCAACGGCGGCAACGGTGGTGATGGCTCCGGATCCGGCTCTGGTGGCAACGGGGGCAATGGGGGCAACGGTGGAAATGGCGGTGATGGCTCCGGATCTGGCTCCGGAGGCAATGGAGGCAACGGAGGCAACGGAGGCAACGGCGGCAACGGCAGCGGCTCCGGATCTGGTGGAGATGGCGGTGATGGAGGAAACGGTGGCAATGGCGGCGATAGCACTGGATCCGGCTCCGGCGGCAGCGGCGGCAATGGCGGCAATGGAGGCAATGGCGGAAATGGTGGGTCCGATTCCGATTCTGGCTCGGGCTCTGGTTCCGGATCTGGCTCCGATGGGAGCTCGGGCAACTTGAGCAGCTCGGGAAGCAGCGGCGGCTCGGGCTCTGGTTCCGAATCTGGGTCCAATGGGAGCTCGGGCAGCTTGGGCAGCCCGGGAAGCTCGGGAAGCAGCGGCGGCTCAGGCAGCGACTCTGGCCTGGGCGGAGCTGGTGGCAGTGGTGGCAGTGGTGGCAGCGGTGGCACTGGGGGATCCGATGCGACCGACGATGACTACGAGACTGCCGGCTCTGCCAAGTCAAGCATTGGCGGAGGTATCATTGCGCTCGCGATTGCGCTCCTGGTCTAAGCAGCGCCACGCCACAGAACCCAACCTGTTTTCGCATCATCTCTTTCTTTAGAGTATGACTGGATAAATCTGTCCTATAATCTTGTTTCCTTGAGTCTTGGGGTTCTTATTCACTCCCTTTTCTTCCCCTTTTCATTCTTGTTCTCTTCTTTTTCCTTTACAAAAATTTTCTTTTCCCAAACTTGTCTCCATGTACTCAAAACACTGTTCTTTTACACTTATAATACTTGTATAGTACCAATGCCCCTTTTGTCGATCTAGATTCATTTATGGGACTTTAGTTTCCCCAGGTAGCAATATGAGGGATTCTTGTGCAGCTGGCCTTCTTGACGTCTATCATGGCAATGGATGGATCTATCTATGCGTGTACGACTACCGAGGTACACAATGTCAGTTACATGCTCTTGAGCCTTGTTTGGATTGATGTGGGTGCCAATTGGGGAGGGAGATTGGTCAACGGTGGTGGGCTGCCGGACCCCCGACGACGTCTATACATCAATTGATGCATCCATGGATGTATCATGCGTGATCCCGACCTTGCGCCAGAGCTCTGTCCCGCGACGAAATGGCGTGGGATAAGCTTCTAAAACTCTACGCACTTGCTTGGGCGAATGGGAATTACACATGGGAGGGGATACATGTGTAAATAGAGAAAGAACATTGAATTAAGAGGAAAAGGAGGAAAAGGGTGTAATGCATACATCCATTGTAATATTCGTCGCTCCCCTCCAGCAGAAGAAAAGAAATGCTACACTATTTTCGGAATCCCGGTGTCTACTTTCCTCGGAGATGTGAAACATCTACCATCATGTGTCTATAGGTCGTGCGGGTCGAACTGCTTTCCAGTCTTCCATGATGCGGGGACTACATCTATGGATGCACATATCGGTGCCCATGGACCCGATCCTGGATGATACGAACCATCGATCCATTCCAATGGATTTGTGATCAATTGATCAATTCTGGACAGGTGGTCGGAGGATTACATATACACGCTGCGCGCTATTGACCTCTGATCTATCCTTGATGGATTTATGGATCCCTCCAAGGATGGATCAATGGATGCAAGTCCCATTGAAGATGGTTGGATCCCGCCTTGACAGCTTCATTGTCATTTCATCAATGATTTCAAATGGGAAAAGACACATCCATTGAACTTGATGTGAGTGCATGGGATCCAAGTGCACCAACCCAACGCAACCCACAATCAAGCCAAGCCCATTGGTTGCGGGATCAATCGTGGGTTTCGGAGTTCGGGTTTGCGTCGCTCTCCATCATTCGAAATCCCTCCACTCCAAAGCCAACGGAGGTGACGGAAGCCATGGGCATCCTCTCAATTGATCAATCGTCAATCACATACCCATTGAATTGTCGGCTCCGCCGGATGCCCCACGCCCCAATTGGTCTCAGTCCGGGGAGAGGGGCTTTTTTTGTTTCTTTTTTCTCCTTGGTTCCCGTTTCTTCGTCATGGTCATGGCCAAAAAGAGCTAGGACTCTCGTGTGCTTGTGTGCTTGTGTGCGGTGTGCCTAATGTCGTGAACCAGGAACATGGCGCCGATTGATCAAGTTTTGCTCCTTGTTCCTCGGGCACTAGCTTCCGGCTTGGAGCTTTGCACGAGCTTGGATCAATGATGTACTTGTACTGAAGCCCTGAATTGGGCGGACTAGAGAACTTGCATTTGAACTTCATGACAATCCCTCCACGGTTGTCTCCACCGCCGCCCGTTCCCCGGCGCCAATTCGGTCACCTATTCCTACGTGTATTCTTTTCTCGTCTTATTCTTCTTCTTCTCCGTCCCTCTTCTTAATTCTCCCCTTCTTTCCTTTCTTCCGTCTATTTCTCCCTTGTTTCCCTCCCCGATTCGCGAATGTAGCAGCTCTTGGAGGAGCGACAATTCGCAACGTTCAAACCATCCCCTTGCCTCCCCTCCTCCCACCTTTGCCAATTTCTCCCTCCTGCCGTGCCTCGACAGCAATCTTTGAATCTTTCCTCGTCTTTACAGTTTACCTTTTACACCTCTCCCCACATCATGGGCCACCACAACCGGGTTTTCCACGGCGACCGCTATGCGCTCGATGGCGCCTGGAGCCCGCCGACCAGCGCCGCCAAGTAAGTGGGAAAGCTATCCGACCTTCGCCGACGACCCTAACCCCTTTGCTCGCGGGCGGGCCGGCGAGCGAATTCACAAGTTCTAACCTTCTTTTATGATGTTGCGCCCAATAGCTTTTGCGAGGAAGATTATGCCGTCTCGCGCTATGTTGCCGAATTCATAAACTCCATCTCCAACTTGGCCTACAGTAAGTACTGGTTTTGCCTTTCCTTTCCTTCTTTCGGGGCCTATGACCACGCCGCAAGAAGAAAAAGCTCCCCTTGTTTGACGAAGAAGCTTTCTCGCCCTGCTAACCACCATCTCTCTCTTCCCCCAAAAACAGTCATCCTCGCCCTCCAATACATGTACGGACCCGGCAGCCAAGGCCTCTGGAAGCCCCGATGCGACTTCATGTCCGTCTCCCTCTTCACCCTCGGGGTCGGCTCATTCCTCTTCCACGCCTCCCTCCGCCAGAACCTGCAGTACGTCGACGACCTCTCCATGCTCCTCGCCGCCTCCGCCATGCTCCACGGCCTCTTCACCGTGCGCGCCACCCCGGCCCAGCGCTACCGCAACTCCGCCCTGCTCGCCCTCATCGTCGGCGGCTTCTCCGCCTTTTACGTCTGGTCCGGCACCATCATCTACCACACCCTCGCCTTCGCCACCCAGATCCTCGTCCTCACTTTTCGCTGCCTCTACCTTTTTCGTTGGCAGGAGCGCAAGTTCCCCGAGGACAAGGTGCGCTCCTGGAACACCCGCCGCTGGCAGGCTTCGGGCATCTGCCTCGTCGGGTACATCCTCTGGAACATTGATCTCGAGTTCTGCGCGCAGCTTCGCGCGTTCCGCGCCGGGATTGGCCTCCCTTGGGCGTGGCTCTTTGAGCTGCACGGCTGGTGGCATCTCTTGACCGCCATTGGCGCGAACCACTTTATCAAGGTCGTGAGGGAGATTCGCGACGAGGAGGCCCGTGAAAAGGCGGCGCCCAGGCACAAGCAGGTCAAGTGAGCGCGCGCGTGGTCGTTTTTGCAGGATTCCAAGGATTTCGCCTCCCAGGCCGAAAGGGAACGGCCGCGTGTTGCCAAGGCCCGAGGACCCAACGCTCCCTGAACTTGAATATTGAACCAAAAAAAAAAAAAAAAAAGAAAAAAAAAAAGAAAGCAAGCACGTTTACCCACGTGTATTGCCCCAATTCCCCAACAATTGGGAATGAAATCAATCCGGACCTGAAAAAGTGAGGCCTGCCCAAAGAAGAAAAGAAAATAACATGAATAGCTTGGAGTTGGGCGAGGACGGAGAGTCGCAGAGCCAAAATGGGTTGGAGATGCGAAAACGGAAATGATGTCATTGACACATGGGTCGCCGAGAAAAGCCGCCAAAAAAGAGGACGGTGAAGAAGTTGAAGTGACTGGCCTGCGCTGTGCACGGCTCCACCAAACGTCGCGGCCCGCTCGCATTTGTCCGATGCAAGCCACGAATTTGATTTCAAGGCAAGAGGAAGAGAAAGTGGCCAGACAGGTCGCAAGCAATACAACGTTGTTTTGCATCCATGCACCCATAAAACTTTTGTTCATCATACTACAGCTACAAGTAGAATAAAAAGGGACCCATGTCCTCTAAACTTAATCCCCGGCGGCTGTCGGTGCCGTGACGTAGGGTTATACGGACAGTACGAAAGGTGAATGGCGTGTATCCGTAGGTTCCATGGTTTTTTTATTTTATTCCATTCCATTTTCCATTGCCATCACTAGTCTTCCTCTTCGCTCTCCTCGCTCTCCTCCTCTTCAGACGACGTGTCGCCGAGCCCGCCAGACGCCCACTTCTCCAGGATCCGCCGCTTCTTGGCCTCCGTCAGCCCCACCACCCGGCTAAAGTCTCCGCCCTCGCGCGGCCAGAAGCCGGACCCGCCCGCCCCCAAATATCGCGCCTCTGCCGGACCGACTGCTTCCTTTCCTCTTCCCTCCACTGCTTCCGGCGCGGGACAAGTGACTTGCCGCTTCTAACCTGGCCGAGCCGGCGGGCAAGCTCCGCACCATTGACGACGGCTTCCTGGCCCGGGGCGTACTCCCAGATGACGTAACCGCACGCCCATAGGTTCCTGTCGGGCTTGGGGCGGAAGGCGTGGCCGGCTCTGGTGCCGCGTGCGCCGACCCACATCTTGTACGCGCATGACGACGGGCCGTCCTGCGGACCGTCAAAGGGGCCGGAGAGACGCGGATGGCCGTGGCTCGGGTCCTCATCCTCGCGGTCGTTGTCGCTGCTGGGGAACGGGCGTCGTTGGGGTTCGCGAAACAGACTCTGGGAAGGTAGTGGCTTAGACGGGTATGTTTGTCCCACTCGTGGTAGTTGTCAATGTGGAGGAGTTTGATCCACTCGTCGTAGCCTTGCGCCTGGCACACTTGAGAGACAAACGGGAGACCTTTGCGCAACTAGAGGAGTGTATGCGCAGGAACAAGTCCGAACCACTGCGGTTAGCTCGAGGAAAGAGAGAAGATAAAAGGCAAGAGCCCGGATTATGAATCTGAGTGGGGTTGCAGAGTAGATTTGGAGTAAGCGGAAAACCGTCGAAAAGGTGACTTACAAACATCTGTACGTGGACTAAAGTGTCGGCGTCATTCTTGATCCAGTTTGGCGGTTCTTGTGCGTACTCTACATCATGGGCAGCCACTTCACAGAAACCTAGACATCACCCGTAGTGTCAGCTTGTCATGGGCGTTGTTCATTGAAAATTCCCAAGTCTACCACCAGCCGGAGATCTGTGGCATAGGGGACCGGGAGGGGTCTGGGGCCCCCGTCACGCGTACCGTCATACACCTTATCACGGAGGTACCCGTACAAGCAAAAAAGCTGCTCATTCACCCACGGGGAATACATGGCGAAAAACTGGCCGCCGCACAGGCTATCCACGTCGTCCTCGAACACGTAGTCGGCGTCGGTGTCGGCGCAAAAGATCTCGCGCAGCATCTCGAGCCGGTAGAGCGCCCGGCCAATCCTGAACCTCTCCGCCTCTGACGGCGACGCGGCGCTCGCGGCGGGTTGCTTCGGTTCGAGGCCCAGCGCTCGGCCGAAGAGAGGTGCGCTCTCGGCGGCGAAACGTTGCGTGATGGCTTCCACGGCGGCGTGCGTCCTGCTCACCTCGGCTTGCTCGGCGACTGTTAAGCCGCTCAGCCGGGGCAGGTTTTCCGGTGCCGTTGTCAGCAGCGGTTTAAGTTTGCCGTTGAAGAGTTCGTGGAGAGCGTCGTAGTGCCGATGGTCTATTGGCAGCTCCGAGGGCCGGCAGGCGCGGAGGGCGTGGACAAAGGGGAGCAGGGCGTTGGGGATTCGGCCTAGGATCCTCTCGGCGATGGCTTTGCTGGATTCGGCAAACGCATCATTAAAGATGCGAGCGCTGGAAACGGCCGCGGCGACATCGTCGAGAGAATGGAGGTTGGATAGGATCTCGGTGACCAAGTGCAGCGGGAGTCCCAGCAGCGGTGACACGAGGTCCGCCGCCGCCATTCTGCTTCACTTTTTGTTTTTTCTCGCTCCCTTTCTTTTTGCCTTCTTTCCTCTTCACGTCTAGTCTACGCCACCGAAAGCACCCGTGAATGTTATTTTGGGCAACCGAGAAAGGGGTGAATTCACATCGGAGGATTCATGGATGTCGTCGTCGTTGGTGCAAGTCACGTGCGTGGTCTGCCTGGCCACTGGACGCGGGAATCCATGGGATCCGTGGAGGTAGCACCATTCCTCTCCCAGGGCGCGGGGTGCCGGCTCGGGATGCTTTGCATTGGGGAATAAGTGATCCGTCATACCAATACTTGGGCTTGGGTCTTTTTGATATACCCCGAGTTGCAAGCCAGATACGTGTTGTACGTGTTGCCAGGTGTGAGTTGCTCATGGTGCGAGAGTGCGTCAAAGGCTAGAATAACATTATTCGAACCCTTCGTCATTCGAACCCTTCGTCAGCGTTCAAGAATAAGAACTAACAATGGCTTCCAAATCGATGCTATAACACGCTTTGATGTAGAGTCTGGGAAACCAGTCCACGACGTCCACGCAGCACGTGGATCAGATGTGTGGTATGGCTGACCGGTGTCTCAAATACGAATCAAGACTTCAAAGTGAGTGAATGGTGTTTGCCGCCGTCATGACACCTGCCCTCCGAGGGGCCTGGGTCTATGCCTTCTTACAAGGGGTTACAGTTTGCATCAGCGCAGCTTTGTGTCAAGGTCCAAATATAGCTCTCAAACCCATCCAATGGATAATTTGATTCTTTCCCAATTCCCTCCTTCAGAAAAGTGCAGTCCAACTCGTATGAGACGAGCATAGCCGGGCCACATGATGCGGCCAGCATAAAAACCACATCTGGAACGGCGTCGAGAGAACAGTCCTCGTACTCGACCCCACGTACAGGCACCCTCATTCCCTCGAGCGATGCCGGGAGCCGTTGAGAAAATGGAAAGAAGAGAAGAAAGAGAAAAAAAAGGAGTAGAAATAGCAACGAGATGTCTGTGCCAAACATGATACCATTCGGGGCCCTTTTCGTTAGAGGATCTAGCTTGGCCTTGCCCAATTCTTTCTCCATCGGCCCTTCACCCCATTCGGCTTCATACTCTCCAACGAAAAAAAAAAAAACTCAGCCACGTTTGCATCGTCTCCTCCTTCTTCTTCAGCTTTGTTTTTCTGTAACCTGGGTAAGGGGAGAAGAGCGAGCCGCAACGAAGCAAGTGCATGCACCACACGAGCGCTCAGACGAGTTCTTGCGGGTGCCGGGGAGAATCGGGCCCCGTCTCGAACAAACCCAGCTCGAGCTAGGACCAAAACGAATGATGCGATTGGTTCCTCACGGGAAGCTGAGTTTCTGGAGTTTCTGTATGCGCGCGCGGGCGCGAGTGCAAAGGTGGAAACCGGGGTTGTGCTAGTAGTCGCCTTTTGTTTTCTCCTCTCCGTCTCTCATGTCTTTTTGTTCCTGTCCGTGTCCCAACCTCACGAGCCCCTTGTTTCGGCCGGCCATGACGTTTCATTTTCAGGATGCGCCGCCGCCCTGCCCCCGCACACCTGGCCTTGGCCTTGACACACAAAGGGAGTCTGGGGAATGGATTTTCTAATCGCTCTGATCGCGGGTGGGCTGGGATCTCGAAATATTCTCGTGTTGTTTTTTTCGTCTTTTTGCCTCGTGCTTTTGGCTACGGTTTCTTTCGTGCAGTGCAAGTCCATTGTCGTCAACCCGCTAGCGCCAGGGGAAGATGGTTGATTCTGGATCAAATGCTCAACAGCGCTAGGGTTTAGTCTCACTTGACGTGCATTGTCTGCCTCTATCACAGCCAGGAACCACACGTGTGCAGACGGCTATGAGCTTTTCTTCTTCTTCATAGAACATTGAATTCATGGAGCCATCAATGGACTCGAGGGATCTCCGCGATCGCCTGGATTTTCCGGGAGTCGGTAGCGAACAGCAGCAGCGATCATCAGGGATCCAGAGGAACCGCGAACCCATTCCAACCCTGCGCGCGCGCCCGGGACCTCGCAGATCATCTCCCACACCCACACCACGGGCCCTTGACGCCGTGGGGCAAAAACAAAAACGGGCGGTTTTACCTCCTCCCTCCTTACGTCGAGGGCGGCGAAAGGGATGAGCTGATGAGAAAACAATGAGACCTCAAATAAAGGCAGGCAAAAGAAAAGGAAACCCCTGTGGGAGGTACAAGTAAAGTAGGAAGGCGCACAGACGCCGGAGCCTTTTTAGCTCTTGGTTTTTTGCTTCAAGCCCTTGCACCCTCGAGCGAATCGGCCTCTCTCCCCTTCACCACCACCCGCAGGCCCCTTCTTCACTCCTACCACTCTCACTGTTCTTCTTCTCCTGTGGCGAGTTCCGGGAGCCGGGAACCCCCAGCTGGGGGAACTGCTTCTCCGGGAGGGAAAGGCCCAAAAGCGCGCTAAAAATGGAGCAAACAGGGAAAATAGAGTGAGCCGGTGTACCAAGCGGCGCTTCTCTCCCCTCTCCCTCCTTGCCCTTTTTCTTTTGGCCCCCGGTGCTCGGCACGGAGCGTTTTGTCGATCTCGGCTCTGAAACCCAGGTGCAGTTCCCCACGGCCTGCTTTCATGCAACGCATCACATACACACACAGCCACCCAGCGATGAGAAAATGGTAGATGCGATTGGTCTCCTTTGTCGTGCCCCACGATGTGCCCGTCGACAAGCTCTACGAGAATGGAGGACCATTCGTTCTTTTCTTTTCTTTTTTGTGGGGGAAGGGGGGCCCTTGGACCATGCCTTCTTTTTTCGCCGCGCAGTGACTCTTCTCCTCGAGACAGGGAAGGGTGGGTAAGGTGGAGGTGGCGGAGGGAAAGGCTCGTCTTCTCCCTTCTTTTTGCTGGTGATATTTCCTCCTTTGGTGACTGCTCGTTTCAAAAAGTCCCATAGTCATCGCCACAGCTCTTCCACTCTTACCTAGAACGCATGTCCCAGCAGAGATAGATGTCTCTACACCGGGATACCTTGAAGATGGTTGAAACGACCCTGCGCATCGCCATGCTCCGATGGGCATGCTCCGAGCAACCCTGCCAGAAGCTTACTCGGGGACATGAGCCCCAAAGGCCCATGATCCTAGGATGATCCTCTGACCGCGTTCTAGACGCAACAAGAAACCCGCAGACATCAACTTACAGCCTCCCAAACTTTGGGAAAAGAACAAGAGCCAACTCATGTATAAAAAGCCAAGACATCTCGTCCCTTCTCCTCCCATTCCCTTCTTCTTCTCACCATCCCTCAATCCATCACACACATCTTCCCAACAGCGAGCCCGCAGTCTCCGCTCCCCTTTTCTTTTCTTCCCCTTTTTCCCTGTACAAAATATCTTGTAAAAGCCCAGGCGGCCGTTCTTGCTCTCTTCTTCTTCTTTTCGTCTTTTTTGATACCAAAGCACTTTGCTCTTCTTCCCCCAAAAACACCAGTCAAAATGCATTACTCTACCCTTCCCCTCGTCGCCGTCCTGGCCACCGCCGTCTCGGCCCACGGTGTCGTCACCTCCATCCAGGGCGCCAACGGCGTCACCATGCCCGGCCTGTCCGTCGCCGACGGCACCCCGCGACTGCAGCAGCAACGGCTGCGGCTCCCAGGCCGACACCGCCATCATCCGCGACCGCGAGATCAACTCGGGCAGCTGCGGTCCCCTCGGCCGCACCCAGGGCAACGGCCCCATCTCCGCCGAGACCATGATCCTCAACTTCATGGGCGAGGGCGCCGCTCCCGCAACAACGGCGCCGCCGAGTCCGTCGGCGTCGAGGACAACATCCCCGCCAACGCCCGCGGCGCCGCCAACCGCAAGCGCCAGCTCGGTAACTTCCTCGGCCGCCTCACCGGTGGCGCTGCCGGCGGTGCCGGCGGTGCCGGTGGCGGTGCTACTGGTATTGCTGGCCTCCTCGGCGGCGGTGGCGACCAGAACAGCGGCCCCCGAGTCCGGTGTCGCTTCCAGCGCCGGTGTTGGCGCCAGCGAGGGTCTTCCCACCTGCGCTGATGATGGCACCATCTCCATGACTTACCGCCAGGTATGCTAATAGGTCCCTTCCCTCTCCACTCTCTTCTTTCACACGCTAACCCCCAAATTCCAGATCAACCAAGACGGCGCCGGTCCCCTCGAGGCCTCCATCGACGCCACCTCGGGTGGCACCGACCCCGATGCCTTCCAGACCGCCGAGGTCAGCCGCGACGTCCCCGGCCTCGGTGTCCAGGGCATCTCCCTCGCCACCAACACCGACTTCCCTCTCGAGGTCCAGATGCCCGCCGGCATGACCTGCGAAGGCACCGTCGCCGGCGTCGAGAACGTCTGCGTCGTCCGCGTCCGCAACGGCGCCGCCGCCGGCCCCTTTGGTGGCTCCGCCGCCTTCACCCAGTCCCCGCTGCCCGCAAGCGCGCCATCGCCTTCAGGCTCAAGAAGCGCATGGAACTCGAGGCCAGCTCTTAAGCGTCTCTTCGCACGCGCGCGTCGGAGTGAACGGGGGCTCTTTGTTTTCTTTCTTGCTTATTTTCTTCCCTCTTTCCAGTCTTTCGAAAACGTAGCCTTCGCTCCGAGCACAGTTGCGGACGATGGTCTGGGAGAGGGAAGCAAAAGATGCGGGCCATCAAGGTCAAGGACTCAGAAGTGCAGGTGTATACTAGCAAGAATGACATACTTTGTGAGAGGGGCCCATAACCCCCAGGCGGGGGTGACTGCGGGGCCTGTTCTCAGATTTCCTTTTGTATATAGAATTTTTTACGAAATGACCTCATCGACCATAGGTGGTCACCCAACACATGTTTGCCTTTTTCCCTAAAGTGATCGTGAACGACCCCCTTTTTCGACTTTTCGTCTTGATGCGGTCTGGCTATGACATAACCCCTGCTAGTTTTTGTGAGGGGGTCGCTGAGTCGTCTCTCGGCTTGACAGGCCGATGTTGTTGCAGAGCTCCTGCGTTGCTCCAGCACCATCGTCCGTCTTCTAACTCTGATCGCCTCCTGTTTAGTGCAAGCCGAAGCTAGGACAGTAAGTCGCAGCGGTGGGCGATGGGGATGGGGAAACAAGACACGATGGCCTTTGTAGAAAGAGGACCCTCATACATACCAGAACTTAAGATATTGAAGCGTAAAGCAAACCTCCAAAGCACGTTCATGATCAAAAGACAGGTATGGTTATGAAATTAATGTAGATTATGCTCAATGAGTAGAGAAACCATGATGGGGTTGTGAGTGTACATTGGCCAGAATCGAGATTCGGAGGAAGCGCAAGAGCGAGAAAAAAACGAGTGAAATCCGAAAAAGACCAAAATGACACACAGACTGAGAGAAAAAAAGAAAGAAAAGGCAAATGCAAACCCCCGCCAGTCTAGTTGACACCCTTATTTTACCATCATGGAAATGAAAAGACAAGAAAGAAAAAGAAGAAAAACAGTGCCATGCAATGATCAAGAATCCGCTGGCGCCGCAACAATGCTAAACTGACCACCGCACCCGGCCCAGATGAGCTTCTTCTCCTTGGCCGGGATGCGCTGGAAAACATCTATATCATCGTACGAGCCGAGACCAAGCTGGCCTTGTGTACCGAAACCGGTAGCGTAGGCGGCTCCCTCCGAATCAAGCACAATGGTATGGTCGGTACCGCAGCCCACGTGGGTAGCCGAGTCAATGGTGGGGACTTCGGTGGGCAACAGGCAGATACGCGGCTTCTCACGGTCGTCGAGCCGGATCAGCTTAGAGTCCTTCACCTGGGCATCGGTAAACTTAACACCCAATTGGCCAGCATCGATGCTTCCCCAAACCAGGCACTTGCCGTCCGAAGTGATTGCTACCGAGTGGTTGGCGCCCGCGCCCATAGAGATGACCTTCTTTCCACTGAGTGTAACAATTTTCGTCGGTGTGGAAACAGCACCGTTGTCCTTGCCCGCCGTCTTGGCGTACCCGGTTTGGCCAAACCCGTTGAGACCCCACTACAAACGAGTGACAAGATTAGCGTGCGTCGCTTCACCGAGGACTTTGGGGGACGGTGCCCTGCGCAAGGCTACAAACTTACCGACCAAACATTGTCGTGGTTGTCGACAGCGAAGCTGTGGAAATGACCCGTCGCGATATACTTGGTCTTCTTCTCGAGATTGGCGACAGCGTGGGGCTGGAAAGCCTTGGAACGTTGACGCTGGGATGCAACGCGTCGGCCGAGCTGGCTTTGCTCGCCAACACCCCATGCAAAGACGGTGCCCTCACGATCGAGGGCGAGAGCGTGGTTGGCACCACACGAGATCTGGATAATGTTTTCAAGGCCTGGGATGAGGGCCGGGGTGTGTTGTACGTCAACCTCGTTGCCGTCCTCGTCAATTCCGAACATCTTGTCGCCTTTGCTGTCCTATAAGTGACGCGTAAAAAAACAATGGGTTAGCCCAAAATACCGAGACAGAGTACAAGATAGATGAGGCCAAGCTCATCACATCGTAGCGTTATCTCGATCAGACAAACGACTTACGGTAAATGTGCCCCAGCCATAGACAAGGCCATCTTCGGTCAACGCAAGGCTAATGCTGTCGCCAGCGGCGACTTGGGTAAAGACAGCATCCTTGGCGAACGCGCTCGCAGGGATCTCAGTAGGGGTGGACTCCTTGGGGTTCAGGTCCCCAATCTCGGAATCATCGTCGTCGGAACCATCACTCATATCGCGAAGTCCGCCATCCCAATTCGTGTCGCGACCCAGCGCGCCATTGTCATTGACACCCCAAGTGACAATCTTGTTGTCCTTGGTGAGCGCGACAGTGTGCATACCGCCAGGGTAAATGTCAACCACACGGAAAGTGCCGGCTTCGCCAGGGTTCATCGAAGGGACGCGTCGGGGCTTGACGGCCTCGGTCTTGGAAGGGCCTAGACCAAGTTCGCCGTTTTCGCCCGTGCCGAAGATGAAGACATCGTAGACCTGGGCGGGGGCCTTGTTCAGAGGACCAGCGGGCTCGACGGGCTCGGCGACCTCGTGCTTGACGGCGCGGGCTCGCTTCGTAGGACGGCCAACGGGGACGGCATTCTCCTTGTCCTCCTCATCCTCATCCTGCTGGGGTGACGCCTTGCGCTTCTTGGACGCGGCCTTATCGGCAGCGGGCTTCGCCTTGGGAGCTAAGATAGAGACGAAATAGACGCGTTAGGTTTTCCCAGCGTAGTCTGACGGGGAGTGTCATGAGGGAGAAGAAGGTCTTGTACTTACTGGCAGTCTTGGACTTGGTGGCTGTCGCGGACTTGGACGCCGCGGTCTTGGACGCCGCGGCCTTGGTCGTTTTTGTGGTGGCAGTCTTGCTCACCTTGGTGGGGGCTTTGGAAGGAGCAGATTTGGTGGCAGCGGCTTTCGTCGCAGCAGTCTTTGTTGTTGAAGCCTTGGTGACCTTGGCAGGAGCAGACTTGGTGGACTTGGTAGCTTTGGCAACTGTCTTGGGCTTCGCGTCATCCGACTTTTGGCCACCGCGGTAGCAGTCTTGGAGGCGGCCTTCTTGGGCGGCATGTTGGGCGATTCGACGCGCAATCGATTGAGGGGACACAAGAGGTGTTGAATTGGCTATTCCTTTGATGGGGATGAAATAGAGCAGGGAAGAAAAAGGGTTCGAGATGAATCGGGAATGGACAGGAGAAGAGATTTTCGTGTTGTTTTGTGTTATGTGGGTGTGTGTGTGGTGTGGTGTGTGCGTGTACCGATAGAGCTAGATGTAACAGGAACGAAGGGGAAAAGAAAAAAGACGTCAATTTTGGGCTCTAGCAAGCTGTCGCCTCTTGTGGTAGGAAGGAGGTATTTTCGTACTGAGGTACAAGCAGAGCTTCGGTCGGTGAATTTTCCGACGCGCCGGTGCCCAATCAGCTCAATCAGATGAGCTCACTTTCGTGCCAGTGCGATCAATTAGTCTATGGTGCTCTGTGGTGCTGGTGCTCTCTGGTGCTCTCTGGTATTTCGATGGCCAGCTCCCTCTATCGGCCGCCAGTGCCTTTTGGGATTAGTGGAATGTTCAATGAGCACCAGATCCTTGAACCATCAAACTGATTTGATGCCTAACCCGGGAAGAGTGAGTGTACATTGATCAATTGATGGATTATTATCCGAGTCAACTCCACCAAGATCTATTGAAGAGTGAGATGAGAATCAAAAGCCATGATGAATAGGCACTCAATTGATTGCTATTGAACCATCGATGGATCCATAGATGTTTGAATAACAATTTTTGAATACCAAATTTCCCCTTCCCTTCCCCTTTGCACCCTCATATTCCGCAAAGTGAGTTCGCCCTGAGAAACAAGTTATACATCTATCAAATACTTGATTTAACGGGCCACAATCTTTTCTGACTTGGTTGGGTCAGGTCCGATGGCGGGATCCCTCAACAATGCGGGCCAGCTGTGATCCAGGGCGACTTCATGATATTGCAGATAAACCCGGGTGGGAATACATGAGGAGATGAGGAAGGAACCAGTCACCAGCATCCAACTCACTACCTGCAGTCTGCTTGCCCTATTCCCGTCCAATTTTGGTCTTTTCGAATGCGACATCCCTGGCTATACTTCCGCAGCATACAAAAACCGATAAAACAGGCATTCTTCATACCTCGACCATCCTAGTTGACTTGGTGACTTGGCTTCTGCATCTCCACCGCTCTTGCCCTTTGCGAGGTTGAAAATTCCAGGCCCAGTCTTGAACTTTGGCTGGCCAATCCAAGAAAAAGTAGCGCTCAATCTCTCGCGTCATTCGTAGAGCATAATTCCCGCTTTCGTCTTGTCACTGTAGTCAATTTTCCTCCTTTTTCTCTACCTCGCCATCTCGTGGGTTGCTCATATCCTCCCCTGCCCTCGAGAGGGCATGGCCCGATTCTGAGTGGGCGTCGATCTTGCATCCGTTCTTGGAGACCAAGCCGCGCCGACGATCCGGTGTGGCCGAGATCTAAAAGATCCAGAAGGGATAGTTCGGGGTGAAAGTCACCGCTCCCATTGCCCCCATTACTTCTTCTTACGATCTCCGGCAATTCTGTGGCACCCTCCTTTTTTATTTTTGTCGCTTTGTTTAAATTCCATCCCAATTTTCCGGCGCTTCGCCTATCCCTCTACTATTTTATTCACCTTAGGATCATCGTCAAAATGCTGCTTTTATATCTTGCTAAAACCAGAATCACTAGAGCAAGCGAAATAACGCAGACGGTTTGCCAAGGAAGTGTACAGTAAAGGAAGGCTTTTCTTGGTTCAGATGTTTCTAAGACACTGCTGGTATGTACATGAGCGGGTATGCTACCGCCCCAAAGGTATGTCAAGATGAAGAAAATGCATAGATTTGTGCACGTCGAAGATGCGAATTGAATCCGCAACTTGAAGTCTTCCGCCACGCTCGTCGTGGCCCGACTCTCGTATCACCAAGCCCAGAATTTAGCTGGCCCTGGCTGGTTTGCGTTAGCCACCACATTTGAAAACTTCGCTTGAGCATCGATCTCGACGAAAAACTCACTGCTGTTTTCGTTTCCTTCCTCTTTCGCATGTCGGTGAAGATGGAAACCACATCTATGGCTCGGTGGGAGCATCGCCAGGGTTCTCCTCATCGGGGTTCTCGGGGAGGCCTCTCCTCGCCGTCACCCTCGCCCTCCTCGGGACCCTCCTCCTCGGCAGGGGGCTCGGGAACCACAAGGCCGTCGAAGCACTCGATGTCGTTGAAGAGGTAGGGGCTGGAGTCCATCTCGATCACGTTGCCCTCCACCGCGACGTCGTAGAGCAGGCAGGTGTTGTCGCCGAACGCGAAGCTGCGGCACTCCTCGGAGGAGGCGCAAAGGGTAGCGCAGGCCTCGATATCGCCGGTCACCTCGGCATCGGTACGGGCGATGAAGGCGGGGTTGGTGCCCTTGTCGTAGCCGATGGCCTCGCAGGTAGGAGTGTCCTGGGCGGAGACGGAGGCGACAACGGTCGCGAGGATGGCAATAGCGGTGCGGGTGAGCATTTTGAAGAGTACCGTTGAGGTCTGAGACTGGACTGGAGAGGTGAGGGTTTGTACAGGGTAATCGAACGGTGTTGGTCCAACTAGAAGAGGGGGCAGAGGGGAGAGAGGTTGTTGTCCAATACGTTGAGATCTCAAGAACCGGGAACCAAATCTTTCGAGGCAAGACTGAGGTTGCCGCGAAAGGGTATTTATCTCGATTTTCCGCTTTCTACCCTACGAGTTAAGCTCCCTTGACGAAGTCGAGGCCACCGTCTCCAAGAAGGAGCTTCCCTGCTTCTCCGGGTAATACTGAGGATGCATTGGCAGGCTTGACGACTGCGGAATATACTCTAAAGGGGATCCATGATTGTTCCCAGTTTCCTATTAATCAATCCGAGGTGTGCTTGCCGATCGATGGTCATTTTAATATGGCTGAATGTGTTCGTCTTATGGAGGTGCGGTCGTCAAAAGGATGGCCAACGGCTAATCGCGCGAGACGGAGCCACTTTTCCTCTTTATTTTATTTTATTTTAATTTTTGTCATCTTTCAATCTTCCCTCTCTTCGCCTTCCGACTCTTTCCTTCTTCTGGTTACAATCCTCGAATGGTTCGCCTCTTCGACTTCGTATCCTGCAACTCGGTATGTAGAAGATGCTATCTGAAGAGCCAGGCGGCGTCATCTACCTCCTAGGCCGAGTACATGTAGCATTACGATGAATCAGTCAATTGGGAGCGGCCCGTGAAGAGAACTGATCCAATGCAACGACGGGCCCTCCACTTTACTCTGTCGTATTGACGGATAGGAGGTATCATCACAAACCTGGGGAAAGCTCAAGATTACCCCAACTCCCACCCACGCCAGTAGGAAGAAGGGGGCGAGGATTCATATGGACGGGTTTGACTTTCCGAGCCCGGAACCAACAGGCAATTACACTGATAGGTCATCCATGTAGCGTAGCGGAGGGTGCTTGCTCGAGTAGCTCGCCACCAATTAAGTCAACCAACCCTTCTCTTTTTTTCCCTCGCGATTGGTTTTATGTGCTCGTGTTCCATGTCTCCGACTGCCCTTCCTCAGCGTCACCTTTTAGTTCTGACATGATTAATCCCTTCCATTTTTTTGGTCTACTCCTCCTTCTCCAAACTTTAGCAAAGCTAGCCTTGGCGGAGAACAATCTCTGAGAAAAGATGAGACGTACGTATCGGTGCGGGGTTATTGAGAAGGCCAGATTATTTCGGAAAAAAGAATGGATGCATGACGACGCGCCTAGGAACGGCGTCCCGCGATCAACACTAACCATATTGCTGTCCCGGTTATATCACCCACTATAAGCCCTCTCCTTCTCACACTCTCGCTCGATAACGGCGGTCCCGAGCATTCAACAGCAGCATTCTAGAGTCAATTGAAAAGGAACGGAGAAGTTGTACCTGCGTATGGAGCTGAGGGTGGATGGTCCGAGGCGCGACGGCTGGCAGCTCATTGCGTCGCCTCCCACCACACCAACAAGCCCATGACCGTAGAAAATCCATGTTTCGCTGCCCCACGATGATATAGAACCCGGTATATTGCCAAGGCTGGCAGCTCTCCCAAAGACCTAAAGACCACCTTCCCAAGTTTCATGATTTGCGCGGGAAACGCCGAGCCAAGCTTGATTCTACCCTGAGTCGCCCAACACACTTACAATCTGGCACATGTCCGTAGCCGAGATTGGATAAAGAGAACGAACGTAGCGCGCAACTCAAAAACCAGAAGACAAAGAAGAAGGGAAAAGAAAAGGTCAGCAGCCATCAAGAAGAGGTGACAGGAGACGTACCAAAGGATCAGCGAGCGTCTGGCACTTGGGCAGTTTGTTTTACTCACTATCAGGGGATTTTGCCGAGCTAGCGCAGAAAGAAACCAACGTAACCAGGTCTATGCCAGCACACCTTAGGCTGGTTTCGTCCCTAATCTTCTACAAGCCATCTTCAGGAAGTACCGGAGTCTTGACTTTTGCATCGGGAAAAGATATGTGCCCCTGTGGCTCAATGCTGTGCCCGCCATCCGCCTCCGTAGTGAGTCGTTCGATACGATCGTCACCTGTGGGTCTCTAAGGGAACCTTTGTCGATACTGGCCAAGGAAGTTGAAATTGACTTGCCGTCGGAACATCGAAGGAAATGGAAACCTTCTCAAAGCCTTTTCTTTCTCCCTCTTTTATTCCCGGCACCTCTTCCCTTTTGAAATTATCTCTGTTCTCCTCTTCCACGTATTCGTCGACGATCCATGCAGGTCCTCTCCGGCATCGACGCGGGTGACGTCGCAATAGACCCAAGGAATTTTACTAGAACCCTATAAGGAGGTTTGGTCTTAATGAAGCCGCTGCTACTAGAATATTCCGGCTGCAACCTCCCCTTCGCCCCGCGCCTTCGCGACGCCTTGACGCTTCGGGGACCGGCATCGCTAAGCGCTTACGCCAGGCCCTCTCGGCACCGCCCTGCTATGGCGGCGGGATTTGCAAAAGGTCATCAATCACAATATGAATACGAGAAGGAGAGCCGTTTACTTGTATAATGTAGGATGATCCTGCAAGCAAAGTAGGAAGCGCACGGGAATCTACACGAATCGTCCACCCATGTTGTTTTATTCCAAATGAAGCGCCGTGTCTTGCACGTCGAGTATGGGAAGGGCTCGCATCAACGGAGGACTCCAGACAGGAAGAAAGGTTCACCTTTCTTCTGAGTTTTCCAAGCATACCACTGATATGGAGTGGAAAGGCTAAGGTGCATCGTGTTGCAACATACCACAACGGTCAAATTCGCCAATGCCATAACCTATCGCGATAGATAAGAGCTTAATCCTCTGGCTGTGCTTGACGAGAAAAGTTCTTTTTCCAACTCCATATCTAGTTGCCTGGCTTGATAATAAGCTTCTCAGTGTTTGTCTTTGCGAGGTGTGCCTCACTAGAACATTTCAGGTTTAGCGTTCCCGCTCGAACGGGAAAGCTACCATCGGAAATCCACTGCTCGACTCCCATGAGCTCCGCACCTCTTCGGCCCCCGAGCAGGCGGGCTCAAGTTGACATAACAGGCCCTGAGGAAGAGCTTGGGAAGTGGCAGAATAGAGGAAACAGAACTTAACCTTTTGACTTTAGCTGCTATTAGGGCAGAGTCAAGATCTATGGATGTACAGTTTGTGCTGACAAACCACAGCGGCCTCCGTCCCAGCCCCAGTGCAGCCCCAGTGTGGCTCCACCATCACCTCTAGGAGCAAGTGCTCCCGATAAGCTCCTTCCTTGACGTCACTGTGATCAACGAGCGACTCCGCCGTCCCCTCAGAGAACCATCACCACCACGTAGCTTCACCGGTTTCCCAAGCTTCTAGGAGAGAAACGACATGAGACCGCCGAAAAGAGGCAGAGGGGCGGGAGGAATCCGCAATAGAATTGCATGATCTGTCTGTCCCACCTAGGTCGCCTATCAATTAGAATCCTTTACCATAGAAAATGATGCAAGTAAACTTGCCCCATGACGTTTCTAAAAGCCAGCCATCGACAAGCGTAGGGAGTTAAAAATGCATTGGAATACTACTCACGTCACAAACACATGGAAGAGAAGTCCAGTAACGTAACCATCGGTGCGCCTCTTCGTTAAAAATAAATAAAATGGCCTTGAAGTCGTTCCCAGCCCGTTCTCTCCGATGCTTTTCCTCTTCAACCACAATCCCGCGTCAAGCACACCCACACTTTAAACGGATTAGACTGTATCACGCGACCATGTCCAACAAAACCGACTCACAAGCTGGAGAGAAGGGCAAATTCCAGCCCGTCTCGCATAAACAGTCGCAAGACCTTCCCGGGTGAGCCATTGTCGCAGTATCAAAGCCATCGGCAGACAAGCAGGACACAAACTAATCTATCGAAAACATGGTGTAGCCTCGAGCGAGATATGAAACCTACTAGCGAATCGACAGCGCTTGAGGGAGAGGATTCCTTTGTTGAATATGCTGCTGCTGGAAAGCTAAAGGGCAAAAAGGCCATAATCACAGGAGGAGAGTAAGTTTTGAACAGGAAGAAAAGAAGAGCTGGATTTTCCTGCTCTTCTTTTTTGGAGTTTAGTTGCCACTAAATGGAGACTGACATATTGGTGGCATAGCTCAGGAATCGGCCGCGCCGTGGCCGTTCTTTTTGCTCGTGAAGGCGCCGATATCAGCATCGTGTACCTCCCAGAAGAGCAGCCCGATGCCGAGGACACCAAGAAGATGGTAGAGAAGGAAGGAAAACAGTGCCTCTTGATACCGGGAGACTTGATGGAGAACAAGACCTGCCAGGATGCAGTGTCGAAGCACGTTGAGAAGTGAGTAATCTGAATTCGCCTCGCGAACATCCAAGTCACAGTTGGAGGGGTTCCCTAACATGAGACCAGATACGGAGAGGTCAATATCCTTGTCAACAACGCCTCGAAACAAATAAAGTGCCCCGACTTTGCCGACATCGATCTCGATAATGTGGAGAGTACTTTCCGGAGCAACATTCTACAAATGTTTGCCATGACCAAGTACTCCGTTCCTCACATGCCTAAAGGCTCTACGTACGTTTCTCAAACCTTTACCACCTGGATTTTGTCTTTCGTGTTTCCTTCCTCTTCCTAAGAACACTCGGCACTAACTTGATCAACACTGGGTTTCAGCATAATCAACACTGCTTCCACTGTAGCTTTCCGCGGAACGCCATCCATGGTCGATTACGCATCTACTAAAGGCGCCATTGTCTCCTTCACGCACGCTCGCCCAGAATCTCTTGCAGAGGGGCATTCGAGTCAATGCCGTCGCCCCCGGCCCCGTACATACCCCGTTGCAGCCGGCATCCAGATCCGCAGAAGAGATGGAAGAGTTTGGCCACAAGTCGAAGCTCGGCAGGATCGGGCAGCCTAGTGAGATCGCGCCTAGTTTTGTCTTCCTGGCCTCCAAGGACTCGGAGTTGTACTACGGCCAGGTCTTGAAGGCATTCCCCGTTGGCGACTAAACGGGGGCATGTGGAGGGAATGGAGGCACTAGGTGGAGGGGAAAACTTAGTCCCTGCGTGTTACGATAATGGAATTAGGATTAGGTGAATTTGCAAGCGAAAGGGTTAATAAAATTATAAGCTTTTATGAGGGGAAAAGAAAGGCTTGTGAGCGTCAATATCGCGAGGAACCTCCATCTTCCTAACCAGCTAGGGATGTTTGAAAAAGCGAGTCTGCCCTTGCGCGACGTCTACTCCCTATGCCCGAGATCCTTCGCTTTGAGGAAACGCCTCTATCAATGGCAGGGGACTATCAGGAAATTGTATCAGCTGATGGTGTAGCCTCTCCCACGCTAAGCCTCTCTATCGATCTGGCGATATTCCGCCTTGCTCTTTGCTCAAACAAGTCTCGAAACACCCGAGAGTAGAAGATGGCGGGCCGGTCCGCAAAGGACTTGAGCACAGCTAAGCGCCCCGTCCTCCAACCCTCGTCGCTCACCCAGCCGTACTCTTGCCGTACCGCCGCCTCGTACTGCTCAAACGCGTCCTCTTCGGCCCCCAAAATGCTGAGGTCCATGTCGAGGAACATTTCAGCGTCCGAGACGAACGCCGGCTGGTCAAAGTGCGGAACCTTGTGCGCGGCCGTCGCTTCAATCATGACGGCGACGCGGCGAATTCTATCCTGGGCCAGTCGGGGTGTCGAGTTTGCTAGTCGCACCGAGGCGAGCTCAGCGCTCTTTACCTCGTTGTCCGAAGCTTTGGAATCGTAGATTGCGTCGTGGAACCATATCGCTGCTTCGACGGCGTCAGGGTCCGTGAAGTGCGCCTTGTGCTGCTGGAGGAGGGCGAGCAACGCGGAAATGTGCCCGAGGCCGTGGTACTTTCGCTCCTCGCCCGAGTAAAGCCCTTTCAACTCCTCCAAGGCTTGAGAGTTTATGAGAGCGGCCATGACTGTGAGTTTATCTTTGCTCTGGGGAATTTGTCCGTGGTCGAGAAATTGCATCGTGGGATACGCGTGCCGGCTTCCTGAAAAGAGGGCGAGGCTTAGCCGCTTCGCACACCTTTCCCGAATCGGCACCTCAACTGTTTGTCATCGTGGAACAACCACCATTGAACTCTTGACGAAAGTTTGGAGGTTCAGATCTTTCTCTCCCAAGTCGTCGAATCTAGCATCGATAAAATCCTTATAACTCGTCAGCAAGATCCTCAACGGCACATTTCCCGGGCTCCATCCAGTCTGACGTTTGGTTATCCCCAGCTGTAGTTAAAGGGGAGACTTGAAATGGGGATAACCTATTACATCCATGGATGGATAGATACACTAGTGTTAGTAGTACAAAAACGGGTCGCTAGGACAGGAGGGGAATAAAAACATCAAAGCCGGTATTCCTCCATGCTAATTGTCACTGGTATATTCCCCGATCAGAAGCTTCGCGAAGGTATTATTTTCCGACATCCCTTCTAGTTTATGAGATCCAAGAGTTTCTGCCCATGGACACCTTTGACATCTCCATCGCCCCTCACATGGACAACATGGCTCGAGGAATGGACATACCAGTACCTTGAGGCTGTCATGGAGAGAGCATAGCAGTTCGTAGCCGGGCTCTACATCAGTTGGAAACTAACTGGGAGACAGATTGTCGACGATATATTCTATAGTTGATTTGTTTTCTCTTGGGTAGCCGTGATCGCGTTGGATAGTTTGGGGCTTCTGTACCTACATAGGTGGTACTCGCTCGATCCGACTCATTGGCTCAGCTATTGGGGCCAGATGGAATTCCATCGTTCCAAGTTTCGCTCGGCAACACATTCCCAACAGACGAGATTAACTTGTCCTTCTTTGTTTTCTCGGTGTCAAATTTATATGTGTCCTCGCACGCCAGACCTTCCTAACCTCCCCAAGGCAGCTCGACGGGATATCGGATCCTAATATTGCATCAGTCCTACGTGTTGGCCACGTCTCGGCTGGGAGGAGAGTCAACTGTAGTATCCAATTCGCATACTTGCAGAGATGGCTTTGAAATTATTCCCTCTCGGTTTTCTGGCTAGTATGAAGGGCTCAGAATGGTAGCCCTCCTGTTAATGACTAGAGAAGGCTGTATTTATGGCTAAGAGTAGCTCGATGTAGTGTCACGGGAGGGCGAGAAGTGCGTTCACTGTTTCTTTTGTTTTGATCTTTTTATTTGCTTTTCTGTGTTTTCATAAATACGTTTCTCAAGCCGATGAGCCATTTTATACTTCCAGCCAGCGCCATGATGATTCAAATAACTAACGCCCGCTTTGATGCTATCCGTCCATATGTACCTCACCGTCCTCGCTGTCCTCTAGTCAAAGCGTGTTCATGGGCCCTCTCCACACCGGCTCACGGCGAGTGCTTGATACGAGAACTTGATTCGATGCTCAAGCCTCACCGGCCTTGTCTTCATCAAAGACTATCATGTGTTATTAGCTGGAACTTTTTTTCTTTCATTGAGAGAGAGTGAGAGAGAGAGTGAGGTGACTCTAGTGCGGATAGGGATGAAAGGAAGTAGGAAGAAAAGACATACCAGATGCGACCTTGAAAGTAGTCGAGCCAACTTTCTTGGAGTTTCGGGCGACGGCGGCACGCTTAGAGGGGGAATCATCCTCGTCATCACCCTCACCCGAGGGGCCGGCCTGAACCTTTTCCTTGCGCTTGCGGCTTGAAGGCGTGGCAGGAGAGTTGGCATCGGCCTTGGAAGCCGAGCCACGGCCCTTGCCGCCAGTAATGTCACTCAAGCGGTATTCGTAACGGTTCAAGAGTCGCTCGACCCGCTTGGCACTACAGACAGAGTTAGCGAATCGAGATGGGAGGAAAGAAGATCAAACAAAAAAGAAAAAAATTATGAAGGGGTAAGACTCACGCAGCAGGACCACTGGCAATGCCAAGCTTGGTAGCGAGGGCAGACCAGTCGGGGCGGATGGCAGTGCCTCCCTGCTGGGCAGCGGTAACGAGGAGCTCGATGCAGAGTTCAGCATCAGCCTGGGAGATGACCTTCTCCTTTTCCTTGCCTTCGGCCTTGCTCTTGCCCTTTTCCTTGCTCTTACCCTTACCCTTGCTCTTCTTGATCTTACCCTTGCTCTTGGGTTCTTCGGGGAGAGCCTTGAACACGACATCGGGGCTCGATCCTGGAGAGGTCACCTTGAATTGTTCGGTGGAATCCATTGTATTCTTCGAAGACATGTTTGATGGATTTCTTAGTCAAAGTGTGGTATCAGTGTTGTTTTGTGTGTGGGTTGGAGAGAAAGAAAAGTAGGAATTTTCAAGGGATGGGATAAGAAGAGAAAAGGAAGGAAAGGAAAGAGGGAAGAGTGAAGAGGATAAGAATCTACTTGTGTGCCCCCAGCTAACTCATGATCTCCAAGCGCAGAACCTAGGTTTTGTGTGAGTGAGGCTCACAGCCATCTTGAAGTGAATTGATAGACTGATTCCCTTCACCTGCTTTGAATAGAGGACACACCTGAAATGCCATCTTGGAAAGAGCAATACAGACAAGACACCCAGAAGTTTCCAATCTTTCTTACAGCACTAGTAGCTCACTCCTGATAGCCATCTTTCAAGTAGTCTGGTGCCTTGAGGCTCATAGTTCCAAAGGCTATGGAAAGTTCTTGGATGGCTTGGTTCCAAACGACAAAGGGTTCGTTTCTAAGGGCGCCGCGCTTTCAGTTCCGAGGATATCAAGGACAGCTATCGTAGTTGTGCCTTGAGATAAACCAGAGACCGACAAAGAAAACCAGGATACTCGGCGCGAAAACGACAACCTCCCTGCAGCCTCTATGTCTGCGATGCATTTTGGGCGTTTCGAAAAGTGTCTAGGCGCGTCGAAACCAGTACCAACATGTACAGATAAACGGCAAGAGCTCCCCAATTCCAGAGCACTTGTTCCTTGGTGTTCGGGCTCGATGATTCGATTTCTCTGTTAGTCTACATATTTCTCTTAGCTTGAGTGCGGAATCAGACGATATCCCAAGCAACTGTTCGATGTTACTGGTGGAAGGGGAGGAGGGGAAGGTATGGATACTGGATTGTGTTTGAATAGCGACTGCCCAAGATAAAAACTTCTTTTCTAAAGCGGACAGCTATGTAGATACTTGGCCATACGGTGATGATAGCGTCGAGGAGGCGCCGTTGCGGAGTCTCATTGAATGCATCGCCTGGTCAGTTGATGGATGTCACTCACAAAGCGAGCTTGAAGGAATGCAAGGTCAAGTTATTGCTATGTAAATTTATCCAACGGGCCAATTCATCGGGTTGAAGCGGAATCGCAAAGAAAAAAAGATAGACCAAAAAAAAAAAAAAAAGAAGGCTATAAGAGGCTCTAAGAACGGCATGGAGATGGTCTCTGGAATTCAGATGAGGTGTCGTTCAAATGGTAGTGACTTTTGTCTCTTCGTCTTGTGCTGACACACCACCAATGAAGGCGCCAATTCCCCTGCCCGCATGAATTGATGGCACCATTTCGCCAAGCCCCGACGATGGTCGGCGGTTCGGGGCATATTTCTACCGCATTGGACACTGGCTGTCGGGGACCCGGGAGCGTCTGGCTCCACTTGCTGTTGGACAGAGACACACTCAATTACACACTCAATTACACACTTCAGAGCGTCCCCAAAAGCACCTAGGCTTGCCTGGCAAAGTTAGTGTCTCAATTGATATCAATAATAACTTTGGGACCGCACAGTCCGGAATGAAGTTGACCTTCACCGTCATCAACTGAGAGAGAAGTAAGTGTCAAGAGGGAAAAGAAGAGAACCAGAAGAGACAACGGGAAATACACCCATATCATCTAAAACGAACATTGAAGCAAAAAAAAAACCGTTTTCAACCTTAATAATCAGGACGGTTAGCACGGCTCGTCAATGTTGTCCAGGTGCTAGGCAGCAGAATAAAATCCATGGATGCTTCACCTTTACCCAAAAGGGAGGCGTACCCCATAAATCTTACTGGCTTGAGCGCCCAAACATTGCTCCGAGATCTCTCGGGGCTTGATTGCCCTACTCGAAATGAGCCATCTCCATTCGCTTCTCGGGGAAGCCGCGTCATGAGATACGCTCAAGCGCGGCGAAAGTCCCAGTCCTCCAAAGAACCGGTGAAAGTGACAAACTCTGGGGCAGCCCCAAAATTCTGTTGCCTTCAAACTCGTCGTCTTTATAGAAGGCCGATGGTATTCATTCGTTGCTTCTCGTGTTCTCCTCTAATTTTCAAGTCCATCCAAAACACTTGAATCCACAAAGAAAACAAAAGGGGACAAGTAAAAAAGAAGAGACAAAAAATCCATTGTTTAATTCTTTCTCTTCCCTTCCATTACACCCCCAAAGATGCCTTTTCGATGCCGGCACCACCACCGCGAGCGCTACTCCCGGCGCCGTGATCCCCAACGCCGTACCCCCGCCCATCTCGCCCGGGGCCTCGAGGCAGCCAAAGCCGTGCAAATCTGCCTTGTGCTCGCACAGCTGGGCATTGCTATCCCCATCTCCGCCTGGTACCGCACGATAGAGGGCGGGCATACCGCCTGCCATGGCCCCGGAAAACAATGGTTTGTACGTAGCTCTGCTCTCCTTCTCCCTCGTGATCATGTCCTTCTCCGGTCTGCTCTCGCCTATTTCAAGACTAGTTTCGACTGGGTACTTGTATGCGGCAATCGAAGGCGTTGCGAAGTTCCCGGAGAGATTTATCTAGCTGTGCCGTGTCCAACTAACGATTCCATCTCCTTAGGCTCTTTCTGGGTTAGCCATCACGGCGTACTTTGCCTTTATGGGCAAGATTGCGGGCGGCTACAAGTCGGTCCAGTTCATGAAGGGGGCCGTTGTCGGGGACGCCCTCTGCCTGGGAATGCAGATCTTCGCCTTTATCACCTCCAAACACATCGCGTCTCGATGCAATCTTCAAGGTACGACCTAGCGATAAAGCACCCGATGGATCCCGAATGATTAAGTATAAAAGCTTGGCTGTATAGAAGGCCGCTGACAAATATATCTAGGACCTCGTCATCGTACCTGGAAGATCGACCATGGTGGTCAGTCCCACGTTCACGACGATGCGCCTTCCATGCCATGCATGAACCTACCCAAGATGCTGGTGATTGTCTCTGTGTTTGTTGCGTAAGAGTTGCCCCTTACCCTCTCCATTCCCCCTCCCTTAGCCGTGTCCCATATGCGTCCGCTTCATCCTAAAAGTAGGGTGGGAAGCGCGCCGGTTTAGATCCATATATGTCTTCCACCATGCTAACTGGATGATTCTTGCCACAGCATTTCATATGTTCATACCCTTGTCCGCTCGATACGACTCTTTGCTTCTCTACGCCGCCAAGCTTCGGAGCCTACCGACGCCTTCGATCCCCGGAGCCTCGGCGTTCCAACGAAAAGACTCCCCTGAACCCGTCGGGTACCGGAGCAGCCACTCCGCCTGGACACACGAATCTGTATGACCCCAGGAGTATCGACGGCGCGTCTGTGACATCCTCCACGACTTGGGAGGAAATTTATACTCCCACCTCCTCCACATCCGATGGAACGTTGGGCAAGTACTAAAGAGGGGAAAGCGTAAGGAGATCAAATCATCTCGCGCGGAGATCGGGGAGAGACGGAGGTGATCGAAAGGAACTAGAGGCCGACGTAAGGCAGCTAAATAGCTTTAGGCGCTATGACGAATAAATTGAGAAACATTACGTTCATTCCCCGTCCCAAAGTCCTCTCTCCTTCGTCTCCTTCACATGAGATGAATTCTGGAACGCATATTGCTCTCAAGCAGTTCCGCCATGGTGAACCGGGAAACCCCACCAAGTCTAAATGAGCGCCGAGAACCCGGAGCGAATCGAGGGGTCTTGGGATGATCGTTCTTCCCCTCTTCGTGAAGAAAATACCCATCACTCTATACACCCATGATGTTCTCTAATACTGTGAGGACACTATGTAGGTATGCGGGTGTGGGTGAGGGTGTGGATGTGTCTAAGTCTGCGTAGATACCCCTCTCTGTGATATCGTATATTGGTGCCAGCGGTGGCGATGTGGGAGGTCATCGGTCAAGTCACCGGTAGAATGTATGGAATTCATCGAGAGTGGCCGCAGAAGTTCGCCGCATTCGCTCCCTTTCTCTCTCTCTCCTCCTTCGTTACCACCACCTTGACCTGGACATCAACCGGGCAAGGACTTTGATTCCCACCCACTCACGTCAACCAATTCTCTTTTTACTTTTCGCTGATCAAAAAACGGAGAAAGAAAAAGGGGGAGGCAAAGGAAGAAACCAAAAAAAAAGCGCCTTGATTTTGACCAGCGCACGGCACATCTGCCGAGAGAAAAACGGCCGGCTAAAATTATATTATCGAGGGGCAAGCGGCCAAGTGGACCACGCCGTCGTCTGATATCAGAACAAGCACAATTTGAGTGCTCCATCTAGATCCATCTCCTCTTTTTCGGGTCCGGAGCCAAGTTCGTGAGTGGGGTGGGGAGAAGCGTGGTCCGCGGAAGCGAGGGAACAGGGACAGGGACAGGGAATGGCTTGATGGGAGATCTATCACGTTGATGTCATCAAATGAGCGAATCTCGTGGATCAGGCGCTGGGGAAAATCCGACTCTCACAATTTCCATCTGGGTCTTGTTCGTTAGAGATAAGATGGGAAGTGTTTGATGCTTGACGATAACCTCGCTCAGAAGAATCTCCCATTGGTCAAGCAAGCTATTACTACTGTGCGCTCGCGTTCTCGAAAGTGAATAGGAAGCAAGTTCGGCTATCCTTTGAACGGGAGGCGACAAGGAAACCGAAGCTGGTCTGGTGGACAGAAGAACCACGATCGTCAGGGGCGCGGTACCTCGAGCATACCAAAACGCTGCTCGTCCCCATTTACGAGCCGGCGCCTCCCACCATCCAGGTCATCGATGCACCCTGCCGCAGTCCAAATTCCAGACGAGGAAACATTGAAGCTTGTCAAACGAGGCCAGGACAGCCAATGAGACGCTGGCTTTTACCCGGCGATCCAGCGCCTTCAATCCCAGTGCCGGTCTCCACTCTCTTGTTGCGCCACCCTAGCTCCGATAGTATCACGATCAAAAAGACCAACAAGGTGCGATGCGGAGTACGGGTGGTTTAAGCGATGACAACGAGGAACAAGAATTAAAGAAATCCAAAGAGAAGAAGACCTGAAAAGCTGTCCTGTCCCGTTCCCCCTTTTGGGGCCCGCATCGCACGGCTCGAAATGGCATCGTGGCCAATAGGCGCTTACAGAGTGAGCGGGTGTGGTAGAGTCTCGAGGGGGAAGCAATCCACCCCGGCGCCATGCGGGGCGGGGCCGGCACAAATCAAAGGCATCGAAATCAAGGCTCGGAGAAAATATAGGGAAAATAAAATAAAGAAAGGCGAGAGAAAAGAGAGAACTGCCAAATGCCTTGCCCTTCTCCACTCTCGACGACCAAGGAGATTCGCTCTATCGACTCTCGCCGTGATGACCATGACGATCGAGTGAAACGCTGCTCACGTCGATGTGAACATTCTCCGGCATGATTGGCCGGATAGAGCCGGTCGGCCCAATGTCAAAAGGACCCCCGCCCCTTCTCCTCCGCTCTCAGCAATAATTTCGACAAACACGGACGACACGAAAGAAAGAAGAGAAAAAAACCAGAAAAGCCGGCCGAGCGGTGAGGGGATGGTAGAACCTTTGTGAGTAGCTTTCTCTGCAGCGAGAATAAAGAGCCTGACAGACGGACAGAATGGGGGACCGAGGGAGGGAAAGAGAGGGGGCAAGCGGCAAGATGATATCAACTGGGCTGCTATGACGGCGCCGTAATATGGATAGAGCTCCCTTTCTGGCAGGCCGCCTAAATGAGTCCATCAATCGATAAGCCCTCTCCCCTCACCACCCACCAAACAAGCAACCCTCTTTCATCCGGCACATTCATACCAGTACTTCGCCGATGGCGGCAACGCCAATGGCCGTCGCCGTACCTGCATCCTTGGTCCGTGTGCGTGTGCGTGCAGATCCCTCTGGTGGGAGTGCCGTTGTTTCGAGGACCATTTCACACCACAGCCAGATGATTTGATCAATCTATCGGTTAGGCAGTATCCCTCGCTGCGCATGATGAACGGCAAGAAACAAAAGGGGAGACCTTCCGGTCGTATAGCTTTCTCGCCTTTCTGTATCGTAAGAGCCCTCAAGTACCGACAGGGTCCAAGGGATATAAAGCAGACGAGCTGTTCCCGGGTTTTCCTTTTTCTCTTTTCTCCTTGTTGTTTACTCCAACGGCTCGCCCTCCTTCCTCCTCACACACACTCTCTTTTATAAGTGCACGGTCACCACCAAGCCACTCCGCAGCGCTGGAGTCCGTTTCTTGCTCGCTAACACGTTGAAAGACCTTGATCCCTTTACATATACGCACATCATGTCGATCAACAGGGTCCTTCTTGTTACTCTGTACCTCTCAGGCTATGCCCTCGGCCACCCTGCCTTCCAAAGGCGTCAGGACGAAGACTCGCCTGCCGTCCCTGAGGAGTCCGAGGTCCCCATCCCAGATGTTCCTGAAATCATTCCCGACCTTCCCGATGTCGACCCCGAGCTTCCCGTCATTGTAGTCCCCGAGCCCGGCGAGGAGGAGCCTGCTGAGCCGGAGGAGCCTGCTGAACCAGAGCCGGAGCCCGAGGAGCCCGAGGAGCCGGTTGAACCAGAGCCCGAGCCTGAAGAGCCCCCAGTAAGTATCTCAGCCATTGCACTGCAAGCAGGAAAGAGTATCCCAGCCATCGTGATGCTAACAGCCCGACAGCTCCTATTGATCCCGTCGTCCCCGGTCTTCCCACCATGCCCACCCTACCCGGATTCCCTGGCGGCGGTGTCGGCGGTTTCTTCGGCGCGACTCCCCTCCTCTGTTACCCGCTCCCGTTCCTCGGCGGCTTCCCTAACCCTGGCGGCGTCATCCCGCCCGGCCCCGTTCCCGTTACGCCGACACCCACCGAGCCGATACCGGAACCGGAGCCGGAGCCGGAGCCAGCCGGCCCGACCAGCAGGCCCCAGATTCCCCCACCGACGATTCCCGAAGAGGGAGAGGAGGAGCCCGCCGAACCTGAAGAGACGGCCGCCCCCGAGGAGACGGCTGCTCCTGAGGAGCCTGAGGAACCCGTTGAGCCCGAAGAGCCGGCGGAGCCCGAAGAACCTGTCGAGCCCGAGGAACCCGAAGAGCCCGAGGAACCCGCCGAACCCGAGGAACCCGTTGAGCCTGAGGAGCCTGAGGAGCCTGAGGAGCCTGAGGAGCCTGAGGAGCCTGTGGAACCCGAAGAACCTGAAGAGCCCGAGGAGCCTGTAGAACCCGAGGAGCCAGCGGACCCCAACGAGCCAACTCCCGAGGACCCCGTACGCTAATGGGAACAAGAATCAAACGTAGGATGGGTAGATGGAACACTTGAATCATGGAAGTGGATAGCACCATTTGCAGAGCAGTATTGGTGGGCTAGTATCTACCCGGTCGATGAGCTATCCAAGAAATGTACCTTTCCGTCCTAGGCGTCCAACCATGATGAATACATGATCCATTGCAAGTAAAAAACAATCACGCATCAAATTTCTGATGTTTAGTAAAAAAAAATATCATTCTCATTCTTGCGCAAAAAACAATACTCAATGTGAATTAAAAGTGCCCGTATCATTCCGAGAGCACGCGAATCATTATGCGATGATGGTCCGGAGCGCTGGCGTCAATTGATTGTGTCAGTTTGCGCCAGTCGCAAGCAGCGCGAGCTGTTTATACGCTAATAACTTCCGTACAATGCAACAAGAAGCACTATTGGGTTAGTGGTAAACTTGGTCGTTGCCATCTTCCGATAGATTCGACCAGCCCCCGGTTCGATTCCGGGATAGTGCACTTGGTTTTCTTTTTTGCGTTTCTTTTGCGCACTTCATTCATGGACGAACAGGCCCGTATACCTCTCCATCCTCTTATTTTTCGCTCTTTATGACTGACTGACTGACTGAATCTTTTTCTTCTCTCCCACCTGTCAACCCTTGGAATCCAGATTGCGTATTGTCCAAGTTGTTCCATCAGTCTCTCCCATCGCATTCGCCTCATCATTCGGTGGCCTTCTCTTGAGTATCAAGTTCCTGTAATTTGATCAAATATCAAGAAAGAATCTTGATGAGTTGTTACGAGATACCGAGTCTTTTACTCAAACTGAATGGTGGACAAACAAGTGATCTCAAGTATACTAGCCAACTAAAGCATCTCGCAAGCGCTTGTGTTCAGACTATCTTACACATATATATGTGTCTCAAAGCTTCTCTTTTCAGTTTCCGATAGTTTCTGTCGTTCTCTTGCCTATTGGCTTCCTAGATTCCCTTCCACAGACACTCGTTCCAAAGTTCGTTTGGAATATATTCAAGGAATGACATGGGGCTCTTTCAAACAGAAGCGCGCGCGCCGCAAACAGCGCAGCCCTACACAATGCCAATAAAACAGTCATGAACAGGAAAGAATGCAAAAAGGCCCTTTCAAGAAAGGGAGTATAGAAAAAATGTAAGTTGAAGAAGAGGACAGAAAGGAAGATCCATATTTATTTGGCGGTGGGGAAAAATGAACAAGAAGATAGAGAAAAGGCCCTGCTTTATTTTCTGCCTCAACCTCCTTTACTCTCCACGCTCAGCGATGACATCCTTGATGAACTGGGTGACAAGGGGTCCGATCTGGTCGGCCATGAGCTTGTCACCAGTGTCGTTGGGGTGAACGCCATCTCGAAGCATGGCAGCGGTGTAACCGTTATCCTCGGAGCAATCGGCAATGACGATGGGGGACTCGGGGGTGGTGTTAGTCTCGACCCAGCCGGGGATGAGCTTGTTGAGCTCAACGACGGGGGCGTTCTTGAAAGGGAGGGGAATGAGCTTGTCAATCTATGGGGTGGGGCATCACACGTTAGCAGGTTCTTTGGAAATTTGGCTCCATGGGCTCCATGGCTGGCAGGCCGCTTGCATCTAGTGATGCTACGACGCCAGAAAGCCATAGAAGAAGGAGGCGAAGAAAAGAAAATTACGACGACAACGTCGGAGGGGATGGAAAACTTACGACAACCTTGACGTTGGGGTTGACAGCCCTGAGGGTGGCAAGGATCTTGTCGTAGGCGGCAATGATCTGAGCAGTAGTCTTGCCCATGTTGACATCGTTGGTGCCGAGCATGAAGTTTACGACGTCGGGGACGGTGGATTCGGACCAGCCCTCAATGTACTGGTTGGCGATGTCAACCGCTTGCCAGCCAGAGTGACCCTCGTGGCCGGTATCGAATCCGGCGGAGGTGGCCTTGCAGTTCTGGGGGTTGTTGGTCATGGAGCCAACAAAGTCGACCTGGTCGGCGACACCCTCAGCGGAGAGCATGTCCCAGACGATGGCACGCCAGCAGGTGATCTCGGTGATGGAGTCACCAAGAGGAACTATAACAAACTGTTAGCCGAGACCGAGTCCATACCCACAAATGAGCCACCTCGAATCCATATCCTCCGCCTGCTCTGCACCCGTATCGACACCACACACGCTCTCGCCCACCTCTAATCACAGTTGACACAAAGGAACAACCTCGTTCCGCCACCAGGCTATTAGAACCTCCACCACCACAGCTGCCCGGAAGAAAAGAGGAATCGAAAGAGATAGTAGGGAAGTCATGGAAGTTGGCCACTACTTACGGAACTTGACCTTCTGGGCAGAGGCCGCGAGGGCAAAGCCCATGAGGGTGGAGATCTTGGAGAAACGCATGTTGAGGATGAAGCGGATGTGATTCTAGTTCAAGGCAACGAATGAACAGTCCAAGTTTCAGGGCCGCAGGTCAAGGGATGAAAGAACAAGAACAAAGCCAAGAAAATTGAAAATCTCTCCGAAAGAAGGCGGGCAGAGAGAAGGGAGGAAAATTCGCCGGATTCATGGCTTGTTTATATCTCCTCTCCATCCGCTCTAGTCCACTACTGTCCTCCTACTACCGGCTCATCTTCGCACGAAGCGGCCCATATTGAAGGGAAGGCGTTCCGCTCGAAGGGAAGGCCCCGGAACCTCTCCCGGGAGGTCCTGAATGGACGTGACGACGTCCCATATCGGCCCCGTCCTATACAGCATGACCGCCCGTCTCAACAGCGGGGCCCCGCGCTCACTGTCAATCTTTGGTCGCTTGGCCTTCCTTTGGTTCGCCTACCCCAATTAAACGAACGTATAAGCCCAGCGACCGACGGGAGGAGAGGAAGAGACTGATGCATAGAGGTAGGGATGGCACTAAGGCTACGCGGCAAACACCTGCAGGCCCTGTATAAAAGTCCGGGGGCGTATCAATTGGGGCGTGTGCCTGGGCCTTTCTTACCCTGCTAGGGCCATTTATCTCGTTTATAAATTCCATAAACTGGTCGACACACTATATTAACAAGCACCCTAGCCGATTGGTGCAATTTGGTGTTGCGGGAATCATTGGCCTTGGAGAGATCTTCGTACCCGCATCTTTTTTCCTTCTTTTCTTTGCCCTGAAAATCCTATGGGTTTTGGCCCTCTGAATAAACAGTGGTGCTACTCCATGGGTCGTGAGGACGCACGAACACGGAACCAGCGCGTGGTTGCGGTACCGTTCGTCATTCATTCCCCGAAATCCCATACGCCCCAATGATAGAACCATGGGGCCTAGGCGCTGGGAAGGGAATGGGGTTTCTGGGGTAGCCCTGCGTTTCTAAGACGTCTTCTAAACCGAAACTGCAATCTTTCCAGCGTGGTTGACATGAAGGGAAGATAGGAAGAAAAAGAAAGGCAAGATCGTCATCGGTCAGGGCGCGAGTGTCGTCCGGCTAGGCAAATCTGCACAAGAAGCACATGAAGTAGGTTGGAGGACGGGAACCTGTTGCGCTTGACTCCCTCATACAAATTAAGAAAGTACTTTTAATTTACGAGGCCGTTGCTGGTGTACTGAAAAGCCCCCTTTCGCAAGACTGGCCCTCCTACAGCATAGATAACTTCACCCGGCGAGTGTGATCACTTTCTTTTCTTCCCCTCGCTCATTCGTCTTGGTTTCTTCGGGTGGAGACCTCCACGTTGAAGGGATTTGATGGATATCTGATTTTTAGCCGCTCCCGGGGCAAAGATTGCGAGGGTACATCGGCGGGGTGGATGCTACCCCGGAAGATTTGATTCGGAGGGCAAGGCGCGTGCGGGGTCTCGAGAGCAAGGATCAATCGAGAAGATCAGCCTTTGATCTTTGTAGCGAAGAGAAGACCAAGGTCGCAATAGAGGGCATCAAGTTTGTCAAGGGGGTTTACATCGTTTTCTTGAATTGTGAAGATGGAGGCAGAGGCGTATGTGGTTTGGAATAAAATAGAAGGAGCGAGGAAGAGAAAGAAATCGGAACCGAGACATGGGGCACTGGTCAAAGATGATTGAGAGAAGGAGCTATCCGCGCAACGCCGCGAGAGGGCCAAGAATCAAAGTTCAGAATCAAGAGCGAGCCTCGTCGTACCACAACATGGAATCGTCCTTTCTCCAAAAACAAAAGTAGCAAAACCCCAAATCGAAACCCACCTACGCGGTATCCGGTATCTGCTCCAGGCGATCCGGTCATACGCTGAGGTCTGGTCCAAGCTCTTACTTCATTTGGTTTGGTTGGGACGGCAAGATATTGTTCATCCAAAAGTCTTCTTTCTAACTAACACGACATGCTACAAACCCGGCGGTTAAAAACTGGCGAGGAAGAAGGGACGAAACCCTCCATCTCCTACGTCAGGCGAGCAACCGAACAACCCAACCATTCAATACTAGTTGAAGGGATCGGCCAGGAATGGCCGTGGGGAGACAAACGGTGAGGAACCTCGACGATTAACCTGAACATGGGTAGTAGAGGGATCAGTCAGTGAGTATGGAAACGAGGGGTGGGAACACACCGACTGGAAGCATTCAATGCATCCAAGGATTTGACCAAGCGCTGACTTGTAGATGACACCGCCTCCGGAATTCAATCTTCGACCTGATTCGATTCAACCTGGAAGCACATCTCTATCCGCCGTATCGATCCTAATTGGACGCTTTGATTGATGAAGCCACGAGGCTTGTGGGGATTGTTTCATTTCTCACGAGGGGAGCTGAAGTGTTCCTAGATTAGGAGAACCAGAAACCTCCGTCTGTTGGCTTCCCCGCCTTGTAACCAAGCCGCCTCGAGACCAACCCAAAATCCAACCCGAACTCCAACTCCGCCGCGTCTTTGCCCTGAAGTGGGAGAGCCACGATATCCTAAATCTGAGCCAGAGAACGCCCGTAAGATATGCAATAACTTCCTTACTTTCCATCACCCTTCGCCTCCTTGCAGATAGTTTGGAAGCACCATTTTACCGCGATATACCGATCGACAGTCCGAATATGGAAATAAAAGAGACGCAAAAGATCCCCCTCAGTGCCATTCTTCATGCAGCGTCACAACGACAAGACAAACTATTCCCGTCACTCCCATACCACCACCCCTAATATAGCCTAGGTGCAAATCCCCACTCACTGAACCCGACTCTTTCTCAGCCTCTCTGCACTATGCGTTTCGGCCTGGTTCACCAACAACACCCGGCGCTCTTCTACCGCCGCTGGGTCTCGAGAAGCTCCGCTGAGTAATCGGAGACTGAGAATAATACATATACACAGATCAAGGTAAACGTACGGTTGGGATGCTGCATTCGCACGAGACACTCCTTCAGGACTTTCATGTTTAGTCGGATACGTGTGGCAAGATATTAGAAATTGATATCTTGAGGCCGTAAGGATATGACAAGCACTATACAATATCGAGAAAAGATTGAAATGGCGTAAAAGGCCGGCAAGGAGTTTCTATTCATGAACAAAATAATAACCCGCACGTGCGTACCCGAGAAAGAAAACGCTCCGAACCTCGATTGATTCCAGGGTCTTTTTACGATTGGGAATCGAGCGTCGCCAAAGCATTTCAGTCCACCTCAACGCAAGCTCGGAAGGGTTCCTCGGATAGAGAAGGGAAGGAGGAACAAATTGTGTAATCGGAAAACAAAAATTGGAAGAGAAGATAAAAGAAATCATCAATGCCACACAAACGCGACCCACAAACCGCATTCTTCCACCTTTTTCCGGGCCCATGGCATAATGGATCATAGGAGCTGCCCCGTTGCATCATCGAAGCTTTCTCTGTCTATCAACTTCCTCCCTCGCCCACACGAGGTTTTAAAATCTCATGCCGCCCTTTGCTCATATTGCGCTATCGCGAATACCACCTACCGTCTACCAAACTCACCAGAAAACAGGCTCGGTCGCCCCGAGCTGGCTATTGCCACGTGGTGAAGCGAATCGATTGCTCTATTTTCGATACTTTGGGTGATTTGAGCCACGAGGCATCTTATGAAAAACCAGGCCGACTACCCTGTTGCGCTCTTTTCCCGGACCTCGGGATACCACATCGAGGTGCGGAGCCCGGGAGGAAGCGCGGATTGCTCTTCTAATTCCACGTGGCTTACGGTGTCCGTCCCCGGCAAACGACGCAAAGAAGCATGGCTTGTTGTGCTCTAAACGTAGAGCGCAATGGGACCGAGAACGAAAACCAGGGCTCGAGCGTAATGAAGCTAATATTCGGCGCCGAAGAGGGATGTCTCCCTTCTTCATGCCACGTGGTGGACCAAACGCCCGCCCGTTGACGAGACGACTCGACTCGGATGATGTTTGGGTACATGTGTGTGTTTATGTTCACGTCGTGGGCTCAACTACAATTCGCAATACAGAGCAGAGTGAGTTCAAATTGGCCGCCTAATAGCCGTTGATGCGCTGACAATAAAAAAGAAGAAAAAAAGAGAAAGAAAAAACCCACCAGCGGGCCAGTTAGTCCACAACGGGAGAAGAAGAGAAACAAAAAAAAAAAGGTCCGACCTAGATCATTACTCCCTACCACAGAGGGATACATTTGGGGCTCGAAGTGCCCGAAGGCGCTGTCGCATACATAACCCCATTCCCCTTGGCCCGTTCTCAAACTGTTCTTTCATCTGTTTAGGAACCCTCGAGGTCCCTGTTCCACCTTCTAGGGCTGGGGCATTATTAACCCTATGGCCATTCCATGCTTTTATGAAAGCTACACCTTCAGCCTCCAGCCCATTCCAAGATGCCCACCTCTTGCCGATACTCCTTCTCGGTACCTTCTCTCGCCCCCGGCCTGGTGTACTCATATAGGAGTCCCTGTCCTCGAGGAAAGCGGAGGAGCAAAGTAGGTTGGAGCCGAAGTCTACATCGGTATCTCCACTCCCAATTGGAGGACATAGGGGCCTGCTGCCCGAGATTCCGTTCCTTCTGACCAATTGATAAAAGCAGATTCTGGGCGGGAAGCTGGCATCGTAAGCACCACCCCCCTCCTCCTCTCCCTCCCTCTTCCATCTTCCTTCTTCCCCTCAGTCAAACCCTGGTAGGTCTGCCGAAAAGGGGTAGGAGTGGTGACTGGAAGCTGCGAGGCCGGCCACTTCGTGGGAATCCCATTCTAGGCGCTGTGCCTTATTGGTTACTTTGTAGCGCCTGGTGAGGGGGATGGGAGCCGTGGTACCTCCCTCAAGCCCTCTTCTCAATCTTGGCCACAAGCACTGAAGGACGCCCCTCGCTAGGCCTGGCGGGATCTCTATCGACTCGCGTACCCAAGGGCATATATACACCCTCCTCAAGGGCACTATATGCTTAGGCTTAATGGTAAAGTGGTCTTTTTGACACGGATTTCTGGTGACGATGCTATACCATGGTACTCTCATTATGAGGTCCAAAATCTCCATCTTCTCTTCGCATCAAGCCAAGCGGGGACGGAGAACGAACGCAAATGAAGGAGCAAAATAAGGGTCAGGATTGCGTGGAGAACAAAGTCCCCAGCCACCCAAATCTTACAGCGCACCACCCCTTGAGGCGAACCATCCTCTGGTCTCCTCCTTTCCCATGAAACAGATCAGGAGCATCCTACCAAATTCATCAAGATCGCTTGGCTCGGCCTCTCGGATAATTTCCTCGAAGGTCTCGCATTTCATGATGAGGTGCTTTTTGGTCTTCCAGGCCACGGCGAAGTCTACGGCGTTGCGAGCGCTCCAGAGATGCTTTTGGAGGGAGAAGCGTTCACAGCGCATTGAATCACCGCACTCTGGGACGCCCTTGCGCGTCATGATCTCATAAAGGACAATGAAGTTGAAGGAGAGGAGGGCGGTGCGACGCGCGGATTCGGCAAACAACCAGGCACGCCAAAAGGCCTCCGTCTCGGCGATGGGGAAGAGGGGTAATTGCCGCATGTTGGACAGATTATATTGCGTCTCGTGTACTGCAACAAGCTCAATTAATGACCTGGCAGCGTCTCTCAACACGGGGAGTGTCATCTGGGTGTTTGCGCGAAGTTGGATATCTTCGTCTAGCAGCCCGATCAAGTGGTACATTAGTAGGGCCTGGCAGCGAGCTAGGGCCTCTGACGGGGACGGCGGAATAGGTGTGTCGGCTAGCTCCTTAGTGCGGGCCATGAGAATCCTGATGATGGAGGGCTTATTGCGCTCATTCCTCGCGTTGTACATGGCACAGCACGCGATAGAGTCTACGGACGGAGGGAAGTTTTGAGTTAGCGCGTGCGTTGCAGCAAAAGGACGAAGAAGAAAAAGGAGAGAAAAAGAAAGTAGTAAAGGTCAGGTGGCCCAGAAAGAGAACGAGAACTAGTCAGGGGTGGGTGGAAAAGAGAGACAAAAATGGGTGAATGGAGGAGTAGATGCAAGGGGGCGTGTGCGGTTGAGATGTACTGGCTGGAAAAACAAACGCAAAGGAAGAACAAGAATAGTGTAGATGGCGGGAGGGCGTGGTGAAGAAGCGGAGGGGTGGGCAGTAGGAGACGGCCACAAGTTGGCACCGGAGTGCAAAGTCTGGGCTGTAAACAAAACAATGTGAGGCGGGGACGGGCTCTAGTACCTTGTATCGTCTTCAACATGTGGTCGTCGTATAGGGAAGGGTGGTACCAGGGAGTCTCGAGCCGTTCGACGAGAGACTTTGGTGTCCGGCGAAGTAGTTCCAGGCTATACTGGAGTCTGTCCTCAATGATGAAGGGGAGACTTTCGCCACAGGGAGGGGCGGCCATTCGAGCCGGGATGCGGTACTCGAGGGGCACCAGCTGGCGCGTCTCGTCCGTCATCAAAAGATCATGATTCCCCAAGCCAGGGATATTAATCGAGGACTGGGGGATGGTTCGCGTGCCATGTCAATCCCGTAGGAGGAGAGGTCTCCGCCCAGGGGCCCATTCAGGGACGTAACAGGGTCGCGGGCGAGGAATTCGTCCAGCAAATTGTCGAAGGAGTAGGTCTCTGCGGTCTTGTTGAAGACCGCCCCCGGGGTAGGGAGAGGAGTAGGGTCAAAGGTGACGGACGGGGGCGCAAGAGGGGCAGGAGAGGACGGGCTCCTGCGCTGCTCGAGCTGCTGAGACCGCTTGAGCTTCCCAGGGTGTCGCCACCAAAGGAGAGGCTTGTGGCGGTGGTGTTAGGGGAGGGAGCCATCGTTTGGGGGTTATAAGACCGCCCGCCCAGGTGGGGGTAATGGCAGTCGATTCCGCGGCCAGAGCAGCGGAGGCATGATGGTTGGCCCAAATCGCAGCGTCTCTTGGCCTTGGTGCACGCCGCACACGACTTGCGTCGGGGGCGGATTTGCGCGCTCAAATGCCGTCAAGGACATGTCGGCAGTCTCTCCTTCCGGAATAGCTTAAGCCGAGCAAAAAAAAAAAAATGCGCCTGTGAGCGCGGATGCGACGGACGGGGGCTCTGAAAAAGGTGAGATGAGCAAAAGGGATTGAGGGGCGAAAAAAGAAATTAAAAGATGAGAAAGTACATGAAGAGCAGCGTGTTTCAATGGCGTTCTTGACACCTTGAGAAGAAGATTGAGGCGGGAACAATGGTCGATGCGAATAGCCTTTCCTCCCTTGGATCGACTGTCAGACTCGATAACGACGGCGTCGTGATCCTTCTCGGTGCCTATGTCTTTGTAAGCCGGCAACTTCCGTGTGCTGCGGAATTCCGCCCAAGTCCGCCAACCGTGACGCCGCAAGTCCGCAGCCACCGACCCACGAAAGGATCGGGTCGGGAAGGGCACAATCCGCCGAAACCCCCTTCCTTCGGCGAAGGGGCCGTGCCTGGACTCGAGGCGTCGAGTCAGAAGATTGCGAAAGGAAGCACAAGGAGCTGGGGGGCAGGGTGACAAGGGGGAATTGAAGCCCTGGATGCGCGGCGCTGAGCCGCGTCTTGGCCCCGGCGACGGGTGACAGGTGGCAGGTGGCAGCAAAGACACTCGACAATGGCTTACACGGCACGCGCATTCTGCTCCTTGTGCCTCTGCGCTGGTGGAACTCCATCATGGAAATCCGCCCTCGTCTGAGATTTGCAGTACGAGATCCGCGGAATCACTGGTGGCATGCGCGCTCAACGCTCAACCCCTCGATGAGGAATATCTTTTTAAGAATTGAGAGATGAGCCACGAAGCAGAATGAAGTCCTGGAAGAAAATTATAAATAAGGACGCTCCCGATCCTCAAAGTAAGAAGGGAAAGAAGGAGATATCGCCAGACTCAAATACACCAGCTCAACCAAGCCCAAATCTTCACGATCTCTCCAGTGTAAGCTGAAAAATAAAGACAAAAATAAACATCAAAAAGATCAAATCATCCCTCCACCTTTCACTCTCTCCACCCAAAACCCAAGAAGAAAGAAAAATGCCTTCTACCCAGGTCTTCGTCTGCGGCGCCACCGGCACCCAAGGCGGTGTCACCGCCCGACACCTCATCGCCGGCGGTGCCAAGGTCCACGCCCTGACCCGCGACGCTTCCTCCGCCAAATCCCAAGCCCTCGAGGCCCTGGGCGTCAAGCTCTTCCCGGGAGACTACGAAAACGCAGAGGCCCTCGCCGCCGCCTTGGCCGGCTGCGACGGCATCTACCTCAACTTCCTCCCCAGCTTCAAGGACCTCGCGCAGGAGGCGCGCCATGCCTCCCTCGTCGTGGCCGCTGCCCGCGCCGCCGGGGTACGCCACGCCGCCTACGCCTCCTTCATGAGCCACGATGAGCTCCCCAAGACGGAGGTCTTTGCGGATATCCCGCTCGCCCGTCCCTTCTTCGAGTCCAAGGAAACCGTGTTCCGCAGCATGGTGGACGCGGGCTTCGACACCTGGACTAGACTCCAGCCCGGCAAATTCATGGGCGACTTCATCAACCCCGGCGTGCCCATGTTCCCGGATCTCGCCGGCTCAGGCGTGTGGAGGTCCGCCATCCGCGCCGAGGACGAGATCCGCCTCGTCGACCCGGATGACATTGGCATCACCAGCGCCGCGGCGCTTCTCCATCCCGAAGAGTCCAACGGTCAACAGGTGGACATCTTTTCGGATATCCTCACCCCTCGCAGCTCGTAGCCGCCCTTGTCAAGGCCTCGGGAAAAAGATCTCCATCGAGTTCCTCTCTGATGAGGAGGTTAAGGCCAGACAGGACAAGGAGCCGTTCCTCGCCGCTCAGCTCTTGACCAGGTACTCTGGCGTCGACATCCCGATCGAGACTGCTAAGAAATGGGGAAGCAAGTGCCAGTCTTTCGAGGCCTTCTTGGCTAAGAACAAGGATCTGGTCGATTCCACCTTTGCCGGCCTCCCTCCTGCTTAAAACCTCTAATTGGCTCGCTATGGCTAGTATACATGGGGAACAGGCACAGAAGGAGAATGGACGGGAAGGAAAGAGGGGGAGAAGAAGTACGCAGGAGGAGTAAGGGTGTGTGTGCAAGTTGGCGATGGGTACCTGTGCAGTTGAAGTGTCCTGACTGAACACCCCCTCCACCTCGGGTTGGACTAATATCGGAGAAAGGAGCCGGGCCCGTCCAGGTTACCCACATTCTAGGTCGGACATGTATTAGGAATAATTAATACGGGCAAAGTTCCCATCTCTAGCCCCCACTTCTTCTTGAGTATTTTTCTTTCCCTCCCTCTTTTTTGGTGTTGATCCAATTTGTGTCCGGGTGACTGGACGTCCTCGTGCTTGGTCTTGCCATCAACGAAGTAAACCCCGAGCTCTTACATGCAGAGTATAGACGTAAAGGGGCGTAGGAATAGGAAGGTACCGAGACAGTTGGTCCATTCATAAATCAATAAGGGACATGAAAAATAAAGCAGAAACGAAAAGAAATGTCCTTTACTATTTTCAACCACATATATTCATATATTCGTAGCCTATCCGGGCTTGGTAAATAAACTTGAGAAAGGGGTATCAAATCAAAACAGGGAGAAAGGAATACAAGCAAGCAACAAGTAAGGAGACGGCCTGGCGGCCTGCTTGAATCCCTCGGCAAACTCGGCGCTCCTCCATCCCCCACGCTCGCGCCCTCTCCGTTGTCTCGTCTTCGTGGGAAAGATAAAAGACGAATTCGGTTGCTCTATCATTACTCGTAAATCGCTCCAACCTCGGGCCGCACCACGCCATTCTCCACCGTTCCAAAAGTCAGGTGAGCTGTCCTCATAGTAGCGGGCTCGTTGCTCCCATGAAGAGACGCCGACCGGTCCCTGGGCGGGATGCTCGAAGACATGACGCCCCATCTCAACTTCCGCCTCGCCAGCCTTGACCTCGCCTTTTCCGCCTCCCCTTCAGCTTTCAACTCGAAAGCGCCTTCCGATACCACGCTTTGGGCGTATGGCGTGGCTGGCGTGGACGTCGGTAGCACTTCTATCTTTGTGTCACCTTCTCCCCAGGGCAACTTCCTTCCAGCCTGCGATCCTGGTGTCACTATGCTCAGACCGCTTAGGAGTTGTTTCCTTCTCGCTTCGTTGAGGGCAATGGTCTGTGCCAACGGCGACGCTTTGTCCTCCTGGAAGCTTCCGGCCCACGGCGCTGCAGGCGGGTCCAAACTGGCCGTCGGCAGAGGGGCTCTTGGTCATGTTCATGACTCGGCTCAAACTTTTGTTGTCCCCATATAGAAGGAGGCCGTTCCTCAAAGGTTCGCGGTGTCGGTAGCGGATCAATCATGGAGGGTGCTTCCGACGTTGCACGGGGTCTGTACGAGGCGGCGTCCCTCGTTCCGGACAACGAGGCCGCATCATGCGCTTCTCCCGGCAAAGTCGTACGCTCAAATGCCCTCGGGGTGGCAGGTACGATTGTCTGAGCGTCAGATGCAGCCCGCGACCGGGGCGCAATCATCGACCGCGTATCCGCCGCCGATCTGACGTTGTATAGCGTGGATATTGGCCGTGACTGTTGGTATGGTGAAGGTGGCTCAAGCATCTGCGCGTCGGAGACAGCTCGTGGACGGTATACGGACATTCTCGCTTCCCTCGACGGCGAGTCCTCATAAGGAGATGGTGAAGTCAGGGGCCATGCGTGCAGTAAAGGTGTTGGGGTCTGTGGCTCCATCAAATATGCGTCGGATGCCGCGCGAGACCGGTACATTGGCATCGCCCTGACATCGGTCGGCGACCTTGCCTCTGAGGGTGAGGTTGGCACGTTGGGCCTAGCTTTCTCGCTGGGCCTAGCCTGGACCCACGGCGACTTGAAAATAAACGGTGAGTACGTGGCATGGGCCATCGGAGTCTCGCCCGCGGGTTGAACGTGGCATGCGGCGGAAATAACTCTTGAGCTCGCGCCAGCGATGACCATGTCCCCTTCAACTTTGTAAAGGACACGAAGAGAGGAACCATGGCCAAAACAAATGAAACAATGCTAAGAATTAGCAAGGCTTTAACAGAGTAAGAAAGCGCCACCACCGTTGTGGCGTCGAAACCGATGCCATCCTCGACATCCCGGAGACCGGCCCCATCGTTTCCAAGGTAGTCTACACCCATTCAAAGTTAGAGATTGAAAGCCGAGGTCTTGCGTTGGGTGTATCAGATTCATGGTAACCTACTGCCTTCAAAGATGCTTAAGAAAAAGGTTTGAGAAAGAACCCAGTGCAGAAGCGCACCCACGACGATCAGCGGGATGCTAGCTACGAGCGGAAGCTGTAGCCGGTACGTGGAGATTTGCGAACCCTTTGGTGTCGTTACTCTCAGCGGTAGATATGCCAAGCTATACGAATTCCACTCTTTCTCAACAAAAAAGCGGGTGATGAGCCCATTAAAGTTGTAATAACAGGCCGAGAGGAACACATGGGGCTTGTTGGCGAAGAGGAGCGCGAGATAAAAGGAGTCTTCGGGAACATCCAGGCTCGTCATCCGGCCGTTTTCCGTGTTGCGCGGCCCAAACCGGAAGTAGGAAAAATGAGGACGCCCAAGGACCAGAGTTGAAAGGCGTACGTTAGGAACCAACTAAGAGGAGACACGCTAGCGCCCTTGTAGTTCGTGCGACGAGACCATTCCCTGGGGGCTTCGAGACCAAAGGTTTGGCCTCTTTTTCTCGCAAAGAGTCGTGACGCTGGACCGACCTTGTCGGATATTGTTAATGTGCACATGTTTTCTGTAGTCGGGTCCGGCTTCGTGATAAAAGACGATATGGCGTCCCCGGGAGTTACTAGTGTGTCTTCGGTAGTGTTCTTGAGGATTAATCTACCAAGCGTCGTCAGCATCCAGCCCCCGATACTTAGCACGGTTGCTTGGTGACTTACAGTAGTAGCGATGCGATGAAGGCGATGCACAAGGCCGAGAGCCCCATCATGAGGGGCGACACGCCCAACTTACACACCGGTTTAGACTCCTGGGCCAGGCAGTACTGAACATCCAATTCATTAAATTCCCCAAACTTGAACCCCGCCCTCGAAAAGCCCGTTGTCACGTCTCCGAACTGGTTGGGCGAAGCTTGAAATTTTATCGTCCAAGTGTCATTTCCGCCCAGCGGGTTGAGCGGGCTTGTGATGTCGGACTCGTCGTGGATACCAAGAGCATTCGCGCAAGTTTGCGTGCACGCCGTGGTACCCTTTGCCGGTTTCGACACCATCTCACAGGCGGTCGAGAACCACAACGAATTCATGCTATTGCTCGGAACGAGTCTATCCCACTGCGCCGCGGCCGGGGGTGCGAGGTCGAAGACTTGGGATCGGGTCCAGCCCTGGGTTGTGCCGGTGCTTCCTGCAGTGTTGACTACGACGATGAGGTCCTTGAAATTCTGTCCGCCATGGCACTTGAGATACTTTTTCCGGCATTTCGCGGGGTCTAGACGTTTCCATTTCGTGCCGGTCGCCGCGATGGCTCGGAGCTCTAGGCTCATTCGTGAGGCGTCCGTTAAGAGAGTGCTAGCATTAATCAACCGGCCGTATCCCTCCTCAAATCCAGGCATGGCTAGACTAGCGCCGGGGATGAAGAAGTCTGCGCCGTTCAAGAATGGCTCCGCAGCAATCGTCAAGTTCCACTCTCGCCCAGGGAAATCGGTCATAAAGACGGCACTATTGAACAACATGTGAAGGGGGAGGGAAACGACCATGAGGAGCAGCCAAGCAAAAACCTTAAACTTGGATAGGACGAAGAAGAGGTTGCTCAGGGAAGGCACCCCGACCTCTACCGACCTGCTTCGAGCGTGCGCGGCATCGACTTCGTCTCTCGTCGGAGCGTTGAGAATCTGCATTCCAAAGTTGGCCGCCGAGAAGACCAGAGTCGCCACGACATTGAGGGCGAGATGCGTAACTAAACTGTAAATCTTAGTCCTGTCGCAGTCGCCCATGTAAAAGAAGTAATTGCCCAGAAACGACTGTGTCTGCTCGCCAACGAAGAAGGTCGAGGTGACGAGGGCGGCGAAAAGAAGCGCGAGAAGAATCGTATTAACGGCAGCCGACCGCCGCCAGCCTGTGGCGCGAGAAAGAACGAAAGGGCTACCCATGATGGTCTTCGTCGGGCCCAGCCGCTGGTGAAAAAGACCCTCAATGGGCAGTGGTGATATGGTCGAGATACAGATATCTCACCATTTACGTTGGCTAGTAAGAAAGAGCGTTCTAGAAACTCTTCATTTCACGAGAGAGAGACGAGAAGTCGAGAGAATACTAAGGACTGGGGCAGCCGATCTTGGTGGCGTGCAGCCAACGCCAGCATCCAAGCTCTACCCCTCGTGGGCTCGGTGCCATCCATGGCTACTCTTCCCGTGGTAGGGATACGTCGAGCACGGGAGATCACACTGATCCTCGTGGTTCTGTCTGATGTCCATAGCTAACCGGAAGCTCTGACCAGCATCTGCCATCCGACCGCAATGGGCCGTGAAAATTAAAGCTCGCCGTAGGTTCGCCTTGGAAAAGCCTCCACGTCAAGTGTGGTGGGCCCAGGAACTCACAGTGAATGAGCAGCACGGATGAAACGTAAAGGGGGCCATGTCCAGCAGATCCTCTACCCTTCGGCTTCCCAGACCGTGTTCCAACCGCCCAGGTCCGCCAAAACCAGCGCGGCTCAAAGATTTCGAGAGTCTGGTCGGTCCCGGCGATAAGCCAATCGTGCATCCTCGCATAGGGCTTCCATGAATCAATCGGCTTCACTCCAGACGCTTGCACGGGTGAAGGATTTTCGGACCTGGCGGTTCCCGACTTATTAGTGCCCTAATCTCAACCACCCGCATCTTCACACCCACGCTTGATACATGGACGTGCCAGCCGCAGATTTCCCTCGAAATTTCCTGAATATTATTCCGGGATTTAACTTGCCTCCGCGATCAAGATCCTCGGGGCATATTAAATACTCCGTAGGCTGCACGCATTTCCGGGACAGCGCCATCGGGGCTGCTCATCGTATGGACATTCCTCATGGTTTTTTGGGGGCAGGAGTTCCGTCTCCCTCTTTTTGCTTCCTTGTTTTGCTCAGTCTTTCGCCAGGAGATTTCGGTGGAGACAGTGAGTATGGAGAATGAGAGTCTGGGCTTTGTGGCCCCTCTCGCGCGCATCCGCTTTGTCGCGAGTTTGAGAAATTGAGAGCTCGCGATGAAACCAATTTGAATATACACCAGCGATCCTGCATGACAGCAGTGACAGACAAGGGGAGTGAGCCTCCAACACAATCAACGGGTATTACCACGTTTGATGCCGATGGATAAATCTAAGCCACAAAATCCTTCGTCTCAGCAGCATTGGAGTAAACGCAAAACAAAAATGCACACAATCCCCTCCCCTCTCCTCGGGTTCAAGGTTGCAGTCAGCAGCACAAAAGATGAGATGTCTCAATTACCGTCCTAACGTGCCGTTAACTAGATCGTCATAATCCAAGGCCCTGTATGAACGAGATCGATGGCGCTATGGCCCTCACCAGGACGACTGAAGCTTTATTTTTCTGCAAACTTTCTCCTCCACTCATCATTAATATCCACGTAATCCTCAGGCCCGTACGGGTCTGTGATCTCTTTAAACCACCCGCCTTTGCGGTGCACTTGCAAGCCGAGATCCGCCATCATGACATCCATGTACGGAACGACGTCAAAAACAAAGTCGGGAAACTTGGCTCCATGGTCGGCCGGGTACCTCCATCGCCCAAACCGATTATAGAGAATCGTTTCGTACTGAATATCTTCAAGTGACAATGACGCGGGCTCCGATCTCTGGGATGGCCCGGAGGTCGAGATACCAGCAGTGGGATCACGGACCAGCTTTCCGTCAAAGTAGGCCGCAATCCAAAGACCTTGTATGTGAGCACATATCGCAGCACTGAAATTCATAATTCCACCCGCAAATGCAAAGTCTCGTGTACGCAAGAACCGTGGCGATACAGGTGCAATAAAGTGATACAGAAGTGGAGGGCTGAGGGCAGTATCGGGAGTAATCTGGTCGTCTGAGTCAAAGGCCGCCTGTTTGAGCAAAGGTGTGTATTTTTGTTGAACTCTGGTGGGTTTCGAAGACGTGGGAAGCGGTTCAAAATTTCCTCGTCCGCCTTCTCGAAGAGCTCGGAACGCGAAGCCAAGTCAATTTCACCATCACCTCGTGTAACTTGGTGCGGTAAGCCAAGCTCCTTGTCGATACCTTCTGGAAGAAGTTTGAGCGCTGGGGTGTGCTTCCATCCCGTCACGCAGACCAGTCCGTCCGATTCCAGAACCGACTTATTGGCGTCAGCAAGGTGAATCTTGCCAGCACTCAGATAGTCTAGATCCGCAATGTGGACCTTGACAGTACCGTTACGGAGGAGCTCAAAAAGTCGGTATCATAATTCAAGATGCTGAATGTGCTCGCTGTAAACATGGCGCTCGTCCAGGGCTTGAGCTTCGCCATCTCTGGATGACTGTCGTAACCGTTCAAGGTAATGACATCAGAGCCGAGGACGTGCCAAAATGTGTTGGTGATTGCTCTCCCAAGGGCGGTGCCATGAAGGAATGAGCGAATCACCGAGTACCCCCGTCCGCACTCCAGATGCAAGGACTAAACCAGGTGAGCAAGCGAGTATCTGGTGATATCGATTAGTCCCAAGCATCAAACAAACAGCAGTATAGCATACGACTCACTAACGAGCTTCTCGAGCCATTTCTTGAGCGGAGTCACGAAAGGCGGCGCCATCCAACAGCTCCCATGGCCAGATTCTGATGGCTGAGGGTTAGTTCCCGCGTTACGCCAATGCATAGTCCTCCCCATCAAAGGCTAGACACATACCCCTGATAACCCAGTCAACTGGGATGCCCTTCCTTCCGTAGGCATAGACAGCATCCCATGCCGACTTAGAACCACCCAGGACAGTCATCCTCCTCACACTTTTACTAGTCGTGGCGTCGGCGTACTTGAGGAGGTCCTTGATGTGGAATAAGGGTCGATCAAAATCCGCTTGCCCCTTGATGCGAGGTAGAAACGGCTCCGAAGTCATTCCAGTAGCCAGAACTAGCTTGCGAGCGAACATTCGCGACTCTTCTCCCTGAGGCTCCTGGGGATCCGAATTGGTGACTGACCGAACGGTCAGGATCCAACCCCCATCCTCTAGGTGCTCTGCAGATAGCACACATACACCACAATGGACATTATCGAAGAATCCAAATTTCTTGGCATACGCCGTCAAGTACGCGTGGAGGGCCTGCCCTGTAGGGTGCTGGCGTGGCTGAATACCAAAGACGGACGGGTCCATAGGGAAATCTGGATACTCGTATGTTCCCCAGAGGTTGTTCGACTTGAGTCCCGGATAAAGCCTGTGCTCCGCCCACACACCCCCAATACTTGAAGCATAATCAACTATGGCAATAGAATGCTCAGGATTTATCTCGCGATACTGCTTGGCAGCAGCCAGTCCATACCAACCTTGAAAAGAAGGACAGTTGCTTCATTAGTATGACATGTCACCACCGCACGGCGCAAGAATCTACTCACCGGCACCCACTACCACGAGGTCAAGCTCCTCCATTACGTCGGTGTCGAATTTGTGCACAAAAAATAAAGCGATGTTCGTGGGTGTTGAGACCTCCTGATCGCTACAGTTAAGAAGAGATGGTCGAAATCGAGGTATTACAAAGCTTCGAAACTGTGATTTTCGTTCCACAGGCCAACAATTCAAACGCCCGATTCTATCAAGTAGACCTCCAGCGGCTAGATTCCGTCCTCGTAAGACGGCCAGTTCAACCCGGAACGGAAGGGTGCAGAAGGCAGAAGGCAGGGGTAGCCAAAGTGTCGAGTTCGATAGCGACAACGATGTGATGTGCAGGCTGTTAGATTAAATATGGAGAACTTCCCCGACGTTTCACTGAGGATGTCACCCTCCAGGCAGTGGTGTCGACAAGCAAATAGCTCGACTCATTCTTGGGATTGCAAAGATAAGCTGAATCCTACTTGACACGGCATAATTGCGCCGATCGTCGAGGGCTAAAACTACTTGCAATATCAGAAGCCGCGACTGCAAGGTTGGCTCAGCCTCTCAGACGTGCAAGGTTACACGCCCCGCAGGTCGAAGCCGATGTCCCGTTTGTGTGGGCTTGCCATGCAGCTTCTGCCCCCGCATGGCATGTTGATCAAAGATGGGAGGTATTGCGAATTCTCTCATTCCGAGGACCAAAAGAGAGAAAAGGCAAAAAGCTGGGAGACCGCAATAATTGAGGTTAACTTTGGAAGCCAGCTTGATATACTAGACTCCGGTCGTCAAGATGGCGGGCACTGAATTCGTGATCCTGCTCCCATTTATTGCCGCTTGGGTATAACAACGACTCGGTGGGAAGATCGAAGAGGGCCCGGAAAGAAAAAAATTATCGACTTGCCCGAGGTATCTTCCGAGACGGTATCTTCTGCTGGGCGCCTAGTACTAGAGCTCTCTCGTCTCCGCCCAAGCCAGCTTTGTCGTTGAAGAGCGGGAGAGGGCCAGAGCCTCAACTACATAGCTTTTTGGCAATGATAACGGGTGGGTTCAAGGTGTATCCTGTTGAAAGGAAAGAAATTGGCACCAGTGGAAGTAAATGGAACAACCAATTTGACGTTGACCGTGACTATGTAGATGGTGAGAAGTAGGAGTGTCATAGGAACACTACATGTAGAGTTTGAAGTCTTCGAACCTGAGATTAGTCCACGAGGTCCGCACAGTAGCTATTGGGAGGCGTACTCCGCAGGTATGCATTGTTCCTGCCTTGTTTGTCCAAACTGCCAAAGGAAACATCGTGAAAGGCTCCAGTATCAGCATCCATGACACGCACTAAAACCAAAACTCCAGTCCGTCTTGATTTAGGATATCCTATCTTACTCGACCTCCGCCAACCGTGACCTTTCTACGAAACGAAGCAACGCCATGGTCTATTATCGCTCGTCTATTTTCACCATTGAATAGCATCTCTATCTTGCAACATCACCCCCATGTATCAATCCGCCCGACGCCTATCCTCCCTAGATTTGGCTCTCAACGCCCGAGGTCCGCGACCGAGAAAAAGAGATCCAGCAAGGGGCAGGCATTAATCCACCGATACTTACCTCGTACTGCAGTATTCCTTCCAACCCACCGGGGGTTCATTCTTTGATACTGTCCCACATGAGCATTTGACGCGGGCACCTAGGGATGGACGCAGGAGCAATTGCCGGTATGGATAACACCTCGCAAGCTCCCGTGTGAAGTGTCCGTCTTGATAGCGCCACACCCCCAACTTTTGTTACCATGCGAGCTGTGTATGCAGCACATACATTTCAGCTTCGGCTGGAAAGGCTCCATTCACCCTGCTCGTTCCACGCTGACCGATTCCGTGGTCAATTTAGAGGCAAATTTAGCTCTCGCCAACAACCAGCTCGGAGTCCAGATTATCCAGACCATCGCCAACGTCGTCGCAGTCGGCCTCACCTTCCTCACCTTGTTGTGGTGGTTTGTTCAGCATTATCTCATCTATAAGAGGGGCCACGTCGCGTACAAGCATCTCGTCCGTGACCACTCTCAAAGAGTGAGATTTCCAATGCCTCCAGCCGACCTTTCCGCCTTGTACACACGAGTCTCGCACCTCGCAATGTCCGACCTCCAGCGGGATATGGACGTTCTCATCACCGAACTCAGGATAAGGCCTCAGAGATTACGGGTCCAATGCACTATGGAGGAACTGAGAGAGATATTCGAGTTTCCAGAAGAGAGAAACCCTCCTGTTTAACAACTTGGGCGTGTAAGGTGCAAGGGCAAAACAGGGCCAAAAGTGTGATATCTGGACGGGGAGATCGACGTGGGAGGCAGAGGACTTAAGCATGTTGCGCATAATTTCTACCACAGAGCCATTCAATATGATATATTTCAATCCGGCCTTGGGTGTTCTCGGCAGCAATGCAAAACTATGGAAGATCCCAGCGGCTCTCGCCACGAGTAGCAAGGAAGCTGAACAGTCAAGTTAAAAATAATAAAAAGCACAGTTAACTGACTGGTTGACTGACTGACTGCCTGATGTCGAAGCCCGCGATGTGTGTTGGCGGAAAAAGCAAAAGTAAGTGATCTAGGCAGGGATCGAACCTGCAATCTTTTGATTCGTAGTCAAACGCCTTGCCATTGGGCCACTAGACCTTATTCATGCAGGTCAAGGCTCAGGTTTTGATATGTAAACCAATCCTCAGAAGCGAAAGAACAACGAGCTCACAAGGCAATAGAATGACAAATGGTGTCAAACGCAACAGGGAAACGAAGGAAAGAAAAAAGAAGAAAAAAGTGAGATAGAAGAGATGCCAAGCAAAGGTGAAGAGGGCTCGAAGGATCAAAAGGAAATCTGTTGATTCGGCCCGGGCTCGATCCGGGGACCTCTTGTGTCCAGCACCTTTGGATGTTAGACAAGCGTGATAACCAACTACACCACCGAACCAATGGATGAATTAATTGATGGAGGAGCTGCGCCGGGAACACAATATGCAGAATGCGCCAAGAGAGAAAAGAGAAAAAAGAGGAAAAAAGCAGCGCCATGAAAAAATCGGTCCGCCGCAACCTTTCACCTGTACATAGGCAGATGAGAGGGGGAAAAGGTGAAGAGTGAGTGCAGAAGCTACTCGTGCTGAGGTAATGAGGAGGGGCTGAATGGGTACGCAAACAAAAAGGGAAAAAAGCAAAAAGAAATCATTGATTCGGCCCGGGCTCGATCCGGGGACCTCTTGTGTCCAGCACCTTGTGGATGTTAGACAAGCGTGATAACCAACTACACCACCGAACCTGATTAAACATTCAGCACTTATTGCCTTACATATGGCCCGAACACGTTTCTTACTCTTCAACCTCCAAATCTTCCGCGACATTCAGCCATCACCCTCATTCGGTCGTTCTAATATTCCAAAAGGTAAGAAAAGGGAAAATAGGAGGCTGTGAGTGATTATGCAGGTAGAGCCAAAAGTAAGCTAAGGATGAAAAACGAGGCAATGCTATCAAACAATATTATGCAGCCCGTAACTAACGCAGACTCCATCGCAATGGGAGCTAAAAATGATTGGCTATGCTCAACAAGATTGACTGGAAGGAAAATTTGAGCCTCGTTCTATCGAGTTGCTAAACCGCATCTTTGACGAAATCAAAAACATTCGTCTCCACCTCCTTCATATCAGGGTCTCTTCTACTATGGGCTGTCACACCATCCACCCCTCCCATAACATGGTCCCTTTCCGGCTCATCGGGCTCATCTGCATGTTGCCTCACAAACATATCCATGTCCCGGTCTACTGCTGCCGTATCTTCGACAATATCATGCTGTGAAGAGACCTCAGAGTCATTGAGTAAGGCGTGAAAATCGGTATCGGTATGGGGATCGAAAGGATTATGATGGGACGTGGCGGCCATAATGCGTGGGTCTATAGGTTGATAGACTTCGTCATGTGCCTGGAGAAGGTTTGGGGGTAGAGTTGCGTGAGTAAGGCCTGCATGGTGCTGCATGGTGTTGTGCTCGAGCTGGGTCGGGGATAGGGGTCTTGACCTGCCAAAGAGGCGGACATGGCAGCCGTTCCGTAAGGATCATCGTGTAGGAGGGCCGTTGCATGGGCATTGGTAAGAGGATCCTCATGAGGGGTGGAGTCGTCTGCCAGTGGCTCGTCGAGATCTTTATCGGCAGAAACGGGACTTGCTGAGCCCGAGGATTTGCTGCTTTGTAAGGAATTGGGCGTCTTCCGTGTCCGCAAGCACTTTTCGCATTTTTGATCGCTTCAGTAGCGGTGTCCTTGATACTGCGCCAATGATACTTTTCCCGGATGGTGGTCGTCGTTCGGTTGATTCCTGCGTGATTCTCCTCATGGACCTGCTTGGCAATCTCAAACTGCTTCAATGGGTCGGAGATGACTTCTTTATCGCCATGCATCAAGGTATCCCCATCAAGCAGCTTGTAGTGGGTTGCAGCCGCGCGAAGACGGGATTTTTCGGCGCGGTCAGCTCCGGGGGTATTTGCCGTACTTGAGGTAGAACTTGATCTTGTCAAAACGGTCTTCCGACTGAAGCTCCTCGGCGTCCGGTCCAACCAAGTCCCGTCCATAGATGAGGGCATCGATATATCGGCCAGGATAAGATTTCAGGTTTCCGCAGCCCTTGACCCTGCCGATGCGCTTGAACCCAAGCGCATCCCAAATTCGGCATGACGCCACGTTTGTCTCGTACACAAGGTTGAACACCGAGTATGTGTACCCCATCTTTGGAGCCCAGTCAAGATACGCCTCGCCCATAAGCCTTCCTACGCCTCGGTTCCGCGCAAGGTCCGTGACCAGAAATCCAGCATTGCAGACGTGACTACTCCTTCCCGGATAATTAGGTTTGATGTAGAAGCTTCCCAGGCAGGCTTTCACCCAGTCTTTCTTTTCAGCATCGGCCTTGGCAATGTCCTCAATGCTTCCAAGAAGCATAATAGCGCCAAAGTTTTGAAACCAATAGTGGGCAAACTTTTCTGCTGACATCGTCTCCATCATTGGATAGGTGTCACCGCCCTCGATTTCCTTGTTGAGCTGATCGCTGAGGTAGGCCAATAGGGACTGAGGTACCTGCTCATAGGAGGCAAAAGGCACGATGGTGGCGACTGTTTGTCGGTCGCGTAGCGTTACCTCATACATTTCCACACCCGGCGGCAGGGCCGGGTTGGCAGGATCTGGATAAGGTGGCTCCCCCGACATTCGGTAAATTGTGGGGTGGCCGGGTCGTCTAGTATGGCCGGCATCTTGTCCAGGAGAGATGAGCACTATGGGCCCCGGCTTGCCCAGACAACGTGCTTTCCGTAACGTGTGCCGGAGTGATATAGTCACACAGCAGCTAGGATCTACGCTCCGCACGGTTGAGGCAAATTAGTACACATGCATACCACAGGAGCCATGCAAGAGCCATGCGCACTCAGTCCCACAATCTCGCATTGAGAAAGAGAGTCAAAAGAAAGGGGAAGGGAGGCTAGGAATAATAACGCCCATCTCAAAAGACCTCGGCTTCGGGCCACCAAAAAATGGGGGAGAGATACCGAGAATCTCATGAGTGCAAGCATGCCTTCTCCCGCCTTCCCCTTGTGGAGGAAATATCACAAGTAATCTTACAATGTACAAAAATCCGATCACTGAGAACCCTGCGTCCCCCCTTTAGATCCGGATTTGGGGTGCGGTCTGAAAGTTGAACGGCACGGGCACACGCACGTGGCGGGGTCGGGGGCTGCCCCGGCGTGCGTGAAATTTTTGGGAGTTCAGCTAACGCCGCCCCTGGACCGACCCTTGGGAACCCCTATGCGCCAAATTTCGAGGGTCCGGATGCACGGGGGTTGGACAGGCCACACGGGCGTCGGGGATTTAGTGGGATATAGTGTGTGTGCCTTAGAAACCTTGGGTCGTGATGCTTTGTTGGTGACGAGATATTCGCTGTTGCGAAGTTTCCAGCCCGCCGTTCCTTCTTTTCCTGAGATGGAGGGGTAAATGGGAGATCATGCGACAAATCGACAAATCGTCTGCCAACAAAGAAATTCTACCCGAGCTGCTTAGCTAAGATCCCAGGTACCCGCAAAACTCACCACACCCTTTCTGAATCCATCAACAACTTTTGAAAGCTCAAGTGCTCCCCTTGTCCCACCCACACCAGCGTTGACATGCGCTAACCCACACTTTGAACAATTGATGAGGCCTCTTGAACACGAGCAATTGCTTACCAAAGTCAATGTACCCATTCGAAGGAGAGAAGAAAGAGGCGCAATGCAAGAAATCAACAAAGGGCTACAGAATGCATATTAGAGACAAATGCATGCTACTTCTATATCCTTACATCACATATATCTAGAATATTTGTATAAATACACATAATACACACTGACGCGACAGCCTTACTCAGATTTCGAAGGCGTCTTATCCTGGCTTACAGCCTCCTTCACACCCTTCTTCACGCCAACTTTCGACATGATCTTCTCGTTCACCTGCTCCTCCGCCGTACCCTTAGGCACCGTGAAACTGTCCAGCAACCTGCTCTCCTCCTCGCTCAGCGCATCCATCTCTCGGGTGTTGGCCGCTAGCTCCTTGATAAGTTCCTTCTCCTCTTTGGAGAACTCCTCCGAGGCTACATCATCTTCGGCCACGCGCTTTAACAAAGCCTCGTTTTCTTCGGAGACGGCAGACTGCGAAAGACCACCAACCATCTCACGGTCGATGAGCGAGGAAAGAATTTCGCCTCTCCTGGCCTTCATGCCGCTGATGAACTTTGTGATGTCGTCAGAGGTGCGCCAAGTAACAGTTCCCTCGGAGGCATCCGCCAATCGTCGCTTCTGGCCCTGCTTGCCAGCCTGACCTAACACGCCAGCAATGAACGCGATAGATCGCAAACTAGTGAAACACGTTAGTCCGTCAGCCAAGGTACCTATAGAAGGGGCATGGAACTCTTCAGTAAAAGAAGATTGGAAAAACAGAACACATACCTATCATCGTTGGCGGGGATGGTATAGGTGACCCAAGACGGGTCGGCGTCGGTATCAATGACACCAATCGTGGGGATGTTGGCAAGTCCACACTCGTAGAGGAGTGTGTAGTTTTCCAAAGGATTCAGGCAGACGACAAGGTCAGGCAGAAGCGGCCTAGCCTGGTTGACATGCCTGTCGAAGCCAGCGAGGTCGTTATCATGCTCGTCGACGACCTTGAGGAAGCGATCCCTCAAGATGATGTCTCTGTTGGTGATGGAGCCCGGTGTCCACTTTGTGAAGAGATGGCACGCCCTCGCTTCCTTCGCAGCGGCGGTAACAATCTCCATTTGACCCCTGCGGGTACCTACGAAGAGCACGAGACCACCGCGATAGGACACCTCCTCGACCACGGTCGCCGCGCGTCGCAGATGCGCGGCAGTGGTCTCAAGGAAATGATGTGAATACCCTGCCTTATACCGTAGATATAACGAGAGTTGGCCGGGTTCCAAAGGGAGGCATTGTGGCCCATGTGTGTTTGCGCTGCCATCAGCCTTTCGAGGGTGATGTGCTTCGGCGGAAGGGGGTTCTTGATCAGGAGGCCAGGGGCATAACGCTCCTCAACGACGGAACCGATCGATCGAGTTACAGACTTTTGGATTCCCGTTGCCCTGAACTTTCCGCGGGCATCGGGGAGCGTATGAGATTCATTGGATGGAGTCGGGGGAAGCGCTTTCTGTCGCGATACATCGGATGCATGTTCGTACAACTGGCGTGGAAAGAACCCGGCGGCCTATCAATTGGTTAGAACTGTTGTCCCCAAAAAGTCAAATGCAACAGAATTCGAAATCCTACCGTGCCGGGCGGCCACAGTTCTCAAGATCATGGCTGCTGGTTGAATACTAAAAATCAATTCACCCCCAATGTCTCGAGCTGGACAGAAATTTTGAGCTCTTGCAGAGCAAGGATTGTAGCCACGGCACAGTGCAGTGCCAACCTGCTGCGAATTTTGATATCACGTGACAGCGCGAATTCCAGCTCCGGCGCTGAGTTCGCGCCTCGACTTCCCACCACCTAAAGTCAAGATTTACACAATCTCAGCGCCCTTAGGCTCAGTCTCGGTGCAAAACTTCTAGGAATTCTTTCTTCAGCGATACATGTAGGCACAAGAAGATGGCATATTAACCGAAGTAGTTTGAAATGTGTGGGTACGTAGCCTCTGTTCAATTCATTCAATTATTAAAAACAATAAACAGCAGTTTACAAATGCACTGCAATATTTGATACAAGAATCACCCTGCGCCAACTCGCTAGCATTATGCACTTCATTCATACAACCCCTTCATGTCCAACAATTTGCCGCTCCTCGGTCATGGTTTATCGGCTGGTAGCACGCGAAATCGCAAAGACGCCCACAATCACGGCAGCCAAAGTGACAATAGCACCAGGCAAGAGCAGTTCGTTAGGGACGCCAGCGATAACTTGGTCCTGGACAGCGACATGGCGCGTTCTCTTTGACTTGCGAGCAGTCGCTTCATCCTCAGACTCATCATACGACTCTTCCTCATCATCGAGCTGTTGCCTGCGACGCTCGCGGACAACAGGAGCGATCGACTCAACGGGAGTGGCAATTGTTGACTCAACAGGGACGGGCACCACAACAGCAACAGGTGGCTTTTCGGGATCGTGAACAAAGAGGTCAACCTTGTCCTTTCTGTTCTGCCGAGCCAACACTATAGCCTCACGGAGGTCATTATCCGTTGTAATGGAGACGGAGTCGCCCTCATCGTCCAAGTAGCTCAAGGCATAGCCACCACTGATCTTGCCCTCCTCGGCAACGGGCGTGCCGCCAATGGCCTCGATCTCGCTACCGAGCTTGGAATTCACCCCATCGACAAAAACGGCAATACCATCAGCTGCAACGACTTGGAGACGGTGAGTGCGGCCAGAGGGTGCCTTGAATTTGAAGGCGAACGGGATCGCGTCGGGGACAACACAACATCCACCATTGAACGGGGTGGAGACTCAATGCCGGCATGGGATGCAGAATCACCGGGTGCGACGCTGTCTCCAGGCCTATCTCTCGTAATATCAGGTGACATGATTCGTGAGCCCAAGTTGGTATGGTGCTGGCTCCCATCACCAGACATGACGGACTCCGTCTCGTTGTCAAGGGAAAGCCAAAATTTGTTCCAAGCTGGGCCTTCGTTGTCCGCGCTTTGCATTGTGTTGATCTGCTCGAGGGTGGCATAAGTGAGCTTCAGAACATCAACCATACCAACAATTTCGCCCGAGTCATTCATGACAGGGAGATTGAGGTAATGGCCGTCTATAAGAAGTAAAGTTTTGTTAGCTACTATGCAAGGAGGTGGCAGCCACAGCAAGATAATCCATCACAACATACCGTGCATCTTCCTAAGGGCCTGCTGGATGCTCATATCCATCGGGGCAAAATCAGGATGAGGGGTCATGACGCGGACGACGCTGCAGTTGGTGGGATCCAACCCAGGGGCGATGACCCGAAGAACGACATCCTTGCTGGTGAAGATACCAGTGATGGCACCCTGGTCTTGGACAAGAACTGCGGTGGTGTGGTTCTCCTTCATGAGCTGAGCGGCCTCTTTGACAGAGGTCCGGACGCTCACGGTAGTGGGGGCATCCCGGTAAGGACCGACTCGAGAGTAGGGCCAGACATCTTGCTTCGAAGAGCCTCAACATACTGGATAATTTGCTGAGGTTGGCTGGTTCCCAGTTCGGACTGAACACCTTCTAGCGCATCGTATAGCTTCCTCGAAGAAGAGTAGGCCCTTTCAAGCTTTTCCATCGCATCGTAAAAGCATTTGGTGATATCAAGAACACCCGAGATATCCTGGTTCTCGTCCATGACGGGGAGATGTCGGAAGCCCTTTCGGACCATCAAGTCCAAGGCGTCGGTCGCACTGGTGTCGGTTCGAGCACAAAGCGGGTTCTTGGTCATGATATCGGCAATAGTGACGCTACCGGCCTTGAGACCGGCCCCAACAACACGGAAGGCAAGATCCTTGGCGGTAAAGATACCGGCAATGCGGTCGTCATCGTCGGTGACGAGGACACAGTCCTCTCGCTTGGCCGCCATGAGCTGGGCAGCTTCGGATACGGTGGTGGAGGGCTTGATTTGGAGAGCCTGGCTAGGCTTCAAGGCAAGAACGGTACCAGGGGGCCTTGCGCGAGTGGCGGGCACGAGTGGCTAGGTTCTTCTTCTTGGAGAGATCATTCTCCATCTTTCGACGGATAGCCTATTAGACATTGGTTATAGTGTTAGCACCCCTCATTCAACCCGCCGCACAAGTGCCGAGTGTTGGGGAGGACGCGAGATAACCAACCTCATCCCTCTTGGTCTGCTTTTGCCGGCTTGCGCTGACAGCGGAGACACCGCCAAGTTCGCTGGTATGCTCGCCAACAGGCCTAGGAATGTTGGAGCCACCAGGACTTCCGGTAAACGGTAACGCACCGCGGCCCTGGGGCCGGCTTGGAGTGCCCTCATAGTATTGGACATGGTGTTGGCAGTGTCCGGGTTGGTAGGCTGAATCAACTCAAGTCGTTCAATGGGGGTGGGGTTTGTTGATCCAAAGAACACAAACAATAAAGTGCTCAGAAGTCTTGTGAGAAACCTCGACCTAGGTCCTGCAAACAAGCAAGGGAAACGAAGAAACAAGCCTGTCGGATGATTCCCTTGAGAAAAAAAGAAAAAGAAAAAAAGAACTTTGGTCAAGAAATTCCTGCAAGGTGATAGGCTCCCGAGTACAGACCCGTCAATCAGGATGTTGTCAAGGTCAGGGTCAAAAGGAGTCCAGAGCGAGTAGTGCAGCCTCTGGAGCTGAGCATGGGATGGGAAAAATCTCGGCTATGGCGCGTTGACTAGCCCGGTTTGTTGTCGTGGTGATTCGATCTGGCTGAATAGACCCCCACCAGCCAGGCCATTGTGTGGTTAGTCATCAAATCATATCCACACAAAGGCTCATCCACATGCTTCGAGTTCCGAGGATGGCGTGAGTCTGTTATCCTGTTATCAATCGGATTGGGACAGGGACACTTTCTAGGAAAGGGCTAGTTTTCCCCTTGTCCTTTAAGCAAGAATCGTTCGAGAAGGGACCCCGAAAAACTCTACTTTTCTCGGGTGTAAAACTTCCATCTAGTCCCTTTACACAATGGAGGCAGGCATGAACAAGGGCATTCACATTCATCCAAGACGGAAGCATCCACGCCCAGAACAATTGAAGAATAGCAGTGAACATTTTTATTGTTTGGCTCTACCAAGTTGGCGTTTTTAATATAGCAGAGGCTATTCATGCCAAGTTCCATCTCACTGTTGCTGAGTCCATATAAATGTTGAAGATTTACACGTACTTCACATGTTCACCAAATATCATTCTCCAAATCAACATATCCATTCTTTGTGTTGCAGCCTCTCAACAAGATGCAAGTTGTTCCAGCAGACTCCTTCAGATTTTCAAGCATCTGTATTGATGTGTTACGTAGTCATGTGCCCTGGTGAGTTGCGCGGGACTCGAGGCATCGAGCGTTCAGCTGTTCTTCATACTTTTATCATTTCCAATTTATTATGGCCCGGGCGAGTAAAAGAAACAAGCCCAAACCAAACGCACTTTGGCCCACAGAAACCAACAAACATAATTCTCCATCCATAATGACACAGAGAAGTTGGAAATTTGAGCTCGTTCGAATTAGAATATATCTAAAGGACACGGACAACTACAGTACTACTCTCTAGGCCCAAGGAAGTGTTGTCTTCCTCTATCTTTCTTCTTTCTCTTATTTTTTTATTGAAAAAAAACACCATCATCATGAAGAGGGGTTGTAGTGACAGCGATAAACTCCATGAATTTCGTGTCCCACGTAACATGCTATCTTTCCAAGGCAACGGGACGTTCGTTGGATTGCCTTGCCGCACGTTGCTTCGATGACAAGGAGGAGAGTTTGTTGCGAAGACAGAATCGAATGAGATTCTTGTTATTATCTTGGAGATGGGGTTTGATCACTTTCTCCCAAATTTTTCATCCCATCAAACGAGTTTACACATCTTCTCCTTGAGCAGCTTTTATTGAGAGTGACGCGTTTATCTCGGCCGTCCATCTGCAAAGCCAATGGGACTTTTCTAGCGTTCATAGGATCTTTTGATAGTGTGTTTGAAGAGGATGCCCAGAGAAGTGCACTCCGATGAGTAGCTGATAGGCCATCGAAAATACCCGGAGAAAGTTCGCGACGTCAACAATCACAAGGGCAGTGTTAGGTGATAGTTGCCTCTTCTCTCGTGCCCGTCGCAACGCCTGAGAAGTCGATAGGAGCGAGGGCATCGTCACGACCCAAGAAGTAAACAAGTTCGAATCAAGAGACTACCGGCTCGTCGCTGAGGGCTTGAATAGAGATTCAGACTTTACCTGCGGCCGTAGTTGGGGGAAATACCGCCCCTGCTTTGTTTTGGCCGAAATTCTCGAGGTCATGATTAATTGGTGAGGGCATTTGGAAAGGATTTGAACGCTCTCCTGGCGATGAATCCATCTCGGCTTCCCAATGAAGCTATCCAGCGTTTGCGCGGCCCAGTCCTGGCCAAAGAGGGAATGGCCAAAAGGTTGGAGACAATAAGATGGAGGGGTCAACAGACGTGAAGGGCGAGTTGGGATTTTGCAAAGGATATCATCCGGGTGGAGCTGCGGTTGCTTTCCATCTGGCCAACGCAGGTCGCATCCAATGGAGAGAGATGGCGAAGAAATACGAGTGTCCGATTCGGGGCCAAAGTTTGGGACGACCGCATCTATAAGACGCCATCTATCATAGCAGGTCCCTGCTTAATGGTGGGATGTGCAGCACTGGCCCCGCGCCGTTGCCAGGGCGAGGAACGGGTAAAGCCAGGAAAGGGAATCTCGCGATAGGGAAACACGCCAGGTTTAGTGGGGAAGGGCCGAACACAGAGTCTCATCCGGAGGGTAGAGACAGCAGAGAGGGCAGGAAGGGCAGAGGGGCAAAAATGCATCATCACGGGCGCGTGGAGTGGAAGGTTTCGCGGCCTTTGGATGTCTTGCGGAGAGGGGCCTTGGGTGACGCAGGAATTTATTCAAGAAAATGGGATCGATTCACAAAGAAGCGAATAAAGTCTTTGTGAAGCGAGCTTATGCAGGTCAGATGGGGCTTCCCGATCGGCTCCGGGTGAAATGCAAGGCTCCCGACGCTGTCCCAGATTGCCGGAACAGGAAATACTGATACTAGCATAAAGCGAGGGTATGGGGCGCTCGCTTTTCTCACGGCATTTGGTTTGTTTGCAGAGGTTTTTGAAAATAGGAAGTCAATCTGCGTAAAATGGAGGACTAATATTTCGAATTGTGTTCGAGGTAGATTGCAAGATGTGATGGAGGTCAGTCAGCGTTCTCGAGGCAAGACTCTGGGACCTTGGGGCGCCGGGTCTCTGGAACTCTGGGGGACCTTGGGATCTTTGGGCTAAAACAAAGATGGAATTGATCTCTGGACAGATCAATTGATGTGAAATGTTCCTGGATCATCGTTGTCATTGCAAGTCGATTTGGTTGCTAGGAAGAAGAAGACACTAGCTGTCCACCACGACAGGTAGTATTACAGCTCCTAATCTCGTCTGCCATATAAAGCAAGAAGGGAGGGTGATGGCCAAATGAGCCAAATGAGCGACCGAAGTAACGATGAGACATGGCCCCCTGGATACATGTGAGAAATGGTCAAGGGCCGGTACCAGAACCAAGAAGCGCTTCGAGAGTTGAAACAGGGCTCCACATGCTTTTGCATCAAGCGCCGGGATTGTCTCTGAGAGGGAAGATGGAATTGGGGACGTCCGGAAAAAGAACCAAAAAAGAAAAAGAAGAAAAAAAGAAAAAAGGCGCCTTCAATGTAAATAGTGTCCGTGGAATACTTGCTTGTGGCTCGAATGCCACGCAGGTATCCAAGTCCCGCCGATACCGTGCGGGTCATTGGCGGCGCGCCATCCTAGGAAGCGAGGTAATATTAGCGGCAGAGGACCCCTAGTTTGGAGCCCGTCGGGAGGCTAGTGAGGTACTTGTACTTTGTACTGGAATTGAATGTGAGGGTGCCCGTTGAGAGTCTGGGCCAACAGCCACGCACTGTGCGCCAATCAGCGTGACGACATGATGCACCGGCGCAGTTCAGCGGCGACTCCCGTCGTTGCTCTGGCGACCATGACAAGTCAACAATCATGGGAGCAGCCTTGCCGCCGTGCGCCCTCAGTCCGTCCGAGGGAGAGGTGGCCCAGCGACCGCTGCCCTTTAGATACACGATCGTACCCTCTCCCGATATTCGCAGTTTCTTACCAATCACCACAAAAAACTCTACTCCACCGCACTATCACTCGCACTACCTTACCTTTCCGAAAGGAGCTGCATCTACATCTCCTCTCCAAGAAAAAAAGCTTGTTCGTGTCCATCTTCGCTGTAGAAGATACTCGCAACAGCAAAACCTGCTTCCATCCTTTCGATAATTCATTAAGCCGAAGACGGTCTTTTCAAGACTTCTCACCGTCGACTGCCAGCTCATCGTTACCGAGAGAACCTTTCCTACTACAGCTTTCTCGCCTGAATAAGGCCCCGAATCCATTCAGATTCAGATTTTGTTTATACGTCTACGACGACTGGGCAAGGACACGCTTTTGACGTTCTAGCCCGGCAGCTTGGCTTGCGCTGCGAGAGGTAAGCCCAAACAGAAGTGTGAAGATTTGGCCAAAAAAGAATCGTTGGAAGCTGACGCGGAGCTCTTGTCGGTCGAGCAGTTTCGGACCACTAGGTTACCCATTTCGACAATTATACGACTAACAACCGACGACAATTTGATCTCCCCTTCCGGACTCGACCATTCCCCCACAGCAAAGATGCTCTCTAATCCCCTACGACAATCGGTCTCCATTCGACCGCCATGCCCACACTCGCCCAGCGAAGACGGCAGCACAGGCGGCAGAACTCGACCCCACAGCATTTGATACAGTGAAGATCCAAAAGCACCTGCCCCCAGCCACAGCAACCAGATGAGCGGCGGACGACCCGCCGGAGGCCATCGCCGCGGCCTGAGCCTCGACACGAGGAGGCAGCACATGAGGCAACGGTCGACGGCCTCGGCCGCCGCCGCCGCCGCTGCCCTGGCGACGTCATCTCCCTCGGCACCGGGCCAGGACTTCACAACGGTAAGTATCGCTACTACTAACACAGGATTAACAGCAACGCAGCATCATGTTCTGCGAGAAGCGCAGCAGCAATGCCTCCAGGCAGGCCCGGGCACTCAGTATGCCTACATGTCTGGCACGACACAGCAACAGCCAGCAACAGCACCACCCACCACCATGTCCCATGAGGCTTTCCTCATGGCCGCCACCCACAACGACCCCCAAGCTCAAAGATTCGATCCTAACTGCTTCGATCCCAATGCTATCCCCTTTGACCAGTATCTCATCATGCAGAAGAACCGGGCCAACTTTGAGCAGAGCATGGCCGCCGCCGCCGCCGCCAACAACGAGCTCTTTTCCGGCAACAGCGCCCTCTCCACCCCCACCTACGTCGAGTTTCACGAGACCCCGGCGCAGGCCCAGGGGTGGACCTCGGAGGGTGAGGTTGGCACCGTCCGCCGCACCGCGAGGCGGATTAGCAACGGCATCATGGATCGAGTCGCCAAGTTTGAACACCTAACCGAGGAGATCCAAAGACCCTCCACGCCCCCAGCTCAGAATGTGAATGGTAAGAACCCCCCTCTTTGGCCAAAGCCAAAAAAATTACACCGGCATGTGACGCAGTAAGACTAATACCGGAGTGATGATGACAGATTGCCATCCCCAACCCCAGATCAAGACCGAGGCTCCGGGTCAAGTGACCTGCGACGAGTCGCGGCTGAACCGTTTCTCAGAGGGCTACGACGAGTCGATGGAAGAAACCATCAAGCCCACCAGGAGATCCGGCCAGCGCAAGCAGCCGACCGCATTCGACGAGATGCGGAGGCAGGCCGAGCAGCAGGAGCACCAGATTCAGGCTCAGCAGGCTCAGCAGCCGCAGCTTCAAAGGATCGCTCCCGCCGGCCCCGTCCCCCAGCGCGCCAACACCATGCCCGCCGCCTACCAGGGCATCGGCGGCCACGATTTCATGGACATGAACAACTTTAGCCACGAGTTCATGAAGATCCGCCACGGCTACGACGGCATGGACTTTGGCGTCGTCGACGGCATGCCCCACATCAACCAGCCGCACCCCTTTGACAACCTCCCCGATCTCCGACCCCACGACTCCATCTCCCAGCCCAACTCCCCCAGCCGATCCGGCGCCTCCAACCGAGCCTCCCCTCACCGCCGGACGGAATCCCTCGCCAGCATCGCCAGCGCCGCGAGCATCGCCGGAATCAATATCGAGGAGACGCGCACGGAGACGGGCATCACGGTCGACGATATCGCCACGTACATCTCGGGTCCCGACGCCGTCGACAACAAGTGGCTCTGTCTCTTTGAAGGCTGCGGCAAGCGCTTCGGCCGCAAAGAGAACATCAAGTCGCACGTGCAGACCCATCTCAACGACCGCCAATACCAGTGCCCCACCTGCAACAAGTGCTTCGTGCGACAGCACGACCTCAAGCGACACGCCAAGATCCATACCGGCATCAAGCCCTACCCTTGCGAGTGCGGCAACAGCTTTGCCCGCCACGACGCCCTCACCCGACACAGGCAGAGGGGTATGTGCATCGGCGCCTTTGACGGCATCGTGCGCAAGGTGGTCAAGCGTGGCCGGCCCAGGAAGCACCGCCCCGATATGGAGTCCAGGATGGACAAGGCGTCGCGCTCGAGAAGAAAGAACAACTTGTCCATCAGCTCGGTCTCGTCGTCCCAGTCCGGCTACTCCGACTCCAGCTCCATGCCCGGGTCGCCCCACAACGAGTACGATATGCTGGACGACGACGGCTTTGACCTGATGGACGTGGCCATTGACAGTTCCACCATCAACGGAGTGCCGCCCATGCTCGGCGGCACCTCCAGCTCCCAGATGACGGCCATGCCCGCCGATATCTCCGACCTTCAACAGTACGCCAACTCCCCGAAAGCCACCACTCCTACGTGTCCCCGAGGCCATCATGGAAGCCCCCAGACTCTACCACCCCACCCGACATCGCCCGCCAAGAGCATCGCGAGCCAGTACAACGAGCCCCCGGAGCTGTCGCAGTCTTCGTCCCCACCGCCGAGCCGCTTGTTCGACGTCGAGCCAAACACTTCCATCACCGATGAGTCGAACTTGTCGGCGTTTGTGCCCATCGCCTCAACGAACCAGACCCTTCCCGGTTCGCTCACGGTGGGCATGGGAGACCAAGAAGATGAGATGTTGCTCAAGGCCTTTACAAATGACGAAAGGATGCTCCATCTGGACAGGGATTCGTCCATGTTCATGATGAGCAAGTTTGACGAGGAATACGCCGTGAGCATGCTGAATGCGGAGAGCGACATGTTCTTTGGAAGCTGAAGAAAGTGGCCCGACGATGTGTTTCCAGTTTCTTGACTCCTCTCTTGATCCTGTCTGCACGATTTGGGCCACAATCTCGTGCTAGTGCTCGACATTCTTCATTTCCGTTCCGCATTCCGCTTGCCTCACCTCGTTCCTGCGCCACCTTTTTCGTTCCATTATGTTTAGACCGTCTGCTCTCACCGTCCATTTTCTGTTTTCTTTTTCTCCCCGGGCTGCTTTCAACCATCTTCTCTGGTATTGGCTCCCGCGATGACGTTTACGGCCCCCTTTCGCTTGCTCATGCAGCTCTCACGACGCCCATGTCTTGATTTCGTCCCAGTTCCACCACCGTTAATTATTGTCCCCCTGCTCTACACCCAACCCTTCTTCACGGCTCAGCAAACGACCTATAGACCTGTTTTTTACCTCGGATCCTCCTGTAATCAACCTGTTCGCTCACGTCTTTCTTCTTATTCCTTTTTTCATTCTCTCTCCCGCCCGGTCTCTCGCGGGAAGCATCTCGGAATGTGTTGTACGTCTTAATCTTTTGCCGCATGTTTTCCTCTTTCGCCGACGACCATGTACCAACACGACTTGCAACGATTCAAAATCAAAAGGAAAAAAGCCTCTGCACATATCCAACCTTTATTGTATGAAAGACGACCACCGGATGAGGGAACAGAGAGTAGTCTCGCTGAGCTTGATTCCCGGCTTTTTCCTCCTGGTCCACCTTATTTTCGAAACTGTTCTTTTTATCCCGTTACGACTATTTGTTCAGTTTCCCTGTTCTTCGCTGGTGGGGAGGAGGGCGCCTGGCGTCGCCTTTGCCATTTTGCCATTTTTCATCCAGTTTTGGTACCTTTTCCTCCTCTATTCGACTGGGGACATGGGTTCTTCTTCCTTTTCCTATGGCGTGTGCCTCCGGGGGTGGCTCCACCGTGGGACGATATGCTCGTGGTAGAGCGCGTAACCGAAATCGAATTTCTTAATCGGAGAGGGGCGGTTTCTTCGACAACCTTTTTGGGCCGTCTCTGGTGCTTGGTTTGGTCTTTTCGTAGCTGGCTTTGTTTTTTGTGAGAGGCGCGTGGAAGACGGCGGAGGGCAAAAGTACAAATCAAAAACGGGGGTGACCTCCTTTGGCATAGCATAACCAAAGAGGTTTCCCTCATGCTTTGGCTTTCCTTTTTCCCTCCTTCGCCTTGCCATGTGGCCTCTGGGAGATTGGGTCTCTTCCTGCTTTTGGTTTGGGAGGGATACGATGCTTTTCTGGTAGAGATATAGAGATGGTTTTTCTGGGACTCGCAATTGAAATGGAATTTTTGATCTTGGCAACACTATGGCTTCATCGAACCATCCAGCTTGGATGTATATTGACAAACTGTGCGCTGGCATCCTGTGATAGTGACCTGAACTATGATCTAGATGTGAAATATAACCGACTTACAGCACTCCAAAGAGACTAACCTCTCATGGCTTTTTCATCGACACCGTACCACCGGAAATGTTTCGCCTATTCCACCTTTTCTTCTTCGTTTAACCTTCGCTTTGCTCAGCTGCCTCCTTGCACTCGAACCGGTGCTTCTTCCAGTCCTTTTTCTGGCACTGCGGTGAACAATACCACACCTTGAGGCACCTCGTACACCTCTTCAGCTTTGCGCTGGCGTCTAGATCCTTCTCCTTTTGCCGCAGGCTTTACACCTGACCACCTCTTGCTCCCTAGGCATCAGAGGGCCGATATCTACCGTACGCTCGGATAGGGGACATGCGAACACGGGGCTGATGGCCACACGCACCGCATGCTTGGACGCCGTCTCGCGCCACCCCGGTAGATTGAGAAACGCGTCTGGGATCTCCCCTTGCCACAGCTGCAGAGAACGGGCTCGCCCTTGTCGAGGCTGAGCGGTATCGTGGCGCCGGCCGCCTTGTACTCACAGGTGGGATGATGCTCCCAGGTCCGACACCTTTCGGCGAAAGCAGGAAGGGCCTTTTTCCAGGCCTTGAGCTCGGCCTCGTCGACATCGAGGCTGCAGATCTCGAGGGTCCTCAAAAGGAGGAGGAAACCCTCAATCTCGGGATCCTTGAGCATCTCTGTCGTCATGGGCATTACTGCGGCATCGAGGACGATCGAATTGGAAGCGCAGTCGAGACGGACGGCGGACACGAAAATGAGCATGTGCACTCCGTCCTCTCCTGGCTGATTTAGTGCAAACAAACCAGTTTGTCCGCCCTGAAGGCCAGTGGAAGTCATAAACATGGAGAAGAGAGACTCTTTGAAATTGACCCGCGTGGAGTGCACCATTCCAGTCTTCTCATTGGCTTGGCTCCTCTCACTCTCTCTGGAAGAAAATTGAAAAGACGTGAGCGTCGTAATCCACTTGTTCGCGGTTTCGTCGGAGATGTCCAACAGAGGCAAGCTGTCCAGGTTCAATGAGGGGAGATTTAGCGATACGGGCACGGCATCGGAACTAAGAGTGGACGGGAAGATCAGGTCCGAGATTGCGGAGGCATCCGGGGTAGGTGCCTTTGCGATGACCTCGACGTAACCTGATTTGCGCGCAATCCTAGTCTTGCTTCCTACCGACGTAACGGTGGTGGGGTAGTTGACGGTGTATATCGTCGTGTCTTTCTTCTTTCCAAAGACGATGTCGATAGAGTACGGGCCAGACTGCTTGATCGTGATAGGCGCCTTCTCGGCAAGTAATTGCCTACCCTTTTCAGAGTGAAGCACTTGTCGAGCCACGACACTTCCCGATTTGTCTTCGGTATTAAACTGGATTGATGTGATGTCCTGCCTGTCAACGTCCTCTTTTTCTTGTGGGATAGCGTCCGGATTCTTGGCTGCTGTAGGTGCGCGGCTGAAAAAGATGGGCTCTTCTGCAGATGTCGGCAGAGCGGCGGTGAGGAGAAAACTTGGCCCCGTTTCCGAGATGGAATGCGACAACTTTCCTTTGCAAATGTTGATGCCGTATATGATATCGAGGAGGGGATAGGGCACGCCGACTAACTCGACCTCCACGTCACTCCCGGTAAGGAGAGAGGCAGGGGCCCAAAAGGTAAACACAAGATGCTTCGGTGCGCCAGATCGAATGTGGATGCTGTTGTCCTTGAAGTTGATCGAATTTGTTGACAGTGATGTTTGGAGGGCATTTGCCGTCATGACCTGCAAGTCTCTGAACATGGTGAGCTTGTTGGGACCATTGGTGATCCTAGCCTCAAAGACCATGGCTTTCGTGATAAGCTCCTCAACATCAAAGAAGTCTTGGATGTGACTATAATCGTGGACAACAATACTGACGGCGGCCACGCTGGGCAGGTCCAGCCGGCCGTTGTCTGATTCGATTTTCAACGACTCAGCCAAGTAAGGCGACGAGTAGAGGCCACGAGCGTGGAGCTGGATCGCGAGTTCAGGGAGTTCCTCCGAGATGGCGGGCCGCCTAGCCTCCCGCGGCGCGTGATCGAAGAAGCGATCACAAAGCTCCTTGATATCAAAGGTCACGTTCCGTGCGGCGGCCTGGAGAAGCGGCGCGAGGAGTCCAACCCTATAGAGCCCACTTGGCGTCCGGTTGCGCACGGATTCGGTATATCGCTGGTCGAGCTCATACATCTTGTCGTCAAGCTCCATGAGGAGATTTACCAAGTTGTCCACCGTCATGCTCAGTGGTATTTGATGGGCACTTCCAGCCAAAGAATGGCAGTGTTTCCAAGCGAGCCGGTAGTAGACGGGGCACATTTGACTTCCGAGGGGCACGTCATCTTCAACCCCTAAGAGAACATCGTCAACAATTGCGGCGGAGCTTGAGTTGGTGACTATTTCCGGCGTGCTTAGGCCTAAAAGCAGGCACATGGACTGGGTATCGCCGTAGAGAACATCTTCGAGCGGGTTCTCCTTCATCTCCGTCAGCCGGATGTTGAATTCGGTAAAGACGGTTGCCCACGGCTGGTTCTTGAGCAAGGGCGCGGCAAAGGCGAGCGTCAAGAGGATACGCAGCCTATTTCCTGTAACGTGGGAAGCGTCGATAACATCAAACTCAGTCACAGCGGCCGAGGCAATTTGGAGAGGAAGCGATGAATGCCCGGTCCTGTAGTGGGATGGGTTCGTATCTCCTTGTGCGTGACGGTGTAGCGCGTCGAGATACGAATGAGGGTCGGCATTGACAAAGCTGACAGTCAGAGTATTTCCTATGGCCTCGGCCAAGGCGTGAGTCCACTCGATAAAGCTCACTTTGGCGGCGGACACGGCTTTGTCGGATCCATCGCTAGCCACATGCGGGCGCAGGGTGACAGTTCCGCAAGAGGTGTGAACCCGGTGGCCAGATGGAACCCGACTAGCGGGTTTTCCGGCATGAAGAGTCCACGAGCTCCATCAAAATAGAGTGGATTGGGAAGCGTGTGCTGAGAGGAGGAGAGAGTTGCGGTGTTGAAGAAATCTTGGCAGGTGGACCAGACATTGCGCCTCGCCTGCTGCGAAAGGGGGCCGCGGAGACGACGTATCGGTTGATTTCGTCATTTTCTTTAGCCTCTCCTAGAAACGGGGTGCCGATGCTTCTCTCCCGGTCGGCATCAGCCTCGACAGCGGACACGACAAAGTGGATGTGGGTGGCGAGGACGGCCAAGGAGGCATCCTCTTCGAACTGCACAACCTCGGAGAAAGGGCTCGACTTCCAGGTCGACAATGACTTCACGGCTGGTAGAAGCTTCTTCAAATGCTCCACTATCTTCTTGTGGGCTTTTTGCTGATGGCTGCGGATGTGATAATCTCCCAAAGTTGCTCCAAGTCCGTGTCCTGGATTTGGCGGCCGTGAGCCTGAATGAGCGTCAAGAAAATGGCATTCAACGCTATCCTCGTGTTAGTCTCCAATGAGGACAACTGAATCTTCTTCCCACCGTTTGGAAAGAAACTTCTAAAAGGACCAAGCGGATATGAACATACCGATATCAAGTTGGAATGAGTCAACAACAGTGATGTGTGTTGTCCGCTGGGCTGTAAACTGGTTAGAATTGGGTTCCTTTTCTAATTCATTGGCGGAGCAGAGCACATACGTAGCCCCTTTTCATGATATGCTGTATATAAAATATTCTTGAGCTGCGAAGAGCCAAGAGCTAGAATCTCAACATTTCCAATGCCTTGCGGCACGGATCTCGTCAGACTCGCGGCGGGCTTGTAAGAGTTCCTGACATTGTTGAGAGTAGGCGGATAGTCCGAGCTAGAGATGTGAGCTGGTGTCGCCATTCTTAATTTCTTCACCGAAGATTCGGGTGTCAGAGGGGTTAAGATGGGAGGAGGAAGAAGAAGAAAACAGGCGAGCTAAGAAATAAAATAAAAATAAAAACCAAAGCAATGATGTATTTAGTGTTAGCCTTTGGATAGAAGCTCTTGCATGAGAAGATGACGATCGGTTACTGAGGTCAGTTCGTGTGGTCTCCAGAAGCCTCTAGCATAGTTAGATAGGAGAGTACTTGCCAATGGCAGGGCCTTGCGAAAGCTCATCGTAACGCCCAAGTCCCTCACTATTGTCATCCCCACCATCAACTTGATGACCGTTGCTGTTCACCGCTTTACCAAACTAAGCCTGAATCTGGTGGCAGAAAAAGTTACTGTCCCGCACACAGAAATCCCCCATCAACATTGACAGTGACAAGGCAGCATTGAGCTTCGAAGGCGACGACCCTCAACATACCGCATACGTCTCCCACCTATTCGATATCCTAGCTACGATGTCCGCTGCCCAACTACTTAATCCCAAGGCCGAGTCTCGCGTACGTTCAAACACAGATTGCGACAATCTTGGTCCTTCTCATTTGTGTGTGGTTACTAATGGGGCCCTTGTTGTATAGAGGCGGGGTGAAGCTCTCCAGGTCAACATCAGTGCTGGTGAGGGCCTGCAGAATGTGCTCAAATCCAACCTCGGCCCTCTGGGCACGATAAAAATGTACGCTTTTTACCTTTGAGTTAAATAAACTCCCTCGATGGCCAATGCTAATATTTTCTTGATAGGCTTGTTGATGGCGGTGGCCAGGTACGTTGGTGAGGAGCCTAGGAAAGGGGCGTGCGAGGGAGGGGCGGATGCAAGGTTATATACTAACCCACCCAACAGATCAAGCTCACAAAGGACGGAAATGTGCTACTCCGAGAGATGCAGATCAAGAACCCTACTGCTGTCATGATTGCGCGAGCCGCTACCGCTCAGGACGACATCTGTGGAGATGGAACGACATCTGTCGTGCTGCTTGTCGGTGAGCTGCTGAAGCAGGCCGAGAGGCACATCGCAGAAGGACTACACCCCCGTATCATCACCGACGGCTTCGAAATTGCCAAGGCCGAATCCCTAAAGGTCCGATACCCGTCGTCCTCGCTACCGATGTCTACATTTACCAAAAGTACCCGGCCGTGCTGACTAGATTATAGTTCCTGGATCAGTTCAAGCTTCCCCGAGATATCGACCGAGAACTCCTCATCAACGTTGCCAGGACCGCCCTGGCTACCAAGCTCAACTCGACTCTCGCCACTAAGCTTACTCCCGACATTGTCGACGCCGTCCTTGCCATCTACCAGGCTCCCGCGAAGCCCGATCTGCATATGATTGAGATTATGAAGATGCAGCACAGGACAGCGTCTGATACTCAACTCATCAAGGGTCTTGCTCTCGACCACGGCGCGCGGCACCCCGATATGCCAAAGAGGGTAGAAAATGCCTTCATCTTGACTCTTAACGTCAGCTTGGAGTACGAAAAGACGGAGATCAACTCCAGCTTCTTCTATTCTAGCGCCGAGCAGAGGGACAAGCTTGTGGAGAGCGAGCGCAGGTTCGTCGATGACAAGCTTATCAAGATTGTCGATCTCAAGAAGCGCGTATGCGGTAGCGATCCTAAGAAGAACTTTGTCATCATTAACCAGAAGGGCATTGACCCCTCTCCCTTGACGTCCTCGCCAAGAACGGCATCCTTGCCCTCAGGAGGGCCAAGAGGAGAAACATGGAGCGCCTTCAGCTTGTGTGCGGCGGTATCGCGCAGAACAGCGTGGACGACCTTAGCCCCGATGTTCTCGGTTGGGCTGGCCTTGTTTACGAGCAGACCCTAGGTGAAGAGAAGTACACGTTTGTCGAGGAGGTCAAGGATCCCAAGTCTGTCACCCTCCTGATCAAGGGTCCCAACCAGCATACCATCACCCAGGTCACGGATGCGGTTCGTGATGGTTTGAGGAGCGTCTACAACACCATTGTCGACAAGAGCGTTATTCCCGGCGGTGGTGCCTTCCAGGTCGCTTGCGCCGCTCACCTCAGGAGCGACGCCTTCTCCAGGACCGTCAAGGGCAAGGCCAAGTGGGGTGTTTCCGCATTTGCCGATGCTCTTCTCATCATTCCCAAGACCCTCGCCGCGAACGCCGGTCACGATATTCAGGATGCTTGTAAGTTTTCACGGCTGTTGATTGGGCAACGCCTACGTGTCCTCTTCTTTTCCCTTCGACTGCATAAGCTAATCAGGACTTGGTACAGTGGCGTCTCTTCAAGATGAGCATGCGGATGGCAATGTTGTCGGCCTTGACCTCATCAGCGGTGAGCCCATGGACCCCGAGCTTGAGGGTGTTTACGACTCTTTCCGAGTGTTGCGCAACTGCATCGCTTCGAGTTCTAGCATTGCCGCCAACCTCCTACTCTGCGACGAACTGCTCAAGGCAAGGCAGATGGGCAGGCAGAGCGGACCCGGTGGCATGGAGGCCCCTGAGATGTAAGGGAAATGGGCAGTAAATCGAAACAGAAGACGGAGGGCGGGGGTCCTAGCAAATAGGTGCGTGGGTTCGGCCTTGACATAAATGATACCTAAAGGTTCCTTGGTGGGCATGTGGGGACAAAACCCCGGGCGCTTCTATTGGGGCACGTTGTCGGCATCTGCACTAGATGGAGTAACGAGGCAAGGCAATCAGTTTATTAAAAGTCTTTAGATACTGGTGCAAATTCTGTCAAAAGTTCTCTACCATAATCATTTTGGATCAAAAGTGCCATTTACTCGCGGTCTTAAATTCCAGTTCTGAGCGGGTAGGTCTGGTGTTAGGGTGGTCGTTGCCCCTCCATTGAGTGTAGAGTAGATTTCGCGCGCGCGATAAGATAAACCCCACCATCAAAGCAACAAAAATTCTTGCCCCACCAAGCCAACTTTGACATCCCCTCGTGGTCGCAAAACCGCCAGGCTTGAGAAGGATGGCCGACTACGACAGCGACTCCGATATTGGGGAGTTTACGGAGACAACAACCTTGCTAGGGTACGTCTCCAAGGACCCGGCCGATGATTCCATTAGCCGCCTCGGTGGCCAGCCTGTATGTTTCCATTTACCTTTGCATATCGTCGTGTTCCCTCTTGCCTAGGGTTAAACCACCAGCTAACGCATCATCCTTGGCACTTTTCCTTTCAACAAAAAATTAGGAATGGCTAGACCCCCAGAAAGCCCCGTCTGCGGCGCTAGCGCGCTGCAAAGCTTGTGGCGACATCATGGCCATGCTCCTTCAGCTCAACGGCGAACTCCCCGAAAAGTTTCCCGGCCACGAACGACGCCTTTTTGTCTTCGGCTGCAACAAGCCCAAGTGCCGTCGGAAGCCGGGGAGCATTCGTGCCCTGCGGAGTCTGCGCGTGTCCAAGGAAGCTGCTGAAAAGGCGCGCACAGAGGCAGAAGCGACACGGAAAGCAGCCGAGGAGAAGAGGCTCCGCGAAGAGAAGGAAGCCGAGGAGAAGGCGAAGCAGCCTGGTTTGGGAGAGACTCTATTTGGCACAAAGGGGCTCGGGGGCGGGGCCCTCACGAATCCGTTCGCAAGTGGCGCCGGTGGCTCACCCGCGAATCCGTTTGCCAGCGCACCCAAGGTAGCCGCTGCCACAGTGGCGACCGTCAAGGCGGCGGCGGAGGAGCTACCCAAGACCTTTGCCGAGACGCTGTCCCTGAACAACCCCATCGCACAGAAGCCGCGAGATCCCCTCCCGCCCCCGAGCCGTGGCCTGCGGCGACCGAGTTGCCTACGGCTTATCCGACGCTGTACCTCGCCGACGTCGACTACGAGACCCTCGACCCTACCCCGACGGCGGTGCCCGCCAACGCGAGAATGGAGGTGGACAGCTCCGAGGGTGGCTCGTCCCTCATATCCAAGGACGACTTCGAGTCCACCATGGATGCCGCCTTCCAAAGTTTGCCGACCGCATGGCCCAGAACCCGGAGCAGGTCATCCGGTATGAGTTTGCGGGCGCGCCTCTCCTCTACAGCAAGGACGACGAAGTCGCCAAGGTCCTCACTGGACGGCCGAACATTCCTCGCTGTGGTGGATGCGGCGGCGAGAGGACCTTTGAGCTGCAGCTTACCCCGCACGCCATTACGGAGTTGGAGGCGGACGACATGAGTCTCGAGGGTATGGACTGGGGCACCATCATCGTAGGTGTGTGCGCCAGGGATTGCCAGGAACACAGCGTCGAGGACAGTGAGGTGGGGTACCTCGAGGAGTGGGTGGGAGTTCAGTGGGAGGAGTTGGGGAAATAAGGCTTTGTCAAGCAACCGCGGGTTGTAGTGTGCATCCTTTATTGCTAGAGTTTACGAACTGTTATGTGTGCGGTGCTCCAAAAGTGTTTTTACGAAACGAGGTGCAACGACTACGAGATGTTACCGAGAGTCACAAAACGGAGTGTGGGATCTAGGGACGTGAACGTGACAGATGGAATGAAATTGCAGAAAAAGAAAATCGTCAAGAAGCCCATTTCGTGACCTTTTTCATAACGTTACTACCCATTTTGAAAAACCATGACCCCCAATTCTCCCCACATATTTCTTAGTTGGTGGCCTGAGCTGTCAGGGCATCTTCCCATGACCTCTTGATCACCTTCGAGAACATGTCCACGTTGACGTCTTCCCTAATCTCAGCCTTCTGGGCCTCGTTGTCAGGGTTGCTGGGGACCTTGACATTCTCGCCCTCAATCGTCCAGCCGACCGACTCGGTGACAAACTTCTTCGTGGCCTCGGTGTTTAGGCCGAGCCACGCCTCAAGGTTGGACAGGCTGACCTCCCTGAACGCCTGAGAGACAAGGTGGGCGATGCGGTGCCTGATGATATCCTCGAATCCGTTGACGTCGGCAATGAGATCCGCGCAGAGATCATCGCCGTTGAGCGAGGACCAGAAACGGCCGTACTGGGCGCCCTCGAGAGCGAAGTTGAGGTCGCGGAGGGTGGCGATGGCCTCGTGGAGCTCCCCGGACGCGGCGGTGGAGGGGTTGATGAGGTGGAGGGTGAGAGAGAATTGGGGGATGGGAACTGCGTCATGGCCTTGACGAGGACGTTGGTGACGATTTCATCTTTTAGGCGGTCGGGGTTGAGCTGGTACCTGTTTTGATTCGGGCGCGAGCGTCAGCATGTTGCGTACCTGACGAGGGCGATGCGTTCGACGAGACTAATCAAGCCTTTATTCGTGCATCGTCCCATTCTTGAAGAGCCCAGGCACCCATCATAGCAGAGCCAGGATCTTGCGGGAAAGGCCGAATTTTACTCACAATTTTAGAAGCGTCCTGTTGGCATTGCCGTCGCAGTATTTCTCCTCGCACTGCTCGCCAAGGTAGGCCTCTAGCGTACCAACGGCCTCGGGGTTGTACCTCTCAAGGCCATTGATGATGCCAGAGATGTGTTCGGGCCTCTCCGGGGGTCTTCGCCGTTCATGGTTGCGGTTTCGCGATCTTCGAGTGTAGGGGGTGGGGGTGTATCGTGGGTGTGGGTGGTGGGCTTTGATATTCGTCTTGGGGGTGGGAGGTTTGTGGAAGTTTTCTCGGCCAGCGACGAGGGATGGTGGGGTTCGTTGGATTGTGTGTGGTTGTGGGGTGCGTGAGGCTGGTGCGTGTGCCCAGTGGCTTGACTTTCGGTATATCGGGTCTTCTATTATTCCGGCTGGAAGGAAAGACAATCAGTGGATCCATGGTCAACCCATTATCAGTGATGTGATAGTGTCATGGCTAGTATCACGTGAATTCGCGTGGCTTTCGAGCCCATCGCCAGACTTGAGTTTGGATCAGTGAAGAGTCAATGGCTTGGGTTAGGATGATACTGAAATAAATTGACAACACAGTCTCGGTAGGGTGGATAAAATAATGCTTCTTATTTCTACCCTGCTGTTCACTCCTCACTTCCTTGGCCCCCTCCCTCCCAGTGAATAACGTCATCTGCTCTCTCGTCGCCTCCTCGCTGGCCTCATGTCCAGCCCCGCGAAGCGCAGAAAGCTTGACTCTGACGGTGGGAAACCTGCCATACCAACAAGGGGCTTAGAGTACTTTTTGCAAAGCAAAGGCAGGGAGGTCCATCCTCAAGCTCCGAGCCCCAGCGCACAGACGCATCGGGCCAGTCTGCCACTACAGAGCTGAGCGATGAGGACTATGCTCGCAAGCTCCAGGCAGAGTTTGACCGCGAAGCGCTGCAGCCATCTGCTGGCCAGATCGCTGTGATAGCGAACTCTACCGATAATAAGAGCGATGCGAACCAGCAGGTTTCGGCCACCGTCCCGGATAAAACATCAGAGGATGTGATGCCCTCGCCTCGGAGGCCTGCAAACACCTTGATGTTACAGGCTTCCGGGGTGACTGAAGACACCATCTCGTCTACCATACCACTTGATGAGAGCCCGTTCACGTTTGATCCTGAGAAATCCTTACCTCAGTTGAGAGAGAGCTGGAAGGGCCAGGATGGTCATGCATCCTATGCCCTCCTTACGAGGTGTTTTGTTCTCGTCAACGGCACGACCAGCCGTATCAAAATCGTTGATACATTAGTCAATTGTATACGGCTTATCATAGAAGGGGATCCTTCTAGTCTTCTCCCCATGGTAAGAGAAACTTTCTACAAGAAGTGCTCGTGGATCCAAGCGTGATCTGATCTGTATCTCAGGTGTGGCTGGCAACGAATGCCATATCGCCACCTTATGTATCGTTGGAACTTGGACTCGGTGGCTCTGCTATTTCAAAAGCACTGAAACAAGTGTGTGGTATCGACAGCCGAACCTTGAAAAGCATTTATGACAAGTACGGGGATGCCGGGGATGTCGCATTTGAGGCTAAGAAGAAGCAGAGCTTCACATTGAGGAAACCGAAGCCACTCACGATCAAAGCGGTGTATCAATCTCTTGTCAAGATTGCAATGACACAGGGCCAAGGGAGCGCGGAGGGCAAGCAGCGTATCGTTGATCGTCTCTTACAAGATGCCCGCGGCGGGGAAGAGAGCCGATACATCGTTCGGACTTTATGCCAGCATGTGAGTTTTGTCGCCCGCCCCTCTGGCTGATGGATCTATAATCTCTAACAGCAAGAAAGTTGCGTATCGGCGCTGTAAAAACGACTATGCTAATTGCATTGTCGCGTGCCTTTCTCCTTTCCAAACCGGTCGGGGCAGACTTCCATACCCGGAGCCCAAAGGAGATGGAAAGACTGAAGAAAGAAGAGGTGGCTGAGATTTGGAGTCGTGGTGAAGAACTAGTCAAAGCTTGCTTCGCGCGTCGCCCAGATTATAACGTCCTAGTGCCTGCGCTTCTCGAGGTGGGAGTGTGCGAGGAGCTCCTTCTTCGCTGCTGTCTCACGCTACACGTTCCCCTGAGGCCTATGCTTGGCAGTATCACGCGGGACCTTTCTGAGATGTTGACCAAACTTCAAGGACGGGATTTCGCTTGTGAGTTCAAGTATGATGGTCAGAGAGCACAGGTGCATTGTGATCGAAGTGGGAAGGTGTCTATCTTCTCTCGGCATTTAGAGCTGATGACGGATAAATACCCGGACTTGGTGGCGCTTATCCCTCAAGTACGAGGTGATAATGTGGAGAGCTTCATCATGGAGGGCGAAGTTGTGGCGGTGGATGCCGCCACTGGGGAGTTGAAGAATTTCCAGACGTTAACTAACCGCGCACGGAAGGATGTTGAGCTTGGGTCGATTACCATCCAAGTTTGTCTCTTTGCCTTTGACCTGATGTACGTCAACGAGGAATCGCTGTTGAACAGACCATTCCGGGAACGGCGAGAGATCCTCCGCTCGCTCTTCATCGAAGTCCCTCAAAGATTCACTTGGGTTAAAAGCCTTGATGCGACATCTCAAGACTCTGACAGGGTGCTTGAATTCTTCAAAAGCGCCGTCGAGAATAAGTGCGAAGGTATCATGGTCAAAGTTCTGGACAACCTGATGCCCTCGCTCGATCAAGTCGAAGAGACCACTACTGAAGGATCGGAGGCCTTACCCCTAAACCCTTGGCAAACGGTAAAAAGAAAGGCAAGGGAAAAGCGGCCGAGGATGACGAAAAGAAGAAGACGAGACGGAAGCCTGTACTAGCGACATACGAACCTGATAAACGCCTCGATTCGTGGCTAAAGGTAAAGAAGGACTATAGCTCAAGTTTTGATACCTTGGATCTCATCCCCATTGGCGGGTGGCATGGACAGGGGCGCAAAGCGAAATGGTGGTCTCCGATCCTTCTCGCCGTCCGAAACGACGAAACTGGGTCCTTTGAAGCGGTGTGTAAATGCATGTCCGGCTTCACCGATGTATTTTACAAGGCAAACCGCGAATTCTACGACGATGGTGAGGTAAGTGGCGAGCCTAAGAACGTGAGAACACGCCGGCCCGGCTTCATCGAGTACTCTGGACCGGAGCCGGATGTGTGGTTCGAGCCACAAGAGGTCTGGGAGATGGGCTTCGCGGACATCACCCTCAGTCCGACGTACGCAGCTGCGCTCGGCCTAGTCAGCGATGAGAGGGGACTGAGCTTACGATTTCCGCGGTTTTTGAAGAAGAGAGAAGACAAAGGAATTGAGGAGGCCAGCACGAACGAGTTTCTCGCGGGGTTGTATCGGAAGCAGGAGGCTAAACCCCCGCGGAAACGCCGGCAGAGCCTGATGATTTGGAATAGTTGGGGTTGGCGTATAGCTCTGGGACCAATGTTTCCTGGACTTGGTCCGCGGTCTTGTGCATATCTGTCATATTTAGACCGAGCGAGGTGTTTCTCTCCGATGTATATAAGACGGCATCAACCAAATGCTGTCGGCCACAGCTGTTTAACGTCGTCACGAACGTCTACTACTAGACACCAATTCACTTGAAGTAAAAAGTTACCAACAAGAGCCCTGTGGCGCGGACTTGAAGTTTATTGTAGTTTTGGAGAGTTACGTACGGCGTGGCATGACTCGCCAAACGCCTGAACTAATCCTTTTGGACTGCATGACATTGATGTCTGAATGGCTCCTACTTCCACCCTACTTCTAACACGACGGGCAAGGAGGGCCTTCAATAAGTTGATCGGTACGAGGTACTACGGTATCTCAACGCAGTTTCCCATACACCACAACTTTGTTTGAGCTTCCATTGGGTGTCTCTCTCTCCACCAAGAGCTGCCGTCTTCGTTTACGATCCAGACCTCAGATCAGCCCAAAAAGACCGGGACGGCAACCTTCTCAAGAGGCGGCCCTCCATGTCCCTAACACCCGAAGAGGCCATTCAAGCAACGCAGCTCGTTGTGACGAAGCTGACTCTTCTTTGCAGTTACCAAGGATAGTGCTCAGCGCCCCGCTCAGCGAGTTGGAGCAGTTATGGGGGCTATCAAAGGCATCCCATTGTCCAAGCCGCCATATGAGAAGGGCGCACCAACTAGTGACATTCCGAGCCGGGTACCCTCTTAGTCTGTGCCTATTCAGCCGTGATACATCGCCAAGATCTCGATGTCGTGGCGCACGTGGGAGAATCCCGCAATAGAGTTGGATTTACGGGCGAACTCGAAAGGGCACCACGTGAAAGGTTCGATATGGCATAAAATCCATTGTGCGAGCTCATTATGATGGAGGCGTGTGTTCCTAGCTCGAGGAGGTAGAAGAAGAAACTGATATTGTCATTCCATGGAGCAATTATCGACTCGCATTTAATTTCTGCGCGATCAAGCTGAATGTCGTGATGGAACCCAAGAACAAGAGTCCATTATAAAACTAGTACTCGTCGATTAGACAACTGCCGCCAGGACTAAAGATACGGGTGAATTGTGCTCGCAACCTACTGCTTTCCGGGACACAGCTCGTTCTTCCTGGTCAGCGCGGGCCTCGACAAAAGTCGCCTCAAATTCGGAAGATTGGCCTATCTCTCATGTCAGGAACTGCTAAACAGGGGGCGATTCTGGGGAGGGTTGGCCATGGAAGTATATACCATTGGGATGTCTGATCTTGATCTTCAAGGCGTCAACTCTTATTAATGTTAAGGCTTCGAGAACATAGGTGACACTGCCATCTATCAATCAAGAGGGAGTAGCGTACATAGTCAGTCGAGGGTAGGTGGCTTACCGGGGCTTATGTCATCCCCACATCCCTCCTTTTGCCCCGTTGTATCGGAATCGAATGAATGTGGGAGCCTTCGATTGTCAAATACAGCGCAGTACCCAAGCTTCGATACCGCTTAGGAAAACGCCGGAACTTCCAAATCTCGAATTCCCAACATCTTCGAGGCAGGCCAGATCGTTTCACTATCTGCGCCTTGCGATACTGCCACGACTTCACCACCCGGCGCTCTGCTTGAGCTTCCCCGCGAACAGCTGGCCCCTCTCGTGCCCCTCCTACCACGCTCTAAACGGCCCCTAAGCCATCATGGCGGTAAATCGGATTCAAAAGGCATTTGCCGCACCTAGGAAAGGCGAGACCTTTGAGCTTAGAGCAGGATTGGTTTCTCAATATGCCTGGGAGAGGAAGGAATCCATTCAGAAAACTATCATGGCGATGACGCTGGGTAAGGATGTCTCAGCGCTGTTCCCCGATGTTCTCAAGAACATTGCAACGGGAGACCTCGACCAGAAGAAGCTGGTGTACCTTTACCTGATGTAAGTAGGCCTTCTATACCCTGGGATGCATCAAATCCACCGCTCTTGAGCATCTCGCATGCCATCGGCTGCTAAGACATGTGCCCCTTAGGAACTACGCCAAATCGCACCCAGACCTGTGCATCCTCGCGGTCAACACATTCGTCCAAGACTCGGAAGATCCGAACCCTCTTATACGAGCTTTAGCTATACGGACAATGGGATGTATCAGGGTGGATAAAATGGTGGACTACATGGAAGAACCGTTACGGAAAACGTTACGAGACGAGTCGCCCTACGTACGCAAGACCGCTGCCATCTGCGTAGCCAAACTCTTTGACCTCAACCCATCCATGTGCATAGAGAACGGCTTCCTCGAGACTCTGCAGGAAATGATTGGCGATCCGAACCCCATGGTTGTGGCCAACTGTGTCCAAGCTCTCTCCGAGATTCTCGAGACAGCCCCTGAGACCAATGCCCTCATCATCACGCCTACGGTCCTCAAGAAACTCTTGCTAGCACTCAACGAATGCACTGAGTGGGGGCGGGTTACCATATTGACTGCGCTTGCGTCATATCATACCAACGACTTGAAGGAGTCGGAGCATATCTGCGAGAGGGTAGCGCCCCAGTTTCAACATGTTAACCCCAGTGTGGTCCTGGCCGCCGTCAAGGTCGTTTTTATGCACATGAGGGCAGTCAATGCTGACCTCGTTCGCCAATACCTCAAGAAGATGGCACCTCCTCTTGGTGAGTTTTGGCTTTTCTTTTTCTTTTTGTCCTCCCGAGCATTGTGCGATAAAGTTCCCAAGACTAACTAAGCGGCGATAGTCACCCTGGTCTCTTCTGCGCCCGAAGTTCAATATGTTGCCCTCCGAAACATCGATCTCCTTCTCCAGGCTAAACCCGATATCCTTAGCAAGGAGATGCGTGTGTTTTTCTGCAAATACAACGACCCCCTTATGTCAAGCTCCAAAAGCTTGAGATTATGGTGAGGATAGCAAACGAGAAGAACTGCGAGCAACTACTAGCAGAGCTGAAGGAGTACGCGCTCGAAGTTGACATGGACTTTGTGCGCCGCGCAGTCAAGGCCATTGGCCAAGTTGCCATTAAAATTGAGAGCGCCAGCGAGAAGTGCGTCAACACCTTGCTAGACCTCATCGCCACCAAGGTCAACTACGTTGTTCAGGAGGTAGTTGTGGTGATCAAGGATATTCTGCGAAAGTATCCCGGTTATGAAGGCGTCATCCCCACCCTGTGCACCTACATCGACGAGCTTGACGAGGCTGATGCCCGAGGATCTCTTATCTGGATCGTTGGTGAATATGCCGAGAAGATTAACAACGCAGATGAAATCCTTGCCAGCTTCGCCGAAGGCTTCATGGAGGAGTTTACACAGGCAAGTTGTCTTTCCCTGGAACAACCTCCAGTGTTATTTTGCGTCATCTACTAACGCAAGAGGCATAATCTAGACCCAACTCCAAATTCTTACGGCAGTCGTCAAGCTGTTCCTCAAGAAGCCCGCAGGCAACCAGGCACTCGTGCAGAAGGTGCTGCAATCAGCGACAGGGGAGAGTGACAACCCTGATATCAGAGATAGGGCATACGTTTACTGGCGCCTCCTGTCCGGAGATCTAGACGTCGCCAAGGTTCGTGTACCCGCAGAGCATCTATACCTGCACCTCGCCCAGAAGTAAAGCAACTAACGCTTATATGCCTCTAGAACATTGTTCTTTCACAAAAGCCCGCGATCTCAACCACAATCGCGAGTCTCCCTTCGGCGCTCCTCGAGCAATTGCTCGGCGAGCTTTCGACTTTGGCTTCCGTGTACCACAAGCCGCCCGAGTCGTTCGTTGGCAAGGGTCGCTTCGGAGCGGACGAGATCCAGCGCGCTGCTATTCAGGAACAGCGCCAGAACGCGGCCGAGAATCCCATCGCTGCCTCAGTGGCGGCGGCCTCGGGCAACGGCCCGCCTCAGAACAACCTCGAGAATCTTCTAGACATTGATTTCGATGGTGCAGCCCGCATCCGCGGAACCCAGTTCTGGATCGGCCGCCCCGGGTGGTGGCATGGCGGATATGATGGGCCTGTTTGATGCGCCGGCAGCGTCATCGTCATCATCGCCACCCCCAGCCACAGGAGGGCCAAGCAACGGCGGTATGGCTGACTTGATGGGCGGCTTTGCCGGCCTTGATTTCGGCGGTAGCCCGTCAAATCAGCCTCCACCTGCGGCAATGCAGCTCGCGCAGCAGTCTGGATCTCAGCCCCAACAGAAACAGGATACCAACGACGACCTTCTAGGACTTTTCTAGATAGCATCCCCCATCCATTAGCAAGGAGTTTAGGACTTGTAGGAGAATGCGAGCAGAGAGATGAAGGCTATGAGAATGAGAGAAGAGGGAGGATCCGAAGGTGGGAGTGAGGAGGAGAGGAGTCTGGTCCATTTTTAGAATCCGGAACAAGGGTTCAAAAGGGTATAAAAAGCACAGCACTTCAGGATGACGAAATACGGGGTTTGTATTCCCTATGATCAATTTTTTTTCCTTTTCCTTGGGCGAGATCCTTTCTCGTCCTTCCCAATCAACACCACCTTGTTGAAGGAGCCCCATTTGATATCTGTAAAAGCCTAGAATAATCCCATAAGCATCGTAGTAATCGTGACAACCCGCATGTCGTAGTACAGTTTCCCTTGGTTTCGTTTGGTAGTTCCTGCCTCATACATCCTCGGATGTTCTCTACCCTTTGGCGCCCTTGTAAGTTGATATCTCTACTTCTTATAGAAGGGAAGAGAAGCCGGCCTCTCTCTTCTCTCGTCTCTCAGGATGTTCCATTCGCCGCGTTATGCTTCTCCCATTCCAAGGTGCTCTGACACCTGGCCGTCCAGGCATGGATCTTGGCGATCTCTTCCTTGAGGGCAGCCTGGACTAGGCGATGGCGCTTTATCGACGTCAAGCCGTTGAACTGCGGGGAGACAACAAACGCTTTGAAGGATTGACCACAACCGCCTGAATGAGAAAGGTAGGCGACGGTCAGCCTAGGGTTCCTCTAACGTAGGAGACGTTGGACATGTGAAGGGGACGTTGGAGGCTGGAGGGGCAGCTTTAGTCCATCCATGGATGTCCTAACGGGAAGAAAACGACAAAAAAGACAAAGAAGAAAAGAAAGAACAGGAGGAAAATCCAAGAGAATCCGGTTGCGCCCGTCCCCAGACTATACACTGATCAAGACTCACCAGAGATATCATCCACCTCGACGTGGGTAGCTTGGAGCCGCTCAATAAGGGCGGCCTTGAGCGAGGCTTCCGTTACCGTGGGGTCCGTCATAGTGTTCTCGAGGAACTCGGTTGCTGGCATGTTCACGGGCTCCATAGCGCTTGGCGGGTTTTTGTGACTGCGGAAGGGGAGTGGGGATTTATATGATCCTTGTCTCCTTTTTTTTTCTCTGGTCCTTTTTTCCCCGGTTTCTTTTTTCTCTCTTCCTTTTTTCTCTTTCCAGTCTTCGTGTGCCGCTTGACCTTTGGCTCTTGGTGGGGAGGTGGGGGAAGGGGACCCTCTATAGGATTGATTAGATAGGAGATGAACGATGACATTGTTCAGCCCAGGCTTGGCTTGTCCGAACCGGAGCTCGTCGTTGGTTTTCTATGCACTGTATGTGCGCACTGTATGACAACATCTCATTTGGCTGTGTTTGTGTTTTTCAGCAGAGGAGTAGTTGGAACATTATACAACCCAGTCAGACAAAGCTGTAAAGTCAGCAGAACGCGAAGGGCAAAAATGCACAACCATCCGCCGGCGTGATTCGCGAGTTCGAGCAGCCACTGCAAAAGCCAGCAAAGCTCTCCAGGCCATTCCAAAGTCCACGTACGCTAATTGTTTTTGGCCTTGTGGGGACTTTAGGAAAACCGCCTGCCTGCGATTGGTAATCTCTCTTCGATCGGGGGAAGAGCCCAAACGAGTTTCCATAAGAAAACTGAACGGGATCCATTGGAGCTTTTCTTGTTAAATTGTTGGCGATTGGGGAGGGAGACCAATGCATCGGCTAGACAGAGGGTTGGCCAGGGCAGCCTCGCACCTAAACGCCCTCGGCGGACGGGCACCGACGCGTGCTGCACGAGCTTCGCGCAGGACGGTCAATGATGTAGCACTTTTCCCCGCCGCCACCACAGCTCTTCCTCATATTACCACCAGAACCGCTAATGTCATTACCCCACCACTCCCACTACCATGCACCCGCCAGCTTCACACACGACCACAACGAAGCACTTTTTCAACGATTCGCCAAACGACCGAGAGAGCGACTTTGTGACAATGAGTGACGGAAAACTGAAGGAATGGAGCGCCATTCACGCCCAGTCGCCTGCGTTTACGCAACTCGTCGTCAAGTCGATGAGAGAGCTGTACGTGTAGATCCATCCACTACATATTTCACACCATCTTCGCCATGTTAGACTGCTGGGTTTGAGAGCTCTTGAATCCGAGAGCTCGAAACTCAAGCAATATAAAGTCTTTCTTAATCCAGTACATTCCACGTTTTTACACTCTAATTTGCTAAATCGTACTTTTTCATACTCCCAGTTTCCCCGAGGAATTAGCTGATAGGACCTGGGACAATGTCGGACTCCTCCTTGACAACATCGAAGCACCTGGTGACAAAGAGCTAGAGTCGCGCGTCCTCCTCACCAACGACCTCACATATCTCGTTGCCGAGGAAGCTATCAAACTCGGCGTCAGTGTCATTGTGAGCTACCGTAAGAACAGCCCCCACCTTTCGTCTCCCTCTAAGCCCCTGTCGCCCCTCCATGTGCCCTGCCATCGTCGAGAGAGTGAAGGAGGATGGGGAAAAGAAATGCCCTCCAAAATCTCTTCAGACCCATCCTTTTAAGTAATGCTTGCCTTGGCTTCCCAAACTCTTACAATCGAAAATGTATATATATATAGATCCCTTCATCTTCCGTGGTCTCAAATCCATTACCTGCGCCGACCCGCAACAGGCAACGCTTCTTCGTCTTGCCAGCCGGCGCATCGCAGTGTACTGCCCGCACACGGCCCTTGATGCGAGCCCTCGCGGCATAAACGCCTGGCTCGCCGAGACCGTCGAACACGCCGCCCGGCAAACAACCGATCCCGCCGAGACAGCCGAACTCAAGGCCGAGCACCGGGTCCTCCGCCCAATCGCCAACCCGCCGGAGAACAACGAGGGCGCGGGTTACGGCATGGCTACGACTCTGAGCAGAGAAGTGCCAGTAGCCAGGATCATCAAGGGTGTCGGTAAGATGCTCGGCGGATTCAGGCATTTGCATCTCGTCCAACCGCCAGGTTGCGATCTGGCACGCGCTACCGTAAGCAAGGTTGCGGTATGCGCCGGGTCGGGAGCTGACGTCCTCCGCAACTCGGACGCGGAGCTTTGGATTACGGGCGAAATGAGCCACCACGATGCCCTAAAAGCGGCACAGGAGGGTCGGATCGTCGTCACCACGTACCACAGCAACACGGAGAGGAGATACCTAGACCTTAAGTTGAGGGACATACTCGAAGAGAAGCTGCAGGAAGCAGGCGAGGATGCCGACGTCATCGTGAGCAGCGTTGATCAGGATCCATTCAAAGTCGTCGATATCGATGCGCTGTAAGCGGCAAAGCCAGCTCGCAAACGCATGGTAGACCACTGATAGAAGCACGGCTTGATAGAGTGAAGGCGTCAAGGCTGCTTTGCCCCTAATCGTCCGCCTTCTTTTCGTTGATATTATAAAAAGAAAGAAGCCAGGAGGGAAAAGCCCTTCCGTAGGGCTCTATGAGATGATTGCTTCGCTCGCTGTAATGCCACACTTCTGACGAAATAGGAAGGAGAAAAGAAGAAAATAAAAAGAAATCCCGTTATCCCGTTATGCCGTGATATGCGATACGTGTCCTATCCGTGATGCGTTGTGTGCTATGAGCCGTCGGCACTGGTGCCGCTACTACTCTCGTCTTCTTCCCACTCGACAATGGCGTCTCCCTCCTTCAGGACCTCGAGCACGTCAGGTCCGCCTAGGTTCTTGTCCCTCCACAGCTCGAGCAGCTGCCGTGGCAGCTCCCACGCCTGTCTCGCCTCGTCGAGCTTGCCTTCTGCGACAAGCGCTCGCAGCTTGGGCGGCATGGAGACGACCTCGGCAGCGATACGCCGCGTCTTCTGCTGGCGGCGGATAGACTCTTCGTCGATCTTGGCGCCTTCGGGGGCTTGGGGACGGATTTCCGAAGAGTATCTCGGATCTGGGATGCTTGTTTGTAAATCTGAGCGATCTTGGGGTCGAGTTCCGAGGCCATGGGTGTTAGGGGTCCATGTTGTCACGCATCTATCGTATCAGAGGCATCAAGGTTAGCGTTTCACATGCTACTTGCATTTACGTTCCTTTTGTCCCCTCTCCCGGTTCTCTTTATCGGAAGGAAGGGGGAAGGAAGGACTTCTAACCTTGCGAATCGTTTCCGTCGCAGTGATGAGCTTGCTGTAGTTATCGTAGACAAGAGCCTTCTTTTCCGCGTCGAGGGCCCGTATCTCCCCCCCAGCCCCCGTATACAAGCGCAGGAGATCGTCTAGGCTAGACTCGGCCAATTTCTTGTTCACCCATACCTGCGCGTCGAACCCTCGGCATCGATCTCGGACGGGGCGACCTCGGAGGTCCTCGAGTCCTCGTTGATCACCGGAGCCGAGGAGGAAGGCGTCCCCGCGCTGCGTCGGAGGTTGTAGTACTCTCTCAGGGCCGTCCGGTTGCGCTTGGTCGAGGGCGCCGTGCCGGGCTGAGGGGACTGTGGAGGCTGCGGCGAGGGCAGGGGCGGCGGGTGGAGGGATTCGATGGAGGGACGGGCGGAACCTGTGGTTGGGGAGTTGACGCCGGATGGAGTGCGGCGGAGGGGGTGGAGGGGTCCCGCGGCGAGGCGATTGTCGACATGGTGTCCCAGAGGCTAAGGAGGGGAGGGGGGACGGGTGCGAAAAGAGAGGAATGGGGGTTTTTCGTTTTTTGGCAAGCGTCGGGGGTAGGGAGAGCAGAGCAGGCGAAAAGGAGGGCCCTCGATCGGTCGGTCGGTCGGTCGCAGGTATGAGGGCGGAGAGGGTTGCCGGAGGTGGACCTTGTCTATTTCGATTCTGGGGCTTCTGGTTCCGGCTTGGATGGAGACCAGATAATAATCTGGAGCTTGGCTGGCCCACACACGATTTCGCCAACTTCCAGCTGTTCAATTCCCCAAGCTTGCCATTTTTGGGGAGGGCCTGGGGCTGACAGAGAACAAGGGTCTCAATTGACCCGAGGCCAGCGCTGGACCCTTATTCATTAGTGGCTCCTTCCTTCTTCCGACTGACGGACACGGTAGAAGCCAGGGCACTCTCCAGTGGATAAGTAAGTGATAAATACCGCTAGACTCGAACTGCTTGACCTAAAACAGGGGCACAAAGTCGCCGCTGATCGCACGCTCCCAGCTGTGGGTCAAAACCTCGACCTCTTGAGCGACCTCGAAGCTCCCAGCTAATAGCTCCACGCTCGATCCAAAAGTCCAAGGTCTTGACATAGCCTCATCTTCACACAACGAGTGCGATCCGCAAAAGCACACAAACGTTTGAAATCAAGGGAAAGAAGCAGAACCGGCGGGAGGGGAAAAGGACAAAGACCAAAAAGTAAACAAAAGCAAAAACAGAGCCTCTCTTCCACAATGTCCCTCGCCGCCCAACTCACCACCTCCCTCCAACAATCCTCCTTTCCCCTCCCCTCCCCCACCCTCATCACCACCCTCCTCTCCTCGCACCCCCAGCCCACGCTGCCCCGCCTCCTCGCCCAAGCCAAGTCCCACGTCCTCACCTCCAACCTCACCACCCCGTCCCTGCTGGACCACTCCGTCCCCATCTTCCCCGCCCCGCTCCTCGGCCCGGACAGCCCCGATGCCCGTCTGCCCTTTGACGTGCCCGCCCAAATCGTCGACGTGGAGGACCTGTCCCGCTCGCGCTGGGAACAGGTCGAGGAGATGGAGAGGATCGAGCGCGGCGAGATGACCAAGGGCAGGGCCGTGGTCAGGGTGGAGGAGCGCGAGGACGGGGACGGCGATGGTGGCGGCGGCGGCGGCGGCGGCGGTGCTTCCGGAAGCCTTGCCTCTTCCGCCAACGCTGTCTCTTCGGCTGCCGCGGCGACGAGGGCCGCGAGGAGGACCAACGCTACGCATAGGATTGTTCTCCAGGACCGCTCAGGACGCAGGGTGTATGGCTTGGAGCTGGTGCGCATGGACAGGCTGGGCGTCGGCGTAACGAGGATAGGGAAAAGGTCGTTGTCAAGCGAGGTACTGCCATCGCTAGGGGAACCATCCTGCTTGAGCCGTCCAATTGCACTTTCCTAGGGGTTACGTCGAGACGGAGGAGAAGAAGTGGCTGGCAGAGCGGCTCAAGATCTTGAGGGAGGCCATTGGCGCCACGGAGAGGAGATAGAGGGAAGAGCAAGTTGCCATAACCAGCCGCTAAACCAAACCCTTTCATTCACACCACGAGCAGCTCCATGGCCGCCCAACATCACGGAACACATATTAGAATGAGGCGAGCAATCACCGGAGAGGGTCGCAGGAACGGAGGAATGGAACATAGAATAAGCGGCAAAAGGCCTTCAATGAGTCTCGCCCTCTTCTTTTTTTCTCTTCAACTCAAAGAGATCACCGCACAGGAGCGGCTTTTGTTATACCACTTTTATTGCACAAACCCATCATGAATACATGCGCCTTCGTCACCGAGTCTTATCCTTCACTTGCTATCCTTCTGCGCCTGCTCGACAATGTAGCTTAGCGCCTCCCACCCATCGTTGGCCCAGGGCGCCGCGAAAATCGCGACCTGCGCATCACCCGCCCTACCCGTCCCTGCATAAGCCTTGGCTAGGTCCGTCGCTTCGAGGCCTCCCCTGGGAGGTATTCCCGCTAACGCGACCTTGACAGCCATGTCCGCCGGAAACTCGCTGCCAGAAACTTCAGCAAGCGCCGTCCATCCGTGAGGCAGGTGCGGGTAGAGCATGATGTCTGTCTGGATCTCTGTGAGGACGTCTTCCTCCGTTCGATCCTCGTCCACCATACCGAGGCAATTCAACACCATGCCTATCCGCGAGTGGTCCTCATCCTTGACCTTGTCACTCACCCGTAGAGCGTGGAGTTCAGACACAACGGCGGCTATACTCTCCTCGTCCCCGTCGAGGAGCGCTATGACGCCCAGCAGGAGGACAGATTGGACGTGCTCTGGCTTCTCCTCGATGACGGCGAATAGCACATCTCTCGCCCTTTCCCGGGACTCTTCTGTTCCGGTAGCCCAGAGCACCTGCGCGAGGAGGCAAACGGCATCGGGGTCCCCGTCGCACTCCTCCAGGCCTGCCTCAAAGGAAGATACAGACTCGCCATAATCACCTTTAAAGTACTGCGCTAGTCCCATGGTCAGATGGGCCGAAAGGCGCCCCTTTTGCGCTGATCCTTCTCTAGCTCATTCTCTGCTTCGTCGCTCGTAAGACTGAGGGCCATGTCACCGCATTCAACCGCGTCGTCGTACCGACCTGTCGCTAGATATGATCTAGCCAAGTCGACCTTGGCTAACGCAAACCGGCCAAGGGATTGTGGCGATTCCGTCTCCTCGTACTCGGCCTCTAGCAGCTGACAGATATCCTCCAACGTCTCAAGGGTGTTGGGGTGGTCTTGGATGCGTTCTTGGAACAACGTACGCAGTTGGCGATACGCCAAGTCCTTCGGATCTAGTGCCTGTGATTGAGACAGCGCATAGAGCGGCTGTAGTACATCAAGCAATCCAGCTTGGGAGGGTGAGGAAACAATGTGGTCAAATATCGACGCCGAGTACTGGTGGCGTATCGCGACGGCGGACGAGTCCGAAATCTCCATAGCATGAGTGAATAGGCCCCGCGCCTCATCCAGGTCTCCAAGCAAGAGTGCGACAAAGCCCTGTCCAAGCCAGGCGTACGCGTACTCAGGATCGTTCGACTGAGCTCTCGTAAAGGCTTCGTTGGCGATCTTGACGTCGTTTTGTAGCAGCGCTAGCGTGGCGAGGTTGGTCCAGGCAATCGGACTGCGCTCATCGAGATACAGACTTCGGACAAAGGCGTGTTGGGAAACGGCGGGGTTGATTTGGCTCGTTACCACACCAAGCGAGTTCCAAAACTCCGCGTTGCCATGCTCCAGTTCAATTGCCCTCTTGAAAGCCCTAACTGCAGCCCGTAGATATGGGCTTGAGTTCTTGCCCTTCGAAGCTGGGGGAGCGTAGATGTGGGTGTGGTATTCCGCCCACCCGAGATTGTAGTAGGCGACTGCTTGGGCGTGAATATCGTTGGAAGATACGTGAATCGCAATCTTGAAACAGAGTATCATGCCGTGTAGACACTGCGACAGCGCCTCGCCGTTGGGCTCTCCCTTGGGGAAGATGCTCTCGAGTCCCGAAATTTCAGGTTCGACCTTGTCAATGTCGGCGAAGACCCCAGTGTTAGACGCAGCGTCGGCACCGCAGGAGCTTGGTAAGAGCCTCCGTTGGGAACTCCTGAACCCGACTCCGAACGCTAAAGAAAACCGAGCATGCGTCTCCTAGCGCCTTCCAGTAGTTGAATCTCTCGGAAACCAGCTCAGCAGTCTCGACGGCAAATTCAACCACCTCGAGCGCCAGTTGTACAGCCTTGCCAAAGAAGCCCTTGACAATGCAATCTTTCGCGCACTCGACCATAGTCTGCAGCAAGGCAAGAATCACGCCCTCCTCCGTCGGGCGCTCACCATGAACTTCCCTATAGAGCATGACCGCCTCATCGTATTCCGCGAGTTCCCTCTTGATGTTAGCAAGCAAGTACTTGGTGAACCACGCATCTTGGATTAACTCGGCTGCAGCGTTCTCTTCCAGGGATTGGGCATGTAGCACGGCCTTGGTTGCAGCCATGTAGCGGCCAGAGTTGTAATAGCTCTCGCCCAGTCCCACCCAGGAATGGTAGTCTTCGGGTGAGATGCGAAGAGCAGCTTGGAAGGAAACGATGGCGTCACGATACTCCATCTTGCTCATCAGAGCGACGCCGAGGGCCGAATGTGGCCAGGAAATGCCCTTCCTCTTAGATCCGGGCGGGGGCCTGACCTTGCCGGAATCGACAACGCGCCGCGCAACCACCTCTACCCGGTCCCAGTCCGCCTCGTCGGCAAAGGCCCGCGCAAGTCTCTCTGCGGCTTCTACTTCGGAAGAAGAAAGCTCCACCGCCTTTTGGAAACAGCGCTTGGCCCTCTTTTGTCCTTTGCATAGTCGGCATAGAATATACCTAGGCTCGTATAGGCCGGCGCAAGATTTAGGTCGTTTTTCAAAGCGGCCAAAAAATGGGCGTATGCTCCGTTTCGGTCCTTTCGAGCGGTCTTGGATGTGTCAAGGTTCCAGATGCAGCAACCCAGTCTGTATTGGGTCAATGCAAGTAGCTCCTTGTTCGCTGATACCCCTTTCTTTTTCTCCAGCAGTGGCAGACACTGCTCCAACTCCTGCCGGCCTGTTGCATAGTCGCCCGCTAACGCCTTGACCCAGGCCGCTTCGGTGCGGACCCTGATGTTCGTACTATCGCGCTTTAGGGCTCTTGTGAGGAAATCAATGGCTTTGGAATATTCCTCTTCTTCCTCAAAGATCAAACCAACACCTATCATGGCTGGTGTCGATGCGGTGTCATGCTCCATCACTTTCTCAAAGAGGGTCATGGCTTCCTCGTGGTGCCTTGGCGACTGATAGAAGACCAAGGCTGTGGCGAGGTACAGAGAGTACGCATCGGTGACGTTTTGGAAAGACATGCCGGATTTGGTGCGCTCTTTGGAGGCATAGTCCAACGCTTTTCGCATCAACTCGACTCCGCTTTCATGCTCTTCGAGGTGCTGATAGTACTCTCCCATGAGCCTGTAAGCCAGGAGTGAGTTGGCTGTTGCCATTCCGTCCGTCATCATGAGGAGCCTGTCGGCGTCAGTAACCGGAACAACCAAAGTAGGTGCGCCGCCATCCGAGTCTTCCTCGCTACTGTTTTCCTCAGAGTCGCCCGCATCGCCGCCTTCAACAGCCGTCGGGGCCTTGGGAGGCGGAGGAAATGGGGATATGGAGCTTGTGAGGAATCCCGTGATGACTTTGTAGACATCAGTCTCTGGGAAGAACGAGCAGTATTCCCGAAGAACATTAACATCCCAATCAGCTATATTTTTGTTGTCCTGCCAATCAATGGCAATGTCCCATGCGAACTTGTAAGGATGCTTGATGATGACCATGTCGTTCGCGAGTTTGATAACAGTGTCGCGAAGCTCGCTCTTCTCCTTGCCGGCTGGGGCCACGATGAGGCGGTCGTATGTGTGGCGCATGAGCTTTTCCTCATAGGTTCGGCGGGCTTCATCGTCAGTTGTCCAGTTGATGAGCTGTTGGTAGATGTAGGTGAGCCTGCTTTGCGACATAACCTCCCTCTTGACCTCTATCGTGACATCGTTTATCCTAGCCCCAATCCTCGTTCTTCGCTCTCCGATGAGCGTGTTGATCCGTTTCCGCTCGTCCTCCTCAGTAATGGCGGCCATCTTCTCATAAGTGTGAGCCGGACGGGGAACATGCCCTTCTAGCGCGTCATACACTGGGCTTTCGGGTGTGGTGAGATCCAAGGCATCGACGTATTGTGTCCGGTCACCGTTCAAATTGGCAAACTCGATGTACTGGGTGATGACTTGCCGGCACTTGGGCAGGTCGTCGGTCTGGCTATAAATTGTAGCCAGCTTGACGGCAGCATCCCTATAGGGAGCGAGCTTCTTCTTGTCCTGCTGTTCATAGAGTTTTATTAGACCCTGCCATGCCTGGGCAGACTCTGGTTGAATAGAGGTGGCAGCAAGATAGGCCTTTTCGGCAGCTTCTAATTGACTCTTCTTTTCCAAAGAGAAGCCGAGGAAAACATGCCTAGGAGGACACAGTCAGTCGCGGTAATAAGGCGGGAAAAGAGAAGGGGGACGCCACAAAGATACATACGCTATGTAGTGCTTTGGGTCTTTTTGTGTGAAGGCCCGTGATAGCTCAATGGCCTCGTCATACTGCTCCCTCTTGACGGCGTCCCCAATGGCTTTAAGTTGAGCCTTTGCGGACATGGCTCCAACGATTCCACGCCTCCGCGAGTACCAACCCCAAAAGAAAAAGGAAAAAATCCTATTGCCCGCTTTCGCGAGGAGTGGGGATGAAACTTGACACACTTTCGGCTAGGGTGCTCAGTGTTGCCTCAGAGGGAAAGTGGGCTGAATCGTGAATGGAGGGGTGATGATGGAGGGGTACTTGTTCAGCCAGCAGGGTCAGCCCTGGATTGAATTTGTCTGAAGAGGAGAGCAAGGCGAGGTGTAGAAGCCTTTCTTCCCAATGAAAATCCTCTTAAAATGAAGGATAGATATGAAGTTGGGACAGCTCGCTGCAAAAGGAGCCTCGAGTGAGCTCTCTATGGGAACTGGCACCTGTGCAATTCATCAAAAGCTGCCCTGCACAACCAAGCTTGATGGCAGCAAGGCTTTGAGAGACCGCACGCCCACCAACAATCTGCATTACCTAAGCTGTCGGTGTTCCACCAGCCAATCTAACCCGCACTATTGCAGAAATCCGAAGAGTTAGCCTACGGTTGAGGTGAAGCCTCTACTCCTGCCGTTTTATACGATTTATCGATCCAATATAGATTTGAAAGTTTATAACTCCAAATCGCCATTAACTAGTTCCTAAGCTTTAATTTTCTCGTCGACACCAGTAGCTCTCAAGTCAAATTGCGTCGAGAGCACTGCATCTCCTTCCCCATGACCACTGCCGCATCCAGCTAAGCCAAGCGTGTGTGCATCTCGTACTCGGGATCTGGTCGGGCGGTCGGGACCTTGCTCCGGCTGGGGAGGCGTCTAGGCATTTAGCAACTAGCGACGTAAACTAATAAGCCCTCAAAGACGTTGTTGGGGTTGTATTGCGGAATCCCGCAGAGGGTCCAACTACAAATAGTCACCCAGTTCTCCACTCAACAGGTGACCACACCACTTATTGGTTCACTTTTAGCCCGACGTCATTCAGCAGGGTCAACTCGCCCCCTTTAACGAAGTCCTGACCGAAGACGCATTCGCCTCAAGGCTTGGGCACCTCCTCCTCTTTCCCGCCACTCTATCTTCCCCGCCGTCCTCATCTAGAGACTGTCTCGAGCTTCCTGCCGTCCACCGCATAGGTTCGCGGCTCAGAGGCAACCCGCCACCGTTTCTCCAGCTCCCCAGGGCGAACACCTGCGATACTGCAACGCTCACTACCGTGTATCCTCAAAACCTAGCTTTCCTCCTAAGCTCCGGCAGCTCTCCCTCCACCCAACTACGATGTCAAACTCCAACTTTAGGTTGACGATTGAAGACGGCCAATTTCGCGATGCCCACGGCCGACAAGTCGTTCTCCGGGGAATAAATTGCGCAGGTGATGCCAAATACCCTAGCACCCCCGACCAGTCCTCCTACATCCCCGACGACTTTTTCGAGGGCGACACCGTTCAGTTCCATGCGCGGCCGTTTCCGCTTTCCGACGCACATCAACACTTCTCGCGACTCAGGCGGTATGGATATAACTCGATCCGGTATATCTTCACATGGGAGGCCATTGAGGCGGCCGGTCCCGGGATCTATGACGAAGCCTGGATCCAGCATACTCTCGACGTACTGAGAGTAGCCGGATCTTACGGTTTCTACGTGTTCATGGATCCCCATCAAGATGTAGTATGTAATACTCTGTCCACCTCTCCCCTCGCCCCAGTGCCCCCCCAATTCCTCTAGGCATGTAAGCTCTAGTGCAAGGTCTAATTCGTCTGTTGCAGTGGGCTCGATTTTGTGGAGGTTCCGGCGCTCCGATGTGGACCATCTACGCGTGCGGACTGAATCCGCAGAGCTTTGCGGCCACCGAGGCGGCGGTTGTGCAAAATACGTACCCGGAACCCGACGAATTCCCAAAGATGATTTGGTCGACAAACTACTTTCGTCTCGCTACCTCTACCATCTTCACACTCTTCTTCGCTGGCAAGGATTTTGCGCCCAAGTGCATCATCAACGGCATGAACATCCAAGACTACCTTCAGTCCCATTTCACCAATGCGTGCGCTCACCTCGCGAAGAGGATCCATGAGGCTGGAGATCTCGAGGATGTCGTCGTTGTGGGGTGGGAGAGTATGAATGAGCCCAATCGCGGTCTCTGTGGGTACTCGGACTTGGGTGTTATTCCAAAGGACCAGAACCTGAAGAAGGGAACTTGCCCGACTATATGGCAATGCCTGCTTACCGGATCTGGGAGGGCCTGCGAAGTCGAGACATGGGACATGGGCGGGTTGGGCCCATACAAGGTCGGGACGATCCTCATTGACCCGCACGGAGAACAGGCCTGGCTTCCGGCCGACTACGATGATTCGAGGTACGGATATAAACGAGACGAAGGTTGGAAGCTTGGGGAGTGTATTTGGGCTCAACACGGCGTTTGGGACCCTGCGACGGATACCTTACTCAAGAAGGACTATTTTGCGAAAAGTCCACGCACTGGCGAGGTCATCGACTACCCCAACTTTACCAACACTTACTTCATGGATTTGTACCGCAGATGGAGAGATGCTGTGCGAGCGCAGCACAAAGGCTCCATCCTACTGATGCAGTACCCGACGCTTGAGCTGCCACCAGAGATTGTTGGCACGGAAGACGACGATCCAAAGATGGCATATGCGCCTCACTTTTACGATGGCATCACTTTGATGACGAAGAAGTGGAATAGGACATGGAATGTCGATGTGGTTGGCGTCCTACGGGGCAAGTATCTCCACCCTGTCTTTGCAATCAAGGTGGGCGAATCAGCCATCCGCAATTGCTTCAAAGACCAGCTGGCATACCTAAGGCAGGAAGGGAAAGATAGGGTTGGGAAGCACCCATGCGTACTTACCGAGTTTGGCATCCCATACGACATGGATGAAAAGAAGGCCTACGAAACGGGCGACTACTCGAGCCAGTCTGCGGCCCTTGACGCCAACTACTACGGAGCAGAGGGGCGTTGATGGAAGGCACCTTTCTCTGGGTCTATACGGCTCGGAATACCCACAAGCGGGGAGATCAGTGGAATGGCGAAGACCTTTCCATCTTCTCCCTCGACGACAAGCCCGTTCCCCTCAGTGCCCTCCCGAAGAGTATCGACGGGGCGAGCTCGTCGACCCTGGTGGCCGATCGCGCCTCTCGCGATGTCGCAAACGAGACGACCGTGACGCCTGAAAACCTCAGGCAAGTGCTGTCGACGCCCTCCATCTCCTCCGAGCCTGGGAAAGCGCCCGAAGCCGCAGACACGCCGGGCTATCGAGCTGCCGAAGCCTTTATTCGCCCTTCGCCGGTCCACATCAACGGCCTGGTCAAGGAATATGGCTTCGACCTACGCTCCTGCACGTTTACGCTCAAGATCAACGCGACCGCGGTGGCCAACAACGACACTCCGACCGAGATTTTCTTGCCCGAATTCCACTTCCCCGCTGAATCTTGCACGGTTGAAGTGTCGTCCGGGAAATGGGAGATCAACTCGGAGGACCCGCAGTGCCCTAACCTGCAAAGGCTACTCTGGTGGCACGGAGATGGCGAGCAGACGTTGAAGGCGGCTGGGCTGGTGAGAAAACACAACGTCGTCGAGGGCACGGCGGAGGAGGCGGGATACTTGGAACAATGCCAGCAAACATATGGTCTGGGAGGGGTAGCACCTGTTCACTCATGTAATAGCGAGTTTGGACTCTTTTTTCTTCTTCCATTCCCTTTGATTCTTACGCGATGGATATCCAGGAGCGCATCTATGGCCGGCGTTCCCTTCTTGTTTCTTCGTTTCTTTTCTGTATCCTTTCTCTGACCAAGTATTTGTTTTGGTCTTCGCCACAAATTTGGATTCAACCCTTGAGCGACGTTGGCTTCCCATCGATGAAAAGAATATGGATTCGTTTATTATCAGAAAACAATTCCCTTATCTAACTGTGTCGAGCATTGAGATCATCATCTTCTAAATTTTCGAGGAACACGCACACGTTCCTGTGATTGATGATATGTCATGTCATCCATGGATCGAATCCTACGCCGAGGCCGCATTACCAAACTGTTGATAGATCGTACGAAGCACGGCTGGCCCAGAGCTCAAAACGAATTGTGAATTCGCCTCGTCTAGATAATACTACGGAACCAAGCCTTGTATCGAAGTACGATAAATTAGAGCATCATCGGGGCCCTCTCAAGCGAGATACGTCTTGGGAAGCGGCCGCCCGTGACTAGTATTCTTTCGTTATATAACGTAGTCTCTGCACGTCATTCATGATCTCGAGCCACAGCACAATAATAGCATGGCTATGAAGAAACAAACAAAGAATGGTTCGCAAAACACCCAATGCTACGTTTCTTCCATGGATCTTGAAAAGGTGAGCGCTCTCGGCAGACCCGGGCTTTGCCATCCCTGTAAGGCCAGCCATGCTCACCTTGACAAGGAATCGTAATAATCCTGCGCCGTGCTTTTGGCCTTTTGACCTGTTGTTGAAAGCAGCGATGAGCGAGGATAATAAACAATAAACCCCTCTGCGGATCCCCTCAGTACACTTCACCCACCACATGGAAATGAAGATGAGTCGCACAGCCTCTTCCCTGCGTCTGGTTCGTGCATCGGTCCGCAAGGCACCCTTAAGGCAGGGAGGAAACCTTTGCACGAGGGCTGTTTGCGGGCTGAACATCTCGATGAGCGAGTATGTCATCAGTCGCCTACCAAAATTCATGCAGTGCGGTGGGTGGCTGTTTCATAGCCACGAGCGCAGAAAGGCGCTCCATCCGGCGAAGGATCATGGAGGGGATGGATTGTCATTGAGGAAGGCGTATCAGGCTCGTAAGTGGCTACAGCATGAGAAGTGTACACTACGGCCAGACACTAGTGTTGACAATCGAGGGGACTTGTGCACACAAGGATGAAAGACGGTGAGGGGGAATTGGGCTGGGACGTTCTCTGACCCAAGGATTGAGGGTGTAAGACCACGGATCAAATGCCAGGGGTCCAAGACCCAGGGCCATCTTGTTGGTGGGGGATGATGCATCATTCCATCGACCCAGTGAGCAGACTGGGAGAGCTTGCATGGCCTGGCCCGTATTTATTCGCTAAAACACCTCGAACATGCAGCCCAGGCGCTAAAACGCCTCGACCCAGGAACGGTCCCATTGGCCCAGGTGCGGGCCAGCTCGTCGGATAATTGATGATCCGCTGTTCTTTCCCAATCCGACAAGTACAGACAGCGAGGCAAACGGCAGGGAAGGCACAAGCAACGAAGCGAGGGAGGGAAAAGGGAAAGGGCAGGCACGGCAGGCCAGACCGAACCGAACCAACAGCGGTGCACTGTGAGACGAGAATCGAATCAACCCCCCAGAATCTTCCCCCTTCCAAAGTCCCACTGCCGCATCCCATCCAGCTCACTCACCCTAGCTCGTTCATGGGTCTCCGCCCCAGCCTGCTTGCGCAACCACTCTCCCTCGCTCGTTTTTTTGGCCCTCTTCAAACATCTGAAAAAGAGGAGGGAAAAACCTCGCAAGGGCTTTTGCTGGACCTTCTGCCCCGATTCGTAAAACATTACCCCCGAGAGCTCTCTGGATTACACACTCTCGCTATTTTCAGGGACGACATTGCTTGTCGATCATGGCCTCGCGCGCCGACTAGCATTAATTCTATTCTTATCGACTTATCCGGCCCTTGTATTATATCCTCACTACGAACTTTCTTCTACATGATCTGTTTTATGTTTCGGCGAGCGTTCCTGGGCCACCCCTTCCCCGGTCTTGTCTAATCAGCCTCTCTCCCGAGAGAGCGGAGCTTGCCTGTCAACCTTCATCAACCTCAACCCTCACGACTCGACTGGACGAACCTCCCACCCCGTCGCCTGATCGAGCCACCAACGACGAGGCACAACCACCACAAACGACGCCTTGTCATCTACTCCGCTTCCATTGACTTCTTCATCTCTTTGCCTCCCGCTCTAGGCGGAGGGCTTTTTGTTTTCGGCGCCTCATATACCCTTTCTCGAACATCGATTTTTCACCTCCCCGCTTCACCACCATGTATCAAAATGGCCAAAGGGACCCTTCGCGGCCGTTCCAGGTCCCTCCTCCCCGCCACCAATGTCGCCTCTCATCCGGCAACCGCTAGGCAATATCATGGCCATCCCCCACCTCCGCCTCGATACCCGGCCGGCGCGAACGGCGTAATGATTCCACCTCCTCCCGGTCCTCCGCCCGGTCCGAATCCTCCATGGCAGAACGTGCTTAGCCGCATGTACGATCGCGGCGCCCTCAACATACCCCCACCGCCTGGCGGCCAAGTTCAAGCCTACAATCCTCGTCTCCATGGCTCCATACCCACCGGCTCGACTGTATCCACGATCCCCCTCCCCGCCGCCGAGCGAGCAGATGTCTGCGACGTACATTCCGACCGGGGACACCTGGGGAGAAGGCGTGGGCATCCCTGCGTTCGGACTAGATGAACCCAAGCCCCTGTGGGCCATGCACCCTCCGAATGGCATGGGCGCCGAGCCAGCCGGTGCCATGCCGCCCGACGAGCCTATGAACCGCGACCGACTCCAGGCCAACCCTATGCAGAACGCGCGCGGAGTTTCCAACGCTTCCACCGCTACCGCTGGAGCCGCCACCAGCATTTCCTTGGAACTCGCTTCGCAGTGGCCGATGGAGCGCGTGCTTGCCTGGCTCCAAGCCAACGGCTTCTCTAGGGACTGGCAGGAGACGTTCAAGGCGCTGGGTCTTTATGGCATGCTGTTCCTCGAGTTGAGCAGTGTGCGCGCTGGTCGAGGCAACTTTGGCATGATGCATCAGCAAGTGTACCCTCGGCTCGCTATTCAGTGTGCGCAGAGCGGAACTGGCTGGGACCAGACCGCCGAGCGCGAGGAAGGCAAGCGCATGCGCCGCTTAATCAGACTCATCGTGAGGGGTGACCAATCCGACCTGGGAAAGATGGGGCATGGCGATGTCGAATCTCCTAATGTAAGGGCCCCATGCCATTCTCGTGTTTAACATCTAATCACCCAGTCCACTGCTAACATAAGTAAACCGCCATAGACACCTCTTAACCCCCTGGTCCGGGATTCTCCGCTCGACGATACTCGCAAGCCCGTCAGCTCCCCGCCCTCAATAATTCGGAAAGCAACCATCGGCAAGTCCTAAAACACCTCGACGTGGATGGACGGAGGCAGAGCCCCAGTGGAGACCCCAATGAGCCAGGCTTCACCGTCAAGTCGCGACCCGAAAGTCCGAGAGGGAGCCCTGGCCTTGCCGGACAGGAGCTCTTCCCGCCACCGACATCCGCCAGCCAGTTATCTGCTTCGCCCCGTTCCAGCAAGTTTGGCCACCGCTCTCGAGATAGCACCGATTCTGCGTCGTCCAACGCGGCTATTTACGGTAGTGGCGTGCCCGCTGGCGCCACTCGGCTTAATATTAGCGACATGATGATGAGTGGTCGGGTGAGCGATCGGCCACCACGGCTATCCCCACAGGACTCTACCCCCACCTCTGACCCTCCGTCGGCAAAGGATGGACCCCGGCTTCTCAGCTTTTTGTCACGGAAGAAGCGGCAGGAAGGCATCTCTCCGGACGGAACTGAGTCGCCTACCTCACCAGGCGGAACTCTCAAGGCATTCCACTCGGCAGGCGCAGAGTCGACCGGAGAGCGTTCGCGTTCGACGTCCCAGTTCCTCACACACTTCAAGAGCAAGAAACCCGTTTCTTCGCGCCACTACGTCCTCGCGACCATGGATGGGTGGAACTATAGGATGTGCGATGTCACGGATCATGAATCCCCGCCGAGCTACGACATGTCATATGCACGAGCCTTGGTCTGCCAGATGCTGAAAATACCGAGCTCCATATTACGGACCTCGGGAGGGCCGAGCACGATGAGGCTCTCGATGACCAAAGATTACTCGCTGTTCATAGAAAGGCTCGGTCTGAGGCGCCAGGTGGGCTCAAGTTTTTCATCCGGTATACGGGCCAGGTCAACGGCGGCTTAGTCCGCAGCTCTACCGCCTCAACCGCGGCCACGGGTTTCCTATCTCCAGGCTTCCTCCCCCGGGCATGACCGTCGACGAGGACACATATGCCAGGCTAAACGGCACGCGACCTAGGTCATCATCTACCCCACCGTCGTCCCGGCAGAAGAGCATGGGCGAGGAGAGGATAGAGGAGGATTCTCTTCAACAGGAGTCGGCCGCCTACAGGGCGACTCTAGAAAAGAAGCAGCGCGAGTACCTAGCCACACGAAAGCAAGTCTCTCAGAAGGAGTCGCCGGTAGAGTCCATGTCCCAATTTGGATCCATTGTTCGTAAGACGGAGATCAACTTTGACCAGCCCAGAGCGTCACCTTATGAAGATAAGAAGCCCGACCACTTATTCCCAGTACGGAAGCCACCTGCGCCGCCTAGCGAGCCGACAGTCACTGTTCTCAAAGCAGATTCGCTCCGGCGGAGACCAGGCCAACACCTGCGGCCAGGTTCTGATTCCGACGGATTCCCAAGCCCCCGACGACCAGGAACGGGTGACTCGAATCATAGAAGGCAGGCATCCGACCAGTTGCCCTCAATCGGTAGCGCGCTCATTGGAATGGGACGAAATTTGGGTGCGGTCGGCCAATCCTCCGCGAACGGTCCCCGCCCTATCACCCCCGGTAGCCGGACCTCCACCATGTCGAGCCAGAGGCACGGCAGCCCCGAACAGAAGGTGTCAAGACGGACCACGAGCAACGGACGCAGCCAAGACTTCACAAACGTCAGTTTTACGCAGGCTCCGAAACCCGCGGCTGCCGCAGCGCCCTCGTTCGATTCAGATGACGATTCAGACGACGGCCTTTTCGCGGTCCCCATCAAGAACCAGAACAACGCCGCGGGCAAGCGACCCAACCTAAAGCTTGACACGGACCGGTCGGCTAAGAGAAAATCGGTCGTCTTCAGCGAGCCGACAGGCGGCAGCGGCAGCACTTCTGGCAGGACTGCCGACATCGATGATGACTATCCGACGAGCGGCAGGAGCGGCAGGAGCTCGCGCAGAACGCCAGGCACGCCGTCGGAGGGATGGGAATCAGCAGAGGACAACAGCAGCAAGCTCAACAGACGTAAATCATTTGTGGAGAAGGACGTGTGGGCGAACCGTCCTACGACAGACGCCCTCGTGAACAACCTTGACGACTTCTTCCCGAACTTGGATCTCGACCTACCTGTGTTTGAAGAGAACCAGGAAGGGGACAATCCCCATCGCCGATTGCGGAAGGAGATGAGAACGAGGCACCGCCGAGCAATCGGATGGCCCAGCAGCCGACGAGGGAAAAGCTGGCGGCGCTCCCTGGATCGAAGATGTCGATGCGCTACAACGATAACGATACGCTAGGCTCCGACGAGTCGACGCTCAAGGCGCTCGAGCGGCCGGCATCCGTACAGAACCCCGCGCAGAGGAGCATACGGAGGTCCGGAGGCCTTGGCCGTCTCAAGTCGATCCGAGAGGTGGCACGCGGGGCACACGAGGCCAATAAGAGGTTCACGACGGCATCGCAAGCTCAGGGCCAGTCGTCAGCGCTGATGCGCCGCAAGAGCACCAAGATGTTCAACGCCAACATTGTGCAGATCAGGCCGCAGCGGGACAGCATCATGATGCCGCAGATACCGCAAGACACGATACCGAAGAGGCAAACGACGTTCCGGTGGTTCAAGGGCCAGCTTATCGGCAAAGGTACATACGGCCGAGTGTACTTGGGCATGAACGCCACGACGGGAGAGTTCCTGGCGGTCAAGGAAGTGGAGGTGAACCCCAAGGCGGCCGGCGGAGACCGGGCCAAGATGAAGGAGCTAGTGGCGGCGCTGGACCAGGAGATTGACACGATGCAGCACCTGGACCACGACAACATTGTACAGTACCTAGGATGCGAGCGCAAGGAGACGAGCATTTCCATCTTCCTAGAGTACATTTCCGGTGGTAGCGTCGGATCATGTCTGCGCAAGCATGGCAAGTTTGACGAGGACATTGTCAGCTCGCTCACACGACAGACGCTTTCCGGATTGGCATACCTCCATCGCGAAGGCATTCTCCACCGCGATCTCAAGGCCGACAACATTCTCCTGGACTTAGACGGCACGTGCAAGATTTCCGATTTTGGCATCAGTAAGAAGACGGATAATATTTACGGCAACGACAAGAGCAACAACATGCAAGGGTCCGTCTTTTGGATGGCGCCCGAGGTAATTCGGTCCGAGGGCGAGGGCTACAGCGCCAAGGTGGACATTTGGAGCTTGGGATGCGTCGTGCTCGAGATGTTTGCCGGCCGACGACCGTGGGCCAAGGAGGAGGCCATTGGTGCTATTTACAAGATTGCCAACGGAGAGACGCCGCCGATCCCCGATGATATCAACGAGACGATTACGCCGGTGGCCATTGCGTTCATGCTGGACTGTTTCCAAGTGTATGTGTCTCGGAATCCTCACCGTTTTCCCCCGTCATCTGTTGCTTTTTCTAGCCCTCATTCCTCTTGACTTGTGATGGTGTAAGTGCTAACCCATCATTTTCTTTTTCTTTATAGAAATCCTTATGACCGACCAACGGCAGAGAAGCTGTTAGCGGAGCACCCATTCTGCGAGCTGGATCCCGGTTTCGATTTCCGCAACACAGAGCTATGGGCCAAGATTCGGGGACGCGACTTGTAAAGTAGGAAAGGATGAAAAGAAGTGGAAGAAACGCACGGTCGATTATAATGCGGCCGTGAACTGTGTTGGATAGGAAATCTCATCAGGACAAACATAATTATCTTGATATCCCGAGGGACTAGGACAGGCAGTGAGGGAGCTGCGTTGGCAATGCTTTTTGTGGGGGACGGTTCATTTCTTGAGCGCCATAAGCGTATTCTTTTCCCTCTTCTCGAGACGCAGCAAAAGAATCTTGTCTTTTCCCTTTTTTGTTCCCCGGCCGCCCGCCTCTGGGCATTTCTTTTCCTATAAGCGGGGGAGGAACATCCTTGGGTTATATTTTTAGGATTCCTTACATAGGGTATATTACATAGACAATGAAGCCTTTTACAGCGAGGTCATATCTACTTGGTTCATCTCTTGCGCGATCTCGCCCGGCTTAACTTGCTTTACACGTTCATGCATGTGCACCCCGGCGAGGATGGTATTACGTGGACCTAAAGCTCGGTTCAAAGACAACAGCGGACAGAAGAGGTGGTGCAAACGGCAGGGAATGCCTTCACCAGCCACACGAGGAGGCGCCATTTTGGCGGCACTAGCCGCTGGACAGCGAACAGTTTCCTCAGTGGGCGTCAGATGCGCAAGAAGTCACCATCTCGTCGCAGAAGGCGCCGAAAGAAAGGGGAAGAAGCTCATGTTGTCACAAGTCATGAATGCTTGATATGAGCAAGGGAAAGAGTAGGAAAGTGGGCCCCGCGAGAATGGGCACACGAGGACATCTGAGAATAAGAATACATGTAAGACGTGTTGACTCTTTGCATGTGGCTGATCGCGGCCCCGCGTCTTCCCACCCAAGTCGTGGGGGATCTACTTCATCTGACATCGGGGAACAGGGTTCGGCATGTTCTGGCTCTTTTTTTCTGTCCGACGGGCTATTATCCGTTTTGTGGCAAGTTTAAAACGAATGGAGAATCGATCGGCGGGAGCAATTAAGAAATTAAACTAGCAAGAATAACCCGTACTATGGTTGCTTTTCTCCTTCATTTGTCGCACTTCTTTGTTCTTTCATTCATCCGTTTGGTTTCTTCTTTCTCTTCCCCTTCCTTTTTCTTCCCCCTTGTATATTCAATGTTACTTTCGTACAGACTCAGAAGCAGATGTGACGACGAAAATCAAGCATACGCTTCTTATCTTTCTGTCATGCGCGCCGCGCCGGAGTCCGTTGCAAGAGCCTTATGCCAACTACCCAAGGCCACGTCTCCACCTCTGAGTAGGTTTGAAAAGTAAACGTAGATGCATCGCTAGACGTGCACCAAGACAGGTAGGGTCATATAGAGGAAAACGCGACAGGTGGTCTCCGTACCGAGGTAGACATAGGCTGAATTCCAAAGGGGATGTCAAGGGTTCGGCAGTGGCCCGACAATCTGTGGGGAGGTGTGTGTGGATGGTCAATTACTAACATCCGCTGCGGGACGAACGGGACCACGACGCAGGTTGAGTAACAGACAGGCGAGCAGGACCGAGACGAGGCCCACTCAACCAAATAGTGAATGTGAATGTGATCTCGCTCGAAGCGCGAGTCACAGAATACCAAATGCTGTGTTGTCTGCATCAAGCTTGTCAATACCCAAGGTCAGCATTCTCTAGGCTAGTTTACTGCTTTATTTTCCACCTCTCCCTTCTGGTGATGGGTAAACAACTCAACAGCACTTGAAACTTTAGGTTAGACGGTTAGACGTGGCTGGGGAATCGAGCCTCGCCTACACCAAACCTGACCAAGGGTCCAACCTCGCATCACAAGGGCGAGTTCCGTAATATTACGATGGCGAGAAGGACAGGGCGGGTTTCTTTTGTGGATGCTGGCAGATCAGGCTGGTCCCGAGCAACACTTGAAAACAACACCTGAGACAGAAAGCGGCGCCTGCTTCAACTGTTGTCGTTGATCTCCTGGGCCTATTGTCTTCTTCCCTGGGCGGCGCTTTGCGCGTGCCCTTGCTCGCCATTGGCCGAGTGTGGCTTTGGAGGCTCGATCACTCAGGTCCGCACCACGGTAGAGACGTGAATGGAAGATTGAGGTCTTTTTTTTTTTTTTTTTTTTTGGTGCCATCCATAGATCTTGCTTTGACTTCCCCTTTATGGCGCTAGAATCAATTGATCGTTGTGAACAAAGTCCTTCGGGTATTTTTGCTCCGCGGATACAACACTAAACACTAACCCCCTAAGCTCGTGGCCGACCTCGCCTTCCACCAATGTTTCCGCGTGACCCAAAATTATAGGCTTCCTTCCGAGCAGGTGCGATGCAGCCTTTCTTAGACGAGGAAAGCGTCACACTACCCATCTGCGAGGAAGACAACCTCTTGACTTTCCAAAAGAACGAGGTATACCTGGCAAGCTCGCTTTTTCTATTGATACTGTATGTCCCTGGGTTACGATCATTGGAAGGTTTGCCCCTTCGATCAATGTCTTCTGTTGATAGACACAGAGTCTTAAAATCAAAAAAGGGTTTTGCTTGGGTGGCCGGTCCGCAACGCGTCCGTTGTGCTTTCTCTTCTTCAGCGATTGCAATGAAGTAACAACCCACCAATGGGAGGGCGGTGGGGCCTTCCCACAGATCCCGGCCCCACTGCTGGTTGATGGAAAGGGAGGAACGAACGTTTTTTGGGTTTGGCAATTGGGGTCGCCCCTGAACTTGGAGAGCCGGAAAACGTCAAAACGGAACCAAAGTATTATCAAAGGTTCAAGGGAAGCGCATGTGGCGCACTGGGGCAGGTGCACTTGACTACAGGGCAACCGTGCTCGTCCCCCATTGCCATCCATAGATCCTTCCGCGTTCCCCAGGGTTTCACCCTGAAGGAAAAGGGAAGTAAGGCTTAGTGTAGTCTGGGCTAGGCATGTTGGGAGAGGTAATAGAGGCAATACAGAGAAAGGGAGAGATCCGGGGTGGTGGAAAATGGAAGAGAAGGTAATCGAGAACAAAAGTCTTGGCGCCCAGCCTCCTGTTGCATGTCTCGAAGGGCAGGTCTCATGGACAAGGCCGATGCTGTGCATTTATCATTCCGAGCATCCGACCTCTGCTCTGCGCTTGGCCCTCCAAGCGTCTGTTGCCGCTTCTGTGGTGGGTTGCCATCCATAGATCCTTGGACGCACCTACAAACTCATAGAACATTGAAGTGTCTCCATCCAAAATTCTCGTTTTCAAGTGGGAAAACAAAAGACTAGCTGAGCTCGACCCATCAACACCTCGTTCTCAACCTGGATCTGGACTTGGGTCCTCATTACCCGGCGGTTTTAGACAAACCCACGTCAAACAACTGAAGCTTGGGTTGACTTGAGGGTATAAAGTAATACCCCGCAGGTACTTCGTTAACGTGCCACTAGCACTCAGCTACTTGTGATTGGACTCGCCTTGAAAGAGGGCGGGTGACATTGCTTAGCATGCCGGACACCAATAATTTGATGCTTGCTTGCTTGAAGGGTTTCAGAGGCCTTTTTTCTCCCTTCTTGCCCCTTTTTCTTCTCCTGTTCTCTTTGGGGCTGGCCCTCCTAGCGCTGGAATAATATCGCTTTGCTCGAACGCAAGGTCTCCTTGATGGGTTGATGCAGAAGTACCCACTTGTACCCGTTCAACCATATTTAGCCTACATGATACCTTCTCCACACGATTTTGAACAATGGCACTTTTTTGTTCCCCCTTCCTGCAGACTGCTTTCCATTCACGGCTTTTCCTTCCTTGATGGCCCCGAGAAAGGTCTTGGCATTGGACATTCATTTGTCGCTTCGGTTTAATACTCGAGTCGAGGGGACACGACACGATAGCACCGTCGCTATCCTGGGTTACGCTGTTTCGCCCTCACCTTTTGCCTTTTGCAAAGGAGATTTTTCCCTTCTTCTTCTGAGATACAGCTTAAACCTTGTGCGCATGGCCATTAATACAGTAAATTAACCCCAGCCCTACCTGTGTCTCTTCCTCGCCTTTTCTTGTCTTGCCTTGTTTTTCCTTGTTTTTCCTTGTCTTTCTTTTTTTCTTTCTTTTTGGTCTTCAGACAAGATCTTTCGTGCAGCGATTGTCTGCCCCTGCAAGCCGGTCTCAAGGGTGCCCGTACCCGCACTAGTACCAGCCAGCGCCTTTTGGTAGTGGAGCAATCGACGCCACCGCCAAGAAGGCACAGGGGCACGAGCTCAACCCACCGAGAGGCACACACGATAAAGGCTTCACGATATGGGATCGCTGGCTTTCTCCAACTTCTCCCGGTAACCCTCTCACCACCTTGACCAGCGCAGCTTCCATTCGCGACCGGCGTGGTTGACCCTGACTCTTTGCTCTAAACCCACGATAGCTGTCACAGCCTCGCATACGGAGCTTCCTCTTAGATCACGACTTTCTTAAGACTTTGCACTCGAAACGCGCCCTTTTCTTCCCAATTCCATATTTTACTCCCCTTGCGCCCGCCCGCGCTGAGAGCGGCAGGCCGCGAGGCAGCTCCTCCTCTTCACGATGCTGCCACGGAGGAGATATCGGCTGTTGCTCTTCGTAGCAGCCGTCGTTGTCTTCCTCTTTTACCGCGCCGCGCACTCTGCCGACTGGGATCCCTCCGAGTATACCCGCTTTGGCCAGCGACCTCAGCAGTACCCTTCTTACTTCGATAGCGATCGCAACCCTCTGCACAAGCCTCCCACCCAGGAAGCTCCGGAGGCATCTGTAGAGGATGACTCGCACCCCGCCCACCCCCACCCCAAGACGAAGATGATAGCGAGCCTCCGGCCATCAACATACCGGTCTTGAGGCCCGGCGACAAGGACGATGTCAACTTCGCCCTGCCCACGAAGCCAGCGAATGTTGACCCCACCGCCGCCGCCGACGATGCCAAGGCAGCCGTCACCGAGGTTCCATGGTACGAGGAACTAGCCCCAGGCATGCACACGACGCCTTCCACCACGACCACCACATCCACGACAACGTACCCGCACTGGCAGAAGTTCAGCGAGCACTTCCCCGTGGCCGCCGAAGACCTCATTCTCCTCCCGACTGGCACGCCCAAGACCATTCCCAAAATCCAGTTCGACTTTCCCAAGGAGAGTCCCGCCGCCAAGGAGAAGCGGGAGGGCCGCTTGGCCGAGATCAAGTCCGAGATGAAGCGCGCTTGGAACGGTTACCGCACGTACGCCTGGATGCACGACGAGATCTCGCCCGTCACCAAGCTCTTCCGCGACCCCTTTTGCGGCTGGGCTGCGACACTCGTCGATGCCCTCGATACGCTCTGGATCATGGGTATGAAGGAGGAGTTCCACGAAGCCGCTCACGCCGTGGACACAATCGACTTCACCTATAGCACTCAGCGCTTCGACATACCCGTCTTCGAGACGGTAATCCGCTACCTTGGGGGCCTTTTGGCCGCCTACGACGTCAGCGGCGGCCACGAGGGCAAATACCCGATGCTGCTCAAGAAGGCCGAGGAGCTTGCCGAAATCCTGTACGGCGTCTTTGACACCCCGAATCGCATGCCCATCCTGTACTACCAGTGGAGGCCCGAGTACGTGGCCCAGCCCCACCGCGCAAGTGCGGTCAGCACCGCCGAGGTGGGTTCCCTCCTTATGGAGTTCACCCACCTCGCCCAGCTCACCGGCAAGCAAAAGTACTACGACGCCGTCGCTCGCATCACCAACGCCTTTGAAGGCCTGCAGAAAGGCGGTACCGCTATCCAGGGCATCTTCCCCGAGACGCTAGACGCCAATGGCTGTAACCGAACCGCCACGGATCTCAAACGCCAGGCCGAGCTCGCCGCCCAGCACCAGTCAACCGGTGACACCGACCTATCGGGGGCTCTCAGGCCTCGCCCAATAAACTACCCACAGTCCAACGTGGCGACAGCATCGTCGGTACCTCTTTCGCACCCCCATCACAACCTGACGAAGAGGAGGCGGTGGCTCCCCAGTCGGAGAGCGGATCGCAGGCGGGCCTAAAGAAGATGAAGAGGGGCTTCCGCGAGGTTCATGCGGATCCCAAAGTCGACGCAAGAGATGATGATGGCGTTGCTGTCCCAGTCGGCGGCTTTAACCCGTGGGATCCGATGAGCTTGATTGATCTGGATTGCGTGCCCCAGGCGCCGCTAGTCCCCCTGTCTTATGGATATCAGTCGTACAGTATGGGCGGTAGCCAGGACTCTACATACGAATACTTCCCCAAGGTAATAACCCCTTATCGAGATGGAAACTCCTCCCCCGTTTGTCTTTGTTAGCTCACACCATATCTGTAGACATATCTCCTCCTCGGCGGACTAGAACCCAAGTACCGAAATATGCATGAGAAGACGGTGGCCGCGGTCAAGCGATGGCTCCTTTACCGGCCCATGACGAAAGACCAGCGCGATATTCTCTTCTCAGCCAAACTCACGACTAATGGCGTGCCCGAGGTAGATGCGCGCCGCGAGTACGAAGTCACGCACCTGACATGCTTCCTAGGCGGGATGTTTGGGCTTGGTGCCAAGATTTTTGACAGCGAGGAGGACCTCGAGATCGCTAAGAAACTCACGGATGGGTGCGTGTGGGCGTACGAATCGATGCCTTCGGGCATCATGCCCGAAGGTGCCCATGTGGTCCCGTGCGAGGGCTTCAAAGCCTGTCCATGGAACGAGACCCTCTGGCACCAAGGCCTTGACCCTCTGTGGGAGTATCGCGACCAGCAGGTTGCCGACTACCTCGTGACCAAGAAGGAGGCCGAGGCTCACCAGAAGATGCTGGAGACCCAGCGGGAGCTGCAAAACCTCAAGGAGCAGCAGACTCCAAGCCAAGGCGGGGCTGGTGGCCAGGATGATAGGCCGGCGCACCAGCCCCTTCTAGCGCGGCGGAGGAGCAGGTAGCGCGCAAGAAGACGCTGTACGAGATCGAAATCGAGAATAGTGGCGCGTTGGCGCCCAAGATGAGGGACGAGGAGGACAAGCCGGCCAAGGCAGCGGAGCCCGCTCCAGAAAACGATGGCTCGTACCGATACCCTCGACCTGAGCCGGCAGCCAAGATTGCGCGACGCGATGGCGGCGAGGCGCAAGATTCCAACGTTGCCGAGCCAGCACCAGCTGGCTCTGCCGCGGACACTAACCCGGACTCGCTAGCAGCAGCGCTGTCTCAGATTCCGATCGAGGTCGAAGAGGATCCGTACAAGCCGCCGACGCACCTCGAGTTTGTCAAGAACAGGATTGCGAATGAAAAGATTCCACCTGGATTTTCCAAGATTCCTTCCAAGCACTATATCCTCCGGTACGTTTTAGTTTCCCGGCTCGTTCTGATGTTTTGTTCTTCCCGATCCCCTTAAGTCTTGTTCGCCTTGTCCCATTTGAAGTCGCGTGTTCGCCCCATCTCCTTGTTCAGTCCAGTTGCGGGAGAGCGAAGCTCTCCTGGATGCAGTGGTTCCATTTTATACAGGACTCTGCTTTCTGGGCCGCGTGGGAGCTTACGCAACCTCCCCGAGATGGCAGGGTGGCATCGCTTCTGTTTTGAAACCAGTAGTCCCCCTCACAGCGTGCGCTGTCAGCCCTTGAACTCGTTTATTCTCCCTTTACCCAACGTTTAATGGCAGTAAAATAAAAATAAAAACGAAGAATGATAACGCTAACGCCCAAATTTTCACTTTTTACCTACACAGGCCCGAGGCGATTGAGTCGGTCTGGTACATGTACCGCATCACGGGTGACCCGGTGTGGCAAGAGAAGGGTTGGCGCATGTGGAAGTCGATCATCGAGGCGGTGCGGACTGAAGTCGGCCACAGCGCGATCCACGACGTGCTCATGGAGAAGTCACCGCAAAAGGACTCGATGGAAAGTTTCTGGCTCGCAGAGACGCTCAAGTACTTTTACCTACTCTTCGCGACCCCCGACGTCTTGAGCCTGGATGAGTGGGTTCTCAACACGGAGGCGCACCCGTTTAGGAGGCCTGACGCGAAGAAGGCGTAATCGAGCAGGATGTTCTCTTTCCCCAGGAGGAGGAGAGGATTTGCATTTTTATTTTGTAATCGTCGTGCCACGATTTCCCAGCAACTCATTCGAAGGCGTTGGGGAATTCTTTTTCATCATGTTTATTCTTCCCCTTTTATTGGAATGTAACTCTATATATACCTCCTTCGTTTATATTACTTTCTACGTTAGCTTTTTTATATCCTCAAAGGTCTATCCTATGTCCTATATCTTATATCGAGTATACCATTTCTATCAATCCATTCTATCCTCTAGCGAATGGCATGTATTGTCTTTTATTCTTTGCTTTAGACTCTCCTCGACCCGTTGGCCATGCGGTGTGTTATAATAAAAATTGAAGTCTTTCAAGAAGCCATCCTTGGGCTGTAGGATAAACACAATGTCAAATGGTGTTGGGAAGGGGTATGGTATTGGTTCTATCTATATACATGTGGTTTGGTTTACCTCCTTTTCCCGCCGAGGCCCAAGCCCGCAACATCTCGAGTTGAGCAACATCTCCTCCACTGCCTCGCCTAAGAATAAGAGCCCCTCTCTGCTCTTTAGCCATTTTCTCCTAAATGCCTCTAGTTTTGTCGAAGCGGCACCCCATTGTTGATGGGGGCCGGGTGACCGTTTTTGCTTTCTATCTACACTGGCGGAGGAAGTTGCCAGCAGAATGAACAACCATTACTTTCATGGTCGATACTGGACGGGCATCATGGCAAAACATCAAAACGCAAACGCCTGCAAAACAGACGGACTCTCTGCCACGGGAGAGGAAGCATAAAGCAATGGAAAAAGCGGTATTGCCATTGAAAAACCAAACGAAAAGAATGAAAAGGGCAGGCTATAAAAAGACGGCATAAGAGGGGAGTCATCTCGGCGACATGTGATGGCAGATTCCTGCAAGATCAAAAGGCCGTTGATAAGAAAACAATCAGAAGAAAAGGGTAGCGGCAAGTTCAAAAGAATATAAAAAGGATAAAAAGCAGTACAAACAAACAAAAAGCATTGCATTGCAAAACTCCGATCCGATATGCGTCGTGGTGGTGGAGATGCTGGGAAGAGGGCCGCCCCCAGTTCTTCATCTTTCGTCATCCTCTGCTCTTCTCCTCGCCCTTTCAATATACATTCCCCCTCTTCTACCCCGTTCCTGGTCCCACTGGGGCCCTTTATCCTTCACCCTCATCCTGGCCCTTCTTCTTCTTCTCCGCCAATACCCCTGAGACATGCCCGCGTCTGAGTCTCTTGTCGCTCCTCTCCTCCGCAGTGGCGCATGTCCGCTTGGACTCCCCCTCCCCCACTTGGGGGCCTCTGTTCCTTCATTCCATTTCTTTTGTTCTGATGCCATTCGTGAGTTGGCAGATTCAGGAGAGAAAAAAAGAGAAAAAAAGAAGGCGATGGAGGGTGTTGTACCGCGCTCCCGCCGGATACACTGAGGGTACGACCTCATCCGGGGTTAAATCCTCTTTATGATCCATTCTTTTATACCATCGTAAAAAGTCAAATGCCTGAAAAAAGGTTAAAAAAACAAACAAAAATAAAACAAGGCCCTGGCCGTCCAGAATGTCAACGTTGATTCCAATCTTTGAACATGACATGTGTGTTTGTGTGCGTGCGTGTGTTGATCGTTTTCCCGTTACCGGTCATGCTTCTGATGCCCGTCGAATCCGCTCCAGTCTTTCCCCTCACATTATGTCGATCGAGATCAGAAGTGCCCGTCATGAATATAGTAAAAGAAAATGACAAAGAGAAAGAGCGATTTCGAGAACGGAGGCAGGATGGGAGACGGGAGACGGGGGCTGAGAAAAAGGATAGAGAAGTGGCAGGGTAGGAGATAAGAGGGTTGAGGACGATGGTGGCCGAAAAGGGCCCCGGAGCCCTGTTCAGATTACTAGCGTCCTCGCTCCCTCTTCCTTCTTCTCCCTCCATTCACTTTTCTCTCCCCTCCCTCCCGTCTTCCATCCTCACCTCTTTCGCAACTTTTAATCGCCCGCCATCTTGGTCAGTACGCTAATACTTAGAATCATGACTAGCAGTCCGATTGTCGTGATAATAAGCAGGGTAAAACTGAACCAGCCCATGACCATCGCGCTGGTGCCGACCCCTGACCGCACGGAACCGTTCCCAAAGTCCTCTGCTATGATGGAGGCAGCCACTGATGCTGTGTGCTGCCATAACACGGATACGAGGACGAAAACGGCGGCGATAAAGATAATTGCGAAGGCGACTTGGCTGACGGGCCGGGAGGGGAAGGGCTTCACCTCACGCTCTGAGCCCTCCGAGTCGGTCTCTTCGTGCCACACGGGGAACGTGGCTAAAAGGAGGACGCAGATAAAGGCGAAGATGATGGCGATGATGCTACCGACATTGTTAGAAGGAGGTCACAGCGACTGGCACAATTGTCTCCAGCCAGAAAGTGGGGCGAGAGAGAACAGCTTGGGGAGTGAAACTCACATGAGGTAGGGAAAGACGATCATGTCTTTAAATTGAGAGGCCAGCCATACGAGATTAAGCGGATCCTGGTCCACGGCCACCTCGTTGGCAAGAGCGGTAGCATTGTTGGAGCAGAGCCAACTGCCGCCATCCGGGTTGATGCAAATACCAAAGTAGCCGACACGGGCGGCGAGGCGGGCCTCTCCAGCAATGTTGGAAAGAGCCTTGTGTACGTTATAGTTGACTTGGGCCGTGTCGGGGGTCGCTGTGTACTGCTCGTAGTATAGAGACATGAGGAAAATGTCTGGTATTAACGGTGACGACGAAGAACATCCCGCAAGTAATAGCGCTGAGAGTATACGTTAGCTGAACTGTAGCTTCGTCGGAGGGGAAAAGCTCAATCACTTCAGAGCGAGAACGAGCAATGGGCTAAGGAGAACTTACACAGCAATATTATTGCAATGGCTATGAGGATCATGAGAACATGGTGATATCCTAGGAACGGTAAAAACCCTACATTTTCAGTTGTGTTAGCGGGCTACCCTTCAGAATGAAGCGGCTCAACGGCAGGAGGCTCTCAAAATAGAGCTGACCCAAGAGGGCGAAAACTTACGATACCACCCTAATTGAAAAGCAGGCATCTTGTTATGTGGTTGGATGTGGGTGTGTGGATGTGTGGGCGTAGATGTTCAGACGAAGCCGAACTCAAAAGTCCGGAGAGCTTAGCTCGCCGATGCCCGCGCCGCCGCTCCTGCGATCTGGGAGCGACGGTTGGGTTCCGCGTGGAATCTCGTGCGCCCGGATACTGCGCACTCGTCTCGTCTCGTGAGGACCAAATCCGTCCAGAGTAGGCGGCGGACGAGATGGGTCAAGGGCTCGATGAGCTTCGGGCGAGAGCTCGAGAGGGGACTCGGTAAACAAAGGCTTCGGTTCCGGCTAGGTTGCTAGGGCCTTGTCCGGGTCGGCTGGCAAGAGGAATCTCGTGAGGCTCGGCGAAGCAAGGACTCGATGGCCTATGTTTCCTGTATTCCAAGGGAAATGCCCAATGTTAGAAAAACCAGGTCGGCACCTCCTTGCAAATACGAGTGAGGCGGTGGTGAGGAGGACAGAGCCTGCTTGTTAGCGGGAAGCAGAGGCTCGATGACAACTGCTTGATGCGCAAGAGCGAGCGTGAGAGGGGGAGCAGAAGAGATGCGCGGTGGGTGAGTGGAAAGGGAGTGAAAGAGACCGCTGGGCGATGTTGCTAGAGATGTGTGTGTGTGTGTGTGTGCAGGAGAGGCTTGTGTTATCTGGTGGACGGGTATGTCTGCGGTGTTGTGTAGCGAGGCGAGTCAAGACGATGTTTCAAGACACTTTACACTTTGTCTCTCTTTGGTGGAGAGCGGGTTAAGCTTGTTTTGCGGGAGAAGCGAGGGGAAGGCGAGGTCAGGCGAGAGGAGGAAACTCTGCTTTTCGCGGCGAGAAGAGAGCGAGACAGCGGCGGATGTAGGAACGAGAGGGATGAAGGTTCGAGCAAGGCCGATGACTTGTGATTCTGTTTGAGAAAAGATGGGAAGAGGGAGAAGGAGAAGGAGAGAGGATTGAGGGTTGAGGGTTGGAAGAAGAGAGAGACGAGAGACGAGAGACGAAACAAGACGTAATGCGTTACCTCGTATGGCAGCGTTTACAAGTATACACCACAGCACAATCCTGGTTGAGGTTGGGCTGGATCGGGGGCGTGGGAATAATACAAGAGGTCCTGGTGGAGTGCGGCAAGGCGGGCCTTGGCCTTGGCTGGTAACCGGAGGCAACAGGAAAGTCCGCAGCCAATTTTCCCTTTGGCCTTTTTTTTTTTTTTAGGGGAGGGGAAGGGCCCTGATGTCGTGTGTGCGTGTGTGGTGTGTGGTGTGCGTGCGTGATGTGTGGTGTGCGTGTCCCTGTGTAGGTGGATATGCAGTGGTATGTGCTCTTTGCTCTAAAAACGTGCCTTCCTTGACTTTTACTATTGATGCTAAGAATGTAAAAGATCTGAGGAAGTGACGATGCACACTGCTCCAGTCGTGAATATTTTAGATAAGAGACTCCTGTCTCTGGTGAAGGATGAGGATTTCCCTTGGAATCTTTGGATTGTTTTGATTCTCTCGATCCCTCTCCGGTGACGAATGAAAGCAGGGGGAAGAAAGAGGGTATTATCATAAGATCATGAATTAAGGACTGACACAATCATCCACCAAGGCATTGAAGAGCTTCCAGATGAGCCAGCTGGTTGCGATGTCGTCGCCTAGCCACTGCATTATTTACTTGGGTGGTGGGGGCATGGATCTGGTTGACCCGACGACCCCGGGGTGGCGGAGTGGGAAGGTGCCTTGCGGTTCGCTGGCGCCCTGGGGCCCAAATCCTCTTCAGGAACCGACTTGGCCGACCTCCTCGCCTTCCGCAAGCCCCCTGGGAAGAGAGCCAGCCATTGTATTTTATTTGTCGCATCCTCTCACCGCTTCAGCGTTGAGAGACTTGGCATCTACATGTGATTTCCCCGATTTTGTTTCTCTCTCCCGCTCGCGCTTCAAAGTTCTTTCAGGAGCCCCTTGCATTAATCCAGCGATTGGAAGTAAGCATGTCCATCAGATCTGCTGGAGCCGCCCCCAGAAGATTGATATTGATCGATTGTGCGCGTGTGCTTGTGCTTGTACTTGTATACGCGGATATTGGCGAGTCAAGGCCAGATTCTTCAGATTCATCACGGAGCCGCAGGAAGGACCCTTGTCTTTTTGGTTTCTTTTTCTTTTTCCTTCTTGCGTCAGATCCGGCTTTGCGCCTTGGCGGATCTTGGATCTTGGAAATACCTCGTAGTATTCGCATTGCTCACCCCGTTCCGTTCTGGCCGAGCACCAAGCCCTCTCCTCCCATGTTTTCCCGGGAATTTGTCGATGAGATCAATTGGACAATTGAACTTGGGCCGTTCAGCTTGCTCAGCTCCGAGCCTCCCACGCAACATTTTGCGGGAAGCGAGTGCACTCAGCTGGACCCAGCCGACTCGGCAACGAGTGCTTGAATTATGTCAGCGACATCTCCCCAGGTTCCTGTTCCCCCACAGTAGTGTGTACAGTGACAACCCCCAACATGCAGGGAAACAAGGTTGGTTTGGTCTCGTTTTGAAGCGTTGGATACTTTTTCGGGACTTGCGCTGCTGCTGCTGCTTGCCGGATCTGCAGACCCGTGGCAGATTTTGGGATATTGAACGGTTTGAAGTTTTTTGGTTTTGGGAGACCAAGACAGCACTTTGACATCCTCCAAGAAAGGGAAAAAAACCCTCGGTACCCCCATTGTGCATCATCATCCGTGGAGCTCTCACATTCATTTTTTTACCTTTACCTCCGTCTCCTTCTTCAATTCTTCCCTTTTCTTTCTTTTTCTCATCACCTTTCTCCATCCACCCAAGCTGCAAGGACCCGAGCCGAGCTCGCCTTTTTCCTCCCCTGCCCTTTTTTTTCTTACAGCTTCCTGCCCGTTCCTTGTCCTGCCCTGCACCAATTGACACCTCCACCGCTCGCTCCGCCGGCGCCGGATCCCCCTCCCTCCCCGGTCCAACCGAGCTCCGTATACGAAGGGGAGGAGCGTATTGGGCCAACGAGTCTCACAACTTCTCCCATCTGTAATCATACCTCCAATAGAGCTACTGGTCGCTCGCATTCCAAGCCGTTTCCCCAAGCTCTCAGAAGGCGCCCTACATTGCCATTCCGCCTTCCTTTTTATTCCCCCGGTCGTCTCGCGGGTGCATTGTCTGTTCGACCCGGCTCGGTACACTGCTCAAGGTATGTGACACGTTGAACGGAATTCGCCATGCGCGCGCCGGCCCTGGCTGCTGGGATTTTTCCTACCCCATGCGTATGCCCGCGTTCATCCACCTTATCCCCCTCCGGTTATATGCCCTTTTTTTTTCTTGTGCACGAGTGCATAGCAATTTTGCGACGGTTGGGACTGCGTCGTTGCGCGCTCACTATGTGTGTACTATCTAACATTTTTTCTCAGGGTTCATATACTACATGTCGGAGGGAAGGACCAAAATATGAGCAGCTGAATTGCCCATCCAGTCTTATCCAAGCCAACTCACTATCACGTACTATCCCATCATGTTCCCCTTCCGGCCATCACGTCTATTATTCGTGCGGCCCAATGGACCCTTTTACTTTCTTAGCGACGAGGAGTTCACCTCGGACGAGGAGGGCATCGCTCTGAACCCTCGCAACAAGGGCAAGGGCAAAGAAAAGTGCAATGGAAAGGGCAAGGGCAAGGGCAAAGGAAAGGAAAAGGAAGGCGAGGGAGAAGAGGAAGCGGAGCTCGTGGACCCCAAGATCCATCCGTTCGGTCACCCCGCCGAGGGATCGGGGCGTGCGAGGGTGTTTGGGGAAGTGCCCGAGACCAGGAGGTCGGGCGAGACGTCCTTTGCCGACACGCTCTTGTTTTCGCCCAACGGTATTGCGGCGGGTCGCCACAAACCATGGCTCAGGGAGCTGTGTCTGAATACAATAAATACCCTGCGGCGGAACGAGCGGTATCTCAACGTCGCTCTGTACGTGTCTTTCCTCCCCCTCCTCCTCCCCTCCTCCCCTCCCCGTCCCAAATCTCTGAGACGATGGGCTTACGTCGTGCCCCGTGCCGTAGCAATTCCGGAGAGTCCATCAGGTACGGCTCCACGAAGCACCTTGACATGCTCAGACACCTTGACGAAGACTACTCGTCCGTGTCATCGCTCCGTTGCACGCCCATCGACTACTACGTGAAGTGTATGACCGAGGTCGTCAAGACCGACCCCGTGGACAACCAGGCGCTCCATAACTTATTGGACGACTTTATTGTCGAGACGGACGTGAGGATCAACCACATGATTGGGCTGGCTCGTCTGCTAGAGCCGGAACCGGAGCCACAGCCGGGACCATAGTCGGCGAACAACGAACAACCGAGGGACTCACTGGCATGCTTATTTATGCCTGCCTGTTGAGCAGTCTCGTTCTTGTTTACCTCGTTTATTCCCCCATTCCTACGTCGACTCACAAGTTTTCATGTCTATATCTATATAGAACATATATGTATCTTTGGGCGGCCTTGGCGAGAGGGCGGCGGGCAACCGCAACAATGTCATGGTTACACAATCTAGGTCGCATGTGAAGCGAGTCAAGGCGCACTCGTGTATTCACCTCCATCTGGGACAGGCAGGGGATAAGGATTTGATTTTGATTGAATTTGGCGTTGATATGAGAAGTGTACTGGTATCTTGCGTCTTCATTTTCGCCTCTCTGGCACTACATAGGGCATGGAAGCTACTCTTGTTCCTGTCGACCCATTGACCCATTCCTTGTATCCATGGATCCATTGCATTGGATGTGTATGCCACGTCAATATCAAGTGCTCGCCGGCCGGTGGACCTTTGCCTGTAAGACCCACCAAGTCCTTCTACACCACACCATGCGTAACCCCTCGAGTTGGGGGTTCCAAAAGAAAGAAAGGGGAATTAAAAAAGAAAAATTTCAAAAATTAAAAGAAGAAACCCGTTTAGAAGCGGGTGAAAGGGAGCCTGCACACACAAAATTCGTTAGTCCAGCCGAAGCAAAAAAAAAAAGAAAAAAGAGGCGCCCAGGACAAGACGCGCAACGGGGCGACGGGGCCCGTTATATCTAGATGCACAAAACTCACCACTTGCCCCGTAGGGTAATGACAACCCAAGCAACACCCTGGTCATCGTCCTCCCTCTCGACCTTGGTGGAAAAGGCAATTGCGCTCATGATGCCGTCGCCAAACTTTTCATTGCACACGGCCTTGAAAGCGTAGCCGTAGTTGCGGACGATTTCGTACAGGCGGTAGACAAAGGGTTCGGTGGGGGCATGGGCCCGGCGCGGCCACGGTCGGGGAACCCGGTCACGCCGGAGGCGGCGAGGGTGTCGGCGGGGATGTCGAGGACGGCGGACAGGGCGTCGACGTCGGCGGGGAGGCGGGGAGCTGGCCGTAGAAGAGGGCGGCGATGGCGACTTCGGAGCGGTCGAGGCGGGCGGCGAGGTCGGCAAAGGTGAGGCCCTTGGCGGCTTTGGCGGAGAAGAGGAGGGAGCAGTGGAGGGGAGGCTGGCGAGGAGGACGGACTGGGGATGGGGGAGTGGGTTAGCTGCATGGGGAAACGATGGGGAGGGCTAGATAGGTCTCTTGCTGCTTTGCTTGTGAGGATAGCTGGGGAGGGGATCTTACGTCGGGGACGGCGACACGGGTAGCTTCGGCCATGGTTGCGGTATGGAGGGGAGGAAAAGAGGATGGGTTGAGTTGAGTTGTGCCGACGAGGGAAAAGAAATCCGCTGGGATGGGATTGGATTTGTGTTTCGACTGATGTTGGGAAAAGAGACGTCGATAAAGCTTCAAGAAGAATATAAGAGAAACCCGAAAAAGAAGAGGACAAGAAAGACTCTTTTCGTGCGAGCTCTACGAACCTTGTTCCTTCTCCAGCGCGTCTTTATATACACATAGTATCCGTCCGTAACCCCTCACTCTCCAACGAAAAGAAAAGTCGTGTCTGACACACAGCTACCTCGTTAGCTCGCCGCTCACCCGTCGCCTTCGATCCGCGTTGTCCTGCTCCCTGCTCCCTTCTCCTTCTCCCCTCTCCCCGAATCGGCGCCTGTCCTGCATATGCCGGTATGCCGGGGAGCGGGGAGGGGACGACAAGGTGGGGAGATCCAATTGATGGGAGCTAGCGAGCAGGGCACAAGAGGGGCACACTACTCTACTTGCGTTCCACTCTTTTCTTGCCTTCAATCTCTCCGATGGGCCGCTGTGCAACGAAACTCGGCGATTCGCTTTTCTTACTCGTCTTATGCTCTCTCTTTTTTGGTTTATTATCTCTCCTTTGTGAACGGCAAGCTGTGATTACCAGGTGGTTATAAAGGGGAGAAAAGGACCCCAAATAAAAGAACCGTTCCCCTCTTTTAGTGCCTCCTCCGAATGCGCGTCAAGCGCAAGGGCCACGACCATCCCGAACGCCGGGCCTCGCGGGTTCGGCGTTGCGGGCACCCTCCTGGCATGGGCTCGCATGGGCTCGCATCGTCTCTGCGCGTGGTGTGTCCATGATCTATGTAGTCTCTGGTGGCAAGGCCCCAAAGGAATGGAGCGTCTAAACACTGCAAAAAGCGGGGGAGGGAAAGCTCGGCTCGCGTATGGGGGCCACTAAGAAAGCATAGGGGGACCTTTTGGACCAAGCTACCCAGGACCACTTGAGCTAAAAAGAAAAAAATTGGGATATTAGCCGAAGGAAGGGCAACGGGGAATCATTGGATCAAATAGATTCGGTAGGCGGACGGAAACCAGCGTACAAAGATCCCACGATCCATTGAGACGGGAAACTGCAGTGGACGACTCTCGACTTCTTACTATTCCCGTCCCTTTGATATGATTTCCCGTACTGTCAAGATGGGAGAGGATTTGTAAAAGTCAATCAATATTGGCGATGCGAAAGAGCAGCTGTCTGGATATACATGTACTTACAAGACACAACGTTGCTCGCTTCGCCCAACTCCGATCCACAGTCGTTCCGGGGCCGAGAAGAACATTCAACACTTCCAGTCTCTCCTGAAGAGGTTCACCCAGTACAAAATCATTGTTCCGATAGGCGCCGCGCCCGTACCCGCCGAGGCACGCATGTTGATGGCAATCAGACAAAGGTGAGAGTATATTCTGCATTTCACATCATGGTAAAGACTAAACAACTACACCCGGAAGAGAAACAAAGACTGAAGAAACCAATTGAAATGACTTGAGAATCAAAAGCACCCCGTGTAGACATAAACGCCCCATGTAAATAGTAGTAGTAATAAATATCCCTTCGCTGCTGGTGTTCATCAATTCATACCCCCAAACCCTTGACCCAAGTCCGAGTCCGCGTCCGCGTCCGCGTCCGCGTCGTCCGTCCCCCCTCCCCTCACATCTCGTCCAACGTCTCCTTCACCACCGTCCACAGCATCCTCAAGTCATAGTACCGCGCCACGCTCCCAAACACCTCCAGCCTCTCCCGAATCGCCCCCTTGTCCAGCCCGTCCACCCACGGCCCGCTGCACGTGCAGTGCTCCATAAACTCGTTTTGCTTGATCGCGCCGCACCGTCCGCACCGCAGATCTTGCGTCACCCACCCCACCAGCACCTTTTCCACCTCGCCCACCAGCCTCTCCTCCAGCTCTAGCCGTGACACCTCCCACCCGCACCCTCGGCAGTTCCACGTCCGTCCCGCCCCCTCCGCACTCCCAGCTCCGGCTCCGGCTCCGGCACCGGCTCCAGCGCCCGTCTTGCGCCGCCCGTCCTCCCCAACCTCGGGCAACAAATCCTCGTCTCGGCAAAAGTCCAGCTCCCGGGGCATCGCGCAGTTCTCACAACTATAATCCGCCAGCCGCAGCGTCTCCGCCGGGTTGCGAAACGCCCCGTCCTTGCTAAACTCCCGCACGTCAAACATTTGCAACAGGTCCCGCCGGAGCAGCCGCGCCTCGTTGGTAATGTTCTTGTCCAGGCTGAGCACCTGCATCATGCACTTGACCAGCTCCAGCACCCCGTCCCGGCTGTTGCGTCCCGAAAAGAGTGTTCCCGGCAGCGCGGGAAAGTCGTAGTCCGCCGCCAGCTCCGCGTGCACAATCTCCCGTTGCTGCGCCTTGATGAGCCCCGCCACGTCCTTCTTGAGTGGTCGCTCAAAGTGCTTGCCGCTGATAATGTTCTCCACCGTCGGCGCCGCCTGGTCGTTGCGCTTCTCCTCCATCTGCCTCATCCGCTCCCGCGTCGAGAGCTGCGTCGCCCGCGGTGGCCCCCGCCATCCTGCCCCGTCTCGTCGGGCCGCTTGAGCCGGTGCATGATGTTGATGAACTCCGCGATCCACTTGAAAAAGGTCGGCTGTAGTCGGTTCGGCAGATAGGTGCTCATCTGCCAGTGCATCACCGTCTCAAAGTTTTGGTTCACCTCTTCCTCCACCTCCCCGCCTTCCGCCACCACGCTCTCGCACCCTTTGCCGCCGTAGTTGTACTCGTCGTACCACACCAGGTAGTCCCAGTACTCTTTAATTTCCAAGTCGATAAAGTGGAATAGCGGCTGCGCCTTGATAGACCGCGTAATGTACTGCGCGTACGACGCCGCGTTTTGCACGTCAAACTTGCCCGTCTGCAGCATCATCCGCCCCGAGTTGGCAAACACCACCTGGCACCCCACCTTGCGGAAGTCGCCCATGAGCTGCTGGAACGCCTTGCGGCAAATCATCTGCACGTAGTAGTGCAGCGCCCGGTCGTACAGGAACGAGTCCGGGTCCTCGATCCACCGCACCAAATGGTTCACCATCAGGTCCGCCATCGGGCTGCCCCGGCACGCCTCCGCCCACCACGACTTGACCATCTCTCGCAGCACGAGGATGTTGGTGTCCGAGAACGCCCCTTCCGAGTACATGAGCGATCCGTCCCCGTCCCCTCCACCGCCATCGCCGCCGAAGCCCCCATCGGGTTGGCGTCCGCCCCTTCGAGGTTGTTGATGAGTGATGCCGTCAGGATCGTGTTGATGGCGAGGTTGCGCACCTCCATCTCGATGCACACCGCGTTGTACGTGCCCGGGTGGTTGACCGTCGGCATCTTGACCACGTCCAACGGCCCCATCACGTCGTCACGCTCGTGCGATCCGTGGTCCGGCCGCGGGCCCCCGACCACCACAGCACCACGTCGTTGGTCACGAGCCGCCGCGCGTAGTTGACGTCGATGAGATACCGCGGATCGTCCTTCTCCAGGTTGCAGATCGGCACGTTGGCGTACCGTGCCAGCGTCATCAGGTGCGTGAGCTCCCCGCCGAGTCCTAGGTAATGCCGCACCAGTCGCCGCGCCACCGCCGCCTGCCACCCCAGCGGCGGCAGCGCCCCGTCGTACACGTCGTACTTGAGCGGGAGGATGGGCAGCTCGCTCAATCCCGGTATGTCGCGCACCAGAGACGCGCGGTTCAGTGACTGGATCGCCAAGATTTGCGCTCGCGGCTCCTCCTTGCGCATCTTCTTCACCACGTCCCCAACCTCCAGGTGCGCCTTTCGCCGCGTCGTCACCTGCGTGATCTTGAACTGCAGCTTTTCCTGGTACCGGAACAGGTCCTTGAACTGTGCTTCGCCAGACTCCTGTAGGTGCTCCTCCAGCTTCTGCCCGTACAGCTTGGAGAGGTTGGGTATGTCCTGGCCTCCGTCGCGGTGCTTCATGAGCATCACGATATGCGCCTGGTTGCTCGTCGTCGAAAAGATGCCGAAAATCTGCCGCTCGGGTGCCACAATGTGCGAAATGTAAATGTACGACACCGGCACGTCCTCCAGGTACGTTCGGCTCTTGGTCGGCCGCATCAGACCCGAGAGGTCGAACCCTTGCTCGAGGCCCTTGCCCAGCACCGCTTCCTGCGTCTCGTCAATCGTGCACACGTTGCCCAGCTTTAAGAGCGCTCGCATGTACAACGGTACCGACGTTTCGTACACTCCTTCCACCGACGAGTGCGAGCGCAGGTCGCAGAGCCACTGCTGCGATGCCGCGTACGACTCCTCGGGCATCGTCATGCGGTGCAGCACCGCCGACTTGTGCCCGTTGGGCAGCGTGTGGTTGACTTTTTCCACAACGCAGCCCTTGGGTGGCGCGAGCCCCGGCAACGTCTTTTTCTTGTAGTTGACATAGATTTGCCGCGGCACCCTGACCTTGAGCGTGTGAATCTTGGCATCGATGAGCACATACGCTGTCACTACCCCGCTGGTGTCTTCCGGCTTGAGGTAGATGAGCTGCCACGTCGTCATAAACGTCGTGTGCGCCGCCCGCATAAACGACTGTTGGATGTTGTTGCCGCCCCCGCGCCGGTCTCCGAACAGCTGCCGACGCCGTATCCGCGTTTCCTTTTGCTTCTTCCACTTCTGTTTCTGGTACGCGAGGAACCCGGTGTAGTCCTCGTGCATTGATGGCATCACCGCCGGAAGCTCCTCTACCTGCTCCACCTCGGCCGGCTCTGGCGACTTCCGCTTCTGGACCTGCCGCGCCCGCAGCTGGGCCTCGGCCTGAGATGACTGCAGAATGGTGCCGGGCTTGGCTTTGAGAAGCTTGTTGCCAAAGTCTTCCATATCGTCTGCCCCACGCGTCGCCGCTCGGTTGGTGATGTCGTTGAGCGGCTGTTTGACAAAGGACAATTTGGTCTGCTGCATCTTGTCTTCCTTGGCGGCGATTCGGCGCCGAAGCCAGTCGGGGTGCACGATCCTCGGCACAGGGTTGCTGACTTTTGGAGCGCCGCGGGGATCGTGATGAGCTTCTGGATCACGGACCCCAGTCGCTCCAGGTAGTAGTCCCAGTCCAGAAGGTCCCGCACGTCGGTGCTGGCGGGGTCTTCCTTGAGCCACTTTTTCAAAAATTTCCTCTTCACATCCTCAGGCGCAGAGAGAATGGCCACGGGCACGGCACGCTCCGTGACGGGGGCATTCTTGGGGTTCGCGCAGATGATGAACTTGCAGTTGAGACCCTTATCCTTGACCATGCCCTCGCCCAGGAAATCCGCCAGGCGTTTCGCCGTCGTGATACTCGTCGACTTTTGAGTACCGTACTCGGCCAGAGTCTTGGACATGCTCCTGTTTTCCGAAATAAGGTCCATGAGCTCGTCATCCGACAGGTCGCCGCCCTTTGAATAGAGCACGTCCAGCCATCGATCGGCCACTCCCGCGACCGCCGCATAGCACTCGGCCAGAGTCTTGCCCTCGAGGAAGAACTTGAAGATTTGCTGCTGGAAGATTTTGATGAGCTTCAGTTCTCCTCTTCTCTTGACCTCGAAACCCTTGAGTTCCGCCAAGCTACCGTCGTCGTTAAAGACGGCATATCGCTTTTTCAAGTTCTTATCCTCTTCCTTGGATGTGGGCAGCACCATGGCCTTGTATGGGCCGTCGACCTCGAAGAAAATCGAGTTGTCGCTCTGCGTCTCGTACCTGAAGCTCTTCTCATCCACAAGGTTCTGGTATTGGTGATTCGTGAACTTGGCGTGCACCAAATGGTTCAACATGACACAGGGGTATGAGATGAATAGCTTCTTTCCGTTCTTGAGCTTAAAGGCGTAGTTTTCCGGGAAAGACTTGGGCAACATGCACCAAATACCGTCCGTGTCCAACTCCAGCGGCCGGCCGAGGCGCTCGACGATCTCCTTGGCCATCTGGATGATGTGAGCGCCCGTCAAGCAGGTCACGCCGGCCATCTCCATCGAGTACCACCGGGAACCCTTTCGCATGACGTAGCCATAAAAGGAATTGAGAATGACTTTGTGGGCGAGCTGCAGCGAATCGAACAAGATAATCATCTTCTTGGCGGCGTCGACCTCGGAAGTCGACGCGCCGGATGATTTAAGCGCGTCCGTCTTGCCCTTCCACACCTTGGCCTTACCCTTGTAATCGTAGCGACGGTCTCGGAAGTCGCGCACGGTATTAATGTAAAGGGGTTCTCCCGCTGGCAAATGATTGCCTCACGGACAATGGTGGTCGAGTCGCGAATCTTGTGGTAGACCTTTGCGAGTACAGCTGCAGGCGCTTCCTCACAAGCGCGGTCTGCTCCTCGTGACTGAGCTCATGGAAGCTTCTCGCGGGAGAATTGGGATATTTTCCGGGAATTTCTCGCCCTCCAGCGCGTTCTTGATCATGTTGTATTCGTCGCGCTTCGCGGGGAGATACTCGCCTCTCCACGCCCAGGGCAATCGCCTATCGCAGGTTTTCCCGGCCTGTTGAAGTCGCAGGCAGCACAGTCGGCCTCCGAAATCATAGAGTCGGGCTGCAGACGGTTCGTGGTCATGATGTTGGGGTACATGGACGCGACGTCCAAATGGTAGATGAGGGGGCATTCGGTACGATTAAGGGGCTCTTTGAGGGATCGCAGCTGAGCCGCAATCTTGTCCCTGATCTCGGCGTAATTCTCCACGTCGTCCATGGACTTCTTCTCCTCCACCGTGATGCTGAACTCGAGAGCAGAATCCAGATCGCGGATAAGCTCATCCACGGCGCCAGCGTCGATGGAAAAGTTGACTGGAATGTCGGCGCGGAATACACCGGCCTCGATACTCTCGACGTGACCGCCCACGTATGTCTCGGAGTCTAGGAGATGGCCATTCCAAAACGCCTCCTTGGGCGCCATGTGCTTGTTGGGAAGAACGATGTCTTTTTGATAGGCCTGCACCATGAGCAGCATCTCACACAGCGTACCAGTACCTTTGCGGAGCGTGTGGTCGGGACCGAGGGGAGAATCGTGCAGAGCGAGAAGATGAAGGGGTGAACGTATTTCATGTAGAGATAGTAGGTTGCGACGGCGTCGGATACAGAGTACTCGGCGAGCGTCTGGGGTCGCTCGCTCGCGTAGGGTGTCATCAACTCGGGGTCGAGCTCGTCGGGGTCGTATCCGAGCTTAGCGACCGTCACGGCCTTCAAGCCACGAGATCCCTGCGGCAGGTAGGAGTCTCGATTCACCCAGTGAAAGCAATCCATGTGGACGCTGTAGTTGCACTGGTACTGGTCCTCGCTATCCTTCCTCCAGCCAATCTCTTGGTACATGTCGATGCCGTTGAAACTAGCACGCGCATCCACAAAGGGCCAATCGAAGAAATCACCGTTGTACGTGGCGATGACAGTGGGTCGGACCTCCTTGATGTGAGCGAAAAACCGCTCAATAACGGCCCTCTCGTTGGCTTCGTTGAAAATGGCGAAACTACCGGGGTACTCGGCCTTGGCGGTGTAGTCAAAGTCGTGGATATCCTCGGATACGATCTCCCGGTTCGTGATCAAGTAGCCTTTGCCGTTGATCATGTACGAAATCATCATGATCTGGTCGCTGGCGGCATCGGGAAACTTGAGAGGTGGCTTCGTCGTCTCGATATCATACGCCAGTACGACAGGGTCGGCCGGGGCCAATTTGTCTTCGTTGCACTTGACCGTGATTTGCCCTGCCTTGGCTTCCACAAAATACCATTTACCCACCCGGATATCTACAAACCGTCCATTCTTGTTAGCTTCGGTGTTGGAACGATCGCATACTACGACCTCCACCGAGGGAAAGGAAGATACCAACCTAAATCTATCATTACTCGAACTTGGTAAGGAACGTCATATTCTCGAATATCAATAATGTACTCGCTCGCGTCGGCAATTTTGCCGTCGACATGGTGGTCGTCGTCTCGTAAGTCATCAAAAAGATCGAGTTTGCCGTCAATACTGCCAATATGTTAGTGAGGGCTCTTTAGTCTGCAAGAGGTGACTGCCGGCGCGGACATGAACGCGGCGAGACATATCGAGAAGTTGGACAGGGGAACATACGCGACAGACTCGGCATACGCATCTTTCGCGCTCTGGTTCTTCCTATTCCTCTCGGCAATAGGCATGATTTCTCTCCTGGCGGTGAGTAGGTCTGTGACGTTGAGGAAAACTAGTTTTAGCAGGGTCCGCTTGAGTCCCAGAAGATGGTTTGGGAGATCAAGGTCATCCTTTTCCACCTTCTTCACCGCGCGCACTATACCACCTCCACCTATCCTCTTGACCCACTCCTCTACTACGCTCTCGTAGCCGCGCTTTACAACAATGAGGAAGTAGGGTTCGTACTCGACCGCAGCCTTGAAAGTGGTACCGCCATCGTCTTCGATGAAGTAGCAGTCCACCGCAGCGCGGCCGTTAGGGTTCCTCTCATCCTGAATCGAGGTGGGCTGCACGTTGACGAGCCATCCTTCCTTCTTCTTGCCGCTCTCATAGCGCCCGAAGCCCATAGACTCGTCAATGGTATGTGCCAGGAGCGTCCGCTCCCATTTTTCGTCGGCCGACGTCGCTTCGTTCCGGCCCGAGGCGGCAAAGGTCCGGGTTTTGGCGCCGTGGTAGGCAACCTTGCCGCCGCGCCGGTAGCCCTTTGGGGCTGGCGGACTGATGTGTTGGGCATGGCGTTGTGGTGACCGTCCCCGTCGTCTGCGCGCGCGCAAACGTCGCAGTTGTCGTCTTCTCCACGCCGAGCGTTGTGCTTCGTGTGTCAGATCGATTCCCTTGAGTCACAGCGTCTTTTGAGTCAGCCCCTTGGGAGGGAGGGGATATCGCGAATGTCGTCTCAGGAGACGTTGGAGAATTTTGTCCACATCCGAGATCAATAGAAAGGGGGTGGGGAGGCGAAGGCGAGAGACTGGAGGAAAGACACCAAAGCTGAGATGCCGTTCTTTTTCGTCGTGGCAGGCAATTTCCCGTTCTTTCGGTGCCTGTAGATACACTCCGTATTCTTGGATTAATTCGTGAGGAAAGAAAAGTCAAGTTTCGTTGTTGATTATGGTGGGGAGGAGCAACGCTAGGGTGCGTTGTGATGTCCAGGATGAGGGATGGGGTTTGGAGGTACACGAAAACCGCCAATTGTGGTCCAACGAAAGGGCGTTTAATGGAAAATGTCCGTCGCGGTGCGGACGCGTCTCCCACCCCAGCACTTTTGGGGGAAAGCGTGCAGACGCGAAAATCCCCAGCCAAAGCTGTTACGCGTGGGGCCCGAAATCAATTAAACCCAGAAAACCGAGGGTACAATGGTACTTGCGAAACAGTGGGTCTTTTCTTTGTTGCAAGGGCCAAGTCGACCTCCAATGCACGGACCCTTTTGATTTTGATGTCATGCCATTCGCCTATTCTGAGCGGGAAAGCACGACGGGCGATGGCAAAAAATAATAATAATTGAAGCTTCAACATATTTCGCCTCTAAACAATCAAATCGATCTAGGAGCTGCGTCCCACCACCCCCAAATCCCCGCCCGACCGCTTCCAAGCCACTCCGGTCTTCGCCCAAGACACCATGTCTTCCGATCCAGCAGGCGGCGACCGGCAGCCGGATGCTAATCCGTCTGGCGGCAACAAGCGCCTGCATATCTGGGGCCGGCCCATCGAAGCCCCCGCCGACGTCACCCGCCGCCACCCCGGCGAACAACAGTAGTGCGGCGGCTGCCCTCCGACGGAAGCGCAGGGCAAGGCCTTGTCGAGCAATGACTTCCAATCTAACTTTCCCGAGCAAGGTGTCTCGATCGGTGACGCCGTCAAGACGATAAAACCAGAAGATATACTACAGGTGCATAGGTCCGCGTGCGGTCGCCAGGGACTCATGATGGGCATTACCGCCGGTGCGATAACGGGCGGCCTTCGCTTCGTATGGAGAGGTGAGCAATTCCGTCCTTGTGACAGTGACGTCCCCTCTCTCTCTCTCTCGCCCTTTGTCCGGTGCAGCAAAACGATACCTCAGAAGAGCAACCCTTTTCATTTTGATTTGGCGCCGTCTTGCTAATGATCGCCTCCGCTCTTATAGGTACGCCAATCAAGGCGGCAAACTGGGCTGTAGGAGGCTTTCTCGGTGGAGCGATACTCGGGTTCGAACGATGCCAGTACCTCAGGCGACTTGAGAGGATATCCATGAAGCGTATCGTCGAGGTGCACCAGTCCGATATTGTGGAAAAGAGGCGGACAAAGGAGGAAGAGGACGCGCAAAAACAACTCCAAGCCGCTGCTGCCACGGCGAAGAAGTGGTACAAGTTTTGGTAGATCGCCACACGAACAGCCCCGCATAGCTTGTTGAGTATTTCCTCATATCTGTATGTTCTACCGGCGCATGTGTGTATCATCATCCTGGGAAGCGGAAAGTGGGACTGTAGTAGCGTAGGCCAAGGCTGCGCGGAATTCGAAGAAAGCGGCAGAGTGCCAGCTGGCTCTCTTGGAATAGACTTGAAGTGTACACTATAGATATATGCATACCATTATAAGTCCACAAAGGAAGCCCGGACAAGGGCTTTCCCTCCCACCGCCGCATCATTAACACACGTTTGTAAAGTACACTAACCGGGGATCATGAAAACGCAAGTAAAACACCCAAAAAGAACATACATTCGTGAAAAGCATTAGCCAGGCATCCTCCCAATTCCCAAGGGAAAAAAAAAGAACCGATAGTAAAAGGAGAAAGCAAAAAAGCCTCGTAAGCCTAACCCAGAATCCGGAACCGTAGCGCCTTTGAAGCCGAGTGAACGAAAGTACAAGGAAAGGGACAGGGTGCAGAGTGTTTATAAAGCAAGTGAAATTGCATCCACCCTCATTCCCGGCCGGATGTCGATAGCGCCAGCCCATCTTCGGGCGACAAGAACCGCACCCTTCTCCGCCGTGAAGACTCCTTGGCAGCCGCCGCCGCTTCCCTCCCCGCCGCCTCTCGTTTCTCTTGGCGCGCGCATCCCCGTCCACCATTTTCTTGTACGCGAGCAACTGCTGCCTCTTTTTCAAGGCAATGGCACGCGCTATCGCCGGTGGGGGCTGGAACCCGACGCCGTCCATGCCGGCGCCATCGTCGTCCTTGTCCTCGGGGTCGTAGACGGTGATTTCTTCCTCCCGCCACGTGAGCGCGGCCCGGATGGGCTCTACGATCTCGGAGTCCTCGTCGTCCTCGCCTTGTGGTATCATTGTCGGTGTCGAGGTCGCCGCCCCCGTCGTTGCCGCAGCCGCGTCTTCGCCGCCCTGGAGGTCTTGGATAGGCGGCGGGTCTGACTTTAATTTTTGCGCTGTTTCCGGGAGGCCTTTTTCGATTTGGGCGATGGCGCATCTGGGCTTTTACGTGCGTTCATAGACGATTCGGGATGAACCTCGGTGACCTGGGCAGGCTCGGAAAGAAGTGTCGAAGCGCTGCTAGGAAGAGACGGTTCTGCGTTGGGTAACGCGGTAGGCAGGGGCCAAACTGCCGTCGCGGCGCGCGGCGCTAGGTAAGGATGTTGTTGCTGAGAGGAGGTAACTTGATCGATATTCATCATGGTGGTAGGTGCGGGACTATCGCTGCCGCCGTCGTCACCGTTGTCGTCGTCTCGCTTCAGGCGTTTTCGCGCGACTAGACCCTCGTCTCCTTGTTCAAGCAAGGGAGCAACGCCCTTGGATTCGTCGTTGATTTTGCAGTTTGCCCCACTTCCTATAGTTCGTGATTCGCCGAGTTGGCGTTTCCCGTCGAGCCCTAGCCGTAGCTGCTGCTGAGACTGCTGTTGTTGTTGCTGTTGTTGCAGCCATGACGGAGCCGGTCCTTGCGAACGAGGTGGTTGGTAAACTCGCTGGTGCTGCTGCTGGTTCCCGCCAATTACCCCGCCCCCGCACATCCCAACAGCAGCACTGGCCCGAGTGGTGTCGTTGAGCCGCCGCCGCCACCTCGTCCCGCCGACACCATCACCACTGCCGCCGCCCTCGCTGTCTTCGCCATCGTCGTCTTGTCCATCATCCTCATTTCCATCATCATTTTGCCCACCCCCGGCTCTGCCGCTACCGCTGTCCAAAACAGCCAGCCCGCGGAATTGGCGCACCACCCCGCTGCTCGCAGGGCTTTCCGCGGCGTCTGGGGAATCCGCGGGCTCGCCCGTCTCGCGCAGATCGGGAAAAGGGGAAGGCCGCTGAATCGATCGCGTTGGCAGTTGGAAAGTAAAGGCGGAGTCAGCGCGCGGCGAAGAGGCTATACGGCTCCGGGCGGGGCTGAGCGGTGGGGGATCGGTGCGTTTTCGCTTCGGGGTCATTTGGGGCGGAGGGTGGAGAAGTTCGGTCATGATCGTACGGGGGTTTCGGCGAGGGTGCGGGACGGGAAGGGGGAGGTTGGAACCAACGACGGATAAGACAAGGCTCTCTGGAGGGGGAGGAGGTCGGTAGCGCAGCGTTTTCGCCTCATCCAGAGGGGTGCCGTGAGCCGAAGGGGGATAATACACAACGGAATAAGAGATTTGCTCGACTAAAAGGTGAAGAAGGGCTGGATGAGGGGAAGGTGACGACTGTGAGGTTCTAGGATTGTGGATACGGGAGGTGGTTTGAAACTTGATGCTCTAGGCCGCGGTGCCTGGTGTGACTGAATCAGATAACTGGCGGGTGAGAGGGCAGGTCAGCGCTTTGAGGACGCATCACCATCCGCCAACTAAAGCTGCGGGCTTCGGAACAACGGATGCGACATGTAAACTAGCTGCAAGCACGGCCAAGACGGATTGCGGGAGCGAACGGTTTGGATTGTTGTTGAGGACACCTCGGTACGCACCAAAAGGTAGGTTGAACCGGTATCAAAGCACAGTGCCCCCCCATTGGGCCCAATCCCCCACTGGCATGAACTAGTACCACTTGCGACCATTTGCCTCCGGGCCTCAAGCCCCGTGATGGGTCGGTGTGCGGCACTGGGTAAAACACTGCATCCCTTGTGCTGCACGGCCAAGGCCCTAGTACTACGTCACGTACACACCGAGCCAGTCATTGACCATTGATCTGTCCACAATTGATCCCTATCCACCGGATTCAGTGCAGTGGGCAAGATAATGTGCACCCGACTGGATCCAGTGCGGGAGCGTTCGTCAAGTACTAGACACTCACTGACCCCGTCAGCATCTGAATCAACATACTGCATCTAATAGATGAGCGTATCCAATAGATGCCCCAAGTCGCATAGTCTACCCGTCAGGGCCGTGCGGATTGGTTCAATCTCATTGATCCTACCAATTCCCATCACCCTCACTGAACCCTCTGATCTGGCTTAGAGGGGAATGATGGATCTAATGGATTAATTGATGGAACGCCGGGATGCTAGATGTACAAGGAGCTTCGCGAAGCTGGTCTCGGCATCCACGCCGATCCGAGCGGAGACTCGAAGCGAACGAATCCATAATAGATGAATAAATCACCCAAACAGCAATGTCCCCGCCGGGGGCGCCAATCGGCCCAGCTGTCCCAGGGTCATGGCCAAGGTGACGCCTCTGTCTGGGCCAGGCCCAGGCAGCACCACGGATCCCCCAGCCTGCACATTGAAACTATTCAAACACGATTAGGATCCAGTGGAGATTATTATGATTCCGGTGGAGAGGCGCGGGCCGCGCTCCGTGGTGGTTTGTGATTCAAGGTTCCGGAGTAGCGGGACCTTGACTCGATCGCCTCGAACAGAGAAGGTGATATTGCCACAACCCCTAACGCCGACACGGCTGGTGCTGGACCTACTTGTATTTTCATTGATTGCTCAACGACACAATGACAAGGGGTAGGTACAAACGTACTTGTATTGACGTCTCCACGCTATTGGATCGCATTCAATCCCCAGTCCTGATCCCTGGCAAGTGGATGTCAAAATATTGCACTTGACGACGCCTTCCAGAAGGAAAAATTTCCCCGGAAGCGTGAGGAGCGTTGGCTCAGCGCCGCTCATATGCCTCATCAAATATAGGCTCTAATGGATCAAAAATTCCATGTCCGACCCGCCCCCCTTTCCCCTTCTTTCCCTCCAGCGGGACCCGTCACCGTCACCACATCAATTGATGCAGCAAGGCCGGTCGGCAAGCACTCAAATTGGTGCTTAGAGGTTCCCACTTTTGCGGTACCGGGCTGTCCCCTATAGTTCCCGGCGGCAGCAGACCCTCCTGGCTCCCCAATGACCTCGCTCATCGACTAATGCGCCCTTGACGCCAACGCGAGTAATGGACCTGATGGCGTCGACCGCCCGGCCACCTACCTCGAGACACCGAATCCGTGCAGCGCTCTAGCGATTCGCCTCTTTCACCTTTTGAGAGGCCTGAAGTTTACAAGTCAGGGTCCCTCCCCCCCGGCCCATCCCTTGCGTTCTGTGACGCTCTCTGCCCGACCCGAAAGCGATGCGCCGCTCTCCATCCGGCCCAAGCTAGGAGTTAGTGAGTTTTCTTGCCCTGTCCAATCAAATGGTCTCCCAACCGAATCTGGTGCGGACCAGGTCTATTCTCCGCGTGGGCAACCGAAGTCAGTCCACCTAAAGTTTTTTAGTCTCGAATTCTCCCAGCTTTTGTTGGACGACTGAATATACCCGGTTGTCTCTCACGCTCACATTCATCAATTGCATCCTTCCCCTTCTCGCGGTACAAGTCAGTCGATCCTTCCTATCCTTCCCAGGCGGGAGGAATGATGTGGGGCATCCCCTTGGGCAGGCCACCTGCTCCTGCATGAGCAGCGGAAGGTGCAGCCCAGTCCGTCATTGAAGGAAGGACCCCAACCCTCAGCCAACGAGCCAACGACCCAACGATGCTCAGCCGGTGACTTTGCACGTTCATCGACAGCTATCACCCGCCCCTCTCTTTTCTCCCCGCGAACACACCTATGATTCCACGCAACGGACCAAGCCCGTTTTCTTTTTCCTTCCCTGTCACTCTCGGCATCGCCAGTCCTATGTAATCATAAAAGAGATCCACACATCGGTGTTCGGTGGTCGGTGGTCGTACAACCCCGACGAGGTCTCTCTTGAGACGTTTCTACCACCCCATTGATCAATGTGACAGGACTCCCGCAGGTCCGGCATCAGCCCTTCCAGCCCCGTTGGGCTGGCTCATCCCGTCTACCTTCCCCACGGCGACGTGTCGTCTCGGCGGATCTTCTTCCCCTCTCTCCTCTATCCCCATCCCCATCCTTACCTCCGTCGCCATCGCCAATCCGCCGGGTCCCTGCAATTCCCTTGTCACCACCCTCTCTTTACTATCTGCGTTGATAGCGTTGTGCAACCAAGAGGGCTTGCTGGGCTGGGCACGCTTCCCTTGCTCTATCATATTTTTCTCCTTCCCCCTCCCTTCAACCTTTCTATTCCCTCCCTCATTGCTTTTTTCGTTCCAAAGGTTCTTGGAGGCGTCTCTCTTCCCTCTCTCCCACTGGCTTCCACCATTGTCAACCCTTGTTCTTGTAAACCATATCGCCGGGTCTGGCGCCCTTCTCGGCGGCGCCTGCTGCGAAACATATAAATCGAGCCAGAGCTGAACAATTTTGGAGCGGCTAGCTCCGACAATCTATTGAACCCTTGCGGCACCGCGTGGCAGCCATCCGTGATCTAGTGTAGGCGAAGGGGACGAGATAAAGCAACAAAAACAGGTTCAGGGAAAGAAGAAGCCGAGAAGAAGAGAAAAAGCAATGCAAACCCCTCTCTCCCTCTTCATCTCCCCCAGTCCCACACCTTCGTGGAGGTGTCACAACGCCAATGGTACCCATCCAGATGGGCCGGAGCGGATTGGACAGCCGTCGACCTGCTTTCATGGCCCAAGAGGCATTCCTTGCTCGTGTCAGCTCCGCCAGTCCTCCCCTTCCCCCATTTAGTCCAACGGCGCAAGCACGGAATCACGATGCTGAACTAGTGCGGTGTCCTCTTTTTTTTTTTTTTTTTTTTCCTTTGCCCTCTCCATCTCCCACCCTGTTGGCAAGCTGCTCAGCCAGGCTCCCTCCTTCTCACGATCCCTCCATAGCACCAGCTAGATTGAGCTTGTAGGTGATAATACAACGCATACATGGGCATGTGGACGTAGGGACAATATATATACACACCTATATAGGTCCATGAATATATATGGATATAAATACTCGCGATAGCTCGCACCCGTGTCAATCTTGTTGGTTTCAAAATCACAAGATCTTCGACACCTCCAATCCGCTAGTTCCCGCACTTATGCTCAACGCCACCCACGGACTGCCCCTAAAGAGCTTCCCACCAAGCTCCTTTCTCAATTTAGGGAAGCTTAACCAACCTCTTCTCCTCTCTCTGTCTCTGTCTCTCTCTCCCTCTACGTCCCAACACCCCCACCAACACACAGCTGTACCTTAGGGGGAAAAGAGAGAAAAAAGAAAATAGCGTTTTCACTAAACCTGAAGGCCATAATACTTAGCGCGACGAAAACAAGCCCAGACGACAAGAGGGGGTATTCAAGAGGGAGTAAAGAATAAGCGAAGGATAGAGTGAAGCACCAATACCGCGAACCCCCAAGAGAGAAGAAAAAAGAAAAAAGAAAGAAAGAAGGAGAGATTAAAAAAGACCAGGGGGGTCTCAATTGAACTGAATCCGAGCACTCCACTAAAAAAGAAAAAGAGGGAAAAAAAAAAACCACAGCTCTCGATCTCGACAATCTTTTTCATCCAAGATCCATCTTATCATTCTGGTCTCCCCACTCTTTCTCTTCCATATCTGCTCTGGTCTTAAATTTCTTTTCCTTTTCTTCCTCCCCTTCCCCCACCCGAATTCACTGCTGCCCTCGCCCCATACATCGACAATCTCTCCTTCCTCTATTACAATTTGATTCTCTTGGGCGATTGACTGAAGATTGAACTTTCCCGTTCTCTTTTCCTTTGCCCTCCCCGCTTCCGACCTCTCCGTCCTCCAAGCTCTTCCACTCGACCCAAAAGCCGGAAGCCGACACGACATCAACGCCCTCTAAGCTCGGCTTCTTAGAGAGGTCTCTTCTCCGGACAACGAGTTATCTCTGCCCCCTTTGCTCCTGTCAGAATCCCTGCATTAATCCTTCGGATTATCCTACCTTGCGGGCTGTCAATTCCCCCACCACACCCCCGGTTCCAGTCCCCCCTCTATTGATCCTCTCAGCCCCGCCACATAGAGAGAGGATACACACGCACACACCCACGCGCGACGCCCACACTCGCACTACGACACCCCTTCACGAGAGATTTGTTGGGCCCCTCCAAAAAAGGGAAAAAAATATTTTAGAACGGGGAAAGGGAGAAAACACCGCACAAATGACTCTCGACTACTTTCCGCCGCCCAAGAGCCCCAATACCATGTTCCTCGTAACGGGCGTCAACGGGCTCATCGCCAGTCATGTCGCCGATCAGCTCCTAGCCGCCGGGTACCGGGTCCGCGGGACCGTGCGCGACATCTCGAGATGCCAGTGGCTCGCCGATCACTTCGAATCCCGCTACGGGTACAACCGATTCGGCCTGGTTCAGCTCAACGATTTCGGCGCCGAGGGGGCGTGGGAGGTGACGCTGCAAGGCGTCTCGGGGTCGCGTCAGTCGCGAGCCCTACCTACCTCGAGGTGGAGGACGTCGATTGCACCGTCGCATCAGAGCTCCAATGGTTCTACGCTCTTTGTCGGCAGCCAAAAGACGTCATCCGTCAAGTCCTTCTCCTTCACAAGCTCCGCTTGGGCGGCCTACACCCCGAACCCCAACGTAACGCGCGTGCTGACGGAAAATACGTGGAATGAAGAGGCTGTGGCGCGGGCGGCGGATCCGCGGCTCTCGGCGGAAGAAAAGGGCCTCGCGCCCTTCATGGCGGTCAAGGTCAAGGTGGAGCAGGGTTGTTGGGGGTGGATCGAGAGGGAGAAGCCCAGGTTCACGTTCAACACCCTCCTCGTCGACACGGTACTCGGCCCCATCCTCGCCCCCAGTACCAGCAGGGTAGCACCTCTGGAATGCTCCTACGGCTCTTCGAGGGCAAGGATTACGAGATTATACTCAAGATCTTGCCCCAGTGGTTCGTCGACTCGCGCGACGCCGGAAGACTCCACCTAGCCGCCCTCACAGACCCCTCAGTGGACAGGCAACGGCTGTTTGCATGCGCCGAGAGGTACAGCTGGCCCCAAATCCTCTCCCTCATGCGGACCCTGTACCCTGAACGTCAATTTGTCGAGCTCGAAGACCAGGGCTGGGATCAGACAACCGTGCCTAACGCCAAAGCAGAGGAACTGCTCCGGAGGCTAGGAAGGTCAAGCTGGGTGTCGCTACAAGATAGCGTACGAGAAAACATCGAATGCTACTACCACCCTAGCTAAACAACCCTTTCTTGTTCGTTCGTCTTGTTTAAAAGCAGCTCGGCGAGCAGACGAAAATGCAGGCACGCGTGTGCTCTCATAGCACGCAAGAGCCACCCAGGGCGTCACGAAGGGGAGAGGCGTGCCACGGCCTCGGCTACGGCTACGGCCACAGCACAAGCTGTTGTAGCTCATTCCTTGCGCACTGATGAATGCGCGGTCGATGCGGGATAGCAAAGAGAAAGAAATAATAGCCAGAGCACGAGGTGGGAATTCGGTACATTGGCGCATATCTCCTAGCATTCTCTTTTCACTTGTCTTGGTTATCAGCAGGTTATACGGCAGACGGGCCATTTGGAAAGGCCAGAGAAGCTTTAAACGGCGGTGATTGCTCATGGGAACGCGAAAGGAAAAGGCCGGGAGGCATAGGGAGAATGATTTAGGAAAAGAAAGCTACTATGTCTAGGGGAAACGGAGGACAAAGAGAAGTGTAGGATTAACATAACATCAAAGGGAACAGAAGTTCGGACGGGACGGGCGGGTTAATATCTACCACCCCAAAACCAAAGCTGATGTCCCATTCCATTGTAATGAACGAAATACGAACCACTACCATAGTCACTGCGCCGAGGCTCAAGAAGAAGAATGATAACGTTAGAGACGAGAGAGAGGTCAGTATAGTTCGTATCAGGATCGTTTACAACGACTCTAGCGGACTGCGACGGATCCCCGAGACCAGCCTGGGAGCTCTAGTTGAGGGTCATCGTGCTTTCTTAAATATAGACCCCACCTTTGGCGATTTCTGACGCGCGTATAAGTTGGGTACGGTTCGAGGTTCTTGACAATCTCGACGATGATGTGGACAGCGCAGCAGCATCTCTCTCCAGGCCGGCGAGCGCAAGAGTTCGAACCAGGTTGGCCAACCTAAGATCTATCGGCGTTTTTCTTGGGAGATTGCATAGTCTCAGAGTCGCGCACGAAGCGGTGGTGACATGGCACTGCCCCTCCCGGCACGTTTCGAAAATCGCCAACCAACAAGACGTAAAGATTAACGGCGGGCTATGGTAGTTCACTCAAACCACTCCATACACGTTGGTTCTTGTTCAGGGTGTGACGTCTATGGCACGTCTCGAGGCTGGAGCTACCTGCGGGAATGATTCGGACTCATTGGAAGACGTATGAATTCCATCAGTGGATATCTCGTTGATGCAACACACGATCCGTTTGCCGAGCGGCGTGGAGGCTCACGGGTTATGGGCAAATAATAGGCGGGTATAACGAACCCGAGTTGGGGCACGGTACTCCAATACTCGGGGCTGCGCTTTCCCTCCTCCGACGTCTTCTCCTTCCCTCTATTGCTCCCTTTTGTAAGCACATGTACTTTAGTATCTCTTCTCTCTCTGTCTTGCCCATTCCCTCACATCTTTCCCTCACATCTTCGCATGGAGAAGAAAGGAGGGACGAATCCCCCATCTTGCACCACCATCATGGCTATGAAAAGCCTGTCCCCAATGGAAGACGAACTCATCCGTTCTGAGTGGGTATTGGAGGTGGACCATACAAGATGCTCGGCTCGTTTGTCGTATCTTCCATGCTCTAGCCTCCCCGCTCCTCTTTCATTTCTGCAGGTCAGCCTCGACAAGGAGTCTCTAGAGATGGTGGACAAGATCTCCAAGATTCCCTACTTTGCCTCAGGCGTGCGCTACGTTGGGGTGCAGCTAGCATATCGGCCGGGGAAGTAGCGCGTGACATTACAGCATTCGCCGACGTCCGCCTCAAGTCGAATATCTCGATTTCGGAGATAGTCACTCACTACCTCGGTAGTGTGTCATGTCACCCTGCCGCCTTCGCCGGACAACGCCGTTTACATGGATAATTATCTCACGGCTATACTCTCGAGCCCTCGCCTCAGGGGATTTGACTTGGATTTCAGCGCCTATTATAAGCGCCAATATGGGGCAGGAAAACGAAAAGGCATAGCATATAATGCCAGCCTAGTCCTTAAGTCAACGCTAGCACGCGGGCCATTTCTGAAATACATCACCGTGGGTTCACTGACCATAGACCAAGCTACGATGGAGGCGTTTTGTCGGTCTCTTGGACCTAGTTTATGCGAGCTGCACCTCTTCCACGTCGAACTAGCGGACGGGAGCTGGGCGGAGATCCGTCGCACGCTACGCGCCAAGTTCTTGGACAGATTCCTGGCGGGAACATGTGATGTGCATGTTTTGGGGCTGAGGGGGCGAGTATGGAGGTCGCGATTTCGGGTCACATATATTCTCTCGTGAGGAAGCACTTGAGTTTCTCGGCGAGAAGGACCCAGGTCTTGCGTCTCTCCCCTCGCCCTCATACTTATACTCGTAGTAGGCCCGTCACAACCCGTGTTGACAGGTCCACATACATATGGATGGATCAATGGATTCAGACATCTCCAATGGATCCGTTGGAGAGGGAAAAAAATGAAAATGAAAGAAAATAAAAAACCCTCTCTTGGCACCACCCCTCACTTGTTCCCCACCCCGCATCGTTTTAGTGATGGAACAAGCTCTTGTTGAGCGGCTTGCGGCGAACAAGAGGAGGTACAGAGCCCGCCGGGGCGGGGCAATGGATCTATTCAGTATGGATCCATTGAAGATGGATTAATAGCTTCTAACCTCTTTTCAGGGTAAAGAAACAACATTGAACACTGGATGGACATGGCCAACCAGTACCTACATGGATGTAGCCCTGGAGGTATAGGTAAAGGCCGCATCATTGAGCCAATCCCCCTCCTTAGAATCCCGCACCTTGGACCGGGTGACATTGCACGCATGCATTTTTCGCTCTTACACCCAGAATCATAGCTAATCCCTTTTTCCATGTCCCCTTTATCAACCCGTGAAGGCATCAAAACTCATGGGAGGAAAGCAGTTACTACATAGGTTTAAAAAGACATCAACTGTCAGAAGGCCTCGTCCTAGCACCCGTCACCCTCGCAACAAGGCCCCAGATCCAAGAGGAGGGGGAAACAGCCCGCGGGACCCGCCCTCTCTCTGCTTAAACGCTCATGTCTGTTCGGGATATATATAGCCTGAACTCGAGGACCCTCTCAGACCCTCCCCTCGTTGTCCCTCTCCCTACAACGTAAAAGAGCGAGGATCCGCTCTGGGAGGTGCGCTTCGTGCGCGCGCGCATTGAACGCATCGTAGGCGAAGCAAGTCGCATGGCAGTTACAATCGGAGAGGGAACAAAGAAGAAAAAATACTAGTTAAAAAAAGAGCCGAGACGGTTCGCAGTAGCAACGGGATAAAATATATAACCACCCATTGACCTCTCCTCCGCAGCTCCGAGCCCATCCAAAGCTTTCTTTAAATCCCATTGCATCATCAATCATCACAGATCCCCTAGGAGCAACCCCTCACTTTTCCCGACTTACACACCTCGTACACCTCACCCGCCGCGCACCACACTTCCCCGGGCGCGAGAAGCAAGAGTAGACCCCGGGACCACAGGAAACAACTTTTTTTTTTTTTTCCGTTCCATCAGATAAAGAAAAATCGTCCAACCATGGCCGACGCTCCCATCTCCATCCTCCCCCTCGGCGCCATCCTCCAGACCCTCAAGGTCGGCGACACCAACATCGTGCTCGGCTTCCCACCCAAGCCGACTACGAAGCCCACAACGGGCCCTTCCTCGGCGAAACCATTGGCCGCGTCGCCAACCGCATCCGCGGCGCCACCCTCGACTCCCTCAACGGCGGCAAGACCTACGCCCTCTCCGCCAACAACGGGCCCAACAACCTGCACGGCGGCGTCGTCGGCTGGGGCAAGCGCATCTGGCAGGGTCCCACGCCCGTCGGGATCCGCGCCATTGCCGGTCTCACGGCCGATGGCGGCGCTGCTGTCGAGGGTGAGGCCGTGAAGCTTACTCTCGTGAGCGAGGACGGCGACGAGGGTTTCCCGGCACCGTCGAGGCTACGACCGTTTACACGGCTGCGACGCAAAGGTCGACGGCAAGGAGGTGACGGTTGTGGAGATTGATTACTCGGCTGTCTTGACGGGTGACGCGGACGAGACTGTGATTAACATGACGAATCACTCGTAAGTACACCCTCTTCAAAAGAATCATGGGAAACGCGAAGGGGAGAAGACGAAAAAAAAAAAAGGGAAAGAAATCGAGGAGATGGAGAAGAAAGAAAGAGAAAAAAAGGAATCCTCGAGAGACTAACACATTGCCTCCCCCTCCACAGCTACTTCAACCTCTCCGGCCAACCCACCATCGAAGGCACCGTCGTCACCCTCGCCTCCAACACCTACCTCCCCGTCGACGAAGGCGGCATCCCCACCGGCGGGCCCGCCCCCTTCCCCTCCGTCACTGCCAACGAGGCCTTCACCCTCGGCCCCGTCGACCCCGACATCGACGACTGCTTCATCGCCAACACCGACCCGGCCTCCGTCCCCATCGACACCCGCGCCTCCGTGCCCCTCGCCCTCCACCTCTCCGCCCACCACCCCGCCACCGGCATCCACCTCGACGTGCTCTCCACCGAGCCCGCCTTCCAGTTCTACACCGGCAAGTACATCGACGTCCCCGCCGTCGAGGGCGCCCCCGCCCGCGGCAAGCGCGCCGGCTTCTGCCTCGAGCCGAGCCGTTGGGTCAACGCCGCCAATGAGCCCGAGTGGAAGAACATGGTTCTCCTCAAAAGGGCGAGACGTACGGATGCAGGATCGTGTACAGGGCCTGGAAGGAGTAGACAACGGGGGCAAAGAGGGGAGGTTTGAAAACGGAAGACGGACTCTTTTGATGTAGGGCGTTGTGCGCGCAAGTGAGACGTAAAGACCGAGGTCGTCTAGCTCACCTTTTTTCAGCAGGACATGAGAGGGTGACGAATGAAGTGTACACGGTTTGGAATGTTTAGATGTATGTTGATGGTCATGACAATTAATACAAGTATTAAAGCACGCTTGAACTTTGCCGATTCGCAAACCGAATCTATCCTATCTCGGCCATGCATATGCGATGGTGGTACATGAAAAAAGAGAAACGACTTGAATACATGCGACGAGGCTCCATGTCTCACGACGGAAGAGCTTGCTATAACCCCGCGCCATGTTGCTAACAAAAAGGAATGACTCCAGACAAAAGGGAAAAAGGTGCATCTTACAGTGGCTGGCTCCACCAGGGTATTGTTCGGTTGCTAAGAAAAGGGGGAAAACGGGTTGGTAGAATAAACAAGATTGTTAAAAAGAAGGCCAAGTCGGGACGCGGTGATGGTGGTGATGAATGAAAAAGGCACTTGGCACCCACCGCCCCTCATCCACCGTTCTTCACTTCGACTTGCCCAGCCTCGTCACATAGGATGGAAGAGGCACGGGTGTCTGCTTCACCGCCCCATTCGTCACCGACAGCTGGCTACTCGGCGCCGCAACCGCCGTCGGCGTGGCGGTGGTTGGCGATGCTCTCGCAGAACTACCGTGGGACCGCTGCGTAGCAAGCCAAGGTTTGGGCGCGGGCACGGGCGTACACGTCCGCGTCACCGTCACCGTGGCAGGCGTGCCTTCCGCGGCCGCCTTGCCTAGCTTCGCCGAACTAGGCGGGCGCGCAGAGGTCTTCGCAGAGCGCGTCTGCGATTTGACGGTGGCGGAACCGGTCGATCGAATGTCCGCCGTCGGCTGGCTCCGTGGTGCCGAGGAGGCACAGCCACCTCGCGTAAACTCTTGCTCGGGGCGAGGTAGAGGAGGTAGCACTGGGGACGAGTCCGGACCCGGATCCGGATCCGGGGCCGAGGCCCTCACAGGGGTTCGATAGGCTTCGGGGAGGATGTTTTGTCTCGTGGAGGAACTGCGCAGGGCTGTTGCGGAAGTGCTAGTTTTCCGCTGGGGGCGGTGTCTTTGTTGTCCCGTGTCGCAGCGAAACAAGGCTAGGCTTGGGCGTCTTTTTGATAAACGGCATCTCCTTACCGTAATCTTTCAACGGCGTCGACATCAGGCCCGCGAGGCTGTTCTCGTCCGTCAGATACTCCGCCACGTTCCGCTTCGGCGTCTTGAAGACCAACTTCCTCAGCGCGAGCGTAGGCGTCTCGGCCGGCTCCTTGGCCGGAGGGTCGATGAACTCGTCAAAGTCGATATCGCCGTCCGAGAAAATGGTCGCCAGTTCCTCCTCCGTCACGACCGAAGCCCCTTGACCTCGGCGCTAATGGTCGGGGGCGTCTTTAGCGCGAGGCGCGGCAACAAAGAATCTTGGCTCCCGTCCCTGCACTGGCTGCTCCCCACCGGGCGGATCTTGCTCGCCAGCTTCCTCGAGGGGGCGTGAAAAGTCGAGGTCGTACGGGTCGCGCCGCGCCCTCGGTGGCGAAGGGGCGTCCGACACGACGGACTCGGGTCCTGGGGTGGGCAGCTGAGATGTCTGAGAATGGCTCAGGTGGATGCTCGAGTCGTATTCCTGCGACGGGACCACCGTCGAGAAGGACGTCTTTTCCGTCTTTTCCGCCGTGCCAGGGAATAGCTCGCTCACGGGGTCCGAGGATGCGGGGCACCGTCCGCCGAGGATAGGGCTCGGCCGCACCTCGCGCGATGTTGGATCGTCGTTCGTGAGGACGTCGGCAACGCATATCTCGTCCTTGGGTTCGATCAGGTAACGATAATTTATAGGGTCGGGAAGCGAGTTGTGAGAGGACTGGGAATCGCTAATCTCGACGTTCGTCGGTATAGGTTGTTTGTGTGTCGCAGATATCGTTGTCTCGAGCTGGCTCAGCTGTGTTTCCTGGACTGCGTCGAGCGTCAACGAGGAGACGGGAACGAGACAATCGGACCTAGTCGCTTCGGGTTGCGTGGCGGGTGGCATAGTGGGGGAAGGCTGTATTTCGAGTCCTCGAGCTCCTCGAGTATCTGCTCTTTTCCAGAGTCCTCTGCTCCCAGCTTTCTTCGCTTAGCCGCCTAGCAGTCGTCACTCGATTAGCACCTCTCTCGAGCCTCGCGCACATCGTGATATATAGAGGAATAGGAGACTCCATACCTTTTGACATGCGGCCTCATCGTGTCCCGTGGCATCCACCAGGGCGTAATCCCTCTTGAGCTCAACCGTCTTCTCCACGCCACCTTCCACCATTTTGACGGTTACCTGCGCAACCCCCGCTCTTCCCAAAATCTCCGCCATCCGCCTCCTCACCAAGTGTTCCAGGTTTTCGGCTTCTTCCTCTTTGATCGGAACCGAGCCGACGGCATCAGCCCGCCCATCCCCCGTGGAAATATTTGGCTGTCCATCCGGTGATTCGGCATCGTTCGTCGGAGGCCCCCGCTTCTTCTCTCTCCTCTTGCGGTTCTTGTTCTTTTGTTTGCTTGGGCCATCTTCAGCCTTGCCTCCGTTGCCTGTATGATCGAGTTTTGGGTGCCGCCGGCAGTGAAAACCTGCAAGAGCCTGTCCCTCCTCTTCTTCCTCGCCCTCCGAACCCGGCTCATCTTCTCTGGGGGTCTCTAGTTCAAATTGTTGGTCAAAGGCCAAGATTATTCTTTCGGAGCTAATCTTTCGATAACGGTATTCGATTCGTCTTTTGGATAGCAGCCGGCCCCTAAAATGGTTGAGATGGGGTACAGCCAAAAGATGTACACAAAGGACAAGGGCACGCCCACTTTGGTGAGCTATGCAAGCACTATAACGGATATCAATTGACGATACTTTTTTTCCCTCTCAGTCCAGGAAAGCAGTGAAACGAAAAAAGAGAAGAAAAAAACCAAGAGTGAAAGATCGTGCAAGGGAAAAAAGATACAGTTGTGGAGAAGATGAAGAAAGGAGTCTTGCAAGGCAAGCTGGCTTCCATCACCCTAGCTCCGCTCAAGGATGAGCTCCCTCAAGGGTGCACAAACGCGTCCATCCACGATTTAGTGGAGATCAATTCCAGGGTCCTCGAAGACGCGTTTACGACTGGACACAGCAAACTCCCTGGAGAGAGGTCCCCACTTTTTCCCGTTCTCGGGGGCCCGTCAACACCCGTCCAGTGGGGGTTTGGCGGCTTTGGCGGGTTTGGTGGCACTGGCAATGACAGGAGACCCACCAAATGACTTCTGGCCTCCCTTGACGGCACTGGGCTTCTGTCGCTGGCTCAACGGGCCTTGCCATGTTGAAAGTGGGCTCCGCCAATTTCCTCCGTGCTCGTGAGATGATCGACCCCATGCATGCAGTACCACCCCGGCCCCCAGCCGCTGAAAGATTGGGTTCTTGGGAGAATTAAATGGGATTGTCCCAAGAACCTGGTTCCGGATCTTCTCTGCCTCATTCGGGACAGACTTTTGCGATGGAGACCTGCCTCGCTAGATTCTGGCGCGATAGGCTTCGCTGATTGCTCACACATCGTACATAAGACAGGCTTCACGAGTGCTGGGTGAGAGAAAAGAATCCGTTTTGAATATCTATCTTATTGTGTGGAACAAGAAAAACTACATAACTATCTACAAAGTCTACAAAGTGCAAGTGCTCTCAGAGTGGGTGGTGGCTTGGTCATGACATGGGACCCCCGGCCTTCTCAACGACTTGGCCCCACGAGTCAGACAGATGGGTGCGTTGGGCTCTTGGAAGTTTGCCACGGGAGGAGGACCAGCACAAAAAGAAGCGAGGGAATGGTTGAAGCAAGAAGAGCGCAAGTGCGAGGAAGAATACCAGACGCGAAGCAGGAGTACATCTCACTTGAAGGTCAGATGCTTCAGTAGAAACAAAGGGCCGGTCAATGACTTGAAATATAAAAACGAGGTGACGGGTGGCGATCAGCCAAGTTATCCGGACTAAAAACATGAACTCGAAAAAGGAGGGGATACCCCTGGAAGAAATCAGAAGCACAACTCCTGGAATCACGCATAAACCGTCCCAATTCTCGCCCAGCAAAGCCAATATTAGGAGAAACCCATTCGAAACAGAAACGCAGCAGAAAGAAAAAGAAAGGAAAAAAATTCCAGATGGTAAAGAGAACCCTCGTCGCCCATCATGCCCCCTTGAGTACGTCTCACGCCTTAATAAGGGGAATCGACAACGTCGTTCCGGTCCAACTGAAACCTCGAGCTGCCTCGAATGTTGGAGCTTCGTCGAGGGTGCTCAAGCGCTGGAATCCGCCCGCGATGCTCTCCCGGGTCGGCTTCTTCAACGCCTGCTTGCCAACCATGTTGACCTCGTTGGGCAACGCCACAATGACATTCTTGTCGGTGCCGAATTTGAAGTCGTCGGCCTTGACGTCCTCGGTATAGCGCTTGATCATGTAGGGCGTCTTGGTACCCTTGACCACCTTCTTCAGGTTCCACTCGATAATGTAGGGGCCCGTGGCCGTGATGATGCTGGTCTCCTCCGAGTTGGTACCAGTGTTAAACTTGGCAGGCGTAAATGTCACGCCCTTGCCCGTCTCGTGCGCGAACTGCGCGACGTGCTCGGGTGTCAGGGCCAGTCGTCGGGGCTGCGGCTTAGAATCTGCCGCAAAGGACTTTTCGAATCCAAGTTTGCCCTCATTCTTTCCAGACTTCTGCAAAGCATCGACCAGCAGGAGATATGTTCTGCAAGTCGCCAGCACCCACCGGCCGTCAGCGGATACGTCTAAGCCGATAATGGCCTCGCCGAGAGCCGGGATGTGCGTCTTTGCGTTGATGCCTAGGCGATCGAACAAGCGAATGTCACCCTTGTTGCTCGCTACGGCAATATGGCCCTTCTCCGTGGTCGCCACAGCCGAGAAGTCGTTCTTGGAGGTATATTGCTTGAGCTGCGAGTCGACGAGCTTCGCGTCTGCGAGACGGGGATCGATTCGGTAGAGAGCGTTATGGGAGATGCCCAAAAAGGTGGCCTCGCTCGTCATCTGAGAAAACTTCTTGTCCGGAGCAAAGGTGGTGACGGGGATGTGGTCGTGGACGTTCCACTCGTCAATAACCTTGCCGTACTCCAAGTCCATCCGGTATAGCTTGTTGGGCTCGCCGCTGTTTTGTAGAATCATGTTTTGGTCTTCGTTGTGAAGCATCACCTTCTTCGGGCTAAATAGCTTGCCCCGGGTGTCTCGACCTTGGAGATGTTGGTCGAGAACTCAAGATTGTTGTTGGGCGTGTGCTTGAAAACACCAATCTTGGATCCGCGAACAACGAATGATCGGTCGTGCTTGTAACCAACGGCAAGCTGCGAGTTGCTATTGCCGTCACGGTCCATGGTCTCGACGTCGTCTTCCTCTTCGTCGCTATCATAATGTTCGCTTCGGGCACCGTCATCTTCGGGTTCCGTTTCCTCCTCCTCTTCTTCCTCTTCTTCCTCATCTTCCTCAGGAACATCCTCCATGGCGAGGTCCGCGAATGCCTCAGTGACATACTCCCTATCCTTCTCCTTCACCTTCTCCCACTTCATTTGGTTAAGCTGTTCCCACAAGCAACGTAGCACGGCCTCTTGGAATCGCTCGAGAGTTGCCTGGTCCTTGAAACGTAGTAGCCATGAGAAAGCCTGGCCGTCGGGCGTGAACTGATTGAAGATAAAGGACAGGTACTCAAAGTTGAAGACGGGGTTGATGTCGGCGGTGATGGGGATCCCGAGCCAAGCCTTGTCCCGGCCCTCCACCTGCATCCAGTACTCCCATGAGCCGGTTTCGGTTACCGTGCAGGTCACGGATTCGTCCTGTACTACAAACGCGCCCGACGGGAAGTCGTAGAAATGGAGTTCTGAATTCTCGATCGCGTACGTTTCCACGGCCGGAGGTGGTCCAGCGGCCGTGGGGGCCGTGAGACTTTGGCTTCTCGGGCGTAATCGGAGCAGCCGGGGTCGCCTCCCTCTTCACGCCTGTGTTGGCGGGAGCGGCAACCTGTCGACGAGGGGTACCCATGGCGTCGATGGAATCGATGGATCGCGTCAAAGGTATCGGCCCGTGAATCGGGCTCGCGGGGAATGGGGTGTTCGTCCTCAAAAGTAAATTGGTCAAGGTCCTCCTCCGAGGCCGTGTAATGGGGCTTTCGATACTTTCGTTCGTACTGGCTCTGCTGAGCGGTAAGCAGGAATTGATCAACCTGAGAGGCGGATACCGATCGGTCGCAGATGAATTCGTAAACGTCGCCAGTATCACCGCTCAAATCTCTCCAAGCGAGAACCTTTTCAGAACCTTCACGGCTCTCGACCCGGAAATGGAGAGCCTCGTCGAGGAGAAAAGTCTTTTCGTCGCCTTCGGCGGTGAGCGCGTCAATCTCGGCGTCTTCCCCTTCTTCCTCTGCCAAAAGTTCGGCTTCTCCTTCCTCGTATACACGCTGCACTACGAGCTGGTATTGAAAGTCCTGGGCGGTCCTTCGGACGCGGATCGCAGAGTCTTTGAAGATGAGCTCAGAGTAGCCCTTGGGGAGTGTGGCCGCACGAGATAAAGTTGGCCTTGGGGAAGCTCAACGAGGACTTCCTGGCCACTACCCGAGCCAAAAATGAATTTGCCAACTAGAAGGTGCGATGGAAATGGTCAGTCATCAGCGATGGTTCGTAATCGTCATGATTCGGATAGGGGACGGCCGAGGCGGCCATGTACAGATATAGGCACGCAATAATCACCTGTGGCGTCAGGCGGAAGCATGGCCGGTGACTGGCCAGGGCTTGGAGGAAACCTTCTCCCCCGCGCCAACAAAGGAATGGGAGTGGGGGATATGAATTGGGGGTCGAAAACGAGGGAGTAAGGATGGGGTATTGTGCTTACCGTTCTTGAGAACAAACATGACCCTGGTTGATACCTTTTCCGAGCGAACGAGAGAACAAAGGTTTCTTTCTGTCCAGGTGTTCTATTCACGACGTTGGTCGAGGTGGGAGAACGAAAAATGGTGGTGTGGTTTGTTTGCGGGAACAAGTGGGTCAGGTTGCCGGGAGGAACAAAAGACAACTTGACCCATTTATAGCGGAAGCCAGTGTCTGTCGTTTGACGGAATCTTCTTGAATGTACTGGGAGGTAATAAGAGAAGAGAGCTAGGCAGGAAAAGAAAAAAGGTTTATCTTCCCCACTTCACTTTGAGAAATTCAAGGCGGAAAACGCTTTTCTTTTTTTTTTTCTCGTCGAAGGGATTGAAATCTAAAAGGTTGCCTCGTTTTCCTTCGCGGGCAGAGAAGAGTGCACGTCATAACATTGAAGAGGGGCATGTGCTCCCCGCCAAAAGGCAGCAAAGCCACACAAATTTCAGCCACGCGTGGAACCATGGCAACGGGAAGCGAGAATAATTGTAAAATATACACTGTATCGTCACACGTAAATCCGATGCTTCTCTACAGTGCCAAAGATAAACTTGCATACCCTTCCATTCTTTTGGGGTGGCGGAAAACAGTCCCGGGAGGCGATTTCCACATCACCACGTCATTATGCCTTTGCAATGGTGTGAAGCACCCAGCGGTTATATCAGGCACCCCGAACGCAATCTAGTCTTGGAGGGTTCAAGGACCCCGTCCCTGCTCTTGTTAATCTGCCGCCATATTTACACTTATGCGCATGTGATATTCTTCCTGCACTTTTCCCACACTGCGTTCATCGTTGCTGAGCCCCTTTAGAGTTCATCTTGAGGACCTGGGGATGAGGAAGACGCATCATCCTCGGAAGAACCCTTCTGACTACCGCCCAATGCCTCATCTTTGCCCGCTAGCTCATTGACGATGAGTTTCGCCACATTCTTCCCCATCAACGCACTCGTTTCCATGGTCGAGATGAAACTCTCGATCCCCGATGTGTAGTATAGGCCGTTGCCTAAAATCGGGTCCTGGAAAGTGACACGAGGGAACTCGATGGGGTACGAGTTAAACACGTGGGGTGGTACCACGAGATCGGCTCATCATCGGTGGTAGGACCCCGTCCTGTGAAGGTAGATGGCACCTCAACGCCGAGAAGTCTCGAGAGGAAATCTGGATCCACAACCTCTGGGGAGAATACCTTGTAGAGGTACTCCGTCTGCCTTGTCTTTGGGTTCTTGACCCTTCTGAGGGTGCTCACCGAGAAGAAACCGGCCTTCCCGGCAGCGTCCGACCCCGGCTCAGCCTTGCTGTCTGGGTGGAGAGTAGTTAGGACGGTTGTTGGTGCCTGGGCTCCGGGAGGGAGGTTGAAAAATCTAGGAGAGAGCTTGTAAGGCGAGGAAAATAGAGTAACGTGGAGCCTGACATAAGGGATGTCATCAATGGATGGCTCAATCAGCCCCACGGGCGTTTCTATCTCTCCATATTGCCATGGGGTAGCCACGATAATCTTGTCAAAATCACTACCATATACCTCCCCGGGCCCGAGGCCCCGTTGCCTTTGTCGAGAGTATATATTTCGGCGCTGCGTTGTCGACAGTGCTAGACTTTTGAAGTTCAAGCGAGGTAACTGCCGTCTCGTAAAGGAAACTGGCGTTGCTGGCCCTGACCATGTTGGCGAATATCTGCCAGTTACCTCCCGCAACTTGCATTGCACCGTCTGGGGCCATTGAGACCATGGCCTCTAGCCCGTGGATATGAGCCAAGTTTGTCGCATAGTTGACCCTCGTAGCCGCCTGGATAATGTCGCGAGAAAAGTCCAGGCCAATCTAGAAAACGAGGGTATTAGCGGGTTTCCATGCCTGGCCTGGGAGGGAGAAACTCACACCACTCTCTTGGAGGAATTGCCCTCCAGTGATCCCCGTTAGCTTGACAAGGTCAAGATCGATTGCGGCTTGTGTAAGTGATGTGAAAGGGAAATGGGGTTCGTCGTACAGCTCCAAGAACCGACCGATGGTGGAGTCCACGAGCCTTTTCGCCTTGAGGGGAGTCATGCCATACTTCCAAAAGAGCTTGGCATAGTTCCACCATTTTGAGGATCCCTCGTTCTGCTCATATCTAAACGTCTCCCCATCCCAGATCACCAGCCGCTCTTCAACGCCATCATCGTCCTTGACGAGCTGTAGGCCAAACTCCTGGACCGCGTCATATAAGATTGTGTTGACACGAACAAAGATGGACGCCCCTTGTTCCACCGGCTGCAATGGGTCATCGTAGACATTCACCGTCCGCGTGCGGCCTCCAGCTCGGCCTCGGCTCTCAAAGATTGTTACGTTGATGGGGACCCCCTCATCCTCCGCGAACCGCCGAAGATGGTATGCAGCGGAAGATCCAGCCGCACCAGCTCCTGAAGATAGACGGTCAGCGCTTTGGCTAAATGTTTGACGCAGCACTAAAGACGCACTTTATAGGCGTTGGGGTTATATATGGGAGACGCATTCCCCGCTTGGGTGGACTGCAATGCATGTAGAGCTCGGAAGCTCCGTGATTATTATGGGGTGGACCCAATCGTCTTCTCCAGCGAGCCGAACTTGCAGCAGCTGAACCAGGACAACCATCAAAAGTTCACGGGATCACGAGAAACCTTCGGAAAATGAAAAAAAAAAGGGGGCCTTTGAATGGATCTATAGTACGGTACCTGCTTACCGATGATGGCGATGTTTTGCACCCTCTCTTGTGTGAGTTCCTCGGGGTGGGCAGCCACGAGCCCAAGCAACGGAGCTGTGGCGAAGAGCGTGAGCACGCAGAGCCCCTGGCGCTGTGGTATATGAACCATGATGGAGTCGGCACGTCTGACTCTTCAAATCAATTTCGAATATTATTCTTCAAGACCTAAGGAGAAAAAGAAGAGGTGCGAAGTCATCGATAAACGGTGAACTTGATAGCAAGAATCTAGGCAGTGCTCACCTCACACCATATCCATATATCAATGCAATACGAACAGTACGATCGGCGGCTGGCCACTATGATGAGCACGCAACTCACGTCACACAGTGAGCTGCCAGCCATTGCCCAGGGATGATGCCCCCGATAATTTAGTCATCACCGTTAATCCATATATGCGGGGTCTCCCCTCTGAATACACCGGGAGAATGTAACAATCTAATTCTATGCGTTTAACGATTATTCATCTTGGGTCTGCTCAGCATGATGATTGAACGCCAAGCGACAAACAGACTCATTTGCGCGGATGTCCTCAGTCTGCCACTTGGACAGGAGGTGAAGCTTTCCATGTCAAAATCTCAAGTGCGAATTGGTCTCCTGAAACGCCTTTGCCTGATTCCCAATGGCCAGTAACAGGACAGAACCCGTGCACCGTTTTCATTCATCGGAGCTCTCTTGTAGGGTGTAAGCAGTGTCGCGACGAACTTCAAACGCAAATACCAAACTCGTCGCATCTTCCACAGGCTAACCTGTGTCAAGAACGATTCCAAGGGGCCCAAACTTCCACAGAACCTTCTAGCGGGCGTAGTGTGAGTTCGATTCAGATCTGAAGCCATACCAAAGGACGCCCGGTCAAGGCAAGGGAGCAAGCTCAAACCCCTCTTCCACACCCTCTTTTTTTCAGATAGTTCACGAGGGAAAGGCACCGGTGCGGTCCACCTAGGACGGACTCCCGTTTCTCTGGCCAATCGCCGGGGACAACTTCTCCCAGCCTTAAGGAGCGGCTTTTGGCGGAACCACGTCGCCTGGTTTGAGATGCTGAGCAAGACGCCACCTGGAGTGCGGGCATGTGGAACTCTTCACGGTGCTGATTAGCCATTCAACAGACTGGCCGAACTTGTCGGCAGGGGCCGCTCCATCTTTTGGAAGAGAGGGAAAACTGGAGTCCCTCAAGTCTAGTGATGGTAGATCACTTCCTACAACATACTTCATCAATGGGGAAATCTTGAATAAGGTCAACACTATCAAGCCATGAATTCGTCTCGGTAAGAACCACTCCAGTTTTGGGAAGAGGCGTCGGAGTTCCAGGCTCGCTTCGCCTGGAGCACCTGAGATTTCATGTGTTGGATGAGGCAACCTGAACCTAATAATCACTCACCGTGCGGAGGCATGGCAAAAGGACGACCTGAATCCGAACCCCCACAGACACCCAAAGCCAGCTTGAGCATTGTCAAGGCGGGCTTCGCTTGCCATTCATGCTGGATGGTATGCACCAAGGAGCGCGGCCGGGTACTAGTGCGCTGCTTTTGGGTAGGAGGGGAAAAAAACAGGACCCTCTGCCAACGGGGCCAAATGCAGGGGCAAGGAACGCCGCCACGTCCGGCGGGGCCGGTCTAGGCGATTTCTGGCCTGTGGCGCCTGTCTCTCTCAGCTGGCATTGTCGCGGCCTCTTGGTCCAGGAGCCAAGAACGCTCGCTTTTGCTGGGCAGCTTGTCGACGCTAAGCTGCCGGCGCGCGCGCTTGTCCTTCGAGAGGATGCAGGTCCGTTCTCTTGAAGAGGAGCCCGCAAGGGTCAAGGAATCGCACTGCGCAGGCAGACAGGATCAATAAATGTTTGGTCCGCCAAACAAGCTGCAAATCGTATCATGCAAACCGAACAAACAAGAACGCAAGAACGGATTGAAACATATGGGAGAAGGGGAAGCGAGGAAGAAGAGAATAGAGCGGGCGGCGGGTCACTATTCTGCGACTGTGTTTTGAGAGAAATAAGAGATATGGGTGAGAAACTGAATCGTATTGGGCTTTGAGGTTTTACCTCTATAGGTTTTACCTCTATGTAAGACTGGTGTTGTGAAGCATTAAAATTGAACTGCCCTAATTATAGAATCATACATTCCAACCGCAACGCCCGGGTTCCGACTCTCCCTTTACCGTAGTAGACTACGAAGAAAGAAAAAATCCACCCGTCTATTCTGGTCCCACTCAACGGAAGCCGAGAGGAGGCTCCGGCGGCATTGAGCGGTTTGCGGCACTCGCGGAACGAGGTTGATGAAAGCTTATGTGTTGTGGAGGCGGCATCGATTCCAGCTCTCTGAGTGTAGGTTTCAATTGGCCGATGGCGGTCAAGACAGCCAGTTGTAACATTCCTCAATCAAGTTGACCTTGGCTTTCAAGGAATGCTATCGGCTTGTTCCTGGGCCTATCTCAGATACCGGCTGGGAGTATTTGTTTTGTTTACATGCTCACGCTCACGGATATCATAACGTCTTGTGTGAGGCACTAATATGAAAAGGCAGTAGTCATATCGAGAGAGTTCAGGATGGTTGTTGATACGAAGCCAAGAAACACATTGGGACAATACGGGGCTTGTCGTTCAAATTTCGAAAGGAGGCTTACGAATCCTAGAGCCGATTTCCACGTGCTGGTACGAGGGTCGGAAACATCTGGAACGCGAGCGAGGGGAGGAGGATGAGTCGAACCTTCCCTTCTGGGCCAAGCAAGCATACCCTGGATGAGTGTGACCCAGACACGTCAGTCCACCATGGTGGAGGAAGTTTGCATGAATGTCGACGAGGTACGATTAATACTTGGCTTGGAACTTCATAGGCCCCCACATGTGCAAACGGCACTATCGAATACTTGAGAAACCCGATCAAAGGATGCAAGACAGTGAGGCGAGCACCTGGCACCCAGCTCTTAGCACACGCGACAAGCCCTTGCCAATAACAACAGTCAGCTTTTCCTTTGGCCCTCTTTCTCCCTTGGGAAAGGGATGAGAAATGATGCTTCTCCACATCCTTGCCATGACGCGGAAGCTGGAATGAGGCAGTGCTGAGGTAAGGCGTCGGCTGGGAGCGCCTCTTGAGAAAATACGGGATTCGGGAGGCATGCAGCGTCTCATTCGTCCCACTTGGCTTGCACGCCAGGGCATGGCGATGCCTTGCTTTCGGAGCCGGGGGTGCAACTTCGAGACGCGTAGAGGGCGAAAATGGCGAGCGGCGGGGGCGGCCTCTGGAAAAAGAGGAGAGAAAAATCTTTTGGAGAGGGACTGCCATTATTAGAAGAAAAAAATAGCATCGGGAACTTCATTCAATCCATCAGCACCTCTCAAGGTGAGTTGCTCAAAAGGGCCTCGACGACGAACACGCATTCAGGAGGTCATGTTCGAGTATGCTGCACACAACGTCTCGTGCCCTATTTCTTTTATCTATCCCGTCGTACATGCGTCACGCAGGATGAGTCTTGCCTGGGTGAGAAACAGGATACCTTGAAAGCGGGTTCAGATACGATGACACATTGTTGTCTCTCTGTATGACAGTGATTGCTTTTGAGCTGTGGTGTGCCTTTGCTCGCCAGACGTGTTGACTATTGCTAGAGAGGCTCAAAGGCAAACAAACCCCAAAAGTGAACAGGGGGTTGTGCTGAGCTAATCCAGATAATAATGCCTCGTTATGCAAAAAGAACGACTAACGCGCTCGAAGCGGATCAAGACAAAATGAGCCCAGGGGATCGATCAACATGTACAAAGTTGGCGGGTTCCACATGTCCTCCCATGGCGAAGGGAAACAATCAAGCGCCGAACGGATGGAACGGCGATGAAAATACACTTGTGCTCCGTCGAAGAAAGGAAGAGAGGGTGCATGTGGATTGAGCGAGCCTATCGATGACCAGAGGGCGGGTTGTCCAAGGCGTGACAGTTGGACAGGCGTCACCACCAAGACACAGCATCTGCCTGGTTCGTGGGGTTCCAGCGCCAAAGCTTGCCCATTCCGTCTCGTCTGATGCCCTCACGAAAATAACTCTCCCAAAGAAGCTGCATGAGGTTGGATGTCGTGACCGAGAGGGCTTCGCCTCCCGCACGTGTCATCGAGTTTAATTGTCGGGTCGCTCTGTGTTGCGTTCCCGAGGTTCTCCTCCTCCCTCCGCTTTGGGCATACCGGAAAGGTGGGAGGGTAGATTCAATAGCCGGCGATCCTTTCCGCCAGAGGGACAAGGGAGCCAAACTTGAAAGGCTCTCTGTGAATTGATCAGCATGTCGGTCCATCCACTGAATAATCTGGAGGGTCAAGATCGTTGAAACCCAAGCCACCAGTTTTTGTTTGGTCTTGACTCTTTTTCTTTTCTTTTCTTTTCCGTTTTCATTTCTCCCTTTAATATGTGTGGTCCCTCGCCCCCTCCCTGCGCATGTGGCCAGTGGGAAGGAGGCGTGCTAAAATTGCTACTTTTTCCAACCAGATTTGGATCTGGGCCACCCAGTCCCAGCACCGCATCTCGCGACGGAGTCATGGAACCTGTGGCATGATGCAATGCAGGCGAAAGTGGGAAAGAAAAGGAAAGTGAAAAGATAACGACAGAAAACCAGAGGAAACAAAAATCAGCTGAGCTGGGTTTTCCACATGCCCAGATCAAACTATGACATCTCTCGCAGGTTGTGTGCCTGCATCGCCAAACCATGCCGCTTCGTATCTGTCTTTGCCCAAGTTTGGAGCGGAGCGTCGATTAATTAATAGGCCAGCCAGGCCCCTCCCTCAGAGAGCGTGCAGGCAGCGCAAGCGGATGGGTTGATCGACGAGGCCAACGGGGTTGCCCAGAGATTTGTGAAGGAGTCCTTGGAAATTAGGGTGGGGTTTCGGGAAGCGGGGACATGCTGGGCAAAGCCGGAAAAGCAGTGCGGTGACAAAAGACACGAAATCAAACGGGAACGCGGCCTTGACTTGTGTCAATTAATACTGGTGGTATGCGGCACTGGTTATCCAGGCGTCGCTTCAAGTCGTGCTGGCTACTTGTACGTACTGTACAAGTCGAGTAACTCCGTCCATCCTCACATCCACCCTCCCTCACCTCTGTACACGACTGGGGAGTACATTTGTGGTGTCAAATTTGTATAGTATGCAGTTGGCGATTTCCCGTTCGTTTTGAGAGATTACATGGAGGATGAAAGGAAGCGAGGCATGACCCTCAACTGTGAGCTCTCGAGAAACGCCGAGTCCATTTCAGCCTCTCGCTTCAACGACACGCCTACCATTCTTCATTTTTGTGCGACCACCAATTATTATTCGTTATCTCTTCCCTCCTCCTCCTTTTCTCCATCTTCCTTCTTTTCCTTGATTGCCGCGTCAATTCGACCCGATCTTGGTTCAAGTGTGGCAATGATCGAGAAGCGTGGGCACAACGGCTGGCAGTTATTCGATCCATTCGGACGTGAACGTTGCACTTCTTCCTCCGCCGAACGGCTGCACCATGGTACTCTGGCAGCGATCTGGATAATACCGGGGTTGGTGTACCTGGGCGCCACACTGAACGTATGCGCTCAGGTGTTGATTGACATTGGATCGGCGCCATAATCTCGCACCCCCTTGCCCCTAAATTTGCGTTCCTGGTTCCACTTTAGTAGCCAGCTTGGGAGGCGGAGGGGCAGAGTTCGAGAGAGTCCAGAGGGATCCATCACTCCATTTGATCAATTGACCTCGTACCGTATTACCCCATGCGCCGTACTTGTAGCTCATGAGATCCAACACCACTGCCAAACGTTCTCCCAGCAGCGGCGGTCACAACCTGATGTGCCCTCGCCTCCCCTTTTTGTCAACCTGAAGGGAGGGGGTGGGCGCTTTGTCTTGGCACAAGTGTCGATCGAGCTCGAATTGTGAATTCCACTCGAGACGTTAAACGCCCGCTTTCCCACCACGCAAACATGCCCCAAACCCCCGTTTCGCCCATGTACTGACAGAAACAGAAGAGCCCTTTGAGAAGATTGATGCTTGACCGGAGTCTGCGCCGACATCCTTTCCCCTCCCCTTCATTCCGCCATATCGAGCAGGCAGTCCATTTCGCAAAACAACCACCCTTCCTTCCATGGTTGGAGGGTTAATTCTGGTGGGATCTGGCTCAACACGAGCCGGTACATCATCCAAGGTACTCGTTTTGCTGCACTAGATAAGAATCACTTCTTGGTTTTGGTGCTAGGACTGCAACTCCTCCTTCCTGCCCCTCTGAACGTACGGTGCTGGAACACTGGCTACAAGAAGTTACACGAATCCCTGTGGCCGGGTTATGGCGGCTTTGGTGCCTCCTTGGACACGCCAAGTACTCAAGTGCTCTGTGCATGTCCTCTCACCACACAATACCAAGCCAGATGATCCCCTGGTGGTTGTTCTTCCAGGAGTGGGAGGGTGTGATTGGCCATAATAGGAAGACCCAACGAGTCTATTGGCTCGAGAGAGACGTTCGTCCATTCTTCACAGTACAGACAACGCAGAACTTTTTCACCTAGTACAGGTACGGATTCAAGTGCCACAAGGGATGCTTAAAACAAGGTACCGACTACTCGACCAGCGATCTGGGCCCCCTTGTCCTTATCCCGAGACACACGCCCCCTCCATCCCTTTTGCGCATGCTGGACCCGATAATCCCGTACGCCATGGGCCGGGGTTCAATCTCGCTTTTCGGTCGTCTCCTCTTTCTCAGTCTCCTCCCCCAATTCCACTCACGTCCACTCGCTTTCCCCTTTCCAACAAAACAACCCACACTCCCTTTTTCCTGTGACCCTTCCCAGTCCTTTCTTTTCCACCTCATCGCTCTTTAACCACGATATATTCATCGTAGGTGCACACTCGCTCCACCATCCGTTGAATCGACTCCCCCTTTCGCTCACTCATCCAGCTCCGACGACTTTTCTCTTCGGTTGGGACGTGTCAAATGTCAACCTGCCGGTAAAACCAGTCCGTTTAACCCGTCCGGGAGGCTGAAGGCTTTGATTATCTGCTGAAAGATCAACTCGACTTCTCCAACATCGATCTGCCTTTCGAGTATACCACGTCTCGATACGGCACTTCCTACATAGTGAACACCCTTTTACTCGAGCCGTCGAATCTTGTTGGCATTTAGTTGCATATTTCCCCTTTTGGATACGCCTGTTTTCTTTTCCCCTTATTCTTTCTCTTGTGTTTCAGACAACCATTTAGTCGACTCGATCTCTGGAAGAATTCGTCGACCGTCACAGCTCGAGTTGATTTCGAAAGCCCATATTAGCCCGCGATATCCACCGAATAAAGAACCTCATTCAAGCTCGTCATACCGAATTCAATCATGAAGTTCCTTCCCATTATATTTTCGGTCGGCGTCCTCGCGGCGGAAACCCTTGTTAGAGGACAGCAGAGGCCGGCGGTCAATCCCATCCTCAACGCTCTGACAAGTCATGGCTGCTATAAGTCAAAGGCTAGCCTCAAAGATCCGGGTGGCTACGAGGGCGAAAAAGTTTCAAGCGGCTTGTGTGGCGACGTAATATGCAACAAGACGAATTCTACTGTTCTTGGACTAAGGGGGACCACATGCTATTGTGGTTTTGAATACCCTCCCAAGGAGGATCTTGTTGAGGACAAGTTCTGCAACTACGCTTGCCAAGGGTATCCTTTCGAAGCCTGTATGTTTGGGATTCCGCTGAAACGGGAGGTTGGCATTTACTGAACCTCAGCTAACGTATCTTGGATAGGCGGCTCCGTTGATGGTGTATACTATTCTATCTTCAACACTGGTGTAAAGGTCGACGTTGACTCGGCAGAGCCCGTAGCATCCACCAGCTCCAAGGGCGCCAGCTCACCAACCAGTAAGTTTTTCGACCCACATTCGCGCCCTTGGCCGCAGTCGAACGGCTGGTATTAATACATCCACAGGTGATGCTTCGACCGGCGACGAAGGGAACAAAGAAGGAGATAAGAAGTCGACCAACGTGGGTGGCATCGTCGGTGGTGTGGTTGTCGGCGTAGTCATCGCGGCCGCGGCTATCGGAGGCGTTTTCTTCTATCTTCGCCGCAAGAGGAACAAGGAAATTGAAGAAGAACATCGTCGAAACGCCGCAGTCAACTCTTTCATCGGTCACAAGCCTCCCAGCAGCAGCGGCGGCCTCTCAATCACGGACGCACGATTGGACCCTGTTATGCAGCGCAGAATGTCAGACGGCAGCATTGCCGATAACCACGACTACTCCCGAAAAATTCTTCGCGTACGTTAGGTCCTGGTCGAGGTCATTTAGACGTTTGACGGGAGTAAGTTGAAATGTAGCTAACACTCTCTCTTTAGGTGACCAACGCGTGATGACCGCCTCGCCGCAAACAGATGGGCTGATCTTCAGCCACCATGCCATTACCCTATCTCGTCCTTCAACGCAACCCACGTTGCTTTTCTACTACCCTTCTCCTGTTTTGCATTTACGGCGTTCTCACGGTCACGTTTCCTTTACAACAGCCGGTCGTTTCGTTTGGAAGTGTCCGAAACGACTCGTCTCCAGGCGTTCTTTTTGTGTATACCTCTTGTTCTCGGTGTTGGGAAATCTTTTCCGGATCATGATCGGCCAACCTTTGACTCGCCTGGAGACTGGACTTCGCATGCGAACGAGCTCGACTCACTTTATCGAAGACAGCACCGCTCCTTCCGATCTGGATACATGACTTCTCGCCAACGAACCCCCTTATCGCGACCCGACGTCTTCGAGCGAGCCCTGGCCTTTCGAAACACATGATCTCTAGCGCACAGAGATTCGCAGAAGCAGCTTTGGGCGAGATTGGTTGATTCGAGTTGTGAGGTACCTGGAATTGTGCAGTCAAGGGTAAACCAGGCCTTGTATGTAGGTGTGTGTGTGTGTGACGAAGATGGCCCACATCTACTCGCTCACGCCTGTTTCTCGGCGGCGTGGACGACGAGGACGGACTATCCCGCTTCCTCTGCATATCCCCATGCCTCGTCTTCAATCCTCACTTGGATAGAAAAAGCTCTCAGAAGAGACGCATGTGCCCCAACCCGGCCATGCTTGATTTTGGCAATCTTTTTTGGACATCTACTCGGATAGTGGACAAGCTGGTTTGACTATACAATTGTATCTATGCGTTGCAACTAAACTACATATACACTGATTGGATATCCTATCTCGGTTTTCTTTTTCCTTTTTAATCTCTTTGTTTTGATAGCATCCGCTTTTCGTATTTCCATAGACCGATGATGGTGCACATCAATCAATGTCCCTTTAGACCGAACACAAACCCACTCCAAATCGATACGGGGTCAGCCCGGTGCAGCTCAACCCGGTTGGTGATGTCTTGCGATGTAGCTCGGCAATGACCCAACGGTTGGCGAAGTGATGCAGGAACTACCGGAGTCTGGGATTTCATAGGATGGTCTCTCTTGTAGACCTGGGATCTGGGGTGGCGCAGTAGGCTCTGGATTGTTTCTTGGGTCCTGGCTCATGGTATGACAGAACCACTTGCTTTTCCCCTTAAGTGACATGTTTAACATCGGGTGATATTGGTGAGCCTCAACCCTCGCTCGCCTAGAAGAGGGGAGAAGAGAGAATAGAAGATGGTGGAGGTAAGAGTGTTGCTCCACTGAGCTACCTGACGATGGACCTGACATGCTTCTCTTCTCTTCTTTGCACTCAAAGCTTCAATGTTATTGTTTTTTTCTTAGTTCTCGAATCTCGCAGTGTAAAGAGAGAGAGAGCAGAATTATCCCTCAGATCGCACCCCGGATTCCTCATCCACGCCGCTGTCCTGCCGCGCAGATCACCCTCCCTCTTTTCCTGGTCGTGGGGAGTGGCGTAGACGAATTCTGAAACGCGGGATCTGCGCCTCTTTTGAGCTGGACGCCCTCTTTTATTTCTCCCCCTCTTTGCCGTTCTCGCTAGTCAGACAGGGATCAGTATACTTGTACAAATATTAGGCAGGGAAGTGCTGACGGTTAATAACGATGATTCTCAACTCGCTCTGCAACACATTGGACAGGCTTCTCAAGGCCTCCCAATCTCCTTGACGATCCTTTCAGGAGTGCCACGGGAGGGCAGATGACTTGATGTGGGGGCCTTGTTTGTGCAACGAGCCTCGATCACCGATCAATTGGATGCACGACGATCCCGCCTATTGGATCGGTCGGCATGACGGTTCCTTGGGTGTTGGTTTAGCGTGCAGCAAAAATGGAAGATCTGGGGCAACGGGGACACTCGATCGTCGGCTCACGACTTCAGCAATCGGCCGTCCCCACGCCCGACATAATGATTTGGGGACACGGCGGCAAGGTAAAAAGGGTGGGAGAACAGGTGAGAAAGTGATTGGCAGGAGACAGTGAGCAGAGTGACACGGGTTGAAACCATGTGTCTTACATGTAGAATGTAGGTCTTCTAGTTCATGGCATCACAACGAAGATGGTGCGACGTCCTCCGATTTCACGCAAGCGAGATCCATCAATCCTCTTCTTCTCTTTTCTTTCCTTTTTTTTCTTTTTCGCTCACCCCTGACTTTTCGGCTTCTTTCGCCTTTGATCTTTACCCCTCTGTAACTTGATGCTCTTATAATACTCCCGGACCGCCCTTTGGCGATAATCCTTGCCCGAATGAATTCTACTTGAACGATCTCCTTGATATGGCCCGACTGACAACTCGGCTCAGAGGGCGATCTTTTCGCGCGGAGGGTTTATTCCGTCTCCTCTCTAGGAATGAGTCTCACAGGGCCAGTGAACTCACCCTCAGCACAAGGGAGACACGAAATTGCAAAGGATCGAACTCGAGGTTCAAAGTTCCAGCCCGTTCAAGACAGGGGCGCCATATTTGACTTGGGCGGACACGCATGTGGATGGACGTATTGATTGATCCATTCTATCCCACCGTTTACTTGTATGTTTAGGGCTCGGGGGACACCCGTCTTCGGAAACGATGACCTCGTATACGTGAGACAGACAACAAGATGGCCACTCTCCCAGGCCCGGCTTCCTGCTTGTGCTCTAACGGGGCCGCAATTTTGTGCGTGGTTGAGTCGCCGACACGTGCAACTTTACCTTTGGGCCCTTTAGCAAGGCTTGACAGCCGTCTAGTGTCGGGGGTTTGGTTTACCCAACGGTTCCATTGCTGTCTTGAGAGGCTCTGTCTCGAGCTACTCTTTGCTCTTCTCTAGTGCGAGGTCAACGTGTATCAGTATAGGGCCAATAGACCATACACTTCTCTCGGCTCCCTTATTAGCTCTATCACGGTGCACTGGGTTGGCTAGAGGAATCGATCAAGTCTTTCCTCGTTAAACCCCCAGATCGCCGCGGGGGTGTTCCTCTCCGAGGGGATAATAAGTTCAAAGAGCTAGCCCGCTCTCAGCCCGCACAGTAGCTCGCGAGTTGATATATCCCTGGATGCTGCAATATCATGTTTGGTCTTGGAGATGCTATGTAGGCCAGGCGTGGGTCGAATATTGATCAATGTAATTGACCTCAACACACCATCACGACAAACCAACTGTAAACGGGATTTTGGCTTGTGTCCTTGTGGACACGAAAGGAAGACAAAAAAACTAGGAGAAGAAAAAGATCAATATACCTCTATGCCTAGCCTATCCGGCCCCTGTGCACAAAAATTCCCTCCGGGGAAAGTTTTGCGCGTCGGCTTGCTGCTTCGTCTTCGGGAACAGGCACGCCTTCTTGTCTTGTTGTCGTTTTGAAGCCGTTCAGGTAGGGCTTTCGGCTGCCTTTGTGGTGCAGTTAGATTAACCCAACCGTTCCACTGACCCAGGGCTGTGTACCATTCGTGGAAGAGTCTGGTCGCTTCATGGTAAAGGCACTTTGGGTGAAGCAAGATGATGGAAAGCGAGGAGCGACTCGACCACTGACAGCTTCCATCGAGGTCTCCCACCTATATAGATGGATCCATAGAAGTGTCAAAGGAAACACATCTACATCTAATGAGAAAATACCCCGCATTAAATTCGCCCAACTAAGCGAGAGAGGGACTGTTATTTTTGGGGTTCGCTCTCGCTACCTTCTTGGCGGGTGAATTGAGGCGTGGCGATGCGGGATATTTTTAGCCGACCAAACGAAGGCGGCCCTCGCATCAGCGATCGCACTCCAAAAACATTCCAATACTACATACATATTAGGCACAAAAGCGGACATAATAATGTAGAAACTCCATCCTTCGATGCTGAATAGCCCGTGGCTACCCCGATGCTGTGACGGACTTTTTGGCGATCGAGCGTGGTCGAGGTCGCCTTGGCCAACATATATCTAAAAACAAACCTGCGTTGGGGGCGGAACTCGTGCATGAAGCCCCGATAGGGAGCCATTGGATGTGGACCTTGTCTCCCCTTCTGCATTCAGCTCGTGATTGATGACATGCGCGACGCCCTTACATGTTCTGGGCTCATACGGCTGGTGAGAGGGTCTTGGATCGGTGCCGGTGGAATTGAGAGCCGTCTTATGGGCGATTTTTAGACCTCAAACGCTTGCACCGCCCGGGACAACCCTTTTACAAGGAGGGACGAAGACCTCAATAATGAAATAAGATCGGCCACGAGCGTGTCCCTTGCCTCCTTCCTCCTTGGCGCGATATTTCGAGCAACGGGATGGCTATGCTGGCCACGCTTAACGATCCATCGCGCTTATTTTGATTTCGTGGGGAAGCTCCAAGTTGCAACTCTAACCCTCCCCACGACGAAGCGCAACAAGCGCAACTTGACATACGTCAGGATGTAGCCTTGGCCTGTTGTTAGGTCCAAATTTAGATAGTAAGAGCCGGTTGGTATTTTCGCGATGCTAAAAAAAGAAAAGAGGTGCGAGGAGGTTAGTCGGAGCCCTCGCGATCGAGCGACGGATGCTGGCTGCAAGGGGCGATCGCGTGTAAGTCAGCTACGATGGCGCATCTATTAAAGATGTCGAGATCGCCCACCGAGTTGAGCAGTAAGGTTATCATCTTCTGCATCCAAGCCAAGCCATATTCCTATTCCCCTTTCCTTTTCTAGCATCGAACTCATAATCTCTACCCTCCCGTCCTAGAAACCCTCACACGAAGCCATGCGGTTCAGCAACCTGATCGCCGCGACGGCTGGCTTCTTTTCGTATCATGTTTCGGCCCTCGCCCCCGTGGACCTGTCTCCCCGCAGTCTTGAGGCTCGCGAGTACCAGATCAGCGAGTTTGAGAAGCGCTTCATTGACACCATCGAATGGGAACACTCCAACCAAACCGTGAAGCTGGTGGGCTATAAGAAGATCATCATGACCGATGCCCAGCTGGCCGACCTCGAGCACCGCATGAACACGTATCCTAGCGAGTGGCAAGCCTTCACTTCGGCCTTGTACGACCCCATGAGCGCACCATGCGCGTCTACTTCCCCGTGGAGAACGCCCTCGTTTACCACGGCAACAACCTAGTCGAAGCCAATCATATGGGGAGTTCCCCTTCACGACAAACTACACGGCGACTGCCACGTCGTCGGCCGGTACCAGACCGACCAGGTCCACGGCACCGAGATGAACTTCATCGACAACGGAATCGTTTACCTCCGCGAGCCGGCGGCGCCCGTGCGGGTGTACGGAGAAGGGCAGAACATCCTCATGTACGACTTTGGCTGGAGGGAGGGCGCGCACGCCCACGGACACGACGACCACGGCCCGAGCCACGGGCGCATGAAGCGCGAGAAAAAGGGCGGCTCGTGCAAGCAAAACCACGGAGGCAAGACGTGCTCGCAGGTGTACAAGATCAACCACGGGCGTTGCCGCCGCGATCACAGCAGCTGCATCGACTACAACGGCTGGCGGCCCAACTGCAAGAATAAGAGTGACAAGTGGGCGTTCCCTGGGAGCGATTGCTACACGGCCGTTGCTCGGGGCCACTGCTGGAACGAGATTCCGAATTGATCAGGGATCGTACCGCGGCCGATGGAATCAAACCCGAGGCAGCATAGCATGTTATGAGGCTCGGGAATCCTCTGAAGGAAAGGGAGGTGGGATGTCAAGGGAGTTCTTGGAGTTGATTTGGGCTAGCGTTTGTTATTCGAGTATACAAATTCGATGGTAGTTTGGCGCAAAGGGCTCTTCATAGGAGTTAGGCGATATATATATTTTCTTTCTTTTTCCTTTCAGCAGGATTCATCCGCGTTGAACAACTCCAGCTCACATTGGCTCCTTCCCTCCCAAGTTTGACAGGCTTCACCTTCAATTCAGTGATGATCAACGTTGTGGAGCTCACTGTGCGAACCAACGTGAATCACGTGACATAGAACCATATTCAATCCCAGCTTCGATAAGCTTTGGTCGCCGCGCTGTGAGGACAAAGCTGTACGCGGCAGGAATATTTCTTTGATTTCCACAGCGACCTCAAACAAACAAAGAATTGGCGACCTCATCCACCACCTCTTGTCTGGGATCTCTCCTTTGACGGCCAACCCGCGGCCACAGTTTCCATCTGGCGCTCGAACGGTTTGATGCTACATCTGCCAAACTCGAAATTTCGCATAGAGAGCTAGGCTCGACTCGTCGAAAATGACGACGTTTGCAGCTCCTAGGATTCGCCGCACGGCGCAAAACACTCAGTTCACGTACGTCGCAATTCCTCCACCTCCTTCTTACTTGTGTGTCCACCATGCTAATGAGTGTCCTAATTTCTAGGCACAACCTAAACCGCCGTGTGCACGACATTCAAACGTATCCCGTTCTCTCCCCCAGGGTGCGACCATCATCATCTATGGCCATGAGAACGGCGTGACACTGCTTTGGAGAGGCGGGCGACGCTTCAAGCCGCCAAAGCCTCAACCTGCTCCCAAGGAGAAGCAGAACGGAACCTCGGAGGACACGGTCATGATCCTCGACTCGGACGACGACGAACCCGCCGCCTCCAAGCCCAAGGACGACGCGCCGTTTGTGGACAAGCCCGCATTTGAGGATGAGGCCCCCAACGAGCCCTACCCCGAAGTTGTGCAGACCCTCGACCTCTCCCTCGGCACCGCCGGCCTCCACATTGCGGTTTTGCCCATGCCCCCACAAACGCCGAGGATGCCGCGTGGGGCGGGTCCGACTTGCTGAAGCAGAAGTTGGTGTTTGCCGTTTCCTGTGCCAACAGCGAGGTCTACCTCCTCACTCTTCCCCTCACACCTCCTTCGCCCGAAAGCAAGGCGAGACCCGAGCTTAAGAGCGGGTTGCTGGCGGGACGACCTGGCTCCGGGGTCTGGGGCGAATCTATGGTGCTTCTTGGTGGCCAGACCCAGCACAGCCGCGGTTTGGCGGTGACCCTCGTCAAGCCTAAGCCGCCTACTTCGAAAAAGAGCCCGCGGCTCCTTCGACACCTCGCGCTGTCGTGGCCGCACATAACCTCGAGGGCTCCGGCACCCTGCGCCTTTGGGATGTGTCCCTCGACCTCAAGACGGGCATGGCACAAAGCGCCGTCGAGGCCTTCCAGACCGAGTTTCTGCCCTCTCCGCTCTCTTCCATCTCGTTTAATCTCACTCACATGACCCAGCTTCTCGCCGTGTTTGCTACTCGCGCTGTACGGATATACGATTACGCGACCCCGTCCATCTCCCCGACGAACTATCAACTGGCCCCTTTCCGTCACAAGGCTCCTGGCTCCTCTCTCTTTACCCCCTTTCTCGCGAGGTTCCCTCACCGAAAGCCCATCGTTGATGCTGCGTGGATCTCGCGTGGTAGGGCAATCCTGGTCTTGCTAGCCGATGGTATGTGGGGCATCTGGGATATTGACGGCGTTAGCCTTCCGGAACCACCGTATTGGGCAAGAGCAACTCGGGTGTAGTAGGCGGCGCCACGACCGTGTTTGCCGCTTCCGGGTATATCGAGGAACCAGCCCTCTGCGAGCGGGCGCGCCCGAAGAAAAGCCACGCCAGTCAGGAGAGTTTGTGCCCATGACGCCTCACTCGCGAAAGGATGCTCAGGTATCGCTCAGCTCTGCTGCGGTACCATATGGTCGCCTCGTGGCCACCAGGGGAGGCATCTCGGTAGTTGCCCATCCCGTCTCCGGCACGATGGGAAGCGACGAAAGCGTGGTGTTGTGGATAGGAACCGCTGAGCACGTCTGCGTCATTCCAGGTATCATGAGTTTCTGGAGCGCGCAGATTCGCAAGAGTGGCGGCGGCGGTGTTAACCTCTTTAGCGGAGCGCAACCGACGCGGATGATCAAGCTCCACGACCTGAGCGTTGGCCTACTCGGCGAGAGGTGCTGCGGAGTTAGTGCCATTGTTGATCTCAACAAGGCCAAGGGTGATGGCAAGAGCGATGGGGGCCTTGGCGTAGAGGTGCTTATTCGTGGCGAGTCGAGGATGGTGGTTCTCCGGGAGTCGGAAGATGGACCGGGCCGCAAGATTGGAGGCGTGGTAGGGACGCGCCGGTTCCTCGGAGACCGGACTAGCTCCTACCCAGCGCCATCATTGTTCACAACCGGCCTGATGCGAGCACCAAGGTTTCCTTCAACCTGAACAGCGGAAAATTTGGTAGTGTGCGCGCGGCCAAGTTTGGACGCCCCAACGACGACGAGTCGATGGACGATGACGACGATACGCATCGTGGCCCAACGAACCTTCCTTCGCGGCCCCGGACGGGTCTCATGTTTGCAGACAGCATAAGCGCCGCGGCGGACGTGGTGGAGGATGCGACTGAGCGCGATGTTGAGGTGGAAATGCTCGATCTCATGGAGATTGATCGCCACTTGACCGAGTTGGACGAACTGAGGGGCAGTGGGCAAAAGAGAGTCTTTTCGAAGACTTTACGTGATCGGTGGAGGGGCGGAAGCCATCAAGCCGAGACCGAAGCGATGGGCGTGGCCTCAAATGTGGATATTTGTACGATACCCCCACGTTTGGGGATAAGGAAGGAAGGCAAGGCGAAAACAAACGATAAATCAAGAAACGAAAAAAGCAACATGAATAGAAGGGGCCCTTTCTCTTGGGGCCTACGGGTTTTTCTTCGACTGGCTCCGGCCAGCTGCTTTATTCATTCCTTTGTCCTCTCCATGTCTTGACATGTCTCACATGTTTCCAAAGAGCGTCTCGTTCTCTTTGGCCGTCTTTTATCGTAGGCAATATTCCGCACGGTATGGTGGAGCGCAAGGAGAGACCAATCCTTTCAGCTTTGTATTACGAGCGGTACATTAAACACACACAACCGACGTCACCTAACAACGGTAGGAAACAATGCGGTTTCCCCTTTTCATTCCCCCTTTCTCTCCTCCCTGATGACCCATTCTCAAGTCTGTTCTCCGTCAGGGGACCGGTCTCGAGTATGTCGAAGAGACGGAGAGAAAGTGGGCGGGCGGACGGCGGTTCCGCATGGGCGGGGCATTATGGGCTGGTATGGGTTTTTAACAACGCAGACTTTGACCATTTGCTCTTCCGGCCGGGATGAATGTCCTGTCATCTTCCTCCGTGCTTCATCGAGAACCGGCTTCTTCGTTTCCTCTTCTGAGGTGGCGATGCTGGGGAAGATGAATGGGGGGGGACGTTCGAAAGCTTACCCGGTTGGGAGGTGGTGGCGTCGGTACATTTCTTTGCATCATTGTGGCTTTATGTGGTAGTTTTGTGATCTTGGTGCGCTTCGATTCTTTAACTGTATTGAGGAGGCCACTTTGAAGTTATTGACTGATCTTGCTGTGACCTTGCTTGTCTTTCTTGAGCGGCTCACGCCGAGAGAGTCGAGTCGGCATAAATGGGAGGCTACCGCGCTCATGCATTATCTTCTCGAGGTGATCGGTAATGTGGCCTTCGTCGGAGGGGCTCTTTGAGTATTCGCCTTTGTTTCAGCGGTTTCCGTCTTCTTTTGTTGTGTATACAGTCTTTTCACGGCGCCCATAGAGCTATTTCATGTCATGGATGCTCTTTATCCGTGGGGACCACCTATCCGCTGAACGTCGTCTGTCTACTTATATCTGTATGGTTCCACCAGCTCTACAAGACCTGTAGTACTCAATTCCCATAGACCTCACGATTTCCCTGACTACAATTAGTGCATAGGTGAGTGATACCTCATAACGGCTCACGAACAGCTCGATCACCGCTTAAAACAGGGGCCGTCTCCTCCCTTTCTCCTACCGCATCCCCCATTCCCGATCCCATTGACCGCGCCCAACGGGCCGTAAAACAAAAGGTGGAGTATGTGCATAGCGCAAGAAGTCCAATATGCGTTCTGCCAGCATTATCGTGGCCACCTCATCGTGTCCCCCTGCTTCCAAGCCCTGCCCCTTGGCGCCCCACACCCGCCCTCCGCCGTGACCGCCTGCCGCAGACTGAAAAAGGAAGGTGTTCACCGTGTCCCGGCGATGTGCGAATACTGCCGCACAAAGGGACGCGGGAAGTGGTTGCTCGGTAGCGGTCGCGCGAGGGACGATGTGCTGCACGCGAAGCGCCTCATCGACGATGCGGTTTCGAGGGCTACCAGAGGCCAAAGCCCAAGCCGGCACAGCAGCGCGGGCTCGGTCCCGGGGCCGCTGCAGAAGGGGGTCGGCGGGTCGGATGATGCGCTACGTCGTCGGGAGCTGCTGGTTCGGCGGCTGGAGGTGGTGGCGAAGCGGTACGAGGAGATTTTGCAGAGTTGGGGTGGCACGCGGAGTAGCTCGTAGAAAGCCACGGGTTGGGGAGGACGACGGCGCGGGAAGCTTTGTATAGAGCCTGGTTGCTCGGGGATTCTTCTCGTTCTGCTTTCATCACATACGTTTCAAGCCATTCTTATAAAGTTTTAACCAAAGTATCCATTCTTGTACAAACTGGCCGGGTTTGACGACCTCTGCAAGATTCTACACACCTAGCCCTAAATTTTCCATGCAATGCTCACAAATTGATGTACATCCGTAATAAACAATAAAAAACAAAAGATCCTCTATCCCCCCTCATACCCATATTCTCTGGATTGAGACCTTACGTAGGCTTTCCGGGGAGGTGCTCCTTGGCCTTTTGCTCAGCATCCCAGGACGTCCTCCGCGCCTGGCTGCCGACCTCTTCGGCCGTGTTTTTGGCTTTTCCACCAACCTCCTCGGCCGTGCCCTTGGCCTTGCCTGCTAGCTCCTCGGCCGTACCCTTGGCCTTGCCCGCAAGCTCCTGGGCAGTTCCGGCGACCTTGCCGCCAACCTCCTGCGCCTTGCCTTTCGCTTGGCCGGCTAGCCTGCTCGCCTCGCCGCTCGCTTCGGCGGTGGCGCCCCGGGCTTTCCGGCGAGTTCGTTGGCGGTGGCGTTGCCCTCGGCGCGAAACTCGGCGGCGCGGCCGGTGGCTTTGCCTTGGAAGACGTCCTCGCCGGCTTCTTTTACTTTGTTTGCGACGGTGGCTGGAGGAAGTAGATGGTTAGTTTGAGAGAAGAGAGGGGTGGACAGGGACGCAAAGGAAGTTGAAACGGTATTAGGGAAAGACCTACATCCGATATCGATACCATCAACAATGGTGTCGCTGACGACGCGGTCCGCCTTCTTCAATCCGTCCTTCACAGCATCAGTTACGGCCTTTTGATCCGGCCGTGTTGTGGAAAAGGCGCGGGGAACTTGGCGGGCGATGCTGGGGATGACGACGCGGGGGCAGCTGCGGTGACGGGGAGAGCCGTTGTGGCCCGTTGGGCGATGGTCTTTGTGATGGACATTGTATATATCTCTGTTGGTTTTTCTTTTTCTGATTAGGTAGTTCCTTTGAAGGGTATAGTTAATCGAGATTGTATTAGGTCTGGTTTTTTTGATGATTCGTTGGCTTAATGGGGGAAAAAGTTTTGTCAATTCGTAGACTCGGTGAATGATAGATATATATCTATATACAAGAAAAAAATACTCGTGTACTTTGCGGACCTCTTTGCCCGTGATGCTGGGATGGCGTGCGGCTTGCCATGACGTTGGTGGTGATGTCATTGGTGATGCTGGATGAGCGCACCGGAACCCGCAACGTGCATCGCGGGGTCCGATGGGAGAGAGGGGCAGGGGGCGGCGAAGAGGCAACCTCAGGAGATAAACAGCAAAACCCACGAATATTTCTATGGGGCCGACCCATCGGTCTACACATCTATGGATATTTTTGAAAGATTATTGAATGTCTTTGGTATTATGGGGACCTAGAGGAATCCTGTATTGCTTGAATAGGAGGTCAAGTTGGATAGGAGATCCCGACCTTTGTGGCTGGGGCCCATGATCGTGCCACCCGTTCATCCTCGGAGAGCGGGAATAATCAAATTCGATGTTAGTAATATTCGCTGATTTGGAACAAGAGATATGAAGGGAACAAGAGATATGAAGCGCAAACCAAAGATTTGTGCTTGTGAATACCCTTTCTCATAACTGATGCAATGGATTTATGGATGTCCTTCTTCACATGGTAGTAGTGACAATATTCAACATTCATGAGGTTCGCAGCTGGCGTCATCGACACCCTATGTGGTTATCTTGCAATGAACCTTTGGCTCTAGCCGCTTTCATCAATTACATCTATTACATCGATATGGAGGGATATATACCTACCAAATCGAATTGCGGGTCTCTCAACCGACTAGCCCGCCCTAGCGCAACAGCTCTTCTAGCTAGCTAACCACTCTTTTTCCCTTTTACCTGCCCGTGAACACGGGAGTCCTCTTCTCCTGGAAAGCCCTGAGAGCCTCATTACGATCATCGGTGTCGACGACCCTCTCGTACATCTTGTTCTCCACCTCCTCCCTCGCCCACGCCACGGCCTCGAGCCCGGCCCTCACGGCGACGGGGCCTCCTCGCAGATTTCCATGGCCAGCCTCACGGCCTCGCTCAGCGCCGCCGTCTGCGCCCTGGCGAGCAGGGTGGGGTCCGCCTTGGCGTCCTCGCCCGCCTCGCCCGCCTCGTTCTCCGTGACCTCGACAAGACGGTCGGCCAAGCCCAAGAAGTAGGCCTCGGGGCCGGACACGCGGCGGCCGGTGAGGATGAGATCACGGGCGCGGCCTAGGCCGACGAGGGCGGGTAGGCGGTAGGTGCCGCCGGCGCCGGGGATGATGCCTAAACGCGTCTCGGGAAGACCGACGACGGCGTTGGACGAGAAGACGCGGAAGTGCGTGGATAGGGCGAGCTCGAGACCCCGCCGAGGGCCAGGGAGGACACGGCGCTGATGGTGGGCACGGGGACGGCGGCGATGGCGGAAAAGGTGGCCCGGAGGGCTTCTAGGAAGGCATCGGTCCTAGTTGAAGAAAAGAAAAGCAGCGTTAGCGATGGATCTCACATCAGCCATCTCTCCTCGCCCCGCCTTTTGGACTGGGATTTTGATCCCTTGAATCTGTCGTCGTACGCTGGAGAGGAGGGCTAAAAGGAAACTAATACGTACTCGTCCTTGGAGAAATCCTTGCGCTCCTTCAAATCGGCGCCCGCGCAGAAGCACGACTCGACAGCGCTAGCTATCACCAACGCCCTGGTGGGACCCTTTTGGTTGACACCCGCCGCGCCACCGAAGAGCTTCTTGGGGGCAGCTCCTCTCCGTGCTCGGTGTACTGATGGCGCACCGAGTCGATCTCTTCCCGGAGAGCTGTCAACAAACGGCGCGAGATGGCGTTGCGCGCCTCAGGCCGGTTGAGCTCCAGCACGCGAATGTGGCCCGATCCGGGGGCGGGGAGGTTGGACACGCGGATGAGGGCTCCTCGGCGGCCTGCGCAGAGTAGAAGCGGCGGGCGGCGGTGGAGAATGTGGGTGCCACGCGCGCCCGGGCGCTTAGCTGGAGGAGGGTTCGGGAAGGCATGGTGTTCTGGATAAGGAATAGGCGAGACGGAAGCGACAGACCGTGGTTTCCCCCTTTGTTGTTTTCTTGTTTATTTCAAGAAGAAGTGTGAGCTGCAGCCGGGCGATGGGATGCTTGGGATTTTGATGGATATTTTGGCGGGGAAAAGACGGCCTTTTCTTTCTCTCGCACTTTTTCTCTTTCCAAACTTCTTTTATACCTGAAGAGGTAAGCCAAGGGAGGAGTAGAAGATGGGAGTGGGTGAGGGGAAGCTCGGGAGGTTCAGGGTGTGATTTTTCGGCTCAGATGAGAAAGCTCTGTCTCGTTTCCGAGCTCAGTGAATTTGATGACGTTTTCGAACGAGAGCTCCAAGAGCAGCTAATAATTCTGCTAACAAAACAAACTCCTCCAGACGGCGCCGCGGCTTGTGTCGGAAAAACAGTGTGTACATCATCGGATACTGTGTCTGCATGGCGTTTTAATCTCATCAAGCTAGAGCTTCACCTTGGCCTCGGCCTCTACTTGCTGGAGTCGAGTCGAGAAAAGCAGCACGGAATACAAACAGTGCAAGGGAGAGTAGAAGCAATGGGTAATTAAAACTTCAGAAAAAAATCTCAATGCAAAGAAGAGGTATGATTCTCTGGCAAAAAAATGGGAGGAAAAGCTAATACTTAGCCTCCCAACTCAAAAACGCCGGCCCTGTGCACCAATATTCATACATCGAATCGAACGTAGCCGTGAGCGCCGTGTAGTCCACGAAGCCCGCCTGGCAGTCTCCTTAGAACTGCTTTACCAGCGCGGCTTTGACAGGCTGCACCGTGACTACCTGGGTGGCGTTCATCTCGCCCCCGCGGAACGCATAGGTAAACGTCCACCCAGACGCCGCCGCGCCGTGCCTTCCCTGGTTATCCACCACGACGATGCCGCTCTGGAGGTCCGGGTGCCGTCGCAGCATGCGGGAGACGGCATTCTCCGCCGCTTCCGTGGGGGACATGCCGTTGCGCAGGTTCTCAAGCGCCTGGTAGCACGGCAGGAAGCGCATCATGACGTCGCCGTCTCCCGTGGCGCCGCATCCGCCCACTTCGGCGTCAACGTAGGACCCGCTGCCGGCGATGGGCCCGTCGCCGACGCGCCCGGGGACTTTGTGCGCGGCGCCGTTGGTGGAGGTACCTGCAGCGAGCGCGCCCCGCGCGTCAATGGCGATCATGGAGATGGTATCGTGCGAGGTCTTGGAGGCTCTGGATGCCGCCAAGAACCCGGTCGTCTCTAGAGACCCCCAAGCCAGCGGGATAGGCTCGTAGGGCCCGCACGAGGTGCTAGGATCCGGCTTGACGTGTACCCTAAAATTGCCTGGGCACCCAGACTTCTTCCACTCCTCGCACGCCCGGATGGATTCCTCGGTTGCCAGATCCACTTCCTCGAAGCCGTTCTCGACGGCGAACCGCGTGGCTAGGTCACCGGCGAGCATGGTATGACGCGTGTACTCGAGCACTCTGCGCGCGACTCCAATGGCGTTCTTGACGCGCCTCATTCCCGCCACGGCGCCCACCTTCATGCTCGCGCCATCCATAATCATGGCATCGAGCGTCGTCTCGCAGGCTTCGTCCGGCGAGCCGCCATACCCCACCGTGCCGTCGCAGCGGTCCCGCTCGCAAGCGGAGCAGCCGACCTCCACGGCATCGAGGGCGGACGCGTCCGGTAAGAGCAAGGAGGCGTAGGCGGCATCGGTGGCTACGGTGAACGGCCCGCCCCAGGTGTTGATGACAAAGGGGAGACCTGGCGACGGCAAGGCGAGGGCGGTTGGGAGGAGGGGTACAAGAACTGGGAGTGGGTGCATGATTGACTTTTTCCGACTTCTAATTCTGATTTCCCTCCCACCGATCTTTTGTTGTTGGTTTTTTCCCTTTTCTTTCTTGGTGACTGGGGAATGCGGTTCGGGGATTTTGGGGAGACGGGATATCAGCGGTGCTGCTGGTCGAGGGGCGGGGTTGGTGGTTTGGTAATTTAGGACATCGCGACCGTGTTTTGTTTGGGTAGAGCCAGCGAAACAACTGCCTGCCCCAAACTCTGACGACCCAAGTTCATCTTTTGCCAAACTTCTTCACCTTTGACAACGCCAGCAATAATTGACACCATAAACTCCATGTTGGGCATTTAGCTAAATCATATCTTTATCTTCAACTTGCTCTAACGCTAGTCTGACTGCCTACTGTGAACTTGAAAACTCAAGGAGCTAAGACTTGTTGGTGCAAGTCTTAGCTTGCTTAGAAGCACAACATGAGGCACAGAGATACGCACAACTTCGAGAATGGGGAGAGAGCCAGCCCCCGCACCACAGAAACCTATTCCCATCCCAATGAATAGTTGTCCCGTGCTCTCGGTTAACGGTCTTGGGTTGCAGCTGGGTTGACTCTCCCTCATTGCCCCCTCTCCTCGAACCTGTCTGCCCGTGGCAGGCAGGCTCACTTGACGAGAACCTAGGCGAAGCATCCCGCGAACGGCTGAAGTAGCCGTGGAATCCGTATGCACCGCCCGGCACTCTAACGGGACTCATTGTCGACGACAGGAGGGGGCCCTCTCACTTGGGCTCAACTCGCCATGTACTCCGTTGCATGTAAGGCTAGAGCTGTAGCGAAGCCAAACGAATGCGCGCGCCCTCAGCCAGAAGTTGGTAAGAGAGCGTCGTGTCTTCCTTCTGGGAACCTCAGATATACGCCGCGTATTTCTTCCTGGCTCTTTGTCAGCGATTCATAGACACATTGGAATCTCGATACGTCGGTAGCCTGGCCAATGCTGATGGAATGCTGGATGGAGCCATCAGTGGGCCCGGTCTAAACCTGGAAACTCAAAAAGGGCCTTGTTCTATTTAAAGCTGTTATCTGTTGCCCGCGAACCCGAAGGACAGAACTAGTCACGGCAGACCGAGGTTCAGCTCGACTACTTGGTTTTGTCGGCTTGTTCTGCTCGGCGACTCGCTCACTGACATCTTTTCTGACTCAGTACCTTCGGAACCCGGCTGGCAGCGCCAGACATTGACCATGTACGCACATGGGTTCCGGGTACCACCTTTCGAGCTCTAGCTCCTAGTCATATGCCGTGGAATACGGGCAGTTTACTCGCAGCTCAGGCCAGGAAGCCACAAAATCGATGTCTCTATACCCACGGGAAATGGTGTATGTCGATGTGTGTGTGTGTGTGTGTGGTGTGAGGTGTGTGCGCGTGTGTCCTGGGACCTGCCACGGCTTCGTCGACCCGTGGTGGCGACGTCAATATAGAGTAACGAAACGGCACGGCGAAGGCCCCCGGCCTAAAAAGGAAGACAATCCTCCTACCCTCCAAGTCATCACACCTTTTCTTCATCGTGGGGAGGGGTGTCATTTCAGGCTGAACACGCCTAGACTGCAATTTTCCTTTTTCTCATTGGTCAGTGAAAAGAGATCTCTTGTCTCCCCCATCATCGAGATAGACTTGGCCCGCAAGTCTTTGCATATGGGTGCATTGCATGCTCATGCTCGTTTCCACCGAAGCTAGCTTTCGCGAATGTGACAAGCTGGTGAAAGTTTTGTCAGGTCACGCTGGCTTCCTGTGCTGCCGTCCCGAGTGTACGGTGCGGTAGAGGCGCAGCATGCTCTGATGAAGCAGGACATATACGGCGGGCAATGTATCAGCCAGGTCAAGACTGAGAACAGAAGCTGTGTTTCAAGCGGTTGCACAAGATTCATCCAAAGGGCCTCTAGGTTCGTGCTTCGCGAGAGGAACAGGTCCGTCCCATCGGCTCCAATCCCACAGGATGGACAAAATGTTGAAGACGCCCGATAGGGGCATCGTATCGCGGGCCCCGGATGGGTCGGGCTTGCAGACGATCACTGTGGTATCTCGAGGCCGGCTAGGGGACGTTGCATCTCCTCAGAGTGACTCAATCCACGGGGGAGCGGACCGGGAGACCTCCGCGAGTAGTAAATATGGAAACGGCCCCTTCCTCTCCTTGACTGAGAAACCGCACCGCTTCGGGTCCGCTGCCTGCTATTCTAATCAACTGCTCACCTGGCGAGGCAATTTCCGTAATCATCTCAACTTACGGATCGCTTCGAATATTCCAAGATTGGATGAAAGTGCTCGATCCAGTCTTTGACACGCGGACCTTGTTGGTTTACTCAAACCCCGAGAGGAAGCCGGACGCAAACCAGGACGCTAAACAGAGTTAAGGAACATGAAGTGTCTATATCTAGAAGCGGGATACCAAACTTTCATGGGCACCACGTCCCGATCGTGGGTCTGTTCTATTCTGAGACCCGACGCTGACCTTTTGCCTCTCCGGCCGTTCCAAGCACTATAGAAGACGATCAAGAAGCCCACTTAAAGAAGGGCCGTGGCGAAAATCTCCTTGCTGGAATCATATAAACCCGATATATCTTGGCCGAACGACCCACGGGGGTTTTGATTAATTATCCAAAAAAGAATGGCAGAGAGTAGGAGCCAAAGAAGAAGAAATAAACTAGGTGGCTAGAGCGAGCAGAAAGGAATAAAGAATCGTGGGAGACTGGGGAGCGGGTAATATGGCCTTGATCCAACTCGTTTCCTCCGGCCGCCCCCAGATTGACCCGGCGGCCAGAAGAGGAAAACTACCCACCAAATATTCTCGCTTTTTAATCTACATCGTTAATCAAAGAGCAATATCGCCATATATTGAACACCTCCACTCCGCTCAATGGAGCCTATCTCTGCGACACGCGCAGGATAAAATGCTTTGCCAGTCCCTCTGGAGACCTCCTCTTCCTTCCCTATCTCCCGGTTTTTTATTTTCTATCTCTTCACTGTCTTTACATCTCTACCCTTCTTTCGTCATCGATCATCAACCAGGAAACTGTCTTTACGCACACACTGAACAACACACACACATACACACACACACGGAGCACTTCTTTACACAAGCCAACTTGAAAAAGATATAAGTCATCCTTTGACCTCGCATCTCGGATTAGGAAGAATTATTTGGTCGGTCTACTACCAGTTATACGTCCGCCAAGGCCAGCAAGTCACCCTACCGCAGTACCTTTGTCAGGTTGGAGACCTTGAATAAGTCAAAACGTTCGGGGCCTGAGCCAAGTGTCAAATCACCATCCTCGAGATGCACCTTCCACTCAGCCTTGCCGGCCTCGTAGCCGTCATGCTCACACAAGTCGCCGCTTCTCCTCTTCTCTCCGCTGCCGCGGCGCGTCGGCAATCGGCGGGTTGTACCGTCACTATCGGCGCGTGTCCCAACGGTAGCTTGATCGAACTCGAGTTGACCGAGTGCGCGTGTGCGTGCCTTGCGAACTCGTGCGATGAGGTAAGAATCTCTTTAGTCTCCATTTTTCTTTTTCGTATCCCTTCACCTTTGGAAAGGGGACTCCGCAAAGACTTGTCCGGAACTAACTCAATGTTGATAGGTTGGCGGATGCGACACACCTGGTGGCACCCCATTCAAGGGAGACGACCTAGGTCTTGTGTTCCAACACTGCGTACAGGTATGTGGCAGTATTTTTCTAGTTATGAGGTATCCTAGTCGTGATCTTGTTGACTAATTTTCCATCTACATTTAGAATACTGCGTGTCTACCCATATTCGCCATTGGCCAAGAGCTGAACCCCAGTTTGATCAACTGTGATTGATTACCCTCTTGACTTATCTCGAGGGGCTTTTATTTCTTTTTCCTTCTTTTCTTCTTCTCTTCTAGCTCTATCCCCTCGTGAGATGAGCCGAAAACGAAAGCCACGCTCTCGTTTTCTTTTCCTACCCTTTTTCTTTCAGGCATAAGTGAGCGGTGATGGGTCATGGAGTTTCTCATTCTTTCTCCGAGGAGGCGTTGAAAACATTCTTCTCACCCTTCCATTTCTTCTTCTACATATTCATTCTCATCAGCATTGGGGCCGGGTGAGACATTGATTAGGAGTTTTCCTTTCTGACCATAATACCTTGGGAAAGAAGGTATTGGGTTTATGGGCGAATAGCAACATGAGTGGCGTTTTCCGGCATTTCTCTTCTTTTTCATTTTTCATGTTCTTCTCCCTCCGTTTTCTTGACCCCATGCGTTCTCGAAGCGAGGGCATTCTTAGTAGATGAGATGAATCGAGTTCACCTTGTATGCTCGGTGTTGGGAATAGGAGAGAATACAAGTTTTCTTTTGACGTTTGACATGTTGTTTTGCCTACGTGTGGTTTCCCGTGATCTTATAAGAGAGGACCATTTTGGAGGGCTCCCATTTGAATACATCTACAGGTATTTCTCCTCACTCTTTCGATCGCGCTCGGCATCTGCTTCGCGAGGCCGATGCCATCGAACCGGCCCCGGACACGACCGGGCGATCCTTTCTCAAGATAAGAGGGACTATGGAAATGGCCGTTTCATCGAAGAAGCTCGCAGCCTATGCAAGTTACGAAAGCTGGAATGCTGGGGAAATTGAGGAAATCAACATTACTTTGATGCTTGCATGCATTCTCGGGAGAAAATGAAACAGGACTGGCCAGAAATGGGCGGTGGTAAATGTTTTGTTTTTTGTTTAAAAATGTTCTTCTCTTGAGAAAAGTCCCAGAGGAATGATGATCAAAGTGTGATCCAGGGCCACAGCGTCTTCAATGTTGTCGATGAAAACGTTGCGCCAGAAGAGAACTCCGCGTCCGCGCCTCTCCAACCTCCGCAAACTAAGAAAGAGCCTTGCTACTCATAAGATTATATGGCTTGGTGCTTAAAATAAGGAAGAAGAGAGAAGAGAAAGAAAAGTAAATCCCACCGCATCGCTCACAGCTCCAACGGTCCGGACGTCGACCTCCTCGTATACCAGATATAGATCACCAAGACGACGATAGCCAGGATCTGAGCCCAGCCCGCGAGGCGCGTCAACACCCTAGCGCGCATCTGCGCCATCTTGATCTGGGCGGCAGCGCGCATGGAAGCCCCGTCGTTGAGGCGGGGAAAGGGCGCCTCGACGAGGAAGCCGTCCGGGCCGACGACGGTGGGGATGGGCAAGCCGAGGTGCTGGCAGAGGGGCGCCCAGCCGTCCTGGACGCGGTACTCGAGGACGCGGTCGCGGGGATGCGGGACCTCCACTCGGCGTAGTAGCCGTCGAAGAAGGCGAGGGCTTTTTCCTTTTGGGGCCAGTCGAAGCCCTGGACCTGGGTGTTGATCTTGCGCATGAAGCCGCCGAACTGGCGGAAGGGCGGGTCGAAGAGGACGATGAGGATCTTGTCGAGGGTGGAGAGGGAGGAGAAGGCGGCGTGGATGGAGGAGAGGCAGGAGTCGTACCACTTTTCGCGCTCGCGGTTGAGGATGACGACTTTGGCTTCGGGGTAGGCGGCGGCGAGTTCGGCGCCGAAGAAGGAGGCTGGGATGTCGGTGGTGGCCTGTTTGTTGGGGGAGGTATTCCAGGTAAGCCTTTTCTTTTCCTCTTCTAGAGATAGGGCTGTTCGCACTCTGTTTCCCCTTACATTCACCTTGGAGGGGGATAAGGGGGAAGGGAGGAGTAGAAGGAGATATTCTCATACCTGGTGGGTACCGAGAAGTTTGTCCCAGTCCTCGCGTCCAAACTCGCCGACGCCGTTGTACTTTGCGTCGATGGCGCGGGACCACTCGGGGATGTCTTGGGGGTTTGTGCCGGTGGTCTGCATGTGGTAGACGTCGTGGATGCCGAGCTGCCTCAGGGCGGCTCTCATGCCTAGAGAGGTTGATCAGTGGTTAGAGAGAGGTAGGAGGGGGAGGGGTTTGTGGGAGATGCAATCACTACTATTCATTTGTTGGGGGACACGGTGCAAGGTCACGTACTCAGGGTGCCTGTCCTCATCAGGCCGCAGACAATCACCCTCATGGGCACGATGCGGGGACTCGCGTCTCTCTCGGCGAGGTTCCCGTTGCTGGTTTTGGAAGCCATGGTTTCTTTTGGGGGCGAGGGACTGCCTGGCTGAAGATGTCGAACGCTATCCCACGGGGAAGAAAAGGTGGGAAAACGTGGTAAGAGAGGGAGGGAGGAGCGAGGTTCTTCAGCGAGACGAGAAAGTGAAGGAGTCGACACGGTATGTAGGGTAAGATCGTGGAGAATGGGTTGATGGTGCTTCTGTATATGTCTTTCTTTCTCACCACGTCTTGCAAGAGTTGGAAGCTTTCTAGGTCCCTGGAATCGATACACGAGACTTTTAAGAGCATCGGCAGAGCCAACTACCACAAGGGAATAAAAAAGGAGAGATCGGAGGCTATAAGTAAAAGGCGAGAATGGATGGAGCAGGTACAAGGAGCGAGATGCTCCCCACCATGTTGCTTTTTTTTTTTTTCTCTATCCCATCCCTCCTTTGAGACCCTTTGCCTCCCCCCCCCCTCCCGTACCCTCCCGCTTCTCTTGTCCCCCTTCCCTCCGCCTATCCTTGCTTCTCGATCCCCGCAGCCCCCCTCCCTTTCGTCATTCTTGCTAGTCTTGAAGAAGGGCGTCCGTCTCACTTCGTAAAGCGCGGATTCTCCCCACGGACCCTAAATAGACACCTACAGGGGATCGTAGCCTCCGTGCCGGAATCGTCGTGCATAATACATTCCTTTGGTTCCCCACTCGTTTCTTCTTTCTTTTATTTTTTGATTCTTATTTCCTCTTTTTGTTAGCTTGGCGAGGCTCGCTCGCTCAAAGAGCCAATAGCCCCGGGCCTCTTCTTCACGGAAATGGGATTGCGGCGAGAGGAAGAGGCGTTGCATAGTTTCTTTTCTTTTTTCTTTCTTGCTCTTTGCTTACCATCACCGCTCCGGGTGCGCTGGTGGAAGCGAGATGGAGGAGCGGTGTCTCTCGCCCTCTTCTTGTTCTCTTTTATTGGGGTTACCCTCCTCCTCCTCCTCTCGGTCTGCTAGTCTGCGCGCGCGTGTGGTGTGTGTCTCCTCGTGTTCGAAGAAACAAGCTTGTTTTGTGGCTTGTAATAAGGTGAAGGGCCGAGAAACGCCAAGGGTCCAGCCCAGCCCGTTCTCCCAACGTATCCAAGAAGGCCGTTGGTCACATTAAGAGAAAGAAAAAGAGGCTGATGAGAAAGGCCGGAGGAATATGATTCCCACCAACATCTTGGTTGATGTCCTTCGAAGCCTCTTTACGGGCACCTACCTACGTACTGTCACCCTCCTCCCTCCCCTCCCTGACTTCAAGCTTACATGCATTCCAGATGACCCTACATAGAATGGTCCTTTTCGACCCTTTTGAAAGGCAAGACAAACACATGAGTTGACTAGGTCGAGGCCATGTGTTGTGTGTTTATTCAAAGTCTTAATTGTCTCCTCAAAGCGGTGACGATGGGCGTCGAGCCTTGAAGATCAGTAATCCGAGGGCCCCAAAGGTCTCACGCTGCTCGCCCTGCAGGTTGTGGCGCACCGCCTGGTGGTCGCATGCCGAACGAGTGCGGATTACTGATCAGCTGAAAGAATGTTGTGGGATTGAAGCCCGAGCTGAGAAGAGGCCCAGACAGGGAAAGAAAATTATGTCAAAAAGGGGGATGGAGGCTTGGAGGTGAGAAAGAAGCAAGCATGCCCACGGAGAACCGCCCTGGAAGAAGGAGCAAGAACAACAACTGGACGGAAATGAAAAAGAGTTCAATGTTGGGTATTTTGGCAGCCACAGATCCATGCCTATTCCATCGAGCGGCCACGATCTTCAATCTAATACGTGTCGACATGGGTCGGGAATGTCAAGACACGCTTGTATTAACATCCTCCTTTCCATATACACCGTTCAAGGAAGCCCCAATCCCCAATCCCGTCAGTTTCCCCATCGCGAACGTGCATTAGTTCTCGGGGCGCCCAAAGGAAACAAGGAACCGGCTCGGTTCCTCGGCCATCTTCCAGCTCTCCCATCCCTGCCGATTTCAAGACATCGGCACACGACGACACGGTGGACGACACACGACAAAAGGCTTGGCGATTCCCGACACCTGGCGTCGGGTTCACAAAAGTCATCCCTTCCCTCCTCTCTCTTTGTCTCTTGCCTCTTGCCTCGTCCCTCTCTCTTCCCTCCCGCTCTTCCGGCGGCTTGCCGCCTTCCCGCCCCGCGCTCCCTGCTTCTCGGGACTGTCGCCTCCTTTTGGTTTTTTTTTTTTTCGTCGTCCGGACTTCCCTGCAGCAGTCCGAGGTAGTAGGGAGGCGTACATGTCAAGAAACAAAGGGAGGGGAGGACAGAAGCTAAGGCAGCCTGGTGATGTATGGATGCTCGCACAAGAGAGGGGAGAAAGCCCTTGTGCTCCCCTTGCTTCACTCAGTCATCATCCCATTGCCCAGGTCCCCAATCGCGTTGTAAGGGTGACAGCGATGGCGCCGGGAGTTGGCACTTTCGGGGTTCCAGCGCTCCTTTTACTTGTTCTACCCTGACGAGGCTTGTACCACCGCCCCGAGAGGCCCGGGGTCATCTCCGGTCTTTCCTTCCCCTCCCATGATGGTTCCCGTCGGCATGGTAGTTTTGATCATACGGTAGTACCCCTCTGGTCGAACCCTTGTTCTTTTCCTGAAAAAGATTGGGGACTATGGTAAAAGGTGCGCGGAATTGAAAAGTCCTTTTGGATTAAAAAGAAAAAAAGGAAAAGAAAAACGGGAGAGAGCATACAAGTAACCAAGGGAAAAGAAACGGCTTAGGAAAGCAAGAGGTCGGGTTTACTGCTCAAGCCCATCGCTTCAAGACAAAAGGACTCCCAGGCCAGGGTAGCGAAAGAGAAGAAAAGAAAAGAAATCTTGACCTCTGCGCGATACTATTCTTGCCATGTCTCACCCCATCTCCAGGAAGCGGACCCTCGGAATAGACAATCCGCAACAAATTGGTTCGTGCGGATGTGTCCTCTTCCCAGTGTCTTTTCCTGTCTCTCGCTTCCTCCTCCAGCCACCACTGCGGAGACGGCTTGGTGGTTTAGTAAACAACGAAAACAGATAGATGGGGAAGAAGAAGAAGAAGAAAAAGAAGGATAAGTATGTTCAGAGACATGAAAAAGGAAAACCAAGAAAAAGCGAGAGGCGGAAGCGGAAAAAGCAAGTATATATTCACGTCATCCAGCGCTTGTCGTGCCGGTGTTCCTTCTTTTTCCATCCGCGTTGATGCTGTGCCTGTATGGAATATGTGCACCTGTCGATGACATGACCTTTTCAACCTCTTTGTTATGGCGGATCGAAAAAGTAAACAACAACGGGAAGGCATTTTGGATATTCGCTTGCAAAGATCCCTGAACTGATCGAATTCGTTGTTCTCTCTCTCTCTCCGCTCAAAAAAGAAAGAAAAAAAGGGTCCAACCACGTCCACAAGGAGAGAGAGCGGGTAAAACGGCCCTCGAGGTTCCAAAAAGAGCGTCAGGTGTGCGAGCCGATGAGACATTCTTGCTCCCGCCTGACGAGAATAGCATGGCTGAGATCTGCCGCGCGTCTGGTCTTTTCGCATGGAGAAGTAGAGAGAAAAAAGAAATAGAAAGGAGTATTTGGACGAGGCGAGACGCCTCGGAGAAAAGACATCTCGGGGCCCCGGAATAGAGATACGCACGACGCCATGTTCAAGTGGTGAGCACACGACAAACATGGAATTCTAGTTCCCTCATCTTTTGTTGGGGAACCGAAGAGGCTAGGAAAGACCAGAGGAGAAAAGAAAAACCGTCTCCGTCTCCTCATCACTCAACCCTCCGACTCACATGAACCCCCATCCCAGTAAAACCCCTCTTCCGCCTCAGATCCATCCTATCCGACGCGTCCATGACGATGCCAAACACGAAGAGGTCCGCCCCGCCCACCCGCCTCCAAAACTCCCGGTGGTACCCGCTCAGCTTCATCTGCCGGCACGTCGACTCCTCGATGAAGCGCCGGTCCAGCACCGTCACCTTGGCCCCGTGTAAGAACGACCCTTCCACGTGCTCCCACAGCTGACCCATCCGCAGCCCCAGCGGGAACTCGAGCGCCGCGGGCTTCCACCCCGCACGTGCGCCCGACGAATCTTGAGCGAATGCAGCACCCGCGGCGGCGGCTGCGCGGGTAGCATCCGCCGCCAGCTCGCCTCCGGTCGCGCAAACGCCGGGTTGCGCCGCCCGCCCACTTCCTCTTGAGGCCCGCTAGCGCGTCGTAGTAGTCCTCGTCGACTTCGTCAAATGACGAGAACCGCCCTTCGCGGAACCCCGGGAGCTCTGTGGGGTAAAAGGGCCCAAAGAATTTGACTAGCAGCGGGTTCAGTTCCGCGTAGGATCCCTCACCCGGCCCCGCCATGTCTCCGTTTGCGCCTCTGCGGTCGGCGGCCGGAAGGAAAAAGAGCTGTCTCTGCAACGACGCGGTAGAGTTGATCAGGTCTCGCCACTGACTGCACACGAGCTGCGCGTCGACGAGGAGCGTTTTGATGTCGAGGTGTTCTAGCGTGAGCACTAAGAGCTCGGGCGTTGACAGGACGGCATCACGGGCCGCATTAGCGTTCCGTGGGGTGCCGGGCTCGCGAGGCCGGCCGGCTTCGGGCCCGGACATCAGGTCGAGAACTATGTTGTTATGTGGTTCCAAAAAAAAAAAGGGATGGAAGAGATCGCCAAAAGTCCGTCTGGCTGCTCACACTCGAACTAGACTGGCTTTTCTTTTTCTTTTTCACTTTTTATAAACTGGTTTAAAATTGTTTGCTGGATACAATCTTATCAAAGCCACTGTACTTACTCCACTCAGCCGCAGTGAGGGAAGGAGAGGAGAGAGGAGGGAAAATGATGGGTGAGTAAATGGTTCGTGATCAACGGCGAGGTTATAACGACTCGAGCGATGATGCGTTGAAGTTTCCGACATGACACTTTGCCATTCGTCATCCGTGCCTGCTTTCAATGGACAACGGTAACTCATGGTCAAGGTGTGTGGCAAGATCGCGCTGACGGCATTAGTGTGTTTGTCAAACTCCACTGGGCCTCGTCCTGTCCCCTTATCGCCAACCACAGCTGATCATGCTAAACGTTCTAAGTGACGTAGGTTTTCGCTTTCCTGGGTCGCACCAGCCGCACGTGGTAGCCATTCCGCACGCCATTCTTTGACTTTGCTTTCATTTCTAGAAGCTCTGCTCGCTAGGCAAATAGAAGAAGGAAGAAAAAAAAAAAAAGAAAAAAGAGACAGAATAGAAGAAAGCTAGAGAGGGAGAGTTAAAAGCATCGTCTGATTACTCGGTCCAATTGTGTCGCCACAAGAGCCGGTCAAGTTCCGCCATCACGCTCGCCCTCTCGCCGGCAATCTGCGCCCGATACCCCGCGCCCTCCTCCTCGCTCATCATCTCTCCGCGCGCCTCCCGAATGATATCGTGCACGAGCTCGGTGGGAAGCTTTCGCCGCCCGAGGCGTGACCTGACGCGCGTATCCTCGAGCCACCACTCGAAGCTCTGCGGGGTCACGTCCCGCGTCGAAATCACCTTTTCGTTGGGATCGCACAGGCACAAAGTCAGATAGCGGAGCCGTCCGGGCCGCGACGCGTCGTCGCCGAGCGCGACGGGGCCCAGTCGGTAGTGCAGCGGGCTGGGGAAGGAGACCATTCTCCCCTCGGTTGATATCGAGACGGATCCGAGATCCTGCATGTGGTGAACTTCCTCGAGGTCTGGGTCCTCGGTAATGTCAAACACGCTCGCAAACTTGCGCGCGTCCTCGGGGAACCGCTGCAGCCTGTCCACCGCCTGGTCAAAGTCGGTAGGGATACGGAAGGAGAGTGTTGCTGGGCCGCTTAGGTTGTCCATGTCGAAAAAGACGATGGACGTGGCGACGATTCGCTCGTTGAGCATGCCTTCAGTAGCCCAATCCGTGCCGTCGAAGCGAGGCTCGTCCGGGGTAAGCTCGATGCTCTGGATCCTGACGTAGAGTTGTAAGCCCGTGTCCTTGAAGTCGTGCTGTAGTTGTATCCCCGCCTTTGGAAGCTGTCATTCTCGTCCTGGTTCCGGAGCTCTTTGGAGCCCTTTAGATCCCGAACGCTCCCGGTGACATTTTCCTCTTCCGTATGCGGGCAACCCGGGCAAATAGGGTCCTTGTCGAGGTCTGCCTCGCCATCTTCACCTGCATCATCATCATCACCATCATCATCATCGCTGTAGTCATCATCATAATCGTCATCGGCGTCATCATTGCCATCGGCGCCTTGCGTTGAACCTCTTGCTTCCCCATCTAGACCATCCCCCGATGCCCTAGAATCTCTTCGCATGGGGGCATACGACCGAGTTCGGCCCGCGGTTCAGCGCTCCACTTATACCCACGATACTTCCCTGCCTTGCTTCCATCCTTCCACTCCTCAAACGAGAACAGCGTGCCCGGCTCCGGATGCATAAACGGCTCCAGATCCTCCCACATATCCTCGTGGTAATCGTACGGAAACCGAAGAGCGGTCCCCATGGGCCCGATCCGTTCCGCGTCCCGCATGCGAGCCGTAACCTCGGCCAACGCTGCGCCGCGTTCCTCCGGATCCGCATCTTCCCAGCCATTAGAAATCGCGCGCAGCTGCACGTAAAAATGGCCCTCGTTCTTCCAGCAGTACCCGCTGGCCGGCACCGGCAAGCACGTGTCGAGGCCAAACGAGAGGATGCGCAACGGGGTGCGGCCGGGTCCCATGGTCCATAGTTTCCCCATCGGTTGGAGGCCGGGGTCGACGGCGTGGACGAGGACGTCATTCCATGCCGCAACGGCCGACGACGCAATCTCCTCGACGAGGCGGTAGAGCTCGCGGTGAGGGCCGGGGCTTAGGTCGTTGATGTAACTCGTGATGCGGACCTGGATCCTGCCCCTCTCCCCTTCGTTCTCCCTGGTGGGCTGGATGAACTCGGCTTCGCAGGGCAACCACTGGAATTTGTTCGAGTAGCGCCACGGTCTCGTGGTCCGCCATTGCATAAAGCCAACCGGTGGCACCAATGCACCGGGTGTGTAGTAGGGCCACGTCTCAATCACGCGCATCGGCTCATCTTCTTCCACGTGGAGGATCTTTTTCAACTCGTGCGGCGCCTTCACAGAAGTGGTGCCCTTTCCTAGGTGATCCCAGAGCGCGCCCAAGCTGACGCGACTGCCGACCGGGAGGACCTTGGTGCGCCCGTAGACTAAGGGATACCGAGAAGGGTCAACAATGGTTCGCTGCTGGTGGCCCGCCTCCCCCATGGCCGCCTCCCACACCGCCGCCGCCGCTCATCAACGCCGCTACTTCTTTCTTGAGTCCCTCGGTAGTGGCCGAGGAGACCGTAGCCTTTGCCACACCCACTCCGGCGTCATATACCACGACATGGCCCGTCCAGCGGAGCTGGTCCGCCTTCCACCTCAGCTCATCCAAGCACCACGCCCACGCCCTTGGGCTGACCAATCTCTCTCGGCGGGCGAACTCGACCCTCCATGCATTTATAGAGTCTTGGTCAAAGATCTTGACGTGCCACTCGGGCTTGTCTGTGATGGAATCCATTACTCTAAGCATCGCGAGCTCCCGGGCCGTGATGCGGGTTTCCGACATCCAGTCCATCATTCCGTGGGCGAACCGGTGCTGCCACGGACGGCAAGTGTTTTCTGCCTTGACGCGGCGCTCTAGGCCGCCATCGGCATCTGTGCCCGCTTCGGCCTGCATTGTTTCCCGAGAACGGAAAATAAGTAGCTATGAGTCCAGTCTGGCGATAAATCAATTTAAGTTGGCGCGAAGTCTCGATGTCTCATCTGGAGGAAGATGCACACTTGACGGTTGGGGAAAGGAAGCCGTCATGACCTGAGGAACTGATGTGCCTCTAGAAAAGGAATTGAAGAGTTCAAAGTTGAAGGTGAGCAAGTTGCGTATCGCTCCCTCCTGCGCATTTGGAAGTACATGTAAACCAAGTATTCGTAGCTGAAAAGGAAGAACAAAATGTCTTGAGGCGTTTGTCAAGGGTCTTCAGCCGCTCACATATGCGGAAACCTCTGCGAATGCACTAAACAACCCCCGGCGCCGTATAAATGCTTGGTCCAGAGGCCACCCCAAGACAGGCAAAGGGAAAGATTGAGAAGGGGAAATGATCAAGGTTGCATAAAAGCCTATATAGACATCTCGCTCCAGAGCCTGGACACGTGCCCTCTCATTTCTCATCACAGCGATATCGCGATTCGTGAGTAGATATTGGACACAGCGGAAGGACAAGAGAAAGACTATCTGCAAGTTGACTGTGCGATTTTTGGATCCTGGACCACCGCACGGGAGCCAGTGTGAAATACTCACGATCAATTTGATGCCTCTCTTGCGGCGGGTTCGCTACTGTTCGCCGGGCCAGCCACATATTATGTCTGAATTCAAAGTGAGAAAAAGAAAGAGAAAAAAGAAATGATAGGTAGGTGCGAGTGGAAACTACCCAGGTCTCACAGTTATCTTCAACATGGAGCATAGAGGGTTGGCTTAGAAGTCGAGATAGACGCCTGTTCTGTCAGGATGCACACACGCAGATCTTGTGAGGGGCCAAATGCCAAGCATTGCACGTTGTTTTTGGACCTCTTACTGCGCTGGTTGTCGCCGAGCTGCAGCACGGTCAATCAAACCCAAGTTCAGGGCATGAAGAAATCCGATGATGGCCTACCGGGATGCTGTGTTTCTGCGGGCAAGCCGCTCCCTCTCTTATAACATCTTTGATATAGCTGGGCGCATAATATCTCGGAAGGGGCTCCGAAAACGTGCGGGATGTCACCCAGGGCTGGCTGCACAAATAGGCGTTCGCAGGCCAAAGTCGTATCGACGTACTCCATCTATTGTAGCGTGTGGAGGCCAGCGAGCTAGGTTGCGTCGACACCAGCCACTGCTTTTGCTTGCAAGTGTCAGATTCCTCCCATCGCCTGTCATTCTTCTCGATTGGGCAGGTGAACGCAAGCACTGCCGTGGGGTAACAGTGACAGCACGCATCGCTTGCTCGAGGTGGGTGCAAAGCCTGACACACTCGCAATTGCGACATCCAAACGAGCTTCTGGTCAGGATATGAAATGGACGGTCGGCAAGAGCGGACACCCCGATGCACGCACGCGGCGGTTGCAATGGCCAACGCCATACATGTTTCCCCTTCTGCTGCGTCCTGGACTGATGATGAGAAGCGAAGAACCACCCTTTGCCCGCGGGCGAAGACGAGATGTTGGGTGGTGGCTGCATATTACTACACTCCACAGATTGTCTTACTTCCCTATCGTGTGTGGCGTATCACATCACTCCATTCTCTCTCGCTCTTGCCCCTCTTGCTCCTGCTCTTCCCTTTTCAAGACTCTGCAGTCAAAGATCGAGGAAAGCGCGAGGGCTTGCGAATAGGTCTTATTGTTTGGCGCCAATTGTGATCAACTGCAATTCGGCTGACGGACGGTCTATTGATCCGCGTCTTCGGAGATTCTTCCAAAAACTTCCAAAGCTCCTCCAGATTGTGCCTCAAAACGAAATCTTGCACCGTCCGCGCACACACCCCGCCCCCTGAAAAAAATCGCGGCCATCGCGGAGCGCCGTGGGCCCCCGGGGAGGCGAGGCCAGCAAAAATTGTCCCTCGGCACGGAGAAAAGAAAGAGGAAGAAAATTAATAACCGGCGCTGTCGCCTCCGAGCTCCCCCTTCTCACTTGATTGCAAAGCACGCTAAAGCAGCCTGCCAATTCTCAAACTTCCATGGCCGAGCTCGAAAGGACTCAATGAGGGCCGAGAACTATATTATTAATACTTCCTACATGCGCCTGCATCGTTGAACGGAGAGCGGCACCTGTGTCGGCCCACCAGACGCGCCATGCCCACCTTGGTCAAGGTCAGCCCCGATTCGCTGGACCAGCCAGTTTCTTCGGACCTCTCACCTCTTTTCGGGTCCTCGCCCGGCCGGAGACGTCGGTGGAGCTGCCTAACCCGTCTCGCTGATCCATTAAACTTCAATCCTTCACATCACGAAGCGAGCTGCTGTTGTGGGGAGAGGAGAGAAAAAAAAAGAAAGGTAGGGGAAAACGGAGGGGAAAAGACTGCATTGGGAATGTGAATCGGCAAGTACCGAAACACCGTCCACGCCACAAACTGATACCTCTACTAGACCTTGTGGTCCCCGCCCGCCGTTGTTTTCTTTGCCCTTTTTCTTTTTGTTTCTTTTCTTTCGTTTTCTTTTAAGCTATCTTTATCTCCCTCTTAGGTCCAAGCGAAGGAGGTGGGGGACGGACGAGAGAAGTCTCCGCGAACAGGGATGACGACATCTCCGCCCAGGGAGCTCTGAGACTAGAGCCAGAATTGTGCCTCGGGACATTGCCTTCTCTGTCGGGGCATAGAGGGGCAATGCGGAGTGAAGGGGCTGGCTCAGGAAGGGGACGGAGCTATTATGCGATGCGCAAGGAAAAAGAAAAAAACAAAACCAAAGAGAAAGAGTGGGTATGATCTATCTGCTCTCCTATATAGCTTTCCCTCATGTGTTGATAATCTGTTCCCCTCCCTCTTGTCCCCAATTTCCTGTTCCGTATTCTTGTGTGTTTGCGTCTTATAGTCTCTAGTTCCTTCTCTTCCCTTACGATACCCCCTTTGCAGTCTCGTAGTTTCTGCAAGACTGAATCCCCAGACGACGAAACCACCCACATCCGACATCATGTCCCAGGGAAATTTGCAGATTGTCCTCGCCGAGAGGCCCAAGGGCGACATCATCCCCGGCCAGACCTTTCACCAAAAGAGCACTAAGGTCCCTACTGCCGACGACCTCAAGGATGGCGAGATCGCCATCGAGAACATCTACCTCTCTCTCGACCCTGCTATGCGAGGTTGGCTCAATGGTTAGTTTCTCACCCATGCATACCCGCTGCGGTCTATTCGGTCCTGTTTTGAGCACAAAGGATCGTGCTGCCGATCGCCGAATTCCTCCCGTTGGCCCACCAGGGTGTTCCGTGAGGAATCTTAGCACAAAGCTCCCCGCTTCCCCGCTCCCCAAAATCCCACGTACCTTAGTCTCACACTCTGTTTTCGTCTCAACGTCTAGATAAGCGCTCCTACGTGCCTCCCGTCCCCATTGGCGGCATCATGCGCGGCGCCACCGTTGCGCGCGTGATTGCCTCCAAGAACGAGTCCATCAAGGTCGGTGACGTCGTCCGCGCCATGGCCGGCTGGAGCGAGTACGCCGTCCTGAACCCCGGCACTCCCGGCGTCTGCGAGCCCGTCGCCGACTCTGACCACCTCCCCGACCACCTCTCCGTGCTCGGCCTCACTGGCCTGACCGCCTACTTTGGCATGCTCCACATTGGCGACCCTAAGCCCGGCGACCTCGTGGTTGTCAGCGGTGCCGCCGGTGCTACCGGTTCCGTGGCCGGCCAGATTGCCAAGCTCAAGGGCGCGAGGGTCATTGGTATCGCCGGTGGCGACGACAAGGTCAAGTGGCTCGTTGACGAGCTCGGCTTCGATGCCGGACTCAACTACAAGGACCCCGAGTTCAAGAGCAAGTTCAAGGAGCTCACCAAGGATCACATCGATGTCTACTTTGACAATGGTAAGTGCTTCCCATGATTGGGTCTCCTACCCAGTGAGAGAGAGCTTGAATTCGTTGCTAACCGATGGGAACTAGTCGGCGGAGAGATCCTCGACATGGCCCTTGGCCAGGCCAAGCCTTTCGCCAGGTTTGTCATGTGCGGTGGCATCAGCCAGTACAACGTGACCGATGTCCAGGGCCCCAAGGTACGCAGTCTCCATGGAGCAATAAAGAAACAAAGGGGATGTGTGAAGGGTATACTGACCGGTGCGGCACGACATGTAGAACATCATGAACGTCATCTCCATGCGCATCAAGATGCAGGGCTTCATCGTCTTTGACTTCATCAAGGAGTACGGCACTGCCAGGAAAGAGCTTGCCGAGTGGCTCAACGCTGGCAAGATCAAGCGCAAGGAGACCATCATCAAGGGTGGTCTGAAGAACGCCGAGCAGGCTCTCGTCGATCTCTTCAAGGGTGTTAACACTGGTACGTTTTCCCCTCCCATGGGTCATCTGTCTTGAACTTGATAGGAAAGCGTTATGGACAAAAGGCTAACTATGACTCTTTTTCTTCTTTTTTTTTCTTCCAGGCAAGTTGATTGTCGAGATCAAGAACCCCCAGGATCTCTCTAAGCTATGAAGCTAGAGGTTGAGAAATGAGAACATGACGTTTTCTTTTGTCCCTACCGATTGGCATGTATAAGATAATGACTCTAAATACATTGGTGCTGTTTGAATACCAACCTTTTTATCAGCTCGAGGTTCCATGTGATTTTATGACAATGTGAGAAAGAGTATCTAGGGCCGCAAGGCAAAGGGTCGAGGAGAGATGAATATGGGATACGGGTCTCTTTTATCAATATTCAAAGTGGCATTTTTAGTTGACTACTTGAACAACCCTAAAATATAAACAGAATCGAATTTCCAACAACAAAGAAGAGATACGAGAAAGAACAAAAGGGATAGTGGATTATCAGCCGGACTACAGTCGTCTAACCTCTAGTCTTTTTCCCCTTCGTCTCTCTCTCTTGCATGTAGGTTTGTTATCTACTTGATGTGGCGCTTGCACTTGGGCTTGGGCTCGCTGGCCTCGTCGGCCTTGACGGCGTCGGCGACAATCTCCTCGGTGGCCTTGGCGGCGAGCATGGCGGTGGGGAGGACGGGAACGCGCCGGGGACGCGGGGAAGGAGCTAGCGTCGACGACCCTGAGGTTCTTGACGCCGCGGACCCTAAACTTGGAGTCAAGGACGGCGTTGACGTCGTCGTCGGCGCCGATGGCGCAGGTGGAGGTGGCGTGGTGGGAGTAGGCCTGGTGCTTGATCATGTCGGCCTGCTCGGCAATGGTGCAGTTGCCGGCGCTGGTGCCGGGGCAAGGGTGCATCTCGTCGTAGGGGAGGACCTCGTCGCCGGCGACCTGCCAAGACTCGCGGAGGAGGTTGGCGGCCTCGACGAGCTCGAGGAGATCCTGGTCACCCTCGTGCTCGAAGAAGCGGAAGTTGACGTCGGGGGCGTCCTGGGGGTCGGCGCTGACGAGGCGGACGGAGCCGGCCTGGGACTTGGGGTTGGTGTGGACCATGGCGCAGCTGTACTGGTTGGCACCGTAGTCGTCGGGGAAACCGGGCCAGAAGCCCTCGAAAGCGAACGCGCCGCACCAGGCAAAGATGTTTCTGTTCTCGGTGGGGGCCGAGGGGTGCGGAAGAGGACGGTGATGCGGGAGCCGCCGGTGGGGGCCTGGCCGAGGGCGACGACGCTGCCCTCGTAGTTGTCACCGAGGTTCTCGCCGACGCCGGGGAGGTCGACGACGACGGGGATGTCGAACTCCTCGAGCTCGGCGGCGGGGCCGATGCCGCTGAGCTTGAGGATCTGGGGGCTGTTGAAGGCGCCGCCGGAGACGATGACCTCGCGGCGGGCGTAGAAGCGGGTGGTGGTCTTGTTGTTGTCGGCCGAGTAGCGGGGTCGATCTTGTAGAGGGAGGCGCCCTGGAGGGCCTCGACGCCGATGGCGGTGGGGGTCTCGGCGTCTTCGTCGAAGAGCACCTTGGTCACGAGGGTGTTGAGGGCGAGGGTGAGGGGGTAGTTGGCCTCGTCGGCGAGGGTGGCCTTGATGTAGTTGTTGGGGCTGGAGCGGCGGCCGCGGGCGTCGCCGTGCTGGGCCATGTTGTAGAAGCTCGAGAGGTGGTCCTCGCCGGGGGTGAGGATGTCCTTGTTGACGAGGTCGGCGACTTGCTCGGGGTCTTGGTCCGTGAGCTCGGCGAGCTCGGCGAGGATGCTGTTGGCGGGCCAGTCGCCGGAGGCGGCCCACGAGGAGTCGCTGGTGGAGATGGACATCCATCCTGGAGGAGGGGTTTTGTGTGGTTAGCGACTTTTTTCTTTTGGGGGAGGGGTCCTGTTGTGTTTTTCCCCTTGAAAAGGAAAAGAAAAACGAATGGAAACGGTGGTTACCTTCGAAACCGTGACCTTCGGAGCCCTCGGGCATGTACAAGTTCTTCTCCGTCTGGATGAGGTACTTTCTCATATTATCCGACTCCCAGGTGGCATCGCCCGTGATCTCGGCGATCCAGTTCCACTCGTCCGCCGAAGGGAGCGAGCACACGCCGGCATTGTGCATGGCGCAGCCGCCGAGGGTAGCGGCCCTGGGGTAGTAGATGCCGAGCTGCTCGGCGCCCTCGGGGGTCGAGGCCGACGTAGAACTCGCCCTCGGCGGTCCGCCACGTCAAGCGCTCGTACTTGAGCTCCCTCTCGGGGTCGTCCGAGTGCTTGACGAAAAAGTCCCAGCGCGAGCGCTCGTCGTTGCCGGCGACGTTGAAGTTGGACAGCTCGTTGTACACCGACAGGGAGCCGTGGTCGTCGCCGGCCTCGACGAGCAGGGTCGAGTAGCCGGCGCGTGCGAGGTTGGCGGCCAGGGGCCCGCCACCGGGCCCGCTGCCTACGACGATGTAGTCGTAGGTCTCGTACTCGGGCTCGTCGGCGGCCGAGACCACCGCGGCCAGGAGGGAGACCCAGATGGCGCTCCTCATGGTGAGAGACTTTTTTGGGGAGGGGGGACTTGGAAGTGCAAGCTACAGACGTGCGTTGACTCCTCGAGGCCTGTCCAAGGGAAGAAAAAGTCCTAGGGGGCCTTTCTTCGTGCCACTAATAGTCTACCACACGAAGCAGTAGAACTTATCTAGGAAGAAGGGGGGACGAGGGGGAGAGAGAGGGAGAGAAAGGAAAAGAGCTCCACCGAGGGAGAGCAGAGACCACCCGGGAACGGGGCGCGCTTTAATCCTTTTTTCTGCTTCTTCTTTTCTTTTGGTTCCCCTTTCACTTCACTCTCTCTCTTCGCGTTCCGAACCGGAGTTCCATTTCCTGCACCTAAACGACGGATATAAGATGACGGTCGACTTTCGGCACCACTGGGCCTGTGCTCCCCACTTTTGCCGGGCCACTCTTTTTGGTCGTTGGAGATGGCGACTAGAACTGAACGGAAGAGACTATACATTCATCCTTGATGGCCTACCTCTCTCTGCCTTGGTGCGTGGTGTGTGTGTATGTACGGCCTCTTTCCCCCACTTACAGCCAGACTACGAACAGAGCAGGAGGCGAGACGGTTCCCGCGCCCTCTCCCATCGCCCCATTGATGAATGTATATCCCCCGGTCCGCCCCATCGAAAAGGGGAATCGAACCTTTGCCGGCTTTCCATTTCCTTTCCCCGCTCCGCGTCTATGTCCACCCGCATCCGCGTCCGTGTTTGTTGAGGGTTTTCCATGTACGGGCCATAATGCTGTAAGCTGCAGCGTCGCATCAAGTCTACTCTTCCACCGGCCTACAGCACAGAGAAATATAAGATAAAATAAAGAAAATAGATTACCTGTTTCCACATGTTATGCAGGCCATGAAGAAGAGCAAGACTTGGGGAAGAGGAGGAACAAGTCCGCGACCGCGTTCTCGAACGACAGCGACCAGACATAGCACTACCTCATCCGCCCATCCCGAACCCGCCTAAACCCTGCGCATCCTCACCGAGCTTGCCCCCTCTCCCTCTCCCACGGTTCAATGTTCTCTTTGTCACATGGATCCTGCCTCGCCTTGTGGCTGTTGGCGCCTTGTTTTCTTTTTTCTTTCTCTCTTGTTTCTTCGTGTTCCCAATTGAGCCCGGCGATTCGTCCATTTCCCACAGGCGTCTTCCCTGCTCCTGCTCCTGTTCCTGTTCCTGTTCCTGTTCCTGTTCCCTTCGCCTTCGCGCCTGAGGAACTCGGCTACTACCTTGCGTTGGCGCTCCCCGTGCTCGTGCTCCGTTGCACTCCGGACCGTCCGTCCTTGTCCATCCTATATCTCCGCTCCTTCCCTCATGCACTGCGACGGAGCGCGATATTACACAAAATGCTTGTTTTCTTCCCTTTTCTCTTCTCTCCCTCCTCTTCTCTCTCTCTCTCTCTTCCTTGTTCTCTTGTCCTCTTGCTGTCCGTTCTTTTGCAAAAGCCGAGCAGGGGGCCTGTCCACGCCCGCTTCGCCCCCTGGCTAATACCGCGGACGATTAAGACAAGGGGAATCGGGTGGACTGTTTTCGGTTATTGCCTTCTTGGAGAAAGAGGGGCAAAAGCGAATAACGGCGGCGGCTGGGATGGGAAAAAGAACGACGCGGAGATGGTAACAAATCAAGGAGAGGGAACCCCAAGCATGGGGCCAGAGAATGAGAGAAAAGACAAGAGCCCGTAATTAAACGCGAAAAGCAGAAAGAAGCCAAAGAAGCCAAAGGGCCTTGCCCTCCAAAGAAAAGGAAGCTTTGCCCGACGACTTGTGCTTGTGTAATATACATTCAACTTGGATAAATGAAAAACATGTTAAACCCCTTGCGCAACATGGATTATCCCCTTTGCCACGCCGCCATTGAGCGATTCGGGTTCTTTTCTTCCCCTCTCTCGCTTTCAAGGTTCTTCTTGCTATTCTCCACGCCTATTCTCCACGCCGCCCACACTTTTAGCGAGGACGTCCCCTCTTCCTCGCTCGACTTCTGTATCGCATCGCATCGACTGGCTGGCCGACTCGACTGCCTTCCAAGAGTGTCCCTCTTCTTCTTACCTCTCCCCCAATCTCTCATGCTCCCCCAACTCCTTTGGACGCAATTTGCATTTCTAATCTGTCCTGCATGGTTCCGTTGAAATGGGTTCTCCGTACCACCCACCGGCTGTGATAATAAGTGGCAGCCTTTGCCCTTATACTTCATAGCTGATTGTGCTAAGAGTGTCTAGATGAGGGTTCCCGCGGATGGCGGAAAATAGCGATCGGCAGACAAGTTCCGTTGGTTTACAGGTAATCGAAGAGAGGAAGAGTCCTTCTAGAGCCCCAGCCCTTTTGGGACCCAGCTCCCGGATCTTCGGCCGCGCGGGTATCATTGGGCAATTCCGAATTTCCTGTATTGAGCGTGCATCCATGCATCCATGCATCCACACATCCACACATCCACACGTCCACACCGTAACACACAGCCCAAAGAGTCCCAATAGAAATTTCCTGAAATCCAAATATTCCTTGAGAATTGGCGGAAACAAACTTACGCGAGCTTGTCAGCTTATCTAGAATACTCCCAACTCGCGGCTTGCCTCCGCCCCAGCCCAGCAAACGCGGCCACTAATCTACACGGACATGTTAAATCTTCACCGCAAACAACGGCCGCGGCTGGGTTTTAGAACATTTACCGTTCGCGCACCCCAGTCTGACCAGGCGGCCGCCGTCCTCCCCAACTTTTGTTTATCCCCTTTTGGCTGTCATCATAGGCGCGTTTCGAAGTAATCAGTCATCGTCTAGACAAATCTCCTGAAGGTGCTTATTTCCTTTACCGTCGCTTAGTTTCGGCTTGACTCTCCAAATCGATGAGTGCTGTGCCTCTCGAAGACAGGCCACGAACGGGAATGACAATAGGGTTTTACCGCTTCGAGCTCGGCCGAGTTCAATCTATACTCGGTGTGCACGGAGAGACGGTGAGCTCTATCGCGGCCTAGACTTCATCAACCTCGTCAGCAGGACCCTTTTATGCCTATAGTCTCCTAGATATTGCGTGAGGTCTGATTAACAGGCTTTGGCTTCACTGATAAACGGTCTCAATGCTTTGCTCGGTAGGAGCAATAGCCTATAGTAGGCCAACATTGAACTTGCTTACGCCTTTGGATCAGTTTGATAGTCACGACAGTCGCAAATTGGCGAGGATGCTGGCCCCCAGGGGCTATCGTGTCAAGTGCTTCAGAAGTATCATTTGCCACGAATCGGATAGACTCGATGGTTCTCGACAGCGTATAACCAAACCTCAAGAAAAAACGGTGCATTATCTCCCAGGACCTCCCAAAACCCCTTACTTCATGTACATAAACTCAGGGTGCTTGTATCCGAGATCGCGGGCCTCGAATTCGTTCAATCCATCGAGCCTATGGTCCCTCTTGCCATCCCTCCTCTGCTTATTCTCCCAGGCGCAGTACGCAATTCCGAACAGCGAAAGGAAGAAGACAATGATTTGTCCCACAAAGTTGATGGTGTGGCCGATGGGGTACTTTGGCCCGTCCCAATAGATGTACGTCCAACTAATACCCCAGCAGTGATTAGCAATGCACAATTAATCTCCAAAACTGAATGAAGAACCGGAAAAGGGAACGTATTGATGGGGTATTATAGAGTGATGCAAGGTGTGAGGATGACTTACGTAGCGACGATTCCGCCAATTGTGCCCAAAGTGACTACCCACGCGCTAGAGACGGCTCGGACGGCCGGGCCACCAGTGTCTATGGGGTCACATTCGTTAGCAAGAGTTGTACCGCCAGACTTGCAACTGTTCAACTTACTATTGATCGCCCAGCTCAAGAACGCCGGTCCACCAGGGAACGCGCCCACGGTAATGAAGAAAATAGCCATATAGCGGACGCCCGCCTTCTCTTGGTACCAACGTAGAATACCGAATCCAATCATGGCCGGGATAGAAAAGACGGCGAGATAGATACCGCGGCGCTTGGTCTTGTCGCTGATGTAGGCGACAGCCACCGCCACGATGCAGGCCGCGACGTACGGGGGCACGGTGAGTAGCTGCGGGTTCACCTCCATCTTCATATCGGCGATGATGGTGGGCATAAAGACGGAGAGACCCTGCACGGTGATGTTGATCAGGAAAAAGCCGAGCGCGCAGGTGTAGTTGTGAAGGCAAGTGAAGGCGCGGAGAATGTGGCGCCTCTCCACGACGGGCTCGGGGTTCTCGCGGTGCTCGACGAGAAGTCGGGCCGCGGCGATGCGGCGCTCGCGCGGCGTGAGGAACTTGGCGGTCTCGGGCGAGGCAGGCAGCCAGATGGGAGCGAGGAGGCCGACGATGACGGTCAGGACGCCCTCGAAGAAGAAGATGTTGCGCCACTTGTAGATACGGGCGCCGGCGGCGCCCCACTCGGGGATCTTCGAGAGGCCGGCGGCGAGGAGACCGCCAAAGGCGCCGGCGAACGAGGCGGCGGACACATAGATGCCCACGCGGAACAAAAGCTCCTTTCTCTTGTAAAAGGAGCTGAGGTAAAAGGCAATGCCGGGAAACGTACCGCCCTCAAAGATGCCGAGAATCGCGCGGGTGACAAGGAGTGTGGTGAAGCTCTTGACGAAAGCCATGCCGATGGTGACGATGCCGAATCCGACCACGAGGGCGGGGATGTAGAAGCGGGGGCCGACGCGCTTCAGGATGATGTTGCTGGGCACTTCGACCAAGAGGTAGATGATGTAGAAGATGCACAGAGCCCAGTTGATGCGGTAGCCGACTTGAAGCTGGAGCTCGTCTCGTAGACCCTGGATCAAGGCGTTGCCGATATTTATACGGTCCAGGAACTAGATTGATAGTCGGTCACTTGTTAGCCAAAATTGTTGTATGGTCTAGGATTGGAGTGCTGGCACCAAGGAAGCCATGCGCAGGTTTGGCGAGACTCACGCAAAACATGTAGAGGACCGTGACGAGGGGCACGGTATTCCAGTCAATCTTGTGCCTGATTCTGGTTTCCTCCTCCTCCGTCCAGGTAAACTCCTCTACATCCTCTCTCGACGAGGGCGCCTCGGCGCCGTCCAAGTGCTGGGCTACGCGCGGGGATGAATGGTTAGTGCTATCCTGCGCGGTTGGAGCACAGGGGAAGAGAAAAAGACATACAAACTTCCTTCTCAGACTCCATTGCGAAATCACGAAAAAGGTTCTTTTAGCGAGGCTGCTGGATCAGAGGATACTCTGCCTCGCCCAATTGAGAGAGAGATAGTAATGCTGGCGCTGGCCGAACAAGAAGTGAGGTGTTTCGATCCCAGGATCGCGGGGAAAAGAGGGTGTGTGGGTTCTTTATATGCATCCAATGTACATGTTAGTGTTTTTTTTCTTTTTTCTTTTTTTTTTTTTTTTCCCCTTCCCTTGTCAAGATGGGGGAGCTGCAAGACATGGATTGTCGTCCATTCATCCCAGGTTCGGAGCGAAGAGACGGCATGATTCTGACACTAAACGAACGAGCCTACGTACCAAGAGGTGCACGGCCTTTCCTTTTCGGAGAAGAAAGCTACTACTACTGACCAGACCCGCCCGACTCTCGTTGACGTTCCGCGATGTTTACTATCGGGCCGTACGATGAAGTCGTGCAATCAAAGAAACAGAAAAAAACGAACCGAGGAAGGAGATCAAGAGAGAGAACCCTGAACAAGGAGAAAACCGGCCTCGGCATCTAGGGACGGCATGGCTCCCATCGTACAGACAGGACAGAGGGAACAGCAGAATTATCAATGGCCTCTACAAACAGAAACCTGCCGTCGGTTGGGACGTCGTAGTCGCAGTCGCAGTCGCAGTCGTAGGCCTCGAGCTTCCCCTACTGTTCCGCGCAGTGATAATATCTAGCACACCCAAAGGTGACAAGTCTGCCACCACTCAGGGCTGGACGGCAAATACTGAGAGCACCCACGGAATTTTGGCAACACTCTGCTCGAAATTCGGCAGATAGATTAGTTCCCGATAGAGCTTTGGGCGAGACTGCGGGGCCATTGGCTGGTACCTTGACCAAGGGCTTATTCCCCGCAGGCTAATCGGACGGGTGCGGCTTTCAGGCCCCAGGGGGAAGCACCAACTCTTGGAGCTAGTCGAACGTCTCGCTAAAGGCAATTTGGGCGCGTTCAATCACGTCGGGATACAAATGCTCTACTTTCGAGACGGCCGCTCTCGAAAGACCCTGGGCACCGGCAAGGGCGAACGGTAAGTCACCAGGGTAGCGTCATGTAGTTCTGGAAGAGAACGAAAGAACAAAAAGCGCTCCCGCGGTCCAGTCTAGTCGTCGTGATGGGACTGAATGCAGAACCAGCCAACACGGTTTTGACCTCTTTGCGTTGGGAATAATAATATCTGCGGGGTAAGTCTGGGCAATAATACAACCCTCGAGTGTCCTTGTCACTGGCAAGACGACCACGACGGCGACGCATGCTCGGCCGCACCTACAGGGGTCTATTGGTGTGCAGAGGGTCGAGTAGCGCGTGGCAAGGCAAGGTTACTATCAAAATAAGCAAAGGCAATCAATCAGGAAAGAAAGTAGGGAGAGTTCGAAGTATACCCTCTCGAGAACCTCGCCAACGTGGAGAGAAAATCATAACGAGCGTTGGTACCGCCAGTCGCACCGTTACACATGTTACACAGCGTTTAGACGATGTGCTTTGTCAACAATGAGGCAGAACGAGGGTGGGCTCATCATGGATGACTCCATTGATGTTTTTCCCTGCTGCGGTGTCGTGTTGGTCCGAAAATATTCTTGTCCGAGCTCTGACTGGGCAAGCTTTTGCAAGTCGATGTCCATCCCCCAATTGCAAGTGCCAAGCCTTTTGGGTGGGATTAAAGGAAGCCAGAACGTCAGCCATGGTCGCACCGGACAGGGATCTCTGGTCTTCTTCTCCAGGCGTCGTTTGCGAGGGCTCCACCTCGAGGACGCTACTTGTACAAGAGTACAAGCATCTCAAGGCATTTTGGCATTCAAGCGTGAGAAACCGCCACCGGAAGTGGACTCGGGGCGGGAGTGGCTTTGTGGGGTGAGCTTGTCTGTTTATGTTGCGTGTCTGTGTGTGCGTGCGCGTGTGTGCCCTTGGAGCTACCCAACGACCCCAGAGTGAAGCCCCACTCGCACTCGCTTTCAACCTACTCTCATTGCACCTCACTCCATCTTTGCTGTGCTCTTTCATCAAGTCACCGCCAGGCCTCTCCCTTTCGCCCCCACACCCTCGTCCATCTCGTGCGCCTCTAACTTTCCGGCGTTACGTGGTGTTGGCTTTCGTCACATTTTCTCTAGTGTAGACGTCCTATTTTAAGAACCAAGAACATTGAGGGGTCAGGTGCTTGCCTGGGGCCTCGGCCCCATGGCCTGCACCGGGCACGCTCCTTGCTCGTTTGTCGTAGTCGTAGCACTCACCTGGATAGCAACGGAGAACTCGGTATACTTTATCTCCACAAAACGTCGAATTAAGATTGTATTGAACAGTGCATAGATAAATGTATCCAGGTCCCTGGAACGCGAGCATCTATCATGATGAGGCTCTTCCTCCCGCTTCTGGGGGTCCCTTTCCCCAACTGCCGTCGGCGGGGAACACGCCCAACTCCGAGCTCTTGCTTTTTCGATCGGAACCTTGCCTCCTATTCCGATTAGATCTTTTGAACTTTGAAGGGGGGCGGGGGTCGCACACATAGGATGCGAGAAGCTGATCGGGTTTTCCGGCCCTGATACTCCCGCTACAGACTTGTGATGATCCCACCCGGGGGCGGAGGTGACGCAGCATGGACAAGAGCACGAGTTCTCGGTCTTGATATGTCTTCTCCAGGACGGTATACCCTTGTTTAAGAATGCGAGGGCTTGATACAGGCTTGTAGATGAGTATCATGACAATCAGCCGTCACATCTCGGAGGTGCCTCGAATCACTGTGGCTTATGAAAGTTCGTTCCCTAAAGTGCCACCTTCATAGCAAAGGCTCGTGATGTTCTTGTATCTCGCATACTATGTCATCCTCTATGATTTAGAGGAGGCGGCCAGATCATGATACGAATCCCGTGAGCGTGTTTCTCTTGAAGCCCTCTCCCCGGTTTAGATTTAACAAGGCCTCTGAGTCTACCATCAAGCCAGAAGACCCTAGCAGTAAGTATCGCGCTCCTCTAGGATTTTGTAGTTCTAGTTTGAACTAGAATCACGGCATTGCTCTGAAGCCTGCAATGAGATAGGAAAAAAGATGCAAGGTTGACGACGTGAGAACTGATTTCCGCTTTGGCCTTCGGTCCCAGCCACGCTCCACGTCCTTCGCAGATCGTCCTTGGTAGTCCACGAGGTAAATATCGAACCTTGGAACGACAAAGAGCTGGCTGAAAAGCTAAAAGAACAACTTCGATTTGTGCGGAAAATCCGGCGGAAAATCCGGCGGGGAACGCTTTCGGGGCACGGAGCTAACGCAGCACGTCGTCCGTCTTGACGATTTTGAGAAGGGACGCCACGCCAAGGCTCTAGGCAAGTGATCAGCTCTCGTTGAAATAATCTCGGAACAAAACCTCTTCCGCGCGCGCACAGCAAGCCACACCTCCGCCCCCCCATGCACACCTTCGAGTCCGCACGCAAGCCACTCGTCACGTTTCTCGTGAGCAGCAACTTCCAAGGTTGTCTAATCCGACGACCAAAGCGTAGCGAGCATATGTAATACTTGAATGGCTATACTTTTGCTTTCGTTTGTCCGTCACTTGGACAGGTTCATGGTTCATCCCAGAAATCTCAACAAATCCAATCCCTTGGGAAAATCGCGCGCGATCGCAATATTGCCCCATGCCAGGCATGCACCTACCATCTATAAAACTCGCTTCCACCACGCACGTAGGGTGCTGCGCGTTCCTGGTCGGTCTGCCAATCTCGAAAATATAACCCCAGGGGTGGCGGGCGGAAACCTTTTCGGGGGTAAGAGGGATAGGCACTCCACCGGAGATCACTTGGAGACTATACATCTACTCTTCCCAGTCCCCCAATTTCAAGCGTGCCTATCTGTCGGCAACCCTTTTTCAATTCTCACTCGTTTCGAAGCCCAGTGCTGTTTATAAAAGGGCCGTTGGCTGCCTATAGTACCGTGTCGGATATACCCTCATCTGCCATCGGAATGTGCGTGCAGCAAGCCGAACCTTTGCCCAAGGTTCCTTTCAACACCCGAAATTCCCCGCTCCGATTGGTACCCTTCTCGTTGGACTTCATCAAACATTCTGTGGTCCATGATTTGATCGATGCGGAGACTGCAAATCTGTTCATTTGGGGGCTTCCGTTCAACTCGAAGCCTTTGCACCCCCTGGCAGACGCCACCGAAATTCTAGTTTCATCTCCAGTGCTCTTGTGACCCAATCATGCTTGCTCAATTTGAGAATTCGTCGCTGAGGGGAGAGTGAATACATCAACCATCGATCCATTCATCGATCCGTCGATGCATTCTGCTAGGAGCAAGAAAGAAAAACAAGAAGAGAAGAAAAAGGCAAAGACGAGGGGAAAGAAACTCACAATTGTAAACCATACCCCTCACTCTCCTCTCTTCTTTCTTGACAATCCCATCAATCACCATAAATATTTTTCCTTTCCCTGGCTAAATGGAATGCCACCGTTCATTCTCGGCCGCCGATCACCCTAATCTAAACGGCGCCATTTCCTCCGTGGGCAAGCCGGGCCACCCAACCTAATAAGTAGCGTTCCCTTTCGCCTCTTGCATAAGCGTGCCGGTGACAAGACATGTGCGCCCGTGGATCGCTCCCTGTCGGGGATTTCAACCTCCGCCGTTTGGTGCAAACCTGTTTCCTTGCACCCGCGCGGAGCGTGTGCCTCGGTGACCATTCACAAACCATCGATCCGTGGCTCAAGCCCAGCGACTCGAGCGAGCGAGAGTACCTTGGTACTGTGGCAAGCACGCCCCCTCTCCCTTCCCTCTTTTTGGTTGGCTGAGCATTGTGACTTTCTTTCAAACAATTCAAGGTGGGTGAGATGAGCAACGATTAGGATCCTCAAAGACGGGACAATTCTCCTTTACCGTGAAACGCGATATTCAAACGCGATAATGGTGTTGTTACACCTATAAAAGAAACCGTTTTTCTCATCCTCTTCTTTCTTTGGGGCATGAAGGGAGGCGGGGAGGCACATGGCACATGCACTGTAAAAACTTTTGGAAGCGATGATTCTTCGATGTTCGAATATTTAATTACTAACAAAGGGGAATAATATGTAATTGCAGTTTCCACGACAGACGAGAGAAACTGGCCGATAGGACCGGCGACCGAAAAGAGAAGAGGAAATGCATCAGCTACCGTCCGCCCTTGGGCGACCTGCAAGTTGACAAGAAATCGAAGAACGAAAAAAAAGTGTTGAAAAGAAAAAGGTACCATCAGCTCATCATCTCGCACATTTCATAACCGGAAGGGGTATATTGTAAACAAGGATTCATCAGAGACCGCGGGACATTGCTGGAGCCCGGCTCGTCCGTGGCGGCGGTGGAACCCCTGTTTCCGTCTTCCTTGCGTCCCCGCAAACCCCCGTTTAAACATTTTTAAAATTTCTTGCTACAAACTCAAGAATGCGCCGAAGCAATTAGACGTGCTCGGCCACAGGCTTCTCCATGTGCATGGTAGTAGCGAAAGTGGTAGTAGGTCGCCAGGCAGCAGAGGTCCTGGGGGTGGTCTCCTCCAACATCTTGTCGACCTGCTCGAGACTCAGGCCCTTGGTCTCGGGAACGAGGAAGTAGGTGTAGACAAAGGCGCAAGTGCAAAGACCGCCCCAAACGAAGAAGACGGAAGACTTCATGTTACCCTTAGTCTCGCCAACCATGTAAGGGGTGACGACGGCGATGATGGTGTTCCAGAGCCAGTTGGAAGCGGTAGAGAGACCGACACCACGAGAGCGGATAGGGAGAGGGAAGATCTCGCCAATGACAATCCAGGCACCGGGACCCCAGGTAGAGGCGAAGAAGAAGATGAAGATGGCGATGAAGGCGATCTGAGCATTGACGGCAGGAATGTTGTCGGCAATGCTGAGCTTGGCATCAAGAGGGTCGGGGTGGGTCTTGTTGAAACCGACGGTGACACCGATAATGGCAACGAGGAACTGGCAGATGAGCATACCGAAGGCGCCATAGAGAAGAATGGTGCGGCGACCGAAGCGCTCGACAGTCCAGAAAGAGAGGGGAGTGGAGCAGACGTTGACGAGGGTGAAGATGAGCGAGATCAAGAAGGTGTTCTTGATAGCACCGGTAGACTGAAGGAAGGGAGTCGAGTAGTAGAAGATGAAGTTGACACCAGTCCACTGCTGCATCATCTGAAGCGAGGTACCGAGAATAGTGCGGCGCAAGTTGGACTTGCCGTGGCTAAGACCACCCTTGAAGCAGTTGGCCCAGCTGCCGATGAAGCTGGTGTCAGGAATGAGAGCGCGCTCATACTCTTCATTGGCGACGATCTCGGTGAGCTCGGCACGGATGTACTCGGAATCCTTGGGCTGGCCTCGGAGACGGGCCAGGGCCAGAGCAGCCTCCTCAACCATGCCCTTCTTGACGAAGTAGCGGGGCGAGTCGGGGAGGAGGAGAAGACCACCACCGAGAATGAGGGCCCAGGGGAACTGGATGGCGATGGGGATGCGGTAAGCACCGGTGTCCGATCGTTCCTTGGTGGCGTAGACAACGATGGCAGCAAGCATGATACCGATGGTGATGCAGAATTGGTAGCCGGCAACGAGAGCACCGCGAACCTTGCGGGGGCACTGTGGAAGATCAACAAGGATTAGAAATTCGCATCAGGGAAAAGCTGAGGACCAGGCTAGGGGATCGACACTCACAATCTCGGACATGTAAAGAATGACAATAGCGGACTCGAAACCAACACCAAGACCGGCGACGAGACGACCGACGACAATGGCCGCGAGGGCATCACCGGCACCAGTGATCATCTGGATGACGACACCAAGCATGTAAATGAAGCAGCCGGCGATGACGGTCCACTTTCGGCCAATGCGGTCGGCAATATCTCCCGCAATAATGGCACCCAAGAAGGTACCGAGCGAGAGAATCGAGACGATGAGCGAGGTCCTGCTTTCGGAAACAGACTCGGCGCCAGGGAACTCGACAGCGTCCTTGAAAATCTGCGATCCAAGGACACCGTTGATGTATCCGGAATCGTAACCGAAGAAGATACCACCAAAGGAGGCGAACGCGCAGATCATGTACGCCTTCCACGTGACGGGGGCTTCGATCCTGTTGACATCGCTGTTGGATTCGAGGATGGCGTCCTGGGCAGGGCCAGGCGCCGTCTCCTTCTCGAGGGAGTTGGACATGGTGAAGCCGTAAAACTGCGAGTTTCTTGGCGACAATTGGCTGTGTTGATGTGGTTGACGTTGACAAGGGGATGGATGTTGGGGAAGAAGGGAGGAAGGGGTGGGGATTAAGGGTTATAAAGAGGTAAAGAGGCCCTTGGAGGGGTATAGAAGGGAAGAAGAGGCGAGCTTGGCTTGGGGATTTCGAAAGGAAAGAGCGATGGTGATCAGAGGGAGACGACCTTATTTAATATCATGCCGGGCTTCATGCATTATAGCACGGCAGGAAACGGAGGCGGAGGACGGATACTGTAGCAATTGGAAGAGCAACGTCTTCCTTCCCTAATACTGCCCCCGCCGCTGGTGTTGGTCAATGGCACGAGGAACCGACAAGCTGGAGCAATTTTGTTTCTCTTCCCAGTCTCTGGTTACCTCGCCGCACCCCTTCACACCCCATCCCGCGACCAATTTTTTCGCACACGTCGCTTTCGCCTCCACACTGAGCCCATGTACACCCAACGAGCTACGCAGCACAGAATATACTTCATACTTGACCCCGGGGAGGAAACTTGCCCCGGAGCCGTCTCCGCACCCAGGTACAGGAGCTTTGTACATGTTTGAGGTTAGGGACGTAGTAGGACCGAGTAGGATACATGCTCGTCGAACGACCACGAATGGAGGGCTCCGAAGCTAGAGTAGGATGACATGTGCGTTCCGCCGTGACCAAGCTAAGCTACCTCGGTGAGATGCGCCGTTAGGCCCATCGTTGGGGGTTGATGCGAGGAGGCCGGAGGCCTTGTTTCAACGCTTGGAGAAGGTTTAACGTTGTATCATCCCACACCTCACGACGACACTAATCCAAGATCAGGGCTCTGCGGGGTGGCAAGGATGGAGACAAGGAGCGCCGGGGAATGGAGGGGGATAGTGATAGGGGATCGAAGTCAAAAGGCTGTCTGTCAGTAGGGGAGGGGTGAGCGCAGCGTAGTGCGTGTAGAGCAACCGTTCCGCCATGAACAAAAAGTAAACTGGGGGCAAAATAAAGAAGGAAGAGGACGACTACTGTGCCATTCGCAATGGCCCAGAGCTACAAGCTCTGTGGCTCGTGTAAGATCGATCTGTCAAACACGAGAACAAAAAGAAAGAAGAAAAGAAACAGAGCTCAAGTCAACCAAGTCAACCACCCCCTTCTTTCCTCCCAATCAATAGCACCAATTTCAAGCCAGCCAGTGTGGGAAGGGTGTTGCTACGCCAGGAAACAAGAAAATAACAAGAGGCATGAGATGGCTTGCATTCTGGAGGCGTTGGAAGAGATCCCCAACACACACCCTCCAAGGAGGAAAAGGAAGGAACATGAAATGGAAGCTCGGGGGCGTCAAAGGGGGGTGTAGAGGGGCGTGTGGATTGGAGTAGGGTGCGTTTGGGGTGGAAAGAAGCGCCGAGAAGTGGTTGGGTACACGCCCTGATTGGTTGGCTGAGACATGGCTGGTCAACGGGAGTGGCGCCCAATGGGTTAATACTCGGTGATATTTGGGCACGCGAGATGCACGGTCTGGATAAAAGTGTCCGAGACCTGGCTGACCACTGCCGTCTCTTGCCGGCACTGGTGTCGCTCTGTGCTGCCAAAAGTTGTGCTCAAGCTTTTTCACGACACACGGACTTGTTACCTAGCTCGTCCAGCGCACAACAGCTATCAGCTTAGTGGCATTTTGCATTGATCGAGGCGCTGATGCTGGCGGCGCTTCTTTTAGGCCACCCCGGAGCTCAGTCAATAGGGGATCCATGGATTAATCCAGGGTCAATGGTTTTACCTATGGACAGACCACATTCATGCTCGGCGTTAGCCGTCAATTTGATTCTGTAAACTTAGGTGGTCCTTGGCTCCTGTCACTTCAGGTCAAGCCTTGCGCCTGCCCCGCCCGGGACAAGCCTGAAAAGACTTGGGCTCAATCAATAAACGGCAACAAGTGGAAGGGTGACTCAACACAGATGAGCCAGGTAAGTTCACCAATATGCCCCGGTCTCTCCATCATGAAATTCGTCATTTTGTCGCACCCGACCCCAAAGGGGCAAGGGTCCTTGAATCCACTGGGAGCGACTGTGATCCTCACTAATCCATTGATTCCTCACGTGGGAAGACACCAATTCCTCGCACCATGGTTTTCCCCAAATTGAACCCCCGAGCTGGTTCCCCAGGGCGCGAAGGTTTGCGCACGCCCCAGCTAACAAGGTTAGTATGATTCTCTTAGCTTGATTTTCTGCCTACTTTCCGGGGCTGCTTGGCTGCATACCTCGTCCAGGATCCCCAGACGCTGGGGAAGTCAGGTGGTAGTCCTCAGAAAATTCCTCGCGCGTTCATTGATATCATCACATTCTTCTGACAAAGCTAGGTAGTGATCGTCGGTCTTTCCTTCTAACATTTCTTCTATAATCCCAGCAGGAAGGATAGAAGGTCGCGGGGCTCCTTCTAAGGGCAAGAGCTGATGAGTTGGCCTGCTTGACATTAATGCTCGTACTGGGTCCTGGGGAGCGCCTGCTGAAGGACTGTGCCAGAAGTGATCTATAGCTATGGATCCATGGACGTCTATGTTTGACCTCGTGCCAGCTTCAAGCAAGAATGCACTTTCCTAAGAAGTGGAGCGCCTCAAGTCCACAGTGTAGAATGATTCACGCCATGGGTTGATGCCGGAATAGCCGTAACAACATCAACGACATCCGTTAGCCACAGTAGTTTGCGTCCAAGATTGGCCGAGTTGATCTCGGTGCATGTGGAGGCGAGACCCATCAAGGATGGTGCTACGAAGAACGAAGTAAAAGGGTTGTGCTCCGATTTGGCTCTTCTTCTAGCCTCTGGGGAACCCCGAATCGTAAAAACCTAAAGGATCTTGTGCGCTCCAGACCCCTCGTACTCGGGGTGCTGGGGGCGGGGGCGAGTTGCTGGAACTGGAAGGGGCAAGATGGGCACAAATTCGGTCCCATTCTTGCAGCGAAGGAGCGACCCGCGTGGACACGCTGAACCGGCAACCAACTAAAACCACCCACCTGTCGGCTTTTGGAGTGGCACTCGCATGGTGTGGGCAGCAAGCAGAGCGGACGATGAAGGTCAGCAGGTATGTGTCGGTCCCGAAGGCCCTGGATACCCCATCGCTATCAGAACGCTGGCTGAGCCAGTAGATTTGGAGGGCACGCTTCTTTTCCACCACCACGCAAGATCTCACCGCCGTACCTCCGTGCCAATAAAGATGCAGAGGTGAATCGTATCAAGTAAGCTGGAAGGGAGCGCAGCCATTACGGCACTCTCCAATGTTGTATGACCTGCAATACCCGCGCGGAGCCTCCGGCGCTACTACAGTCGGAGTCCCACTTCTAACATCAAAGGAGGGTCACACCACAGATCTGGCATCCTACGTCGATTGCCAACTGGTGCGCTCCCACCCCTCTACCCAACAGCTTAGGCCCTCTAAGGAGGTGTTTCAACACTCCTGACCTCGACCCATTCAAGGAAAAGGCGAAGAAAAAGCAATCAAAGGAGGTTAAGAGGAGAGCGAACTATGGAGGAGGGCGGCGAAAAGAAAATGGTGGGAGAAAAGGACGGGCTGAAAGCCCTTCACTATGTGTTGCGCAAGCCTTGCAGGGTGCCGAGCAGCCTGAAGGTGAGACATTTCGTTTACAATACAACGCCTACGATATTATCCCATACCTCTAAAGGCGAAGAGAACCTCAACCTCCTTCACGTTCGATTGGAAGGATTGTGGGCTGGTGAATACAATTCGAGCTAATGGCATGTAACGATACAATTGAGAATCCTTCAAGCGATTACCGAAAAGAAAGAAGCAGAAAAAAGTAGGAAGTTGGCCCAGGCCCTTGGTCAGCCACCTCCACCACACTTTCAAGATCTGTGCTTGTTCTTGGAGACATGGGTCTCATAGCGTGACGGACCCTTGTTCACACCCGCGCGACCCATGAGCTGTCACCTTGATTCGCATGTGCTCTTCACCTCACCATAGTGTAGGGATGTTGTAAAGAGTCTCACGGCACAACCCAAAGATGCCCTTCTTCAGCATCGATCTTTCAGCCGTCAAGCTATTGGAAGACGGCCGGAACAAACCCCGGCCGCAGGCCTTGCTTTCCGGATTGGTCTAGCTCTGAGGAAATGCCAGAAGACATACGCATTGACGATATTAGACCGTGACCCATCGTCTGGGTTCGATTTTTTTCTGTGGTCATGATGCCGTCGAAGGCTTACTAGTGCGAAATTGGCCGCCCGGGGTCTGCTAGGCGCTGATTCCTTTTTTTCTTGGTCATTGAATGAGGTTGAGTGGGCAAAGCCAGCAACTACAGAACGCCACCGACTTTGCGGGCGTGTCACGCTCTCGCCTCGATCGGTATTAGATCGATCTCAAGAGCAATCCGGGTTCGCTTCTGACTGAGCTAGAGGAAATCGCATCACAAAAACTCGTCCTCTCTCCCCGTCCGGGGTCGACGTCACTCGGCCGGCGGAACAATATTTTCACCAGCATACCTTGAAAGGGCGGGCAGGCGCTTTAGGTTGTCCCGGCCTTGCTCGGCTCTTTTCTTCACCTCGCGTTTGCCATGCTCTCGATGGTGGCCCCTCCGATCGGTAATGGTTTCCGAAAAGGGGATCAAGAGCGGCGACGCTCCATCTTCAAGCCCCGTCCTCGAATCACTCCCACCCCCACATGCAATTAGTTATGGTTGGAGAAGTCTGGCCGAATACTATTTCCCCACTTCGAACCCCAACGACGAGTTCCAGAAGCACAATGCTCAGTCTTCTTTTCGGTCGCTCTCTCAAGACGCCCAATTCTTTACCTTCCCTCTTTGGCCCTGTGGCGATTCTAAAATCCTGTCAGGTCAGGAGTCGTTTAGAGGGTCGAGAATGGACCTCCACGCTTCTCTCGTCTTGTATTTTCCCGCCCTTTTTCTGTTGTCTTAATTTTTTTCCCTTCTCTCTCTATTTTTCCTCCTCAGGGGCCATCAGTCACTTTTTCTCCCCCTCCCGCTGTCTCTTAGTTAGGTGGATGGGGAGCCCACCGACCCATCGGTTCCTCGCGCCAAAAGCAATGCCGCCGAGTGCGCCGAGGGGATGGAGTCGAGATGGAGCATATTCCAACACGCTGGATTGATTAAGTGCTGCCCTGGCTATACGATACATGTAGTCCTAACCTTCGGAGCACCCTTTATTGCCATGATGGAGGCAACGTTCCGCACCACACCCTCCAAAGAGCGTTGCACTCGGAAATAGCTTTCAATACTCGTAGCCGCTAAGCAGAGGAGGCGTGCATCCACTCAGCGAAGCAGCCGAGTTCCTTTCTTTGTGACTGCGTAGCAGGATGGTAGGAAATCACTCCTCCCCGATGTGGCACGATGGTTGGGACTCGTGCGGGCTAGTACGTGCATCACATCAGCATTGGACGAGTGTCATAGCCTGACGATGCAAAGCAGTTGGAGAACGCTAGTAAGCTACACCGGTACGGGAGGAAGCGGTGGCCTCTACACGCCTCGGGCATTTATTTTTATCGTAAGCGTAACCCCAACAAACTGGAGGCCCTCGCGTATGAGATGAACATTCTCCTTGATGGCAACCTCTACAACGGCGTTACTAGCTTGCAGGACGAGGTAGGCCCGATCAACCGGGACCTTCACTTCTCCGCGATGAGTTGCGTCAGAAGAAGTCGTGTGGTTGTTGCTTGACGCACCTGGTTCGGCAACCCTTCGGGCCTGGCAGCTAAATTTTCGCGATAGTCCCTGGTAGTAAGTGGAAAAGACAACTAAAAATTTCTCTTGCACGTCCAGCCCTGCGGAGCCATTGCGACTCCAGTGGCTGCAGAGAAACTGAGCTTCCTGCGCTGAGGACTGCCTAGCTTCATCCAGGGCTCTTCCATACGGGTCCGGGGTTGGAATGTACATGTAATGGGTCTCCTTTGTTATCTCGGCCATTTTCCACTCCGCGGGGCGGTGGGCATCCAGCGAGATGCGACTATTGGCACCCCTAGGCGGACAACGAGCACGTTACTGGACAAAGACTCTGAGGAGCTATGGAGAAACCCAATGGTCCGACGCTCGGGGTGACCGTCGGCGGGGTGGTTGACAGACCATTCGGTGCGGGGCAAGGTTGGGGTGGAACCGTACGAGAGGTATAATCTCTTCCATCTGAATTGCTTTATGTGCCGCGGGAGAATGCATATGAGACCCCTGTTTGTGCCCATGGGAGGGCGTGAGGCGATGAGATAGTCATCCCCGTGGGGGTGCCCGCCCCCGACCTTGCTGCCGGCGGAGGCCACTCGAAGGACAACACAGAGCCAGACTGCATGGTCCGGGAAGCGCCGGGATGGGTGCTAAGAAAAGTCCAGGCCATGAGATCGTTGGGGTGGCCAGTGATACCGAGCTTCGAAGGCTCAACAACGGGAAGTGTAACGAGGATTCCGCGACTGGTTACGGTCGGTGGAGGGACCGTCTCATTTCCATGGCTCAGGGCCAGGGGTAAGGCGTACCGGGCCCTCGGATTGGTGATGACCTCGGGCACAACCGTTTGCACATCCTTCCAGGTTAGCCCCTGGATGGGTCCCCCAGCTGAGTCGCGCTGCATCACGGGGGCATTCTCCATGAATAGCACATACGTAAAACACGCAGGGTCCAGGGCGAGCACGCCAGAGCAGGAAACGGACGGCCTCGGGGGTACCAGGCGAGGAGCGACAAATCTTCGGACCGTCTTAAGATTTCCTCCTGGAGGCGGATAAATGCGCTTTGCCCCTCGCCGTAGAGTAAGGGCATGTTTACATTGAATATGCCAAGCAAGGAGTATGCACGGTCTTCTATTCTTTGGGTTTCGCGCTTCGAGGCCCAGCTCATGCGCTCCGCGACCGTGCAGAGGTCGCCGGGAGGTGCGCCCTGCAGCACCTCGGCGCGAATTCCAGTGATACGCTGCAAGTCGGACACAAGGCTCGCCTTGGTTCCAATCTCGGTCCATCTATGGTCGTAGAACTCGACGAGGCGCGGAGCGAGAAGCTCTTGAAGGGTCCATCCACGCCGGAACCAGCGGCTGGCCGCGAAACTTGGGCCAAAGCGCCGCAGCGTGCTTGCTTCACGGCCAGACGAAGAGGGCAACGGGGTCTCGCCATGTACAAAGCTGGCTGGGGAGGTTGGTAAGAAGGCGCTGTCGAGATTCGCGGCCACGTCGGACATGTAGACGTAGCAGACGGCGGCGAGCTGGTACCAGCGATACATGGAGTTGATGGCCTCGGACAACTCGGCGCTGGACTGCTTGTCGATGCAACAGGTGTCCACCCAAGCCCACGCGTAGCCATCCCGCTTCGCTTGCGAGCAGCACCTCTCGATCTTGGCGAACCCTTGCAGCTGCATGGCAAAATGGCGCCCCTTTTCCATGTCCTGAAAAGTCACCTCGCCCTCGCCCCACGTATGGGAAAGGATGGCGTATGGCGGGGCATCGCCCGCGAACAGCTGGAGCTGGAGCGTGTCCGTGTCGATGAGTCGCATCGCTGTGGCTGAAGAACGGGAGGGTAGTCCAGAAGCCGCTTTGCTCAAGAAATATGATGCTCTCACTCCCTCTCTTTCTCTTCGCCCACGGTGGGGTCTTATGAAGGTGAGACAAGCAAGAAAGATGAGAGTGGGGCTTGTGGCTGGGAGTGTATTTGTCTGGTATTATCTGTGGACGACGTATGTGAGTGATGGTGTTTTTGTGCGCAGATTGGCACGCGTGTATGCTGCAGTATATGCGCTGCTATGAAGGGCAGCGTGAGTGGCCTTGAGGGTTGCTTCGTTACGCGGATGAGGATCCGAGATGGTTTGTGAAACATGTCTCTCGCTGTCGTGTTGCTGGCACTTGGCATCTCAAAAGAAATATGCATCGTCTGTTGCTTTTGTCTTGTTCTTCAACCGGCCCCCTCTCTGATTTGACAGCTGGCCTACTATTGGGGTTTTACCTTGCATCGTCTGGCAGGTGCCTAAAGAGCAGGAACCGAAACAAACGACTCGACGGCAGGCGAGGGTAATGCACGAGGACGCCAGGTCAGCCTGCCTCGTTGGCACACTTGGGCCTCATCTCAGCCCCCAGGAGCACTAGGCAGACGAGGTGAGAGGGCATCCACTGAGGCTGCGTCTGGACTCTCGACGGAACGGGTTCCCCTTGTGCCTACGAGTCTGAGGCTTTTGCCACCAAGGACGCCTCTACCCCGGATCTCCGTGCCAACGGTTTAAAATTTCTCTTGAGTTTGCCGAGAGAGCGCAGGGGGCTTCTCCAAAGGGGGAAATCGGATGGCAACATAAAAGGAATGTGAAGGCGGCAAACGTGTGAGCTTGAAGGCCAAGCCAGGCTCACGGAATTGAAAGAGGCGGATGTCGATCGGTGGCTTGAAAATGAGGCTTGACGATCAATTTATCGGAATTCGGTTAAGCTGGAGGCTTGGCCAGCGCTCAACGTCCTCCACAGGCAAGATTTGTCCATTGATGGGAGGCGGAATCTTCATACCCCTGTCGATGTCCCACACCCACCACGACCACGTCTGACGAGCTGCCACGGCGAGGATCGGCGGGTGTGCAAGATATCAGAGACACTTGCCCGATCTATCAAACCTTTCTTTTCTTTATTCTCAATCCCCGAAGAAGGCTGAAACTCGGGGTCCCTTCTATACTTTTTCTTTCCTTTTTCCTCTTAAGTGGGGGGCAGGGAGTGAGGCCAACAATGAAAGCAAGAAATGGACTTGGGAAACCGTTGGTGGGAGGAGGATGTGGAAATGCACCCCCTCCCCAACCCCGAATCTCCTCGTTGATATTTGCTTCTTCGTTATGCCGTTTGCTTCTTCGGATCTCTTCATCCAGCTTAACCTGCATTCCCACGCATACATTTGCTGCACCTTGCTCTTTTTCTTCTTTCTCTCCAACCCCCTGGTGCCCGCGAAACAGGAGGCGCGAAGGGAGGAAAAGGAATAGATGGGTGTGCGAGTAACCTCGACCGACGATCCATGTCCCTAATCCACAGTTTTGAGCTGGCTGTATGCCTGATGCAAGTGTAAGGCTGGATGCCACTGATGTCTTGAAAGGAAAAACGCCAATCTGCCAGCTTGTGAGCAAAAGGAAGCACTAACGCGAGTAATGGGCGCTACAAGAGAGACACCTCTCCTCTCCCTTAGCCGGGGGAGTGGCTATGAGAAGTTGCCATCTTGCCCCTCGTCTTTTGATATGCACGCACTATAATTATCCTACACGTTTTTGAAGGCATGCATCTTTCAACTTGGCTGCTTTTCCCTCCCTTCCTCCCAGCCCCGTCGGTTAAGCGGAATCTTCACGCTTGCTTTTTTCCTTTGCGTATGTTTGTTTAGTGTAGCTTTTCCCCTTCATCTTGAGGCGGATAGAGAGGAGAGGCGAGTATGTAGCCCTTTAAGCCACCTGGCCATGGCAGCAAAAGCCCTCCTTGACCAAAAAGGACGGAAATAGGAGCAAAGGAAAAAAGCCTCTGGTTCGATAACGCTTGAAAAAGAAACCACTTTTCGAGGGTAGAAACTTGCTTGTTTCGTCGCATTGGTCCAAGTGTCCATTAAAGCGAGATTATCGTTAGAGGGAAAGGCTGGTGGTTGAAAGCGCCCTTCATCTTGTATCATAGGAGACGAGAAAGCCTCAAACCTCCAGGAACAAACAATTTGGCCTAGTCCAGATATCGATATCGCAACAGGTTCAACCATTGGAAAGAGCACGACATCTTCAAAAGAAAGAAAAGGATTTCCTTCAGGTGGATCGCTTCGAGGATGCGGCGCCACAGTCGAGAATAAAGTCATTTACTTTCTCGAGATTTATCTCCCCCATATCAATAATAATAGAACTCACGATGCTTTTGGACGAGGGCGTGTGCACGACATTTTTATCCCCGGAGTCCGGAATGGCCATCCCTTAGAGAGAGAAAAACAATTTAGTATTGAAGATGATTTCATCGATTCCCATTTCTCTTTGGCTCATAAAAAGGTTGAAGAAGCGAGATGATATCTAAAGACGAGATAGGAAATAAAAAAACAAATAGGGAGCCGAAGATCACCAAACTCATTACCATACGGCCCATTGACTAGGAGATCTAGCATCACCGCTCCGGTGATTAGCTCGCTCTTGGGCCATTTCCCGCAAAGTCCCCCCTTTCTTTCCTAGCGGCGCCGGCGATTTCCCTTCACCTCGATAGTTCGAACGCGATACGCCCCCTCCCTCTTTCTCGTCTTTCCCCATGTTTCACTCTAAGATGAGTGACCGAATCTCCTTCGCTTACATGTAGAGATAATGATGGTTGACGAGTCTTGGTTGGACCCCTCCCTCCTACGTGAAGCGGCGGAAAATCACCTCCTCCCTCTTGGCTTCATTTCCACACAAGATAAAAGGCCTCAGTCGGGAAGCGACGGAGATATTCCGACCGTAGGTTCACTGGGTAACGCGCACCCGGGGTCCGGGGGCCGGAACACGGTGACTGTAGCTGTAACGGTGACAGTGGCAGTGAGGCCGACATCGGGGAGCTGGAGCTGGAGGGCGACGGAGCAGGGTCTTCGGGGATGACGGTCTCGAAGCCCGGAATGTGAGAAGAGAGGATGGTGGAGAGTTCCGGGTAGTCGGAGAGAACGTCGCCTAGATCCGGGTCTGGTGGGGCCGTGCCGATGCCGACTGTCACGGTGGGAGCAGGATCGCCGACTGGGATGGACGGAAACATGGACATGAAGGGCGGGAGCATAGTGCCCCAGTTTCGATCGTCCTCTTCGTTCTCATCTCCTCCCCCGCCATTGGGTTCTTCTTCGTTATTATCCTCCCCGCTGTCTTCCCCATCACACTCGCCTTCTTCCTCGCCGTCTCCATCGCCACTGCCCTCCTCACCTTCGCTAGGAGGCTTCCACCACGCCGGCGGATGTTCCCACCAATACCAAGGCGTGATGGGCGGATTAAAGTACGACGACAAAATCTTCCAAATGAGCCAGTGCACGGCCTCGGGGACCCTCTTGGTGTAATCGAGGTGGATCGGGAACACGTAGAGGGTGCCGGTGCAGATGACGTCGCCCACGTTGCAGATGATGAGGGTTTGGTCCAGCGGGTAGCCGATGATTCGTCCACCGTCCTGAAGAGTCTGGGTATCCCCAAAGGTCACGACGGCGGTGATGCGGTCGCGAATCTCCTCGTCGAGGTACTGCACGGCCCGGTGCAGCACGGCGGCGCCCTGGCTGTATCCGGCCGCAATGACTTTGGAAGAGGGGCACTCCTTCACCGCGCGGGTGAGGAGCACCTGCATGAGATAGATGCCGAATGGGGGTGCGCCACCGGGGTATAAGTTGGTGTCCATTCGGCCGAGATAATCGACGCCTTCTGTGGCTACGTTGTCCACGCCAAAGTAGAGCTTCAGCCGGTTGGAGATTTCCGGTCCGACCCAGAAGCCCTAAGGGCAAGGGATAACTACATGTTAGCTATGATTGGGGAGGAAGAGTCCCGAGGTGAGTAGACTAGAGAATTTGAGGAGAGGGGCGAAACGAACCATGTTACCTGGGGCTATGGTTTCGCGAGCATAAATGAAGATGATCGGGCGGCACCCTCCTCTGTGAACTCGCGCGAGGACAGTCCAGTCCATGACGATCGGGAGTCGAGTTGGGTTGGGGCCGCGGATGCCGTTGCGGCCAGGCTGGCCAGGAGGACCGCTAAGCAGGCGTGGAGCATTTGATAGTATCGCATCTCGAACGCGAGGACGGCTTCGCACAGGTAATACTGCCTTTACATGCGGGTATCCACCGTGCTCCCTCTCCCCTATTTTCAAGGCAAAGAGCGAGCAAGCTGGTCATGGTCTTAGGGATACCTGTCCGTACATACAGCAACCGTGACGAAATGTGGTTAGAGCCCCGTTTTTGAACTACTTTGTCGACAGCACAGCTCTCGGTGCTAGGATTGCAGCCGAGGATTTCCAGGTAAAACAAACGTGTTGACGCAAGGCCGGCAAGTTATACCCGCTCCAGCTCGGTTGAGGATGCCGGGATTTGCGGGGCCAACGTGGAAGGGCTCGCCTTTCGGATGCAAGGCTCATTCTTACTGTGGGAATGTTCTGGATGCAGATGACGAGATCGACTTAGATTTAAATCAATTAAACTACGGCTCCAGATCTTCATAGACGAATGGGGACGGGGCAAGTCTTGCCCCATTCAGAGGACGACTAGGAGTAGGTGCATGGCCACCGGGGGACCTTTTGTCGCATATTATTGCCTTTTCCTTGGCACTTATACACGGCAAAGTGCTGAAGCATCCTAGCCACTCGGCATTTGGATGTATACATTATGCATCTATTCACTTGTCGCGGAAAGTGTGAACATCCATCTTGGAAGGGAACACTCGTGGGGGCCTGATTAAGGATGAGATCTCAAGTGTCCTAAGCAGCCGGCAAGAACGGCTTAAGAGAATCTAGAGGCTGAGATTTTCCGTTTAGATAGCGTACGAACGTAAGACCTTCCGGAGCAGATGAATGTGTGAGGAGGCAATTGGAGGAGCGAGGGCAAAGGCAAGGGGAGGGACGGAAACCTTGGCCTATCTATCCCCTTTGGGCGGAGACTCGCGTCGCGTGTGGGGAAAAGAGGGATCTTCTCTTTCACCCGAATTTAACCAAATACGGCGACGGAGAGGCCAAGGAAGCGGTTGAAGGTGGTTCATGCGGGGGTGGAATCGAATCGGGGATTTATCTGCCGGCTTTGGGCCGGGAGAGGCGATCAAGAGGCAACCATTTTGTGGCGATCAATGTGAAAAATCTTGGTTGCAGAGAGGGTTTTTGGAGTTTGTTTCTAACCAAAAACTGCATGCAGTCTCTTGACTTGACGAGGGCTCAAGAGATAAAGATTCTAGTATATATGCGATGGATGAGCTTGAGAGGAAGGCAAACTAGGGGGAAAACGAAACGGCCATTGTGGGCGGTAATTACCGGATGATCTTAGATCGATTGAATAATGAAATCTATACACATTTCCGTCGCAAGATTCGGGCCTCGAGGAGCGAGGAGTTATTCCCTCAACCCATCTTGCATCTTTACAAGTTGTGAACGAAGGTCCCGGGCGACTTACACTGGACGCTGCTGCCTGGGGCCAAAATGGAAGGAGCAAGCATGATGGGCTCAGAGTCCCATCCAACCCCTCAAGCCCCTCTCGGGATGAGTCAGGAATGTGGGTTCGCCCTCCACCGGTGCCAACCGATGGACACTCTTCGAGAAAGCACGACGCGCGATGATGAGCGGGGGCTTTTTAAACGGAGCTGGGTCTCTCTCCATCTCTCGACGGGACAGGCCCTCCTTAAAAGGCTTCCAGCCAGAAACTTCACAAATTATCTCACACCCGCAAACCACGCTCGGCAGTCCGCGCTAATTAACATAAACAATGGCCGATGATAGGAAACCCATCACTCCCGCGGAGGTCGTCTTCACGGAGGCGAGCCCTGAGCAGCGGAGCTCTCGTGGCGCATCAACGGCGTCGAATGGTCGATGCCCTTGACTATTGAAGGTCACATGCACAGGCAAGCCTCACTCAAGGAAAGAGACACTGGTCGCACATTCTACGTAGTACATCGTCACGGCGACCCGGCCGACATTGTGTGCGCCGTAGAATCTATAGCAAAGACGGCTCTCGTCAAGGCTCCCGGTGACTTGGCTCGACCGACCAAGGCTTACGGGGTAGCTGCCGTGTTCACCACCCCGGCGTATCGGGGCCAAGGCATGGCAGCGTGGATGCTCCGCCAGTTGCAGGGCGTCATGGACCTAGATAGCGCCTTCAGCGTTCTCTACAGCGGCATTGGGCCTGACTTCTATGCTAAATACGGCTGGGATGCCACCCTCGCCGCTCGGGTCACGCTCTTTCTCCTAGGCAGCGCCGTTCCCCGCCCGTGCCGGAGGGGGTCAGGTTCCTTTCTCGCGAAGAGATTGCACCCTTATGTGACCGGGATATCGCAAAGCTCACGGCGAGACTAAACGAGAGCCCCGAGAACGGGAGCACAAGGGTTGCTTTCTTGCCCACATTTGCGCAGGTGGACTGGCAATTTGAGCGAAACGCGATTGTCGCGCGCCAGGTGCGGAACCGGGAGCCGCAAAACTATGGCGCCGCCACCTCGGACGGGGCCAACTGGATCTACTGGGTTCACGAAGTAGGCCGCCAGACGCTTGGAATTATCCGCATCGTGGGAGAAAATCCCGCAGCGATCATGGACCTCTTGCGCGCCGCGCTTTCCGAGGCCAAGGACTGGGGGTTCGAGAGGGTTACGGTGTGGAACCCGCAAGGCGATGTCGAGGAGGCCGCGAGGATGCTGGGCGTCGAGGATGAGACGGCGGTCCGAGTGCTCTTTGAGGGTCGCCAGGACCGGCTGCCGTGCCTCCGGTGGAAGGGTGGCGAGCAAACGGACGTGGTCTGGGAGGATAATCACCACTATGCCTGGTGCTAATGAGAGCCGAGGCAAGGGCGAACGCACGCACGCACTTGCCAAGTCAAGAAGGAAGTGAAAGCCTACAAGTATATAGCGAGCTGTCTTCCCCTCTTGTGCGGTAGGCGAGGAATGGGTGATGATTACCATGATCTGCAAGTTCAGCTCGCCAGGGCCTCAAATCAGACCAAATTGACGGATGGGGGCTACCCGGATATGGGTCGGACCAGCGGTAACGAGACAGGATGTTATTACGAAGTATTAAAGCGCTCGTGTAAAAGAAGTCAACTTAGTGCATCTTCAAGTACTTGGTATTATTAGATCAGATTCCGCCCCGGCAGGTCACGCGGTGACTGACAGGCTTGACATGGTAACCATGGGCGGCCTTTGCTGTCCACGGTCACAATTCCCGGATTGCGATTCGACGGAATTTTAATCTTGCTCAATGTAGGCAAGCTGGTGCCTAGCAAGCTAGGAAATCAAACTAAGATGATGAAGGGGATTGCAGAGCTCCACATTTGCACTCGCCACAGGGCAGACTGGGATGGTTAGCTTCCAAGATCGACAAAGGCGAGAAGGAGAACAAGGAAAAACAAAAACAAGGCATCTCGAACCATCGCTCCTTGGTCATGAAAGGAAAGGTCGAGAGAAGGATTCTTCAAAAGAGAGATCGGTCTTTGAAGAAGGTCTGGAGACCCCGACTCAGCCTCCTTGCCTTGACTTATATGACTTGGCGTTTATCTTGGCGGCATGAGGTGCGTTGTTTCTCGATCGACTGCTAGTAATCAAGAAAGACTGCAGCTAAGAAATGCAAGTGTACTGCCACAAACGACGTTTCTTTTCTCCGCTCCATTCCAAGATCGATGCCCTTTTTTTTGGGGGAAGGCTTTCAAAGATCAAGAGTGCTCCAGCCACAATCACAACTCCCGTCTCCCTTTTGAGAAGAATGGCTGCATTAGCTCTTCTATGCTGTATGCGATCATACCCCGATGGCTCAATGGGGCCATTCAGCGTGGAAAGCTTGGCTTGGGCTACCCCTGTTCTTCTCCACCCGCCGGCCGAGTCTGCAGATCGCAGGGTTGCAATCTTGCTGGATCCATTGTATTTTCTTTTGGCTCGGGCGATGATGCTGACGGGTTGAATAGCGGCAGTCGGCGAGACTCGAGCCCGACTCGAGGTGACAATTGACCGTTTCCCTGCATTTGTTGTTTTCCCAAGAACAAGCCAAACTGCGTTGGGTTGGGTCGAAACAGCGGTGATCAGTGATATTTTTGGACGATCATTGAGGAGCTGGAGGGGGAAGACAAGGGTTGGACCCATCTCATTAGACTTGGGATGGTTAGACTTTGTACGCTAATTGTCATAAGGCGAAGTGCGGAACCGCGATTACCACCCTCTTCCTTGGGCAACCACCCCATTTCCAGGCACCCCCAGCCACGGTTGGGACAAAAAAGAAGAAGAGACGAGATGGGAGGCGAAAGGGGAAGCTGTGCGAGGCAGGGTAAGGATTCTCACTCTTCTGGGACATGGAGCGAACGGGCTGCAGCTCCCCGAGCTTACACTCTGTCTGGACCTCGCTTGGGATCTCTCTGCCTTGTACTTGTAAGAGGAAATGAGCTCTCTCTCTCTCTCCGTGGATTTGCCCTATATAGAGGCAGACCCTTCGACCGGCACCCCCAGATGCTCGATGAAAGAAAAGCCATCTTCTCGACCTATCAACTCTTTGCGCTATCATCCTCGGTTCCTGTGTGGACCATATCTCCAATTCCCCAGATCTTAAGCACATTGACACTGCACGCGAGATCTTGCTGCAAAAGAACGCCTTCGCTGTGCGTTGACCAATCCTCATCTCTCAGCTTCATTCTACCCGCACCTCCCAACCCTCAAGCCACCTACCTCCTCCCAACCTGAACCATCCCCCGGTCAAGCCAAAACCAACCACAAAAACAAAAATGCACAAGTCTCTGGCCCTCTTCCTCCTCACCGCGGCCACCGGCGCCGTGGCGGGCACGTCGCCCCTCGTTCTCCTCAAGAGGCAGAGTGAGTGCGGCATCGCGCAAAAGGTGTGCGGTGACGGCTGTATCCCCATTGGCTACACCTGCTGCCCCAGCGGCGAGGGTGGCTGCCCCCTCAGCTCGACGTGTCAGATGGGCGACAACGGCGAGTACGGATGCTGCCCCATTGGCAGGCGGTGCAGCGGCGACGGCGGTGTAACCACCCGGCCCGGAGGCGGCGGCGGTGGAAGCCTTCCCACCGGCATTGGCGGCGGTGACGACGACGATGATGATGTTATTCCCCAGACGACCAGCACTACTGCTACCACCACTTCGAGGATCACTCTGCCTACTGGTTTCGGAAGCGGAGACGATGATGATGATGATGATGACGATGATGACAGCGGCAACAGCTCCAACTCTGGTTCTGGATCGGGCTCTGGCTCAGGTGTGGGTTCCGGCTCCGGTATTGGGTCCGGTTCTGGTTCCGGTTCTGGTTCCGGCTCTGGTTCTGACACTGCCAATGACGATACTGGTGGCAACGCGAGCGGCGCTGGCAGGACTCTTGTCTCGGTTGCCGGCGTTCTTGCTGCCGTCTTTGCGCTCTAAGCGGCAGATGCAGCCTTTCTTCAACACGGTCTTTCAGGTGACCGCCCACTATCCGGCTTCTCTTCTAGCAGAGGTCATCGCTTCCAAGACGTCTACGCCATCTCCTAGACGCCTAGGGGCGGATTCAACTTTTCAATCTTCATTTTTCCCCTCGTCATTTATCACGTTTTCATCTTTTGTTCGCGGCTACGATTGGTAGTAGAAGCGCGAGGTTGACGTAGACATGGGTTTATCTCTTTTTTTTTGGTGGCATCTGCCCCACCTGGTTTTATGTATTTAGACTAATTCACGACTTTCCTTTGAAGATATATATATAAGAAAGCGAATTTTGATTCATTAAAAAGGGAGAAAAGAAACAAATGATGCTATTACCAATCCGACGTGAGCCCGTGACCAGGACGAAATGATAGAAAGGCATGTTAGACTGATAGCCTCTCGTCGCCCATCCGACCAGCCCATCCCTTCTCAGACCATGAACAAAACAGCAGCAAAGAAGGCAACGGCGGCACACATGACGCCCGCACTGGTAGGGGCACCGACGACGGCGGCATTGTCGCCGTCGGGCTTATCGCTCGCATCGGTCGGGCGACTTCCGGCGGTGTCGACGGCACCGGAACCTCCGACGCCGGCACCGGTGACAGTGGCGCTAAAGGTGGTGGTGAGGTCGCTGGAAGCGGTGGGCTTGGTGGCGGCGACGGAGACGGAGGAGGCGGAGGTGGAACCCTGGGCGAGGGTGGTGCTCTGGAAGCCGCAGGCGCTCATGATGTCGCTAATGTCTATACACCAAGGGTTCTTTTAGTTAGCTGCAAGCTTGTGTTTTTTTTCTTCTTTCTTTTTCATTTACCTTCAGCATCGTCGAGGTCGGGGGCGTTTTGGTGGATGCAGGCGGCGCACAGGGCGGTGCGGCCGGGGACGTCGAAGCTGGCGTTGGTGCAGAGGCACTGGCGCTCGAGGAGGTCCTCGTTGTCGGAGCCGCCGACGGCGTCCTCGTCGGTGACTTCGCAGATGCGGGAGAGTTCTACGATGGGGGCGCAGAGGGCGGAGCAGGGTTGGGGTACGTCGTCGGTGTCGAGGCGGAGGTCGGCGAGGGAGAGGAGGGGAAGAGGGTGAGTGTGAGAATGGGGAGGAGGTGCATTTTGTTTTTTTCTAAAGGGGATTGCCCTTTTTATTAGGTATCGTCTTTTACGGGTTCAATTCAATTCAAAAAATATGATGAAATTATTGCGGGATATATGATGCATGTGTGGTGGGTTATGGGTTGGAGCAGAGAGAATCTCGCGATGGTGCAAAGGGGAGGCAAGGGAGGGGAGAAAAGGGGGTGGGACAGGGACGACTCTTGTTCTTTGTAAAACCCGGGATGCAAAAAGGGTTCAATCCTATTTATTTATTCCGCTGGACTGGTTTTCCATGATACTTTTCGCTTTACTGTTTCTTTGTGACGTCTGGCGAGAGTTTTGACATTTTAAGTTCTTAGCGTCGAGCCATCTTTGCGGTGGCGGCATGTAATACATGTAGTCATGATCGTGATGTCCATGTCACGACGTACATGTATTGAACGCATGGTGGTCCCTTTGAAGCCCCCATCTTTTACTTTGTGCATGTGGTTAGTGAGAGTGAGGGATAAAATAAAACGACAAAAAAATAAGAGAAAAAAGGTTAGTACGAAGCGTTTTAGGTTGGCTTCGTGTCAAGGCTGGCGTCCGCCACCTTTGCATTCAAGGAGGGGAGAAGCTTTACTCTGTCACTTCTTTGCATCTCTCCCAGGGGCATTATGGGAACGGCACGCGAAGGCTATAGCGACAGGTACGGTGGATTCGATGCGCCACGAAAGCTTTTCGTCTAAAGGGAGAAGAGAGGGGAGGGGAGGGGGTGTTAATCATCTGGGGAGAACAGGGAGTGCAGCGTATCCGTGATTCTTACCTCACTTTTATTGTCTCTCTAGGTCTCTAGATCTACATGGCATAGCACGACTGAATGAACTTTGATGAAAAAGGGAGAGATGGATTTGCCTGTGTTACGAGTGTGTGCGCGCTCTTGAGTGCTCTCTCGTCATGATAGTCGACAATCATCACAACCACCCGCACGACTATATACGTACATGGACACCTGCTGAATGAAATAACGCTCTTGAAAAGAAATTAGTTTCGACAACCCTAGCCAAGGAAATAATTCTCTAGTGCCCCTCTATTGTCTGTCTGCCCGTCGAAGCGCCAACTCTCTGCGCGACATATACCCTCCTCTACACCTCACATACCCTCTACGCGCACAGGCTCGGGTCCGCATCCGTCAAGGTATCCAAAACCATCATGGTGAGGGCCTCCAGCTCAAGCGTGCCGCCCATGCTATCCTCCGTCGTCGTCACGATAGACAAGTCGGTGACGATGTCCACGCTGACGGTGGCGCCCTCGCCGCCCGCCACGGCCAAGGAGCCGTCGATATCGCCGGTCTCGAGCCAGACGATGCCCGGGTTGGTAGCGGACCAGTGGTAGTTGACGAGCTCCTTTTGCAGCAGCTCGCCGGCGCGGGCGCGGGGGTCCTTGTAGCCGAGCTTGAGGTGGCCGCGCACGGTCTCGTCGCCCTGCATGAAACCGCTGGGGGTGGTCTGCAGCTTGGCCGTGGTGCAGCCGCCGCCGGGGTACAGCAGGTCGACGGTGACGGTGCACAGGCCCGTCTTCTTGTCGAGGCTGTCGACCCAGTTCTCCATGAAGCCGATGGTGAAGACGTCCTTCTCGGGGCTGATGTGCGACGTGTACGTGCCCTCGTTGGGGCAGAGCGTGCCGTTGGCCCGCACGGCGAGGACTTCTATGCGGCCGGCGGCTTGGCGGGCGGTGATGGGGGAGGGACGCCGGGTGGCTGTGGCGAGCGGGAGGCCGGTGAGGAAGAGAGCGGATGCCCAGCGCATGGTGGCGATGTTGTTTGGTTTTTTTGGGGGTGTTAAGTGGAGGGGTGGTAGAGTTGACGAGGGAGCTTAGGTTGATATTGGCTCTTGAGGGACTGCTTCTTTAGTTGAGGGGATTGGTGGAGGTAGACGTGAAGTGCGAGAGAGACAAGTGGTGATGAGCAATTGGCAATGAGAAGGTGGATGGAGAATAAGAAGAACAATGAAAAAAAGACGATGCCATGGCCCGACTATTATATGCGAATGAAGATACTCCCGCGAACTGGCTAATAGTGAAAGGGACGGGCTGTAGCGCAGGCAGCGGAATCTATTCTCGAAGACGAGTGCAATCTATTCTCTCCCCCTTGCACACTGCGCACCGCACACTAGGCTTCCCAAGAACACCGAGAGGCAGGCATAGAGAAAGACAGAGAGAGAGAATCAACGCAGCGCGGTTCGCAAGAGGATGATTGCCCCTTGTTTGTGTGTGGCGATGCCTTCATGCGGCTGCCGTTCCTGCAGATTTGCCCAGTGCCTTGGAGAGGCAACCAGGGAAGGCCACAGACGTTCCGTCGGCCCCGAAGCTGGGAGCTGCTGACCGGCGGGCGCAAATCAAGGATAGATTTCGCGATTGCGCCGCACGTTTCAATCAGTTGATTCTTTTCTAGGAGTTCTTCCTCTTGGAACTTTTTCCCCCATCTCTTTACTCCTCCCTCTGCCTCTTTCAAGGCATTGATGGAGGCACTTCGAGCGGATCCTTCCCATTCCCTCATCCAGAGTTGGGAGACCACTACCGTCATTGCTCTCAGCCCCCGATTCCCGGCTTCCATCAGGTACATTAGGTTCGTTCTATAGATCGAAATTGTGTACAATGGAAATGTTCTGCGTCGATGCCGAACCCGAGCCGTGCCCGATCCCTGAACGTGCGCGTGCACGCTACTGTCTGTGCTACAGGTTTGTATAGGCGTTGGTGTATCATATCACAACCAGGGCAGACCAGGGGGAGGGGCAGGCACCACGAGATCGGGCTGAGCATCTTCATACATCATGATTTCGATTTTCTGGGTCGGGCTTTTACCAACGTGAATTTGTTGTTCTGTTCATAATTTATGCGTGGGCTGCCAGTGGAGGAGGGGAGGGGAGAAGGGGAGAAGAAAAATAAACCAAGCCACGCAATATATCCATTCCCCACAGACGGTAAAGGCCAATGATCCAGGATAGATTGATAGATTGCCAGATGCCAGCCGAAAGGGGCTCGAGATATTTTCCGGTGCCGGGGGAAGGATAATAAGAGTGGTCAAGAATAGTCTCGAATCTCGACCCAAGATTAATCTCTTGATTCAATGTTGGGAGATGCGACCGAATCCAAGGCTCGTTGGGGACTAAGATGAAAGAATCGTCAGTAGAAGACAAAAAAACAAATATCACAAAGGAAAAAGAGAGGGCCACGACTAGCACGAAGCCAATCTGGCTTTCCCAGCTACTGTATGCCCATACCCAGTACTCTAGCGATTAATTGTGATAGCTGGAAGCGGCAGCCCTATCTATCATCGACCCCAATCTTCTATTAATACCTCGGCCGCGTTTTCTCAAATCATTGGAAATGATATCCTCCCCTTTGTTAGCTTAGCTAGCGCAGGTCCAGGTCCCGCCCTCTCCCCAATCTCGACGCAGTGTCCAACCCTTCACGTGGACACGTTCCATCCATCTATAGATCCTATTCCACACATCTCGGGTCCCGTTTCTGCCTCGTCCCGCGATTTATTCCCGTAAAAGAATGGCGAGGAGGCTTTTGGACCCCGCTGCCGCTGCCAGAGGAGAAGGGGGGAGGCCAAGTGCGAAAGAGAATCTCCCGTTCCTGATCGGACATGGCACAAAGATCGGTACCCGTGCCTCCTGCGCCGTGCTTAGCGCTTATTCGCTTTTATGAATTATCCCAGTTCATATGCATGGAGTTATGATCTCCCTTTATCAATGTGGCGATTCTTTTTGGGATGAAGCTGTTGGCTCTTCATGACGATGCCATTGCTCCCGTTGCTTATTTTGTCTTCTTCTTTTTCTTCTTTTTCTTCTTTTTTTCTTTTCTCGCCAGATTATATAGAGAGAGTGGGGGTTGATCTGGTAGACTCGGCACGTACGTCCCCAAGGATTCTGGGGCCGTCGCGAGCCAGCCGAGCGAGCGCATGCCGTGTCACCGATCCTCTCGGGCTGGAGAATCAATGGGTTGTACCCGAGCCAACAAGGGAGCCACGACCACGCGGAATTAAACGCGGCGCTGGCGAACGAGGCGGGTAGGCAGACGAGGTTGGACGATGAAAAGGGGCGTAGCTTGCCGGCACTCTTGTTTTTTCCTGCTACTCACCGGTAAGTTAGTAGTTGATCCCTTCACGTAGATTGCCAGCCAACAAAAGTGGACCAGGCGATAGATTATCCCATGGCGGAGCACTTGATGGCAAAGACGAGGTGATCGACGTGCGCACTTTTTGAACGTCTTCGAGCCTCGGCCACGTCGGGAATCATCGTCTTTGATTGATCACACTCGGCTGTTCTTTCAAAACATCTCTCGCATCGTCTACGTGACCACCTGGCGCATCGTGGAGCGAGAGAGTCCGCAGGCGGGGGCAGAAGAGAGGGTGTCTGGGAAGAAGGTTAGTCGTCCGCCCTAGCAAACGCACCCCGGCCCCTCGAACCAATCAAGCCAAGTCCGATTCTCCAACTCATCCAGCATCATAATCCGTGCACTCATCAGACCATATGTCGCCACCTTGCGAAAAACAAGCCCCCTTCAGTCCGGAGCCTTGAGATGCGCCGGGCCAAGAACCAAGCCCGACCGGCACGCCTTCAAGACCAGAAGCCCCAATGACATGATTTTTATTCTTTTTAAAAACAATTCATTTTTAAGCAATTTCCACTGGTCAAAGTAATTGATTCCCTCCAAGGCTCTCGGCAACTCACGGCCCTCAGCCCAGGCCAAGGTTCCATTCTCACTGACTCACAGCGCCAAGCCCCGCCCTCGTCCAACCCCGGTCGACATTCCACGAAGAGCCCCACACTCCGGCACCGTAGTCCCGCTCTCGGAGTGGGGTGGCGCCGAACTACCATCGGCGAGCTCCACGAACGGGAGGGGGGAAAGGAAGAGGAAGAAGGAAAAATATCAAAAGGCCTCGACGGTTGCCTGGCAGCTTTTCGGGTGATGTCATCACTCTATATAAGCCCTCTTCTCCCGGTGAGATTCCTTGGATAGCGTCAGCAGCGTAAGCAACACCTAGTTTCCACAAGAAACCCGTCATCTTCTCTCCCGGTCGAGAGAAAGAATTGCCCTTGCAAAAAAGAAAGACAGGAGAACACAGCAGGTAGAACCAATCCATCTTGAAAAGGCCATCTTCCGGCCCTCCCTACCCTCACCCATTTGACCGTGTACGTGCGTGCACGAGACCACGCAGCCCATCATCATGGCGACAGCCAACCCAGATTCGGCGACCACATCGTCGTCAGACCTCCGCTCGACCTCGCACCGATGCGGAGCCTGCGACATCGAGTTCCCTAACCTCCAGGAAATGCGCGCGCACGCAAAGAGCGAACTACAGTAAGAAATTCCCTTTTTTCATCTTTGCCTCCAATCTTGGTCTACGGAAGCGTAGACAAAAAAGGAAAAAAGGTTACATTCTCTTCTCTAACACCTTCCTTCCCCAGCGTCCAAACTATCCGCCGTCGCGTCGCCGAACTCGACCCCATCGCGCACCAAATTGAAAAAGGCTACGCCGACCTCGACTTCGACACCGACACCGACACCGACACCGACGCCCCGTCCGAGTCCGACGCGTCCGTGCACTCCGACTCGGACCCGGATCAACCCCCACCCACCCCAACCCCCACCTCCGTCCTCCAAACCTTCCACCCCGCCACCTGCCTCTTCTGCCGCGCCGCGCTGCCCGACCTCGCCGCCAACCTCACCCACATGGCCAAGGCCCACGGCTTCGCGATCCCCGCCCGGAACACCTCCGCGTGGACCCGGAAACCCTGCTCGCCTACCTGTGCCTCGTCGTCGAGGGCTACCGCGAGTGCATAGCCTGCGGCACACAGCGCAGGGACGCGCACGCTATCCGCCGCCACATGCTCGACAAGAGCCACTGCCGCTTCGACCCTTTTGCGCCGTCGTCGGAGTACGCGGACTTTTACGCGCAGCCGAGCCAGGCGGGCGATCATCATGATGATAATGACGACGGTCGACAACTCGCACGGGCTGGTGGTGGTGGTTTCCCCATCCCCGCGCCCCCACTCTGGAGCAGATGGGACGTTTACCCTCTCCTCCGGAAAGATCCTAGCCAGCCGGTCCGCCCCGCCACCCAGACCACCCCGCCTCACCCGGAGCCAAAAGCAAGAAGCACCCGCCGAGAGCGGCCCCACCACGGCCACTACCACCGACGACGACGACGACCACGTTTCGACCACGGGCGCCTTAACCAAGGCAGAGAGGCGCGAGGTCGCCCTCTCCAGCCGCATGGCAGCCCTCAGCGTCTCCGACCGACACGCCATCGCCCACCTGCCCGCCTCGGAGCAGAGGGCCACGATGCAGCGACGCGACCGCGCGCTCCAGAGAGCGCGGAGGGCGGATAGGCGGATGGCGAGCCGCGTCGAGGTCATGGGCAACAAGACGCTCATGCAGCATTACCGCGCCTCGGGCACTGAGCGGCCAAACGGTTAAGGCGTTGACCGTTGCGACGGTTTCTCTCGCCAAAAAGAAATAGATAATAATAATAAAAAGTTCCAAGTTGGGAAAGAAAAAAGATGGCCGTCTTACCTTGATAGTCATTTGTAATCCGTTTTTTGTGTCGCTTGTTAACCCCCTCACGCCATGATATTGGGCTTCTTACCCCTCCCTCGTTGGCGTCTTCCGCCTCGAAATAATACTCTCGCCAATGCCACAATACATTTGATCTTTCTCTTTCCAGAACTATGCAGCACATCACTGCATCGATGATTGCAAAACCAACTCATCTCCCCACCCCCAAAGAAAAAATTCGAATCCACCCAACCCCCTTTCCCGAAATCACCGTGACGTGACGACAAGATAGAGCCCAAGATGCACTTTGAACACACACCTCCTTACTGCCTGTGGCTTAAAACGTCGCTTATGGGATTGGAAGAGGTGGGGAGGGAATGCACAAGAGCCCAGCCCCGCGTGGGAACGTAAAAAAAAAAAAAAAAAAAGGAGCGGGAGAAAGAACGCGCGGAAACGTTAGCAAGATACAAGAACATCACTGGCATCGTGCGTTTGCCCACAGCGGCACCTCTGCGTCCCAATCATGGGCAACCAGCCTGTCAGGGCACGCACAGTCAGCCAAGATGATCCCGGTGTACCAAAGGGCAGCAGTAGCGCATCTGAAAAGTGCAACGCGGGTCGAATCATCTGCATCTGGTGTAGGAGAGACAGAGAGAAAGTGTGTGTGTGTGTGGGAGGGGGAAGATATATGCTATGCGGGTACAGCACGCTTGGTCGCCTCCAAAGCCACCTCGGTGAAGGCTGCCGAACCCGTGGGAGGAAAAAGGGAAGAAGGAAAAGAAGGAAAAAGTAACCATGGTTACCCAAAAATGACTGACGGCTCTATCCGTCCGTGGTCCCCGGGGCGAGAACTACCCGCAGCCCGAAAATGGGTTTCCTCGAGTCCGTTAAGGCACAAACCCCATTCTTCTTCTTCCTTCTCCCGTGCCAAGGGCCGTCGGGTGCCCACGACAAGAAAGGGGGACTGACTTGCAGGCCGGACGACTCAACCCTGACGAAACCCACAACGTCCGAGCTACGAAGTACATCTCCCTCGAGAAGCGTTCAATACTCACATAGGAACCGATATTCGTCTCTTCACCTTCCACACTCCCTCGTAGACGCCGACCAGAGTAGATACCGTTTACTACTTCGTACATATGGTCTCCTCGTCTTCCCAACTCCATACTGCCGCCCAACCCTGGGCACACCTGCTCACGCCATACCCACAAAGTATCCCACGTAAACAAGGCTTTGCCGCATCCTGCCCAGCCACACCCCCACCCCTTCTCTTTCGCGGATAATCCTTTCCCATACCACGTCGTGCAGAGATCATGCATTCAAGCCTACGGTGGTGGCGCTGGTGGTAAAATCCTAGATTCTAGCTTCACCAAAACAGTCCAGAATACAAACTTGAACTTTGGAGAACCCTGAACGTGTGCTCGAAACTGCCCTTCGTAATCCAAACACAAGCGACAGCTACATGTAGCCATCAGGGCGAGTACAACTTGCTGCCCACAGTTAGGCGCCAATCCCCAGCGCCCCCGCCCCCTTTAATGTCACAAAATCACCAGTGAGCTTCAACGTTGGCACCTTTATGTCCATAGCTGGCTTTCCACTCCATTGATTCACCCATCAGGATATTGGAATGACCTCAAAATTACAATTTCGCCCTCTATCCCAATCCAAATCCAGCCTTAACTCCGTGTAAAAATACAACCTTTGTTCTTGGGTGCCAATATTGAAGAAACCAAATGCGTGAGAACAAGAAAAGACCAAAACGAAATGTGACAAGAAATGTGCAACAGCACAGCGCGTCATCCTATTGGATCGACTTCCTTTCCGAATCCATGGAGCCATCACCCCGGGTCAGCGGAGAGACGTTTCCGAGGAAACTTGTCCGAAGCCCGCCCCCTTTTTCGCCTCTTGGGTCCTTGTAGGCGGCATGGCTTCGTATCTCCAAGGTACGGCGCTTTTCTCTAGGCCTGATGTGTAGATGCGCTGTGATGACTGGCTATGATCGGGGTGGATCATGTAGATGATCTAATTTCGACACGTACAAACGGAGCCTTCGCACCCAAGGGCCCCCTCGGCTGAAGCACTGGGGTGACTCGATTTCGGCTCGTGTGGTTCTGTTCACGACTGCTTTGGGGAATGGCGATGACAGGTCTTGCGTCGGCTCAAGGATCTCTTTTCTTTTCCACCTCGAATTTCCACTACTCGTCTTTCGCTACCCCCTTGGTTTTTTGTCTTGGGTGTGAAAATAAAAGAAAACTTTTCTTCGCATTGGGTTCCTGCCCGCCATCACATCTATCACCTTGAGGCAGGGGCGTAAGGGAGGGGAGGGGGTATGTGTGATAATGGCCCCGTCCCCATAGCTAATCCAACTTGCCACCCAAGTTTGAGGCTCGAGTCATTGTTACCTCGGCGGGGGCGACTGGGGCCTTGGTGCGGCTGCACTTCTATCACTCGGCTGGGGAGGCCAGTGGTCACTTCTCTCGGGCGTCGGCATCTGCGCCACAAGAGGTGACCCTCTCTGGGCACCATCATGCGCCGAGCGCCTAGAGATCCGAAGCGGCGCCAACTCATCAGAGCCACCCATAGCGAACACCGTCTGGTGCGAGAGGTTGAGGCTCCCAGGCCCAGGGATGGGAGGATGCGGGTGTGGCGAAGGACGCAGCATGTGCGCTTCGGGAGGCGCGCTCAAGGCCGGTCGTGGAAGAGACGAAGGCAAGGAGCCCTCCTCTGTTGCCCGGTTCTTGTACCATCGATCATAGATTTCTTGGAATCCCGAGGAAAGGTTCATCCGGAGAATGTCTATATTGATGTCTTGGGGGTTGTCGCGGGGCAGGAGGTCGGAAAATTTGATTTGTTCCAGAATGATGTTTGGCCCATTGGTCGTCAGGTAACTGACAAATTCGTCGAGGTCTTGCGACAGCTCGGGGTCTAGATGAACAGAAGCTGGTCTCTGTGCGTTCGGGAAGATGATGTCGAAAACTTCGTACCATTGGGCCTCGAGCGAGTTTTTCTGGTTGACTCGGCTCCGTAGCTGATAGATCTGGTCTTCCGTCACGCCGTCAGGGGGCTGTACGGCCGTCGTGAGCAGCTCATGGAGCGTACGTGGGTTCGAAGCTGCTCATCCGTCTGGTAAAGTGTATTGCAAATCTGACAATGCGGCGGCATTCGGTGACTCCGCAAGATATGCTGCTTGACGTACGAGATCTTGGTCAGGAGGATGCGGCGACACCCACGGTACCGAGCCGGATTCCACTTGTAGAATGGGCACGCTAAAATGACTCGGGGTCGGTCTTCTGTGCGAACCCGGCGTGAACGCGAAGGTTGGCTATCATGGTCCGAGGACATTATGTCCGAAGGGGCGCGGGCCCTTTTCGTTCCAGCGCGCGCAGGCGCGGCTGCCGACCCGGACCCGGCTTGCCCTCCCGTTGTAGACTCTCTAGGCCCGTTGCCAGTTGCTTGCGAGGCGTTCTTGTCCGCTACCACGGATTGCTTTGATCGAGGCGAGTTGGCATCCTCGTTATCGATAAGAGCGTTGGCATGAAAGACAGAAGCCGGCTCGTCCCACGTCGAGCCCCCAGAGGAGCTGCAGTCATCGTCGTCCTCGTCCTCCGCATGATATCTTTCAAACTCATCGTCGGAGCTGCACTCAAGCCACCCTCCACTCTCCTTCCACGCGTGGCGATTGGTGTGCGTGGCCTGGCCACATGGTCGAGTGAACGGACTGATGCCACCCGGTCCGGCGAAGCAAGATGGAAGGGTCGGATCAGAGGATACTCGCCCAGGCCATAGAGTAGTATATGGAGGCTGCAGCCCTGCACTTTCAACCCGCCTTTCGAAGAGGACCGAAGGTTCATCAAGTACCTGTTGGCATCCGTCACCTTCATGGCCCTCGAAATCGGAATCCGCAATCAGTAATGGCGGACGTAACGTGGTATGGGAGGCGCGGCTGAGGAGGCCAGCTTTTGCCAGCAGCTCTAATGTCGAGTCTAGGGGAACAAGGGCATTGGAAGGTGCTCTGTTCGTCATCTTCAAGGTCGGCCAGTCCGAGAGGAAATTTTAGGAGATGAAAGACGGGGGCTGATGCTAGGTGAGAGAGGGGCGGAGAGAGAAGGAAAGAGCAAGTGTATGGGAGGAAGGGAAGGAAGGAGAAGTGGGAGGAGAGAAAATGGAGAGCAAGCGAATAGCTAAGTGGGAGGAGGGAGAGAACCCGGCCTCACCCACTACCGTTGGCCATGGATCCTTGATAGCTTCCTTGGAACTTGGACAAATGTGCACCCTCGACAATCACGGCTGGTCTTCGACACCATGATCTCACGTCACGAAAGAGTAGACATTGGGCTGCCATGCAGACAGACGTCAATCAACAAACGACACGATACTCTCTCTCTCTCTCTCTCTCTCAAAGGGCTCTTCGGGCTCGCCCATGGACACCCTGCGTGCGAACTCTGCCTGCCACGGGTTTGACGGCTGGGTGCGTTGGGCGTCAATACATCCAATTGTGCCAATTCAGCCACTGCATTGCATTCATAGTGAGAGCACACGTGTGCTTTGGTCAATTGATGCATGAGTTCAAACCCGCGGCAGGTCCAGATGCATCCATCCCACAGACTAACCTTTCCAATTTGCACAACCGGCATCTCTCGGAGAAAGTAGGGGAGGAGCCCAAACAAAGACAAAAAGAAAAAAGACGGGAAGCGACACTCGCAACCCACCCGCATTTCAAGTTCTCCCGGCCTGCGGATGTGACCTCGAGTAATACCGTTAGCAAAAGACCGTGTAAGTCGTGAGTGTAAGGCTCAATCGGGTTCATTTGATCGTTGAATAAAGCAGGAGACATCCCCCTCCCCGCTTCCAGAGCATTGAGCCCCCGCGTTCTCCCCTCTTCCTCCTCTCCTCCTCAAGTGCTCTCTTGCAGCGATACGTGCTAGGCGTCATCGTGGTATCTCGGGCTGCATGAGGTTGTATGAATTGGAGAAAATCCCGCGCATCAGTCGGTCTTGCCGATCTCGTCACCGGAAAACCCTGATGGAAACGGGCAACTGTATCCGGCACAAGGGCGGACGTCAGCACTTTCCCATATCCTATCCCTCGAGTGCACGCCAGCTTTCCATAATTCTTTCCCACGCTCGGGAAGACGATTTGCTACTAGGTACGGGATGCTCTGAGCCATGTGACATCACGCTAGGCACATATACTGTAGTGCACTTGCCTTGTTGTGCAGCGCGCCACTAGTGTAGTCGTCGAAGAGGGCAGGAACAGTCGGTGGATCGGTACGTGGGACGGAAGGACAGGTGGTGAAGATATTGAATGGATCGATGAGCAGACCTTCTTCCCACCTCCGCGCCTCCACGTCACTACGTGGCAGTTGATTTGTTGCGGATCTGTGGGCGACTTGGCGGAAACCATGCACTGCACCCACCAGCCCTCCTTCCCCCACCCTTAGTCCACACACACGCGCTTGGCCAATTGCGACCAGATCAAACCAGCCCGTTCCATGGTGGGTGGACGGATACACATAACCTCCGAGTACATGTAGGAAAAAGGAAGTAGATGGGAAAAATAAAAGTAAAAGGGGAATAGTGTTCATTGACTATGTTGGCAGAGATCGAGGCAGCAAGCCGGCAGTAAGAGGTGGTGGTGAGGGAGGGCAATTATCAACTCCTTTGTGGCTGAGGGGTTGCCAATCACTCATATCATCAGGTTGTGTGGCCTCCTCTCTCAGACATCCACGTATTTCGTCACCAGTGGCGACGAGAGCATCAAACCCTTTACGAACGGCAGGAAGAGGTCCATGAGGGACTCGATGTGCTTCCACATGGGAGCACAAGTGCGGTGTTGATGTTGCACGTCTGCACCCCGTGTCCTCTTGCCATCCTCAGCCTCGTTGCAGTAATAAGAGATGCTTTGATTCGATACGCAAGCCACGCAAGCTGCGCTGGCTTCGCTATGCTGATGAATATCGTTGCAAGTATTACGAGCCCACGGAGTACTCGAAAGCTTGTGCGACCAGATCTATCATTTCCTCAAGAAACCGGAGCCGCCCACTTTGGTCTCGAACAAGACTCGGGCCGCTCTTCAGACGAATGGCACATCCCAAAGCTTGCAGGTGCTCTCGGGTATCATGGAGCCATTGTACTGAACTGCCGGGAGAAGAGCTGGAGGATCTTTGAGGATGAATACTTTGATCTCGCGCGGAACATTGAAGCCAATGATTCGCCCTCCTCCTTCCTTGGTGGCTAAAAGAAGACAATTGTCCAATGGCTTCAACTCATCAGCCCTCAAGTGCTCATTCTTCCCTCTACCACATCTGGAAAAAGCAAGCCACCCGTCAATTGGCTTTTGTTTGTCGGCTGCTCGTGACGGAAAGACTCAGGGGATGGGGAAGGTCAAAGCGCCTTGGCAGATTTGACCCCTATTTTTGTCTCAGCATTGCTGTCTCGCATCCACCGTCACCACTTGCCACCACTTTTCCAGACAGCTAATGCACTTCGGCGGGCGTCTTGGTCGAGTGTGATGCAGGTCCTTGAGTGAGCGTTTATGGGTTTGTGGGACGTCAACTGGTGAAGGCGCAAGACTCTACCCCAGTATATTCGTTGATTTTCTCCACCTCGATCCCACCCACAAATGCAGTGCTGGTCCGTTCATTCAAGGTTGGGGCCCTGTGCGCCTACCAAACAAGAGAATGAGTGGAGGGCAATCATCACGTCGATGATCGTATTCCGAACCTTCTTTTTTGAGGTGGACTTTTCAATATCGGTGCAATAGGCTTCTGTTCCCTTTCCTTGGTTGCATTGGGGGAGGAGGTTCTGGTCGAGTCCGAGAATCAACTGGGTTTATCCCTTAAACCGACGGGCGGGACTCACCGTCTGGGGTGTTCAAAGTGCATGCATATCCATTCAGAAGCCTCGAAGAGGACATGGATTTTCGAATTCTCCCGAATCGCGGGCAGTCAACCGGACTTTGGCCATGGTACACATTTCTACTTTAGGAATCCCGTGCATGCCCCAGTCAATGCTCACTTGGCGCTTCAATGTTGTATTTTTGTGTACCTCGGTATCGTCGGTGATCTTGGGAGGGCGGAGGGGAGACACGTTCTAGCACTTCCGAACATATCCATTGATCAAATGTAGGAACGAATAGTGCTGCATGGTAAATGTTTCATCCCTCATTCTTCTCCTGACTCCCGGAAGACCCTCGGACTCGCCCAGGAGCCGTGACCCCATCATGAGCCAATATCTGTAAAGCATTATGATGGCAACAGAGGCTTGCAACAGTGACTTATTTGCATAGGCGATTGAGAAGGGGGTTTGAAGAATGTAGCCGCCCAGCTTACTCGTTCATTAAGACAGAGATGGATGTGGAGATGGCGATCGAAAGTAGGTTGAACTCATCAGCTTCAACCCTCCCCTATTGCCCAAAGAAGAAAGAGGTAAAAAGAAAATTCAAGGGCCAGTTTAGCGCGCAGGGGAGCCACCTGGAAAGATCAACCATCATAGGGTGAGACACCAACGCGGTACCTTGCACCGATTTTGTCCCACTTGAACCCGCGCTATTAACTCATAATACGACGGAGACGAAAGACCTCGTTTGAAGATTAAGGAGTGGAGGCAATCGCGAGAACTAACCTCGCAAAAGAGCGCTTTCCACCAAAGAGACTCAAGGAGCGAAAACAAAGAAAAAAGGGACACGCCTCTTTTAGTCGAAAAGCAGCACCAGTGCAGACGATGACCCCTGGTCGCGCCGCGCGATTGACTGATGCACACCGCCAGTAAGAGGAGGAGGAGCGATGCAGATGCGTTGATCGCGTACACTCAATAGGTCGAAATCACCGTCTCCCCCATGTCGCCTCCCTTCTGTGGCCACCCGAAAGCCAAAAGCCACTACGACACCAAGAGAAGTAATCGAGAGGTGTCTTCGCGTCTGCAAAAGAAAAAACAAGAACGAAACGAGACAGTGGAGAGCACACGCGCAAAGAAAAGAGGCAACCGCCGAAAGGTCCTGATTTCGCATCTGCGTTGCCAGCGGAAACCCAACGCGACGGAGAACGCAGGAGAAAAAGGAGGAGAAGAAAAAGAAGAAAGAGAAGAAAGAGAACAAAGAAGCCCTTGAATCAATCTCACGTCTTGACGAATCCCAGCTTCACCATCCCAATCCGTCCTTGTTCTTTTTTGTTCTTTTTCTTTTTCTTTCCCCTGACCAGGTTGGTTACAACTTCGGCGGGGGTACCGAAAGGAGCAAGCAGCGTTCCCAGCCAGCCAGTCTCATCGCCGGTTCTTCTCTTCAAGATAATCCAATTTCCTTTTTCCCCACACTGGGCCTCCTCCTGGTCAGAACCTCCCAAAATCGAGAGAGAAGGAAGAGAGACCCAGGGTGGATCTTTGGAGGGCCGGCCTCATTCACTTTGATCATTGATTATTTTATTTTATTTTATTTTGGGTCGGAGCAGGAATAATGTCTCCCTCTCAACGACGTCGACCCCCAAACCTCAACCTTGGCGCCAACTCGAACAACGTCGCGACTCCTTCCAAACCGCCTCCGGTTCCCATTCTCAAGTCGCGCGACCCCGTTCCTCGGACGCCACCGAATCGGCGAGCGCAAGCGTACACTAGTACAAGTAGTAAGACCAGGGCCAACCCAACGACGGCGGTGAGCCGAGCCGTCAAGTCACCCCAACCCTCGTCATCCAACGCACCACAGCATGCGGACGAGAACCACGACGCCAGTCTAGTGACTTCCACTTCCAGCACCCCAGCAACCCACCGCACCACCTCCTCCTCCGCCGCCTCCGACCCTGCCGATCTCGATGTCGACCGAGTTCCTCCTCTCGACATGTCTAATAAGGAAAACGAGTATGGGCCGCGAGATTCCCATGACCTCTCAATGCCGCACTCCCAGTCGACCCGCGACTCCCTCATGGCGAGCATGCTCCTGTCCCTCGACCAGCTCACCCTCCTAGGACAGTCGCCCTCCACGCATGCCAACATATACGATGACTCTTCCCGTAACTATTCATCATCCTATGGAGCCGCGATGCCCCCAATCTCTCCGACGACCGCACCTGGACCAAGACGTCCAGGGCCTCTCGCCCCAACACCAGTTCGCGATTCGGCCCTTCCCACGGCCATTCGTACAGCTCCGATCTCGAGGCCGGCGACGACGCGGCTCGCCTCAACATGAATCGGGCCCGCCGCAGCAACAGTAACTCTACCTTTCAGACATCGGGTCCCACGCGCATGAACAGCATGAGAGAGTCTGTGAAAAGTAGCCAGCCCAGCACCCCCGCCGGCTTCACACCCGAGGGGCAAGGGCAGCAAGAGCAGCAGCGCCAACAGCATCGATGCTGGCTACGTTCAGGTCCTCGGCAGCCAACGTTGGGCCTCGGGTTTCGGGACGAGGTCTTCGAGCTTCGACTATGGTCACCGCCGGGTGGAGAACACCCAACCCGCCTGGCACGCCGACTTCACGCACACTTTTCTCAACGACGATTATGACGCTGCCCCTACCCCGACCGTCCCCGGGGGCCCTCGGCGGACCGCGCCCCTACCCCCGTGACGGCCACGTTCATGTCCTCCGACCCCATGCCTCTGTCGATGCCCGAGCCCAGGACCCCAACCTTGGAGAGGAAGCGAAGCACCCGATCAGCGCGGAGCATGGCGTCCTCCAGTCGAAAGGGCGAATCGAAATTTACTACTAGGGAGGTTATTCCTCCCGTCCCTAATTTTACCAATTTGGATCTTGATTCCGCACCAGCACCGCATGTGGGATACGAGAAGACAAAGGAGACGATACCAGGCGGCGTTGGCGGTGGCGTGCCGTCGCCTAGTCCTTACGTGGTGACGACTCCCCAACCCAAAGAACGGCCAGGCTTCTTTAGGAGGGTGTTTGGCTCGTCTAGGAACACGACGCCCACTAGCAGCGTGCACGACTTGTCTCACTCGCCTGCCCACTTTTCGTCCTCCACCAACGGAAACGCCGACCGACACGTCCAGCAAACAATTTCCTCGCAGACGAGAAGCAATTCGACGCCCTCGCGCGACGGCAATTCGCCCTCTAATACCACGCATTCTCCCCACGTCCTGCAGAAAAACCATCCTCGTTCTTCCGCCGGCGGAAGAAGTCGGTACACGATTCAGAAGCACCCCTATGCCTACAGCTAGGCCTGAGGAGGCCCCACCGCTACCCTCTGGGCCATTGGTGCCCCCAGTTAGCCTTCAGCCTAACCTAGATAAGCTGTCCGCGGCTCCTGAGCCAAGCCCGGTCAGCTCACTGCGGAAGGTTATGAGTCCCTACCTCAGGGGTAGCCCGACAGTGGCCGTGACCCCCTCTCCGCCGCCCACGAGCCGCATGTGCAGCACGCTGGGGAAGTGGAGGGTACAAACGCGACTTCTCGCCCGACTACGAACCTAGCCCCAAGGCCATTATTCGCACCGTCGATCATAACCCTCGCCTTCTTCTCCTGACATTAGCTCTTCCGCATCGCCCCGCCTCGACACCCCCGATCGCCCTCCCCCGACATTCCACACTCGTCCGGCGCGAGAAATGATTCCTTCCTTGATCTCGACCCTCCCAGCGAAAACGAACTTGATCTCGCATCGTCAACCCCTTCGGCTAGGAACAAGACAGCAAACAGGAAACCGCCAAAGGCCACTACGCCCGGGGCAACGGACAGGGAGGACGAAACCGACGAGGGCAATAGAGCCGAAGCGGAAGACGACGACATTATGCTAGCAGCCCACAGCGGCCATCTTATGGCCCCGCGTGTGCATCGGGACCGGCGCGGGGATGACACGTTCAAGCCCATCAGACGGCGCATCCGGGCCGCCCTCGACATCACCGATTCCGAGGAGGAGCCCAATTCCGCGACGCTGGCCTTGCCCATTGAAGGGGCTCGGTCCACTAGCGCCCACTCGGACTCCGCTGCGTCGGGGTACAGGACTTCGCCGGCCAACACCCCCAGCGTCCGAGTCGAGCTGACGACGGACGATGGCCGACCCCGCCCCCACATGCAAACGACCACGTCGTCGAGCCACCCAAGGATCCGATCGACGAACCCGACTTCGTTGTTGGCGATCCTACCGATGATGACCGACAAAAGGCCCAAAAGATCTTTGACGGGAATGAGGACTTTATCCAAAAGGACAAGGCCGCGGCATGGATGGGCGCCGAGGGCCTCGTCCGCCAGCGCACCCTCCGTGCGTACATGGAATTGTACGATTTTACCGATCTCAGCATTGCGGCCTCGCTGAGGCAGGTTTGCGCGCGCCTCGTGATGCGCGCCGAGACGCAGCAAATTGACAGAATTTTGCTTGCATATGCGACTCGATGGGCCCGGTGCAACGCCAACCATGGCTTCAAGTCTATTGGTAAGTTGCAACATTGCTTCCCGCCCGCCCGCCCGGCATAACGTATCCAAGAAACGGTTTTGTCTTTTACCGTTTTTGTTTCTTTCTTGCCTTTACTAATAATGTACTGTAGACGTTATCCACACCATCTGCTACTCCATAATGCTCCTCAATACCGACCTTCACCTGGCTGATATCGAATCTAAGATGACGAGGAGCCAGTTTATCAAGAACACCTTGGCAACGATTCACCATGCACTCGAGTCATCCCCGAGGTATACGGTCGGCCCACCATCCTTCCCGGCAAGGCGGGGATGCTTGCCGCCGAGGAGGTTCGGCCCTCGACCGATCAACCTAGAACCTCGAACCGCCTGTCATTCCTGCCTCCCGGCCGCGCCGACACCAATGCCTCCGATACCCTGGGCGACGACTGTGGGCCCCTCGTCAAGGCGCCTTTGACGGCCCCATAAAGGCTTGGGAGGGTCAGTTAGAAATTGTGCTCAAGGATATCTACGCGTCCATCCGTGACGAGCGGCTGCCGCTATTTGGTGCCGAGAACGACCGCTATCAGACCGGCCCCGCTTCTCAGAGCAGTCTCTCCGTTATGGGCATGCTCAAGAGATCGCCAAGTGTGCTCAGCAAGGCCCCGTCAGAGAGCCAGTCCTCCCTCCGCGGTAGGATCGCGGAGAGCTCACGAACCAATAACTCGAGGTGGGGATCAAAGAGCCGCTCCCGGCATCGGCTTGGCACCACCGGCTTCTCCTCGAGCCGGACAAGCTTTGACGATAACAATTCCCTGTGGAGTCCAGCGGCGTCGTCAGCCACTTGGAGCCGGCAGTCTCTTGGCCGCACGCAGACCTCGATGTCGATGGACTCGTTTGGGTCGGCCTGGCCGCGGAACGACTACCAGCAATCCATTGGTTTCGCCAATGCGCTGAGCCAGGCGATTATCCGAGAGGACATACCAGGCGGAGGCGCTCCATCTATTATGAGTAACGACGACAGGAACGGCGGCCCCTGCTTGAGGACGAGTCTCTCGAGCTCGCCGGACCTCCATGGGTGAAGGAAGGCATTGTTACCCACAAACACCACCTCGACGGGATAGACCGCAAAGCCAAGGATAGGAATTGGACCGAGGTGTTTGCTGTAGTGCAAAAGGGCACGCTTAGCCTTTTCTCGTTCTCGCCCAACAAGTCGATGCGCAACAAGACGCGAACCGCGCGCCATAACAAGGGCGCTCCGATCCAGGTGGGCGGGGGCAACTGGCAAGAGAACGCCACGAATCTAGGGACTTTTAGCCTGCGGCAGACATTGGCATCAGCCCTCCCGCCTCCCGGGTACTCGAGGAGCCGGCCGCACGTGTGGGCTCTCAGCCTTCCCACTGGCGCGGTGCACCTATTCCAGGTCGGCACGCCAGAGATTATCAAGGAGTTTGTCACGACGGCCAATTACTGGAGCGCGAGGCTAAGCACGCACCCGTTGGTTGGTGGCATCAGCAACATCGAGTACGGTTGGAGCGAGGCGATTGTCAACAACTCGCTCGTCACAGCCATCAATGAATCAACCACATCGCTCCCTCAGGGGCCGTGTCTCGCGACCGGGGAGCAGCGCCGCAGTCGGCCATGGGAACGTACACGGACATACACGCAAGGCGAGCGTGCAGAGCGGGCGGAGCTACCGGTCTGGCAGCTTTGATCTAGGTCCGATGGGCGGACCTGGAAGCGGGTCGCGACACAAGCTGCCAGGCGACAAGATCCACATCGCCGAATGGATGCCGCCTACGCAGAGCCTACGCGCCAGTAACCAGGGCGAGGAAGAGCAGCTTCGGACGCTGGAGGGGTACGTCCGCTCGATCGAGGAGGAGCTCCAGCAGCACAATCAGATGCGCAGCCCGATGCTGCTCGCGTTCTCGCCGCGGGGCCACAATGCCGCCAAGGCCATGGCCAACTGGGAGCGCAAGAGCTCATACCTGCTCCGAGAGATTGTCAAATACAGGACGTACGTGGACTGTCTGCAGCAGGCGGACGGGAGGAAGAAGGAAATTTATGGGGAGAGGGACGAAAGGGAGCGGGAGAGGGAGAGGGCCTACGACGAGATGGCTGCGCCCGAGATTGCGATTGGGTCCGAGTGATTCTCTCGCCACGCACACGATGCACACGCACGACATCATCATTGACAATGGTCGCGCCATGAAGAAGAGGCTGAGATGCCGTCGGAAGAGTCGATATCGACTCGCCAGCCGAGCAAGACCAACCCGACTGGTTCATGTTCATTTTTTCTTCCTTTTTTTCCTTTTACCTTTGATTTCCCCAGTCTGTTGACGGGTTGATGACGAAACAATAAAGAGTGGGCGAGCAGGAGTTTCTTTCTGTTTGCGCGTACAATACAACAAAGAAACGACGACGGCAACAATGGGACGCCTTGTTTTCCTCTTTCGGCTTTGCTTTTTTTCTTTTTCTTTTACTACTTGTCCTGGAGAATAACTGATATAATGCCTTGCCCCCTGCCCCCCTTCCTCGCGTTCACTCCTGTTCTTTATAATGTAGACTAGGCTAGGCAGAGTTGGGAGCAAGAGGAGGGCCGACGAGAGATTGTTTACGATTACCCCTTGCAATACTTGAAAACAGAAAAACACCGATACACGACACAGAATCATGTATAGATACCCATCAAGATGGAGAGAGAGAGAGAGAAGTGGGAGCTGCGAGAGCAGAGGCGGAGGGAGACGGAGAGAGAAAAGTGATCGGATTGCTTGTGTCATGCCATTGTACAGACGTAGCATTTTGTTTCTTTCTTATCCCTTTTTTCTTTTTTTTTTTCTTTTTCACCCTTTTTTATTTTATTTAATTACTTCCTTTCTTTCTTTCTTACTCTTTTCAATGACTTGTTGTTTCTTCGTGTGTTCCGTTCGTGCTGATGTTGGTCGCCTTCTACTCGAGAAAGCGTTTTGTTATCTTGCTGCTTGACTTTTAGCCATAAGTGCAGACGAATTTTCTACCGTCTTGCCTTTCGTCTGGGGGTTTTTTCTTCTCGCAGTCTATGTTGCTTTTGCTTTCAAAGGTCATCGTGGCTTGCGGCGAACAGGCGTGGCCAAGTTGTGTATTGTATGAAGTAGGTGTATCCGTGATACGAGTAATCTCGAGCCGCTGTGCGTTTGTCCAGATATACAAGTCGTACCGTAGCAAAGTGATGTCTGTTTCTCTTCCTCTGGTGTCATGTCCGGAGATTTCTTGTTCCCAGCTCATGAGACACGCGCCCCGACGAGGGGAGCTGAAGCATGAAGGCGAGTTGACAGGTCACATGTAGATATCACGGAACTTGCTTGCGCCCGGGGAGAGGAGGACTAAGACCCATAGTCACGCGCACTTGATCCAAGATCGAGGATGGAGAAGAAACTACGTGGTCGACTAAAACAACACTTGCATGCCTTGAGATAGCGGGCATGGTTTAGTAGAATCATCGCTTTCATTCATCGGCCCTATAAAGTGGCCAAGGTTAGGTAAAAGAGGTTTAAGCATGACCAAGGCTACACAGATTCTGAGTGGAGCCCAGCATCTCCAGATACAAAAGACCCTTCGATCCAAGTCCGAGCCTTATTCGCCGATTCTTCGCGTCATCACTACCTACAAAAGTCATAAAAAAAAGTTTGAAGATAAAAAATAAATAAATAAAGAAGTGGATGAAAGAAAAAGGAAATAGGAGCAAGACAAAAGTCTTGCCGATTTAGCAGTAGTCGAGCATGGACGTGAGCGCGGTCTTCTCGGCCGAGGTAATGGTAAGGGCCCAGTAGTTCTTTACTCGGATCCAGCTCTTGGCATAGGTGCAGTAGAAGCTGGTGAGGGGGGCTTCCAGGAGTCGGGGCTCTTGTCGCTCTTGCTCGAGTTGACTTCGTCGGTAACAGCCCACAGCTGGGGTCGATCAATGTCGTTGGCGAATAGCTGGCGCTTGGCGGTGGTCCAAGAAGAGGCGCCAGACTAATAGGAAAGAAGAAGAAAAAGGAGTGCAGGTTAGTATCGCTCATACTAGACATTCGATATGTTTTGCGTTTTCTTTTTGTGCCCCGTCCACAGACCGCTTCTTCTGCTCTACGGAGAAAGCGAAGCCGGGGCCGTTCGTCAAGCGAGGGTGGAAAAAGTAAGGAAAGAATCAAGATGGAAATGGAAACTCACGATCCACGCATTCTTAAGGGGAACCATGTGGTCAATGTCAACATCCGAAGCAGCAGTCCAACTGGCGCCGTCATAAGGCGACTTCCAGGTGCCAGAGGTGGCGGTGCACGCCGAGTTCACCACGACGCCAGTACCATCACGCTGGAGGACGTACTCCCTGCAAACGCCGATGATTAGCGAAACGGTCAGGCTTAAGCGCTCTCCCAGAGGAGAGTGATGTAGACAAGGTAAGGAGGGAAAAACAAAGTGATTCTAATAAGAAAAACAGGGAACCGGGTGCTCTTTCTTGTCGGCCACCTACCTAGTGTTGCAGGTACCAGAGACGGTGGTCCAGTGGGGAAGAGGTCACGGCTATAGCCGGTACCGCTACCCGATGCGGCAACAGTGAGAGCGGCAAGCTGGGTGCGCGCGGCGGCCTCAGTGGGAACACCGGGCTAAAGTGGGAAACGACAAAGTGTTAGCCACGTCATATGTGTAACTATATATCTGTGTATGGAAGTGTATATGCCTCTCTGTCTTTTTACAAGGAAGAGGCAAGAGGATATAGAAGGAGAGGGAGTGTGTATGAGAGAGAGTGAGATAGAACGGGGCAGGGAGCCTTGAAAAGATGGTAAAGCAATAAGTGAGCAATATGGGACAAAGAGACTTACAGCAGCGGGAGCGGGCGCAGGGGCAGGAGCCGCAAGAGCAACAGCGCCCCAGGCGATAACGGCGGTGATGGCAGAAGTCTTCATGGCTGGACTACTTGTGGAAACAGCGACTAAGAGCTAGCTTGCGGGAATGATGAACAAGAGCGAGAGCGAGAGAGAGAGAGAGAGAGAGAGAGAGACGACTTTTGGAGCTGTGGCCTGGCCTGGTACGAAACACTCTTCATGATAAAACCATCATGGGAGGACGGGCGATGATGGCCTTTATAATGGTGATCTCTTTTGCATCACCTTGCCGTTGCGTTGGCAGCCAGCACCGGGTCTTGGGTCTTGGAAGTGGGGGATCGATCGCGCTTGTCGTCGCTGCCGTGACTCGCTGAAGAGACAGGATGCTGCACTGCACGAAATTTCGCGACCCCATGCCCATAGCGGCAGCTCAAACGTCGATGCAAAGGTGCCGCGCCGAATCAAAAGAATGGGGACGTGGTTCTTCTCCTCTCGCAGAAGAGGAAGAAAACAACGCCAGCGTCACATCTCGTCGCCAATCCAAGGTCGCTACCCTCCAATGTCCATTCGGTGTCCCATCCAGTCTGGCGTTGATACCCCTGTTGGGAGCGTTCTCCGTCCGTTCCAGCCTCCGATTGGCCAGAGGTGCTAAACTTGCTATCTTAATACCCAATCTTAATTCCCCATCCAATTCTGGACAAAAGCAAGGGACCAGGGCATCCCAGCGACTCAAAGGTCGACGTGCATCGAGAGAGACGAAACGGGAAGAGATGAACAAACAACAAGGCGGCCCAAGGCAAAGGAGGGGAGATTGAAAAGGGGAGGCTAACATGGGCATGGTTCTTCTTCTTCCCCTCCCCGCCGTGGAAGCCGTCCAGGGTCCGATGGTCTCCGCTCCACCCTGCATCGAGCTTGGCCCAAATGCCGGTGTCATCCAGTATGGGGCGCAAACAATGGGGTGGGATAGTGGCTTGCCTCTCGATGAAGATTATCATCTTGGTCTCTCAATCATCGCGGGCCAGTTAGAAAACCCCATCTTTGCACGTTATCTTTGCTCGCCGCATTAGCGCGCGGGAGGTGCCTTGCTTGGAGTGGGGGAGCGCAGGAAAAGAAGAGAGTGGAAGAACCCGGTCCATCCACACCGAAGACCAGGCCGCGATCAATTTTTTTTTGGAGGAGGAGGAGGAGGGGGAGAGAGCATGGTCTTGCTGCAGAAAGCAAAAATACCCATCCGGATGCGATAATCCGGAGGGGAGGGTTGGCGACATCTAGAGGAAAGCCAGCTTCCTCTTTGACTTGCTCCTCGAGCGGGGATCGAACCCCGCGAGGCTTGAGATGGCGGTGACACCCAGCTTGTCCCCCAACACGGCCTTTTTCTTCTTCTTATCCCCCAACTCTACCCCCGCTTTCTTGTTGCAGAAACTCGCGATACTCTATTTGCCCTTATCTTCGTGAGGCGACGTGTAGGTCATCTGTTATCACTGATGCACGGAGCGTGGAAAGACGTGATCCTTGCTTCGTTGCGACTCAATCGCGTGCTCTTCTTGCCAAGTTGACTTCGTGCGACCGAGGGGCACTGTCGATATCTTGATCACCATAGCATATCATGTGGATACATGGGTTTCATTGAGATATCAAGAAAGGACACGCGGGTCTTGAAGGTGCTACTGTCCACGTAATCTGGCACACTATCGCACCCCCGGCCTGATCTTGGATATCGTAGCCTTTCATCCCAGGATCTTCCCCGGCCTCCTCCATTTGTCTCTCCCTCACCCGGCATCAAATGGCGCATTCTCTCCTAATCCTGGAAACAAACCGAGGATGTTGAGGAAACACAGGCCACCGGCTCTCCCAACCCTTGGATCTCAGGGTGGCCCGCGATCCCCCAAGTTATCCAAAGGCAGTCCTCGTCACGGTGGCTTGTCCGTGTTCGCCCCGCCAATACTCATCACGGTTATCGAGTGGGGCAGGCGAGGGGGTCAGGTACCGATGGTCGGCGACGAAATAGGCTCTCCGGCCAAGGCTGAACGAACCGCCTGCGGTGCGGAGAGGTGCAAGCGCTGCGCGATCTTTCCAAATTCGATGACCGAGATACCGTTGCGCGGTTCCTGCCCTACGCCACTTGCACAAGGCAGGCCATCCAAGAGCCCGATGGTGGGGTAGCGTGGGACTATACCTATGGACAAATCTCGTCGTTCGCCCTGACCCCGTGGGCTTTGGGGCGCCCGACATCTCACCATCCAAAAGTGTTGTCAACTTGGGAGAGATTTCGGTCCACTCGACGACCAGACAAAAGGCGACGAGGACAAATGACGAGAACAACTACAATGTCGCCTGCTCCCGGAACCCATGTCGATTTCGACCCGATCTGACGAATAAAATCGACTATCACTTTCCCTTTGCCTTGAGGTGCATCAATCCAAATCGCAATGAGGGGCGATGGATATATGACGTTAGGGTTCTGCTCGGTGGACGAGTTGAGTCTTTTATCCGGCCGTACACCCTCATATAGCCCATGGCGATGAGGTTCTAGATCATCTCGACCTAGATATTGGCTTCAGAATGGCGATATCGGACTCGGAGTCTGTCATACGGGAAACGAAGACTGATATCCGGCCTGAAAGAGTCTCACCAACATTCGATATTCTCCTCTTCCTCATCTTCTCGGGAGGCCAGAGTAAAAGTGATGGCCCGGGTTCCCCCTCAACCTTGTCACCTCAAGTACGCATGGCGAGGTCCACGTGAGATACAGATCAGGAGAAGTCGACGCCATACCTTCTGTGTCGACGGTCGAAGCAATACATCTTCAAGTCTTTTAAAACGGCGGGCCTCATGAGGGCGGGCGATGACTAGACTCTTGCCTCACAGACAAAACTTCGTGGCATCCGCCTAGCACATCGCCCTTCAAGTATATACCATAGGCTACTTCGCTTAGGGAAGGGGGCAAACCTCCCGTCTATCCTAAAAATCATTAGCTCTTGAAACGGGTCGTTGACGCCGAATTTCCAAACAATGATCCTTAACGACCCGACACTGACTGATATCAGGTGAAGAAGGCACCTGGAAGCATCACCGTGCTTCGAATTCGTCCTCTCTGCCAAGCATGGCGCTTTTCTACACACTCTTGGCTTAGCTTTCGCCCGATAACGCCAATTTCTTTTATGCCGACAAGACACATAGGCGTGATCCTAGTCATTCACTCATTGCTAATCGGGCTATCGGTCTCGGGAAGTCTGGATTGCCCAAGGGGTTCTAGCAAACAAAAAGTGCATTGCAAAGACCCCTTTTCGCCTTGATACCGGGCACGCCTAGATCGATTCCTGGCAGACATGACTAGCCATTTAGGTATACTCGACCGAGGGCGTAATTCGAAAACTAGCAAAGCGATTTAGTAATGTTCGTCCACCTATGAAAAGAAGACCAAGGAGATTATGTTTGGGGAGTCATGATGGTCAGAGGTTCCACAGGTGAGCCGATTGTGCGTCAGTGGCTGGATATAGGGTCGAGGTGCCGGACTCCCAAAAAGAAGAAAACCCCCGTGCCCACTCCTCGAAACGACAGTTAGTGGCCATGACCTAGAGGTTGGGCGCGGCCGCCCCAATCCACGATTGAACTTTGGAGGTATAGATCTACCATTGCGGGACGACTGCGGGCTTGCCCTTCCATCGCACTGGAAATGGATTTATTGATGAATGTCTAAAGGTTGGATAATGATAGTACGTTTCAGATCTACTAAAGTTGACTTCCGCCCATGATTAGATGATGCAAATTTTAAGCAAATAAATAGCACAACATGCATGAGGATGGAAGGGGCGACGCATGTCAGCAAGGTCAGCCAGCAGCTGACAAGCAAGAACAGTCGAGTACTTCGGTGTCCCAGCCAAATTTACAAAGTGCCTAGAGTAAATGCTAGCAAAGATGGATGATATATCCTATCAGCGACTTCTTCGATTTAATTCTGGCGAGGTACAGTGTGACTTGTCACTAGAAGATGGATTTGGAAAGAGGCAGTCGAAAGCAATGGATTCTAAGGGATTGTCAGGAAGGAAGGACGCACGAGGATTGTGATACTCTATTTGATGGCTGTGATGACGTCTTTTAAGATCCAATGGATCTATTGGCGGCACTGTAGTTTCCTAAATTAGAAACAGTAAGGCACTTGTTCGGGTACCCTCGAGTGGCTCGTGCCTTCCGGAAGAGAAGGCAAAGAAAAGCACGCCAGAACAGTCTGAAAAATAGCCGAGAAGAGAAGAGAAATTTTTAGAGAAGTTCTCCCGCACAAGGACATACGCGACCCCACCAGAGCATGCCGAACCCCAGAATACCAGAATACGAAAAAATTGATGTGCGCGATCGACAGGAGCCGGAAAATCATGTCAGGGGCCCAAATGGACAGGCGACATGACATAGTATGGTCCACCCGAATGAAGAGCTGCCTGCCGTGCAGAGGCTGCTTGTCTCTTTGTGAGGGCAATTAACTCCGATATATTCCAAGTCATGTAATCATGACACGAGCAGGGTGGGAGATGGGTGGCGGGCGGGAATGTGGTGATCCCGTCACACGATCGTTTAGTTGTGGAACACGAGAAAAAAAATCGGCCGGGGCGCCTTGGCCGGGGCCCGGGCGGGAGTATGGGCGGCTTCGCCAGAAAGGAAAAAAAAGCGGACCTCGGCGACGCCTGAGGCTGGCGAGGGCAAGTGAATCTCCCCCTCCTCAAGAACTGAGATAACCTTTTTCGTCTCGCTAGCGAGCTCTGGACCAAACTCCCAGGCGCCAGCCAGCCAGCCCCATTATCGTTTCTTCGCCTTGTTCAATCAATGTCTCGTGTCATCGCCGGGCCCAACCGTGTGGTTGGAGCCCGGCTGGCCCGTGGTGGGAGGTGCCCCTCCCCCACTGTGGAACACAGCCACGTCTCGTCACAACGTTACAACCTTTGTTTTTTCCCCTTGCGTTTTTTCCCTTCGAAGAATAATACCCTTTCGTCCCTTTTGATCCAGGCGCCAGCAGAGGGTTTAATATGCATGGCCTTACACAGTCAAGCGAACAAATCAGAAACACTCTCACCCCGTGATGTGATGCTACTCAGCAGACGTGGTGGCAGCAAAGAGCGATGATCACGCCTGGTGGAGATATGTTGGGAGGCTTTTTTCATTTGGATCTAAGAAGCTGGGCTGTTGGCGGAAATCCCAAACCGGAAAAACGACCTCCTCCAAGGTTCCGAGTGGTCAACAGACCAACAGCAACGGCGGCATGATAGCATCGCTAGCCTCGCGAGAGGAGAGATCTGCTTCAGCTCAAGCAAGCCCCTCCCCGGCGGTACAGCTCACTAAGGCGACTTGACGCCTCGCGGTGCACATGCAGCAATAGTTCTTTATCCCTCTGCAGGCTGTGTTCACTGGGTGAAAGCTGACGCCACCCCCGGCAAGCAGTGAACATACCCTCACCGTTCATCTGCCGCGACTCGTAGACACGTGCATCCTGCAGGACTGCTGGATTGGGAGCCTACCTCAAATTTGGCCTACTTCATTCGTTGTCGCTCAACAATCGTCTCAGCCCCAGCGGCGGCGAAGGAATAACCCGACGGCACTAGCTCTCACAAGGTTGAGACAAAGAACACCCCTTCCCACAGGAGTGGAAATCGGCGGTGCGGATTTTCAATATCGCAACGCTTGCAGGTGGGCGGGGTCAGGCTCCCCAGAAATGACAAGGCTGGCTGGTGAACCGCGACGAGACAGATGTCGAGGGCCGGAACACAATGTGCCATTAGCCCTTTATCCAAATTCAAATGTTCACTTCTAGGTGGCCGGCCTGAGCCGTTGTACGCATCGGCCCACGGCGCTAGGCCATGAACTTTTTCTCTTGCTTTCCATCTGCCCGCTAGTATACACTCTTCACGACTGCCATTCGGAACAGCACCGCAGCAAGCGGGACAAATGCACCGACTGTGCCACATGCCCGCCGCGGAAGAATCATGGACTAAAATTACTCGCAATAGAAGAGGAAATTTCCCAAGCTGGCAGAAGAGAAGAATATGGCGATCGAGACAAGAATGAAGAGCTTGGTGGCTAGACCCACCCCGGCCGCAATCAGAGACACCCAGCCGACAAAGCGCATACCTGAGGTTGAAGCAAAAGGTACAATAAGGAGATGGAAATAAAAGGCGCGTGCATAGTGATGTTTATTGTCACGGATCTCGAGAACCCCGGGAGCTGTTGGCGGTCAAAGGGAGCAAGAAATCGAAAAGTACCAGTCGATAGATGACACGAGAAAGCGCATCAATCCATTGATCGGTTGCTCAACATGCCGTTCGAGCCAGCGCGAACTCGGGCTGCCATGTCTATCTCATGCCCATCGTCGCTCTCCTTCCAGCCACTAGAACAAGACAGTCACGGCGCAGGACAGTGAATACGGGTGTGCATGGCAGAAATCGGAGGTTTTGTTTTAGCTCGTCCCCTTTGAGCAGCCTAAAAGATCTATTCTCGGACTCGAGCCCGCCACCCGCCGCCAGTGCGCGACCCTCAAAACACCACCAATACCACCCTCGAGCAGCCACGGGTGTCCCAAAGGCCCTCTGACCCTGGGAAAACGGCGGGAGGGTTGGCATGACCGCACTTCTGATCCCGGTCGTAGCAGCAACCGCTATTCCTTAAACGGCAAAAAGACCTTCCACCACATGTACTTCGTACCAGACCGCCGCCCTACGGCCCAAGGAGGAACGAAGGCGAAGAGGATTCGCGATCTTCGCTGGAGGAATCACAATGCTGTCAAAAGGATCGCGTTCACCCAGAGTTTCCTTTTTGTCTTAAGGAGCATCTCCGCGCGCGCCCAGGGTCTCAGGCGAACAACAAGATACAGATGAGCCCAACGGACGGGATTTTTTTGTTTTCCCTGGTCAAGAGAAAAGTGGTGGGCCCGGAGACGAGATCTAATTTAGGTGCCAAAAGGGAAAAAAGAAAAAGCTGCGAACCGGGAGAAAGAGGCGCGGGGTTTGACGGAGTGCGAGCGGACGGCCAAGATGGTGCCAGAAATTAACAACAAGGGATTGGGAAATGGGCCAAGCCAAACAAGGGGAGGGAATAATCCGTGAGTCAAGCTCAGGTTAAAAGGAGGCAATATACGCTGCTTGGGCTGCCAAGGGCATAAGCCAAGCAAACTGGGAAGAGGTTTGTTGGTTGCCCCTCACATTTGGGCGAGTGTGTACAAGGGATCAATCCATTCTCCAGTCCTTTGTTCATAATAATACCCATTTCCCAAAATCCTTCAAAAGAATTCCTGGACTCGGAAAGTGCTCCGCCACGCTCTGGGCAGAGGACACTACACGAGGTTGAGTTCCACTAAGCGCAGAGCGCCGAGTCCCCCAAGACTCAAATCTCCCCAATCACACCTAGAGCTCGATGGACTGTATAGGCTGACGCCGGTGCTAGCGCATGCATCCTCGGCACGGTTGCCCGTGTCAGATCAGAGACAGGCAGCCCACCACCTAATACTTTTCTTTTCCCTTTGGGTCCTCGGTTTTTCTTTTTTTCTTTTTCTTTTTTACGGCATTGATTAATATGGGGCCTCACTAAGAACTCGAGCACCCATCCCTTTCTCCCCTGGTGCCCTTTGCACCCCGCGGGCCCGCCGAACCGCTACCCTCGTCCCATTCGCCGCTTTGGCGTTGTTCGGCACAACGTCACGCCAGGCTCCAGGTACGTACGAGCTTGGCTTGACGGCATGGGGTGAGGGAGCTCGAAGTTGAGAAGGAGGAGGAGGGTGTGGGAGGGGCGTGAGAAACGAAACAGAAAGCGGCCCCAAAGAGGGTAGAAGAAAAACAGAGACAAAAAAGACCCCTGGTGACTTTTTTCTCTTTGTTCGTACCCGGCAATCATAGGTAGAGGCGGAGCATGCAGACAGCGACCGCTCTCCATTCCATTCCGAGGATCCAATCCAACCCAACCCGGCGCCCGCGCCAACACGCCGCCGCCTCAGCCAACCTGTCTCAAAATCCTATAAGACATAGTCTTCCCTCCTCCTCCTCTTTCCCTTGGCAGTTGTTATTCTGGAATATCTTCCGTTTGTACATCAAACAAGAGTCTTTTTTGTTCATAGTGTCATCCTCTCGGACATATATAATCCCCCATCTCACTTCGACTTTCGCTTTCCGCTCCCCCTTTATAGTATCTATATATTGAGATATAGATCTATCGCGTATATTTCCGAGCTCAACCATCGACCCGCCCGTCTTACAAAGTTTAGAAGAAACTGAACAAACGGGTGCTCACCCTTACAATCGCTTCTTTCCGTTTTGCCTCTTCTTCCTCTCTTCACACAAACTCATCTAGCCATGCGTTCCACCACCGGTCTGGCTTATGCCCTTGCCGCGCTCTCGAGCACCGGGCTCGTAGCCGCCCAGACATTTTCCGAGTGCGACCCCACGAAAGGAGACAGTGAGTCAATTCTTTTCTCTTCCCTTTTCCTCCCCTTCTCCGACCCAACCTCCCTGATCTTCCGAGCTGCAAAAACGGCGCTAACACAAGATCGGCAGAGTGCGCGCCCAACCCGGCGTTTGGAAACTGCCGGAAGCCCACCAACTTTGACTTCGCCACGGTATCTGGCGGTTCGGGCTGGAAGAAGGACAAGACGTTCCTCGACTTCTGGAAGCCCGAGCAGGGCATCCTCGGCAACGACTCGCCGCTGTCCATTGACAAGAACGGCGCGGTCCTCAGCATCACCAACAAGGATCAAGCGCCGCTGGTCAAGACCAACAAGTACCTCTTCTACGGCAAGGTCGATGTTGTCCTCAAGGCTGCGCCCGGCGTGGGCATCGTCACCTCGGTTGTGCTTGAGTCGTCTGATCGTGACGAAATTGACTGGGTACGTTTTTGTTCTCTCTACATTTTTCTTCTTAACGTGGTTCTTTATTCCCACTGTCTTATATTTGTTGTACGGATGGGCCGATCCACCCCCACTTGGCCTGTTTCGCCCTGAACACACAAGTCTTGGAGAATTGGGGGTGGCGTGGCATTTGAGGAGAGAAAGCAGGAAAGAAGAAACGAGGCTAACGACTTTTGTCACGAAAACAGGAATGGATCGGCGGCGAGCAGACCAACGTGCAGACCAACTTCTTTTCCAAGGGTGTGAACGAGTACATCCACGGCCAGACCCACGGCATCGCCTTCAACGCCATGGAGGGCCTGCACACGTACACGATCGACTGGACTCCCGACTACATCAGCTTCCAGGTCGACGGCGCTGAGATCCGCCGGGCCACGCCGGCCGAGGCGGACAACGGCGCCAAGTGGCCGCAGACGCCCGCGCAGCTCAAGCTAGGTACTTGGGTCGGCGGCAAGTCGGACAACCCCAGGGCACCATTGACTGGGCGGGCGGCCTCGCCGACTTCGCCCAGGCCCCCTTCATCGCCTGGTACAAGCAGGTCACCATCACCGACTACTGCGGCGGCAAGGACAAGGCCGTCGAGTACGTCTACTCCGACGCCAGCGGCTCACGACAGCATCGAGGTCGTGGGCAGCTCCGGCGAGGGCGGTTTCGGTGGCGACTCCAAGACCACCACTACGTCCACCACTGCTAAGCCCACCGCCTCCAAGACGAGCTCGTCCTCTGGCACCGAGACGACTGGCGGCTCATCCCCCACGGACGGCGCCGGCGACGACAGCGGCGATGATAGCGGCAACGATGATGGCGCCGACAACGCGACCGTCGACGAAGGCAGTGCTGCGACCACTGTCCGCGTCTCTTCGAGCTTCGCTGCTGTAGCGGCCCTTGGTCTCTTGCTCCTTGCTTAAGGGCGAGGACGGATAACCGTTTGCTACTGCGTTTTCTTTTTTTCCCTCTTCTTCTTTCATAGGTCTACGATTATGGTGTCACGGGTATTTCACGCTCGGCGGAAAGGGCTTCTCCCCTCTAGCACGGGTTGGATAATGAAATGTGTGTGGTGGGGAAAGACATGAAGGGACAAAAGGAACACCCCAATATCCAAAGACGGCGTGTTATCATGGGACTTAAACTGGGACGGGATCCAATAGCATGAGGCGCATCTCTTTTTCCCTTATTGGCAAGCGCCGACGCTTTTTTGTTTGTTTACACGCGACTTCGGAGCTTATGCGCCCGGAAGCTTGCTAAACAACCCTATTCTTTTCTTTGTTGAAAATATTTAATACTAGCGAATACCTTTTTTTTTCACTCATTTTTCCTTGCTCTTCTCTAGACTATTTTGTTGTTGTCCCCTTGCCAAGGCTTGGCTTGTTATTTTTAGGCGATACCAAGAACCGCTCCTTTCCCTCCTCGTTCCCTTTGATCTCGATATATGGGGTAGTTAATATGAGCTTGTGAAACCTACATCCTATAGATCCTTGGCCAAGATGGCCTGAAGACAGATCCGCACCCTTTTGGAAAGCGCAATTTCGATACATCCATGGATGTTATGCCCAAACTCGCATTGACAAGCTGAGAGTGGATAGGGGATGCTCACTTACACGGCGCGTCAACGAAGGACATTGATCGTCCCGTCTCGGACCATGGCCATACCCCCTCCTATGCCAGCGCTTCCCTCGATTCTGTGCAACCCCGGCTATTTAGCCAGTCCAATTGACATCACATACATTTGATGCTTCTATTTTTCCCAAGTCCATCACCTTTTAGTATCAAACGAGAACCCTTCTTTTTCCCGCCCGCGCGTCCGGCCTAGGCCGCCCCCTCTTTCCCCCTTCTTCTTATATGAATCACTCGTCTTCGAGAAGGGCGAGGGAAAAAAGAGACGGCGTAGGAAACAAGCATAATAAAAGACAAGACTGCGGGAGCTTGCCTAGATCGCGACAAGAGATTCGCGCGCGCGGGAGGTACGTCCGGACCGGGTAAACGTGACGCCCTGCCCAAAGACTCGCGAGGTAGACATTACCAGACTTTGCTATTCTCCTTTTTCTTTCCTTTGTCTTCCTTTTCTTTGTAATATATTATCTCGCCATGTCCGCGTCGAGTCATGGCGCTACGCGCGGACGGAACGCGTCCAGGCTATGTGCTCTCGACCCCCGATCACATCCGGCTCGGTAATTCTCTTCTTTTTCTTTTTCGCTTTTTCTCTATCTTTGTTTATTAAAAGAAGAAATCGAAAATTAGCCTTGCCTTTTGGCTCACGCGTGTGTACGTCAATATCTCGTGCCCATGTAGTTTTGTTGTTTCCTTCACCCATTCCGCTCCGCTGCCTAACGTGCCCCATGTCTCGTCTCAAATCAGTTCAGTGTCATCGACTAGCCAGGTCTCAAGACATCGAAGAATTGCGAGATCTGTCTCTCGAGAAAACAAAAAGAAGAAGATCGAGAGGCGAAAGCGGGAAAAACAAACCCTCCTCCCCGGCCAACCAACTCCGCTGTGCCGTACCTTGAAATAAACCATCAGGCAATTCATCGCCACCCGCTCCAACAGGCCAGGCAAACAACTCTCGCATGTCCAACAGATACACTAACCCAGTGGGCTGGATCAGGCGTGACACGGACCTGCATCTGGACCTCAACCTCCTCTGGGACCGGTGTTGGTGGCGCACCACCTACTACTGCGTGCTACGTTGCGTTGCAGCGGCAGAATAGGGCAGAATGAAGGTCGCCTGGATGTGAACCAGACCCTCGGGAATCTTCTCTCGCTTTTAAAAGACAATATATTAGTTGGGCCTAAGAAACGATTCGAGGCATGGCTGAGAGTTGCGTGTATTGTAAACTCGCGGAGCGGAATCAGGACTAGATGCCACAACCCAGCCAGTAATAGAAGATATTCAATAATTTCATGTCTCGTCATATATTCATTAATTAGTCGCCACCTAGGACTGGTGGCCATCTGCTAGCGATTGATACTTGATTGTTGACAAGACAAGGAATCAAGGAACGAGGGATTGCGGGTACATGTAGTGCAAGAAAGACACAAAAATATAGTAGTAGCGCTGCCTCTCTGCCATCATTTGCCCGTTGATCGAATCTTGACCTATAGTATCAGGAAATGATGCATGAAAAAAGGGATCAAGTGCATGAAAGTGATACAACAAAAGTCGACGCATCACCAACTAAAGGAAAGTTAAGACAAGTGAAATCGCGGGGGCGTGTGCGTGTGCGCGCCGGCCCGGCGGGGCTGGTCTGCGCTTCGCTGGGGTATCATGTTCGTAATCTCCGCTCCGTCGCTCTAGACTATGTCTTCGGTGAAGTCCTGGTGACTTGGTGGCGCACCCACCGGCCGGCGGCCAACACCGTTCCGAATTCCTCCGTGGCTGTGTCCGTATCCGGCATCGTGACCGTTGATAGCACCGTGCGCGTGACCGTTATCCAAGCCGTGGCCATTGGAAACTCCGTGACCGCGCCGGGCCATTCCGTGGCTGGCGTGATGTTCGTGTCCGTTGCCGACCCCGTTAGCGCCCGCCGCCGCCCCCGTCATCCCCGGGCCGGCCTTGACCGGCCCTGCGCGTCCGGCATGCCAGAAGCCCTTCTTAAAGACGACACGGCGCAGATTCTCCTCCCTCGCGAGGTCGTACTCGACCAATTTGAGGGGCTTCATGGGAATGTGATTAAACCGCCAGTCCCAAATCGCCGCATAATAAGTTCGGTACACGGCCATGGCGCTGAGGAAGCCAATGACCCCTCCCACGACCACGTCGTGTCCGTGATGGTTGGCATTAACAAGTACCGAGCAGGCAAGAAGCAAGGCTCCCAGGAGAGGCAGAAGGGTCGCGGCAATCTCCCAAGCCATGGGCCTATAGTTGCTCCATGGCTTGAGCTTTCCGTTGAGGTAAAAGAAGAGGAATCCCAATCCTGCAAACGCGCAAACAGCGTGGCCAGAGGGGAAAGAAGTCATCGCTTGCTTGAGTAGGTCTTTATCCTTACCCCGGCAGATGTCCGTCGAGAAATAGATATTGCCGTAGCCCGTGCCCGTTCCGAACTTAGCAGGATCCGGGTCGCAGACCTCGAGGAAGTGTGGCCGAAACCCACCAATGATGGTTTTAAGGAAAACGTGCGTGCACTCGCCGATAATGATAGCATAGGCGCTGCCCATTACACCGTTGGTCAGGTCCCAGAGGCTGTGAATGCGCAGCTGGAATAGAGCAATGACAATGACGGGGATCAAGAATCCGAGAATCGCCACCAGCCACGACGGAACGGTCCATTCACGGTACGGGTAAGCGAGGCTAGCATCGACAATTTGCGTCCCGACACTCTGTCCCGAAGCCAGAGCTTGCTGCATTGGGTACGTGATAGGAAATCTTCTACCTCCGACAGGTGACGACAAAAAGAGCTGTAGTTTTATCCATCGGCATTAGCTAGGCGAAGAGCAGAGTCAAGCACAAGGAGGATCGGAACTTACAGCTAATGTTATTATCCCAATGACGAGAATCGTCGCGATATCGATCCACGTGTACTTGAGCCATTCCACAAAGAAATGAACTTTGTTGTTCCGCCTCCATCCCCGTTGGGTGCCCGTAGTACCCGTAGCACCCGTAGCACCCGCAGCCCCCGTTGTGGCCGGCACGGCGCCCGTAGCGACAGCGGTATCGTCGGCCGGGTGGGCGTTCCTCCTACCAAACGGGCCAAACAGGCGCTGGTACCTCGGGGGCGCTTGGGATCCGTTAGGGGTAACCCCGTGTTTCTCGGCATGTCTATCCGTGTGAGGGAGCGCACCCTCTTCCTGGGCCGCGGCCGCGCGGTTCTGGTGAAAGTTCATGGTGGGAACCGATGGACCTTTTTCTACCCGTTTTTGCAATAAGGGAGAGGAGATGACTCGGCAAACAGCTCTGGAGAGCGCTCGCGTTCGTGCTGCCAAGACTGGTAAGAGCTTCTCGAAAGATGCTTTGTCGGCGTTTCGAATCCGCTATTCGAGATGCCCGAAACGATGCACACGCGAATATCCACGCAGAGCTTGGTTAAGAAACGAAAAGGGACATAAGGAAGAAAGGGGAGGGAGGAGATAGGTTCACCGTCGACAAGTTCCGGCTCTAGCTCGTCGATATATAACAGCTACCAAGTGCCCGATGTCCAGGGCATGGGGGATAATCCGAGCTCTGGAGCTATTTCTTGGTCTCGGGCATAAAAACTATGTCATTGTTGGCTAACAGGACTTGATAGGCTAGGGGTAACGCACGACTCCTCCGATGATGTCGTTCCATATTTTCTGGTTCAGGCCCGCAGGGCAGCTCTTGCCGTTCTTCCAGACATGTACATACCACTTTAGCATTTCTGGGTAAGAGCTTCCCGTTTCCAGCACATGTTTGTTTTGTCCATGTTGTCATTGACGTCATGGCGTTGATCTTTCCTGCCAAGAATTGCTTGAGTCGCTGTGGGACATCCTAATTGGTCGAGATTCCAACGGGGAGGCAAGAACCACTAGAGCGGGAATGTAAGACATATCCATGGATGGATATTCACAGATACAGCCTTATTTCCCCTTTTCCTCCTCTCCCCTTTCCCAACACTCAGAAGTGCATGATATCGAGAAGAGTGGAAGCGAGAGGAGCTTAAGTCGGTGCTCTCGAGAAAAGGTGATGGCTTGTGCAAGGTCTCGGATTGGTGGGGATAACCACAACCTTGTTCCTGGCTGACATAATCCTCATCCCCAGGAAAGTTGCATTGCCCTTCGAGAGCCCAAGCTTTGCCCATGTCCCAAGAGCAACATCAACTCAGGAACGAACCTTTTGAAGCTAATGTCCATAGATCCGTTGAGCGATGCATGGGACGTAACGTGACATCTATAAAAAAAAGAAAAGCAAAAAGCAAAGAAGGGGGAAGGACTCAAAATCCTGGGGTTCAAGCAACCAGCGTCCGCGATGCCCAAAGCTCTCACGCAACACCGTGAACATCGGACCGTGGTTCCCCTCGACTCTGCGGGCACCTAGGCCCCCACAACTCGCCCGGCTAGAAAGCGCCTGGCGGGGGGACCGGGGCCAGCCAAAAAACCCTTGCACACCGGCGGGGGCATGGGAGGGAGCGGGCCCCTCTATTCGATGAAAGCAACGCCATGATCGATCTTGGGCCGGCACCGGTGGAGCCTCGATCCCGCGGGAATCTCGACGACAGAAGGATTCTTGGATGCCACGGAATCAACAGCGCTGGTAGGTTCCGCCAAGACTTGATTGTCGCAATAGGATCTCGCAGCATCAATTCGCCAAGATGGACAGCGGGAGCTGTTATCTCGGCTATCTTCATCGTTCCACGGGGAGGGAAAAAGCGCTCTGGCGTAGTAACCATGACTAAATAACGATTCGGAGCATCATAGCATCGTGAATCCTCCCGGCCGAGTAATTGCCTTTTGCTCCTTGACGATAGAGCCGACTGGATCGCGATATGCCCCGAGAAAGGGGAAAAGAAGGGGAGGAGGGAAAGGCCACAAAAAACTATAAAGCGTAAACGTTTCCTACCAGTTGCAGGTGTTGTTAGAGATCATGTAGGCCAGACTTAGACACCACAAGTCCCCCATTCAACTCTTTTAAACCACCTCCATCATATCCCGCAAAGTCTCCCAAAGCCCCCTCCCCAAAATGAAGTTCACCACCGCCATCTTCACCATCGGCTCCCTCCTCGCCACCTCTACTCTCGCAGCCCCCGCCGCCCAGTCCGAAGCGGCAGTGGGCCACGTCGCCTCCGACGCCGAGCAGATCGAGGCCCTCTTCGCCGACATCGTCGTCGAGGAGGAGGGCGAGGACGGTGACAACCAGTCCCCCGCCAGCCCCCTCGTGCCCAGGGGCAACAACTACTGCAGCCCCACGGGCGCCGAGTCGTGCAACTTTTGGATCAAGACCACCATCCCCATCGCCAGCTCCGGCTACCAGCGCTGGTGGGGTCTCTACAGCCACACCTGCGCCAAGATCGGCGGCGAGACCCAGTCCCTCTCGCCCGCCTCCGAGAGCTGGTCCCTCACCTCCCAGCTGCCCTACACCATTGAGCTCACCATCAACACTGGCGGCTTCCGCCCCGGCGGCCACTTCTGGTACGCCGGCCGCAAGACCAGCCTAGGAAACGCCATGTACTGCGAGGACTGCAGTGGCCTCACCGCGTCGAACTGCTGCCGTGTTGCTTTCCGATGCCGTTAAGTGGACCTTGAGGAGCTAAGGGAATAGGATGGTGGTCTGCGGATTAAATATGGGAAGTAGGATGCTGGGTAGTGGATGGTGTTAGTAGACAGCTCAAGACAAGGCATCTGACTGCTCTTGTCTTTTTTTCTTTCACTCCCCGAGTGCACATGTACAACCATGGGTTTAGGTACTTTTAACCATATAATTAAATATACGATGATGATGATGATAATGATGATAGCAAGCCTTATCCGTCTAACACCGATCCCAATGCAACCGAGCCGCCCGTGGTATAGAAATGACCATGCGCGCGCGCAACTCAAAAAGAGGCGAAATTCCTACAAGGAAAAAGCAAAAAAGAAACAAAAGCAAAAGAAAAACAAGAAACTTAGAACCAAGGAGGAGGGAGAAAAAAAAGCGCCAAAAGCCTGCACACACTCCCACTCTAAAGTGCGACACCGAGGCCCTCGTACGCCCTCTCCACCATTTTGCCGCCCATGCCCGGCACAGCCCGGAGCTGACCAAGCGACGAGATGTGCGATGCGCTCTGCTCGGGGAGGAACTCGAGATAATCCACGAGATCCCTGGCCTTCTTGGGCCCGAAGCCCGTGAGGCTCTTGATCTGCATCAGATCCCTCGAGTTGATAATGTCAAGTAGCCGCTGCGCCCGCGGGGTGACGGGCCCGTCCTCCTCCTTCTCGTCCTCCATGACGGTGACTTTGACCACCTTCTTCTTCCTGCTCTTGGGTCGAGGCGAGGCGTAGTCCACAAGCGAATCATCGTCCTCGGCGGCTTCAAAGTCATCGTCCTCTGCCCGCCGACGCCTCTTCCTGTCCGAGCTCACACTCGCGTTCTCGGGGTCTTCGTGATCGATTCCCAATTTGGCCCGCAGCCTTTCAATCTTGCCCATGAGCTTGGCCTGGCCGGGGAAGAAAGGCAACGCCATCTCGTACATCCGGAGAGCGGCCGCATCCTCACCACGATCCTTGTGCTGGCGCGCGGCTAGCAAGTATCGTAGGCCGTCTGAGCGGCCGTCCTCCCGCCGATCTTCCTCCTCGATCCTGCGCTCGAGCGCTTCGAGGCGGCGCTGCATCACCTCATTGATCTCGGGCTGCACAGGCAGCGGTGCCGGCGCCGAGGTCTGCGCGGCGGCCCTGGAGGCTAGGATTTCACTAACCTTCTTCTCCACCATGGCCTCGATATCCGCCTCCGTGATGCTGGAGGGGTTGGGCTGGCTGGGGGCAAGCGGCGGGCGGGAGATTCGCGAGGCGGTGGGCCGGGGAATGGACAGCGCTACCTCGGACTGTCGCTTCGTGGAGTTGGATCTCCGGACTTGCGCGGTATTGGCCAGCGGGCGAGCCACGAGCGAAGGCTTGGCTCGGTCGGCGTAGACGTTGAATGCCTTGGCGGGCTTATTCGGGTCCGCCGCCTTGGCCACGGCGGCGCCGCTGTGCACGTTGTGCGCGTTCGCGAGCGGCCGGAGGGGCTGACGCTGGGCACCGGCGCTCGAGAGGATGGAGGTAGCGCGGGGCATCTGCTTGAAGACGACTTCGTTTTCGATCTCTCGAACTTCGATTCGCTTCGCGCGGGAGCTCACGTTGAGACTGCTGAGAGTGTCGAGGTGATAGCTACGGAGGGGGCCAGGTTGAGGATCATAATGGTAATGCCATTGTTTTGCCCCAAAGACAGGATGCGTGTCATCTTGGACTCTCGGTACGGGATGCGCTTGTCGCCTCGGGAGATGGCATCCACGCACTGGCTCAAAACGAACAACGACTTATTGATGGCTGCGGATTCAACAAGGCGCTCCCGATTGTTTTCGGTGCGGCGGTTGTCTTCGGAACCGGCAAGATCGATCGCAGACGCGGTGCTCTCACGAATCATGCCGCCCGTGATCTGGGTCAGCTTGACGCGCAGAATCGCGTGGCTCCTGCTGCTGTGAGCATTGAGCTTGGTGGCCGCCGTGATGCGGTTATTATTCGCCTCGATGTAGAGCCTCTCAAAGTCCCTAAGGTCATCGCACGGCCGCTCCGTCAAGCCAACAACGTAGGTCTTGTTGTCCTTTTCGCACAACCGGAGGCCCGAGGGCTGCCTCTTCTCAATGGGTTCAAGGAGGTCAAAGACCTTGTCGTTGTAGATTTCGTAGTACGAGAGGTCAACCTTGATCTGAGTTTCACCGCCGCTATCCTTTGTGATCTTTTTGCTACGGCGGAAGACACCGCTGAGAAGCCGAGGAATCACGCCACGGTCGGCGAGCTTGAGGCCACCTCGCATCGTATGCGTCTTGCCCGTTCCGGTAACGCCATAGGCGAAGATGGTCACGTCCAGCCCCTGAAAGAGGGACTTGAGGTGAGGTGCGACTAAGAGGCAAGGGTTGGACAAAAAGGCGTCAACGGACGGAACGATGCGGACGCGTCTAGGATCCCCGAGCGAAAGCCTCCCGGTTGGGGTTCGATGGCCGTCGGGGGTGAGAGAGAGAGACAAGAGCTTACCTTCGGCAGTAAACAGTTGCTCCTGCGTTGTCGGCCGGTCGTACACGCTATTGAAAGCGAAGGAGAACTCCTCGGCGCCATTCTTGGGATTAGGGATCTTGACGATGGAGGCTTGCTTGCCATCCTCGGTGCTGTCAGCACGAACAATCACGTCCTTGTCGAGCTCTTTGTCGAGGAGCGGACGTATGCGGGCAACGACTCGAACAGACATGCTTGCTTCAAAATAAAACACCAATTGATGCTTTTAATCCAATGCCAATGAACGCCCCAAGACCAAAGGAAAGGTGAAACCCAAGGAAAGGCGGGGGAGAGGAGGAGGAGGAGGACGGGGGTGGAGAGAACGAGGGAAAAGGAAACGGTGAGGGGGAGAAAACGAAAAGGGAATAACAAACTGTAGAGATGCAACTCTCTCGATGCTTGGTAGCAAATGCTTTGGACACGACCAGGGAAGCAAGGAAACCCAAGTTTGTGTGGACGGACCCTTGCGAATGTAAACGATCCAATCCAAAAGCAGCAAGGGCATCCGTTGACCCAGCAACATAACTTGTTGACTAAGCCGAAACTTGAAGAGGTGAGTGAGCCATTGAAGGGAGCTATGGCCGCCGCTGCCATTCAACCTTGATTGAATTCCAAGTTGAACAGCTAGATCACGTGTCGCCACTCTTCGGAACATTGAGCTCCAGTCCCGTCTAGTCTTCGTGGCCCACCAAGCACGAGCCAAGGAACCGGACAAAGGTACGCCAATTCGTCACCTTCCGTCACTCTTTTTTTTCCTTTCTTTTTGCCGGCTGGTTCGAAGAAGGTCGCGAGGGAAAAGAAAGAAAACGACGAACTCACCACCCCCAAACCCGACCGTATTTTCTAGCTCACTCGGCATCCTTGGAGGAATGCTCTTGTGCTGCACACTTGAGCCTCGCATCCCGTAATCGCCATGCGCGGCCAATCGCCCTGATCCGAGCGGCGACGGGCCTACGAGCGCAAGCCCGGTCCCCGCTCGTCGTCGCCCGGCAATGGCGGGCCATTCAGATCAATGCGTCGCCGGCCACGGATACGCCGCAGGTCGCCGGCGATGCCTTTGGCCTGGGTGCCTCGTCTCGAGACCCAGCCGGTACGATTTGCGCCCCTCTCCCCTTCCATTCCCTTGATGCTCCCCGGCCCCTCCCCCTCGGACGACGACAGCTGCTAACGGATTGAATATTCGCAAAACTACAGATGCCCGGTTCGAGGTCCTCGGAAGTCCTTACTCGCTCCTTTCCGTCACTCTTTCCGCTTCTCAGAAGCTCTACACGCGCCGAGGCACCCTCGTTGGCGTCGCCGGCAACGCTGAAAGTGTACGATGCCTCTACCCCAAACCCAAACCCTGAGCAGGCCAAGTTACAACACCCTTGAGAAAATGCGTTTGCTGACATAGGGACACACACACATAACAGGCCCAATCTACTTTGTCCATTCTCTCCCCCTTCACCCGAGCCTTCTTCGGCGTCCCCTTTCTCTACCAGCGCATCTCCTCCACGACCCCCATCACGGCGTTAATATCCACCAAATCCCCGACCACCACCTTTTCCGTCCTCCACCTCGACGGCACCACCGACTGGGTCGTGTCCCAGCGCAACGCCCTCCTCGCCTGGACGGGACACACCCTCTCGCCCACGCCGCGCCTCCAGTCCAGCCTCTCGGTCGCGCACTGGGGCAGCACCCACCTGACGGGCCGGGGGCTCGCCGCGCTCTCGTCCCCCGGCCAAATCTACCAGCTCACCCTGGCCGAGGGCGAGGAGTTTGTCGCCCACCCTTCCAACGTCGTCGCGTACACCGTCACGCGCTCGCCGCCCTCGCCCTTCCGCTTCAAGAGCTCCATCCTCCGCCTGCAGGTCCCCTCTTTCCCCACCGGCCTCGCCAACGTTGAATTCTTCCGCGTCATGCGCACCACCAAGACGTACAAGACGGTCGCGCGCCTCCTCTACAACCTGCGCACCTCGCTCCGGCGCACGATTTGGGGCGATAGGCTGTTTTTGCAGTTCAAGGGTCCCGCCACCCTCCTCATGTCCAGCCGCGGGGTGCGCCTAGCCGACTCTCTCACCAGCGCCGACGTCAACGAGATTGCCGACGCGCCCGCGGGCAAGGCCGCCGAGGTGGTGAACAAGCTTCAGCGGGACGCCATCAAGGCGGAGGAGGCTGCCGGGGCCAAGTCAGCTGTGATTCGAAAGGTACCGGCTACGGAAGGTGGCAGAGTTGTGCTCGAGGAGCCCAAGGGGTTGAAGGATACGATACAATGATTTTTCTTTTGGGATTATAACTATTAGACTTGGTTGGCTCAGGAGGGAAACATGTACCAAAAAGAAGAAAAAAAGAAGGTACAGTCCTTCATCTCCACTTACATGTAGAGTAGGATAAGAGTGTATAATAGGTAGCAGAGACAAGAAGCAAGAAACATGGAAAATACCATCGTCACTTCTAAGGAAAAGAAAACAATGCATGTGGGCGGCACAGCTCGTCAAGCTAGCGCTCCTGTGAGCTTACACGCTTTCGGTTTTTTATTTCCTTATTTTCTTGCACCGCCCATCCGAGCTTGCTCGGAGAACGAGCGCATCAGCTCGCGCCCTTGACTCTTATCATTGCCGACCTTCCCGGACCCTGCAGACGACGAGTCGGGCTTGTTTGCGTAGCACGAGGGTCAAATTTCCCGAACCGGAAGACTGGGAGAAGGACGGGAGCGACATGCAATAACGAACAATACAGGAGCCTCCGAGCCTTTGTCGAATTTCATGCCCTCCTGCGCCGCACGCCCACCTCATCAGGTATTTGTTACTTTTATTCTCCGGCCGGTCAACCGTAAACGCCGACCGCAACCAGGCTGTTCTCAACGGCGCAAGGCCGCAAAGTTGGTGTGAGGTTGTGAAGAGGCCCGCCGGACGCAAGACTTGCCCCGGCGTTTGAAATCGCCGAGGCGGGTACTCTCTACCCCCGACCAGCCGCTACTCCACTCATCCCGAGCCTTGTAGGGTTATTCGGCGGGGAGGCGGGAGAAGGGAAACAGAAAAAAACAAGAGATGAATGGAGGTGGGTGGATGACGAAAGCTTTCTTTGTCGATCTAGAAAAGAAAGTTCCTAGTTGTTCACTCCTCCGCTCCTCCGCTTCTCACTATTTGCTCATCGTCGAGCTCCACCCAGCCATCATTATCTGATCGTGCTACTATCCCCAGATTGAGAACCTCGCGGAATTGTGGAGCAAGCACTAAGCTACTCGCCCACTTGAGTTGGGAAAAAGAAAACGACGCTCTTCTCGAGTGGATGAAGTAGTTGGGGCCAGAGTGTTTTCGTTTCTACTCCTGACGCAGCTGATGATACATCAATGTATCAACTGATCTTGACCATTACCGCTGGCGAGTGCTTTGCCTTGCCTTTCCGGAAACATGATGGCGTATCTAACACCCAGGAAAAGGGTGAATATTCACGTCACTCTAGCTCGGGCGAAGAAGAATACATGTAACCTATGAAATCTTTCTCCTTGACACAGCATGCCCACACAACCCCAAAACTCACCAGCGGCTCTCTCTCAGGCCCAGGCATCCTTCCTTGAATATATGCGCCATGTGCGCGACAAGGGATAGCCATTTTCTGTCGGTGAATTGTCATATTCGGCGGCGAATGGGCCGACGCCCCTGACACCTTTTGCCCAGCGGCAAGTGGTCCGCTCGATCCCGCTGTTGCTTTGGGGTGGAGGGGACCGCGTGCTCGGCTCTGATGGACTCTTGTTGGTGTCCAAGCTTAAATCCGAGAGCGCGAACCAGCGAAGTGGGCCCCGACCCGCTCCACTCGAGCCGGGGGTGGAGGGTGAGGGTGGAAGGTGGAGGGTGGAGGGAGGGTGGAGGGTGGACGAGATCGAAGCTTGCACGAGAAATGGGAGAATAACGAAAGAAAGAAGAAAAAAAGAGAGAGAGACAAAAAGAAAAAGAAGAAACAAAGGCAAGGAAAGCTATCGCAACTACCCTCATCTTTCATCCAAACTCGCAACAATCTCATTCAAATCAAGCATCAACGTAGTGTGTCTTCAGTCTCCATTCCTCTCCTCCCGCTGAGAAGATCTGCCGGCCACGCTTGTCATTTTGGCTTACCAATGCTCGCACTCCAAGTTCTCGAAGAAGGGGAGCCCTCGGAGTTTATTTGCACTAAGCGATGTATGGATCGTCAAGAGATGACCGCCGGCGCGTTTTTGGCCCCAACAAGCTCTCAGACCGAAGACGCGAGCTTCTCGTCAAGGCAAGGGGAATGGTGTGAGCGGGACCAACCAGGAAGAGAAAAAGAAAAAGAAACAGGGAAAAAAAGAAAAAGAAAAAGAAGGCCCTAGCTACGAGGAGACGGAAGGATTGCCACGACGAAATAGCCTGGTGCCCCCAACCCCAAATCTCCAAATCCCCCTCCCCTCAAGATTGTTCGAATTAGGTGGTATTGATAATCTTAGACGAGAGAACGAGAGAACGAGGTGCTGTAATATAAGGGATTGGCCCCCTCCCTTTCTCCAACCCTTCTGTCGTATAAAAAAAACGGAAAACGAGGGTAACAACTAAGCGACGAGCCGCCCGCTGCAGACTTGTCCATATTGTATTTTTAATCCAATCCACGAATATCAGATTCTTCTTCTTTCCTCCCAGGTTCTTTTGCTCCTCGCAGCATAAGCGTCGTCCAGTCACATCGCATCTCTCTCTCTCTCTCTCTCTCTTCGTCTCATATCCAAAGTCCAGCCCGTGTCGGCGATTTCGATTATCGGCCACTTTGTCCGAGATGATATTAGTGTCCCCGTAATATACCGACAGGCCCAGGTACCAAGGAGATGATCCACCCGTGAACGAAAAAGATATAACGTCAAGCCTGTCCGAGCTCTCTCTAGCTCTCCCTCTTGTTGTTCACTTTACCCTCGTCCAGGCCGGGAAGTCAAGCCAGCACTCAAACACCGATTCGCAGGCTCTTCCCATCTCAGCAAGAGAGACCGCGCAATGAAGCCCACCACGGCGCTATCCCACTCTTCCTCCTCCACCGTCGGCATGGAATCGGAGGAAGTCCACGCAGGAGAGAGCAAGAGAACCGACCTCGCATCCACGTCCACACCCGGCGCCGACGTAAAACATGATCCCTCTCTCCCGTCAACGGCAACCGGCCAACCAGACATCGACCTGGAAAAGGTTCACCCAGCCAGCCCCAGAGATTCCAACGTCTCTCTTCCTTCGAAAAAGGAAAAGGGCGACCTGGAATCCGATGCCACGAGCATTCGAAGCGGCGCGGAAGCCCCCGTCCCGACTGGCCCTCCGCCCATGGACTTTCCGGATGGCGGTACCGAGGCCTGGCTGGTCGTCCTCGGCGGCTGGTGTTCGCTCTTTTGCACCTTTGGCCTGGTCAACTGCATCGGCGTGTTCCAGGAGTACTACGTCCGAGACCTTTGCTGGGCACGAGCCCGTCGACAATTAGCTGGATTCTCTCCATCCAAGTATGGCTGATGACGTTTCCCGCTTTCATTGTAAGTTTTAGTGTCCTGATTATGGGGGAATCTCGCAACCGCAACTAACCTGCCCCCTCCGCAGTTTGGCCGCATCTTCGACGCCTACGGCCCCCGGTGGCTTCTCATCGGCGGCACAATCACCTACATCTTCGGCCTCATGATGACCTCCCTCTCCACCAAATACTACCAGCTCATCCTCGCCCAAGGCATCGTCGCCTCCATCGGCTCCAGCGCCATCTTCAACGCCACCTTATCCAGCGTCGTCGGCTGGTTCCTCAAACGCCGCGCCACCGCCCTCGGCATCACCGTCTCCGGCTCCTCCGTCGGCGGCGTCGTCGGCCCCATCATGCTCCGCCGCCTCATCAACAGCATCGGCTTTCCCTGGGCCGTGCGCTCCCTGGCGTTCCTCTACCTCGGTCTCCTCGCCGTCGCCTGCGCCACCGTCCGCTCCCGGCTGCCGCATAGGAGGGCCCCCTTTGTCCTCAAGGAATACCTCGCCGGGCTGAGGGAACCCGTCTTCGCCGTCACCTGCGCCGGCTTCTTCATGTTCGCGTGGGGCATGTTCTTGCCCTTTACCTACATCATCTTGCAGGCGCAAGAACAAGGCATGGACCCGAGCCTGACCATGTATCTGCTTCCCATCATGAACGCCCTGAGGTATGTTGTCCTTTGCCCGCCCCTTGTAAGTTCTCGTTAGCAGGAGTCAAAAGAAAGACTGACATCTCTTTCCTCGCGCAGCATCCTAGGCCGTATCCTCCCCGGTTTCGCCGCCGACAAATTCGGCCGCTTCAACATCATGATCATCGTCGGCTTCCTCACCGCCCTCTTCACCCTCGTCCTCTGGATCCCCGGCAAGTCCAGCGCCGCCATCATCGTATACATGGTCATCTTCGGCTTCACCTCGGGCGGCTTCATCAGTCTCAGCGCGCCCCTCATCGCCCAAATCTGCGATATCCGCCAGATCGGCACCCGCACCGGCGCCGCCTTTGCCCTCCAGTCCTTTGGCGGCCTCACCGGCTCCCCCATCGCCGGGGCCATCGTCTCCGCGCAGGGCGGCGACTATCTCGGCCTGCAGCTCTTTTGCGGCTTCACCATGATGGCTGCCGTGGGCTTCTTCATCCTGGCGAGGTACATGCAGGTCGGCTTCAAGCTCAAGGTCGTATAAAACGAAGAATAAGAATTAGAAAAAGAAGAAGCAGAAGAAAAATCCTAGATCAAGTCGCGCGGCAGGATGGCCAAAGAATTTACTCGGAATTTAGGCGAACACGCTAGGTGAAAAAGAAAGGCAGTCATCATGTTGTGTTACCGTGATGAAGCTTGTTGGAGTGGAAGAAAGACCGTCGAAAATAGACGCCTTGTCCATGACTCGTGTGCCTATTGAAAGAGGGGGAAGAAGGAACCCAAAGAGTATTTGCTTTTGGAACATTGAAAGGAGCGATGGACATTGCGTGTCTGCCTCTTCCCCCGTTCCACTCATATATAAGGCGGACGACGCGTCGGCGGGCCTCTCCCCTCACACTTTACTTCTTTTGCCCTCCACGTTATTTTTCCCTTCTTTTTTGAGGGGTTGTTTGCATCATATCTCGGTTACAAGGTGTCAAGCATTGGCGTTAGGTTGAGCCATCTATGGGCAGGGCAGGATATCTCATCTCCATCTTTCCTTGCGGTCGGAATTTGCCGGCCTAAAAGGCACAAATAACATATACATGACATTCTTATAGACGTGGCGTTTGTTTCACGACAAAAAAAAGAAATGTAACCCCAAACGCTGAGCTGACGCGACTAAGTTTTTCATTGGTATTTCGTTCTCCCCTGTTCCAAAAAAAAAAAAAATACAGAAACGGTAAACATTCGACGGAAGGCCTGACGAGAGAGAGCAAGCGAAGTAATAGAGAGAAGGACCAAGGAAGAGAAAAACCAAAAAAAGAGCTAGGTCGAACTGGATATCCTCGGTTTACTTGGAACGGTCAACTTTGTTGGGTATAATGAGTGTCCACGAGGGGACCCAGGTTTCATGAGCGGGGTTGGTTGTTGTGAGTGCGGGAAGCAAGAGTAACACAAGCAGTTTAGAGAAGAAAAGGAAGAGAGAGAAAAAAGCAAAAAGCAAGGCAAAGAAAGACGAACGTGGTCGAGTCTGCGCCCTGGTATTCCGTGATTCCTCCTCCGTAAATAAGTCCATCTATCCTATCCCAGAGACTCAAAAGAAACCGCAAACAGGAGGAATGAAAAGCAAAGAAGATGCGAGAGAGGAAAAATGAAAAGAAAAAGGGAGATAGGGGTTGTCGCAAGGGCGAGGCAAACAGGGAAACCCCCGCAAAGAGGTCCCTGCGATAGTGACTAGAGCGCGAAAAGGAAGAAAGAGCGCTCGCTCGTGTCTATCAGGCATCGGGGGATCAAGGTCCCGGGAAGAGAGCAGCGGCGCGGCTCAGACGCCTCAGGAGAGGTGGAAGCCGACCGCCCTGAAGCATCGAAATGCACTCGTCAATGATGGCACCATCACCAACGTCCATCGACCTCGACCTGTTGAGCCAGTACTCAAAGGGGCCACCTAGAAGGAAGGGGTGGGTCAGTACGCAGCACAACGTAGGAAAATGGTAACCGTAAACAAGCGTCGTGAAAACCTACGATTGGTACGCAAGGCATCTCAAGCTCGCTGCAGCGCTCGGCCGGGGTATGCTCGGGATGCATCTCGGTGAAGTGCGTAATCATCTTGCTGACGTCCTTGAGCGGCCACTTGCAAGGCGCGCCGGGCTGTCGCGGGGGCGGGGCGCCGTGGTACTTGGGCGACGTGCAAAGACGGCACTTCCAGTAGCCCAGGCGCTGGACGGTGTTGCCCGGGTTCTCGTTGTCGGGGGCGCGTCCGGGACCTGCTTCCGCGGCCGCTTCGAGCTCGACTGCTCTTCCGAGCCGTCGCCGCCGTCCAGGTTGCGCTTAGACGGCGTTTGGCCGACTACCTGACCCGCCTGGTGAAGCATGGCGAGATTGGGCGCCTCGGCGTTGGACACGCCGAGGATGCGGCCGCTGCTGGCGGGCGAAGGTTGAGTGACGGCGTTGAGGCTGTTGATGACCATGGCGGCCGACGGACCGGGCTGCTCAAACTTGGATAGGTTGCTGAGAATCTCCATCTTGTGCTGGCAGAGGCGGATCTGGTGGCCGAGGTCTAGCATCCTCAGGCGTAGGGTCCTGGCCTCTTGAGCGGTAAGGGACCCTTCGTCGCGAAGCTGCTGGCCGCAGTAGTCGCGGTCGTAGTTGTACGCGTTGAGGTCATCTTTCATATGCCTCAGCAGCAACTCCACGAAGCCGCTAGACGGCTGCGACATGCCGGCCGACATGACGGCGCCACCAGCGGCGGCAAAGGTGAGATCGCGAGGATCAATAGAGCCGGTAACGGGCGCGCCGTTACTTGGCCTGCCCATTTGCATGTGCGCCTGCTGGACTTGGCTCCTGCTATATTCCGGGTAAGCGCTGGATTTTTAAAGAGAATTCGGGGGAATTATTTCGGTGATGACAAGACAGAGATAGGAAAGGAAAAGAGAAGTTGAAGAAAAAAAAAGACTAGGTAAGGAAGATATGATCTTTGGAAAGGAAAATAAAGAAAGCAAGCTCTCATGAGAGAGCATGTGAGGGAGTGCGCAAGTGTAGCGTGGGTAGACGTGTGTATGAGCTTGTGGGTATACCAAGCTCTCTCTCTCTCTCTCAAAGGCTCACTCAAGTCACGATCAAAGGGGGCACAAAGTTTGGGGGAATGATCACCTTTTCCTACCGCCCATCATGATTGCCGCTTTTTAAGGTGAAAGGGGCAGATCAAAGAAAAGAAAATGAATACGATGCCGATGCTGCTCAGGAACGATTGAAACTGGAAGTCGCGAACAATGAAGAGGAAGCTCCTGGCCAAAAGGAACGGAAAATTCGATGGGAAAGAAAAGATGAAAAGAAAAAAAGAAAAAGAAAAAGAAGGGGAAAATTCGAAGGGAAAAAAGGGGAAGGAAAAAAGCAAACGACCAATCAATCAGAGCGTACAAACTCTGCGGCCAATGAGCGCCGCGATCCGCGCCTCGTATTGTTTTTCTTTCTTTTTCCTTGCTTTGTTATTTTCTTTTACCCAATAATTCAATATGGGAGTTTGGCGTCGTCCCAATTTCTTCTTTTCTTTTTCTTTTTTTCCTCCCTTTTTCCCTTTTTCCCCAACTCTTTTTTTTTTTCTGCCTGGAATTTCCACTGGAGCTGGCCTGCAGTGCTGGTGACTGGTGCTGGTACTGGCGCTGCTTCCCATCAAGGCCAAGTCTGGATTCTTGAGCCATCATCATCATTCTTAGCATCATCTTTCAGTTATATATCTTCATTTTTCTATCTCTTTATCTTTGTTCCTCTACCCTGATTTTATTCTTTTTCTTTTTTTTTCTCTTTTTCTTTCTCTTGCATTCCTTTGCCTGGGATCGGAGGCTGCATTCTCCATCCTGGCTCTGGCTCAAATGAGCAATCAAGACGTGTCTTTATCCTATTGCGGCTTTCAATTTTAGGCTTTCATCAAGTGACAACGAATGTTGCGCAAACGGCAGACGAGACTTTATGGAATGAGGCACATCTTTTTATCTTTTTCGTCTTTTTCTTCTCTTCCACTCTTTTCTTTCTCCATCTTTACAGCGCTCTTTTTATTAGCTGCAGCTCCGCAGCTCGTAAACACATCCAAGTATTGATGACTAGATCGCCCCGGTACCAATGTGTCTCGCATCTTCTATTCCCAAAGAAAGCGATGAAAAGAAAAGGAAAAGAAGGAAATCCGCAATTGCGTGCGTCTTCCTAGCGACGGGAGGCCAACGTTGAGTTTTTGACTTGGCTTCGCAGCGAGTAGAGCATCTTGATCCTTGCCGACTTGTTGCGGAATTCTCCATCCGCGCCAGGCGGATTCCGAGGGGAGCAAGCAACGCCAGACTAGGAGTACCCGGCAGTAACTCGGCGTCTGGTTGATTGAAGGGAAAGCAGACAGACCCCTTGGCATCGTAGGAGACTTTGATGCACATGTAATAGATAGATACCCTCTCGAGAAATCACCTCGTTATTGTGCGCGCGCCGCAACAATCTCGCCCGCTACCTTTGCGGAAGCCTTGACGATGAGTTCGTGCTCATGCGAATGTATCCTTTCTTCAAGAGCGTGAAGATCTTCTCCCTTCCACTCAATCTCCTGGACCATGATAGGCTCACCCCTGTCCACTGTGAGGATGACGTAGTGGACCATGATGCCAGTCCGCGTCGCCTTGCCGGCCTTGAAGTCATTGTATGCGCGCTCAATCGCACCCGCGCCATCATACGCACCTAGCAAGGGTAATGAGATGGGCTGCTTGCCGGTCCACGAGGAGCGGGGAAAACGTACCAGGGAGTGCGGGATGGAGGTTAATGACTTTGATACCTGCCTTCTCGAGGGGCTCTAGGAAGGGAGCTGAGAACACATGCATCCATCCGGCGAGGACAATGAGCTCTGGCTTCTCCTCCATCTCGAGCACCTTTTTCGCTAAAGCGGCATCGTAGTTGCTTCGGGCTTCCGCAACTTTAGCCTCGTCCTTCTCGCCCTTGGCTAGGAACCCGCCGCTAATCAGATTAAAGTATTCCCAGGGGATACCTGTGAAGATTAGTGTTTCAAAGTTCCTTAATCACCGCCGGGGACGCGAGAAGTGAGGCAGATACCAGCTTGTTCGGCCCTAGTGGTCGCGTAGGCCTTTGCGCGGTTTACAACAAGTCGAATGATCTTGCTGTTGGGGATGGTACCAGAAGCGACGGCATCGATGAGAGCCTGGAAGTTGGAGCCGTTCCCCGAGGCCATAACCAGGATACGGCATGGTGCCTGCCCTTGGTCCGCCATGGCTATGTTGCTAATGCGTTGCCGGAGCGTATAGAGTTGCGAGAGTGAAGATGTCTTGAAAAAGAAAAGTGCGACTGCGGGGCACTTGTCACAGCTATAAGACCCAGCGTAGTGGGGTGGTGAAAGAGAAGAAGCCAAGTGAAGCGACTGTTCGAGCCTTCCAAAAACAAGAACTCAAGAAAGAATGGTGCTCTCAGCACCTTGAAACACGATTTTGAAGATTTTTGAAGAATAGCTGGCTATAAACTGAAAAGAACTTTTAGGTCTCTCTGTTCTTCCGCGTCTTGACTAAACCGCCGTCTTCCTGATCGAGGGTAAGAAAAAAAGAAGAAAAAACCTCCTGCCCCACCATTGCGCTTGCAGAAAGTGGGCAGGTGGAGGGGTAGCTCCGCCAGCTGTTTCTGCCCTGCCATCCCTGCCGCTACGGCACCCTCATCGTCCCTTGTCCCTTAGCGCCCCACAATCCGATAAGATAAGAGCAGCCGACAATCTTCCGTCCAAAAAAAAAAAAAAAAAAGTTGCGGATCCAACTGTGAGGGCCTTGAGAGAACATTGAAAGAGAGGGAGACAACCGAAGGAAGCAAAAAAGAAGAAGAAAAAAAGAAGTCGGTCAGCCACTCCTCTATACGAGGAAAACCAAAAGGTTTCCACACGTTCAGAATTGGCTCAAGCCAATTTCCTACCCGACACTCGCTTTTTCTTTCGCTCCTCAATAACAAACAAAATGCCGAAGCCCAGAACCCGGAGAAAAGACGTCCGCTCGGGACGCAAGCGAAAGCACGACCAAGACGATGTCGAAGTGACCCTCGACGCCGAAGAGGACCAAACCACCAAGCGGCCGCGACTCAACGACGAGGAAGCCCCCGATCAAGGTGCGGACAACGATGGCTACGACAACGGCTACGATGATACAACGCAGCAGCAGCACCACCACCACCACCAAGAAAGTGCCGGAGAGGCCCAATTCTTCGGCCTCCTCTCCGACGAAGAGCAAGAATACTTCCGCGGCGCCGCCGAGGTCCTCGAGCTCAACGACTTCGCCGCCCCCGAGGACCGCGCCGTCTTTGTCGAAAACGTGTTCAAGGAGGCGCAGGGCAAGGAGCTCAAGCTCGCGTGCAGCCAGTCGTGCTCGCGCCTGATGGAGAAGCTCATCCTCCTCTCCAACAAGGCGCAGAAGAAGCACCTGTTCGAGGCCTTTGCCGGGAGTTTCCTGTCCCTCGTGCAGCACCGCTTTGCCAGCCACTGCTGCGAGATGCTTTTTCTCCAGAGCGTGCCCCTCGTGGGCGAGGAGCTGCCCGGGTTCGTCATCGACGTCGAGGGCAACACCAGCGGCGGCGGCGGGGAGGACGGGGCCGAGAACAAGCCCGAGTCTTCCATGGAGCAGCTGTTCCTGCTGACGCTCGACGAGCTCGAGGCCGACCTCACGTTTTTGCTGACCCAGACCTACGCCTCCCACAGCCTCCGCGCGCTGCTGCTCATCCTCTCGGGTCGACCGTTGGAGAATGCCTCGACGGCGGCCCTGCTCAAGAGCAAGAAGAAGGAGCGCATTTCTATTCCTGGCGCCGCTCCCGCCGCGGAGAATGCCGGCCAGCAACTACGTGCCGTGCCCGAGTCCTTCACGATGGCGACCAAGAAAATCATTACCGATACCATGCTCTCCATGGACAACTCGAGTCTCCGAATTCTCGTAACCCACCCCACCGGCAACCCGCTCCTCCAGCTCCTCCTCGAACTCGACATCTCCCTCAACGTCAAATCCAAGTCCAAGGACAACGACGGCCCCTCCGAGACGCTCCTCGACAAACTCCTACCCGGACTCCCCGACTCGCTCAAGGACGACACCTCCAAGGCGTCCGAGTTCATCACCGGCCTCGTCTACGATCAGATCGGCTCTAGGCTGCTGGAGACGCTCGTCGACCACACCCCTGGCAAGCTCTTCAAGGTCATCTACCAAAACTTCTTCGCCCAGCGCATCGCCAGCTACGTGCGCAACGAGATCGCCTCGTACCCGTCCATCAAGGTCCTCCACCGCCTCAGCAAGGAAGACCTCGTTGACTGCGTCAAGGAAATCCTCCCCGTCGTCCCCACCCTCATCGAAAAGTCTCGCTTCAACGTCGTCAAGACCCTCTTCGAACGCTGCGCCGCCCGCGAAGCAACCTACGAGATCCGCCAACTCACCGACGCCGTCGTCGGCGCCTGCGCCTGCGACAACGACGCCAAGAACCTCGCCCCCGCCTCTGCCAGCTCCGGGGCGGCGAGGACCCGTCCGCGAACAAGAACATGCCCCAGCACCTCGCGCGGAGCCGGCAAGCCGTCATCAACCACGGCGCCCACCTCGTCACCGCCATGCTGGGCATCAAGGGCCCCGCCGCCGCCGCGGCGCAGACTTCCCTCCTCGACCTCTCGCCCGAGGAGCTCCTCAAGCTCGCCACGGGCTCCATGGCGACCATGAGCATCCTCACCGCCGCCCTCGCCAACCCCACCTCCGCCCCCACCCCCGTCTTCCACAAGTCCTCGCCGCCTCGCTGCTACCCCACCTCGCGGACCTCGCCGTCTCGCAGTCGGGCCACAACGTCATCAACGCAATCGTGACGGTCCCCTCCAAGGGTCGCGAGCGCTCCATCCCGTTCCACCTCAAAGAGGCGTTCATGTCGAAGTTGGCCGAGAACGAAGCGACCCTCCGCGACTCGTGGATGGGCCGAAGCGTATGGCGCACGTGGAAGGGCGACGTCTGGAAGCGAGGCAGGGCGGACTGGGCCAAGTGGGCGAGGGAGGCCGGCGACGGCGCCGACCAGGCGTTTGCGGGAGCGCCGGCCAAGAGGGACAGGCACTCTCTCGGGCCCCGCAGCCAGAGAAACCCTAATAGGGATACGGGTAGCTGGCCCGCGGTGCCGCCGGCAAACCCTTACGTGGCGAGGAGGTTGGCGAGGAAGGCGGAGAGGGAGAAGCAAAGGGCCAGAGACGCCGCGTTTGACCAGAGGAGGAACGGCGGGTATGCCAACGGAACCGGCCATGGTGCGACAGAGGGCGAGAAGAGCGGTGAGGCTGTCGAGGTCGTCGAGGCTGTCGAAGCTGTGAAAGAAGAGGTCGCGAACGGGGCTAGCGTCGATGTGGCGGAGGAGACGGTACCAAAGGAAAAGAAGGAAAAGAAAGAAAAGAAAGAGAAAAAGGAGAAGAAGGCCAAGCCGGAGGACGAGCAGGCCGCGAATGGGGCGGACGTCTCGGAAGAGAAGAAGAAGAAGAAAAAGGAAAAGAAGGAAAAGAAGGAGAAGGAGGAGAAGAAGGAGAAGAAGGAAAAGAAAAAGGAGAAGCGTAGCAAGGTAGAATAAAAGGCTACTGATGAGGAGTGCTCTTGAAAAGTAGGTTTCCTTGTAGAACCGGCCATCTACTTTCTTTTTTACTTGCTTCCATCTTAGTTGGGAGTATCTGATGGGTTGTATATGACTGCAGAACATCTGTTATTTATGCGCTAGAATCTCGATTATTACCAAAAGGTTAGGTTTAACAAAAAGTAAAAGAATCTATTCCCATTCCAACACCAAGGTCCGACCCATATCCGTGTTCCTTCGTAGCCAAGCAGTGACAGAAGAAAAGAAAAGAAAAAAGTCGCAAAGGAGCGACAGAATAGCGACAAGGCAAAAGAACAGAGAACTCAACAATTCCAAAGTAAGAAGGTGGAAAGGGGTAAGAAAAAAAAGAAAAAGAAAAAAAGAGTGGCTCAAGTCTCCCACTTGGTCTCATCGATCCAGTCCCTCCAATTCCTGTACTCGGGGTATGCCAAGCTTTCCTTCTTTCCTTGGTACCTGACCGTGTCGACCTCGACGTCCCGCCACCTATCCTTCCTGCCGACCCAACCCGCCTTCCTCATGAGGCTAACAATAGTCTCCTCCTTGGTCCAACCCTGCTCGACAGCGACGTCGGGCAGATAGGTGGCGCCATAACGACGGCCGTGGTAGACGAAGCTGATGCGGATGCCATGCACGCCGAGGGACCAGTCCATGGTGTCCGCCGCATCCTCGAAATCGGTGAGCAGGGTGACGGCCACCTCGAGGGTGGGCAGCTCGGAGGCGCGGATAGGGTTGAAGCGGGTGTCGTGCAGGGCCGAGGTGAGCGTAGCTGGCGATGCCGTCCTCGAGGTCCTGGTCCTCAAAGGTGCCGATGCAGCCGCGGAGGGCGCGGTGGTCCTCGTCGCTGGGGTCCTGGGAGAGGATGTTCCAGGTGACGAAGAGCGGGGACTCGCGTATCTCGGGGTCGTCGCGCCCGGCGAGGGAGGTGACGGACGTCGCGGCGGTGTCGGGGGCCAGGGATAAGGTGGAGCTCGAGTCTGGGAGGAGGTGCCGCTCGACTGGTCGGCGGCGGCGGCGGCAAGGCGGTGCAGGGCGGGGAGGGCCTTGCTGAGCTTGGTGCCGGAGGAGGCGCCCGAGGCGAGGTAGGCGGCCCACGACTTTTGAATGTCGGCGAGTTCCATGGGTTGGCGGCGTTCAAGGTGGGCGACGAGCGCCTCGAAGGCGTACAGACAGTGCTCTGCGGTCGCCATCGTTTTTGGGGTTCTTTGGTCTAAGAGGGGGTTTGCTCTTTGGCTATACTTTTTTTTCCTTTCGGGTTTCGTCCGCAGGGAAGAGATTCTATAGAGGCTAGGGTGTCTGTGGAAGACGGCTTCAGAGGGGGAGAGACCTTGGGCACGGATATACAACAAGGGGCGAGAAAGGGTGGTGCAGGCTGGCGACGGACTGCTCTGTAGCCTGGGAAGCAGAGGGGCTAATCAAAGATAGCCGTTTCTCGAAAAGCTTGGATTTTTGTGTATCAAGGACTGGCTATCTCGTGTTTGTCTGTCCAAGGTTTCGACCCCTCAGAAAAAGAGGTTTGTTTGTGTTTTCAGTTCTACAAGATCAGGAGGGACTGACTTTGAGAGAGGGGAGTTGGCGGAAACCTGCTTCTATCCATTCTATTGACACCTGCCCGGCTGGACTGGGATCGATGGTTTTGGGCAGGCTTGGGAAGGAGGGGCAATGGAGGGTAGGGAGGATTGGTCAGGGGCATGTGCGTGTTTGCGTCTTGCGTGTGTGCATAGTGGATGTGGTGTGGCATCTCCAAAACGGGGCGCACCTTCTCAGCTTAGGCGGCGCAGAAGTGAGACGCCTTTTCTCAAAGAGGAAGTGGAGGCCCAGCTAAAAGAAGTGGGGACACACGGAGAAGGCCCCAGCCAGCCGAGACGACAACGCCGACTCAGGACAGGGGAGCATTTGCTTTCTTCTTGTTCTTCTTGTCTGCAGAGGTTCCGGTTATCAAGGTTCAGTGATAACATTCGTGACAGAAAATTGAGACGGGGTTACTCTTGCTCAATCCTGCTCTGCTGCTCGGCAGGGTGAGCTAGCTGAGGCACCCGCCCTTCCTGCTCTCATAATCCAGGCTCTAAATTTACGTGAGGAAAATACGGAGCCGCGTATTCCGGCGCACACCGAACCTCCGTTTGGCTTGCTCGGCATTCGGCGAAACCGCATGTGTTCTATTCATACCGGTTCTTGAATTTCGAGCATAGAAAAGGACTCAGGTGATAAGTGATAGCTAAAGCTCTTGCAGTCACTCTCAAGCCGTTGCCAAGCGAGAGCCCGGGTTCGGAAATCATTGAGAGGTTTTTTTTTTAAAAAAAGAAATCCCATAGACCTCTTTCTCCGGGCTTCCTCTCTTCTATGATTTCGCCAAAGTGCTATGCCAAATCGATACGCCGGGCTCTTTCCGGGCGTTGACGGCAGGTGGGGTCCGGGCGCTCCGGGTGCATCATGAATGAATATCCGGGACTGGCGTGGGAACGCTGGATCATAAAGCTTGTTTCGAGCAGATCGCCAACCTCCTCTTCACTGCGCCCTCTATAGCTCTCACGTAGAAGCGGGCTAGTGAACCAGGGAAGAAAGGGGAGAATAAGACGATCCTAAAATCGTAGAAGAAAAGGGGCGTTTAACACCTAGGTCCAATAGGTATGTCTTCCTCGAACTGACTTCGTATTTTGGGGCAACATCCTTCAATTCTTGGCTAACGGGGTCTGCCATAAGATAGCCCGGCCATGGCCATAATGCATGCACGTCCATAAACCCTTTCTAGAGAAGACTAGAACATGAGAACAAAGCATCAATTACTTGTACAATATTAATATATCTAGACATTAGTTGGATCTCGGAGGCCCTGTGAACCGGAGAATGATTAATCGTCTCCTAGCAGTCTGAATTGCAATTCCTAGTGGTGATGCAGCCCAAATTGTAGGCCGATATTCCTGTGGTAACCACAGTACCGGCGAGCCGTTCCAAGTAATCCACGTACGATCCAACGTAACGCCATAGCCCTTGGTTAGCTCTCGTACTTGCAGTCGGAGTTCGACCCCTGATTCGGATTCGTTTGCAACACTTGTCGGAGTGTCATCTTGGCCCAGGGGGTCATATTCACTCCCGGTGGCTGGATAGAGCGGACCTATACTGGATGGAAACGCTCTGAGCATGGTGCCAAGACCAAGCGTCTGGATCTCGGTACCTGTAGCGACATGCCATATCTTGGTTGTGGAGTCACCATATACCACCACGGCCAACCCGCCATCACTTGAGAGAGCTACTAAAGAGGCCACACAGTGACCCCGAAGCTCCCCATATTCGTAGCTTGTAGCGATCTCCCAAATCTTGACGCAATTTCTACTCGTTCCCGACGCCAAAAATCTGTCATCGCCTGAAAAGGCTATCGAGTATGTGGCACCATGTCCATTAAGCACTCCGACTGTATGGCCCGTGGCGACATTCCAGATCTCGACGGTTCTGTAGAAACCGTGGTTTAGGCAGAACGTGGGGCAAAATTGAGATGAAGTGGGATGGGCGTTGTCCGAGAACGTCCGGACTACGCGGCCTGTATCCACATCCCATATCTTGAAGCTTCTCATCGGGTCGAGCAATATTGCTGCCACAAGCCTTCCATCGCTAGAAAAGGCCACGGATCCCAATCTCGAGCCATCTTCGAGATGATGGGTGATTTTCCGGACCTCGCGGCCTGTAAGAGCGCCCCAAATCGTGATATATTCCCGACCCTTGCCGGCCTCAGAGGAGCGACGTACTAATGCTACAAGCATACCATCGCGGGAGACGGTCATTGGCAGAATCGTATTCCCATGGTATTCAGGTGCCTCTCCCTCACGACTTGGATTAACCATCCAGATCTTGACGAGTCTGTCAGAAGATCCCGATACCACGAATTTTCCATCCTTTGAGAAGGCCACCGATTGAACACAACCGCTATGCTCCATTAGGGTTTGAAGATAGTGACCTGTAACGGCATCCCAGATTTTGACACCTTGGTCCGTAGATCCGGAGGCGACATACCTGCCATCATTTGAGGAATCCACCGACAAGATCATATCTATCGGGTCTCCAGTCCCCATAGTACCGTGTTCGAGCTCGTCCAAGACCCTTACAGCGTAGTCTAAAGGGGTTTCCAGAAGAATCATCGGACGGTGGTCCAGAAGAGAGGCCAGATCCTCCAAGGCGACGACGGGTTTAGATCCTGTCACAACAAGCCTGCAGTTGCTCGATAAGGCTACTGAGGAATATGCCGTTTCATGATACGACACCTCTCGAACCATTTGACCAGTCGCAGCATCCCATATCTTGATGAGGGTTTTAGCACCTCTAGATATCGCCAACACAAATCTACCGTCCCCTGAAAATGCTGCTTGTACTGTGGTAATCAGGCCTGGCAAGATATCTAGCTTCCGAATCGCTTGACCAGTAAAAGCGTTCCAAACCCTGACGGTCTTGTCGACAGATCCTGAAACTATATACCTGCCATCGCTTGAGAACCCCACCGAGTGAACCCCTACAATGCGAAAGGAGCGTCCGGATTTCGTGACCGGTAGCGGCATCCCAGATTTTAACCGTTCTATCCTCGGACCCTGATGCTATTAGCCTACTATCGCTTGAACAAGCTATCGAGTTGACCTCGCCGGCATGGCCCTTGAGCGTATGGATCTCATTGCCTCTGGTATCCCATATCTTGACATTTCTGTCATAGGATCCGGATACTACGAATCTTCCATCACTCGAGAAGGCCACAGACGAAACCGTACCACGATGACCTTCAAGTGTCTGCATGCGGGGGTTCCAGAAACCCTCTGTGAAGGGCTTGTTGCTAATCCAAGATAGTTCTTCTTGCTCAAATAGCCTTCTCATTATACTCTGGCAAGGGCTGAATATCAAAGCCGACGCATATACCTGAAGCGGATGATTTTCGATGAGCCATCTACTATGGGGAATGAATAGTTTTGCATCATATATCAAGTTCGATAGTTCAGAATATGGTTGCTTCTCCCATGACTAGTCAGCTTTCATCCTCAAGTATCATCGAGAATCAAACTTACTGGAGCCAACCCCTCAAGCTTCCCTATCGACTGAACCGCATTAGTCATGGCCCCTAAGAGACTCAGGGCCTCAATCCAGTGAAGGATGTGGGTTTTCAAAAACTGATGAACATCCTCTGCGAGGTACATGAAGCTATCCGAGTGCGCCAGATGGTCCACCCAGTATAGGCAAGCATACCGAAGCTCTGGGGAAATGCATCTCTCCACCTGCCGAGGATCCACCTCAGAGCGCCGAGCTCCAAGATGTCCTAGGTGACAGATATCTCGGTAAAGGCTTCCTTTCATCAACCGCAGGCACTGGCTAACTAGCTTTTTGTTTACTACTTTCTCATCTACCCAAAACGGATTTCGTTCCCGCATTTCAACATCAACGAGGAAGTCTCGGAATGATTTGTGGAATAACCTTATTGGATCAGACGGATTCGATGGGATATTCAAAACTGAATGTAGGTAGCCTAGTTTGGTGTCGATAACCCTCTCTTTTAAACCGAGGAGATTCGTCAACGAAGTAGATGACAGTGGGGTCTCAAGGAGGACGATGCTACCGATAACGTCTCGAAACTCTTGGATGATCGTGTCCCTCTCCAATCTCCCAAGCAGATAGGGGCCTTCTGCGGTTGTTTGCATAACTAATAGCTGGTTTAAGATTGGTAGATAGGTTGCGTGGAACTGGGATGCCTGACCAACCCCTTGTTGGTCTATAAACATTGCAAGGAGATATTCAGGATGGCCTAAAGCGCGAAGCCTAACAAAGCGACAGATTGTAGCAGCGACGATGAAGAGGGAATCAGTAATTTTAACCAGATCCCGAATCCTTTCCAGGCCGGGCCAATCGCTTGGTAGCCAACGATCTACCGTGGCATCGTTGTTATAGTCATCTCTAATTTCGGAAAGTTCATGTGTGAGGTACTTTGTTATATCGTGCCAGACGACGGATTTCGATATCTCGTGAAGAGCAAAGCCTTTATACTTCCCATGGATCTGGCGGAAGCCAAGCCGGATAGGTAGCTCCGGTCGACTCGTGAGGAACACCTTGAATGTCGGGGATGAGGATTTAGTGTGCGCAAATAGGTCGATGATGATCTTGATATCTGTCTCAGAGTCACACTCGTCTAAAGCATCGACTACTATGACGAGCTTTTTATGTCGATTTTCGAGAGCGGCTCTAGGATCAGCTTCTCGAACTGTATTTTTATCGCCTTTGGCAGATCTCGGGGTCGGAGTCGATGGCATCTCGGATATGGTGGGCGGCGGTGGGGGCTGTGGAAGCCAGCTGGGAGGCAATGGTGCTGCAAAAGTGACTTGCGCTACCAACGCTCCCCTCACCTCTCTTGAAGAAGAAGCTTGCGCCGAGCTCCCCAGCCTTAGCGAAAGAAAAGGCAATGGTACGGGAGATGGTGGACTTCCCTGTACCGGCCTTGCCATTGAGCCAGAATATCGCCTCGCTTCCGGGGTCGTTTGCCCAGTCGGATATTTCCTTTAACAAGTTAACCCGCGTACCCTCAAGGCATGTGGGGTTCTCTCCTCGCGGCGGGAGTCAAAAGTTGCATCATTAACCCTGATGAGCTTGTCTAAGACGAATTTCTGGTCAAGAATGCGCGAAATTTCACTAGTACATTGAAACATTAACCCACAGGTCCTATGATTGCGCGCCTATTAAGAAAGGTCACAGTACCTACATCTGCTCATTCTGGAGATCCCTAGAGTTGTCAATCTTTGCCTCGATTCTTGCCGTAGTATCGGAAACTGTTGACAATACGATCAATAAAGCTGACGTTGTGAACAGCGGGGCTTACATTACTGACTGGTAGACATGACCTCGCTAGCTTTCTTCTCGGCCTCGATCGTAGATGGGGGATCCGGCAGAGAAGCTCCCTCGCATAAACAGCAGCCGCGAGGGCCGCATAATCTTGCCACACCTTGCTTTTATGCGAGTCTGAATAGTCGCAGATGCCACGAATGACCAGGCAGGGAAAGTCATTCATTAAGCCCGCCGCTTCCATCTCGAAACACAAAACCTTGTGTTTTTGAGCCAATTCATCACGGCGTTTGGCATCCTTCATTAGCTGGTTTCCCGAGGCGACCAGTCCATAGTGAACCACTGGGCTTAGCGGTCGTCTGCTTCTTGGCTGCCGTGGGGTGAGACGTTCTGGGACGAGTCCACATAGATCCGCGCAAGCGCCGCCATTGCCGACAGGGTGAGTGAAACCGGCTTGGTACAGGACATCGGTGCCAACATCTGGTCGGGTGAGGTCTTCACGAAGCTCCCTATCCAATTTCTCAAGTATATCGGTGATGGCTTCCTCAAGGGCTTTGGGTTTCCGGCGGAACTCGGTGTTGAGGTTCGTCACCGCCGTCAGTAGCGCTGTCGGGGGTCGATTCAAGGCCCCGGTTAGTTCAAACTCTTGCCCTTGTACCGTCCTCCCATAGTCATACTGAAGCACGCCGGGCTGACCGTCACCAGGCGTGCTGACCACGATGTCGCCAAGACGGATATCCGCGTCAGGTGTTGGAGCACCTCCCCCAAGACCTACCATCAGGCCAACTTTTATGTTAGGAAAGCTCCGTAGCATGTTGGCAGAGACGATAGCGGCCGATGTTGTGCCGTACGACCCCCGCGGCAAGCAGGCTATAACGACCTTGTGGCCGTTTATTGTGCCTAGGCTATAGGCATTGGAGTCATTCGGTGACGGAGAATGTAGTAGAGCCTCGGGTTCTCCATCGAAGCAAAGCTGTGCAGCAAGATATTCAGGTTCAATCGCGCAGATCCAACCGACGGAATAGTTGTGCGGAGTAGCCATGGCTCAAGATTGGACAAGATCATTGAACGGCGTTTTCTTTGCATTGGTCTTGGTCTGGCGCACTTGGAGCTCCCAATAAGTCTTCACGTTGTTCCCAGAAATGAAGCCGAGATAGTGCGCTTGAAGAGGGGCGACAGCGATAACTAGAATTGGACACGAAAGGAAGGGTAAAAAGGCCTAATGGTTACATAGACGCAGGATTCAGGTTATAGAGGAAGAGAGAGGTGGAGGGAGGGGTCATCCCACAGCCTGCCCCGTCTGCTGCTGCAGTCGTCCCCGCTCTCTGAGAGGCTGGCATGAGCGATTCTTGGGTGTTGGCTTTGCAGATTGGTAATAGGAGGTACTCGATGTAAGACCTCTAGGTCCGCAAACCGTCGACTCGAATATGCTTCTCTCATGTGACCCCGTCCCCTCAACTCCGGTGTTAATGTTTTCGCCATCACTACACTCCAGCTTCATCCCGGCGTCGCTGCTTCATAACAGAACCCTGCTTCGGGTCATGGTGAGTCCCACCTTGGCGCTTGCATGTGCATTTAATGGACCAAGGTCCACTTCGATATCGTTATGTCAGTCGTGTATAGAGTAGAGGATCCAAATTATGCCAAAGCTAGTAGAGACGACACAAAAGGAGGGTTTATGATCAAGCGTTATTAGCACATCCATATGGACCCATTGGATGTATGGGTGTGCCTTTTTCAGAAGTAAGGAGTTACTTTACTATGGGCTGAGATTCTGATCAAATGGGAGCAAAAGAGGGGTTTGGTGATGGCGGTGGCGGCGAATCGTAGACGAGCCAATGGAACCCAACGCAAGCCTCGCCTGTGCGATGGGAAAATGGGAAAGATGACATCTGCCCCTCTCCTCCTTCTTGACCTCATGTCATCCTTGGAGGTCCTCATGGATGCGGTGAATACCTGTGAGCCCCGGGAAGCAACCACTGGCATCCTCATAAAATCACAGCCCACGACTTGTTTACTTTGCTGGAGAGACGGCCCTTATCTTGCTGTTGAACGGTCGCTAAGTGGTAGCATCCGTGACGCACCATCGAGGCAAAGAATCCGGTGCGTTCATCATCATCTCAACCCGAGCATTGGCCGCTTGGCAATAGAGAACATTGAGACAGCGTTTATTAATCTGTCGTTGAGGAGGGAGTCCCAGACCAGGTTGCCATAGAGGGACAAAGAGAGCGGGTAAATATCGGTTCGATGCCACGAGAGCCAGCTCCGCGGGAGGAGGCAGAGCATCCGCGAATCTCAATGCTGTGTCTGTCAAGCATTTAAATCAACGCATAACACAAAGGTAGATAATATGTCCTTGAAGGAGGATTTCTCCAAATTTAAGCCCAAATGCACCCTCGATATCTTCCTCTCAATTCATAGCAGCACGTTTGGGCTCGCATTGGACAGCATCTCGAAATTTAAGCTAGTGTTTTATTCGGGAAAGAGGACTGGAGGCAACATCAGATCAGTCACCAATCCCCAATTCCAGCACCTCAAACCAAGCTCTTCATAGTGTAGATCCATCAACGGACGCCTTTTGGGGAGAACTTGTTGTTTATGTATTTATTTATTGTGACATTCGTAATGGATGCATATCACATATGTATTCATCAATCCAATAACTGGATAGAACACAAGGAAAGAGTATTATGAACTGCTCAGTCAACCTTGTTGCAAATACCAAGGCCTCCTCTCCCCATCTCAAAAAACAAATCCAAAAAGACCGTCCGTCGGGTCCAGACCCAGACAAGGAATAGAAAAAAAAAAAAAAAAAAACCTCGATGACAGATGCAACCCGTCCGGAACCCGCATTGAGGGAAAGAGGAGCTTCGGGTGTTTGATGTGCGCCCGGCTGTAACAGTCCCGAGCCCGCGCGTCTCCCATGCCGCCCCACAAGGGCCCCTTACCCGACACAATTCCCCGTTTCAGGGACCCTCTCTGCTTCAAAAGACACCTCAAGTGCTCCGGGCCTGCCGCAGCAAAGTTGAACCTCAGTCCGTCCATGGCCAGGCCAGTCTTCTTGGATTCTTTCTTATTCTTCTTCCCAAGTACCCCTCCTTGAAAATTAGCCCCTGCGATACTTTGCGTCCCCATTTATCCTTTCAATTCCTTCCCCCATCGCCCCCTGTTCCAAAACAGAACAGCCCCATTCCATCAATCGCTATTCTTCCTCATAACTGTCATTCCCTCTCTCTGCCGTATAATACCTTGTCGTTTGACACAGACGCAGCAGCGTGGGACTGACCCACTATTAGGGGAAAAGGGGGCACAAGGGGAAAGCTTATCAGCGATACGCTCATGCCTGCATGCCTGTGCTGGCCACGACAGGGGATCGAGCTTTATTCACTGTAAGCTTTTTTTTCTTCTTTCCTTTGCACACCTTCCTCGCGCTCAGCGTCTCTTCCTCCGGCTCTTTCTTAACAGGGCACGTTGCATTTTCTCTCTTAAGCTTGTCTAGGGGGATTGAGGGAGACGATGAGAAACAGGACCAAGGGGCCAAAACGAGGGCCTAGATGCGACCCGCCCGAACACACGGTCATCCACCCTGGGAGGCGGCGCAGTCACTGCTCAATGCTCCAGACCGTCTGAAGAACATAGGTATTATCGATGAACCTTGATATCGAAGTTCCAAAACAAGTAAAAACCACAAATTCACAAGCTTTCTGGCCGAGACTCCATGTATCAAGAACAGTGCACACAACTTACTGTATACCTCTCTCCCCCTTTTCCCACCTCAACTTTCTTCCTCCCCTCACCTCGCCCCTGGCTGGCCTTGAAAAGGGAAGGGGCACGGATGGAAGTGCTCGATTCCATGACCTATAGCTGCCTCTCCGTTCCACGTGTAACCCCCAAAGTGACCAGGAGACGCGTAGGGGAGGAGGATATGTCACTGTCCTCTGTTTTTCTGTTTTCTTTGGTCTCCCCTTTGTGATGAAGCGTTGCTTGGGGCTGGGAAAAGGACGTTTCAACCCGGCGATCGCCCGGGTTCGAGGCCGGAAGGGGATTCGTAACTTGGACCCGCTGGCTGGCACTACCCATCTGGCATCCGACTCTCGCTTCAACCCATGTTCTCGCGTGTGTGCATTCTCCATCTCTCTCCCTCCCTCCCCTAGCCATGAGTCTCTCTTCCTCTCATTTTTGCTGTGGAGCGTCACGAATTGGGCTTTGCCGCTCATCCTTCTCCTCCACCCCCTACCTGTATTGTTTTGCCTGATCTGCCTCCGATCCCTTGGCAGATGTCAATCTTGTCACAGAGATTCCCGATTTCCCTCCTCCCCCTACATATATCCTCTTCCCGCTCCATTCCCTCCTGATCTTCCTCCCTCTCCCTTTTCCTTCTTTCTCTCTTCTTTCTCTCTCCACACTTGCTTTCCAACTCTTGTCAAGCTCTTGTCCATTTTTCCAAGTTGAAGTTCCATTCTCTCGTTGTCGCCGGCCGACTCTTTCTTTCGCTCTCTTTCTTCCAACGATAAACCCGTCTTTGATCCAAAGGAAATCATCCAACCTCTTATTTCAAAATGCAGCTCTCCATCTTCGCCCTTGCCGCTTTCGCCGCCGTTGCGCTGGCCAACCCCTCCACGCTCCCAGGGCCGGTACGCTATTGTCCTCCTCCATCCCCATTCCCACCCTTGGCTCTTCCACGTAGAGGAGCTGGGTAGTTTTGTTGGAATCGCTTGGTCGTTGCGAGATATGTGATAGGAAGCCAGCTAACATGAATTTCTTCGCTGGTATATAGCCATTCGCGCCAGGCAGCAGCCTCCTAGCAACCCCAACGCCATCACCACCGGACCCGCCGTCAACCAGCCCGCCATGACCGACCGCAACGGCAACGTCATCAGCTTCGACAGCGCCAAGGTCTACCTCGCCGCCAAGGAGGCCGGTCTCTAAATCACCAGCCCATGAGTAGAATGCGCCCCAACGCTCCAGAGGGCGTGGCTGGGGCTACGGGGCCTCCTCCCCGTACCCCCGGCTTCCGCATACACACCTCTGGAGTGCCTGTTCCGCACGACTACAGGAAAGAAGTCCCGAAGACGGCTCACCTTTAACCCTTGGACTCGAGGCGAGGAGATGGACCGATATTCTGGGCGCTCTTGCATGCTCCTGTGGCCGTGTCGAATAGAACGGGGTTTCCTGACTGAAACGGTCGACAAAAACCTGTACAAAGCTTTTCTCATACCTTAGTTGGTCAACTTGCGGTGCTTCATCATTTCAAACGGATAAGCTGCTCTTCGGCCCTCTTTTTTATTTTCCCCCGTTTTCTCTTTCTACAAACGCGCAACTTTTTTTTCTTAATTCGGAGAAAGTCTTTTTTGTTTGACGGGATATTGGCAAATATCTCGCAGCAAGGACACACTCCCGGGACCGGTCTGAAACTGGTAACATCCATGGATAGATCTCTTTTGGAATAGGCACCACCAAGAGCTGGTGTGAGTTCATTTGGACACGGCAAACATCGTTGGACACGAGAGGACGAAGAGAGGAAGAAGATGGCAAGAGAACTGTCGAATTTGATTCATGTCTGAGAGGGGCGGCCTCCAGAGCCTCGAGTGCCGGTTGGGGATCTCGAAGTGCTTCTCTTATTATGTGATTTAGGCGGAATCCGTTCCGTGGACTGAATATAAACTCGGCTCTTTGTTGCTTCACAAAACTGCAATTGCACCTCGTTTTCCGTGCTTCGACTTGGCGGTGCTTGGCGATTGAAGTGTATTAACTTGGCCATCAATTAGCATTTGAGACTAGGAATTTCATATATAACCCTGGACCGCATCTGCAAGGTGAGAAGGGCTGAGAAGGCAAGCCAAGGAACCAAGGTGGATTCAAGATGGTCATTCAATCTGCACATGAAAATGTCTCCAATCATCCACTCTGGTCTACCTCGGTATGATTGCCTGGAATAAGTTGAAGAACAAGAAAAAGAAAAGCTCATTTGAGCATAACCGATCCTCAATTTGAGACGGCATGGAATGACCGAGAGCTTCTTAAGAGGCAGACTTCTAAGGCAGAGAGTAAAAGAGCCGAGAGCTTCGAAGCCGCACACATCCACACACACACAGTCAGCTGAGTTGGGACAGGGCTGAATCGGCTGGAGGCACGAGGTGGCATGGGGTAACATCGAACTAGATTCATAACGATCTGTGGATGTGATGCAGTCGTGGCTGTCGAGTATTGATCAATGCGCGACGAGTGCATCAAGAGTGGGGGACAATTGATGAGGGGAGGGGCTGCAGACCCCACCACCAGAATTCCGAACTTGGTATACACTGCGCACGCTGCACACGCCCTTGTTGTCTTGAAGCTGCTCTCTGCTGGTACATCTGGATGTATCATTCATATGCGTGGCCTATTAAGGGACACCGCACCCACTCGCCCAACTCGGTACCAGCGGCCCGGGACCTCGGGATTTTGACAACTTCATTCGCGAAATTCCACTCTGCCTCAAGGAAAAGAAGCATGAGAGCAAACCAGCACTGAATAGAACATAGAAAAAAACATGGGGAGCAAGTGACAAAAGATTGAGGAAGGAGCATGCAAGATCGGAGTTAGATGGCAAGTTGACTCTCGTCACTCATCAATTGGCGTGTATTATGTCAGAAACAAGGGCTGAAGCTTGTTCGGTCGCCGACCCGTCAGAGAAGGAGAAGCCTATAAGCTCCTTCCGCGATGTCATCGCTCCCTGCTCCCTGCTGCCGGGACTTGATGTCTCGCCTTTTCAACTATGCCCTAACTCTAGCTCCGAATTTTTGCACTCAGAAGGGGGCGTCGGAATCGGATCGCTTTTGGAGAGGCAGGGGGCAAGCACCGTTTTCCTCGAACGGGGCCGGTTTCGAACCTCTGAAGAGTTTGAACAAGCGCCAGCCTTGGGGACAAGCCAGGTCGACTTGACGCCCCTCACCGCGCGGGTGGCTTTGGTAAGAGTAATAGTATACATTGATGAAGTAGGCAGATCAATCTCGTCATAGTGTTTGCCTGATTTTTGCATCATCGCAGGTAAAGTGTCCAGCTGAGCAAGGGCAATCAATCAAGAGTCTTGGAATATTTTCGTCCTTGCAGCGGCATGGGCAAAGCCACGCTCTCTCGCCATGCCGGGTGGAGTCAGCGCGCCTCTCTCTCTCTCTCTCTCTCGCGTGCATTCGGCTTTGGTGCCGCTCAGCCTCAACCTTGGGCACTTGGCGCTTGGCTAAGGGAAGAGCCTGTGAATTCTGGAGCGTGTCAAGCCTACCCATATCTGAAGCACATCAAGTAGGGATTCGTTGTTTTTCTCTCACTTTCCGGTAGAATATCCCGCTTCGAGAGAAGAGGGACAACAGCGTGATCCAGCGTTGTGCCTGAAAGTTGAACAAGAGGCAAAAACCGGCACGACGCCTACGCGCCTTTTGTGTTTTCTTTTATTATGTACTCTGTGGTTTGGGGCGCAGAATACTGGGCCGTCAAGTCTGTTGGTCGTTGCCAATCCTCTAGGAGCGCTGACAGGATCCTCGTCTCCATTCCGAGAAACCCAGCGACGTTGGTGGGGAGGCTGTAAGACGGCCTCAATTCGATCCCGACCAAGCTTTCCCCTCAACTCAATGGTTGGTGCAATTGGATGTAGGAAAAGGAGAGAGAAAGGTCACAAATCCCGCGAGGATGCAGCATGTAGCGTCGTAGTAGGAAACGTGAAACAACCCACGCCAGCGGTCATTTCACAGACGCGGACATGGGGGAGAAGTGAGAGGTCCCCACCGTTGAACGACAACGTGCCATGATGGATTGGCCCAGGGCCCCATTTTTATTTCTTTTCGGGGCTGGACCAGCAAAAGAAAGAGGACTAAAACAGCACGCTCGCAGTGATTGAGGCTTTGCTCTCGTGGAGTGGTGAGGCGGTGCAGGAGGGGGAACTTGGACGCGTTTGGTGGGGAAAGAAGAGCAAAAGGCAACATCGTCCCCTGTTCCGGCCTAGTTGCCAAGCCCAGGACAGGGCAAGGACGGGACGAGACCGCTCAATTTCTTGGACCGTCTCCTTTCCGCTTGGCTTGGCCTTTGGAGCTCGAACAGAAATGCTAATAATAATTACATGGAATGATACTCGGTCAAGGCGGGGAGGATTCTGAAGAACGGAGAGCTCTCCACATTCGGTACTTGTGCACACGCGAAGAGTCTGGCGCCTGAGCGAGAGGATCCTATCATCATACGCTGGCCGTTCAATTTCTTTTGCTCTGTCGCTGGCCCCATTTCTCTCAGCCGCACTACTTGTCCTATCCCACCGACTTTTGCCTTGTCCTTCTAAGTTCTTCTTCTTCCGCCAGGTCCTAGAGAAATAGTAGTTGCCCAACTTGTGAGGCCCGGCCATGAGCCAGCTCACGTCTCGTAGGAAGACGTAATAAACAAGAGATTCAGCCTTGAGAAAGAGGACGGTGTCCACTTCTTGCTTCCGTTAATCTATATTGGGCACACATCTCGAGATTGATGAGATCGTACATTTCGCCCAGCTGCTCGCCATTCGGTCAAAGAGCGACGCCGGCGCCCAAGCCCCCTCCGATTCCCTCCTGGCCTTTTTTTTCCCACCCTCCCGCACCTAGCACTTTGACACGCGCTCACTTGTCTCTGTTTCGTTGGCTCTTGCGATGGTCAGTGAGGCGCTTGCAAGCCCGTCTCACCGAGCCTACTTGCGATTGCGCAACACTCGTCGGCGGCGCCAGCGGATCCTGACAAAAAGAAAAGTGTTGATGCCAATGCCCCCTTTATGGCACATGCATATACCATCACTTCTTCCAACCGATCTTGGTAGCATCGTAGACAGGCCCCAAGGTCTCAGAAAAAAAAGTCCGCCTTCCTTCCCTCGACAGGGATGGGATATTAGACAGTAGCACGTCCATGGTGCGATTTTTTATGTTCTTTTCTGGGAGCAAACCCAGAATGGCGGGGCGTCCTTTGCCCGGGGGTTGAAAGGGTTTGAGTGGTTCGCGGTCGGTCCCGGCGAGGAGGATTCGCACCAAGCAGTGGGATCAGTGTGGCTTAAACCCAAGTCCAACACAACAAAACCAAACCCCAGCCAAGCCGATCTCTTGGAACAAGGAGGGGGGAGAGGCACCACTTTTTCGGGCATCATAGCCGCCGTTGACAAGGGAAGAAATGGAGAAGGACAGAACAGCTTGGAACTAGGCAGGCAGGCTGTTTAAACGCGTGAGCTATTCGTCGGAACATTGCCCATCGCGCGGCACATGGTGCGTGTATTAGTCTAATCCCTTTTCTCCATATGTCCCCATTGATGCCATGTCCCTTGTCGACTTGACCGTAATGTAGCCTGAACCTCCCTCCTCCCCGTTTATTGAGTAGTGTCAGTCCCAAGCATCAATACCATTCCACCTGTGCCTGTGCCCTTCCCACCCCCTTGTCTAGGCCCCTCCCACGACCTTTTTTCCCTGTAGCCTTAGCTATTTTCGTCTTTTGGTTTTATTCCTTGAGCCTTTTTCTTTCTTTTCCTTTTTCTTCCTTTCCCTGTTTAAATCTTTTAGGAATTTCTTTTTGTCGTTGTTCCTTTGTCGATCCGATCTCGGCTTAGATCGTGTCTTCACTTCGTCGCCTCTTCTCATTCTTCACGAAAGAACCGCTTTGTTGGAGAAGATGATGTCGACTGCTTAGTGCTCGTCGTAATCCCTCGCCAAGTGGTTTCTTTCATACCCTTCCTTTCAACTCCGCGCATAGTCTCTCCCTCGATACCCTCGTCCAATCCTCTCAAGAAGGAGTCACCGATCCTCTCTAAACTCGGCCATCTCGCACTTGGTCTCTGTCTCTTCTTCCTCACACATCGACATCCTCCCGCCCCCACCGAAACCTCACACACCACTCTCTACCTAAAAGGATGGGCCGTCATCGAGCGCAGGCCCGGTTCGATCGCGCGCAATGGCGCTTGCGCTTCCTCATTCCCCTCTGGATCATACAGCTCGTCCTCTCCATCGCCATATTAGGCCTTTTTGCGACAACGTTACACGGCACTCTCAAGGGTTGGAAGGATGGCAAGAAGAAGAACGAGGGGTTTCCCTTGCTCATTGTTGTGTAAGTTTCTTGCCTGTATCCTAGAGACGGAAAAAACAAACGGGCAGCGTCGTCGCGCACGCAGGGACTGAAGCTAACTTGGGCTTCGATGCCTCGCAACAGGTGGAAATGCGCCAACCTCGTCCTCGGGGTGATTAGTCCTGCCATTGTCTTCTTCGAGGTCTTTCGATACGTCCAGGAGACGTTGACGCCGCGCACCATTCTCACCACCCAATTCATCACGTTTGGCTTCTCCGTCGCGGCCCTCGTCCTCAGCATCCTCATCCACATCCAGAATCGAGTGGCAGATCGCGACTCGATCGCGGGGCTCATCCTAAGCTCAGCCGCCATGTAAGTTCTATACCATTTTTTTCTTCTTCTCTTCTGGCCACACCAAGTCCCGTCGCTGACGTGATTCAACAACAGCGCCTCCTCCCTCATCCCCGCCCTCTACGCCCTCCGCAGCCACCGCCGCCTCGCCTCCTACGACGAGCTCACCTACCCCACCAACACCAAACCTTACGGCTTCTTCGCCGACCCCGAGAGCCAGAAACAGCTCAACCAATCCTCCCGCGCCTCCATCATCAGCACCCTCTCCGGCAGCGGCGGCGACAATACTACGCCCTCTGGCCGCCGCCTCTCCTCCGCCTCCTCCATGCTCGGCATCCGCCGTCTCTCAGGCGCCTCGACGCACACCCTTCCGGCATGACCCCGCCCACCGTAACGACAACCATCTCCGTCACCTCGACGCCCACCGACGAGTACGGCGCCGGCCCACCCTTACCGCTACAGAGCCTCTCGCGGAGCCACTCGGTCTACAATCACGAGCGCGACACCCAGTTCGAGGACTACGTCAACGCCAAGCGCAACTCGCAGCTCTCGTTCCGCGAACACGTCGACCACGCGTTCGGCGCCGACATGGGCTGGAATGTGGGCGCGTCGCCCACCACCCTCGCCGATAGCCTCCACCTCAACCGCAAGGGTAGCGTCGTGAACGCGGGGACGTTTGCCGGGGCTCCCGCGGGGCACGTCGTTGTGGCGCGGGTGCCGAGTAGCTCGGCGCACTCGCTGGGCGCGGTGCCGGAGGAGGCGGAACACGATGCGCCCGCTGCCGCCGCCGCCATTCCGAGCAGGTCGACGACGACGACGACGATGGCGACGAGAGTAGAGGACTATGACGAGGATGACGAGTCGGCTCGCAGGGGCTTCTCGCGGAGGATAAGTACGGCCCCCGCAGGTGAAAACGGGCTAGGTCTGAATTCATGAAGGCGTAGAATTGGGTACCCGGCTTGGTACTTCGGGCTTCTTGTTCTTTTCTCTTCCTTGACGGAGATTTATGCTTCCTTACTCTATTTTCTTTTTCTTGCTCTCGGTTTTGGGGAGTTGGAGGTGTTGGTTTTTTTGGGGGTGGCCCTGATAGTGGCCATTTTCCATGCTACATTAGTCCAAGATGCTGTTTTAGACGATATATACCAAAAATCTACTTTTCGTTTCCCCTCAGCTCTAACCGCTTTTTTCGATCTCGGTCCATTTTCTCCTGCTATTTCTTTTCTGTAGTTTTTCTGTGGCTTTTTTACTTTTCCGGGACAATAGTAAACACGTCTGCAATGCTGTGTGACGAGGTTGGTGCAATGCAAGCAGATCCATGATACATCCAGAAAAAGTAATCGCTTCCCCATTTTCGGAAATGTGGTGCCAAGCCTCGATGCCGTGGCGGGTCGGCCGTGTGAGTCAATCGGGCAGACGCAGTGACGGCGCCCTATACCTAGCGAACCACCGCGGGAGACCGGGGGCTGCGGGCGGTCGGCCTGATTGATTGATGGGGCTATTACACACACACACACACACACACACACACACACACACACACACACACGATCGGAGCAGACCCTTGCTGGGATCTGACGGGGTCCGGGAACACGCAGAGGCATGGATAGTCACCCGGATGCAAAAGCTGGAAGATCGAGACCGGGCAAGAGAAAGAATCGGAAATGCATGGAAGGGGTTCGAATGGAATTTTGCAGGTTCCCTCATAATAATCACTACTTTGTCACTACTCAAGTGCCGTGGGCTCGAAATGGGGCTTGCGATGGGTGAATGAACGGTGTCCTTTTATTTTGCGGTATTCGTGAGGCAGGCGGTGTTTGGGGGAAACTGGCCTCGTCGTTTACTAAATATTTAAATCAGACAAGTTTGGCGAACTTGTACAAAATAAATTCCCTTTCTCGTCATTGCATCTTGATTATACGTCAGTCAAGTCTCCCCACTTTTACAGCCAAAAAAAACAGAAACAGAAAACACCGTAAGCACAAAGAAAAAATGTCAACGTTCCGCGACGACGATCCTACGGCCAAGAATTACGACACGTTCCGGGACTGCCTCGCCTCCGCCATCCTCCCGCGTCTAGCCGCTCCTTCCGCGAAGCCGCGTGGACGCCGGGCCCGTCAGCGACCCCGCCGCCGGCAAAAGGAGCGATCCACTGCTACCGCCCCGACAGTGTCCGGGGTCGGGTCCGGGTCCGATCCTGCTGACGGCGACGGCCCGGAGACAGCACCGGCCCCCACTGTTGCTACTCCGACCATTTCTTCTCCCACAGGAGCAACTTCCCCGCCAGCAGAGAAAGACGCCGCCACGCAAGACCAGGACCAAGACCAAAACCAAGACCAAGACCAAAGCCAAAGCACCGCAGCCGAAGACCTAGCCGAATTCATCGACTACGTCGCCACCGAAACCTTTGCCTCCCTCCCCGAAGAACTCCGCACCCTCACCTACCACACCTGGACCACCTCCTCCTCCTCCTCTTCCTCCCAAACCCCCTCGAATCCGAATACCCCTCCCCTCACCGGCCAAGACACAGCCGACCGCATCCTCCCTTCCCTGGACCCCTCGGTCGAATCCTCCCTCTCCACCTACGGCGTCGCGCCCCCGCCGCAGACCCCGCACGAGTTCCTCGCCCCCGTGGTGACGGCCTACCTGCGCGCCGTGGGCGCCACCCCGCCCCCGGCCCCGCGCACCACCAAGGCCGACGCCGCCGGCTGCGAAATGTGCGGCCGCGACTGGGTCAACTTGTCCTACCACCACCTCATCCCCGCATGGTCCACGCCAAGGTCGTCCGCCGCGGCTGGCACCCCAAGGAGAGCCTCGAAAACGTCGCGTGGCTGTGCGGCGCCTGCCACCGCTTCGTGCACGCCTTTGCCGGCCACGAGGAGCTCGCGCGCGAGTACTATACCGTCGAGAGGCTCATGGCGCAGGATAAGGTGAGGGAGTGGGCGGAGTGGGCGGGGAAGTTGAGGTGGAAGAAGAGGTGAGGAGAGAGAGAGAGAGAGAGAGAGGGTACATGTAACCTAGCCGGGGATGTATGTAGATTGGTGTACCGAGGTAGCATCGAAGAATTGATTCATCCAGATCTATTAATGCATTCAATTCAATGTTGTTTTCCTCACGTCAAACCACATATTTTTTCACTCTTACGGGTTTCAGTCTTGGTTTCCTCGAAAATTCTTTTCTATTTGTTTTCAAGGCTTGCTCTCTCCGTCTCACGCGTTCTCTCTTCCTCGAGCAAAATATGGAGGAAATGATTATTTTCGTCATACAAGAAGGGGATCGGTGGGGGCTTTTTTTGGTTCGTTTCGATGGACTTATTGTTCCTCATCTCTCATGGCGTATCTCAAGTTCTCCCCGAGCAAAAAAGGAAAAAAAAATCCAAACAAAGACGTCTCATTACACAACAAAAAGGAAAAGACTCGGGGCTCATTTCAAACTAGCGACAGTGATATAAGAGGGAACCCGCCAAACGTCTACGGTGTACGCAAGAAATTTAGAGAATATCCACGAAGCCCTGAGCAGCGTCGCTGATGTTGACACCCCAGTTGGCAATGGTGGTCTGTCAATCACACAAGTCTTGTTAGCCAAACGGGACTTTTTTCCTCTCTCAAAGAATGATGGGTAGGAGGGGAAACTTGCCTGGACGTAAACGGTGCCATCCTCAATCACGCACTCGTTGTAGCTCTTCTCCGTCTTATCCACGATCCTAAACGCAATCTCGTTGTTGGGCACCGCCTCGGCGAAACCCTCCTGGAGCATGTCGTCCTCGCCAAACTGCTGCCACTTGAGCTGGCTGACCACGCCCTCAAAGTAGCTGTGCACCCAGCCGCCGAGGTTCTCGTCCCAGTCGTTGCGGTCGAGCTTGGCCTGGTTGGCCTTGAGGGTGGCGAAGAGGTTGTCAAAGTCCGGGCGGAAGTTGAGGTTCTCGTTCTTGAGGAGCTCGCGCGCGCTCTTGGTGAGGGCCTCGGCCTGGGGGTCCCAGTCCTCGCGGATGCTGCGGCGCGCCATGTAGTTGAGCTTGTTGTCCTCGGGCTGCTCGGCCTGGTTGAGCGCCTTTTCGAGGTTCTCGCGGCTCAGCGCGTCGCTGATGTTGACGCCCAGGTTCTTGGCGTTGAAGAGCATGGTGAGCTTGCCCTCCTTGACCGCCGCGCCGCAGTAGTAGACCGAGTCGGTCTCGTCCAGGTCCAGCGTGAGGACGTGGGCGGGGGCGAGGGTGTTGATCTCGGACACGCCGGCCTCGCCGTACTTCTCGACAAAGTCCTTGATGCGGGAAACACCGGACTCGACATAGCTATAGAGAAGACGCGTTAGTTCTGCTAGACTCTTGCGTTTCGTTTTGTGTGGTAGACCTACGAGAAGATGCAGTTGCCAAGGTTCTCCTTGGCGTAGCCGTCCTCGGCATACGCAAAGATGGCGAGGGGTTGATGTCGATGGTCCACTCAGTACCGAGGATGCCGCTCAGCCTGCTGACCTCTTCGTCCTTCTTGGAATCCCACTCATCACGAACTAAGACAATGAGGTGTTAGTCTTACAACCACACACCTCTCCTTCTAAGCTGGAAAGCTAGCTTCGTGGAGAGTTCACTTGGGCCAAGTCCACAGCCCTTGGCCCAGACATGGACAAGGAAAACGTACCGTTCTTGCGGAGAGCGAGAGAAAGCTTCTCGACGGGGGAAGACGGGGAGCCATTGTGTGTGTTGGGGAGAGAAAAGTAGTCAAAGTGAGAGGAGAAGGCTAAAGAGGCACCGAGGCAATGCTGTTTGGAAGACGATGGGAGAAGAGAGATGAGAAAAGTGATGATGATGATTCAAGCTTCCTTCTAGCTTTCTTCCTCGAGGGGACAGGTTCCCCATCTTATACCCCTCCCCTCATTCTCTCCAATGCCCCCAATCCAAAGTCAAGCAGGCAGGCAGCTACTCTCAAGCCCCACCGCTCGATCTCTCGAGCTAGGTTCCTCGGGATACGGGCGAGGGGGTCCAAAAGCCAGCAAGAAGGAAAAGGGAGATGATCGAGGACCCCACCTTCACGCCAGCGCCCCTCCCCCTTCGGTTCCACTATCCTCTTCCCAGAGCTCGAGAACCACTCCATCAACCGAACTTGCAGGTTTCCTTGGTTTTCCTGCGCATCGAGGAACCAGGGGTGGAAAGTTCAAGTCCTAGATGCAGTGTAGTTCCAAAGGCTAAAGAAGCCCCCGCCCCTCTTTCCGATTCAGCTCTGCGCCCCTCCTTGTTCGCGAAGCTGCATCGCTTCTCCGTGATACCTACCCCCCTCCCTGGGATGCGTGAGTGTGCGTCCCGTTTCCGCTTCCACACGAATCGACCCAATTCCTTCCCGTGCGTGCCAAACGCAAAAGAACAAAAAAGTGACATTTGGTTGAGCTTCCTCTCTCGGCGAGCTCGATATGGAATTGGATGGCGGGGGACTAACTCGCACGCTCCACTAGGCGCCGTCCTCGCCCCCCTTCCCCCACAAGCTAGCAAGGTAGCGTGGCCGTTAGTACAGACAGGGCATCGAGACGCGCCTCTTCATGCAGGGAGTGCGGCTTGTCGAGGGGGACGGACGAAGAAAGGGGTGCAAGTCGAGGTGTGGTAGGTGTGTGGTAGGTGTGGGTGGTCCAGGGGCAAAGCAAAGGTCGAGACGGTAAGGTTCTCTCAGGCCCAGCAAAAGGAAAGCAAAAAAAAAGAAGGCAGAAGAAGGAAAAAGAAATGAGCAGGAAAGTCAACCGCACCATGGGTCCCGCAAATAAGGCCAGCCCTTTCGGGACCCGTGGAAAGCAAAGTGTACAAAGTGTGGAGTTTGGTCTTTGCTTCCAAACAGACGCCGGCTGTTGATCTCTCATCTCGCAGGACCCGGTCTCATCTCGCTGGCGCCCCCGGCTCTGAGTTCATCTCCATCTACACTCACACAACATTCAACACTACCACGCTCCACTGCACGAAGCTCTTCTCTCCCCACTATATGCGGCTGCCTTGCACCTCTTCTTGTTCTTCTCGCCTTCTTCCCCCATCCGTCGCTCCCGTTGAAACTCGCTCCCCCACCCCCGGGGGCCTCGATCGTGGGAGCTTTGAACCCCCTTGTCCCTGCTTGCTGAGCTTCCTTGTCCCTGCTTGCTGAGCTTGAGGGCTTGAGCCTCCACTAGAGCTATTAAAGCTGCCTGCTTGATGCAAGAGCTCGTCACGAAAAAAGGGAGAGGGGGAAAAAGGTGAGAGCAAAGAACAACAACCTTGAAAGCACACCGCTCCCACTCTCGCCTAGCAAAAGTAGCGCATAATAGCGAAGCGGAAAGGGAGGAAGAAAATGGTACGAGGCGGTGTTCTCGAGCCCAATTTCAAGAGACTTTGAATGCGGCGAGACTAAATCGGTAGCCAATGTTTAAACAACAAGACCAAAAAACCAAGCAATGTAAATATGCGTGCGCTGAATCCGGACACAAAAAAGATGGCCAAAAGAACATGGCCAAGGAAACCCAGCTCTCGCTTGGCATTTCCCCTCCGTATCCTCTCTCTCTCTCACTCTCCTTCCCCCTTGCCTTAGCGCCAGATCCGAAGCGGTGATGGCAGCGAGCTAAGCATTCATCATCATCGACTTTGTACACTCCTCGTAGGCTGCACTATAACCCACATGTAGAACACGACGACGCGGCAGCCCAGGCAGGCGAGCTTGCACCGACTTGGACCGTTCCCTTTTCATCAAAATGATCTCTCAGGGCGGGGATTTTCGTCGCTCGAGCCATGGAACACTTCCGCGCTGCATTAGCGTCTCCTTGTCGTTTTTCTTTCTTCTTTTTGTTGTTTTTCTATGCTGTATGCGAGCGTAACCTATCCGCCATGGTCCGCCCGCCTTCAGCCCTTCGAGACTAAATAAATTCCCCTGCAATAGTCAACCGCAGGTTAGGGGTTCCGACTAAATGACGCGCTCCAAACTAAAAAGCCAGGGTAGCATCTCGCTAGCTATACCTACAGCATACACCAACATAACATACTTTGCAATAGCTCCAAACCCAACCTACCCCTGTTTGTCGACTTTCGACGGCTGCAGGGCGTCATGCGTTTCGTCTTCTCTCGGCCGCCGTGTGGCAATGACATTCAGGAGAGCCGGTGGTGGATGGCCTTGTCGACGACTTGCGTGCCCTGTGCTTTTTTAGAACAATGTTGATTGAGATCAAATTCAGGGATGGGCTGGCCCAGCCCAGCCCAGCCCAGCCCATCGCCTAATATCCCCCGCCCGCGTTGGGCTGGGGCTGAGCTGGACCCTGGGAAACGCCGCTTAGTTCGGACGGACTAGGCATAGCTCCTCAACCCCTCGGAAGATGTAAGAGGGGTGGTGCGAGAGTGTGAATACGCCTCGGCGAGTGGAGGAAGCTCTTGCTTGGATCCCCATCACGCATCGCCCGCGAATTTCCTTCATAATGCCGTGAAGACCGGGAGGGTCTCCCAGAGCTCTTCCGTGGTCTTCGTTCCATGTAGAATCGAAAAAGGATTTAAATCCTAGACAGACAACGCAAAAAACTGAACCGATAAAAGTTTGGTGCATCCTCCCGTCCCCGGCTTGGCTCCTATTCCCGCCACCAACCACAGCAACATCCCAAGCATCACATCAACCGCACTTCGTATCTGAAGCTCACCACGCACATACACACACACTCCTTGGCAAGCATCTCGTAGGCACCAACATGGCTCTGTAAGTAGCATCGTCAAGCATACCCTTTCTCTCTCTCTCTCTCTCTCTCTCTCTCTTCCCCACCGCCTTTGCGCTCGCTTTCAAGATGCGACCTTTGGGTTTCTGCGTTTTCTAGCCCCTCCCCTCTCACCCCTCCTCATCATGACCCCGTCCGCGCGCAATGTTACATCCGCTAATACGAGGAGGGTCATCTCTTGGTAATAATCCAGTCCGCTCAAGGTAAAAGTCTCTCTCCGAGACAGCTGGGAAAACAAAGAAGCTCCCGTCCACCGTTCCCTCGCCCGCCTCGAGGGCATCATCGGCTACAAGGCCTCTCTCGATCCAGACTGGCCCGTCTTGCACGCCGCCCTCGGAGGATACTACTCCGACAAGGCCAACTTCGTCCCCGCCACTGCCGGCTGCGTCAGTGCCTGGTGCGACGCCTTCTCTCAGCTCCTCGAGGACCCCAGCCACGAGGCATGGACCGAGGCCGTCCTCGAGAAGCTCACTGAGGCGGGGTCGAGACTCAAGTTGATTCTCGAGGTGAGTTTGCTTTTTTCCTAGCCTCTCCTTGTAGCCCTCGGGGGTTTGTAGCCAGCACGCTGACCAAAAGGATCCCCCGGTGCTGCCAAACAGGTTTCTCGAGACGAGAATGTTTCAACCTCCTGGAATAAGGAGCGCGGAGCCTTCATCATCACCTTGCCCAACAGCCGTGTGACAAATCCCCTCGCCAACACCCCCGTCTTCCAGGCTCACCTGCTCTCCGCCATCCAGGACGATGAACCCGTCCGCACAGTCCCCATCTTCGATTCCGCCGGCGGTGCGGGAGACGATTGGGCTGCTGTCGAGGTCGCTCCTACTGCCCAGAACTTCTCGGCTGGGCCTATCCCCACTGCGGGACCCTCTACCAGCGCTCCGCGCGCCAGCGTGGAATACTTTCCCGACATCAATACCCTTCCTCGCCCCGATGACCTCCTTCAGCGCCCCCTTACCACCTCATAATCAATGTTCATAATATCAGGGAGATTGAGATTCAGTGCAGCCATTCCCCCACCCTCAAGTTCCTCTCCACCTACCTCGAGAAGTGGTGCCGTACCAACTACCAGCTCAGCAACAAGGTAACAGGATCCCCTCCCCGCCCCGGCGAAGAAAGCTTTTTAACAAGTCCATCGTTCTAACCCCCGTCATTCTTTCCCCTAGCCTCCCTCAGTCGAGCTCTATCTCCACCAGTGTGCCTTTGGCCTCGGTACCTGGTATGACCGCCTTACCCTCTATGCTGAGAATAGGGCAGGTGGACACTGCGTCACGCCAACCATTCTTCTAGCTCTCCTCGAGGGTCAGCTTGGTTATCACCAAACTTCCCACGAGGGTGCCCGTTGGGTCCTGAGGAAAGATACCGCCTTCAAGAATTAAATTCGTCGCCTATCCAATTCGCAGACGTGCGGAGGGGAATAAATGCCCTCAAACCCGTTGTAAACGAGTCTGCCTGGTCTTGCCGGCAAAGAAAAAAGCCCAAAAGGCGTTCATGAATCATAATATTTATTAGTAAGAGGGGAATATATGTACACAAACCCTCACTCCTCGAACTGTGCCACTCGGCCGTACTGCACGTGTCGCGTAGAATGGTAATTGGTATGCCGCATCGCCAAATAGCAAGAAGCATTCGCTCAAAACAGAAACGCGTGACTGAAGCAGAGGATATAATGCGCACAAGAGCTCAAACACAAAACCAACCCACCCCGGACCCTGTCTTCGCCGGCTGTATCAAACCCAACCCCTCCCAAAAAGAAGAAAGGGGAAATAAAAATTTTGTTGTAAAAAGAGGAAGAATGAGGGTCAAGAAGTAGAAGAAGAAGAATAGAAAAGAGGAGGTGGGAGAGGGAGAAAGAGGAAAAGAAAAGAACATTTTCCCTCAAATGTGGTCTCCCTCGGAGGGATTGGTGGAGTGCTCATGCCATTCTTTGGTGCTTTGGGAGACACAAGTAGACTCTCTTCACTGATGCTCGAGGCAGTGGTCCCCATCATTGGCATTGGCGACGTGCCCGTGTCGTACCTTTCTCCCACCATGGTGTCGGTTTCAGATCGTATGCTCATGCTCATCTTTCTTCTCCGCTCGATATCCTGCTCCCTCTGCTTATCCTTTTCCCTATCCTTTTGCTCTTGCTTCTCCCTTTGAGCAAGCAGCTCCGCGTATATCGAGTTGAACTCTTGGAATTCTTGCATCGATGCGACGTGCGGTGTCCTCGGGAGCACCGGCGCCTTGGAAACCCGGACAACTGCCGCCTCCATCAAGTCTTCGTTGCGCTTCTTGAGCCTCTGGACACGGCGGAGGAGGAACAGCATTGCCCCAAGGGCGATGAGCATGACAAACAGTATAGAGGCACCCATAGCGATCCAGACATAGAAGGGGGTCATCGGTTGAATTCGAACGGCCTCGACCGTTTCCGTCACTGTGGGTCGAGTGAGAGATGCAGCGAGGGGAATCGTGAAGGCACGAGAAGATCCGCAGCAGTCGCCTGCATTCGAGCCGCAGCAGAATTTTCCGTCAGGGCAGGATGTGAGGGTGGCAGATCCATTGAAAGAGCCATTCTATGAAGCGATTGTTTTTGTCCATGTTAGCATACCCCGAGTAAACAGGCTGGTGTGGATTCGTATATCGGTCGTCGATTGGCCATACCTCTTCATCATCTAGACAGTAATTTAAACATGCGGGATCGTCCCAGGACGAATCTGTGCAGAATCCCCTCCGTACTATGTTGCCTTGGACGCAAAGCCCTCTGGCATCGCATAGCTCCTCGTCTCCAGTACAGAGTTGAGTCGACAGCAGCTGGTGAACATGCCCGCATCCGTCAATACACCAAGGTTGTTGCAGGGCCGGTAGCTGTCGTCGGCCATAGTGACTCCATCGGGGGCATAGCAGGGGACCTCTGGTCGTATCGGAGCGGCAGCATCTTGGGCCACGGCCGAGACGGAAAGAAGGAGAACGAGAAGGAGGAAGCGTGGCGATGCCTGCGACATCGCGGCCGTCATGGTTGGGGTACCCGACCTAAAAATGAATGCGAGGTTGGCTATTCGAATGGTATCGTGCGGGTGGGAAAGAGCCCAGGTTAAGAAAAAGAAGAAAAAATGGATTATGGAACGAATGTGATTCTTGAAGAACTGTAAGCGACAGACATCACCATGACAAAGGCATGCTGGTAGTAGAATGGTCAAGGTGCTAAGGGAATGTTGGAGTTAGTTCAAAGTCATGATGGGAAGGCGAGCCAGCAGGAGAGAGAGAGAGAAGGAAGGCAGCAAATCTCAGGTGAGTGTTGAAAGGAGAGAAAGAAGTAACAGGTGGGCACTTCTTTCCATGTCATTTCCTTGTCTTGTCCCACACTCTGTTCTCTGGCCTTGCTCCTTCCCTCGGCCTCGGGTCTTTCGATGTGGCCTCCGTCATACCTTCTCTTCACGGATGTTACCGCTTCCTTCTCCGTCCCTTTAGTTCAACACCCTCTTCCTCGCTCCTTCCGTCAAGGAAAACCCTCCCCCCTCCTGTTGCCACCCCCATCCTCACACATTGCCGCTCCCCCAACTGGAAGCTTGGTCTAGATCGCACGCCCTCTTCTTCAAACAGAAATTGCCCTCCCCCGCCTCTGCAACCGGCAGAATGAGGTTGAATCCGTATCGTGTTTTAGTTTTATCTGAACTCGAGGTCTCACCCATGTTGAGGATCGCTCAAGAGGATCTGGCACCGTCCATCTCCCACAGTCAGCCGAATCAATGGTAGGCGCCCCAGCCAACGAATGACCCGACGCATAAAATGATCGCCACACCTCTGCTCTGTGAGACGCGAACTCGTTCGGCCTCTAGCTTGGCTCAAGAAACGAACCCGCGGGTACGAAACAGTAGCGATCCCAGTGACGACAATTGGGGCTCGTCGGGGAAAACGTACCGTTCGCTGTGATCACCGGGATCCTCGGAGAGAGAGAACCTCGACGTCCCCTCCCCCTCCCTCTTGGGTTGAACCATAGATGTCGACACGCATCCCTTGGATTTAGGAGGGGCTTTCTTTTCCCCTGTTTTCATCACTCGTGTGCCACATATTGTCTTGATTTCATGACCAACAATGAAGAAGTGAATACAGACTTTTATCGATGTCTTCGTTTAATAATTTGCGGGTTAATAGTCGACTCACCGGTGGCACGGGAAAGCTGAAACTCTCAAGATCCGGATGTCAGGATGGAGAAAGGCTCCGTACGGATCCGCCGGTAGGTGTGTGCGGCACCAACCCCTATTGGCTCCTTTGTTTTGCCGTCCCTTTCTTCCCACCCCATCCGGCCTGCTTTCGTCTCAAGTCTCTCCCTTTTGCTCGACGAAAAGTGGCGAGCTCCGAGTTGAGGAATCAAGTTTTGGTCGAGACCACGCAAGGGAAACGAACATTCTCGGTAGGCTCTAAGCATGTTAAATTTCGTGTGCTCACTATTCATGTTTTGCTTGTATTTTCAAACCTCCCAAATTACCTCTCAGGTGGAGGCAGGGCTGAAAATGTGAGGTGGAACACCAGTGTGCGCTTGGCACGATTTGATTTTACTTGGGTTGAGACATGCGCAACCCGTCCTTACCCTACTTGCATATGGTGGAGTCGGGCAAACCACATGTCTTGCGACTTTAGACATAACCCATACTATCATTCGCGTCGCGTCAGCGTTTCCTCTCCTTCCGAATGTAGGATACACCTAGTAGAACATGGTACGCCTTCAGCTCTCTTCGGGTTTTGGTAAGTGTAGCGCAGTCACGACGGTAGAAGCCAATATGAATGCATTGGAAGCTATGCAGATGAGCTCCTAGCCAAACTTTACGTATGCAAGGATAGCAGCTAGGCCACCAGTCCGCGTCAATCAAAGATTGGCATTGACTCTAGTCTAATGGAGATGAAAACCTACGTGTACAGATTTGAATTCTGACACTCAGACACCCCCAGCTGTCATATTTCGGGATCCAGCGCCGTTCACTCCGTCATTATCATTTCGAGCAGGCTGTTACAAGAAGGGAGGACCTATTCAAATCCCGCGATAGCGCTCAACACAAGTAAAAGGCCATTTAATTTTTCTTGCTATTCTTTTAATAAAGGGAAAAAACTAGCCGCCTAGTTTTTCCTCCTATAGCTATTGCAATATTGCTCAGACTCGACAGCCGCACGTAATTCGACATGTCTTCGACCCAAGAGGACTGTTTTACACACGGGTTTGACATGTTCACCAGCTCGAATGTCTTGCCGAGTTCACGCTTTTGAAACAAATCGCACGAATATCATTGAGGAATAGAGAACAAAATGTATACAGGCTGGCCGCGCCATATGGAATTAATAAACGGGCTTTATTTTCCCCGGTCCACGTATTGTCGGGTGTAAGTGGGTATTCCTCCATCAGTCAGCCCTGACGTGGGACTCAGTAACCATGCCCGGGCCACAGATATCGCTTCATGTCTCCCTAGCGCGAGATAGGCTAGAAACTCGTCATCGCCTTCGTACGAGCAGCTAACACGCTCTTAACAACAGCCGTAGTAGCGGCACCCTCGAAGCCATGGGGCACGCCCGCCCATAAGTGAAATTCAACCTCGACATCTGCCTTGGCTAACCGAGCGACGTAGTCCACGTCCTCGTCCCGAAAAGGTCAAGGCCACCAACATCGAGATAGGTTGGGGCAAGCCCCTCAGGTTGGTGTTCCTAGCGGGGACAGCGTAGGTGTTGACCTCGGCGTCGGGGTTGCCGGCCTTGTCTTCGCCGAGCAGCGCGTTCCACGCCATGACGTTGTCGCGGAGCTGCCAGGTGAGGAATTTGTGGAGGTCTGCATCCTTGTCGAGCTTGGTACGGTCGTCGAGCATGGGGTAGATGAGGATCTGCTTGGCGAGCGGCGGGCTTAGGGCTCGGTCTCGCGCCATAAGCGCCACTCCTGCTGCGATGCAACCGCCACCAGAGTCGCCCATGACAGCAATGCGGGCCGGGTCGATGTGAAACTCGAGGGCGTTCTCGCTCACGTACTTGAGTGCCGCATAACCGTCCTCAACGCCAGCGGGGGCGGGGTACTCGGGGGCGAGGCGGTAGTCAACGGCGAAGAAGACGACGCCGCTCGCGCTGGCGTGGCGGGCGACGGAGGGGCCAAAGGTCTCGACCGAAGACGCGACCATACCGCCGCCGTGGAAGTAGATGATGGCGGCCTGGGGCTCCGCGCGGAAAAGGACGTCGGCTTCGGCGAAGCGGACAACGGTGATGTCGGCACCGTCGTGCGTTGAGGGCACTTTGAATTCCAAGGTCTCGACGGTGGGCGGGGTCGGGGCCATGCGGAAGATGAGGTGTAGCAGCTTGTCGGTCCAGTCGCGCAGCTCGTGGACGTTTTGGAAGTCGGGCTTCTCCGGCCCGGCAGGCACGGCGGCCATGAAGGACGCGAACTCGGCGTCGTACCGGAGACCGCTCATTGTGCTAAAAGAAGAAAAGGTGGTTCTTGTACAAGGTTGCTGCGCTGGGAGAAGCTGAGGGGGCGAGGGAGTGGGAAGGGGGGAATAACGGGACGAGGGGGAAAATAACCCGGGCCGGAGAGTTTGTAGCGAGGAGGACTGGGGTGGGAGTGAGCTTTGCACTAGGTCGTGATGGGAAAGGGGAGGAGGAGGGGAGAGAGGGAAACGCCCCGAGGATGCGTTGTGCAGAGGTTTTATTATCGACTGCAATCTGTATCTACACGCAGTTCATTTGATCTTGCGTTCCCCTGCATCGTCCCCTTTTGCTTTGCTTCCTCTTCCCCGGCTTGTTCCCTCACAGCTCTCTCCCCGCCCCTTCTTCGACTCCCATGGCATCGTCTTCCCCGGCTTGTTCTCATCGCGGCTCTCTCCCCACCCGCCCCTTCTTTGACCCCCATGGCACCACCGAGCGCAGACTGAACCAAGAAAAAAAAAGAAGGGGATAAAAGTCAGAGAGGGGAAAAGGACGAGATGTGACGTGCATCGTAAGCGCGGCTTGGAGCTTGTTAGGGCCAAAAGACGCAGAGCCGTGCGCCCGCTCAGACTCGCTCGACCCGAACCTTTTCCCCCTCTTACCAATCTTTTGTTGTTTTCCTGGACCGTTGGGCCTAACAGGAAAAACCCCGCCTCTGTTCCATTTCTTTAGTTTCTTGTGGTTCCTTTTCCATTTTTGGGGAGGCTTCAGTTGAAGGATCGAGGGCTAACTAGCGGGGAAGGATAAGACGGCCCCCGTCCCCCGATCCCGAAAATGGGGTTGAAACGGCCCCATGGAATATGCACGATTCTGCAACCATGCCCCGCATAGACAAAGCTTGGTGAACTTGTTCGCTCCGAAGCATCCACAGTCCCTACCTCGATGGTTTGGAAGAGGAGAGGAAGCGCCATTTTTGACGAGCACACTAGGCAAAAACTGATCCGTTTCGATGCGCCTATTGTTGGGTTCGCTTCGCTCTTTTTGCTAACGACCTTTTTCCTAAACACCAATGAGCCACCCTGCCTGCCTTTGTCCTCCGTCGTCACCGCCCCTCTTAGACAGGAATCCTACCTCTTCCGCAAAGCGAGCCCTTTTCGATCCCTTCGTCGCCAAGGAGGAGTCCATCCAGCCCGCAGACGGTCTCGCCGACTCGATAAAAAGTGTTTGTCGCAGACCCATTGATCTCGCCCTCTCTTTCGCGCGCGCTCGCGCGAAACCTGGCAAACCCTGGCGAATCCCGTTTCCCCAAACACATCCTTCTTTTACTAGTGGTCTGTGGGCGGGACGCGGCGAAGCTTCATGTGTTCCTGCGACTGATCTTCGGAATTTCCTTACTTTCTTGGCTTCTTTCTCCCCTGCCCCTAGCTAGTTGTTCCTCTTCTTCCTTCAGCCTTCTTTCGGACAATCCTTGCGATCTTTTATTCGCTAATTGACGTAACCATGCACTTATGATATGGGGGTTCTCCCTCCTCTAGAGAACACATAAGGCTACAGCCCTTTTCGAGGACCTCCTTGCGATAATTTTTATCTTGTTACAAGAATCCGCGCGGAGAGTGTGATTATGCTGACGCCCCTCCCCCGCCAAACAACCCCAGTACTTGCTAGGCGGCTGAAATTGATTGTCTGTCCCAGGTTGATGCCTTGTCCCGCGTGCGGAGTGGGGCAGAGTGGGCGGTTTGTAGATGCGGGGGCCTGGTCCTAAACATTCCATCGCGACATTCGCAACATTCGCGATTGCGAATGTGTCAAGATGGGTGATTGATCCCGGTCCTGGGCAGCCCATCTCCTCGAGAACGCACGGTTGCAGGCCAGCCATCCCCGGGACCTCCGAAAATACCAGTCATGTGTATAAATCCGGCCCAGAAAAAGATGAACGAGAATAGAATATATCAAAGAGAAGAGATCGAATAAGGCAAGTAGTTGTTCACCAACCTCTTGACAATCTTTTTGCGCGTAACTCCAAGATCGACAAAATTTTGGGCCCGTGTCTCTCTCTGCACTCTCAAGCAAGTCTTTTTTTGTCTGTCTCTTGCGAACCCCTGTACTTCAACGGCGTCGCGGGTCGAGGCGATGCATAAAACGGGCTCGCTGGTGCGAAATGCATGCAGGGCCCGTTTCTTCCATGTCCCGAAAGAACCAACCTTTTTCTGGTTCACATCTTCTCAAACCGCAAGGCCAAGGTCCCCTCGGATATGCTTCCTCTTGGCTGAGGGCGTCCCGAAAGGTCGAGGGAAGCCCCAAGATCATGCAACACCATGTCACAACTTTGGTCGAGTATCCAAAAGGGAGGGCACTGAAAAGGAAAACTAGAGGTTTTCAAACATCTCTCAATTTACTTCATCGGCGTTCCTCGTTTTCGCGTTCTCTCCTCGCTGCTCTTACGAGTTTCCCTTGCGCCTCTTGGCACAGATCTTTCTTTTTGTTCACACATTAGAAAAGTGAAAATATGACAAAGGAAGGGAAAAAATGAACAAGAAAAAAAGGAAGAAAAGAAAGAAAAGAACCCCTAAAAAGTCTGTCTGACATTTCCAATGGCCTTGAGGCGCCCCAATAAACAGCAAAGAAAATCAAGACGCTGGATGGAACTAATCGAGCTTATAGAAAAAGAGTTCCATCTTCTCGCGCTCGTAAAACGCTTGCAAAAAGAAACCCCGTCGCTTTGTAACCCCGAGTGATAAAACTAGAAAAGAAAAAGAAGGGTCGAGAAAAGGCGAACTGCTGCAAGTAGCAACGACAAGCAAGAAAGTATGACGCCCCAAAGTAGCTGCGGGCTGGCGTGTTTACGCAGCTGGGTTCCCAAGCGGTCGAAGAGAATTAGAACAATATAAAGTCCATCAAAAGTAGTGTTTTTCGTCATCTCCCTTGCCCGCACCGGGATGAGAAAACTCCGCTCGAGTCAGTCGTGCTAAGCTTGAGAAGGGGTCAACACAACCGAGAAACTTCGACGTTGTCTAGGATCCAGGAGGGGACGGAGGTCGAGGTATGGGGGAAAGGGGGTTAGGAGCCGAAAGGTCATAGTTCGGCCAGAAAAGGACAAGCACCACGAGGGTTCTCTCAAGTCGGCAGGCCATCCAGATCCCACCAGGGTCCCTGGCATGGTTTCACGCTCCTACTACCGAGAGCGTTGCCGTGGATAGTACTTTAGTATCCTCGGCGCGTGGTTGCTGGCCGCCTACCAGCAGCGAAGCTTCTTCCAGAATCCGGGGCCGCCCCGGCCAACCTTGTCGCCGTTTATATTCGGTCCACGAACACCCGGCGCGCGCTTCTCGCTATCATCCTCCCCTGAGGGTAGCGGGCTCAAGGGCTTTGTCATTCCCCTGCTGTCTGCCTGGGTGCTCTCGTGAACACCCATCTCGGCAAGCCTCCGTCCCTCCACGACGCGTCTCACGATCAGGGCGAACGTTTCCTCGATATTGACCTCAAGTCTAGCGCTGGTCTCCATGAAGCCACAGCCCCTACGCCGCGCCCATTCTAGACCCATCGCCGCAGGTACCTGCCTGCTTTCCTGAAGATCGCACTTGTTTCCCGCCACAATCTTTATCGGCGGCACTGTTTTTGAGCCATTATTCGAGGATCCGTACCCGTTGAAGCTATTCGTAGGGAACGTCGGTGTCAGGCCGGCACGTCGTGCACGCTCAGCATTGTCGAGTCGCGTCTCGGCCTCCATATCGATCAAGTCATTGAAGTACTGAAGGGCTTCCAGAGAAGATTGCGAAGTTATGTCGTACACGAGGAGGAATGCGTCGGCGCCCAGGTTGGATGACGCCCACATACCGCGGTATTCTTCCTGACCCGCCGTGTCTGTGAGGGAGAGGTGGTACGTCTGGCCGTCGATCCGGCGGGTTATAGAGTAGGAATCCTCAATCGTGGGGTCGTATTCGGACGTCCATTGCGATCGGACGAGGCGGAGCGTGATTGACGACTTACCACAGCCTCCATCCCCACATATGGTGATGGATATCGGTATCGGTGTTTGCTCAACTCCGTTGCTAGCCATGGCGTAGGTTATGTTGTGATGACAGCTCGTAGGAATGAAGGTTGGGGCGTGGGAATGAGCAAAGAGGGGTTACACGTGTACGGAACGTCGCGAGTCCCTCGCTTCACAAATCGTAGACTCCAGGGCACGGGCTTGCGTGGGTATTAGAACGATTATGGCCGGATGTTGAACGAGGTGAGGGCGCGTAGCCACAACGTTTTGCAGCTGGCCACAAGGCACCGGTAATGCAGCCAAGCCGAGAGATATGCTGGGGTGAACGAGAATGGTGCGTGTTTGGGCTGGGCTAGACCGTCGAGATGCGACCCGCTTGTTGATACAGAGGAGGGCTGCCACCGTGCTTTTGTGGCAAGGGAGGCAAGAGATGATGATAAATATTTTCTCGCCAAAAGCAAAAAAAGGATAACGGGTCGCTTTAACAAAGAAGAAAGAAAGATGGGGGAAAAGTAAGTAAAGGAAAAGCGAAAAAGAAACAAGCGAGGAAGAGGAATGGGCCGTTTGTAAACAAGCAGAAGATGAGTGAGTGGTTGAGGATCTCTGCCGATCGACGGGAAATGTTCCGGTGCCCACGAGTGCAGCGTGGAAGAAAATAGGGCTAGATCCAAATTAGATGCAAGCCAAGCGGATGAATCTGGCTCGCTCGCGGCGCCGTTGACGGAGATACTGTCGGTCCCTTTTTTTCTCCTTTCCTTTTTCCTTCTTTTTCTGGTTGGCTTGGTGCTTGAGCGGGCGTCCTCTTTACCTGACTCGATCTAAAAATTTGGCGACTGGGTACGCCTAGTTTTCGAAGGGCGAAACGAACACTTCTGCAACTGAATTGATTCACCTCGAGGCAGCAAGGGTTATATTCGTCGGTCGGATTCACAGCTCTCTAAAGGGGGAGAGGGAAGATGAGGGGAGAAAATGTGATGGCGAGGATGGTTTCGAGAAGATTTGATGGAAAGAAGGCGGGGTTGGTTCCCCGAGGTGAAATGGGAATTCGAGGCACAAGTTCGAGATGGGAAGCCAAGGTCACAAGAGGGTCGCATTCAGAGGAATGCAGGGACCGGCGAGAAGGATCGAAAATGGCCCTCTTCCTGGACATGGACGGAAAGATAGCCTCTGTACTGCATCCGCTCGATTGGTTCTTTGTTCATCGTTCCCCTTTGATTGAGCCGGGGGAGCTCGCCAATGGCACAGGTTGGTCCCCTGGTCGTCGAAAGGGCCCTCCTCTTGCCGTTCTGGCCATTTCTGGTTTAGCATGGGGTCTGTCTGGGTGGTCGTGATGGTCCAAGCGGCAGGCTGGGGGCAGCACCCTTCGCCCCCGTTGGCGAGTCTTTGCCGTTGTTGCTCTGGGGGAAAAGCTCGTCAGCCACGAAACCAGCACCGACTTGCTCTGCCGGCAGCTTCCCACCCCAAAAACATAAGCCGCCTCTGTCAGTGCGAGGGTAACGGCCCGATGGACCAAAAACAAAAAGAGAAGGAGCGAACAAAAAGTCGGAGAGAAGTGGCCAAGGCAGTCGCCGCCGAGAGGTGGAGACTAAGCTACAGCATAAAAACAAGGAAGGAGCCCTAGGCTATCAAAAGCAAGAGTAGCGAAGAACGAAGAGCGAGGAGCGAATAGTGAAGAGCGAAATGCGTCACAAGAAGCTTGGGAGGCAAGTAGGCAAGCTCTGACACCGCAAGACTCGCCAACAAGCAACAGGGAAATAGCCCACAAAACATCATTCATCTTATCAAACAAAACTTTGAGTTCTCGCTCGCATGGCAGGGTGCATGGCAATGGACGAGGCCAAGCCAGCCAGATGCAACGGTACCCGCACGTCACATCCAAACATGTGTGTGCTTGCCTCTTAAAGTGACGGCGAGAAGCTCATTTCCCCTGTTCACATCATCCTTGAGTCCGCGAGGTGCCACTCTGCCACTGCACCACGACAGGAGATGACGAGAACCTGCTCCCGTGTATTCCCAGATCGGCTCCACTCCCCAATGCTTCCTCTTGTTGTGTCCCTCTTCCGCCCCTTGCCACGCCTGGAGAAAAGAAAAAAGGATGGCGGAAAGGTGCGGGCTGGTCAACATCACAGACCAACTGTCGGCCTAACCATGGTGGAGTAGACGAATAGGCAAAGTTGCCATTCGGCTGAGCACCTCCCCTGAAGGAGATGGATAATATATCACAAAAGGAACCTAGAATTCTCACAAATCTACTCCCATGGGACCCCAGTCGGACCCAAGTTAGGTCAGTCATGGTCTGCCTGCTTCCGTCATCGCGCGGAGTAATGGCCGTCTTCGTCCTTGCCTGCCCGACTTGGTCCCAGTGGAGGGTCGCTGGAGGTCGTTGACCAAGGGCCAGCCAACATCCATCCTGCTTGTCCATGTAGAGCTAATCAAGCTTCGTCACCTCGCGACTAGCAACTTCAAATCCTCGGCACCAACAGCAAGCACTCCAACCCAACTAATGCAGGGTGCCTGGCCCGCAATGGTTTAATACCTCCGCCTCGGTGACAGCAGATATTGGATGATGGATCTGAGCAAGAGGGGAGAATCGCCTCACTTCTCCCTCACACCACATGTACCAGGGCGGGCTAATGATCCTCGGATCAGGGACGAGCAAGCGGAATTGATCAATCACTCTGCTCGCCTCTTATTAGTCAGTCCCCGCCTATCTGCCACATTTTTAAGCAGCATGGTACCATCGTGTCCCTGCCATGCGTGGGGAGTTTTGGCACACCGCATCGCGTGTCCTGCAGCCAACTCTTATCACATGCATGAATCCATCAACAGTTGAAAGCACGAGTAATTGGCCAACAGTCGAGAGCGTGGGCGATTGACACACTTGGCCTTGAATCAGTCCTCCGGGCGTGGCAGAACTTCAATGTCCATCAAGTTCCTCGTCGACGGACTACCCTTGCTACCCAAATTAATACAAGCAAAAACCCCATCTCAGAACGGGCAGCCCTACCGAGGCAGCGGTTGCGCAACTCCTTGTAATACTTGTACCTGTACTAGCGGCCCCCAACGACCCGATAATTCCTGGCAATTTCAGCAGACACGACCTAAGCCTGATACTTGAATGGGCTCAACACGATGAATCTACCATAGTGTATTACGGTTCAGCTTTGGAAGGAGTCCAGCGAGCCAATGGCGCATGTTCCGGCTATCACTGAGCTGAGCTGCGTTTAGCACAGGGCAATTCTCGATTAAGTCATGCCAGGCGAAAACGCTAGCGCCCCTTGTTATTGATGGAGTGCCTCAGGTGTTGTTAGTGCACGTCTGCAAGTGGTCTACGGCCATGTTCACTCAGCCCTTTTTTTCCCTTCCGCTTCTTTTTTTTTTGAGCGGACAAAGGTGAATGTTTCGGCTTGGACTATTACACTATGTAGTGTATGTGTGTGGGGACATCAGGCTCGGAGCATCAATTTGGCCGTTTGCCAGCGAACAACGAGCGCAAATCAAAAACAGCACGCGAGAACCTGGTCGAAGGCGTCCAGGGATGGTGCTGGGTTGGCTGGTCGGGGAAGTCAACCGAGGATTGAAGGTCTCAACCCCAGCTATCAACCGGGGATGTACCAAGGGCCTAGTCCTTCCCCAAAACCGAAGGCTAAGTGCGTGATAGCCCAAACCGTGGCCAGACACGGCGCCGTGTAGCCCGCCTCTTACAGAGAAGTCTACTGCATAGCCATTAGTGTAACAAGTTGGCTGGCGGATGAACGCCACTCCTCCCACCAAGTTCACGGCTCTCCGTTGTCCTCGTCCTTCACGAGCACCGAGGGATGCCACCTCAAGATGCTGAAGAAGATTTTTATCTTATCTTTTGGAGCATTAAGGCTTGAGATGATTCAACCCTATATAATGAGATAATCTCATCACTCATCAATCAGGAAGACCATTCAACTCGTGAATTCTGGGAGAGTCAAACATTCAGCCTGCCTAAGGCTAGCCAAGACGTACAGATTAATGCTCACAAAAATTATATCTTAATTGCTGCCACTCTCTCTGAACGCCCTGCTGGATCGTTGTCCGCTCGCCCATTAGTTCCAGCCGATGAGCCCTTGCCTCTGCTAGGGTCATTGGTAACTCAAGCTCATCGAGATCTCTACGGATATATCCCAGCAGCTCTTGCGATAAGGTGCTGAAACCTGGACGGTCAAAGATGCCGGCTAGAACACCGCCACCAGTTCCCCTCTGTCCCGTCTTGTCGGCTGATCTACCCTGGGGATACGGGCTGCTTTTGGTGTTGGCATCGGATGTAGCTAAGGCGTCATCTAGCCACCAGTCCCGTTGTTGCGGAGGCACGTTGGCGGTGCTAATGATGCGAGTGAGCGGGTCCACGAGCCAGAGGGCGATAATGCGGCGGTGACCGGGCTTAGACTTGTCTGCCAGTTCGAAGGGAGAAACTCGGTGGTGGAAGACGTTTGGGAAAGCCAACAACCGGCCCTCCTTGGTCTCGACCTTGCCGTAGGACTGGAGGCAAACACCTTTATCGGCACCGAGTTCCGTCCCATACACAACCTCGAGCCAACCGTACCGGTCCTGTTCAACGCAGTCCTGCAGCATTCTGTGGTCCTCGCCAGTCTGCATCCTGAAGCTGAGGTGACTAGGGGTGATATTTTCGGAATCTAGGTAGTAGATGGCTGTCCCAACAATGTGCTCATTCATCTGGCCTTCCACGTGCCAACCTCCCTCGGGGAAATGCGGAGTCTCGGGCGTTAGCTCGATCGTGGCCATCTTGACGATGATCTGAAGGCCGCCCTCGCGAAAGCGCTCTCGTAGCGTGGTGCCAGCTGGAGCATTGTAGTCGACGAGCTCGTATTCGGGCACCTGGGGATGAACTGGCCATCGGGCCGCCTCCCAGAGCTTTTCGTGCCGTCTTTCCAGCGCCCATTCATCCGCGTCTTGATCTTCATCCATCGGCTCGGGCCGGGGATGTCGTTGAGCACGGGTTTCCAGTTATCCATATTATCATCACTGCATGGCCACGAATTTGTCAGATCGGGCTAGGCAAACCAAACAAAGCAGTAAGATGGGGGTGAATGGGGCTAGAATAGTAGACACTGGAAAAAACTGGCCAAAAACGGGCCATATTCAAGCAAGCTGAGGGGATTAGAGAGAGGTTTGGTCCTTACTTTGCGTCCTCTGGGTATGGGAACCGAGGATAATGAATCCCAGGGCCGGAGGGTTCGAAAATTGCGCATTGAGGAAGGCATGCGTCCCACGCAGGGAGGGACGCTTCAATTAGCTTTTCGATTGTGCGATATATCTTGACATGCTTCAGCGGATGCAAGTTGTTGATGTAACTGGTGAACCGGACCCCTCCCTCGGGCGTGAAGGCGACATTCGCCGGCAACCACTGGTATCTGGTGGACCAGCATTCTTTTGGGACACTAGTGTTGATATGACTGCTGGCATCCCCGCCAAGCTGACTTTGGCCGGCCGGCGTGGGTGTCGGGATGGTCTCGCCCTTGCCAGCCCAGGCGCTGATGGCATCCTCAACGCCGACAACCTCGTCGAGAATCACCTTTGTCCGACCAAAAACCAACGGGTATAGTGATGGATGGACAAGATCCTGGACCATGTCGTTGGTGCTCGGGTGGTAGTCTGGATCATGCTGTTGGTCTTTGATCAAATCGCAGAATGCCTCGCGAAGGGCTTTCTTGAGGTCCGGGCCCACCGCCGTGTCCGATTTGATGACGGAAGCACAGGCATCGAGCGTCGGGATGAGTCCGGTGGCTCTTGTGAACTCGGCCTTGTCTCTAAGCTCTTCCACGCACTATTAGGCAGAGACAGGGAGAGGGAGAGGGTGAGGTTAGCTTGGTTGGGGAATGATCAACTCAGATTTAATTCGTGAAGAAGATTCGCCTACTAACATAGTCAAAGCTATCCGAGTCAAGCAGCCGAAGGGATCGGGAGTCCGTCGGTGGTTCGCGGTCCCGAGTGCCCATCCAACCAGTAGCTCGTTCAATCTCCTCGAAGAAAAGCGCGTCCGGTATAGCCAAGGCCTCCCGCCGCCATTTGTCCACGATGGCCTCGTCGTATATCTTGCGCTGCCACTCGGGTTTGTCTGTGAGGAGATCCATCACGGCGAGCATGGCTAGCTCGCGCACAGGGAGCAGGTACGTGGCAGCACCGTAGCAGAATTGGTGGATGCCCATGGGGTATGTGCCGGGCTCCTGACTGCGACTATGGTAGAGGTTCAGGCCTAAGCCGGGATACGCATGTCGGGGCCGGGCGGCGGCCGCTTGAGAAGGCTTACAGGCGGTGTGGGCCATTTTCGGACTCGTCACCTCAGAGGGATGATAGTCTCGGTGAAATGTTTGTTTTTTTTTTGTCTCGAGGAAACAGCTAGGGATGGAGTCCCCTTAAATGGTGCGCGCCGGCTGTTTCGCCCCGCCGCCGTTGGTCGACTCGCGCTGGTTTACATGTTTGGTTCCCCAAGCGGGATTGGCCTTTGCACAGCTACGAGACCGAGATGCAGGGCAAGCTAGGGTGCATGGGCTGCGAAGCGTTTGCATTCATTCGTGAACGGGACATGCTAATTTGGCGGCATCTACGCACGCACTTTCCTCGCGAGTGGCTCCTGTTCCAAGACGCCGTCCTGGGCACTCGTACCTCGGTACTCAGCTTTCTATTATTACTGCATCAGTGCACGTTCCTTAGAGAGGAGGCACCAGCCATCAGTCGCGGAGGAGCAAATCGCATCACAAGCCCGGATTGGAAAGCTGTGAAGCTGCATCCCTTCCCTAGCCTAGCAAGCTGAAATCCTGGCCCCTGTGAAAGACATCGGCTTAGTCACCAGCCAAATGTGTAGAAGAGGACTGGTTTGGTTTAGTTCGTGGAAGAGCATTGACGTTCTTTGTTGGTTCACCCGAGCTCTCTCGTCTTTCGTTCACTCTAACCTTGACTCTAGGGCAAGTCGAAAGAGGAGGCGAAAGAGAGGGGAAGGGATGCCACACAATCACCCACTTATGAGAGTTTCTCGAGCCGTTGCTCAGTTTCAATGTTCCTTCTCGAAAAGCCCTACGGCAGGACAGCCAAGACATCCCGAACTCTAGGGCGAACCCCCATCACGTCACCCCAGATCTGGATAGAATAATCTTTGGAGCTCCGCTGCCCATTGGCCAATGGCGAACCACCCGCCGTGCCTCTTCAACTCCGAACCTTGGCGCTAAACCACCCGAAAGAGGAAACGCCTGGGTCTCTCTCACTTGTACCCCCGTGTGTCGGGGCGGCGAAGATTTCTTTTTTTTTTCTTTTAGCGTGCGTTGTGTGCGTGCTGGGTGGGATGGTGGAAGAGTGGGAGGTGGTAAACGTTAATAGGAAAAGGGATTTAAAAAAAAAAAAAAAAAGAAAGAAAAACCTCCGCCGGCTCCGGAGAAAGGCAGCCACCACAATGACCGGCTGCCGCTCGGTTACTTGTCCCCATCCTCGACGAGGGGCTATTACAAAGTATGGAGGCAAGAAAAGAGAAGAAATGGGCCAAGGGGAAAAAAAGATTAATTCAAACGGGAACTACCGCCCTTTTCTGGGGGTACTTTGAGGGTCGTCTTTCCCCGTCCGTCTTCCGTCCCTTTTTTTCCGTTGAAAGAGAGATTTAAACACCCAAGAAAAAAAAGTCGCCGAACCATTCTGGAGTGTACCGCGTATCTAGAGTCATGGTGGAAAGACGAGCATCTATATAAGAAAGAACGAAACCCAGCAACGCCAAAAAGAACAGGGCAAGAAACAGACAAGTACAAAGAAACCAGTTCTGAGAAAGAAAAAAAAAAAAAAGCGCGCATCTCTTTTGATTTCCATCCATTCATTCTTTTTCTCGATCCCTGGACCTCGTCATCACCCGCTGCCTCTCTATCCGCTAAGGATTCCTTCTGCCCTTCGGGCTCTTGTCTTTGTCCTTGCCAACGTCTTTCCTCCCCGGTTCCGTCTCGTCTCCGATAGGCAGCGGCGCAAAAGAAGAAGAAAAAAGGAACAAGATTGGCGGAACGGTCCCTCGCTTGGATATAAAATAGAAAGAAGCCAGAACCCCTAGGAAAGAGCAGCAAAAGATGGGCGGGGCGACCAATCCGTCGGTAGACCTCCATCAATCCCTCGACAGGGCTGCCGAGGTTGAAGATGCAAGTCAAAATCCACCACACCCCTCCGTCCTACACCCAGCCCACCATTCCACGTAACCTCATATCACGAGTCTTGCTTTCTCCGCCATGCATTTTCTTGGCTTCCATCTCCTCCCTCTTTTTATCCTTTTCTTTTGTATTGTGTAACCTGCGTTTTCTTCAATAAGCGCCAAAAAGGAGAAGAAGAGACGAAAAAGAGAAAAGACACGAGCCAGCTTTCCATTCTAAGCACTCATGACATTGGGCTAGGCTAACCAATATAAACAGCTCATCGATGCGGTCAAAGCCCTCATAGTGCCCTTTGTCCGGGCTGCCGATGAGGCGGCGCCACTCAAGGCGACGGGCAACTCGACGGTCACGACGGCGTCCGGGGAAGTCAGAAATGCCCTCGTGGACGAGCACGCTCCCGAGGCGTTGGTGGCCAAGTTCAAGCTGCAGCTCCCGGATGAGGGCCGTGGGAAAGAAGGGGCGCTGGAGCTGTTCGAAAAGGTTCTCAAGTATAGCGTCAACACGTGGGACCAAGGTTTCATGGATAAGCTATATTCGAGCAACACGCCGGTAAGTGCCGTTTTTTTCCTTGTTCGCGAGTATACCCGGAGAACTACCGCTGGCGCGTACCCCCTACAGTGCCTAAGTTACTGACAAAGTGTTTGCTGTTGGGTAGGTTGGTGTCATTGCGGACTTGCTGCTCTCTGTCTTGAATACGAACGTAAGTTATTCCTTGATCTAAGTGGGAGACTACGGCGAGGGACAGACGAAGAAGAAGAGGGAGAAGCAAAGCGTACTGAACCCTACTTGTCTTCTGTAGCTCCATGTTTACCAGGTATCACCAGCGCTATCTCTCATAGAGAAGCTCACCGCTAAGCAGTTCGCCGGGCTCTTTGGATTCACGGGCCCACGGGCAGGCGGCGTCGTCTGCCAAGGCGGAAGCTCGTCCAACTTCACATCGCTCGTGGTGGCGAGGAACACGCTGTACCCAGAGACCAAGGTGGTGGGCAACGCCCAGCACGACTTTGCTCTCTTCACCAGCGTGCACGGGCACTACTCGGTAGAAAAGAGCGCCATCTCCTGCGGCATGGGCTCTTCCAACGTCATCGCCATCCCCGTCGACGAGTTTGGGTGCATGATCCCGTCCGCGCTCCGGGAGGCCGTGGTCGAGGCCAAGGAGCGGGGAAAGACGCCGCTATACGTCAATGCCACGGCGGGGACGACGGTGCTGGGCTCGTACGACCCGCTCGAGGCCATCTCGGAAATTTGCAAGGAGTTCAACCTCTGGATGCACGTAGACGGCAGCTGGGGCGGGCCGGCCATCTTGTCGCACAAGCACAGGGGCAAGCTTGTGGGCTCGCACCTCGCCGATTCGCTCACGGTGAACCCGCACAAGATGCTGAGCGTGCCCGTGACGTGCTCGTTTCTGCTGACCCCGGACATCAAGGTGTTCCACGCGGCCAACAGCCTACCGGCCGGCTACCTCTTCCACTCAGTGGGCGAGGAGGAGCCGTGGGATCTGGCGGATCTGACGCTCCAGTGCGGGCGCCGCGGCGACGCCGTCAAGCTCGCGCTGGCGTGGACGTACTACGGCGCGCAGGGGTTCGAGCAGCAGGTCGACCACGCCTTCAACATGGCGGCGTACATGGCCGGGCTCGTGGACCGCAGCGCCGACCTGGTCCTGGTCTCCTCCAACCCGCCGCCTTGTCTGCAGGTGTGCTTCTACTACGCTCCCGGGAGCCAGGTGTCTGACGATGCCGAGCTCAACACGCGGACGACGAGGACGGTGGCCGAGCGCCTCGTCGCGCGCGGTTTCATGATCGACTATGCGCCGGGAGAGAAAGGTAGCTTCTTCAGGGTGGTGGTCAACACGCAGACGCTCAGCGGTACGGTCGAGGGCCTCGTCAAGGCCATCCAGGAGATTGGGCGGGAGGTATGGAAGCCGTAGACTCTTTTTTTGCCCTTCTCTTCTTTTTCGTTTTCCGCTGTTCTGGGAGGTTCCTTGATGTTTTACATCCATCTAGTGTTTACAAAGGAAAAGGAGTGGGTGGCAATACGTCTCTTTGTTTTTTCCCCTTCCACAAAGCGGGCCATGTCTTTAGAGAAGCGTCATCTCTTGTTCTTGATGAACTGTTCCATCTTTCGAGAGCTCTCTTTTTGCTTTCTACTTTTGACGCAGGCTCGGGAAGCAGAGCGGTAATAGATACACCATGGTTGCTTTCTTGCCATTCTGCTTGTAGCCATCAACTATTATCGTGAAGAGCGAGATTGATTGATTTAATGGATGGATCCGTAACTGTGTTTGGGGATGACGTTTATGCTTGCGTTGGGTGTCACATCGCGCGAGGTTAGTACACGTGGAAAGACATTACTTTGGATTGTGAGTCCTTCCTCACTAGTGTGGCCCACGGGCTGACTGCTAAAAGGCTGTCAAATTCGCGTCCGGAAGGCCACCAAGAAAGGAGAGTCGCCCGAAGGAGATTGAGTTATTCCGAGGCATGCTTCTCCTCCCAATCGAACATTTCCGCTATTATCGTTATTAGTGGAATGGATCAATCAACTGATCCCTGTAAAGATCCGTTAAAACTTTGTAGATCCATCTACCTCGGTATCCATTGATCAATTGATTGATTTTTGGCGTCAGGAATTATTCATCATTCCGAAGATCTGCTATCGTCCAGCAGTTTCTTTGGTGCTAATTCCATCTTCATTGGGGTTGAGGTTCTCGAGCTCGCTCCTGAGACCTGACAGGATCCCGACGTTCCTGAACCCTGCGCTTATCAGTCCTGGTCTGCCTCAGCGCAAAGGAACTATCAACTGTGGGCTGAGGTTTGGCCTCGGACCTGGCTAGGCTTGTGCTTAGTACGAGCCAAGAATTGCGCGACCTGTCAGGCCTTTCTCAACGCACCAACCAGCTCCACCTTTGCCGGCCTGGTCTTAGACAGTGAATAAAACTTCATTGAGTCGAGTCTATTGCGAGACTGGACACTTGGAGCTGGCTTTTGTCTTGATGTTTGAAACCAGCAATCGGGCTCTGGCGAGCATTTGTGGCCAGCCCTTTTCCTAAATCATCTTGCCTCTCATCTCCACCCACCCCAATACTGTGAACTAGATTAGAAGCTTCCCTTGACTGTACCTGAATACTTTCTGCCCTGTACTTGAGGCTTGACAAGATTGTATGGTGTAGTCAGGTTTCGAGACCGGCTCAAGACATATTCGCCGTCAATCTTGTCAAGGTCTGCTTTGACAGTCAGCTGTGGACTGGCCGCTAGAGGCCTTGCTTGATTTGAAACCTTTTGTTTGATATCGTCTTCGTAGCTCTCTGCGGTGTTTCGATAACTCTTTCCACCGCAATATTATCGGCTGGTGTCCTATTGGCATCAATGGTTCCTTTTGAATCTGCTGTGTTTCCAACCAACTTGGGTTATATCCTGCTGCCTGGCTACTTCTTGCACTGCCCCTTGTGCGGGCTCGTATCGAGAGAGAAAATAATCACGGCTCGACGAGGTTGTTTAATCTAGGCTTGGACTTTATAGTGATAGAGTTGGAGGTCACACATTCAAGGGGACAATTGCTCCTGCCAATCCGATTGAGATGTGAAAGAGGGGCCTTGAGGGTGGATCTCCACTTCTTCATGTTCTGTTGTGTCTATTGTGCTTTCCTAAGTCAGGTCCTATTCTGCTTTGACTCCAGTCACAATCGATCCATTTTGCTGTGGGGGAGAAAGATTGGCTGGGCTTTCCCAAGATAATCGCTACATAATTTTTTTGTTTATCTGACCTTGTCTGCGCACTGTTGTCTGTCCAATCCGAACCCCTTACCCTTTGAGTGCTCATTTTTGCTCCTCCCTTCTAAGCCACAGTGCCCCCTTCTCTGCTTCCAAGCACTCCACGCATGTGGCCTGGTCATCTCCACAGCTTCCAGTCAAACGAGAACCTCACACAAGGCACACACACACACCGATCCAATCTCGCCCATTCGCAACTCGAAGCCGAGCCAGAGAGGCACCAGTAGAGGAACTCCCAAGTCACCATTTCGCCTTTGTGATGGTGCATTGATTCTCGACAGGCCTGCCCATCACCCATTTCGATTCGCCATCTTCTTTTGCCTCATCAGCCCGCCACCACTCCCTTCTCCTCAACAAGCCGCGATTTCCCCCTAATTCCCAGTTCCCCGTCAGCCCCTTAATCCTCGCAAGAATTCTCTCGACTCACCGAATCGCTGGTTGTGCGCGAAGCCCCATTCGCCACGTCCAGTCTATAAATTAATAAAGGAAGGAAAAATATCAGTGCAGCCAGAGCTCTCTGTTGCTCCCCGCGCCCACAGCCTTTTCTTTTTTTCGATTCTACTTGCACGCGCACACACACACATCACAAATGTCTTCTTCTGGCCTAACACGGCGCCGCGGTGCCGGTGGCGGTGGAGATGGCGAGGCGGGCGGTAGCACCCCTTCGGCTGCCCGAGCCAACTCTTCCAACAATGTCCTGGAGACGAGTTACGAAAGTGGCGAGAACGGCCACAAGATTGTCTTTGACCCCCGCGACATCAACGAGACCGTCGAGAGGAGCAAGCAGCCCAAGCTCACGCTGATGGAAGAGGTCTTGCTCCTTGGGCTCAAGGATAAGCAGGTACGTTGGATATATACCGATTGAGTGAAGCACCCCCAAGGTTCGACTGCTGCGTCTTGCCATTCTTTTGCTGTCCCACCTCTACCGAAAGGCAGGGGGAATAGAAAAAGGTTGGCGCTCGCGCGTCAATTGTGTTAGCAGCACTGCTTGACCCTTCGTAGGCTAATCTGATACATCTTTGTGTGCATGTTCTAGGGATACCTATCCTTCTGGAACGATAATATCTCCTACGCCCTGCGAGGATGCATTGTCCTCGAGCTTGCCTTCCGTGGTCGAATCAGCATGCAGAAGGACTCCTCCAGGCGACGATTCCCTCTCCCCGATCGTGTAATCGAAGTCATCGACGAGACCCCAACTGGCGAGGTCCTTCTTGACGAGACACTGAAGCTTATGAAGACTAGCGAGAAAATGAGCGTCAGCGCTTGGATCGACCTTTGAGCGGTACATATCTCCCCATTTCTCCTCTCGCCGCTTTCACGCATGGCCCATACTTGGACGTGCCTGGGGCCTCTGGGCTCCCTTTAAAGCCTCCCCACCTTCCCTTTTTTTTTTTTTTCCTCCCGACACTTACTAACATGCATGAACTCTCTAGGCGAAACCTGGAACCTCATGAAGATCGGCTACCAGTTGAAGCAAGTCCGTGAACGTCTGGCCAAGGGCCTTGTCGACAAGGGTATTCTGCGCACCGAGAAGCGCAACTTCCTCCTCTTCGATATGGCCACCCACCCCGTTGCCGACGGTGGCGCCAAGGAGGAGCTCCGCCGCCGTGTCCGCAACGTCCTCACACAGCGCACCGTTGTCATCAATGGAAACCAATTCCTTCCCGAAAACCTCGAGTTTCGTTATATCCGCACCATCGCCATGGTATGCGCGGCCTACGCTGCCAACGTCCTCGAAAACGCCCTCTCCTCACTTGGCCACGAGGCTCGTGAGAGGGCCTTTGCCCAGACGGACGACCTTCTCGCCGACTACAGCCAGTGGCCTTTTGGCAAGAAGGCGGTTGGGAACGGCGTCGGCGCGAATTTGCCTACCGTTATAGCCGAGGTACGTGTTGCAGAAAAACAAAGAGTCGAGGGACTGTACAGGAAATATGAAGTGGACAGGACGGGGCCGGATAAGACGAAGTAGGAGAGAATGGAACAAAGCTGACTATTTTTATTACAGGAGATCAACGGCGCCAAGGATCGGGAGTTGCAGCTTGAGGTTGTTGCCGCATGCCTCAATGTCTTCACCACCCTCGACTCTCTCCTCTAAGCAAATTCGCCATACAAACTTTGCCATCTCTTGACTCTTTCACTTTACTCCCACATTTCTATTTTCTATTCCGGTGCCCTTCTCTTCGCCTTCATTTTTTATTCATCTTTTTGGGTTCTTTTTCTTTTTCTTTTTCTGTTCTTTTTGAATGATGGCACCCATTCATTTACTTGCCACCCACGCCCGTTAATCAGGAACATGTTTGAAAACGTACCGAGAGGATCCAGCAGTAAGCTGGCGAGATATGCAACCCGGATCGCCGAGCCGCCCTCGGCATGCTAGGGGTACCACCAAGTGCCCAGCCATTGGCATACGGCGAGGATGCGAGCAAAGAGGAAGCTAGTTTAGGATGTCGCGTGTGAAGGAGGGGACAGGTTTGAGGGCAAGACGGGATGAGGAGGAAGACTTTTATGGAGTTTGGTGTTTATATTTCTTGTTTCCTCGTCGCAGTTCTTCGTCTCAAGTCATATCCCCCTTTCTTTTCTTGTTTCTTCCTCTCTTGGTTTCCTTTTCACCAAGCCCGTGTAGGGGAGGATTGCCACTAGCCTAAAAGAGCGGATAAGGGGACCAACCTCTTAGGAAAAGAAGGGAAAGGAGAGAAAAGGACTGTGTGTGTGTGGGAGAGTTGTGTTGTGCGCGGGGAGAAGAGGTAAATCGTCATGTTCTTAGGCCGAACCAGAACGAAATGAGAGGAAGAAAAGGAAGATGAACCAGAAAATAAGCGTCCAGACAACCTTTTTTTATGTTGCCTTTTGGTCAACTTGTCGATCCCCAATGTCGTTGTCCTCCTCGTCACATTTTCCACTTTTACTACGCGGGAAGCACTCCCGCGGCGGATTCATGGTCCTGGGCAATGCAAAGATCAAGTGGTATTCTGGCCCTGGTTTGCGACTTGTAAAATACACAACCCTTGGAACCCCTCCCCCGGGACACTTGTTGAAGCTTTGGTATCGAGGCCGAATGGAAACGGGAAACAAGGACCCGTAGCCTCTCTTCAGTTTCGTCTGATGCAAACAATGGGACGGTTTTTGTGGATTCTTATTCTTTTATTGTTTTTTTGGGAGGCCTGAACAAGAAACAAAACATAGGCAGGGTCAAGAGGTGCAACCCAAATGGAACACGTTAAAAAGACAATCCCCTCATTATAAAAACTCCGTCCCATGCTCCTGATAGCGAGTAGGATAACAAATGAAAAAAAAAACAGTTGCAAGAAAAAAAGATGGCAAAAAAAACGATGGCATCTTACAGTCCTACAATCTCGCATCTCTGATCTGTAGGCTCTAGACACACGCCGTATTTTCTCTCGTTGGGAGGGGGGACCACCCTCCCCTAGATCAAGACTCCCACTCCCAGTCTTACCAATGCCCTCTCTCTCTTTCTCTCACTCCCTCACACAATCCCATCCCGCCTTGCTCCCGATGTTGGAGTCTGGCAGATGGAGCGGTTTTACTTCTTTCCGCCACCGCCGAACCGGCCCTCGAACCCGGGCCGGTTCTTCTTCTTGGTGGGACCGCTCTTTTTCTTGCCCATTTTGCCAAGCTTCTTGTCGTCCTTGCGCTTGCGAATGTTCTCCTCTCGTTTCTTTTGCCGGGCCCTGATGCCGGAATCGACAGCGTGTTTGCGTTCCTTCCATTCCTTTTCGCTCTTGCGCTTGGTGCGGTCCTGGCGCTTCACGGCCTTTTTGAGGAGGGTTTCGTCGTCGCGAATCTTTTCGCCCTCGGCTCGGCGGCGGGCCGTTAACCACGTCTCCTTTTCCTCGATTTCCTTGCGCTTTTCCGGGTCGAGCGCGGCCAGGCGCTTCTTCTCGTTTTGTACCTTGAGCAGGGCCGTCTTGGGATCCGAGGGACCCTTCTTGTGTTCGCGGTTCAAGACGTAGCTAAGGTCGTGGGATAGCTGGGCTCCATCGCCGAACGAAACCCTGCCAAAGGAAAAGTTGGCCCCAGCAGCTTCGTCGAGCTCGTCGCCGGGACTCATGACCGAAGGGAGTTGGCTTTGAGGGCCTCCTCTCGCTTCCGATCTTCCTCGAGCTTGGTGACGCGTCGCATCTCCTTCTTGTGCTCTTTACGTTGCGCTTGCTTTTGTCGTCGCTGTTCCAGCAATTCTTGGCGGGTGCGAACGGGCTTTCCGTCCGGGCCATCGGCCTTTCGCGCCGCTCGCAGAGCCGCAAGGCGCTCGGCGAAGCGTTCGCGGAATACCGAGGTATCTTCGGGGATTTTGATATGTTTAGGTTTGTCGGAGGGCGGTACGGCAGAGGAGACGGATGTGGTGGTGCTGGCGGCTTCGGTTTGAGATGGGGCCTGGATGAGGGCATCGGGAGCGTCAAAGGTGGGAGATTGGGGTTCAGAAGAGGTCGACGACTCGACGTCGGCTTGCACGGCTTCGGGTGCTTGGTCACCTTTCGTGGGGGCGGGGGTAGGCTCCATCACGGCATCTTCTGCCACGGTGGAAGCGGAATCGCCTTTGACTTTTGCGCTTCTTTCCTAGCCTCCTTCTTGGATTCCTTCTTGGCCTCCTTCTTATCATTCTTCTTCTTCAACTTGTCCGCCCTCTTGGCCTTCCTAGCTTCGAGTTCCGCCTCATTGACCAGTTGCTCGGCGGGCGTCGCTTCTTCGGCGGCATCGTCGACCCTTTGCTTCTTCCTCTTGGGTTCGGGGTGGCTGTCGCATCCGCAACGGCGCCGTTCTTGACGACGGTCTCTTTTTCTACCGTGGCACCTCCCTCCTCGAGCTTGCGCTTGTTTCCTTCCTTTTCGGTAGTACTCGTTAGGTGTTCGCCATTGATGGCCGCTTCCGGGTCGAGCTCGGCTTGGGCAGCCCTGGCAGCCTTCTTGGCCTTTTTATCTGCTTCTTGCTCTACACATGGGTTCCGCCTTGGTCAGTGTTTTATACACCAGAGAGGACCAGAAAAGTCCGACCGAGAGGCAAAGTAGCCCTCCGCATCGATCTCCCGTACTCAAGAGAAAGACGAATTCGCTTTTCGAGCGAATACATACCTGAGGTTCATCGTCGTCGGCGTAGTGCATCCGCGTCGGTATCAAACTCAATAGCCCACTAAACGCATTCTCGTCTTCCGCAAGCCGCGCCTAAATTGAAGAAAAGAAGGATCGTATGTGTAAGCCTTTCCATATTATTATACAGAGCAAGAATTCTCTGAGATGCCCCGGGATGCCCTGGCAGGCTCTTCTTCTTCGTCTTCGGTTTTTTTTTTTCACTTCCACTCAGAAAGCGGGGCAGGCTGCCAGGGCCCGATAAATGCCCAGGAACGAAGGGAAGACAAAAGAAAGAAAAAAAGAATAGAACTAACCTGCAGCGCTGAGGGCGCCATTGTGTCTTTGATTATTCTTCTTTTCCGTACACGATTGCTGTTCAACTGAGGCCGACAAGAAGAAATCCAAATCGCAATAATGTTCGTTGGCGGTCGTAAACGGGTTAAGCCAGCGTTGTGGCTGTGAAGGGAAAAAGTCGGGAATGGGTGGGTGGGTTGGGCAAGGCCAAAGACCAAGGGAAAAAAAAATATTACCCAAAAAAAAAAAAAATGGCTACCATGTGGTAAAAATTTCGGTGACCGCTTAATAGTTTGTATGTAGACTGAAGGGGGGACTATCCACCCTTTGTTTTTCGGTTGGTGGCGGAGGGCGGTCGAAGATAATTTTTGATTGGAAATTTTGTGGAGGTTTGTCTTGGCACGAAATCTTGGCAGATCGTCTTTTCTGCCGGGCGGTGAGATCCAAAGCACGAGACGTGGGAGCTTTCCTTTTGGCCCTTTGGCAGCCTGAGAGTTTTGGCATGGGAGCACCTACCAAATTCAGTCGTCATTGGCTGTTATTAGGTCAAAGCTCAAAAGAAGGGGATCAATTCTCAATGCATCGATGCCCCTGCCCCCACCATCACCAACCAACACCAGCACCAATCAACCGAGCCCCCACTTTTGCCTAACCAGTTCAAGCTCCCCCGCAAGTCGGGATGCTTGCTCGTCTCAAATGAATCAACCGACTCGCAAGAGATCCAAGGCGTTATAGGACGAGATTGATAGTCTGCACATCTCTCCGGGAAAATGGTGTTTACACCTCGGTACATCCAAGGAATATGCGCGTTCATCCGTGGCTCGTTACCCTACGTCGTGTTAATACTTGGCTTGCAATTCAGATACGCCTCTCGGGAACTACTAGAGCGTGACTGGGTTGGACGACTATAGAAACGTCTTCATGATGCTGATAGAGAACCACTGTTGGTTCAGGCCACTCGATTTTGAAGTTGCCACCAAGGTCCTTGAAAGAAGTTCAATCAAGTGTGATGAAGAGCGGGTAGTTAAGATGAGAGTATCCACCTTCTCTCTCTTCCTTGACGCTATCGCAAGAGTGGTAGGCACTCAGCCTCAAGCTAGAGGGCTAAAGCCGCACATAGAGGTGCTATTACCATGGCAGTGTCTTGTCTTGCCGCATCTTCCAATAGAATAATGCAAGCAGCCAGACCAAAGCCACCGGTTTCCTTTTGGTCTTATAGGCGCCGAGGTTATTCTGCTAGCAGCACCACCTAGTGATCGACGTAGACGACTGCGGCAACGCGCGTCAGTCCAGACTGCTCCCTCAATCCTACATGTAGGACATTCAGAGATACTTTCAACCACACGTGAATTCAAGTCAATGAGCGGGCCGGACACATTTTAAGGTTCTATCCATATTTTTTTCATTAAGTACTAAAGATCTAGGCTGCACGCCATGGCTGCTGGATAGCCATCGTCTTTGGTGTTGGGGAGGGCAACTCTGGGGCGCCCCAACTCACCAACACCAAGATATCTCTCTCCAGTACACGGATCATACATCAATAATGTTTGATGCTGACACTCTCCTCGCAGTACATGTAGTTTGAGGACATCAAATATGATGTAATAAGCGGGTAGGATAAATAAGAGGTAGGAAAGGGAAAAAAAAATCGAAGATATTGTAAACGCCAAGAGTTGGCAACTCTTCGTAGGCAGCTCAGTGGGCCAGTGCATGCAAAAAAACAAACCGGACGCCGCCAATACCGTCAAACCAGACATTTGATCACCGACACCATCTAATGACTTATGTAGGCCATACAAGACCTCCGAAAAGCGAGAAAGAAAAAAAAAGGTACGAAAGCGACAGGGAAAACCAAGACAAGAGAAAGGAGAAAGGAGAAGCTCCTTAGAATGGAGTAGGTAGACAAGTGGGTGGGAAGGAGAAGATGGAGGGGGTATGGGTAAAGATAGTTGAAGAAGAAGAAGATGACAACAAGAAGGAAACTCGATGGAAAGGAGAAAGAATCTGGGAGGGGTTCGCATTCACCAGATTGGTGCGTGTTTCGTGGCGTTGTACTGAGGGAGTGTATCAACTGTTTAACCAACAGTAGCAGTCGCTGTCAGGGGAGTAGTGGGCTGCAAGAGGCCGTAGGGATTGCTGTTGGGTTGCGGAGAAGAGAGCTTGGAGGGCTTCTCCTTCTCTGGCTTCTCACGCTCGGACGCCGTCTTGGCCTTTGATCCTCGCGCTCGCTTGGCCGCACCACCGCCCCGCGATCCGGGACCACCGCCCCTTCCAGTGCCTCCGCTAGCTCGGCCAGCGCCTCCACGGCTTCCGCGTCCGCCTCGGCTGCCTCGTCCTCGCTTGGGTGGATCACTGTTCCCCAAAATGTTAGAAATAAGGCCAATAATCTGCTGTACATAAGAGGAATGGGGTTCAACATACGATGCTGCGGGCTTTTCCACCTCTTGTATCAGAGGGCCCGAGTACACAAAGAATCCGTCCCGGCTGGCGGCGGCCTGCTCCTCCCAGAGCAATTCGGAGTCGTCCACAAAGTCGTCGTCGCGGTCATATTCGTCCTCCTTGAAGTTGCGCTTCTTCTTCGCGGGCTTCGCAGGCACGTCGACGCCGCTCGCCGCACCGCCGTGATCCGTGCCCGCGCCCTCGTTGTCGGACACGTCCTCCGACATCTCATCGCCCGATTCGCGACCGGAACCCGTCTTCTCTAGCGCAGACGCAGCGGCAGCGATCCGGGCTTTACGATCGCGATGAGCCGCCAGACGGGGATGGAGAGCATCCCAACCGTAACGCTCCTCCGCCATGCGCATAAAGTTGACATACTTGTTGGTTTCACCGGGCAGAATTGACACTTCCAAGACGATAGTCGGGGCTTGCAGCTCCTCGCCGGGCTTAGCCTTTCCAAAGTCGAGGATCGATCGCTCCGCCTCACCTCCGCCAACTGTGTCGTCAAGATCATTGTTGGTCTTGGGCGACGACGCTGCGGTAGCGACCTTATGTTTGGGGAAGGTTTCTTGGAAGTCGTGCCGTTCGTTTCCTTGGCACCCTCCTTGTCTTTTGTCCGAGATTCTGACTTGGCAGTTCTTGTCGAGCCAGCGGTGGGAACCGCTTTCTTGGTCTCCGCTGGGGCCGCGGCAGTCGTGGAAGAGGGTTTGGAATCGGCGGCTTTAGACCGGACCGGTTGTGGTGTGGGCGACGCTGGAATTGAAGGCGGCTCGTGTGTTGGGCGAAGGGAGGTCATGACGGGTTGTTGCGAGGACTGTCGGGAAGGTTGTGAGGGAGAAATGGGGTTATTGCCGGGGGTGGGTGTCGGATCCACAAGCATAGAGATGGAGGGAGACGCACTAGCGCGGCTGGGCGCTTGGGCTGTCGGGGGTCGCGGGGAGTTCGCCGTGCTGGTGCCATAGGGGTCGCGAGTCACCATGGTTTCGCGAATCGGATCGTAATTGCCACGGATGGGGTCGTAACTTTGTCCGCTCGTGCGGACCGGGACATCAGTGGCATTAAGGATGCTGGACATGGAGCTCACGTAAGGCTCACGCTTCGGGGCCTTGACTGGGAAATCTTGCTGCGTCGATGTATGGTTTTCCGACGTCATTGCGTTGACGAGATCCGTAATCTTCGTCTGGCGCGACGCAATCGGCGGCGTCGCGGCGGTTGATTTTGGAGACGCGTTGGATCCGTTTGACGCCAGAGATTTCGAGTCCGCGCCGACGTTGAGGTCCGCATTCGGCGCCGACTTGCGCTTGCGCTGCACGGGAGGAGCGTTAGGATCCCGAGGTTTCCTTGGTTTTCGCTGTTTCGGAGCCTCTTGTCCGGCCTCGGGCGCGGGCACGGGCGCGGCGGCGGCTGCTTTGGCCTCTGCCTTGGATTCGGCTTTAGCCTTGACAGTGGTTCCAGGTTTCCGGCCTGGCTTCTTTCGGGGACGCCGGCGGCTGTGAGCTGGACCGCGCCATTCTTCGACGCGGCGTCGGAGCCGACTACAATTTCGTCCATTTCTTTCTTTGTGAGTTTGGTGGCTCGGGGAGGGGAGGCGGGAGGGGAGATGACGGAGGGTGGTGAAGAGAGTTCTGGTGAAGAAATTGCTGCCCGTTCTTGTCGGGCCGTGACCATTGTGGATCTGGAACAATAATTCTTTCCGTTCTCGTCGCCTTTCTGTCGGTGAATACTCTGTTTCGGGTTGGCGGAGCTGGCGAACAACACAACAAAGGCTGTTGGCGATTGAGGGGCTGCTAGGGACGATCAGGGTCCCCTAGGAAAAAAAGAAGTAATAAAAGAAAACAGCGAAGCCGACAATTAAAATGAAGACGAAAAGGGTGCTCGATGCGTGGTGGGTGTGTCAATCGGCAGGCAAAAGGATGGAACAGATTAATCCATGAGAGTGTCGAGCAAATCTGTCGCAAGGTAATCGCGATCGTTAGAAATCGGATTTTTGGCCTTGGCTATGTTAATTGAAACCAAAGGAAAAACCCCCTAGTAAAAGGGACGGGAGCTCAAATTCGCCCGTGTTTTCTTCTTTTTCCCCTTGCCTTTGCTTTCTCTTTGTTCGGCAGCAGACACTATTTGATGGGCCTCCCTACCAGTGCGACAAGGCTATGGTTGAGAGACGTGCTTCAAGCAACCGCAAAAGTGGGTGCAAGCGAGTGCTTGTGTGTGGCCGGATCAGGCGCGAGTAGAATTCTGGCCAATAAGAAGTGGCCAAAGACCAGGCTGACTTGACTGGTTGAAATGCAGAGTGGAACGTGACGAAAGGGCTTGGCGCGAGAGCCAGCTGGATCTGGCACGGTGGGAAATTCCGAGCACCAGGCCCGTGCGTGTGCGGAGGGAAGCAACGACGGAGGGTCCGAATAGCCTCACTCTCCTCTCTGACGCAGGAACCTCACGATATCTCGCCCCCAGCGCCAAACGGCTGCCTTTGAAGCAGGAAAACGTGATGGTGCGGTCGGGTTAGCGTCGATATAATTGCATCAATCAAAATGTCGAATTCGTGAGCATATTATGATGCAATTTTTGTGATGTATTCGATGCGGCGACAATCCGTTTTGATGGATTTTCGTCTGATGTGGTTGAAATTGGTGCGTTGTGGTGGTGAGAAAGGGAGTGTTGAAAAGGAGAATCGAGGGAGAAAAAGAGTGTTGGGGGAGGTGGCGATGGAGACGATTAATTTTTTTACCCGGGGAGAGCATCAAGTTCGGGGGTTTATTTAGCTCGGATGAGACAAGGGAAAATAAAGACCAGGGGGAACATGGAAACAGGGAGCCAGTGCAGGGAATGGGAAAAGAGAATGGGCAATGGGGAGAGAGAAAAATAACAACACAAAGACGTCAGGTGTCGGGCCGGATGGGGGAAGCGGATGGCCAGATGAAAAGCTTCATCTGAGAGACGAACCAATTTTATTATTAAACACGGGGAAAGCGCTGTTTGGAAGGGGGCAAGGGAAACGGCCGGGGAGGGCGAGGCATGAGGGGAGTGTGGATCGCCCAGATTGCCAAAACCTCATCAACCTCAAATCGAGGCACGGTATCATTGGAACGCATTGAGGTGCGGGCTGGGCTGGTCTGGGGGCAGACAAAAGGAAGGGGGATTTCGGCCTGCTTCATTGGGGCACGACAGAGAAAAGGGGGACCGGGCCTCATGGAATCAAAGGAGAGAGAGGGAGGCATGGAACTCCGGATACCGCACAGTCGTGGAATTGGGGGACAAGAGGGAACGGGAATACCAACACTGGGCTGGCGTCCATCAATCAAAGAGAACAAGGACACCGGTCAGGCAAACCTCCGGAAGGAGGGAAACAAGCAGCGACATGGCATTCGGAGGCGGTCCACGTAGGCGATTCATCAATCCTGACTATCGGGGAAGTTGCCTCAACGTGGAGGTTCCCATTTCAAAGGTAAAGGGCAAGCGAAACACCCCACCCCTGTACAGAGGGGGCCATCCACAGTTCGTACCCAGATGTGCCTCGGAGGTACGAAGGAGGAAAGATAGTCGAGAAGAAAAAGGAAGGAAACGAAAGGGAAGGTGGGCGCGCCAAGCATGGAGAGATGTGGAAAGAAGGGACGGCTTCGGTTGCACATGGAGAAATAAGACTCTGGTCATGGAACCTGATGAACGCACCCTAACGTAACTAAGCCAAGTCGAGGTACACGACACAACCAAAAGAGGTTACAGGGACGCTATGCCAAGTACGTGTTCTACATGACGGACCCTAGCAGCACTCATCAGTTTACGGCCCCCTGTGTATCGAGGACTGCATATGCCAGCAGGGAGGGACTTGTCCCTGCCGCCCCAGAACCCGACGACACTAGTGGTGGACAGTACCTTGAATACTTCCACAAGGCGTCAAGAGTTCATCTGTCTGTCCGTCATCTTGAAAAGTACCAGGTACTTCTCATCGCGTATCCGCTGCTTAAATTCCCGATCCAGGCCTAGCAACCACGCAACGAAAATATCGATCCCCTTTCAGATTCAAAGACCCTGCACGCAGACTCAGCTGCCTGCGAACCGCAAGTGGTCTTTGCAACTTCGTAAACAAAAGAAAAATCTCTCCCCGCAACGGAATATTTTTCCAGATCGTCAAAACTTCGAGATTATACTTGTCAACCAAAAAATTGTCGCCGATGATGCTATAGGTTTTCAAGGTTTGCTCGGCAGTCGCTGGCAGAGACTCCCGCCGCGCTTAACCAAACACCAAGATCGTTTCGCCGCAAAGTACCGGTACTTCTGTTCCCTGAACAGCTTCCGGCAAGAAGGAACGGCGCACCTGCAGGAACAAGGCCAATCAATAGCAGGGGTGTCAGTCGGCAATCCCAGCCACAGGTGTCCCCGCACCACCCCTCCGTTCCCGCTCTGCAGTTGTCAGTTTCAACGCTCACTACAATAACTCGGTGCGCTGGTGTCCACGGCCTGAAGCTGGGGCGGCCCTTGCGTATGAATGAAATTTCCGCGATCCAGAAAACAATGCAGGACCATCTCCAGCCACTCATTATGACCCAGGGCAGCAGGAATCAAGAAAGGATTGCAAATTTTAAACTACTTGTATCGTACAAAAACCAGTTCTTGTTGTTTTCTAAAGTTTTCCCAACTGTCACGCGAACGGCAAATCTTCATCCGGGTCGAGGCTATCTTTGAGGCTCAGATCATGTCGATCACGGTAGGTTCGCCAGAGTCCAGCCTGCAGAGATCTCCTTGCAAATCACCTATGCCCTCGTGTTTGGGGATGAAGGTTGCAGGCAATACCATCCCTTTTTTTTTTTTCCTCTCCTCCTCCTTGCCTCTTCAGGAGAAATCGCCCAGTCGGGTCTAATCTTGCATAATTCGAATTTGACGAGCTCATTATCGACAAAAATGTGGTGGGCTAGCAATTGGGCCTGGCTGCTACACAGTCTATCTACGGTGCGCCACTTTTCTCCCTTTATGCACCCGAGGGTACCGTCCCGGCGAACTCACACGTGGAACTCGGTCGTCCCGCATCCGAGCCCCAACTCCGCCGGAGAAAGACCAAAAGAAAAAAAAATTGATATTTTACTCACTTCGAATAAAAAATTATTTAAAAGGTGAATATGCCTTTACTACCACCCTCTCATCGTTGAGAAGATGATGAAGGTCTTCTGCCTTGTCGCGTCATTGAAAGCTTAAGTCGGCCGTGCCCAACGAGTCAGTCATGGACTTCCCTTTCGGACAAGTGAGGGTGGCTCCATCGCGCTGGCACGATTTTATTGGTCAGACTTCGAAACTCCTACCCCGGGACCGCGTCTGTGGTTTTGTTCTGGAAAAGGCATCTGGCGCGCGATCGGCGCTAATGCACAGCCAGGTCTCCCTTTGAAGCCCAATCAGCCCCGCCTTCCACCAGCCGCAACTGTGGCTGATGGCCCAACACAAGAAGAAGCAAGAAGCAAGAAGCAAGAAAAGCGTGGAACGCGAGACACAACGCTGCCACACCCGGATCAATTGCACCCGGTCCTTTTCCATCCAAGACACGAGACAATTTCAAATTCATGGTGGCCTACTAGAGAAAGACCCAGGTCAATAAATTATATCGATACCATATCACTATATCCTACTATCGGTGACTAAGAAACGGTTCGACATTGAAAACTAGATGCATAGCGCCTCGCGTGAAGATGGGATGAATCCCAGAGACCAAGAATGGGCGCCATGCACTCGAAAAAGGGGCACGAAGAAAGGGCTTCAAATATACCCAAACTACTAGGAACATTGAGATGATGTCCTTCAATTCTATTTGAAAAATTCTTGTCGACAAATTTGTCGTGATAATTGATTTCAATATTCATTTCGACCCTCGCTCCACAGGCCAGGGTCGTCGCGGCCACCCTGGTTCCTGCATTCCCACCCCAAGACAAGCGAAAAAGGCCGTCGCCGCTTGGGGTCTGACAACATTGAGCTGGCCCCACCCTTCCGCTTTCAGCCATTGTGGGGTTTTGGAGGGGTGGGTGGGACTCAACGACGGACGAAGCTGGCTTGGCCGGGGAGATCAAGAAGGTCAAGTAGCGGATGACTAATAAATTTCCGCTTTTTTGCCCTCAGACAGAGCCAGACAATTTATTCAATGACTTCAGATTTTGGGGGACAGACCCCCGCTGACAAAATCAAAGCTATTGAATATCCCCATCGAGCCTTCTCGGGAAGCCAAGGAACCACCACCAACCATGGCGTCGCCCTTTATCATTAGTGACCTCGTCGAAACTGAGGCAAGCGCTCCTACGCCTCTCGCCGACTCGGATTTCCAGTCTCCCACCAGTGGATTCCCGCGCCCAAGAAAAGGGTAAAGGCGCCGTCCGCCTTCCAGCAGAGGAGGCAGGCAGCAGTAGCCGCCGCCGCCGCCAGGGAGGCCCGTCGCAGGCTCCTGCCGCGGCGGCCGAAGCTCCACGTCTCCAGCAGACTTTTTGCATCTGAGAAGCGCAAGATTGATCGAGAGAACCAGCAGCGAATCGCGGACATGAGCCCGGCGGAAATCGAAGAGGCGAGGCGAGAGCTCATGCATGGGCTGGATCCCGCTTTGATTGAGAGGTTGTTCAAGCGAGCGACCATCGACGATGACGACTCTTCTTCTTCTCCCATCTTCAACATCAGTCCCGGGCAGCCTTCCCAGCCGCCCCCGGAGATCAAAGTGGAAGACGTCTCGAAACCTACGGCGGAGCCCAAGCCTACACCCGAGCGAAGCCCCGAACCGGCGGTCGACGACAGGCCGAGCCAGGATACTGCTGCTACGGAGCCAACGCCCACAGGGAAGGCGCAGCGGCCTGTTGACGAAGATAGAGCGCCATCCAAATTACCCGAAGACCTACGACCCATCACCGACTTCCCCAAAAGCACGACTCATTTCCCCTCTCAGACCGACCCAGATCTCGACCCGGCCGACCCAGACTTTCTCGAGTCGCTCCACAAAAATACTTTCCCAACCTACCGGCCGACCCTACCAAGCTCGCCTGGATGGCTCCCCTACCCACCGAGGACAGCATCGCGGACAAGGAATCCCCTACCACCCGGGCAAGGACTCGCTCTCCGCCTCGGCCCTCCGCTTCGACTTCAAGGGTCGCCTTATTCCGCCCCGCCTCAGCCGCCAGATTCCCGTGTCCAAGGGGTTGCATCACCACGGCTTAGCTCCCGAGGCGGCTGGGTACACCGTAGAGGAGCTGTGCATCCTCGCCCGCAGCGCTGTTGCCGCCCAGCGGTGCATCGCGTTCCAGGTCCTCGGTAGGATCCTCTTCCGCCTCGGCAACGGCGAGTGGGGCCTTGATGAGGACGACCCCATCGCCATGGGTATTTGGGGCACGATCAAGCAAGGCAGGGCCCTGGATAGCCTCTCGGAGGCTGCCGCCAAAGAGCACGGCCACAGGTCGAGCCAGGCGTACGCCATCGAGGCTCTCTGGTTGTACGAAAGGGTGGTTGGAAGGCAAAGTTCAGCGGAAGGTGAGGCGTGAAAAAACGCCCAGTCCCACATTGCTGGAAGCAGCTCGCAACTACTAGTACGAGGAGGGGAGGGTTAGAAATAGCATGGCGAAATTGGAAGCAATTAGGGTTGGAATGGCACATTTGATCCCTTGGCTGCCCTTGGGTTGACGGTTTTATAAAGGGTCGGCGTACATGGCTTGATTTATATTATGCATATTATGCATGGAGTTACACGGATTCATCATTTAGAGAGAAGACAACAATACACCAGTTTGGGTCAGATGAAGTTCCATTTCAGATGCTATGGCTGGCTAGGTTTGGGGTTCACTAGTTTCGGGACATCCACGTCAGTTCATTGCGAGGGGTCTATTAGTTCATTGATCCATTTCCTTTCGATCGGACGGATCGGTGGATATCTACTAAGCTGAGTCAAGTCACCTAGCGTTTCGCGGACTCATCCGAAACAAAATCTTAGTAGGCGCCTTGAGGCACCCCAGCTCTCGTGAAGTCTCATTCTCATGGTTTGTGCGTACAACAATCGTAATGGATATGGGGAATATTATGTCACCCCCAAGCGCGCAGGTGTTTATCGCTCCCGCCCGCCCGAATATCGGGTCTCAATTCCTACCGCCATCCACATCCGACCTTCCTGTCTAAGACGTCTTGGCTGGGGCAATTTCGTCCATAGCGACGTTGTTCTTGGCATCCGGACCATCATCAACCTGATTCTCCAGCTTGCCCGTGGGGTCTTTCGTGATGCCAATGTCAGAGGCTCGGTGGGCGTCCATGACCTCTCGGTTCCAGATGTTGACGTAAAGGGGATAACTTGATTGTATACGTTAGCTAGTTCTCCTACTATTCTTTCAAGTTTCTTTGTTTCTGTTTCTTTTCCCTTTTCCGGCATTGCGCATCACGCTAAAAGGACCCGAAGTGGGTCTGCGCGCTCCACGATGGTCGGTATCTTCAAGCAAAGGGGGAAGCCAACTTACATCCAAGCTAGAATGAAGCCCATCATCGGAATCGCCATGGCGGTGTGAGCGCCCTTTTTATCGGTCACGGCGCCGGTCATGGGGGAACACCATCCCACCGGAGATGGCGGCGACCAGGAGAGAGCCACCCAGCTTCGTGTGACGACCGAGACCGCGCAGTCCGAGGGTGAAGATGGTGGCGAAGCAGGCGGACTCGAAGCAGAGAACAAAGGTGAGCATGACGATGGACGCGGTGCCGGTGGTGTTCATGGCGGCGACGACGAAGACGAAGCACAGGGCGAGGTAGACGGCGAGGACGTAGCGGGGCTTGACGGCGGGGATGGTCATCAAGCCGCCGGCGATGAAGCGGTTGAGGGCGTACAGGCCCTGGGCGACGGCGAGTAGATCCGCTGGAGGTGGACTTTTGGTTAGAAAGACTTTCCGCGCCATCTGTTTTGGGTTTAAAAATACATAAAAATGAAATATCTTATAGAGGGGACTGTGTTTTTCGGGTTCATGCGCCGACTTACAGGATGTAGCGTCACTACGACCGGTCTCGACGCAAAAGGGAATAAAATAGGTCTACGTTGGTTAGCGAAAAAAAAAAGAGGACCCCTCGCTCGTTTATAGCTACCGCACAAGGGGAAGAAGTTGAACTTACGGCAACGGCAACCTGGGCGCCAACATAGCAGAACTGCGACCACACGGCGAGGAACAGGTTGTACTGCTTACGCAACGGACCGGGGTCGACTTCGGTCATGGCGTGCTCCTGGGCGTTCATGTCGGCGTTGGTAATCTCGGGGAAGGGCGCGAAGAAGAAGAGGATGATGAGAAGGCCGACGAAGCACGCGACGCCGAGGTAGACCCATTGAACGTTCTTGAGACCTTGGTCCGTATCGATGGTGTGGGCAAAGAAGACTCGCGAAGCAAGGAGTGGCGCAACTAAGAACCGGGAAAAGAGAACAGAAAATGGGTTAGCCGTCTTTTTTTCTTCCAGATGCGAGAGGATAGAGCCAAAGGTTTCCCTTGGGGAAAAAACATACCGAACGCGCCGACGCCCTGGATAGCTTGCGCAAGGTTAAGTCGGACCTCGGACCATTTCGGAGGGCCGCAGATGGCCAAGAACGGGTCGGCAGCGGTCTCGAGGGTGGAGAGGCCCGCGCCGACGACAAACATGCTTCCGCAAAATCCACCAAACGACTTTTTAACACCGGAAGGCCAGAACAGGAGACAGCCGACGGCGAGCACGGAGAGCCCCGTCATAAAAGTGACCCGGAAGCCGTACCGCCGCAGGATCCATCCCGAGATGGTGGGGGCAGATGAAGTAGGCGCCGAAGTAGGCCGAGGCCAGACCGGAGGATCGGGCAAAGTTGAGATCGAGGCTCTTTTGGAAGTGGGCGTTTAATACTAGATATAGGTTCATCCCTCGCGTGTTAAGGTGCTGTCGCTATGTATGCGGATGGGGTGGTCACACTATATCGTGCACCAAGGAGAATGGCGGAACTCACCATCGAGCAATCCGTATGCGAAGCCCCAAAGGAAGAAGAGAATGGTGACTGAAGGAGAGAGGTTTAGATTTTAGTCGGAGCGATCTAAATGGACATTTGAACGGCATCGCCTCAAATCAACCCTCAAAAGTCTACGGGATTGAATGTCGTACCTAAAGCATTTGGAAGCAATGACTGCTTCAAGGTAAGGTTCGCGGCCGAAGTAACGGCCTTGTCAGAGACGGTGATTTTGCGATTAAACAGACCCATGATGGGCTATATGGCGAGAGGCCTTTTTTGAGGACTTCAAAGTTCTTTTGCGTTGAGTATGCCCGGCGGCGGTCTAGCAAGTGCAACTTGGAACCGGCGGAGGTGAAAGCATAACACTTGCACCGTGGAGGGACAACGCCGATCAACAGCTGGAAGAGCAGGCAGGCGAGGATGGACCTTTGCAAAAAAGGAAGCAACGAAAATTTCTGAGGCCAGACACCGCGTGCTCGAGAGGGAAGGGTGCGGGGGCACCGGCTCATGTATATATATACGTGCGCCGATACAACGTATACATTTTATATATATATGGATATATTGATACAACTGATGAGGGGTGAGGTGCAGCGTCGTTGGGGTTGCTGCGTGGTCTCGGGAAGGATGCATGCAAAGTGATTTAGCCCATTTTACGCGGAGTCGAGGACGTGCGTTTGGCGGTGGTTGGAGATGTCAATTATCTAAAGGTAATACGGACAAAGCTACGAGGGCAAAGCACGTAGGGATCGGCTGTATAGTTACTCCTGAAGCGCCTGTTCTCGAGGCCCCAACCGAAGCGTGCGTCTTGGAGGCGTACAAAGCCAATCTCTCTTCCTTGTCCGTATCCCCTTGGTTCGGAGCACTTTGAAGTATTGTATTCGACACGCAATGAACCGGGTGGTGATTGTGCACCCCGGATCATTTGTTACCCCGGAGCTAGGATCGTTTGGTCGTGGTCACAGAGGAGAAAGAGGTAGGACCTGCATAGATATGGGATGATTTGTAGCATACGCGATGAGGGCCTCGGGGCAGCAGGGGCCGGCGATGGCAAGAATGGCAAGAATGGCAAGAATGGGCATGGTCACTGGGGGTTGTTGTGCAAGATCAAAGGTAAATCATCACTCAAAACGGATGCCCTCCCACAACCTTGTAACCCCATCGGGCGCCTTGGTCTAGAAAGAGCAGCAAGAGTGCGGGGAAAGGGCTCGGTGGAGAGCGGGCATGCGACCGAGAGAAGAGCCGTCCACGCGCGTGCGGAGAACCTCTCTCTTCAACGGGAGACCCGCGGACAGTTCCGTCAAATACGAAGCCATCTCCTCTTCATGCTTCGGGCAATTAAGCACCGAATCTTGGGATGGAGGGCAGCATCGGGGTTGTTTTTTATAGCTTTGTGACGACTTGGTATTCCTCAAGCATGGCATGGTGGTTTTAGATGGCGGGTCGGACCTAAAAGGAGAATAAGAAAACATCTCCCCGCCCCGGGGAAACGGATGTTCAGTCCAAAGTCAAAGCCGGCATGGGATTGTTACATGCGCTCGCAGCCCGCGACCTGGCCTCCTCAAGCCTCAGATCAACCGGGTATCCACCGCGCCATCTATCTATGGAGTTATGGAGGTGTGTATTGACCCGGAGAAAACATGTACAAGTAGCCAAGCTTTGCATCTAGGCCGTCTAGATAACAAGGGGGTGTATTCCTTTCTTCTTCTTTTTCTATTTCTTCTTTTCTTCTTTTTTGAGACTTCCTTCTCGTTTATATCTAACTTTCTAACAATCCCAGGATCGTTTAAATCCCTTGCCGCACTCCCCTCGAGATCTTCCTAATGTGTTCTAGTCAACAACGCAGGAGACTGAAATTTGAAATTGAGAACAATGATTTTTGAAGGCCGTCTAGGGGCAGGCTTGCGATGGCAGCAACACACACCCTGGGCTACACATAACCTCTCACTGAGGTTCGGCGAGTGTAAGTATGAATAATCAATCGTACTTCTCGATTTGACGGGCGCCACCGCTAGCGGCCTTCGGGGATTATGGCAGTGGTGCAACTGCCAGCCAGTCAAAGTGCGAGAAGTTGCGCTGATGGGAACCAGAGCGGAACGGATCTTTTAACGTCGCTTTTTAATCTGGGAAATGCCGCGGGATTCTAGGATCAATTGCCTGAGCTAACCGACCGCCTAAGCAAGAGGGTTAGTAACGATGGATTGATCCAAGAGATCTATAGCAACAGCGGCGTGCGTCATGGCAACAGCGTTGGAATCAAAATAAAAGAACCCTTCAGCCGCGGTATTAATCAACGACGATTTTTTTCCTATCAGAGATAGAAACAATTTGATACGACAACCATTTCAAGCGGGCTTCGGAATAGACGTCATGGCTCGGAAATGGTCCATGTTATGAAGGAGAGAATCCTAGCGAGCTTCTGCCGTAAAACATCATTACCTGAACATCTATGGATGAGATACTGTGCGTTGGGGCAAGGGCAGACACGTCTCGGACGAAGCACGACCGGGCTTGGTCTACTTTCCCGACGTGGGGCTTTGAGGCCCGATAGCTCATGTCCTGATGCTAAACATGTTGGCCATTGTTGGGAAATGCACATTCTGCCGTGAATTCCCTCTGCCCTCTCTATTGATGCCAGAGTGCTCGCAAGTTTTGCAATACACGGAGCTCGGAGCCGACCGGAACCGGCAATGGCTCTACCCTGGACATCGTGGCTGGCTCTTTTCACCCTTGCACTGGGGATACCGCAGCCCCCTGTGAGGGAAGACTGCGCTCAGCACACGTGCACTCAGTTGTAACCAGCCAGACCTGGTAGCCAACGATCAGTCGATGAGTAATTGCGCACTAGGGGAAAAACCTTGAGTTATGGATGCTTCAATGAATTGCGGGGGCATCACATGATTGCCACAAGGGCGGCCGTCGGCCACCAATGATGGATCCCCATCGTTCGTCGTCGTGGCGTGGCCAGGGAAGAGAGAAACTGTGCACAAAAGCGCTTTGTCGCCAAAGGCTACTCGTTTGTTTTCGAGGCGAAGTCCATCAATCTCTGGCAACGGAAGGTTGTCGATATCCGGTTCCGTGACCATCAAAGCCCACGGCACGACAGGCTATGCGGTGCCGTGTTGCATTGCGTGTCATCCTGGAATCATCGGGCAGGAATCGGATGAAGCTGGGGGGTTCCTGTGTGTGTGTGGACGGGCGTGTGGCATTTGCTGCTGTTTTCAACCGCCCCCCCAATGAGAGCCCCACTACGCGACAAATGTTGATGGCATTGATCCACGGACAAGAAGCCCCCAGGCTTACCAAGGAATCCTTGAAGCCAAGCTGTGTCCCGGACGCAAGTGTCCTGGTACTTCAGGCACCATAATAGCTGCCGTGGCACCAAAAGTATTTAACAGCGGTCCTTGGGGCCTCTCTCGTCGCCTGGGAAACTAACCCCACCATTCGGACAAGTCCGTGTGCGTGTGTGCCCTGAGCGGGTGAAATTTTCGAGGAGCTTCTTTCTCAGGTGGCAAAGTAATGAGGCAGGAGCATCTGGGCCAGGCCCCTCCTGGGCCCCCAAGCCCGTGCTGGCCTTTGAAGCACGCGAGGGAGAGAAAGGACCGCAGCCCAGCCCGGCCAGCTGCTCCCGGCGTCAAGGGAGGGCAGGTGCGAGGTGTAAGCTTGCTCCGCAAAGCCTCCCTCACAGCGCTGGCGCTAGGGGAACTAAGCGTCGCAGGTCTGTGGCTTGAATCCAAAACCTCTACCCTCACCAAGCCAAATTTTTTTCTTTTCCCTTTTCTTCCCTTTTCTTCTTCCCGCTCTTCGTTCCTTTTCGTGTAGACTTGAGGTCATCATATCTTGTCGGCGCCCGCCACCGCACCGCTCGTCAATTTCATCCTTTACGGTGCTCTTCTCTTCTCTCCCTCACCTCTCACCAGATCTCCACCCTGGTCCCCGTTTTCGTTCTTGTTCCTTCTATTATTCCTGCGTTCCGATTCAGCATCGTGCGCGTGTTTCGTCCAAGTTTTTTCGGTTCATCTCACACAGATATTTTTTTTGGTCACGATCTCAGCCCAATCGCAAAGAAGCCCCAGTGTTGACTTGTCGACACCGCCTTCTCAACCTGCCCTGCTTCAGAAGCCCTTTTGACCAGCCATTGCCACATCGCACAATTTCATCAATACGAATCACCGATCTGGCATTCAGTCAATTTATTTTTCTCAATCTCCCTCCTCTCGATCGACCTCACACCAGAGTAGAAAGGAACGGGAAACCAGCAGAGTACCGATCCGCGTGACGATAGGCAAAGAGACGACGCAGCCCAACCGAGCTTGCTCTCCTCACATCCACAACGAACCTTTTCTTGGCTGAAAAATATCTTTTTGTCGAAAGACGAAATCGAGGAAACACACAAACCGAACCCTTTTGTGCTCCAACTTGACAAACCTGTTCTTAAAAAAGTTTATTCTTTTTTATTTGAACTCGAGGAATAAGGAAAAACGAAGAAACGTGGGGAAATTTGCGCCGAAATCTCCCTTCGCCGATACCCAACTCCACCATTGGCCTGCCTAATCCGCCTTCTGGCCCGCCTTCATCACTAATTTCCAACGACACGATTCCCTGTGACTTTGACTAGTCATGGCTCTGCCGTTGCAATTCGCGTACCGAACCCAGAAGGCTGTTGGTCTTGTGGACGTCGACCCTGTCTATCAGCCCGTCCTCGGCCTCGCCGATGTTAACTGTCGATGCTCCCAGTACTCGCCTTGCGGTCGCTGGTTCGCCTGGGCGACCACCACCGACGTGAATGTCAGCGATGCCTCCACCGGCAACGTTGTCCTTATGCTCCCCTTGAGCAACGTCTATGAGCTGTCTTTCTCTCCCAAGGGCACCTTTGTGAGCACGTGGGAGCGCCCTAGCAAGGACGAGGCTGGCGACGCTACCAAGAATCTCAAGGTCTGGCGTGTCGAGCAGGCGGGCGAGTCAACCCCGGTTGGCCAGTTCGTACAGAAGCAACAAGATGGATGGACCCTCAACTACACATCAGACGAAAAGTACTGTGCCCGGCTCGTCACCAACGAGGTCCAGTTGTACCAGAGCGACGACCTCCAGACTGTCTGGAACAAGCTGCGCGTCGAGGGAGTGAGACAATTCTCCCTTGGCCCTGGCCAGCTGCGAAGCGTGGCCGTCTATGTACCCCAACGCCAGGTAAGCTAGTCCCTTATTCCTACCATTACTTTTTCCCTCTTCAAGTCGAAATCTCAGCTCCCTTTTCTCCGTCTGCCATAATCCATCGTTGCATGTTGGAGATGTGTGCTTGTATGAAACGGGCAACGGTGTCAAGAACCTGGTGACAAATTGTTTCTGCCTGCGCGAACGCTTTGTCGGAGATGGTTTCTGGTTCTTTCGACCTGTCCATCTTCTCCCCACGGCTGCGCATCTAGCCCCGCCTTTCGCTCCTTGTCTCACCTAAGCACGAGGCCTGCTTGCGCCTTCTTTCGGCCGTAGACGGCCTTCTCAAATACAAATGGACCACATATCAAGAAGAGCGTGTAGCTAACAAGGCTTGGCCATTCTTTAGGGATTCCCTGCTGCCGTCAAGATCTTTGACGTGTCCAACTTCACCACCCCGATTGCGCAAAAGTCCTTCTTCAAGAGCGACAAGGTGAAGCTCGAGTGGAACAGCCAGGGCACTAGCCTCTTGGTGGAGGCGCTGACGGATGTGGACAAGTCGAACAAGAGCTACTACGGAGAGACGACGCTCTACCTTTTGAGCGCCAAAGGAGACTTTGATGCCCGGGTTACTCTGGACAAGGACGGTCCGATCCACGACGTTGCATGGTCGCCCAACTCGAAGGAGTTTGGCGTGGTGTACGGCTACATGCCTGCCAAAACCACCATTTTCAACCATCGCGCTGTGGCCACCCACTCCTTCCCCATTGGCCCGCGGAACAAGATCATGTTTTCCCCACCGGGAGATTTGTGCTCGTTGCGGGCTTTGGTAACTTGGCCGGCCAGATCGACATTTACGACATGGAACGGGACTTCCGTAAGCTGTGCACGATTGAGAGCGGAAACCCTAGCATTTGCGAGTGGAGCGCCGACAGCCGCTTCCTCATGACTGCGACGCTTTCCCTCGTCTTCGCGTGGATAACGGCGTCAAGCTCTGGCACGTTACGGGACCGCTCATCTACAATCAGGACTTCACCGAGCTGTACACGGCGCTTTGGCGCCCTGTCGTGGCCGATTCGTCGGCCAGGGTAGATCCCTTGAGCTCGGCCCCGACGCCTCACCCTCGGCGACAACGTTTCTGGGCACCGTCAAGACGCCCAGCAAGCCGGCAGGTGCGTACCGGCCTCCTGGAGCTCGAGGTCTTGCGACCCTCTTCACTTCAAGCGTGAAGACGAAGGTGGCGCTGCGCACATCATGACGAGCACCGCGCCTACTGCCTCTGGGCATGAACGGCTTCGGACGGCCCCGACGGGCGTCCCCGGCGCCGAGACGGTGGAGCAAGGCTCCCGCCAGGTGCCCGGTGCGGATGCTGCGGATGGCGATGAAAGCCTGTCCAAGGCGGCGCTGAAGAATAAGAAACGACGTGGCCGAAAGGCTAAGGGCGAAGGCGGCGGTCAGAACGGCGGGGCGGAAGACGGCCCCGCCGGCGGCGCTGGCCAAGGCGGGAGCGGGGCGACGCTCGCCCCCGCGCCAAAACAACCAGAATGCCGACGGGCGTAGCCCTGAGCGGCGGTCGAACCATCGCCACAACCGAAGCATGTCGAGGAATCCTGGTCCGCGCAGCCGTAGCAACACAACGCGTGGTGTGCGGCCGGAGCCCCAAGGTGGAGTTCCGCTTCACCTAGGTGCTAACGGGCATAACGGGCACAACGGTCAGCAGCAGCAGCAGCAGCAGCACCAGAATGCCAGCAACGGCGCCGCTGCGGCGGCTGCGGCGGCGGCGGCGGAGGCAGCGCAGAACCCCAACGCCAAGAAGATTCGCAGCTTGCAGAAGAAGATCCGGGCGATTGAGGATCTTGAGATGAGGCTCGCAAGGAGCGAGAAGCTTGAGGATACGCAGATGAAGAAGATTGCCACCAAGCAGGCCGTTCTGGCCGAGCTGTCGTCGCTTGAGACCTCGCAGTAAAGCGCCTCCTTCTTTTTTTCTCTCATATATTTGATATTAGCTTGACCTCATCGCAGATTCATGGGTTGCGCCGGTAAAGTTGAGAAGGATGGAGGCCAAAGAGAAAAGCTCGGAGGAGAACCCGAAAAAAGCACTCCCTCCCCAGGATGCCAGCGTAACACCTGTGCCCTCTTTTTCTTGCCATCTCTCATCTTGCTTCAGCCTTCCTCTTCCTGTTCTCGCATGCCTTTATAGTTTTTCTTTTCAAGGTTGAGGGCCCGATCTTGCTGGATAGTTGCGCTCAGATCGGGATTTGGGGAACGATATCGCGGTTGGCGGTAGGGGTGGAAGTGGAAAAGCCAGGTGTTGGTGCACGCGCGCGTGCGAAGGGGCAGTAGATGTTGGAGGTCGCAGTGTTCTTATGTTGTTCATTACAAGGGATTCTTCCTATATATTCTTAGACTGGGCAGTTGCACCTGGCAGGGTTCCGGTTGGGAATGGATCAGTTGGGTTGTATCAGCAAGGTGGTTCAACCGCCTATCACCTAAGATGCAGATAATCTCTTTGTTTTTGTCTCATGGGACTCGGCAGTTCCTTCACAACAAGGTTGCATGGAAGCCGTGGCGGGGAGGACGGGGAGGAGTGCAGCGTGCGTGTGTGTGTGTGTGTGTGTGTGTGTGTGTGTGTTTGAATCTGTCTAGGGATAGGATTTGATACAGGGGAGGGAGGAGGTGAGATGGGCAGAGGCCGCGCATTTTTAAAACAGAAAAAAGAAAGCATCACCAAAATTAAACCACTAAATAGATTTTTTTCCTCCCCTGGAACTCACTTATGTCTGCTCAATACTTCTATTTGGTGGCCCCGGCCTGCGCTGGCCTCGCTTCTCTACTACGTCTTGTTTCGATGACTGCCGCCGGTTGACGAACGATGGCTGTTCACAAGCGGTCGAAATCATCTCTATTCACGTATAGTCACACTACTATAGTATGGAAATTAAGGTCTGAGAGTTCGTGTCTCTTCTAGCTTCCAAGTCTATCTATCTACTGTCTTTTATATTGACTTGCTGGTGCGCATGCTAGCTGCTTGGTTGACTTGTTCGAGTTGCTTGTCTGGTCGCTGCTTGCATCTCATATGCTGCTTGCTTCCGTGTTGGCAGGTGGTGAGACTTTCCTCTGTAATAATACCAGCTCCGAATCCCCGCCTACGATGTCGAGTCTCCGTGGTCATTGATACGGAAGTCCACGCCTCAGTATTCGCCGACCAGCCGATCCGAATTCGGACATGGGTTCTCGGCACTAATACCAGGTTAAGAACGTTGGAAACATTGCACCGTTTCACAGTCTTCTCACTGCTATAGTTATCCTGGGCTAGTGAGACGTAGTTAAAGTTGTACACCAGACCGGACATATGCTATTCAACGGAAAAAATGGTTAGATCCCCATAGATTCAAGACAAATTCGACAAAATCCTATGAGTAACGTACCCTCAGTGTCTGCCCACGATGTATACTGAGCTGTCGTATGGAACAACAGATAGCCAGCAGCCTTGCCTACATCCATGTGGGTGTATGTAGATATATATAGATGTATGGATCCATTGCAAGGATATCAAAATGCGAACCACATCCAACCAAAGATTGAAGGACTGCCCGGTAAGGGCCACGGTTTGTGCTAGTAAGGACGAGTGTTGTGGGCGTGGTCGCTCCTCCCGTCGACCTCGAGAGGTCCTCCTCTTGCGTATTCGGTCTCTTTTGGTCGCGACACGGGCAACGCCGTTCCTGCTTGCGATTGAGCCTTGACGCCCGATAGGTTTTATGGCGTCTTTCTTTCTTTCTTTGTTCCGCCGCTCGCTTGGGTTTCAATGGGGATTGCCGAGCAGACATATATAGTCTGTCGAGTTTGACGCCTGCCTGTCAGTTTCGGGCCCCTCGAGACGCCTGGGGTAGGGCTGCGACCGTGATGAGGTGCGATAAATGCGCTGGCCCGCAATATTTTGGGGAAGCTTGCTGTCTCGGAGGTTAGCAGTGCGGCGGTCCGTTTTGAAAAAAAAGGCAAGTTTGCGCGAACTTTTCCTCCCTGGCGATGTGGCCGGCCACAAAAGGAGGCGTACCCTCCATGTTGGTTAGGAAGCGGAAGCAAGAGGGCCGGTGCCCGGCGATCTCTAGCCCATTCTTGGGTCTGGCGTTCAACACACCCTGGAGCAAGCTGCCTAATTACAGACGCCCAGGCAAGGCAACGAACAGTGCCTTTGCTCTCGATGGGCTAGGCGCTTAAATTAAACGCCCCGGCGTATCTGCCCAAGGGTTTGCCCTGTATTCGATGGGTCGAGGACTCCTGTTCCGGGGTAGGTATATATGTATATATATATAGTTTACTGCTGACCTTGCCGCGCGCTGGCTCGTGGCTGATCTCTCTTCCTGCAGTACTTTTCGTGTTCTCGGCCGCGCCAGAGAGAGAGAGACAGAGACAAAGACAGAGAGAGAGAGAGAGCCTTGGAATGAAATCTCGCGCCCATTCGTAAAAGAATATAGGGGCACTGGACTTGTAAAACGACGAGGGTGCTGGGGAGCGAGCGCCATATGTAGTTGTTAGTAGGAGGCAAAATCGCATTGTACAATGGCGCGTAGAGCAAGGGAAGAATGGGAATAAGTGAATGGGTCCCTTTGGAAGCCACAGCTAAACATACCATCAAAGTTCAGTTCGTAGACTCCATTCACAGCCCATACACCGGTAGAAAGTCTGGCAAAGTGAGAGACAAACCCAAAGTTCGCTTTCCTCTTTTCTTAGAGCTACTCGACGCAAAAGTGGTCTCGGGACCTAGTCGTTGGCAGGGCGCCGGAAGAAAATTTTGGTCATCACTATCACCCCAAGAGGGAAACGACACCGGATCCTCTCGCTTCGCTGCCCTGGCCGACACATGTGGACGGGCGATGGCGCTGGGCGGGCGAGGTGAACGGGTGGAAGTAATGTCCCCCGCAAGATGGCCATCGACCTGTTGCGTGGCTGTAACAGTCCGTGATGGTTCAAGTGTTGCCCACCATCACCCAGCTTCCTACACACCCCGTTCTTGTCCTCTCAGGGCCTCCCCGGCTCGCGGGTATCGTGTCGCTGCAATGTGCTGTTGGCTTCGTCAAGGTCGCTTGCGGCGGCCTGAGACTAGCTGATTGCCGCACAGGCGAGAATATCTGGGGTGGCAAAAAACTGCGAGTTTTTGCTTCTGTTCTCGCTGCCGAGACAACAAACGGCGGATAGGATCGGATGGAACACTTGCCGATGGAGGCGCCGGTGGGAAGATGAGCGTATATATGGTGGATAAGACGTGCTCTGGGATGAAGAGACGTAGACGTGAAGGCGTGCATAAGCAACATCTCTCGCTCAGGTCCTAATCTTCGCTTCCCCCTGGCTTGATGTGTTCATATTGGCACTTTGGGACAAGTTCGCCAGGGTGTTCACCAGTCATCCTAGTGTTGATACCATGCTCCACTACCTCTAGAGGAAGCATTGCGTAGTATGTCTGTGTCCCGTTGCGATGGTCTGCCTTGCGACCTGGACTTGCCATCACCATGTTTCGTAGATCAAAAGGAGATTAGGTAGCAAAGGCGCCACTTTGCAGCGCTCCAAACTAAGCCAGCCCGTCTACGCGACGTCGTCCTTCCCATCGTCGCTAGAGAGGGGCCTTTATACGGAGGCGCATCAGGTTGGGGGAGAACATATAGGGGTAGTAATTCTCTTTGTCAACAGTAGCTATAGACCGCAGCCGAGCGCGACGCCGGACCACCATAGCCAGTCTCGGATAGCGATAGCACGACGGGGGTCCATGGGGAGGTTAGAGCAAGGATAAAAAAACAAAAGGAAGGTGTAGTGCTCGTGATATCACTAAGTTTAGCCACTGGAGACAGACAAGAGGAGTCGTGAGGGGGCTGTATAGAAGAGGGAAGCGCGCTCAATGAAGAGAGTAGATGAGATGTGTCGCATGCGCTTGGGGTCCAGCGGTAGAGGAAGGGTGAAAAAAGTGCTAGGGGCTATATAGAGACGGTAAGGTGGCCGGTGATGTAGGTGATATAGATGATCCATGAGGAAACGAGGGGCACTTGAAGGGCCAAGGGAGATCTTAAATAGATGATGGATCGCCGAGATGGAGTCATTCCAACTAACACGCAAGGTCTTGTTTTCAACACATAACACCGAAAACATCTAGGGCCTATAAAAGTGTCAATTGTCGAAGAGGGAAGAGGAGATAGAGTAAATGGTGGCGTTCTAGCATCGTGTATGTTTATTGTTAAGCCAAACGACTTTCAGACAAACACAACATAAACCCCCAGGGAAACAAGATATATATCAAGACTATGAAATCGGGAAAAGCAAACCCAGGAAAACTCGGTATGACAGCCACCTTGTAAGCAATCCATCTGTAAACCTAGGAACAACACCCTCTATGATGGCCCCAAATATAAGAGCGGCAAACTCCCGGGCCAAGAGAACACACGACACGCACATAAAACAGCCGAAGCCCATGCCACCTCTACACGTACACTCTCGCTTCGGGAGACTTGATTGCCGGTGGAAGAAACAGACCATACGACGGTTCATGCTGAATAAACCCAATTTCCAAAAGATCTCTATTCCAAAGTTCTACCTAATATACCTATATCCAATAAACGAGTGGAGAATAAACGAATGAATGATTGACAGGGGGTATCGCTCGTTGGCCATGAAAAACGCCATCTATCGATATGTGGTGCGGTTCCAGTAGCCAAAAACCAAGATAAAAAGAAAAGGATGGCAGATGAGAGAAAAAGAAAAAGAAGAAAAGACAGGAAACAAACATGACTACCTAGACAATGATATCTCAAACACAAACCATAACAAAGAAAAGGAAAAGAAAAGAAATGGGACAGAAAAAGAAAAGGAAAAGAAAAAAGTCCCCCAAACAAATTACCCATCTCATCCCTCCAAGATCCCCAACCCCACCCCCGTCAGGTCTTGATCCCGCTTCCTCCTCGCCATCTCCAGATCCGCCCCTTCTTCCTCTCCCAGCCCCAGGCCCAGTCCCACTCCCGACGGCTGGCTCACCTCGCCCACCTGCGTCTCCCCTCTCCAAAGGACACAAACGCCCCACCCGCCAGGAACCCCGGAACCCGGAATCACCTCTCCTCCTCCTCCTCCTCCCGCGCCCCTACTAATGGGCCGCGACGCAGACCCCGTGGACGACGGCCCCACCAGCCCCGACCTAGTCCCGATCCCGGCCGCGGCCGCCGGTATGCTACTGCTCAATTTCGTGGCTCCACCTCCGACCCGGCCTCGGAGCCCGTGTCGTTCCTCCCAGCTCCTCAGCACCCCCGATTCCAACCCGTCCAACCGCGGCGAAGGCTCCGTCTCCACCTGCGACGGCCGTCGGTTCCGTGGTGAGAACAAACCTCCTCGCAGCAGCCCGGGCTGTACAAACGATAGGGATCCCGCCGACCGCGGCGTTGCCCCGGTGGGCGCTAGACGGGCCCCCGTCGCCGTCTTGTTTTCGCTCGTCTGCCTCGACATGGGCTGCGACGTGTACCCGGTCGGCCGGAGCCCCTCGCGCCATAGTAGCGGCATTTCCACACGCGGTAAGCCCGCCATCAGGTCTTCATCGTTGAGGAATGCATCTGCCTGCATCGGAGGCGGCGCCGAGTCTCCCCGCCTTCGCCCCCGCCTTCACCACCAGACACTGGCCCTCGTGCGGCTCTAGCTCCCTGAGCTTCGCCGAGACCCTCACCCTCCTCCCACCGGGGTTGTTGCTGCTGCTGCTGCTGCTGCTGCTGCTGTTGAAACCCTGTGCTCGGCGCCAAGTCCGATCTCGACATGCGCTCCTGGTGATACGCCCAACTCTCCTGACTCGGCGTACGCGTCAGATACGGTGTACCCCGTACGACGACGGCCCAGACGCCGTCGGTGAGCGGAGATCCGGGCTTGCGTGCATCGTCGGCGGAGTGGTCCCCATCGGCCGGGGTGTGTCTCGCACACGCACAGTACTTGCTGAAGGCGACCACGTCGTCGACATCGTACCCCTCTTTTTGCCCCACGTTCCTCTTAATCGCCATCGTAAGCAGCTGCAAGATATTGTGAGACCGGTTATTGTTGTTTCCGTTGCCATTGTTGCTGGCATTGGGGCTGCTGCTCGCCCCGCCCGACACCGCCCCGGCTAGGGACTGGGCCGAGGATATCCTCATCAGCTGCGACTTGGCCTCGCTCCTCCTCTCGCGCTCCGCCCGCACCGCCGCCGCCTCGTCCTCCGTCAGGTCCGACGGCATCGAGTTGAACATCCTCCCCTTGGCGTTGTCGTGCGTCACGTGGATGCGAGGGTCCGCCGCGGGGCCCACCGTTGCCGCCGTCATGCCTCCCATCTCCCTCATTGACGCCTTGCGGTCGTTGTACCGCCGCTCCTCCATCTTCTTGACCGTCCTATGGTGCGCCGGGTCGTCCCTGGATTTGCCCTCACCGTAAAACGGCATTGGCGGCCGGGGCGTCCTGCTGTACTCCGTATCCGACGGGTCCAGGTCTTCTGGTAGCAGCGGCATGGGAATCATGTTGACCCGTGGGTAAGGGAAATCGTGCCAGTCATGGTGAGCCATATCGTCGTAGATGCCGGGCGACTCTACCACCCCGGCCTCCTCGTGGAACACCCAAGCACCAATTCGGCCGTCGCGAGCCCCGACCCCGCCCTCCTCCCCATCCTCCCTCACCGGCGTCGCTCGATCCGACGTCCGCGACGACGAAGAGTCCGAGCAGCTGCTCGACGAGATCTCAAACACCGACTTGGGCACCTTGTCGACTCGCCCGCTCATAATGTCAATCGAGACCACCTTGGTGAGATTCTCCACCGCCACTTCCACCAAGTCCAATCGCTCCTCGAGCTGCAGCTTGCACTCTCCCAAAAGGCTCTCATGCTTCTTCACTAGTCGGTCCACGTGCTTGAGAAGCTGCTCTCCGTGGATCCGGTACCGCCTGTAGTCATCGGGAAGACCCACTCGAGAGCTTCGCCCGATTCGCACGTTGGCCACGTCGAACGAGCGGCAGTACACCGCAATCGCACGCTCCAGCCAAAATGCTATCTGTCGCGAAGACCCGAGGTCGTTTCGGAAGAACCGCTGGATAATGCTGTGGATCCTCAGCGTGTCGAGAAATTCGGGCGCCATGCGCTTGGTATGCCCGTGCCGATGCTTGTTTGGCGACGACGTGTTGGAACCCCCATCGTCTTCGTTCCTTCCCACCAGCGCATACCTAATAAGTATGCTGAGCGTGTTATTGATGCTCTTGCGGTTGAATGCATCGGCCGTCTTGATTGGCGTACGGTTGTCAAGAGCGCCAAGGCCTAAACGATTGACTAGGTTAGAGAGAGAAAAAGAAAAAGATGTCCGACGAAAGGAAAGGAAAGCAAAGGGGAAATAAAAATCACATACCAAGCACCAACATCTCGACCGGGATAATAGGCGCAAAAAAGCACAAGATGTGCACGAGGTTCAAGGCCTCGACCGCGCCACGCCGCTGCAGATCCTCCTTGACGTTCTTGTAGGCATCGAGAATGCCCGCCTCGCGCGTGTGGTTAAACGACCTCGTGTACTTGGCCAAGGGCTCCCGCGTCACCTTGAGGTGCTGGCCCGCCACGTGGATCATGAGGGGAGCCGGTCCATGAGCTCGACCGCCTTGCCCGCCTGGAGAAGGTCAAACTTGTGGAAGGGCGGCTGCTTGCCCATCTCCTCGAGGAGGAGCTCCTGTGCCTGCTCCTTGGAGAGCTGACCGAGCTCCATCAGCATCGGGTTGTCGAACCGGTAGTCTCCCGTCGCGGCCCGGTTGGTCGAGGTGTAGAGGATGCTCGTGTTCTTGGCGTGGGGGATGAAGTCGGGCTCGTGCCGGCCGTCAAAGTGGATGCCGTCAAACACGATAAGCCACCCTTCGAAGCTCTCGAACCAGCGCCGCACAGTCTCCACCATCTTGTTCGGTTCTAAGGCGCCCCGCCGCCACGACTGGTCGTCCGAGTCTTGGATGATCTTGGACGACGCAATCTTCCAAAACGCGTCCGCCATCTCCTGCTCCGACTTGGCCCGAATCCAAAACACCCCGCCCGGGTAGCTGGACCCGTGGATCTGGATATACTGACGGGCGAGGTGAGATTTGCCGCCACCGGGCAAGCTCTGGAGCAGCACCGCAGAGGTTCCGGCGGCGAGGCGGTCCGGGTTCCTCAGGTACGAGTGGAGCTGTTCGAGCTCCGACTCCCGGCCCTTGAAGTACGCGTTGGGCTTAAACTGGTATGGGTGAATGGTAAGCGGTGCCGGCGATACGGCCGGCTGTTTGCCCTTGGCAACGTCCGTCATTGGTTCCGAAGTGGGCGGCGATGCGTTCACCGCCCCCAGATCCGGGGTCGGCGGTACCAGCGTCTCCTGCGCGAAAAGCGTATCTCTTGGTGAGGAGGTTGTACGCTAGGACCTAGACACGGATCGCGTTAGTTAGCCGGGCAACACAGGGGAGGGAGCCCGCCATGGGCAGCCATGCGGGAAAAACTAGGGGATTTCGACATACTTGCGACAGGGTGTGCGGGGAGCGGAGAGCCCTGATCAATCGTTAGCCTGGAGCGCGCAGGCTCACCACCAGCTTGGGAAACCAGACGTACCAGTTGCTTCGCCATCTGGTTGAAGGCGTTCATCGCCCGGGCATTCCTTTCTTCCTCCTCAAGAGTCCATCTCATCTGAATCGAGTCGGGCGCTTCTTGAATCCAGTCTCGTATCGCGCTCGAGACGTTGGAGTACCCGGGCGATTCTGCCGTCTCGAACTTGCACATGGTGGAATGAGTGGCTTCGATGCTGTAATACGTTACGCCCGGCAATTGTGGGCCGGCCGATTTGTTGTCGACAACATAATCGCTAGAGATCCGCCACAGTCAGTCAGCATCGCGAGAAGACGGAGGGTAGAATAACTCGGGGAAAGAAGGAGATAAAAAGAGAGGCGAAGACTAGGAAACAAAACCTACACCGTGTATTTTAGGTCCGTCTTCTTGTTCTCCCGGACCATGTGAATCTTGAAACGCTGGTATATGTCGAGGAAGTGATTATTAATCTCTTGCAAGACGACGTTGTCCTTCTTCAGCGTCTTTAAGAGCACGGGTTCCGTGTTGAGTATTTTCTTGGGCACGACCCCGGACATGGCCTGCAGGATGCGGCCCCACGAGGCGAGATTAGAACCCGTGTGCGGCGTACCGAGGAAAATGATGCCGTAGGTCGACACGTAGAGGGAGCGCTGGATCTCGAGAGCCGGGTCGCGCACGTCGTTGGAGTAGAGGAGCGCCCGCTTCAGCAGGATACCGCCGAGGCTGTGGCACACCCAGATGATGGGGTTCGGGGGTGCCGGCGTCACGCCGGTGCGTCGTGAGCGATGTTACCAGGTCCTGCGCATGCTGGTAGACAAAGTTCTCGGACGGCGAGCTGTCCTTGGTCCAGGACGCCACGTCCGCGTTGTACCCGTATACTATGATGTTGGCCGGGGTGTTGATGAGCGAAGGCACCAGGAGCTGCAGAGGCCAAAAGACGTCGTTCTTGCCCGTCCAGGTGTGGGCTGGGCCGCCGTTGAGGCCATGGACGAAGATGATATCGGCGGTCGCGCGGGGTGGGAGTAGACGGTCGTGGCCTCGAAGCGCTTGATCAGTTTCGGGTTTATCGTTGTCTGTAGATCCACCATGTCAGTTTGAAGCGGAGGGAAAAGAAAGGACGAAGAAACGAGAGCCCCGAGGATCTGAAGGCTCGCCTAGACGAGCGCGCAGGTTTTTTTTTTTTTTTTTTGCTTCCACTATTTGACTATTCTTTTTCTTTTTAATACGCAGGACGCGCAAAGCTCTTGGGCGAGAGCACTAAAGCGCCACGATGGGGAGCTCGATAATGTCTAGTAGATAGTGGGGGCGGCATGTGGTGATAACGGCACTATCGGGCGCGGGGAAACAACCACCCCTCCAAAAGCACAAGGGAAGGCGACGGTGCCGGCGGGGTGGAAGCGGGAGCTAAAAAGGAACGTGCAGAACTTACCATCTTGGCAGGATAGACGGCATTGTATTCACAATCTCACCGGCAGGAAAAGGGCCAGATGTTGGCCAAAATCAACAGATTAACAAGGAGAGAGAGAGAGAGATAAGTCGGGTTGTTGTTGGTGATGCGATGGGCTTCAAATGTTTGCTCAACGGCCTAGGATGTTAATACTAATCGGGCTGCGGTGTGCTGTGGAGGAGGAGCTGTGGTTGAAGAGGGGAGGGAAGGGAAAGATTCAAAAAGGAGAATTCTTGGGAAATGCAACGTCGAGCTGAAGGTCGAGACTTGTTTAAATTAATTTGATGGGTCCGGGCTGCAGGATGATGCAGGAGGATTCAAAGTCCTGGGATGGGACGGGGAAAGGGACCCCTCGTTTATATTCCACTTCCTGTCCAGAGGGCGGTGCGGTGAAGGCAAGACTCCCTCACCACTCATCGCTCTCATCTTCTCAGAGCCCTGTGACGGATTTTGCGGCTTGCGCTCAAGACCCCTGTGCACAAGAGAAAAGAGGAAATAAGGTATAGAAGGAAGTAATGAGAAAAGGAGCGAAGCCCTGAGGAAATGGCAAAAAAACAACAACAAGACACAAAAATCATCAGTGTTACGGAGAAACATCTGTGCGTGCTGAACTCGAGGCAACTAGGCTGCGATCTTAACATGTAAAAATCGTAAGCAGCAGAGCATATCCCGAGATAGCTTGATAGTTCACTTTTGTGCATCCATCCATGGACGTGTGGTTACCAGCCCCCGGGACTGGCGGAACACATCAAATGGAGCTCGAGGCAAGAGCCTGGCTGCACATCCTTCAAGGGCGGATGGGTGGCCACCGAAGCATCAGTCAGTCCACCTGCTCGCTCGTGCCGTCACTGGTATAATGAGGCCGGCGCAATGGCTCTAACCGACCGGATGGCGATGGCGATGGGTCGTGGTGTGACTCGGAGTCAACGACCGACGACGAGGAAAACACCGTTTCCATCTCTCTCGCGCCTAGCGAATCATCGAGGCGGTGGGGCGGGCCATCATTGGGCGCTCTCTCTAGTGCTAGTAGTTGCCCTCGTGGTACAAACCGATCTGCCTCGAGGGATTGAGCAAACATCTCTCTACAGCTGAAGTCCTAGGCACCTGTATAGTTCGTCGCTGTTTGCGAAATACATTTCCCCTTGCTCATCGCCGCTATGTTTGCAGAGCCTCGACGGAGCGTGACAGGTGACTGAGTCCGCGAACAAGAACCGCCGCGTCACCTTCTCACGCTCAAAGAGCCAATGAATTTCGGTGGAGGTGGCCCCAAGACGCGATCGTTGTTTGCAAGCCCCATCGCATGAAAGGCTGCTGGGGCGCGGCGGCCCAAGTCCAGCCTTTGGTTCAGCCTTTGGTGTGGTCCTAGTAGTCCTGGCCATGCATGCTCGCCGTGCTGCCCCTCCTCCCAAGAGATCTCGCCGCGCGCTCGCTGCTGGGGGATGTTGTAATCGCACACGACAGCGAACAGCGAAATTGAGGCCCTCGGCCTCGACGCACCACCTCCATCTACCACCTACCTTTCTTCGCATCACGCCAGCCAGGCCAAGTGGTAATTCTGGAAGAATTAAGACGGCACGGGATTTCAAACAGCCCGGCCTCTCCCCACCCTCCCGCCCTCTTCCTTGAGGGGCAGTTCAGAAGGTGGATGGGAGTGAATAGCCAATGATGCGCAATGTGTAGCCACCCTCCTTGGCCAGCTGGGTCTCCGCCCCTTCGTTTCTTCTTTGCCAGGGTTTCATCTATCCGCAAAGGGTTTTGGTGATCCAGCCAGGTGTAGGCGACGCTCCGCCACAAGCAACAGCCATCCAGTCAATCCAATAAAGGTGGCTTCACAAGCACTGTCACCAGTCACCCACCTATCAAAGGGGAAAAGAAACCCCGTGTTTTGGGGACCCTCGCAGCCTTGGTGTGGCAATTTTTGTGTTTAAGCCTCCTTTCTGGGTGGCCCTCTTCCGGGGCTAGGACCTCTGTGCCCCGGTGGCGGTTCGAGGCGTGGAGGTCAAGTCAAGGCCCCGCACCCTCTAGATTACCTTTCCTGTGCATTCGCCAATCCTCCCGTCCACGGTCCGCTCGGCCATGCAGGCTGACCACCAAGGCTCGGTATTACATTCAATTTATTACCCGTTGATTCAGCATTCCCATTCTGGAGCAGGAGGGTGCAGGCACGGCGAAGAACATGTCCACTCTCCAGTCATTTCAGAATTGCCACATATTTCTTGTCGTTGAAGGGTCGGCGGATGAACTAAAGGCGGATATCAATGTCAGCAGTAGAATCACGGTTTGCAGCTTTGACTTGCTGCTGAGAGCACCACGCGGCTCGTTTTGACCGCCTCGTTACCCTAGCCTTCTCACGAGCAAGTGGATTTCGCCCAAGAGGCCACCCACTACCGACGGATAGTGCGGAAGCGATCATCAGGCGTCGAGAAAAATTGAAACGGGCTAGGGTAGGGACGAGGGCTAGAGATCGCCTTGCGAGGAGCGCTTCACGGCCCCGAGACCGAGATATATGGGGCTCTAGCCAGCCCATGAGGCCGAGAAAAAAAAAAAAAAGAAAAATGGGAAGAATCACATGGGAATATGGCCATCGTTTCGTCGTTAATCGTGCCACGATCGAAATCCCTAGCCCCAGGGCCTCGAAACTCTCTGAAAGTTGATACCTTGTTCGGAATAATAAGTGGCGCCCATTAGTCTATATATCGAGAGGGCAAAGGTGGTCCTAAGAAGAGGGACGCCAGCTCAGAGCCCTCCCTCCTGACAGAGATGGGGCACACCGAAAATGCCAGTTAAGGGCATCCCCGCCGTTTTCTCGCCCCAGACTGCCTTCAGGGTTGCGTAGGCCCATCAACTCTTTGTCAGGGCGCACCACATGTATGACCCTGCGAAGCGAATGCACAATTGAGCAGGGCTCGAACGGTTGGAATTTCTTACACGTATTAATAGGTTCCTAATCTGGTGAGTCTTCCTAATAATGGAAGAGCGAACAACATCGCGCGTCTGGGGTGGCGAAGTCCCGACCGCTGAGCAACGCAGGTTACCGATTCAAGGCATTGCAGATGCAGTACCCAACTTGCAGCTTTGGGCTTTCAACATCCACACCAACCGATCGTGCTGGATCGGGGAGCTTCAAAGCATTCGGTGGATTGTAGTATGGTGCCCCGGGTCGAAAGAAGAAAACATAAAATCAACTAGAAGGTGCCACAATCTGCGAGAAGCCCCCAAGATCAAGATCAAGAGCAAGCTGCATCATTGATGTTTTTGTTCCTGAGGCTCGCTACTCTTTCGGTCCTCGTCCATCTAACTCTTCGAGTCAGGGCTTGCGGGTTGAACCTACTGCATATTCGTTGTGCTTCGCCAAGCTTATTCGGCGTCTGGGGACGGAACCTGGTGATTGGAAGCGCAGAAAGCCTCATGCACATATTAGATCCTTCGGCCTTTGATCAGCCTGACTCGATACGAAGTAAGTCTCCGTGTCCGCATTCTCACTGCTCAGGCTTGAATCCCAAGCCACCTTCCGTCCTCGACCCTGTTTGAATGGGGGAGGGACATGAGGGGTTCGGGTTAAGCGCAATAGGAGCAGTTGCTCCAGGCCCCCGCGCGAGGCCAGAAACTGAATGACTTCATCCCTTGTTCCGTAGTGTAGTGATATGGTGAGGTGGTGATGGATGGATTGATTCCGCTTACGGTGAACATGTGCCCCACCATTTTCGGTGGGTCGAGGCATGGTCGATAATAATGATCGCTCAAGTCGTTCCTTCCTCCCTTAGCTTCCCAGCTGCTTTAAAGAACTTCCTTTGGAGGACTAGTTCAATGTGAGTCGTAGCTGCCATTGTTGATTTAGTCCTCAGTCTTGAAGGTGGCTCCTGCTCCCAGAGCTCTATTGCCTGTTGTCCGTCCTCAATTGAACTGTCAGGAGATTGAGGGGAAGGGCCTCGACGGAATCCGGCCGCGCACATCAACCTGCTCCAAGAGACCAGTAAGACCCCTTTGATTCAAAGACGAAGTCGAACGCCGACTCAATACTCCGCAGCTTCAGGCGGGGAGTGATAGATCATCCCGTTTCTTATCCTCCCCTGGCCATGTGCCACGCGACAGCCCCTAGTGCTGTTCGTAGACGATATACCCCTTGTTTCTTCCCCTCTCCAACGAAGGACAGATTTATCCCCCTTCCCCTTACGAGAGCTCAAGAAGGATTATATGATACTTGTAAATACTCGAAGCCAGCTGGAGCCTTTCCGACTTGGCGCCACAAACAGTAGTATCCAAAGCTTGGGCTCATTTTGAGAAAACGTGCCCGCAGTATATACATGGGAGTTTCTCAGGGGTTTCCAAGAGCAAGGGTTGGCTTCTAGATGACTGGTCATTTGGAAAATCAATCGATTGATCCATGTAGCTGGCACGTCGCTAACATGTTGGTGCAACAGTGAGTGCATCCTGACCATCTGCTGCAGTCGAAAAGAGGCCGAGGGAGCAAGGATTGCTCCTGGGGTGGTTGTGGGGGAACACACAAGTTCACCAATATCAATTCGGTTCGGTGAATCGACCGAAATTCTCTGCATTCCATGGAATTCAATATGCGCAACATTCAGCTCTCCGTAAGGCGGGCTCATCATGTTAAGCCCATTTGGCTGAAATGTTTGTTTAAGTCTATTTGGTTTAATGTTTTGCGACGCGAGCAGCCCTAGGACACTAACTACTTCAAGCAACCAGCGTAATTACTTTCATACCAAGGATCCAGCTAACCCTGATGGAACGGGGATGGGTCGAGTTTAGACTTTGAAATGTACCTCGAGTGCTCTCCTTGGCCTCCTGATCAGCGATTTCTACGAGGCTTAACCGTCGCCGGGCGCTGCTAGTGAACCACTGATCCCCCAAGCCATCAGCTCCATGGATTAATACAACGACATGTGGCAAAATCCCACAGCGGGAGATGAACCCACATACACACAGACACCTCTACCTTTTCGACAGTCCACGGACTCGACCCGCTAGAAAAGCTCAATTCTAGCCTGATGTGGCATTTTCAGTAGTGTATGTACACTACATCAATGGAATATCGATAGCCCCCGTGGCGATGAAGAGAGAGCGCCCTGTCAACCCAGTGCGCACAAGACAAATCGCCGTCCTATATACGTGTGGTCTCGGCGATACTTTTACGCAAATTCGACGGGTTGCTTTTGTTGAGGTACGAGTGGGCTCGATTGATTTGGCGCTTGACTGATAGAATGATCGGGGGCTCCTCGGATCGCATCTCCCCTCAATAACTTCAAGTCGCCTGGGACGTACCACCACAATCGGGGAGGGCGGGGAAACAAAGAACACTCAGTCAGGACACAAGGGGACAGACGCGGACTAAAATTCCTCGTCAATATCCTTTCGTAACCGCAATGATGCGCTGAGAGTCTTGGTGCGACTTGGCTTGCTTACTCTCTTCAAGCCAAGGAGCCGTCACCAATATTGACTAGTGCACGGCCGGGCATTGCTGGGCGCTGGGTCGACGCTAAGAGCGCCCGGAACCTCTCCGAAGGGCCAGAAGAGCCAGCCAGTCACCAGGCCTTCCCCTTCTAGTCTCAAACCCCCGGCCATCGAAGCTTGACCTGCATCTGAAGCGACGTCGTGCAGGCCAGAGCATCTCCAACGGGAACGAGAATGTTACCACACATCGGCACAATCCTTCATCGTTTGTCGAACATGCGAATATCCACGGAACCAACGGGGGCCACCCCCAAAAGAAAAATCTCGCGTCCCATCCCCCGAGCCAATAATGAGGGTCCCAGCAGGGTGCAGCCCACGACGTCAATGGATCTTGCGTGACGCTAATGAGCGAGCAACCTTGTCGCCTCGACCCCGTCTAATCTTGTCTTGGACCACGAGGCTTGGTGTACTTGATTTCTGTTCTTCCTTCTTCCTATTGCTCCTTCTCCTTCTCCTTCTACTTGTCCTTCGAATACTTCTTCTGCCCTGGGACTCGTCTGAGCGCCGCCAAAAGCAGGTATGGCGCTCATGGTATTGCCATTTAGTTCAGCCCAGTTTTAGCACTTGAGCCACATTCTTGGATCCCTCCCTAACCCTGAGGTTTCCAAAACGCTCCGGGTGGCGGCCTGAGTCGGACAGCGCTCTGCATACCCCTTGCCTGAGTTGCAGAGCCTTGGCTTGCAAGTGACGGGGGATCCATGGTTCGAGGGCTTGGAGGGTTCGAGGATTGGTCCACACATTAATGTCGACAAGGTACGAGGTACTCAAGAATAATAGTGTAATCTGTTTTTGTTCTTTCCGTGTCCTTGCCCCGGAGCGACTTGCGCGCAGACGCTTGATCCTCGTCTTGCCCCATTCTCCAGCTTTGGCTTGAAGGATTTTAGGTTATTAAGAAGAGGAACAAGGAACAGCAGAAAAACGGGACAGCTTTCCGAACGCGATGTGACTTGACCACTCGGCGCGCAGCCTCCCACACCACATCACACCCCCATCCCCTTGCCCTCGCCCTTCGGCCTCGGTTCCAGGAAGCCAAAGAAGAAACGGAAACGAGGGATGTGGCCTGCCCTTCAGGGCGTGTTTGAGCGCGATGAATTTTTAATATAGTTCCCGCCCACACACCCCTTCCCTGTCTCATCATATCCCCATATCCCATCCCATCTCGTCCTGTCTTTCCTGGCTTCCTAGGAAGACAATGTATTATTCTCCCGTCCATCCTATCCTTTTCCCTCCACGCTCTCCCGTTGGACTCCTTCGATTTCCCGCCCCGCACTGATCGTCCATTCCTTCGTCCTTTTTGTGGGTTTCTTCTTCTTCCGCTGTTCTACTTTATTTTTATTCCTGTTTCTTCGGCTCCCGGAAGAGAATTGCGAAACCCTTTCTTCCCTCCATTCTTGGATAGTCGAGGCCACCTTTTGCAGACGACGAACGAGAGGGGAGAACGAGTAGAAGGGTCGAGCAGAAGCCAAACAAAAGCAGCCATTCTTCAAAATGGACGACTTCCGGGCCAAATCATTGGAGATTTTCAACCTCATCCGGGATTTGACGTCCTTTGAGGGTGAGGATCGCGGTCCGACAACACGATTTCTCATCTGGAACCTATTATTCATCGCCTTGGGAGCAGTGGGCACGAGAGAATACAAAAATGTGAAGCTGCGAACGAGACAAAAACAGTCCTGGACGGCCTGGGCGGCCTTGGTCACAAGTGTAAGTTGGCATTGGCGCAGATGATGATCTCTCTCCTTTTGCATGCTTGTCAGGGTCGAGCATCCTATGGCTTGCACCCCCATTCACCCTCAATCAAGGCCCGGGGCCACCAAATTTCAGCGCGAGCGAAAGGAAGGTCAAGAGAAACAAAGACAAATAGCTAAAGACGGTGCTTTTCCTCCCCCTCCCTATAGGTCATGCTATTGCTCTCCTGCGTCCTCGAATCGCGCGCCATCTCCCTCGGTCACGGCAGACACGCTTCTTCCCTTTACAAGGAAGAGCTCCTCTCCATTGCAGTAATTTCACGCCTTGCCGACATGTTCGTCACGCTCTCCATCTTTTGGAGCAAGCTCTTTGCCATCTCCGTCCTCCAGCCCAACGTTTCCTCGGCGGCTCGCCTCCGCCTGCTCCTAGACGTCGTCATCGTTGCTTCCGCCCTAGGGATGGCCGCAGCTACTGTGCTCGCCAGCGTGCCCGTCGATAAGGTGTACTGTCCCGCGGGCGGAGAGGCGTGCGTCTCGCTCGAGACTTTTGTCTTCGCGGCCAAGACTTTGACCGGTACGTTGCCTTGGTACTCTTCTCCTCACTCCCTCCCGCTCCTCCCCTCTCTCATTCTTTCATCGGACGGGGAGAGGATGGTACGTGGGAAAGGGGGAGTTCTTTTGTCTTTTTCTTAATCTCTAACACCCGAGCCGGTATAGCGTACTCGTGTGTTTTAAACATTATTATTGTGTCTGCGGCCGCAGTGGTTGTTTCTAAGCTATTGCTTGAGCGAAAGCAACTGGCTGGAGCCATTGTTGTTGTTGCCCTTGGTGCATGGTGAGTATCCCACCGAACGATGGGACTTTGAAAAATTGCATTTTGCAACTTGCCGCTGACAACCTTGAATCTTAGCTCTACCGTCGCCGCCGGTGTGAGACACTCTAAATATTCCGAACTAGACGACGGTGACTTCACCTGTGAGGCCTCCCCCACCCGAAATCCCGAATAAGCACCGGGCGACAAGAGCTAACAAGATTTTCCTCGATAGATCACGGCGCGTTCATTCTCCTCTGGAGCGCCGCCGAGGCCGCCCTCATGACGGTAGCGGCCAGCCTACCGAGCGTCCACCCATACCAGAAGAAGAACACCGCCGGGCGCCCCTCGAGCCCGCCACCCGAGGCCGTCCCGCTTCGAAACAGGCGCGCGAATCTCGATGCCGAGAGAGGCCAGAGCAGTGATACAGATCTGCAGGAGAGCGAGGTACTATATCGGTCCATGGTACGAGCGGGTCTATTATAACATTGACCGCGAAGTCTCCCCCTCCTCCTTCGACGTCTTCATCTTTTATCATTATTACTTTTTTCTTTTCTTGCTCCCCTTTTACACATTTTTAGAGCGTATAATATCCTCGTTGGCCTCGACCGGAGAGGCTCGGTTTGTGCGGCGCGGCGTTTAGTGGAGAACTTCCGATAAGGAAGGGCACTTGTTGAACAAAATCTTGCGAATACCCTCGGTGTTTTTTTCTTTCTCTATTTTTGTTTGGGTATTTCTTCTTCTTCTTTTTCCCCGTTGTCATGCTGGGGGAAAGTTACCTAGGGATTCTCTTTATATACACTAAGAAGCCGATTTTCCTGCTCCTTATCTACCTTCTTCTTCTTCACTGTATAACTGTAAATCACACAAAAATAGAGCTATCAACATCTATTCCCGGTGCCGACTATCCTACAGCACGGCACAATGATGCGTCCACGCTCGGACAAAAGTAGCTTTCCTCCCTTACCTCCCAGTTACTTCTTATCCAGCATCACCACGTACTCCCTCGTGCTGTCGCCAAGCCGAATGACATCCTTGCTCCTGAGCTCAGTATACCGCCTCTCCTCCAACTTTTCACCATTGAGAAACGTGCCGTTGGCGCTCTCGAGGTCGAGCAGGTAGGGCTTGACGGCGCCGCGACGGTCGCCAAACTGGTCGGTGGACTCGACGTAGCGGAACTGGACGACGCAGTGCTGCTTGCTCAGGCTAGGGTGGTCGGCGCGCAGGTCCACGACGGCGGCCTCGCGGCCCACGAGCCAGCAGCTGCGCATCCCGAGATCCACCTGATCCACGACGTCCGGGCCCTTGAACACGAAGAGTTTCCAATCCTCGCGGGAGGGGTTTCCGCGCCTCGGGCGGCTCGTGGTACTTGAGCCGCACGGCCGTGCCGTCCGCCAGCACGACCTGGTTCGACGCGGCGGCGAGCAGGCCCGTGGGGAAGTAGTTGGGTCTCTCCTTTTCCGGGGGCGGGGTTCGGCGCCCGGCTGGGCGAGGGCAAAGGATTGGTTCTGCGAGGGGAGGGGCCCGCCGCGTCGGAGGGGCTCTTGCGCCGCCGCGCGCGATGATGATCTTCCTCGTCTTCGTTGTGGGCGGAGCGGGATCTCGGCCGCTTGTCTCGGGGCTGGGGTCCTTGTTTCTGTTTTCTTTCTCCCTGGTTCTGTCCTGGCGGTCTCGGTCTCGGTCTCGGTCCCTGTGCTTCTCGCGATGGGACCTGTCTCCGCCCTCGTCGCCCCGCCGCGCCGCCGCCGCCTTCCTGCCCGGCGACCGCGACCGCGACCGCGATTTTCTCTCCTCCTGCGCCTCCGCAGACCGTGATCTCCGCCTCTCGCGCGACCTACGCCGCTCCACCAGCGTTGTCGTCCCCGTACCCGCTATCGCAGCGTCTTCGCGCCCTGTTCGCGCGGCCCTCGCGCCGTCCTTGTCCCGCTCTCGCTCCCCGCGACGACGGTCCTCCCCGTCTCTGCGTCCGCCTTCTTTCCGGTCCCGTCTCGAGCTCGAGGAGTAGTGTTCGTCGTCCCGCCGGCGGCGACTCGTCCTGTGGGGTTCGTCCCCGCGCGCCTCATTGTCCGAGGGCATGGTTCTTTTTTCACTGCGCAGGGCGTGTCGGGAGTCCTTTTTGGTGCTGGTGTTCCCTGTTTATTCCTCTTCTTTCTCTTCCTCGACGTGGGTCGTGATAAATGGGCGCTATGCGGCTTTGTCGAGGAAAGGAAGAAGGGGTGGGATGAGGAGGGGAGGTTGAATTGAAATGGAAGAGGATGGGTGAGCGGCAAAGTTGGTGATGTTGAATTACACTCTCGAGAGACCTTGAGAAAGCTCCCCACAGCTCTTTCGAATTGGTTGGATTTCTGGAGCTCTCAAAATCCGCGAGATGTCCATTAGTCATCACAGCACCACTACGACAATTCTCCTGGCACGCAACTCTACACTAGACATTGATATTACAGGCGGCTTTGGAATCCAAGCAAAGAGATATATTCCAAGAGAAAGCGAGAAATAGCCCCGTCTTTCCAATCTTGCACGAATTCTATTACAAGCGCTTTTGGGCACCATTTTGGAACAAGCGATGATATAAGAAAAAAGTGAAGGGGAGAGAAAGGTCCAAAATAAAAAAGAAAATCGAGAAGAAACGCAATGTGGCTGGAACTGCAGTGCTCACTTCCCTTCACCATCCCGGTAATCCAGACCCTCCACCGTCATGTCATGCTTCGTCCAAGTTTTCCAACCCCCTGTTCTCCCAACCCGCCAGGCAGGATTATATGGGGCCTACGAAAGCGTAAACTCTGGTATCTCTCCCATATCCTGCTTGGGAACGCCGTTGGATTTGTAGGCGACACGCCATCGTAGCTTCACAGCCTCGACCTTACGATCCCGGGCCCCAGCATACCATACGGCAACATCCTGCCTTAACCCACCTTGTTGATTGGGCTGCAACGCCCTTCCAGACTGAGGTTGGAGCTGGAGCTCAAAGGACTAGACAAATCCGTGTTAGACGTCTTATCTTCTTGAGGGTGAATTGGAATGGGACCCTCTCTTCTCTGACATCCGTAGATAGAAGGAAGAGAGAGTGAGGGCGGTAAGAGACTAACCTTGGGCGCGGCGAGCTGGAAGTGTAGCTCCGTAACTTGCTCGGGGGTGTTGTTAGAAAATAAGAATGAGCTCCGGATGGAGTTACCATCCCTCAATGCCTTCATCTCAATCTTGATCATCTTGTTGCTGACGATCGCAGTATGCTCCTTTGGCTCGGGAGGCAACGCAGAGGAAAACGCCCAGTCGTCATCGTCATTCGCCGCTGGCGCGGCAGCGGGGACGGCAGCGGGGGCGGCAGGAGCGGGAGTCGTTGATGCAGAAGGCGAGGAGACACCCATGAGACCCGCAAATGGGTCGGATGCAGGCGCAGATTGGGGAGGGTTGAAGGCCGAGTATGCCGGTTGAGGCGTAGCAGAATTCGAGGCAGGAGGCGAGGTGAAGGAGGCAAAGGGTGTCGACGGTCCCCTGGCGCTGTTGTTTTGCGTCACCGAAGAGAGCAAGGCAGGTCCCGGAATGTCTAGAATCACGATTAGCTTCGGAAAAGCAGGGGGTTCCCGGAAATCGTTGGACGCGACTTACTGGTGTTGGCGCCGAAACCCAACGCAATGCTTCCCGTCTGGCCCAAGCTAGATGGTACAGGTTCACCAATGTTAAGGCCGAGGAGGTCATCATCGAGACCACCTGGAGTCGAGGCGACAGGTGGCGCTGCGGAACTGCTTGAAGGGGCCGAGCCTGAAGTGTCTGCGTCAAAATCGATGAGCGAGAGCTCTTGGGCGGCCGACTTGCGGGAGGAGCTGCTGGCGGTCGGTATCGGGGCGCCGCTCGCAATCTTGGCCGCACCCTCGATATCGCCCTTCTTCATCATCCTATACCGCTCCACGGTCCGGTGTATGCTATCGTTGATCTCCAAAAGCTTGGCGACGGCTTCGTGGTCTTCCGATTCTTCTTCGCACATCTTTTGGATCTTGGGCTGGGCGCTCGATAGGGATGAGGCGAGCTCTTCAAACACGTCGCCCTCCTTCATGGTATCGCCAGGCTTGAAGGCCTCTAACCTTTCCTCGAGCAAGCGGGCCTTGGCCTGGATCTTGGCTACCTCCTCGGCCGCCTTTGCGCGATAGTCGGTCTTGGATCGGGTGTCGAACCCGGCCATGACCTTCATCAGCCGGTTGGCTTCTTGTAGGTCTTGCGGAGTACCCCGTCGGATGAGTTCTTGGAGCTTGGCGGATTGCGCCTCGCGCTCCTCTTCCTCCATCTCCTCGGCCGATTTAAGATTCTAGAGGACGGGTAAAGAAACAATCAGCGCCGGCGCTTCACGGTGAAAGGGAAAAAAAGAAAACGGAAAAAAAAAGGGAGGGTCGCAAGGATATAGACTTACATCGCTAGGATTCAAGACGGCAGCATCTTCGCGGCGCACCTCGGGGAAGGTGTAGCCTTTGTAGCTGAGCAATCGGTGCATGTCCCGAATGAAGCCGAAGTCGTCCTTGTACTTGCTCGTCTCGCATATCGTGCCCCGCCACTCCTCAATGGCCTCGAGTATCTTTTGCTGGACCCTCGAGGCCCGTATGGGCGGGCGCTCGGGGAACCTCCGGACCAGCTCGTTGAGGAACTCCTTGGTGCTGATCTGTAGGTGGAAGGGGTAACCGCAGTTCTTGACGCAGATGTCGAGCAGGTGCAGCGCGAGGAGGGCCACGTTGGCGTTGCGGTGGTTGATGTAGCTGACAATCGTGTTGGCGGCCTCGCGCGGCGCGGTCCCCTTCTTGGAGTTGATGAGGTCGGCGATCTCGAGGCACACGGCGAGGTTGGGCTCGTAGTTTTCGGGACTGCAGGCGGACTGGATAAAGTGCTGGAGCTGCGACGGCGTGGGTCGGCCAAAGTCCGCCCACCGGTCGCGGGCCGCCGCTCTCGCTGATGCCGCCTCCATCGTGTTCTGCTAGGGCCGTTGGTTTTTCGGAAGTTTTGCTCCTGCCTCGTCCTCTCCCGTTGCGGGTTATCCCGGTTGTCCGCTTCGCAAGGTCCTAGCCCTTTGTTCCTTTTTCTTTTTCTTTCTTTCTTTCTTCCCTCCCTTCCTTTTTCAAATCTCAATCATCCAGGGGACTGGGTCTCCGGATGGTGGGAGCTGCGCCGGGCGTGGGTCGAGGGGAGGGGTGTTCGAGCGAGGGCAAGTTTGAGGGGGTTTCCGGGTGGGAAGAGGGAGCAAGTTTGAGGTGGGGTGTGGTCGGTTGGCGCAGGAGCGTAATGTCAGGGTGGATACCGTTTATGGGTGCTTCAGCGTTCAAATGTGCTCGGCTCGGCGGACGCGGGTGGGGTTTTTAGCAGGGAAAGAGCTCTTGGATGGCCTGAACGAATTACATCAATTGATCAACGGGCTTCGTTGATCTTCCTCGAGAATACCGGGCATTCTTCCTATCTTTCCAGGCGCCGAGAGCCAAGACAGCTCAAGTGCTCCTAATACTCGAAAATCAAATATGGAGGCATTTGCGATCGCCTAGATTTTATTTTAATTTTTTATTTCTATTTTCTATTTTCTTCTCTAGAAGAAATGTCCAGGGATTCTAGAAGACAACAGAACCATTTGAGGCTGAGTACAGCACCAGGTTTCTACTCTCAATTCGACTGCCTAGGATAAGCAGGATAAGACCACATCGGAAATGGATCCATCTAGCCATGGATCATTCCATCATTTCTGTGGACGGCAACGGCAATTGGCTCGTCTTGGCCTTTGCCTGCGGACACCTCTCGCTGAATATGTATCAATTCAATGGCCTGCCCATTTGGGCTTGCGCAAGAGGGCGGCTTGCCCCACCCCATCCATGACGCCCCTGGAGGAACGACTTCGGATCAACAATATTCCTTTGCTGCCGTCTTGCCATCCAAGGGCATTTATTATTGCGCTACTTACCCGTGAGCGATCAATTTGATAGGGGAGCACAGGCGAGTCAGAGGCTAGTCAGCGCGTCACCATCGCTGCCCTTGTGGCGTTTTCTGGTCCTTGGGGAGCTCAACCCCACCATGCTATGCCAGTCATGGAAAAACGACTCATGGTTTTTCTTTTTTTCTTTTTTTTGGAGGGGCACGATAAACTCGCGACTTCCGTCCAGTAAGCAACATGAACATTTGACACTTTCATCACTCATAAACCACGCCTTGAAACAATCGTGCAACCGTACACACAGTTTCTTTTTAAGCTTATTTCCTCATACCCTTGCTACTCCAAGTTCAACTCCCCTCGCCCAAAAATGGTCCGCCATAAGAAGGACAAATTCACCAAGGGGAAAAGACCCCACCACGGTCCCCGCGACCCCGCGCCGGCGGCGACTCCGGCTCGCAGCCCGAATTCAAAGCCGCCTGCTGGGATCTCGGCCACTGCGATCCCAAGCGCTGCTCTGGCAAGCGCCTGCTCAAGCTGGGGCTTATGCGCGATCTCCACGTCGGCCAACGCTACAATGGTGTCGTCATCACCCCCAACGGCAAGAAGACCCTGTCTCCAGCCGACGCCGAGCTGCTCGTGCAATTTGGTGTGGCCGTCGTCGAGTGCTCCTGGGCGCGCATGCAAGAGATCCAGTGGAACAAGGTCGGCGGCAAGTGCGAGAGGCTGCTGCCCTACCTGGTTGCGGCGAATACAGTCAACTACGGGAAGCCGTGGAGGCTGAACTGCGCCGAGGCGCTGGCCGCCGCCATGTGGATTTGTGGGAAGCCCGAGTGGGCGCGGGAGGTTATGGAACCGTTTGCCTACGGCGAGGCTTTTATCGAAATCAACGAAACCCTCCTAAATAAATACGCCGAATGCGAGGACGAGGAAGGCATCAAGAAGGCGCAGGAGGAATGGATGGCGCGACTAGAGAAGGAATACGCGGATAGCAGAGAAGACGATAAGGATATGTGGACGAGCGGGAATGTTAATCGGAGAATTATGCCACGTTCTGACGAGGAAGACGATGATGACGACGACGACGAAGATGGCGACCGCGACGGAGACGAATCAGACGCTGCCAGCCACGAAGAGGACGAGATAGACGGCATATACCTTGGCAAGAAGCCCGAGCCGACCAAAAGCCAGCCCCACACGAAGAGGAGGAACGGGATCGGTACGCGCTATCCGACGACGACTCTGACGACGACGCGGCCATGGCCGAGATCAGACGCAAGGTCCTAGCGTCCAAGGCCTTTACCGGCACAAACTCCGCCGACGACAAACGGAAGCCCGAAACCATCTCTCGGCCGCAAGAGGAGCCACTACCTAAACCAAACCGCGGCGCGAACCCCAAGTCGAATCCGGATCCGGGTCCGACTCCGACGCTGGCGGGGACGACGACGATGATGGCGATGATGAGTTTGACAAGCTCATTGATGCTACGCCCAATACCGATAAGCTGGGCCTCGAAAGGCTAAAAAGGAAAAGGATCGCGCGGCCGCGAGCAGGACGATATCGCTGACGGCGACGGGGAGCGCAAATACTACTAGGTCGCGTTTCCCCACGGTTGAAAAGGGGGTTTGGTTTGCTTGCTTGGTGTGCATCGTGAGACTAGCAATCGCATCCATGTTTGCATCCAACGGGGAAAAGAAAGGAGAGGGTGCCAGCGTATCATACAGACCTATAGATTCAAAACTGGATAAATCGGCCTGGGGTATCTCCTTGCAGCATGAACACGTGCAAATTTCCCTTCAATATCAAGAACATTGAAACTTACTACTAAAAAGAAGCTCCGCGTAGCTTCTCCCTCTGGGGCCTCATTCGGAAGGAACGAACCTCCTACTCGCTCTCGCGCTCCTTGGTCCCTCACCCACCGTCCCTCATCCCTCATCCCTCGCTCCTTCCTTGCCACCTTTCTCCGCCTACGGCGCTCCATCATACCCTTATATATCCTAATTCGGAGCAGAGCTTTCGTCCCTCGCCAGCTTCGGTTGATTGCGAGGGGCTATTGGTCAGAGCGAACCTCCGGTTGATTAGGACACATGGTGCACAGAGGCCGCGTTGAATCGAAACCGGAGTAAGTAGCAGAAATACCATTATTTTTTTCTTGGTTAGATTGATCCATCCATCATCCCCCTTCTTTCAAGAATCATACATTGCATCGCCATAGCCTGTCGGATAGCCAAATACACATCGTACTTCTCTAGATGTAGGTGTAAATCTTCATCTAGCGTTTTCTTTTACGCCCGTTGTCGTTTGGAAGGTCATGCCTGCTCTTCTTGTACTTTCTCCTTCTCCCATCACGCCAGCCTCCCCTGGCTACGCAACGGAGGGACGCCCTACTCGGTGAACTTGTTCTGCAAAACAGCTCTATTGGTATCCAATGCATACATCATACATACAATAGATGGAGAGACACATGCGTCTATATGGGTCGTGCTTTTTTTCCTCCCTTCCGTCTAGGCTCCTTGCCAGCATCCCAAACTGGCTGCTCAAGAAATATCGAAAGAAAAGGGGAGATGAATAAAACGACAAGGAGTGACCAGAACCAAATGAGACCCGCCTTCTAACTGCCCGATCCATCATTTCTTCAAGCTTATATATATATATAGTACATTCGGAAAGAAGAAGAAGGGAAAAAAAAAAAGGGAAGAGGGGATGAAACAAAACCAGAGTGTTAGTACAGTGGTAAATATGAAGCGTAATCTTACAGCGTCCGCTTCTCGCGAACCTCCTCGTACGCCTGGATCTGGTCGCCAGCTTGGAGATCTTGGAAGTCGATGCAGCCCATGCCACATTCAGAGCCCTTGCGCATCTCGGTAACGTCCTTCTTGCCGTGCTTCAAGGACTCGAGTTTGCCTACGAAAAGGAAAAAAAAAGCGTTAGCGACCTGGTAGACTGTTGGGAAAGAAGTACCAATCTTACCATCAAAGACCTTCTTGCCCTTGCGGAAGATCCTGACCATGTCCGCCTTGCGAATGACACCGTTCCTAATCTTACAGCCCGCAATGTTCTTGTACACCCGCCCCTTGATGTTGATAGGGAACACCTGCTGGATCTCCGCCTCACCCAGCACCCTCTGCGACACCGCCTCGGGCAGCCGCGCCGATAGCTCCGTCTTGATGTCGTCTCCGAGGTGGTAGATGACGCTGCGGTCCAGAATCTTGACCCCGGCCTCTTCCGCCTGGTTCTTGATGTGGCCCGGGATCGTGTTGTTGAAGTTGACAATGACGCTCCCCGACATGCCTGCGTACTCCACGTCCGACTCCGTAATGGCACCCGCTGCCGAGCGAAGGATCTTGGGACGGATCTCGTTGTTGCCAATCTCCTGAATCGTCGCGCACACGGCCTCCACGGACCCCACGACATCGCCGCGGACGATGAAGTTGACCGTAATCATCGCCGGCTCGGCCTCGATCTCGCCCTCCTCTCCCGCCGCGGATTCGAGCTCGGCCTTGGCCTCTGCCTCGCGTCGAAGCCGCTCCGCCTCGGCAATCTGGTCCGACGATTTCTGGCGGCCTTGCATTTCCCGCCTGTAGTCAATCGCTTGCCTCGCCCGCGCTTCGTCGGCGGGTTGAAGGGCTCGGTCTCCGGCCTTGGGAAGCTCGTCCCTCCACCCGAGGATTTCGACGGCGGTCCCTGGTGGCGCCTCGTCAATCTCCTGGCCTGCCTCGTTCCTGAGCACGCGCACCTTGGCCCACGCGGTGCCGCACACTAGGCAGTCTCCTACACGCAGGGTTCCGCTTTTAATGAGGACTGTCGCCGCCTTGCCAACGGGCTTGACGCTAGCCTCGAGAACCCAACCCTCTGCGAGAGTCTCGGGGTCGCCGCGGACATCGAGTATCTCAGACAAGGTCAAGATATTCTCTTCCAAGTCATCCATGCCCTGACCAGTCTTGCCGCTGACGCAGACGGCCTGCACATCACCTCCGTACTCTTCTAGCTCGACACCATGATTACTCAAATCGGACTTGACCTGCGTGATACGGGCATCCTCCTTGTCAACCTTGGTGATGGCCACAATCATGGGAACCTTGGCATCTCGGACGTGCTTCAGCGCTTCCAGCGTCTGCGGCTTGACGCTATCGTCGGCGGCCACCACGAGGATCACGATATCCGTGACCTCGGCGCCACGCTGCCTCATGCTGAGGAAGGCTGCGTGGCCGGGCGTATCAAGAAAGGTGATGGACTTGCCGGACGACAAGTTCACGGCAAAAGCGCCAATGTGTTGGGTGATGCCGCCGTGCTCCTGCGCAGCGATGGATGACTTCCTAAGCCAGTCCAAGAGGGTGGTCTTGCCGTGGTCAACGTGGCCCATGATAGCCACGACTGGCGGCCTCTGGGGAATCGCGCTCCAGTCTTCGGGCACGGGCTGGGGTTTGATATCGCGCGCCGCACCATCGTCGACGGTGACTTCAAACCCGAATTCCTGAGCGACGAGACCTGCAGTCTCGCCAGTAAAGACCGAGTCTTCCGTGACCTCTTCGAAGCCAAGCTGCTCAAGAGCCTTCATGAAATTGGGCACAGTCACCTTTAGCGCGCTGGCTAAAGCAGTAACGCCAATATACTCGGGGAGGAAGATCTGCGCCTTGGCGTCATTCTCGAGCCCAGCTGCCCGCCTGGCCTTCCGCGCGGCCTTTTCTTCCATCTTTTGGCGGCGCCGTTGCTCCGCGAGTATCTCGATATCCTCGTCGTAGCCGTCGTCGGCATCGTCGAAACGCCGGCCTCCTCGCGAGCGCGCCTTTGCCTTTTGGCCTTGGCAGCGTATCGATCGTCCTCGCGGTCGTGAACTTGCCGGGTACCCCAGCCAGAGTCATTGGACTGGCTCGTGGCCTCGCGGGGTGTGGGTGAGACTGCGGACGGGGGCTCGGATTGATAACGCGGGCTTGGTGTCTGTCTGGCGTCGCCGGCCGGAGCATCGAAAGCACGCCTCGGCCCAGTCTTGGTGTCCTGACCCCGTCGAGGTTCTCGTTGGAGGCGAGAGTTTGATTGGCGAGGTTCTCCCCACGGATCTGTAGTATTGGCTTGCGATGCTGACCGCACGTTGGCTCCGGTGCCTTGGCCCTGGCGGCCTTCTTTTTGTTGTTGTTGTTGTTGTCGGCTATTCACTTGCCTCGAGCTGCCCCAGGACGAATCCGCGCCGGCATTCGAACCTTGGCCTTGGCGAGGTTCTCTAGGCTGCTGATTATTCAGACCCATCTGTTTCGGTCCTCCCCTCGAATCGCTAGCGCGATTTTGTCCTCCGGAAAACGACCCAGCTCCAGTGCCTTGGCCTGCGCCCTGATTCTGACGAGCTCCTCTCGGTTGGCGGGCGCCAGACTGCCTCGGCTGGCCCCACGCGTCGCCACCAGTACCACCCAACTGAGCCAGAAAAGCATCCGTCGCACCACGATCCTCCGCACGCGCGCTCGCCTGCCCAGCGGGGTTCCGCGCGCGGCGGGGCAATCTACTCCAGTTGGCATTGTCCTGCTGCTCGCCCTGGGCGCCCGCGGCCGTCCCCGCCTTGCCCGCCGGCCGCTTCTCGCCAAAGTGGTCCCAAAATCTCGCGACTCGTTCGCACGGGGCGTCGCCATCTGCGGGGGCCTCTGGCCCTGTCCGCCGCAGAGGCGCGATTACTCTGGTTCGTCCGAGTACCGGACGATGCAGACGCAGACTGCTGCGTCTTGTTCGCGTCTCCGCCCGCCTGCTTATCCGCGCCTCCCGACCTCGCTGCCGGTCCACCCCAATTCGGCTTGTGCGGCGTCCGGTTCTGGGCCGCGTGTTGGCCCGGCGCATTCTGCGCCTGCCTCGACGAGTGTTGTCGCGCGTTCGCTTGCGGGTTGGGAGAGGGAGCGGACGGCTTCGGGGCCTGGGCCTTGGGGGTCGGGCCGGGCGAGCTTTGAGCAGGGCCTGACGCGCCGCTAGCTCGTGGTTGGACAGCTCGCCGGATTCGGTCGGCGACCGTTTCGGAACTCGGGGGACAAAGTCGACGAGGAACCCCACCCCGAAGAGGGCTTGGGGCCCGAGGTCCCATTATCTCCCGTCGAGGAGCTCGACCATCGTAGTCCGTGGGCGAATGCAAGGGGGTTCGTGTCGCGGGTAACCGACTACAGAGAGTGCATAAGTAGAGGTTCTGCGTCTCCTATCAATTTCCAACGAGTTAGCCAAGGTATAACGGGAGTAAATATGGGACAACAAGGTCTTTCGTACCCTCCCTAATCTTCTTGAAATCATCATTCCATTTGTGGTGGGCGCGGACCGAGCTTATGTATGTCTGGCATCCACGAAATGCACGGGACGTTCCTCGAGATGCAACATGTGCAAGGAGAAAAAAAGTCTACCGTTGCTAAAAGCTTGGGTTGAGCTGGAGAATATTCGGCTAAACCCAGCTCGCAAGACATTGATCTTTGGAGTCAATGCTTTGCAAGCTCCCGGAGTCCATCTTCTCGAGACATCGAGGTACCGAAAAAGACAGCTTGATAATTCCGAGCTCACGACAAAGGCAATTTAAATTGATATCGAGTAAATATCAGATAGAACATGAATAGAATCATTTTAAAGTAAAACTTGCCTAAATCAAGTCCGTCTCGAGTCCGTTGTGCCGCCCTGAAGCTTTTTATCGATGATGTCACAGTCCGTCCTGTTGTATGAATCTGTCCTGGTCCAAGCGTCCACAAGCCGCGAGCTTCCCCAACCAGCGTGGAACATTGAAACCTTCCAAAATCCCTGCGAAGAAAAAAGGGACAAAAAGAAAGGAGTCGTCCACGCGATCCGGTGTCCATTGCCGCCGCCCTCCCATTTCTGTCTCGCCTTCTTCTTCTTCTTCTCTAAAGCGATAAAGGGTTGCCGTTCTCCTTCAGATTTTCTCCCCTTTTTTCTTCCTAGCCAAAAATGGCGGCGCCCAAGAAAAAGTCGGACAAGGCCCGGCTGTCCTCGACCTTGACCTCCAAGTCCTCCAAGAAGTCTTCCGTCGACCCTCCCCGAAACCCTTCAAGCCCGCGCCCGAGGCCCTGCAGACGCACTTTGCAGAGAAGCACCTCGACCCTACCCACGTATACGTCTGCCACGTGGACGAGAAGCCCAAGGACCTGAAGCGCAAGGTGTTCCTCGTGCCCGTGGCCATGAACCTGGCCGTGGCCGCGCTCTTCCTCTGGCGCGCCCAGTACATCCTACCCTACTACTACAAGCTCGCGCAATCTGCCCTCGGCCACCCCAACGAAACCACGTTCGCCCCGGCCGACCACACGTGGCGCGAGATCGGCTGGGAGCTCTTCCGCCGCGCCGCCGCCTTTACCCTCGACCTCATTCTCGTCATCTTTGTCTGGCCCTGGCCCCTCGAGTTTTGCGCTGGCCGTGCCCACGGCAACCCGTCCGCTGGCGCGCCTCCGTAGGCTTTCGCGACAAGGAGATCTACGTCCGCCGCAGCCGCGAGTGGGACCGCGACCTCGACGCCCTCGTCCACGGCTCCCCCGAGCTCCGCCAGACCTTTCTCGGTGTCCTGCGCGCCGCCACCGCCGCCCGCCTCATCGGCGAGAAGACGGGCTACCTCACCATGAGCGGCCAGTGGGACCTCGACTGGGCCGCCATGGTCTCGGCCCACCACCTCGTCGACAAAAGGACCTCTCCCTCGCCGACTTCCGCTGCATCGCCCTCTTCCACGACGCCACCCACGGCTGGCTCTGCCTCGATATGTCGGGCGGCGAAAACGCCATTGCCGAGGAGCGCAGGCGGCAGGTCTTTGCCTTTAGGGATGCCCTGACCGCCCTCGACAAGGAACACCTCTTCTTCCGCTGGATCGAGATTGTTCAGTTTGAGAGCACGCGGCCCGGTGGCTTCGGACCCGAAAAACAGACTGAAGTAGCGACCAAGATCCGCGAGCTGTTCACCAGCGAAGGTGTCAACTTTGACGAGCTCTGGGCCGAGACGGTTGGGTCCGATAGCATCGTCGGCATGTAAAACAAAACCGGAGACTGTATCAACGCCTTGTCAAATTTCTTTTTTTTTCTCTCGTTTCCTTTTGTTCTATTTCTCTTTTTGTTGTCTTCTAGGACGAGGACGACCAGGCCACGACCTAGACGACCTGCGGCATAATGTACCCGGGATGAAGGCTATGAGAAAAAAGTATTCTGTTTTAATCATTCTTGACGTCAGCATAGAACTGTATCCATCGCATATCAAGACCCCCACTTCTGAACCCTGTCAATCTCAAGAAGCCACACATTTTGCCTCCATGATGGAGATGTTGCTCCTTCCACGTACTAGGTTTCATGTCCACCGGACTCGGGTCCAAACTCGGCAGCGCCTTCCAGGACACACGATTCGTGCGCAAGACCCTCGTGGGCTCCTTCTCCCTTAGACCACAACCCCGTTGCACTTTCCGACCGGTACCCGTACTTCGCTCTATTTCGTGCTTCGTTTTAACCAACCCTATCGTTCACCCCTCTGTATAACGGGGAGATCGACCACGCCTCCAAATATCCACCCTCCGCCTCGCTCACGTCTGTAATTCCTGCGCATCGCCGAACCATATCTCGTATTTCAACAAGACCAGAAGATGGCGTAAGTATAACCTCAAGCCCATGGGCTATGGACATGATAGCCTTGCCATCGGGCGGCTATCAAAAGAGCGGAGCACTAGTTAACTGGGTTTCAAGGCCTATCAACTACGAGGCCCTATTCGGAACGCTTCAAGAGATTCATGACGAAATCCGTAGACTTCGAGTCATGAATAGGGAGCTACGGAATGAAGCTGATCGCGTGTACAACCGCATAGCGAATGAATTGGTCCCACGCCTCCCGCGTTTGGACGAAAGGCTGATGGGCAGAGAAACCGCCAAGGCAAGGAAGAGGAAGAGGTCGGAGGACCACAACGAAAGTGGAAGTGGAAGGAAGAAGACGAGCCCAGGCCCGTAGATCAAGAAGGCGCACGGATGCCGGGATGACATGAAATTGGCGCAGCAGAGTCTGAGCAGCAGAGTCTGAGGGGACGCACTTCACAGATGAAGACGAGGACGAGCCACTTTCAGCTTGTCACAGTAGATACCAGAAAATGGAAGAGAAGCTATTGGCCCCACGATATGCCTCTGAATTGTAATTGTATTGAACGCTGGTATTCTCGTCTGCTGTCATAGGTGGAGAAAGAGAGGAGGAGAAGGAGAGAAGAGAAAGGGAGGCGAAGAACAGTAGAAGAGAAGAGAAAAAAAGGTAACCAACGCTTTGCAGAGGTGGTCAGGAATGCCTTTGGTCGCACTCTTGATGGGCTGGGGGCGGGGGCCTTGCGTGGGCCCTAATGCAAGTATCAAGTATCGTCATGTCATGCACGTCATAAAAGAAAGTCAAGGGCGCTATTTCAGCCCTCCCCTGTGAATATTTGGTAGTGCCATCCATTCTTGTCCATCCCAGGAGTTTCCCCTAGAAAAGGTCAAGGTGGTCTTGTTTATTTCAACTTCTTGCCAACCTTCTTGGCCTCGATCGAGGCAAGCTTGGCATTCAAGTCGCCCTTGCGAGCCGCCTCCTGGGCGTCCTTCTCCTCCTTCTCGGCCTGTGGGTGAACAATGTTAGCCAAAGGATGAGGGGATTGGGGGCTTCGAAGAAGAAAAAGAAAAGAAAGAAAAAGAAAGAAAAGAGACGGAGTGCATACCTTTCTCCGGGCGGCTTCAGCTTCGCGCTGTTCACGAATAAGCTTCAAGCGGGCCAGATCCGACTTGGCCTCGTCCGTCTTTCCCTGCTCGTGGAGAGCGCGGTACCTCTCCTTGGCGGCCTGGGCATCGGCGGACTCCTGTCCTTCCTGTTGCTGATGGCCAAGTTGGCGACATCCTCGGCAACCTGGTCGGTGGTGTTGGCCTGGGTCCTCGCGGCCTTAGAGTGGTTGGGGTTGGCAGGCATTTCGTCGTCGCTGTCCTCGTCCTCGTCCGAGGGGGAGGTCGCCGACCTCGACGGCCTGGGCATTCTTGCGGGCGATAGCAGCCTCCTTACGGGCCTTCTTCTCCTTCTTACGGTCCTCACGGCTCAGTGCCTTGTTGCCGTCCTCGTCGGAGCCCTCATCAGACTCATCGCTGCCCGTCTCGTCCGAGAGGGACGCGATATGCCTCTGGGCGTCTTCCGACCACATGCTGATCTCGTTGCCGTTCTCATCCTGAGGCCTCAGGTCCCGGGAGAAGTGCTTGCCACCTACAAGATAGAAAATAGCGCGGTTAGCTTGGGTTTTCCATTTCTTCTTCTTCCCTTCCTTTTCCTCCCCAGCCTCAAAATTAGGCAAGCATGTGTTTTTCTCTTAGGCCCATACCCAAATGGGGGTGGGACGTTGCAGCCCAACGCACCGGCGGGGCCACGGAGCTGTCACCGCGAAGTAGAGGGCAGGAAAGCGGCGGAGGTGCGGGAGACTCGAGAGGGGAAGAAAAACCACCATAAAAGGGTAGGCGAGAAGAAGACTTACCACCACGAGTGAACTTTCTGAACTTTCCTCCTCGACCACGCGAGTTAGATCCGGGGGCACCAGCGCCAGCTCTAGCCATTTTTGTAGGATATTTGATGTAACAGGAGTGAGATTGTACAGGGAGCCAAGTTCAAGGTGTAAGCTTGAACAGGGGAATGAATGTAAGATGATGGTGGCAAGAGAATACACGAGGATATCACAGGCAGGAACGATGTCCGGGGTATGTATGGAAAGACACGGGGGTTGAAAGATGAGAATGGGAGGAGGGAGAGTATGAGGAGGAGAGAAGAGGAGAGTAAGAGCAAGAAGGTACAAAGGGGCAAGTGTTTGGGAAGACGTAGAGTTTTGAAGCTGATCGCAACTTGGGAGGGAATGCGGGGTGGATCAAATCGAGTGCGGGGTGTTTTTTCGTACAAGGGAAGAAGGGAAGAGGGTGGCAGGTGGGAGGTGGGAGGTGGGAGGTGGGTAGGCGAAGTAGGCGAATTGGGTGCGTCGCTTTTGCCTGCTAGGCTGTTGCTCGTGCTGTTTGGTTTGTGCCGAGACTTGGTGGCTTAGATTTTCGGGGGCGTTTGGGCTTCTATTCTATTTATGCCACACGCACACCACACGCTGGCTGTGACGGGATATACACCTTCACGGTTCACGGGTGGATTGGATCTATTGTACCGATATTGTTCTTTTCTTCTCTTTTTTCGGTGTTGCTAGTGCTAGTTACCCTTTTCTCTCTCCGTCCGTCTGGCTAGCCCAAGGAGAAAGAAAGGAAGACGAGAGCTCAAATGTGCAGCATTATAGAAGCACTGAGGTCTCATGCGATGAACAATAGGTGTTGAACGCCCTATGGTTTCACCATCCTAGTTTTCTGTTACCTATGTGAACGCATGGGGGTATTTCTGCTCCCGATGTCAATGTATTCTCGTAGACAACTTTTCCATGGCGAGACTACCGGAGAGCTACGACGTGGATATGTGTAATAGATCAAGAAGTGGGGTGTCTAGGTAGACGGATCTTTGCAAAGTGGAATCATTGTCGATGACTCCTTTTCATAAAAGGCGGTCACCAAATGGGGCCGCATGTAAAAGTCAAAACCATCGACGTCAACGGGCCAAGAATCTATGTGGAGCTGTCGAGCCAGCGCTGACGATGGGAGGCAAAACTAGCCGGGAAAGTACAGTGATCAAACTAAGTAGCCTTGAAGACCAGCTCTATGGAATACCCTGCATCGTGATGCCCTTGACCGATCGTATTTGAGAGGCGAAGGAAGATGGAAAGCTTCAATGCTTGAGGACTGTTAGCTCTTTCGATTTGAACTGGTACTTTTCTCGCCATCTGTACGAAGTAGTTCACCGAAGACAACACTGCAACCGAATTCTTCCTCAGTTTGAACGCTGGAAAATGAATTAATCTATCGATGAGACCCGGCAGCTAACGATGATAACAGACCAAAAGTCGAATGTTTTGACCTGGAATGCTTAGTGGAATGCTCAGCAACGGCTTCCTGCATCGTCTAAAAGTATCACGCAATCTCTTTGATAGCTATCGCCGACCAGCTCATTCCCCCTTTCCTTCGTCAAACCCCGCCGTCAGGACCCCGCGCGCGTTCGCGAGCCAGATCCCAAGTTCGAATCAGCCATAACTCGCCACCCGCAGTCCCCTAGAACAAGGCATGGAAGTCCACCGAGCGCGTGCCCAGCCACCCAAAACCCAGTGCTCCAGTCAATAGAAACTACTAGATCCGGGCACTCACGCGCACGCTGCCGGGCCCGATCATGCCCCCTGTCCCATGCTCATGCCTGTGCCTATGCCCGCAAGAAATTGAAAGAAGGCAAGGGCAGGAAACATGCCATCATGCGCGCGCGCGCAGCCCAACTGTCCCCACCCCGCCAGGAACGCCAGGACCGGCGTCAAGACAGCTCGCCGCCCCTCCTCCCCCTTTCGGATACCCCTCCTCATCTTGACTGCCCCGGCCATGCCGCGCTCAAGCTCCTTGTATATCTATGTTCTTGATGCCAATTGTAGCTTTTTGTTTATCTTCTTGAAGCAGGCAATGGCCACACGACACAGATACAATAGAGAGGAACTTCTTATCTTTAACATCCGGGCTTGTCTCCGGTGCCTTCTCCCTTGAGCTTCACGGGAATTGCTGCACATGTTCTTTCAATTTCCTCGAAGAACTGAGAAACAGCAACCTTTTTTCCTGCTTCCTGCACGACAACCTGAAAGGGAGGGGAGAGATGATATGCCCAGAGACCTAGTTCGCGGCCGTGTACAATTGGTTCCCAGGAAGCGCCCTTGATCCCTCGTGCGGCCACTGGTTCCCAAACCCCTTCCCTATTTGCCCCGATCCCCGATTTGGGTCGAGGCATGACCTCTCGTTGTTTCCCGGCAGAGGAGAGGGGGGCGATAATAATGCCAGCTCCGTGTTAGCTCTTCACTCTACCCTCTTGAACCTTGGCCAGCACAAGTTGCCTTGGCCCCCTACGAATCGTGGCTAGATACCCATCATTGATGTATGGAAGCCCGGCTTCACCCCGCTTGCCCGCGCGCTCGCCTTCCACCCTGCCCCCACCACCAGCTACCAACCCAAAAGGCAGTCCAGTCTCCTCGGTGACGCTTTTATTTTTCCCCATGCCGGGCAAAAGCTAGCTAAGCAAGGCGCGGGAACACAATCAAGGTGGCTACCGGACCTGTCGAAGCTCCGACGTCCCCGCGAGTAACAAACGGCCACACGAGCCGTCAAGTGCACATCGTATCCCATATGGCATCAGTGCACCAAAGGTCGGATCGGGATAATCGCAGAGTCGGCGCGACACTTGTCAAGCTGGAGAGGGCGATTGCGTTCTGATACCTGGGCTCCTTCTCTATTCTTGCATCATCCCGCTCCTCGCCTCGCCTCGCCTCGTCTCGCCCCCAAATGACTCACGACGTTGCCGTTGATGTTGTTGCCAATTCTCCACTCTTGGGCACGATTTCCGCCAACAAGACACCACCCCTCCCCTCTCCCCTTTTTGCCCTTGAACTTGCGACCTGCGGGACCCCTCCCTTCCTCCCTCCCTCCCTTCCCCTCCCCTAACATTCGGCCCGCGTGAGCTCTTTTAGCTTCCACCCCGTAGATGGATAATAACGAGCTTAGTAGATCTTTGCGGTCTTTCCTTTCCCTTCTAGTCGGCTGGGAAACATTGCTAAAGCGACTATCGCCGAGATTTAAAATCGATGCGCTGGAGGACCCCTCCTTGCCCTCTTCAGTCGCCGCCTTTCCCTTCCCCCACTCACACTAGCACATTGTTCGTTGTTTCCCAGGGTCCATCTGGCGCGTGCCGTGCCATACCATCCAGTGCTCCGTGTTACGTCAAGAAAAGGAGCCCAATGGATGGCCAGGGACCAAAAGGCTGGTCGACCGAAACAGCCCGTGCCGGTCGCTTCGCCTCGCCTGAGCTTCGGAACAATTAGCCCTCAATATTCAGTGCAGTTGCTCATGTGGCTCAGGGTGGCTGACTTGCTTGTCACTTCAACTCCTGGTCCAGTCATCATTGATCCACAATAGAATCCATCTTTGGCAAGCTCTTACATTCACGTGATCTGGACCTGCGCGCCGCCGTGCGGCAGCACAAAAGGAAAATTTCCCACGCTCTTGGTTCTCTCTGTTTCCTTTCCTTCTTCTTTTCTTCTCCAACCTAATCAATAATCCTTCATATTCACTCTGGCTTTCAATTTTTGCCATGGCTGTAACTGGAGGGGAAACTGGAGGAGAGATTAAGAATTATTTTGTTACGCTTGCTTACCCTCTTCCTAACGGCCGGGCTTCGGCCCGGCACATGAGGTGCTTGAGAAATATAACTTGCGCTACATTCCCTTGTGCCTGTGATCATGTTGCTGTTTGTTATCTAGAGGAGTTCCACCGTCTTACCAAGGGACTTGACGGAATACTTCCTGGGGTGGCTCTTGTTCTGGTCTCCTAGTCGGAGCTGTACGCCGCGGTTTATCATGGCAGGGCTTCTAGGCTGGGTAGCTGGGAAAGTGTGTCGTGTCGATGCGAGGTTCGAGGCGGGCAGGCTCCTCCAATCTATCCATAGAGAAAATGCAGCGGCTGTTGTGGTCTACGTCGTTCCACACTGCCTCCCGGCGGTGTCATTCTAGACATCACGTTGTGGCTACACCCGACATTGAATCAACATGTCCGTCTACTTAGGAAGGGAACGAAGATGAACCCCATGCATGGGGACTCTCTATCACCGTCACACGTCCCCTAGCCTTACTCAATAACTGAATCTTATTCTTAATAAGTGAATGCGCGAGAGCACGTCTTCAAGGTCTGCGGTCAAAGTCAGGGAAACCCCGTATACACCTTTCACATCTACTTCGTAAACCGTGTGCGGATAGGCCTTGTTCCTTTAATCTCTTCGTTGCTCAAGATTGATTCTTCAAAACCCACCAAGGTTGCCAAGCACATCCTCCATCCTACGCTTCTTCTTCCTCCGAACCGGCTGAGCCACATCACTCCTCGCCCTCGCCCGTGACCCTTCCCTCTCCCTCTCCCTCCCACCAACCGCATCTTCAACGCTACCAGCTACCCCACTGGGCTTCACCCGCCTGTTCCTCTCAACTCCGAGATCGATTCCCCCTTCGAGCGGGGCGCGTATCCCCGGTTCGCGAGTCGCTACATCGTCAAAGAAGACGCGCCTAACGAAGCGGTACTTGACGTGTTTCGCCGCCCGCCCCTGTACGGAGTCCCCCGAATACTAGGGCGAAACGTATAGATCCCCGCTCCTGCCCTCGCTCAGCCCTAGCCGCACCGCCGCCCTCGGGTGGCCACACTGCTACCGACATGATGGGGGCAGGGGGCAAAACGAAACCGTTGGCCGCGTAGTACCGTGCCCCGATCGCCGGGCCGTGGGCCTTGAGGTCCTCGTCGTCCAAGAGCACCTGTCCGATCGCGGCGTAGATCCACCACGCGGGATTGTCGTAGAGCTCGACCGGCTCAAAGTTTGTAGCCGGCGATCCCCTCTGCGCTGCTGCTGCCTCGTCCCTCGCCTTGGCCTCTCCCGGAACAAGGCGTTCATCCCACACTCGAACGGGGGAAGCTTGTCCGGCAACAGCGCTCGGAGGGCCACCACCTCGGAGGCGGAGGGGTCGGCGCCCGAGGAACTGCGCAAAAGTTGGCTAAACCGCGCAGCCTTGCTCTTGGCAGCCGCGCGTGCGAGGAGGTCGCAGAACGCAGCGTCTTCCCTCTCGCCCGGGACACGGTCGAGCCCCACGCGCGAGGAAAAGTAGCGCTGCATCAGCACATGCAAGTCATCCGGGTCCGCCGGGCATCGCCAGCCGTGCACGTCGCGGCGGCCACCCCACACTGTCGGGGGCGCGCGGACGGTAACCACAGCCAGGACCGGGAACTTGGCCCAGTACACCATGCTCGCCGGCGTCACCTCGGGGCACCGCGAAATCTGCAGAATCCGCAGCACGGGGAAGGGTGTCTCCTTTTCCGACCACCCCCACCACGCGGTCGGTGATGCGGCCGACCGAGATCAGGCCCCCTGCCCGCCGTCGTCTTCGGGGTAGTCGGAGATGTGCAACAGCCCGAGGTTCTTCATGTCCGCGAGGGACAAGAGATCGCGCTCCGTGAGGGCGGAAGCGCCCTTGATGACCAGGTGCGTGATGAAGTCCAGGCTGGGAGATTGGGCCGGCCGCATGCCGAGGAGAAGCCGTCCAAGTGATTCGGGGTTGATCCCTCGGGCAGGTTGATCCGCCAGTGCCGGTGATAGTGCCCGAGGTCTAGGCTATCGCTCGCATCGTATAAGATCGGGGCTAGAAAGCTCCACGTTTCTCTCTCAAGCCTAGGCGAGTATGCAAAAGAAGAAAAGGAGGAGAAAAGGTTAGCCCAAGGTACGTGCTGGACAATGATAGCATCTTGTCACTCACGGTTGATTCGTTTCTGCCTGGAGCAAGATCTCGAGGACGAGTGGTCTAGGCATTTCGGCCCAGATCCTCTTCGCCCTGAGTTTGCCCACGTTGGCGCTCACCACCTTCATCGCCATTGCGACAAGGGACCGGAGCCCGCTTCGATCATCCTTAGAGTTCGTCCCCGAGGATACATCGCGGGCTGTATGGTTAACAAAACCTGGAGAATTGCTCGATGATTGATGATGCCGAGGGTCTGTGGGAGGACCCCGTAGGCTTCGCTTCTTGGTTCGAGGAGTACATATTAAAGGAGCTTGATCCCAGTGGCTGCTCGGGGTACTCATGCCGAGCACCCACCACTTTCTCAGCAATTCAATGACGATATCCCGCACGTATCAAAATTTCAGTCTATTTAAAGGAGTTGATGATAGCCACGGTAAAGACCGTTGTGGATGGCTGAATCGATAAAACCTGCCCTCCTGCTTCTCTCAAATCTAGAATCCTGGGACTCGGGAACCGTCCCTAGTCACGTGGTGCCTCTAATCATGATTCCCTGCCGCCAGACTTTCCACTCTGCGGACGCGACAGTCCTTGTCGCTCATATGGCATCGGTGAGATGATGTTATCACCAGGTTGGGTAAGTGTTTGGTTGGCATATATTTGAAGAGTCAATTCCGGCCAATGCAAAATATGAACATGCTAATAAAAGGCCATTTCGCATCCCAAAAACCGCAAATGATTTAAAAGGAAAACGATGATGAACAGAAAAAGAAATGAGAAATTGTTCTCAAATCCAAAAAAAAGTTTCCAACTCCGTAGATGTTGAACCTCTTCTAAATCCTTCACTTTTAGGTTGTTTTCAACCTTCCTCCGCTGCACTTGCTTTCCTTGGCGCTGTTTCGCTGATCAGAGCTTAGATGGGCTCAGCTTCTATATATCCCCCTACTCTCCCCTCCCTGGCTCCTTCTTTATGGTATCATTTGGTTGTTCTTCCGTCCTTTTCCTTTGTTTTTCTTACAACATGGGCTTCAAGTCGTCGGCAACCTTGAAGGGAGCCTCGGTCTTGGACTTGATCTCCTCGACGGTGACACCGTCAGCGATCTCGACGAGGGTAAGGCCGGTCGCGAAGTCAACATCGAAAACGCCCTATAAGTTGTTCACCTTACGTTAGCTTGTCTCTCTCTTTCTTCTGCTTCTTCTTCTTCCTCTTCTGTCTTATTCGCGGAAGTTTTGGCCATTGGCCGACTGCATGACTTACCAACTCGGTGATAATGCGAGAAACGCAAGAGGGGCCGGTCAAGGGAAGGCACACTTCTTGACAATCTTGGGGTTGCCCTTCTTATCGGTGTGCTCCATGGTCACAACGACCTTGGTTCCCTTGGGGTTGCTGACGAGATCCATGGCACCGCCGAAACCCTTGACCTTTCCGGGAAGCATCCAGTTGGCGAGATCACCGTTGGCGCTGACCTGCATGGCGCCAAGAATGGTGAGATCGATACGGCCGCTTCGGATCATGCCGAAGCTCTCCTCGCTGCCGAAAACGGCAGCACCGGGCTTGAGGGTGACCGTCTCCTTGCCGGCATTGATGAGGTCGGCGTCCTCAGTGCCCTTCTGGGGTAGGGGCCGAGACCGAGGATACCGTTCTCGGATTGAAGCTGAACCTCGACCTCGGGGCCGACGAAGCTGGGAGCGAGCATGGGCATACCGATGCCCAAGTTGGCGTACATGCCGTTCTTGAACTCCTTGGCGGCACGGCGGACGATGCGCTCCCTCTTGGCAGCGGTGTCACCGGTACCGAGGGCAGACTTGGCGGAGGCGTCGTTCTCGTCCTTGGCCCAGGTGTACTTCTCAATACCCTTCTCAGTGGTGCTCTGGATAACCCTCTTGACATAGATGCCGGGGAGGTGGACGGCCTCGGGGGATCTCGCCGGGCTCGACAATGTGCTCAGCCTCAACGATGGTCATCTTGGCGTTTCGGCCCATGGCACCGTTGAAGTTGTTGGCGGCGAGCCTGAACTGGCAGTTGCCGAGCTTGTCAGCCTTGTAGGCCTTGACAAAGGCATAGTCACCAGCAATGCTATGCTCGAGGACATAGGGCTTGCCGTTGAAGACCTTGACGTCCTTGGGGTAGGAGAGCTGGTCGGGAGTGCCGTCGGGCTTGTTCTTGAGGGAAGGTCGCCAGTCTGGACGACGGTACCAACACCGGCAGGGGTGTAGAAAGCAGGAACACCCTTGCCTCCGGCGGCACACCTCTCGGCGAGGGTACCCTGGGGGTGAGCTCGAGCTCGACCGAGCCAGTCAGGTACATGCTCTCAAAGGTCTTGTTCTCGCCAATGTAGCTGGCCACCATCTTGCGGATCTGGCCCGACTTGAGGAGCTTTCCAAGACCCGACGTGTCAGTACCGGCGTTGTTGGAGACGGCAGTGATGCCAGTGATCTCGGGCTTCTCCATGACGGCATCGATCAGGGTGTCGGGAACACCGCAGAGACCGAAACCACCGCAGAGGAGGGTCGAGTTAGGCTTCATGTCGGCGAGGGCGGCGGTGGCTGAGGGGTAGATCTTGTTGATCTCGGCGCGGCGAGCCGTCGCCGAGAAAGCGCGGGCGAGGACTGGGGTGGGCTATCTCATCCGAATTAGAACCTTGCTCCAGAAAAGGCTGGGGCTTCCTTCCTCACACCCAATGCTCTAGCAGAGGGTAAAAAAGAAGGTTAGGGAAGTGCTTACGTTGGAGCCATTGCGGGCATAGGCGCGGAGCGTCCGCGCGCACAATCCGAGGAAGGCATTGTGGCTGAGAATTAAGGAGGAGGGACGAGGGGAAGGGCGGCGGGCGGATCTGCGCTGGAGGAGGAGGAGCTGTCCGGTTGCTGGGATTCACTTCCTCAATTTGGGGTTTCACGAGCTACGTCGGATGGGCAAGATACACTCAATTTCCCCGCAATCGAGAAGAAAAGGGAGAAGCAAAAAAAAGGGATACAAGGAAAAGGAGGGAAGGGGAGGAGGAGGGAAAAAACCTTAGAAACGGCACTACGAGGAGATATAATGGATCTAGGCGGAGAGGGAGGTACGGGGGTAGCTGCCCCGATTTTCACCGAGGATAGCCAACCTTTATAACGACCGGTCGGGTCAGGGCCTCCAGTTACCGAACCGCGCCGGGGGTCGTGCCTGCCAACTGCGCTCCAGGACAAAGACTTCGGGCCAAATTCGTCAATTCTCCCCAGCAAAACAGGCAAGTGCCAGGGTCCCTCCACCCCCTTCCTCCACCCCACTACCCCGTGATTGGCTCGCCCCGGCCTTTCCTTCCGTGGCAACAAGCACGCCCACCGTGATCGCAGGCTGGGCCACCTCCACCCAGTCAACGATTGTTCCCCCAGAGCCACCAAATCAAATGCGTTGCCTTTTCTCCCCGCTAGGTCTTACCCCCATTTTCCCCTAGAGGAACGCCCCAACACAAGACTCGATGCTCGGCGAGACAACCGGGAGTTAGGAAACTCGGCACAAGAACGGCTTTGCACATTCCAATGACTCTAAAAACCACGGCCAATTCGCAACCCGGGAAAAATAAACCCCTAATTTCAAGCCTCAATCTTGGGTCTGTCGTCAGATAGCCAACACGTCAAACCCTCACGAACACTGCTCCTTTTTCCTCTGAATCCCAGGAAGCCTTTGCTCTAATACTTGTATCGATCCGTCTCCTTTCTCTCTGCCCCCACATTTCTGCCACCACTAAATCCCTGCGTCGGGCCCCCTTCGGCAATCCGAGGCGGGAATAGCTTTGGTTCTGCCCCACCACCGGCTTCGGCCGGCGGAAAGTGTCGGCAGTTTTTCTTCCTTGATTTTTTTCGTCTCCCCTTTTTTCCAGTGGTGGAGGTAGTGGCTCCAACCAGGAAAAAAGATTCAGAAAGAAAAATACCCCAAAGCACGGGCGAGTTTCGGCAAAGACTTTTGCCGGGACCTCACAGCCGTAACCTGGTTCCTTCCCTCAACCTGTCAACGCCCGCCCTTTGCATCGACGTCAGCTCAGTATTGAACGTCTTCGTGGGGGTAATTCCTTTTCACTTTTTCTAATTATTTTTAAGAAGCTTGGAAAGTTAGTTTGATCATTCGACAGGGGGTATGGGGGAGGGAACAAAAGCTAATCCCCATTACCCGAAGCGGAAGGCAACAACACATCGTGTACATTCGTGGATGGATACTTTTTGGATTAGAAATGTAAAGTGCCGTCTGCGGGGAGGTGCCCACCCCTTCGTGGCTCGATAGAAGACTCTAAACTTTGGAAATGTACTCCCATCAATGGTATTCAGAAATTTACTGATGCTTCCTATGTATCGATTCTTGCGAACCCAGCATATGTGAACCAAAGAAAAAAAAGTGTCTCGGGGCTGTAGAAAAACCCCGGAAACCTGTAAAATTGTCGCCAACAAGGTGCACCTTCTAGCGCTACATGTAGTCCTCTATTGCAAGCATCCCTCCCCCTCCTTGTCCCTTCCCTCTTTCGTCTTTTTGTTGCGCAACTCGTTAGGATCGCATCTCCACTTCCCGGCCCGAAGTTTCCTCAATCTCCCGAATCAGATCCCCTCCGATCCTCGCAATCTCCGCCAGGATCGCGGTCCGATCCACGGCCACTTTATCCAGCTCCGCATCCACCTGCTTCAAGTTGTACGGCAGGCCAACCCGAAACTTTTGCTGCGCCGGCTTCGGCTTCCACACCGCCCCGATGGCCGCCCTTTGTGATTGCGCGGGTCGCCGTGGAAGAACTCGAGCGTGTCGTCGTACACGTCTCGGAGCACCTCTACGAACCTCACCACCGGCCACGTCGCGATCGGCTGCGTCGCCACCCCGGTCATGCCGTCCAGGTTCTTGAATCGGGATTGCTTGGCCTCGGCCGGCACGCTGCCCGCTAGCCGCATCACCCGGCTGAGCTCCTTCTCCGAGAGGTGCAGCACCACGTCGTACACCTCCAGCGACCTCTGGAACATGGCCAGCGCCGAAAATTTGGAGCTGTCCTCTCGCGCGAGCTTCGTCGCCGCCTTGGCCAGCGCCGTCATGCGCATGGCGGCCATCCGCGATGGGCCCCTGCCGTACCCTGTGTACGCCTCACCCGACTTGTCGTGCGATGTGGCGACGAAGAGGACGTGGTTCTTCATGCTCCCGTCTCGCTTCCGCCATTCCTCTACTGTCTTGTACATGGCCGACCGCTCCGTCGCCGAGATATCGTGGCCCGCATAATCCACGATGAGCGGCTCGTCCCGCCAGTCCCATCGCGCGAGGAATAAAAGTACCTGCATCAGGCCCGTAGAGCCCGTCGTCGGCACGCCGTAAGGCTGCGGTTGCAAGAAGACGTAGAGTACTATCGCTTCGAGAAGCTGCGTGCTAAAGTGTGACGAGAGCATCTGTGACTCGAACCAGTACTTGACCAGATTAATTGTGGCTTGCATCGCGGGGAAACGCGTGCAGGAGGTCGCCACCACCTGGAAGTGGAGCGGGAGGATTTCGTACTGCCACTTGAACTTTTCAAGAGCTTGCTCCGCCTCCGCCCGGACTTGCGGACTCAGCGTGATGTTGCTAATCTGGCGCTCGAGCAGCGTCCGCTCCATATCGCTGTGTACGCGTACCCGGATTGTGAGTGGTGCAACCGTGACGACGTCGAGGTAGCCGAGGTTTTCGATGCCTAGTTCTACGTTGTCGCGTCCGAGGTAGGTCTCAATGGTGCCCGAAGCCTCGGAAAGGCGCTGGCCAATGTCCAGGAGAAGATCTAGCTTAGTTTCCTGAATCGCCACGAGATTCTCGGGCCACCGGTTGGACGTCTCGAAAAAGAGAACGACTTCCAAAACGGGCACGTTGGCCGCCGCACCGGACTCGCTCCCGCTTCTCGCGTACTGGGCCTGGGTAGATATGGGGGAGAAGCGCCGTATTTGCAGAGGCATGCCCTCGAGACCGCGGATCGTCTTTTCTTGTTCCCGGAAAATGTCAAGGATCTTATTGAACACCGTAACCTCGGTCGCCGGAGGGCCGAGGCCCTCAATGCCGGTTTTCGGGAGAATAGGGTTCGTAGATTCCCCTAGGTGCTTCTTGAGAGAGTAGGTCATGATTTCCCTGCAAAGGCTGAAGGCCTCGTTGCTCTCCCAAGGGACGCACTCCAGGATTCGACCGTCTTGGAAACGTCGCAACTCAGCCTTTGTGCCCCAAAACTTACGGAACGCTGCCGCCTCCTGTTTCTCTTCTACGGGGGCCGTATTCCATCGTGCGCCCCATATTAAGAGCGTCAAAAGTGAGACCCACACGGACACGAGTGCCTTTGTTGCCCGCCTGTGGCGGAGACACACCAGCCACCCAGGAGTCCGGCTGATCCCACCCGACATGAACGAGCTGCACCCGATCCCCGAGCGCTTTGGTAAGGACGGTGTATATCTCGGTGCTACGAGCCCTGGTGAGCCCTAGATCCGCTTCAAGCTGCGCATCTACCCCGGAGGCGTCGACATCGACCTGGGCCAGGGCGTCAAAGGTTTGACGAGGCAGGTCGGCCCTCGCGATGAAGATGGGTTCGAACTGATCCTCGAGAGGCCTGCTCAGCAGCTCCAGCGTGGATTTAGCGTGCTTCTGGAGCACAATCGCCGACCACGGCGTCATCTTGTGGAGGATGTTGAGTTCCCGAACAGGGTCGAACATGACGGGGCCGCTTTCCCGGACAGCGTCATTGCCGGGCTTGTATGCTTTGAAGAGAAACGGCTTTGTGATGAAATTGGTGGACGCAATGAACTGGACCGCCGCCTTGAACAAGGCCGTAGCGCTAAGTGACGAGGACAGGGCTGCTTGGCCTTTCCGACTCCCCATCTGCATGAGAAGAGCAATCATGAGAGACCACTCAAAGTGGCCAAAACCACCGGCTGACACGGCACTTCCGAAGCCTCTTTGCTGGAGCCAAATCCGGCCGAGCATGCAAGCCTTGTCAAAGGAGGGGCATTCGTTTCTTGCCAGGGTGAGGACCTGGAGATACGGAATAAAGGTTTCCTCGGCCTTGACGGTAGAGTTGTAAAGGGAGACCCGGACAGCTCCTCCTTGGAGGGTCCTGCAATGACCTCTGGTTGCAGTTGCACGACGGCAGCAGCTTGGATTTCTTGAAAAGCCCCTGCGGAGCGCAGGGGATGACTCGGACAATTCCCTTTGCGCTCTTGTCGAGCGGCGTCAGGACAAGAACCGGGAGGAATTGGTTGTCGTTGAGGTATTCAAACCTCAACTCCATCTCCTGCCCGAGCCCTTTCTTGACCCCCGCCGCGACGTGGCCTAGGTAGTACGCCCGTCGGTAAAAGTAGCGCATTTTTGGTAGTCCTTCTCTTGGAACAGATCCTTTGGCATCTCAATCACCATATCCACGGCGTGCCGCGACTGGCCCTTGGTCATTGTCTTGGAGACGTAGCTGCCCACCACGTTGTACTGGGAGGGGGCGCGTAGCCGAACTTGTAGGGAACATCCGGGGTGGGTGGAGGCGACGGCCAAGGGATAACGATGCCGCTCTTCTTCTCGACTTTCTTCGTCGCTTCCGAAATCTACGAAGGGGAAAAAGAAAGATTAGTCTTCCCTCCATCCAAGACTCCTCCTCCTCTCCCTCCGTGGGAGGTTCGTCAGCAACCCACTTACCGGTAGCGGCTCATGGCCTTGGATACCCCCAATTACCTCCCTCAACTTGAAAAGCACCTTGTCCACTTCCCCAAAGCCTTCTTGTAGTCCACTTCCACATCTTTTAGGAGTTCCTGTGCACCCAAGACAAAAGTGCTTGCTGTCGCGATTTGTGTCGCAGCTTGTGGGTTGAATGTTAGGTCCGTTTTCGTCAAAGTCGTAATGCCGGCTGACATCTTGCGCCTCTTCGGACTCGACTCCATGGCTGCTTTTGTGAAGAAAGGGTGATGTGAGCCGGCCTTATGTGTAGTTTCGGAGCTTCAGTCAATCGTGGGGTTCTATTAAATAAATAAAGAAAAAAAAGTTTCAATGCAAAGGAAAAAAAGTGGGTTGTGTACAGTGTAAATATCTTATCGCGGCCTGATAAAACTGTCTTGACCGGGGACGACAAAAAGCTCCGCGCGCAAGACAAAAAGGAAAACCCCAAGGGAAAAGATCAAAGGGAAACTCGGTGTGTATTACATCCAGTCAATATAACAATTGATCAAGGCCAAACAAGTTGACAAAGGGAATAGTTGGGCTTGATATTGGAGTTTGTAACCTATGCCTTCAACAGTCCTATTCCAACACTCGCAAGTGCCTCCCGAAAACGCCGTGCCATGTAAAAACAAAAGAGAAAAAAGAGGACAATGCTCTTGTAGATAATTACGCCAACAGCTGCTTGCAGCTCAGAAGGGGATGCGTGCCTTGTTGTTTTTCTTTCTTTTTCGCCTTCTTTCCCAATTTCATCCCTCCATCACTAGTTCGCCCCCATTACTTTTTAAAAGAACCAGCACAGGCTTCAGCTGGCCTAGTACTTGAGTAGCTTCTTGTCGTCCTTCCTCTCAACCTGTTGATTGGAGAATGCACAATACTTGTCCTTGATCGCCACAACTTCGTAGGTGCCCTCAAGCGAGGCACGCACGATTTTGGTCGACTCGTAGGAAATGTCGTGTCTCGTTTCCAGCACTGTGCTAGGATGACCCTTGCGGGGGTTCGAGCTACGAGTGTATGTAAACTCGAAGGGGGCAGTACCCCAGAACTCAAAGTGAATCTCCACTTCTGTTCCTCGTGGATGTCAACCTGAACTTGCTTGCCTTGGCTGATGCGGACGCTGGGCAACGGGTGGATGGTTTTGGTGATGTTGACGGCGGCGTGGCATTCGCTTGCCTTATCCGAGATGCTGGTGACGGTGAAAATCCCGGGGCTTTCGGCAATACGCCTAAAGTTGGTCGTTGGGCTCTTGGCGATGCGCTTCCCGCCAAAGTCGTACGCAATCTCAAACGGAGGCGTACCCGAGAGGGTAAAGGAGATGCGTTCTCCAACGCAGTAGTCCGTTCGGGTTTCGAGGGGATAAATGGCGGGGGCGTCGTAAAGGTGGACCTGTACAGAAGGCCCACCAACATCGTACGTCTGTTGGCAACCCCTAGAATCCCGCACGGTTCGGATTCGGACTTGCTGAGTGCCAAGCCTAAGGTGGCGTCGAGGAATCTGAATGTTGTGCAGCGTAGATTCGATAGACGGGATGGTAAAGGTCTCAGGCATAACACCACTATGGTGCTTGATCTCAAGCTCAATGAAGAAGGGAGCCTGGCCGGTGAGGTTAATAGGGATGGAATCCTCCTTCTCCTGCTCCGCCATGCAGTACTTGAAGGACGAGCCCGGCTTGATAAAGGAGGCCGTGGGCTTGGCGTTGACTACTTGCTTGAGCACCAATGGGCTAAAGTTCCTATCGCTGTTGTATAGATTATCCGCCAGTGAGTGGAATCGATACGCATAAGTGCCCGGCTTCGAGGTATCTAAGGGGATGGAGGCCTTGAACTGAGCGACGTCGAGCCTCTTGTTCTGGATCGAGCCGCTGCCTGTTGGCGACGTGTGGCGTACCTCGTACTCCACGTGGAAAGGGGCACGTCCTAGATTGTTCAGTTAGTGCCAGGCTTCATCAAGACAAAAAAGGGAAGCAGGAAGAAAGAAAAAGGGACGGGGAAGAAGCATGGAACAATGGCGGAAAACTCACCAACAAGACTCAGGTCCATGCCATCAATGTCGCCTTCACAGACGTCGTTCTTGACAAAACTCTTGCCTTCGCCGGAGATGGAGATGGAAGGAGAAAGCGAAATATCGGGGCGCGGCTCCCACCCGACTTGGAAAGTCGATGCGTCGGGGTCCACAGATCCACGGCACTGCCTGTCCGAGACATCAATGATCTCGTACACGCCTTGGTACTTGACGGGAATATGGCCGTTGGGGTTGGAAATTTGTGTCTGCAGGGTAGCATCGACCTCCTTGTTGCGGTAAGAAACCTTCCATGGTCCCTCACCTTGCAAACGAAGAGGCAGTTCCAGCTTAGTGTTCTCAACCGCCTTAACGCTGCGCTTATTCTCGATGAGGCCAAAGGCAGCGCGAGGCTTCTGCCGCCTCACAGAGATCTTGAGTTCGTCCTTGAGGAAAGTGCGGCACCCACTCTTATCCTGCACACTGTTAAGTGCAAGGATGTAATCACCGCCCTTGCTGAAGGGTGCCGTCTTGATCTTAAAGTTGGGGTCCATGATGTCAGTAGCCTTGGCGGGCTTCTTTCTTCCATCATGGACAATCTCCCACTCCAGAGTAAACGGAGCATCCCCGAGTAGCGTGATATCTACCTCGACATCGTCGTCCAGGCAGGCAGTCGTGCTACCCGTGGGATGCTGGATAACAGCAGACGCGGCAGGCTTCACATCCTGTTCAAGCGTCATGCCCTCACCGGTGAGGGCCTTGCCAGTGTAGACAGCGTCATCAATGGCCCTAAACATGTATTTATGCTTGCCAGCTTCCTTTGGACGAAGCTCGAGCTGGTGGCGGAGACCCTTGATCTCAACATACTCATGCTTCGTGCCAGTCCTCGTGATAACATCGTAGCGAACCAAGAAAGGCGGCGTTCCCATCAGATCAAGGTCGACGCGAAGACCGACCGAGTTACCCGCGCACTTGTCCGATATGTCTTCAGCGCGGATAGAGAGCTGGGGTTCGAGGGGGTTGAGGAGCATGCAGGAGGATGGCTCCTCGACCTCACCCTGACAGTACTTGCTGGAGACGGAAGTCAGGGTGTACAAACCAGACTGTGAGATCTTGGGAGCCTCCTTTGAGTTCTTAGCTGTAAAAGAAGCGTGCTCGGGGAGTCACTGTGATCGCCACTATCTGTGAGCTTGTCGACGGGGGTGAAACGCCACTCGACGGAATAGCCTGTGTCATTCCTAGCAGGGCCAGCCATTGTAATTCCGATGGGGAGTTTAGTCGAATGGCCCTTGGCAACCTTGAGAGGGTTCCGGAGGTCACAGCCTCGGAGACGAGCGCGGGGGCGCTCGTTCACAAAGAAGTCTTGAACCAGGTGCTTTGGCCGGGGCTTAGGGTCGATCTCGTCGGGAGAGGGCGTGTAGCTGACGACGTTCCCAAAGGCATCGTGGACTTCGTTGATAACGTACTGCCACTCGCCAGCGGTCGTCAAAGATTCATTGAGGGGAACGCGAACCTTAGCGGCCCGCACCCACGAGACGTCATCAACATCCGCATCAGAGGCCACAATTCCCGAGGAGGCTGAAACTAAGGGCGACGTAAAACCGTCCGGTTGCAAGCTTTGAAAATGGAAACCGTTGTCGATGCCGTTAACAGTCCTACCATAGAGGATTTTAAGAGGAGGTGTTCCCTCCACATCAAGATAGAGGTCAGATAGGTCACGAATGCATCGGTTCGAGGAATCCAGGCTGCGGAAGCTCGCCTTGGGGCAGGGGACGACGTAGGTATCGCGAGCCGCCCGCTGAACCTCCAGCTTGTACTCGTCCAAAACTTTGCCCAGACGATAGACGCCGGGCTTCTTGATGACGTACCAACCCTCAGCCTCCTCAGAACCGGAATCCAGCATTTGACTCTTCATTTCCTTCACGATACTGGCCACTTCACGCTTAGATAGCTTAATGGTCTCGTGTTGTGAGCTTTCGAGGTCGATGCGAAGAAGCTCAATCTCAACGGGCATGGTACCATTGAACTGAAGAGGGAGCTTGATGGAGGGGGAACCCGGGCCTATGCAGAAAGGCGTGCCATTTCGGTTCAAGATGGCAGAGCTACGTGAGAGTCCAATGTTAGATCGGGGTGGGCACAAAACCGAGGGGAGGCAGACACCATAAAAGATAAGAATAAAAAGGTACGACTTACCCTTCTGGAAGGATGTTGATGATTTGCTTTCCCATGATCAAGGAGTTGTTATGGAGGATATTAGACACTCGAACAGTGTGCTCGGAAAGAGCCATTTCCTTGTCAAAGAAAGCCTTGCCCGCGGCCAAGAGCCAACCTTGGAAGGGCAACTGAGCAGACGTCTGATGTTAGCCAGGTTCAGAGGGCAGAAACAGAGCAAAAACGGTAGCAACACACCGGGATATCAAACATCAACATGTAGTTTAAAACCATGTGTCCGGCGTAGAGGGTCAAGACAGCTTGCTGAGAGAGCTCTAGCCATGGTATCCTCAACTCAGGCAAGCCAAAGAGGAAGATGAAGTCAATGACACTCCATTTGATGAGCAACGGCAACGAGACATCGTGGTTCTCGACTACGTGGATCCAGTCATATAGTTTCCAGCAGAGGAGAGCGACGTAGAAAGCCGCGGCGTAGAACCGTTGCGTCGGGGCATCGATCACCGTGAGCGGAATCACGGGCGGGTTGGCGGGTTGCACAGGGTTCGCTTCGGGAGCATCAGGAAGAGAGAATCTCGACTCTCGCCGATTTCCACTACCGCCGCCGCTGCTGCCGCTGCCGACACTCCCGGTGCTCGCACGGGGGCCATTGGCGGGAGTTTGCGGGAAGTGCCCAGGCCGCGGGCGCGGTGTCGAGGCCATGGCCTTCCCTTGTGATGGAATGATGATGGCCTGTTTGAAGTGGTGGTCGCGAGATTATTGGCAAGCGAGCAGTAGGTTCATCGAGGACGGCAACAAAAATAAGCTTGGCCGGGGACTCGGGGCAAGTAGGAATCGGGAGGAGGTCGTCACGAAGTCCTCAAGCGCGGTGCGGAATCGTGCAAAGGTTGCACGCTTGGTTGAAAAGCAAGCGAGTTTGTTGCTGCTGCTTTAGGAGCAGTGAAATTTCCCAAAAAGCTTTCGTCACGTCAAAAATGGAGCCTGGACGCGACCACCCTAACAAACAGTGTGATGGAGCCAAGTACCAAATGTACCAACTGGTACCTTCCACCATCATTTCGCCAATCCAAGTTGCCAAGGCATTTCGGTACACGAGGGAGAAATGTGGGTATTTATTTTGGAGCTATCTGATTGGACATAATTCGCCCTCTCGAATTATCTTAATTCCAGCCAATGATATCACGTCAAGCCGGCAAGCTCTCATAAGTGTTAAGTGTAGGGAGCTCTCTGCGACGACATTGATCCCAATTGATCCATCGCCTCGGTCTGAGACCACCTAGAATGGCCCAGAGTGAGCGACATCTACTGTTCGGTGTGACCACAAAATTGAATTTTCGCCATGGATCGATAAGAAACATCTCGTCTATTCTTTTGCTTTCATGCTCAAAAGCATCGTAGAAGTCCAGGCGCCCACATATCATGTAAGCGCAACCCAGCCTATGTGTCAATCCCGCTGCTTCTTTCTACCTTTGTCTATCCACCCCGAGGTAACGAGCCTCCTAGCTTGTTGGATATGTTCAAACTGGTGCAGAAACCCACAATCCATCTTTTTCCTTTGATTATCACTTTCCCGTAGCTCTTGAATAATGCATAACTCATTAACCGAGTTGACAACCCGTGAGAAACATCTAGTGAATAGCTGCCCTTCGTCAGGCCTTGTTTCAGGTCAGGTAAACCCAAGCTTCTATTTTTAAGGTGAATAAATCCATTGCTTCGACTCAGGGCCGACCTAGCAGCTCTACCTCCCATATTGAACAGCAGGCTTGAACTCCTGCACTTTTACTAAATTAAAGACTGGCAAGGCTGGGGTTTCCAGTTGCAGATTAAGTGCCTGGTACATTGCTGCATTCCGGCCAGCCCCTCTCAACCAACAGACACTAAAACTCACACTCTCACACCCAGTTGCTCAAGAACCTGCCCAGCGAACAGAACAGTCCGAGATGACCTTGAATAGCATGGACCTAGACCGGTCAACAGCTGAGGACAAAGATCTCGGTGATCCGCATGGCGATGGTGCCTCCTCTGGCGAGCAGGCTGGCTCGGCTGCGGTTGCGGCATCCCCTCCCTCCCGGCGCAACCCAAAGAGATCAGCATCAAAGCTGCCGGCCGCCACACTCACCCCGGCGGAAATCCCCGAAAATGTCATGGACGCGGCTTTAGCGCCCCTAGACCCAAACGAGTTGGACGAGTGGACGGGGTGGGCCGTGTTCGAATCCGATCCTGTAGGGCTCAGTGCTTTATCATGGGAGGCCAGCGTGCGTGATTCCAACTAATCCGTGGCTGCAGTCCTTTTTCACACCTACCTTGGCAGACTTGGCGTCAAGGACGTCCGTGTCACCGATGCTTTCGATATCGTCGATGAGAGTCTGGATCCAGAATATGCGTGAGCCCTAACCTACGCCTTTCGTCTCCTCACCTGCCAAGCCAAACCCCCACCCCTCCTTTCCCTTTATTTTTCCCTGATATGTATATTGACACCATGAAAGGGTTGCACTCGATCATCGAAAAGGCGTGCTTGGCCTCGTCTTTTGCTTCCGAGGTGTCGATATCGACGACTCCGAGCCAGAGGTACAACCTAACGACACGGCCGTTTGGTTTGCAAATCAGGCAAGGACCTAACCACCACCCTAGCGTCTTCACACTATTCCTAACTGGTAGACAGACGGTCGATAACTCCTGCGCAACGGTCGCCATGCTTAACATCCTCATGAACAGTCCCGGTCTCGAACTCGGGCCAGAGCTCACGCGGTTCAAAGATCAGACCAAAGACATGAACTCGGTTCAGCGCGGAAAGCTTCTCAGCGAAAACACTGCAATCCGTGTGCAGCACAATCTTTTATCAAGGTACTTCACTCCATTGTCCAGGCTCCCCCACCCAACCCTTCCTCCTTCGATCTCACCGCCGGAAAGCACCTCATCTAACCATCCCAAATTGCGCGGTAGGCGCATGGAACATTTAAACGCCGATCTCTGGCTCCACGGCAGCGCCATGGAATACCAAGAAGGTGTTCGTCGAGCAAACAAGCGCGCAAAGAAGAAAGGCCGCAGCAAGAAACGCCCCGTCGGGAACGACGCCTTCCACTACGTATCCTACGTGCCGGTCGACGGCAACCTGTGGAAGTTTGACGGTCTCCAAGTTGGCGCCGTAGATCTAGGTAAGCGCGTGCCTTTGTGCGCGCAAGCTATCAAAAAAGAAAATTCCGCAGTTACGCAGCCAAAAAAGATGTTGACTCGTTCACGCCAGGCCCCATCAGCGAGATCGATATCAAGTCAACCATGGGAAGTTCCCGCGGCTGGTGGGAAGATGCCCTCAGCGACATCCAGGACCGCACCTCAAACCTCGGCTTCGACGTCGAATCCGTCCTCCTCGCCGTCCGCCACGACCCCATCTCCCACATACGCCACCAGCTCGCCAGGGCCATCCGCTCCGTGCGGGAGATTTCAGAGCGGAGGCGCAGGTGCCCGTGCGGCTGGCAGCCCACGCTCTCGGAACCAGGGTCTATCGACGTCGGGGACGCCTCCCAGCTCGCGCGGTTCGGGCTCTCGGAGGAAACCGTCACAGCCGCGTCGCTATGCCCCTCTGTGCGCCGTTGGCTTGATGAGACGGACTCGTGTACAAAGACGCCCGCTGCCAGGACCGGCACGCGGTGGAGATGATGCATGTGATGGATTTTGCGGAAAAGTATAGGATGCACGAAGCCTACGCCGAACGGTGCGAGATGGACACGGCGCGGCGGAAGAAAGAATACGTCCCCGCCATCCACGCGTGGGTCAAGAAACTAGCAGAAAAAGGCGTCCTCGCCGATTTCAACTCGTAGGAGCAACGATATACATAACCTACGTCCACCCTGTGACTAAAGAATGTGTATCTGTATTTGTACTTATTTCTTTTATGCCGGTTACGTCACGAATCCTTAAGAACCTTTTTTCTTCCTTTTTTTTTTTTTTTTTTTTTGGCACACCGACAAAGCCCTCCGAGTCGCTTTAAAGAGCCCCGCCGCAGTCCCCCTTTATTCACGAGCTAATCATCAGGAAACTCCTCTCGGATATTGGAGATAAACATGCCCATCTTCTCGTCGAATCGCTTGAAGTACAGCCCTGCGGTCTCGAAAAGGTCGTCGGGAATCTGAGACCTGTCATTGACGGGGAGGATCGCTCGCTGTAGCACCTTGAACTGGCTCATGGAGTCCATGCGCCTAACCAACAGTGGTTTCCCTTTTGATTAGCCACAGACAGTCACGGCTAGCTCAGAGCTCATTTCTAGACTCACATGCAGGTGTAGTAGACCGACCGCTCCCCGCTCGGGTCGACGGCTCGCATCACGGTGTCTTCGGGAGCGACAGCGGGCCCATCGTCAGCCCAGCCCGTGATGACGCCGAGGAAATTGAGTCTTCTATGACGAAAGACCTGCCCGACCTTGTACAGGACCTCGGCGCCGGCATCAGCCCGTCTGCGGGGCCGCAGGGGAACGTTGTCCTGGTCGCGTTTGGTATTGACGAGGTTGCGAGGGTTGTCCCAGACCTGGCCGTGAGGTCCCGTCAAGTCGTAGATGGGGCAAATGTACTTCTCAACGAGCCAGGTATCGCCGATCCAAGAGGTAGTGAAGCGGTCAAAGATGCGGTGGAGCGAGTCCACCCATTCGAGGCCGTTGGGTGGCAAAAGCATGAGGCGAGCCCAGACAAAGGCGAGAAGCGCCGAGTCACGGTTGATCACGCTGCTGCCGCTGGCGGGACGCGACGTATCGAAAGACGGGACATAGGGCTCGGGCTGGTTGGGGCCGGAAAGGTCGGGCGTAAAGGTAGCACGGATGTTGTGTGCTAGGCGCATGATGAGGCTCCGGGGCTGGCCAGACGAGAGGAATATGTCGGCATTAGCTTGCCAGCCAAAGTTGGCAAGCAACGCCAGCAGCGTATCCTTCGGAACTTCCTCATCCGTGCCGTACGGGTCAAGGTGCATGCTGTCCGCGATAGCTGTGGGCAGCTCCCCGACTTGGTTAGCCTCAGCCTCCTCCACGGGAATACCGTCTAAAGATACCCCCGAGGGAGGAAAGACTAGGGTGTGAACATGGCTAGGGAAAAGGCAGGGTTTCGCGTCGATCCCCAGTCTGTCGGCGATGGAGCAGTAGATTGCGCTCGACACGAGGGGCAACGATTGGTGAGGTTTATACCGGAGCGCCTGGCCTATGAAGCAATTGCGAAGCCGGCGGTAGTTTCGGTTGGGGAATCCATTCCCAAAAGCTTCCGGGACCGTAGCCACCGATTTAGTGTCAGCGCCTTTTGCCGCGTCGTCAGCTCTTCAAACTCTTCATGTTCGCGCTGAAACTCGACTGCAAGCCTGTCAAGCATGTGCGAGACCTGTGTATCCTCATACAGTTAGACCAGAGTCCTGTGAGGAACAGACAACGTAGGATCAAGTGAAGGAATCCCTCCTCCCCGCGGCAAGAACCCGAGAGATGACATGCATCCACCCGCCTGCCCTGAAGTCAGGGGGAGAGGGAGAGGGGGAGGAGAAGAGGTACGGGGGTATGGAGGGGGTGTCACTTGCTTCGTCCACGTCACCAGGGCGATCGTGGAGAATGAACATGTCAAAGGCGGCGAGCGCTCGTTCAACTGTGGCGTTTAAGCTGCGGCCATTGGATAGTTGGACATTGTCAGGCGGGTGAATGCCATCCAGTTCTCGGGGAACGACATCCATTCTTTAATGGCTACTTCCCTGTGGATGCTATCCAATATTGAATTTGCGTGATACCTGGGTATGGAGTTTGGTTTTAGCTACAAGCATCCGACAAGCATAGGAAAGAAAAAAAACGAATGAAGAGGCCAAGAAGAAAATTAGAAGGGTCACTAGTTGGATCCTACACCAAAACGAGTCCAATCTATCCTCGTCCTCTGTTTGTCTCGGTCTCTGTTTCTGTCTCTTCTCTCTCTGGCTCTCTCTCTCTCTCTCTCTCTCTCTCCGCTTCCATTGCGTGGTGGTACAAGATCTTTACGCCCTTTCGGTGCGCGTTTGTTGCTCCTTTCCTAGCTAGTCATGATTCTTTAAGTAGAAAAACAAGTGAAAAAAGGACATAAAAAGAAAACTCATTGGCAAGGAGAGATGGATCTGGGCTGTATCATTTACAAGGTGCCGGGGTTTCGCGCCCCGGCCCATTCGTCTTGTTCGCATTTCATCATTGGCAGTTGGTCATTTGATTTTGTTGGTTTCAAGAAATCCTACCTCCTAGCAAGAACGTCCTCGACCGAGTCATCAATGTGACATTGATCCAGCAAGAAGTCTTTGGCGTCGTAGCCCATGTGGCAGACTTGCTCAAACTTCCGCAGGCGGCCAAGCTTGGTTGCAAGTATCCCGTCAAAGAGATGCGCTATGCGTGCGTTTCTTTGCTTTCGGACGATGAACAACCGCTTCCAGTCGTGGTCGGAGACTGGGCCCTCGAGCTTCCTCTGGAACTCATGGTCGGGATTCCAATACTTGAACGAGTCGCTACAGTGGTGCCTCCACAGTAGCGGCTTGTTCGAGAGATCATTGAGGTGCTTGGAAAGCAGCTGGAAGCAGAGCAGATTGTCTTCGGGAGGTAGAAAATAGAGAATGTGAAGGATAATTTCGTTCGGAAAAGATTCCAACGAGGCCGGTGCCCTCGGCGTTGTTGCTGCTCCGGCCTCCATATGGATGTCCTGTGGGTGTGACGAAGCGAAGGAAGAAGGGAAGGGAAAAGGGGGTGGGGTGTTTGAGAAATCAAGAAAACACCTGATTTAGGGGGAAGGTTGGCGAATTGTGCGGAATATTTCAACGCGATGGTGGTATAATAAAGTGGGAGGGCGAGAGTCGATCCGAGGGGTAAACGATCAATCAGTCTGCAAGTGCAGGATGTAACGATGAGGTCAGCAAAATTGGGCTCTTCTTCTGATTCGGAGGCTGGCGTTGGGGTGGCGGATTGCAGTGTACTATGTACAACTCGAGGAGCTGATAAGAAGGCTTCAAGTCTGGTCCAACAGACAGAAGGGGAAAGCTACGCTTGCTTAGCGCACGCCAGTGTTGAGGAAAGTGCGAATCGCCGAATGGGGCCCCGGAGTTGGTCCCACCACTGGTATCGGAAGGGCCTGTCAAAAGGTCGAGTTTTCAGCAGGCCAGCGCAGAGCTCGGCCGTTGTGGAAGGTGGTAGGAGTTGGCCTGGTCTGCAAGCCCGGGTATTTGGAGCCGTCTGCTGGAGCAATTGGGTTGGCTGCCGGCTGCGACGAACTGGTGCTCGGTGGGGGTAATCTCCTCAGCTAAGCAAATATGGGCCAACCGGTATCAAAGCGAGGCACCAGCCGAATAACAGTCGTTACACTTGAGAAGTGTGGGAAGATCCGTCCTTATCTTGGGAACTTGACAGGATAGAACAAAAAAGATCGAGGGTTAAGGAGTAGAGGGTTAGACTAGCACCAAAGATGAGGGAGGTGCAATGGCTGTGTGATGGTGAGCGAGCGGAACTGATGTAAGCTGTGCCCGAGTGACCAAGTTGGAAAGCTAAATCAAGCGTCGTCGTCTGGTTTCGAGAAGAGCAAGGACTCGAGGGGGTGTCTCAACCATTTAAATAGCAAAGCAATGGAAGTGGCAACTTGAGAGGAGAGGAGCCGAGTCGGGGGTCGGGGGTCGGGGGAGGAGCAGGTTCAGGTTCGCGCTTCCTTTCAATTCGCTTCTGCCAACACCAGGGGCACACCCACACTAGTATAGCTTTCCAAGTTGTCTTGGGTGTATGTACAAGTATACCGAGGACGTCGAGTGTGCGGACGTTGCGCTTGCCTCAATGTGTCAGGCTGTCGATGAGGAGAAGGGGAAGGGGGCAAAGGTACCACGGGTCTTGCGACTTCCTCTTTCTCTAGGGTGAGCCGTGGGCCTGGAGTCGTGGGTATTATTGGACTTGAAGCACGGTATTGGAGTCGTGGGTCTTTCCAGGCTTGGGTTGGTCGTGTTACAACGCCAACGAGACCCGAATGTAATGCTAACTGCCATGGGTGTTGGGCTAAGCAATTTGAGGGTGCCAATGCCAGTGTGCAGGGCAGCCGTTGTTTGGTCAAGACGGTTGAGTCTATCCAGCGTTCGAAGACTGAGGGCGATACCGAGGCAGAGACCCAGGAAATCTCAAATATGCTAATATAAAAGACCGATGCAGACGGTCGCTAAGAAGGACGAGAATAGAATAAGATAGGAGCGGCGCGGCACAGGAGCCCAAGTTAATTTCACCTGTCAAGAACACTGAATGGATCAATCCCACACCACTCCTCAAGTTTCTCAGGCTCTTGATTTCGATACAATGGATGCCAACTTCACACCACTTTGCTCACGGTAGGCGAGGGTCGAAGGTTGTGGATTGTTTGTCCCTATCACACCCCACCCCCTCCCCCTCGATACTTGAGTGCCCCGATTCTCGTCAATCAGTGGCCAGAATTGGTATCTCGACCAGTGTTAGTCTACAACTTGAAGAGCCTTGTGACGATTCTCTTGTGGGTCGCTTTTCCCGTCCCTGGTCTCAGTCGCTAGTCGGCACTAGTCTGATCTCGTTTGTTTGCAATAACGCGTAGGTTGTATTACGAAGAAGAGGTGCTGGATGAGGTTGAGATGAAGCAAGGATCGTTGAAGATTTGCATAGTCAGGAAGGGGAAAGAACCGAATTGGGACCAGGGGGTGTGGATACGGTCGACTCGCAAAACGAGAATGAGGGGCTGAGGATCGAGATCAATATGATCCAGTGCATTCATTCCCTACATAGACCGCTGACAAAGTTCCAAATTCAGCGATCAGCAGAGAGAAGGGCTTGAATTATATCCGTGGCCAAGGGAGTGCAAACTCCTCAAGCTGATTGTCAACTTGCTTAAGCCCATAAGCACCAGGCTCTTTTCGCCAAGCAGGAATAGATACGAGGGGGAAGGGGAGGGGGTCGATGTGTACATGTAGGGTTGGTAGAAGAACGAAGTCGAAGTGAGGGATCCATTGATTTGATCTGGGAAGGAGCGTATGCCGAAGGGCTGTGGTGGGATGAGCAGGAGGAGTGGATTGAGTGGTGGGGAGCTGGAGGGGAGGGGTGGGGGCTGCGAGACGGTATTGGGGTGATCGACGCCCTTGGATGATTGAAATCGCTGAACGGTGGCAGGGCGTGAGCACCTCGACCAAAAAAGAAAGAAAGAAAGGACTTCCCCACATTTCCAGACGCAACGGCGTCGAAGGACAGCAAAGAGGCTTGCGCTGAGCAAAGCAAAGCTCAAGCCAAAACAAGAAAAAGATGCGCGGTGGGAGCGGAGTAGCGTCGCCAGACCCTGGAGAGGAGCAGACGGCCGGGAGAGAATAGAGACAAAGACGATAACTGTCTGATCAACTTCGCCCGTTACAGCGACGAGGTCCAGTATCTGCAGCTTGATGGGTCAAGTGAATACTTGATGGATCTATCCACGAGCTTTACCAGTCTCGGTCAAGCTGCTGGCTGCGAGGCTAATGCAACCCCTTCAGGCCCCGAGGCGAACGGGGGAAGGGGACCCGCGACCGGCAGCCCTTTGACTGGACTGAACTGGCCTATTCGAACTCTGAGGGTCGTCTCATCTAGTGATCTTGGAGCAGGGAGCTCCTTTTGACTTGAGGTCGTGCAGACTTGCCCTGCACAAACGTGTCGTGCTTGGTGTGGGCGATCTGAGAGGATGAGACGAACGAAGCAAAAAAAAAAGGTGCATCAATTGATGTGGCAGAACCCCCACCCCCTCTCCCAGTGCCACCACCACGAGCATGATAACGTTGCCCAACTATGCCATAGACGAAATACTAGATGACAAGGCCATGAAATGGGTGGATGTAGTGCGCAAGTTAAGACCAAAGCTATCATGTCCCTCTTGGCGTTTGACATCCATACATATCTTGCCCCTCCCCCCTCTTCCTACATCTCAATTTAGAGTATGAGTAAGGCCTGACGCTGATTGAAATCACAGATTCATGGAGATTTGAGGGACCATGCACGTGAACACCCTGGGGTCTGTGGCGGTGGCATTCGGGTATCTCTCTTTCCGCACATGTCAACCAGCCAGAAACCCTTCTTCTCATCATGAATAGGGTCTTAGCTCAGGCGTGGGAAGGGAAAAGAGCAGTCAAATAAGTCCCCGAAAGGATGCTGCAACATGCAATGCAGCCATGCCGAGGAAGTGTCTCTGGGGTGCCTCATGGCGTTGCATCCGAACTCCGAACAAGCTCTCAGTGCAACACCCGGACGCACCTGGGCCAGGGCTCAAACATGCTCCGACGAGGGGAGGGGACGCGTATGTAGCTGGATATTGCCCAGGCATGCGGAACACTGATTTGCTTTGGAGAGGTTAGTACTGGATGCAACCCCTTGTGATTGAAGAAGTTGGTCCATCTTGGATCTATATGGCCGTTTGTACAGGGGGGAGACGACGTGCCGCGTCCTGCCGTTCGATGCCGACTCCTGGAAAAGGTCCTTTCTAATCCTTTCTAATCCAGCAACAACAACATTGAGAAGCGCAACCCCGCCACCCCCGCCACCAAGACAATAATCTCTTGGCTCCATAGTTCCATCGCCACGAACGAGGCCGAGTCGATCAACGTCGATGGACGCTTTTGTTGGCTCGCAACGAGTTGAGTGACATCAATTCGTTTTCATGCTGCGTAAAGATCCATTCCTCTTGTTCCTTCCCTTATTCCCCTCATTTGATGCCTCGCACCTCTGCTCCCAGGTCCTTCCGACCCTTTGCGAAATGAAGTCGTGTCATGTTTCCCCCTCCCCTGATCTTTGAGAAGACAGTTGGGGGTGTTGAGGGGTCTCGTCCTTCATGTCATAGAATGCGGAGCCTGATGCAAGACGAGCTCGGTCGTAACAGAGCAAGCGCGTTGAAAAAGGGGGATTGGTCTGACAGACCGACAACCTACCTTTGGATATCGAATTTAATTCGTACTTCATATTGTTCGCAAGGGCCTTGACAACACTGGAATGCGCCGGTATCCAGGCATCGGCTCAACACAACCAAATCGATGGTCCCACAAGTGGCAAATCCGCAATCTCGTGGTACCGAATTTACGAACCCCAGTTCATGGGTCAAAAGACTCATCCAGTCATCCACCAACTTTTACCCATTCAAGCCATCATCGTCCAATATCCGTAATTGATTCGAGCTGTGACTCGGTGTGTGACCCGTCTTCCTTTGGCTGTCCCGCTTCGTTCCTCATGATGCTCGTGCTTTTTCTTTGGCAGTGCAAGGACCCCTACTACCCCACTATCACCGCAAGCTGGCAGTCTCTGAGAGCGGGCCCCGCCGCCCCTCCTCCACTTCCACACTTCCACTCCACGCCTCCACGCCTCCACGCCTCCACGCCTCCACGCTTTCACGTCCAGCACCCCTTTCCCTTCCCGCTGCGATTTGCTCCATTGATGTCTTGATTGAGAGAGTGCCCCATATACCAAAAAGGAAACCCGCCTATCTCCGCTGCGCATCATTACTGCTGGCCACCGACAGACAGAACCTTTCTGATGTCGCCACGGGGCCGACGAAATAGCTCAGCTCTTACGGGAGGCTATTTTAAGCCCACCGCCTTTTGTCACCCCGCCGAGGGGACGAGCTAGAAGTTGAAGTCAGGACAACTTTATTATTCTGCTCCCCTCCTCCCCAGGTTGTCAAATTGTCAGCTTTGAAATTGTTAGGAAGCTGCGATTAATGCAAAGCCACGTCTCGACCTGGCATTTCCATGATCACATGTTGCCAGAGTCACCTGAGGGTTCCTCCAGACGACCTGCAGTTTCTCGACAGCAAGACACGGCCCAGACGTGGAGTACCAGTGCAGTACCGTCGTCTTGTAGGTGGGGAGGGTCGTGGGTGGAAATCCAGTAGTTGATCAGTAGTGCCCTTGGAGATGCAACGGCAGCCGCAGAATAAAGGTGGGGTGGGCGGTCTCCGCAGCCGCAGCCATTCAACGTATTCTCGCCATTTCGCCCTTCTCGCTTGTAGCCAAGGCGAGCGCGAAAGCGAGGGCGGATGTGAGTCTACGTCTACCTTGGAGCGTGCGCAAACTAAAGAGGTACTCAATCCTTCTCGTCTACTTCGCTTTCCTGTCTTGTGTTGCTGTGCTTTACCGAATCAACCAAGTGGGCAGGCGGAGAGCCCACGCCCTCTCCTTGCGGTAAACCAGCAGCGGTATTACTGGTGGGTGGAGGCAAGGTGTGGTGGGTATGCCGCGCCCTCACAATGCCCCCCTCGCCCGGCTACTCCTGGTCTTTGCATTCCCCGACTTGTGACAACGACGGGATCGGCGGTGAGCAGGCTCATAGACCAGCATTGATGACCCTTTTATATATTGATATGATATCTTTAGGGGATTAAAAGCACAAGGGAATATGGGCGAGTTTCTCTAGTGTGCTCGTATGGAATGGGTACCTCGCTCCGCAAACATCCAGCCTGCATGCTGCATGTGTTAAGACGAAAGAAATGGGCATGGCGAACGTGGAAAGTGATTGAATGAGTGATTCTTGTCTTGAGGGAGGTGACACTTGGGTTGATTCTCACCACCCGCAGTTCCTCCAAATGGCAGCTCCTCTGCTTTGACGCGCCAGAGCATGGCAGGTGGGGCAACAACGAGCAAATGGCTTAGGTAATCTACAAGCCAACGTGTCTGACATAATCGTCCCTCGAGTTTATTCTCAGGACCCTTTCAAAACCTTGTTATTGGCCAATGACTTGAGTCCATTGCGGCTTTCGTCCCCACACACGCTAGTCCGTATTCGGTCAACAGTAAACAAGACGCGTTCTCCAATTCCTCCACCAGCCATTTACTCGTTCTGGGATGGAAAGTTGACATTGTTCACGACGATAGTCTTGAGCTACCCACGACACGCTCAACGCATGACAACAAGAGAATTTCCTTGCGCCAACTTCAAAACATTCGCCTACTATTCTTTAGCCCCATTTTGAGATTACCTGCCACCGGTGTCAACATTTCTTTTCTTTGTGGGTTTTTTTCTCCCTCCCAACCTTGCTGTACCATTTTCACACGTCATTATTCGAATAGGCTCAACTTTATTCCATGGCCTAAACGGGCTTTTTCGCGAACCTCTAAACGAACAGAAAGAGCAGAAACCCACCACACGCTCGCTGTCAACACCGGAAAGATGGTCCAGCCGGGCTATGGCAGCTTGGACACGCCTCGGACCAACCTTGGAGACGCGACATACCTCAGCGCCCGCCGACCCGATTTCGCCGATATCACCCAAGAACCCTCCTTCGTCTCCCCTCCCAAAGACGGCAACAACCTCCTCAACCAGCTTCGGAATGGCCGATCTGGGGGCGTCAGTCTCCGTACTCCTCGGGGGCGAGCCCCTTTTCACGACCGACGAAACCTCCCAGCGAACCTCGGAGGCGCGGAATTCACCCCAATGCTCAAATCGGCGACGCGGAGCGTGCGTAGGGGGCAAGGAGAATGGTGGCGTACCCGCGACACCGGCCATGGACACACTCGAGGGGGATCTAACACCAGTTCCGGCCGGCGAGGTGTCCATGTTTGGCCGGTCCTATGCGGACGCGACGCTGCCAGTCGTAGACACGAGTAGTACCGCCTCTACGCCCATGGCTCTTCCTACGAGACGCGGCAACGGGAAAGGCCCGCTACAGGACGGGAACCAGCTCTCGCTAAGAGAACAGGAAAACGTCATCGATAAGATCGAAAAGGAGAATTTCGGCCTGAAGCTCAAAATTCACTTCCTCGAAGAAGCGCTTCGGAAAACTGGACCCGGGTTTAGCGAGGCCGCACTCAAGGAGAACACCGAGCTAAAGGTCGACAAGGTTACGATGCAGAGGGAGCTACACCGGTACAAGAAGCATCTCAACACGGCAGAAAAAGACTTGGAGACGTTCAGGCAACAAATGATTGAATTGCAAGAACGTACAAAGAAGAAGTATGCAGACGAAAGCCAGCGCGTCGAACTAGAACAGCTTAGGCGCATCCTCGACGACAGGGAGACTGAGCTAGAGGAGCTGAAACGTGAGCTCGACGAAGGACAGAGGGACCAGGCTCGCGTCGACAAGCTTCGCGACGAAGTAATGGACCTCGAAGCCGACATCCGGGAAAAAGACCGCATCATTAGCGAGCATGAGGATAATATCGAAGACCTCAAGGACAAGCTTAGTGGGGCCGCGCAGGAAAAGGATGATTTACTGGAGAGGGATGAGGAGATTGAACAGCTCAAGGCAAAACTGGCGGCTTCCGAAGCCGACAGGAAGACTGCGCAGCGCAGAGTTCTTGAACTAGAGGAGAAAGCCCAGAACAACGATGAGCTTGACGACGCTCGTGACACCATCGAAGACCTGGAGCGGAATGTGCGTGTTTTGGAGACGCAGGTGGACGAGATGAAGGACCAATTAGCAGATGCTCTGTCGGAAAAGGAGCGCGCGAATCACGATTTGGAAGAGTTGCAAGATGAGATGGCCAACAAGTCCGTTGTCACCAAAGGCCTATCGCGCCAGATCGAGGAGAAGGTCTCCCGCTTGCAGACTGAGCTCGACCAGGCCGGACACGACTATGCTGATCTGGAGCGCCAGTTTTCTGACTGTCACAAAGAAAATGAGGACATGAGGACAAAGTACAGGGAGGCTAAGCGGGAACGGGACGCGTCCGATCGCGAGCTACAGGTCCTCAAATCCGAGTACGCCGATCTCCAGGCCGACATGGATGCGCAAAAAGACCAGCTGAGCATGCTCGAGTCCCGGAATGATGCTCTCCGATCTGAGACGGTCTCGTTCCAGCGCGAAATTTCCCAGCTCAAGAACACCATCGGCGATCTCGAGGCCGGCCTTGGCAAAGAGCGGCAGCACACTCTTGATATCGAGCGTGACATCAGGAGCCAATACCGCCAGGAGATTGAGAAGCTCAACGACGAGATCTCCGACCTTCAGGCCGCGATTCGGGAAAGGGACAACCTGTACGACAACGATAGCGACAAGTGGGAGTCTGAAAAGCAAACACTCGAGTCCGAGCGCGACCGTGCGGAAGAGAAGGCTGCCGGCCTACAGAAGACCATCGACAAACTCCGCGATGTCGAGGGTACCCTGTCAAGCAAGGAGACCAAACTCCAGCAAGCCATTCAGAGCGAGTCGGACCGTCACAAGAACGAAGAAGCGATCCTGAAACGACAAATCCAAGAATTGCAGCAGTCTCTTGATCACCGGCAAACGATGCTGAATGAGCTACGGACCGAGGTCTCTGGCGTGCGCGATGAGCTTCGCCAGTCTTCTGTCGACTTCCAAGCCCAAACGGAACGCGTCAGCGCGCTTAAGGACGAGGTAGATGTGCTCCAGGCTGCTCTCGACAACAGCTCGGACAAGTCGCGCAAGGACCTCGACACTAGCCGGAAGGAGTGCGAAAACCTCAGGCGAGAGGTGGATGTGCTCCGGCACGCCGCAGATCTGGCGAAGAGCGCTACCAGCGCATCGCACGATACCGCCCAGGCCACTTCCGGTTCCCTCGACAGGCTACGCGATCAGCTCAGCGAATCTTCAGCGCAACTCACTCGGCTTACCCGGGAAAAACAGACGGTCCAGGACCAACTCGCCACCGCCAACATCAATCTGCATTCTCTTCAAGGGTCGCTGGCAGAGGTGGAAGCGGAGAGGAACGAGCTCCAGGCGGGGTTTGAGAGGTCGCGGAAGCATGGCGAGGAAACGTACCGCTTCGACCAGGAGAAGGTGGAGCTCCGGACGGCTAAAACCAAGCTCGACATCGAAGTGCGCCGGTTGAAGGAGGAGATCAAACTCGTCTCCGAGCAGAGGCAAGCGATCGAGGACTCCCTTGAGGCCGAGATTGATAGGGCCGCCCGTGAGGAGGAACGGCTCAATGAGGATATCCTACAGCTTCATGCGCAGCTCCGACAGTCCTCCACTTCTGACAACCAAGACCTTGCAACTGCGCGCCGCACAATCAGAGATCTCGAACGTCGCATCGATGACTACGAGATGCAGCTTGCGGCTGCTAGCGGCAGCACGAGCTTTGGTGCGGAAGGCAACAGCGAGCTGTCGATGATTCGGAGAGATCTTACCGCAGCCCGGGCCAAAGAACTAGACTACATGCAAAAAGAGACGACGCACAAGGATGTCGTGAGGGGGCTCAAGCGACAGGTTGCGGAGCTCGAGCGCCACGTGCACGAAGCAGAGGTATCGCGATTGATCACGTCGCCAGGGTCCATTTCTAACGGATCGGCCCGGAAGAGCGAGGTGGGCGAGCTTCGCGGCCAGCTTACCGCAGCGCACCAGATGGCGAACGACCTCAAGGCCAAGCTCCGCGAGGCAGAGCGCCGGGCCTCTCAGTCATCCCGAGATGTCCAGACGCGTCTCGAAGAGCTCGAGGACGAAAGAATGGCTCTTGAACAAGCGCTCGAGGATGCCAAGAACGAGTCCGAGGAGGCGGCCGCCCAACACGAACGCCTAATCCGGAAACTCAAGCTCAAGCTTGACAAGGCCGGACGTGAGGCCGCAGCTGCTGCCGCCTTGTCATCTAGCAAAGCGGATGACAAGGTGGCAACGGCAGAGCGCCGGGATTTGCAGGGCATGCTCCGCCAGGCGCAGGCCGAGACGGAGGCCCTCGAGCATGACGTCCGGCAGCAGCAGGAGATGATGGAGTCTCTCTTGGCCACCGAGGCTTCGCTGAGGCGGAAGCTGGAGCGCGCGCGCAGCGAGAGGGCCGCCTACCGTGTCAGCGCGGAGAAGCTGCAGCGCGACGTCAAGACGCTCAAGTCGGCGCAGTCGATCGGCGATAGGGCGGCGCTGCGGTTCTCCGGCATGAGCGAGACGACGGCGGTGGAGGCGGCCAAGCCTGCAGACGGCAGGCAGCACGAAAAGGAGATTCGCGGTCTCGTCATGCAGATGGAGTGGATGCAAAAAGGTGGGAGCGGGAGGTTGGCTTGCGTGCCGATGCTGCATTCGCCAAGAAGTTCCTCCAGCTCCAGCTCGACGTCGCCAACGCCTGGTACGTATCCCCACACCCCCTTCCCCTACTCTACTCACTCCGGTTTCCTCCCTCCCCCTCCCCACCGCCCACCCGCCCTGCACCCGCGTGCAGGGTTCTCCTTTTTTATTGTGCCCTTCCCTGCCCTCCTTTTTTTCCTTCTCACCCCTTTTTGTGTTCGATGCTAATCTGGATTCCGTGTACAGCAACAAGGCACAGCTTCGCGAACTCGAGTCCATCCGCACCGAGCTCCTCGGATCCCGCCGCTCTCCTCCCCCACGCGGCGCCAGCAACTCGCGCTGGTGTCGGCTGGTGCTGCCGACCGCCCGCCTCGGCCGACCCTGCGCACGGTGGCGCTCGCAGCTCGGTTCGTGGCTCGCGCCCGCATGGCTGCCCGGTCGTGGTCCGAGCAAGAGGAGAAGCGCAAGAGGCTAGTGGCCTGCGTCGACGACATGAAGAGGCAAAAGAGAGCGAGGCAGGTGGGCAATATTGGCAGCGGCGGCGGCGTTGGTGTCGTTCGCGTCTAAGGGCCGAGGCGTATCTACGGACCTTGGTGATTACTACGCAAGGAAGTGGATAGAGGGGCGAGGGTGTTTCCCCCTGAAGGGGGCCACGAATCTGGACATGACTTTGTATTTCTCCATGGCATATCTTCTTCTCTGGCGGGAGGGGGTTTACTCTCCTTGGAACAAACCCCTTGGGCTTTGCGAACCGGAGAAGGAAGCGGGATCCCGGGTGCGAGGCATTGATTGGCATATAACAAGAGGCGCTAGACTTATGGGCTCTATGGGAGGGGTTTTGGGACTTGTTTTATTTATATCTATTTTTCTTCGTATCATTATTATTTTGTCACCTCTTTCTTGTTTTCTTTGCCTTGCTCGGGCGAGTCGAGCATAGGGAAAGGAACAACCTTGATTATCTCCCCTTGTCGACCCGTCTGTCGTTTTTAAAAATGGCGAGGGCCCGGATGGCGCTTGACGAGGCCTTACTTTTATTCTTTCACTCGAATAAACAAAAATTCTACGAGTTTACGACCCATCAAAACACACTACTTCCAAGTAATAGCCCTAAAAGCCCTCGGGACGCCGCAGTTGTGTGAAGTCGTGTCTCGCGATGGGAGCGGGTGCGGCTGGCGGCGCCATCTAGCTGGATGCTTTAGAGAGATAGCAACCCCTTTCGTCCTATTGCACTCGCTTCCTACCCCCTAAGCCATCTAGTGTAGAGTTTCCTTGCCGTCCCACCTTCTTCCTCTACCCCCTCTCCCCGAGCGTTGTCTCCCCAGGGGACCTGGGCGAGATGGGAAGATGGTCCTGGTTTTAGCGTGCAGCAAGACACAGCGCCCGTGCCGTTCACCTCCCCGCCCACCCCCATTTTCCTCTGTCTTCTTTTTCCCCAGCGTCACGACGAGGTTGGGACGAGACCCAAAGCCCACACAGATCGCGCCTTGGCCGAGACAGCTGATGCAAGAGGTGGGGCTGGTAGGTGGCTTTCGTGCCGACGTCGAGGCGCGAATTTCCTTGTTTCCTTGCAGAGGGACAGAACGCAAAAAACAAGGTAGAGAGACATCGCAGATAACCCTATCCCGCAACCGGGTCGATCTCCGATGACGCTGCCTGCGCCAGCCTCTGCCAACTCCGCAGCTTAACCCGTTAGGGGATCACCAGTATTACTTATCGATCGGGAGGATGGAGGCCGCCACCGAGACAAAGTCTGGGTAGGGGATCATAAACAATAAGACCGAGCTAGCTTCCGGTGGGGAGGGTGACGCTCCCACTGCATAGCGAGCAGGGCCAGGCTGAAGCGAGCCATCGGGGCAGGAGCTCAGTTCAACTACTGAGCTCGCATGGCAAAAGGGTCAGTTGGTGATCCTAGCTCAGCTAGCGTGATCCGGGACCACGGTTACGGACAGACATGGACGAGCTCTTTTTGCCTCTTTCTACCCCCTCCCTGAAAGAAAGGCCCGGGTATTTATGGTTTGGGTGAAGTAAGACGAAGAAATCTCACCAAGCCCTCGAAACCCCTTCTGGCACTGGTTAAGCTCGACAGGGCACATGGTTAGCCGGCATGATGCTTGCGGCGAGGACGGAGCTCTAACTTCGGACGTTTTGCGCACCCTGAGCTGAAGGAGAGCTAGTGACATTCCGCAGCTTGCATGGAAATAGGGAGTAAGGACCATCTGTGTTTATCCGCTGTAATGATAAAACTCAAGCTAATAGGGCATAGTCAGAAGGGCGCTTTACACTACTCCTCTCCCTCCTTGCGTCACTCACTCTCACCCTCGTCGCCCTCAGAGAGAGAAATCCAGCCCTGCGGAAAACTTTGTTGCGAAGAGCCATCGCTTGCCGACTACAGCCATGGTTCACTGCGTACTCTAATGGTAGTCGCTTGGAACACTTTCTGTTCTCTCGTTTTTCTCACTCTTCTTCATCTTTTCCCTTCTGCCGTCTTTTGCCAAGACAATTCGTGGAGTATACCTCGGTAGAGGATCGCCTTATAGACTCCATTTCGGCCGGTCATTCTTTAGTTTCTAATCTGGGGGCTAGGGTTGGCTAGAGGTACGAAAGATGTCAGGCTTGAGGACTGCTTTAGCGTGGAAGACTGACTTGTCCAGCTGAAAAATCAAGAGATGGAGGGGATCAGCACGTCCCAAGGAGAATGTGAAGAAAAAAGGCTACCGGAACAACCCAGCCTCGAGTCTAAAAGTCTCAGCCTGTCTCGGGCTCCTCCTTTCCCTACTCGGGCCGTCGGGGAGAGGATTAAGAAGGAGGCTGGAAGCAAAGAGATAATGGGAGGCGTGGTTGGATCGGGATGACGCAAACAAGTTCTGACATCTGATGCTGTCAAGCTGTCTCTGATGAGCCGCCGCATCAGAATGTGGCTAGAACCAGAATTCTAGACCGCCGCGAGGATTCTCGACCACGTTGTACAAGGCCTAGTAGAATTAGCTCCGGATGTTAAGCCAAACCTAGTTCGTCATGTCAAAGACATGACAACACCTCGATGCTACATCTAGAAACTTCATTAAGCCGTCGCTCTCCAGGTTGATGAGGCCAGAATCCAGGCCCATGACTAGAAGAAATCAGCACCTCACACCTCTTCAGGGTAAGCCTGCCCCTGGAAAGAGCTGAGTTACTGGGTGTGATTGGCTCCGATTCGTACCTTTAGGGCGTCTTCATTAAACGAATCGGGCAAGCTCAGGTGCGCCACGTCCCGCCACTGCGCATCGGCTTTGCCGTGACTTAACCTTTCCTGGACAAAGATCGCTCCTTGACCCCGACCCCTTGACCCTTGTCCCGCAGTTGACTTGTCATCCCTCCATTGTTTCCGAGGAGGGCCAAGTCGTCTTGATCAAGGATGGGTGCTCTGCCCAAATCCCGCGGCCTGTTTCTTCCTCTCTCGGAAATAATCGAGGGCAGATTTCGTCCAGTCTGAGGGAGAGAACCAAATATAGACCAGGTTTTCACTTTAAATTTGAGTCAATCGGTGTCCTTGCATCAATTGATGCCCGACTACCACTGTGTTTCCTGTCCTTAGGCTGGACATTGCGAGGAGTGAGTAAGTACCTACAAGTGATAGCGAGCAAATGGGGATCAACAATGATATCTCTACACTACAACACTTCTAGCGTTACATCAGAACGGAGACATTCGTTAGTGGATAATAACCAAAGGAGGAGTTGGGAAGGAAGAGAGAAAAGGAGTGTTCAACGGGACTCGGGAGAAAGAGCAAGACCACACGTGTCGACCCTCCTCCAACGTCGTCAGAGTGGGACCATCGATTGATGGCATGGCAGCTCCAGAGTCGAGGAGGGAGCCCAGGGCGCTAGTAAAAGGGAACAGAGCCTGAGCCTAGAGGAGGGAAGGTGGGATAGCTAGTGTACAAGTGGGTTAGTGTTCCGTTCCAGCGCGGAAGGGGTAAACTCGAGCCAGCATCAACCTTGGGGGCTCTGAGGAACTCGTCGGTACTTGTATCATATTAGCACACGCAAGTCTGCAAGTCGGGGGCAAACTTTGACTTCATCCAACTTTCAGCTCCTTTGCGTGTACCCCCGGCTTCCCCGACCTGACGGCGCCGACCGTTCTCACTCCCTAATGCACGATCTGCGTCCTGCCGGAGCGGAACATGCCCCAGTAATCTGGGTCTTGGTTTCGAATCGCGGCCTCTTCCTGGGGAAGCTGCAATGAGATTGGTGGTGGAATATCCTCGTCTTTTGCTGGCCGTTGAATGATCAGTGTCCCGATGCAACCTTTGACTCAGGTCTCGAGGGACGCCCTCTCGGAAAACTGGCCAACGCCAGAGGGCTTTGTGCCAGTGGATGAAATCCCGCTCAGCCTTCAACATGGTATTCAACGCCCCTCATGTCTCCTCCTATCTTCGCCGATTTTAGTGGACCGGAGTGCGTACTGTCATGGAAGATTGGGTATCTCATGAGAGGCCTAACAAGCCCGCCCTCTTGTGCATCTGTTTCTCGGGCCCAGGGTGGCTTGTGTGTCCACCCAGGAGATCAGCGTGCCATCTTCGGTATCGATATATTGATCATAGATGGTAATAAGTTTAATCACCAGTGGGCGCGCCGCACTACTCCCACTCCCAGAACGTGACGCAGGGGTAGGGCTCACACGCAAGCTCATGAAGAAAAGAAAAAGGAGCCCAGGTCGACACAGAAAGAGGACAGCATCTAAAGCAGTAGTCTTTGTTTTTCTTTGTTCTTTTTGTTATTTTTCTGAAATTCTTTTCCCTTTCTTTTTGGCGTCAAAAGGAATTGACGGCAGCAGAGAAAGTTGCAAGGGCAGCCTTAGATGGTCCTGCAAAGTGAGGGTAAGTTCCAATAAACACAGACCTTTCTTTGCCTCTCGCTTGCGCCTCACCACTATTGAAATTCACCTTTTTTTTTTTCTGCTTGTTTTTAATAGCGACGCAAGATCCTTTGGGAGCACTCCACCCACACAGAGCTGTAGGCGGGCACTAGTGTGCCGAGAGTTGTTAGTCTCGCGCGACAGTCCAAATCGAGAAGAAGAGGGCATGCCAAAACTTGACAATTTGCCGAGTGTCTCGTGTTGTAAAGAGTTCGTGAGCAGTGGATGCGTGTCAAAGGGGATGAATCTCACTCGTTCTCGTAGACTTCATATTATCATTCTAGAGATAGAAAGTTTGTGTATCAAGGAGGAACAGGTAAGAGGACACTCATAGCGAGGGCTCAGCTGCACACAATCCATGGCTTGCCCCTGTATGATAGGTGCGGGCCCAACATGCACGATGGTTCAGGCCATTTGACGTCTCGATTCCGCATCGACAATGCTGCTTTTGAATGGCCCAGCTCGGCGTTCGATGGTGCGTTCCTCGACGTTGAGGCGGCAGGCAGAGCACGCCCTCATGTAACAGCGAGATGATTTGGACTGCTTGGCCCTACCAGGAGGCCAATTCTCAAATTGGCACCTCACGGGTCACACCTATCAGGCTTCCACAATCAGACCTCATCATCGCTCCTCATATCAAAGCCTATGCGGAATTTTGATGAGACTCGATGCGGGAGTTCGAGTGGCGCACTCGCCAGGCGGACGGAGCATTACACGAGCAGGCCACTTGTGCAGCACACTGGAGCCTGTGGTGTCTCGTATCACGCTTTGCTCGCCAAGCATCGAAAATGCCGACTGTTGCTTGTACTTGGAAGGGGTCATCACCACCACATGAGCGCGAGCCCATCCCGTCTCAAGTGTGGCCCGGTCGGCCCTGGCTGTCTCAGCTAACAAGGGCGGATACAAGCAAGTCTGTCGAGACCCAAGCATCCTCGTGGCAAGTGAACATGGGGAACATGCTTGAAATCAATGCTCGGCAAGCGAGCCTCGACATCGTGCTGGGACAAGGGTTGAAATTGGGGGACGGGAAACAACTCGATTGATCATCAAACGGGTCAGTGTTGACTCTGGACGAACAGGTTCAAGCTAGGCCCAGGTGCTAGCTGTTCAGGGTCCATCCAACAACGATGGAAGAGACAGAACAGCTGCCCGCGCCCCCTTCCACCTTTGGAGGCGTGCAAATTTGCATCACTCAATGTACCCCTCCCCTCAACGACGAGGCGCTACTTCCCCCACCCGCACCCCTCGCCTCTGCAGCTCGCGCAAAATTGAGCAAGGGAAGGAGCGCTAGGAGTCAAATGAGTAGTCTGGTGCCAAACTTGAGCTCTTCACAACCGAGTTCTCTACTTAGGGATATTTCCTTCGCGCCTTCCTCCCTCTTGCATCTTGACCACTACCAGTCTTAAACTCTTAAACTGTGGGCTGGTGCTTTTTTCGGCTTGCTTGTTTTCTGATTCTTTCGTCATCTCCATTTTCTCGATTCTGCCTCTCCGCGAACGGCAAGCTTCCCTTCTCAGCTTCGGGCGACTTCCTACCCCGCTAGGATTCTTGTAAAAGCACGATCCTTCCCCCGGACCAGCCTCCCGGCCTTCCCTCGGACCTTGCCCGACCATCAGGCCAACCTCAGCTCAGATCTACTTCGAAGCGACTGTGCAAGCTACGAGGCAAAATCAACGTCAGAAACTCCTGTCGGTACTCTGTGTTTTTGTAGCACGTAGACTTTGCTCTGCTTTCTTGGGAAGCTTGGTCTTGGTGCCCGCTGCAGTAGCCGAGCCCTCATCATCACGACTACAAGAGGCACCCGATAGTCCACTCTTCGGCCTGTATCTCACCCCTTCTATCATATAGAAAGAGAAGGAGAGGAAAAAGAAGAAGAAAAGAGACCTGCAATTCTTACTCTCTCTAATATAGTGCCGCGTCGAGCAGATCGTCTGAACCGGCGCAGTGATCCTCGGCTGCCAGTCAAGCCCAGCGCCTTCCTCGATCTGCAACTTTTGCCATTGTGCCGTGTTGCATCCTCCTGAATCTGAACATCGGATAGACCAACACAGACACGCCCTTCCTCCTCTCCCCAACTTTTTCTCTCCGCCTGCCCGCTGGCCCCCGATATGTCGGGATTTTCGGGCTTTGGAGGTGGTTACGGTCCGCCGCAGCCTCCTCCTGGTGGATATTACCCGTACGTTGACCATCTAAGCATACTCATTATCTCTTATCATCCTTCATCACCCTCGGGACTGGCTCGAAGGGGATGCCTCAGTGTGGGCAAGAAAGCCCCCAGTGAGTCGTGATTTAATGCTAAGATGGCTAACGGCTATGTATTTAGCCCGCACACACAACCTCCTCATCCCCAGCACCCTCCGTATGCTTCCTACTCTACACCGGTACCGCCACAGTTCGCTTCACAACATGCGCCGTACGGCTATCCACAGCAACAGCCATCACCTTTCGGGTTTGCATCCCCGGTATGTCATATCATCCACCTTGGGATACAGATTATTCCTCGGGGATCATACGACTAGCGCTGACGTCCCGTGAAATAGATGGCTCCCCATCCCTACCCGGGCCCCTATGCCAACCCTTCACCACACCCAAGCCAAGGGAGCCCAACCTGTAAGTGTTCTTCCTCTTTCTCGTACCAACTACACGATAGCCAACGGACCCGCATATAGCCATGCCTCCTCAGCAGCGACCACCACAACAGCAGCAACACCACCCCGACGATCCCCGACTTCTACATTCCCCAGGCTCACAAGCGGGAAGTCAGAGTGGCGCGCCCTTACCTCCCATTGGAGCACAACAGTTCGGACATGGCGCCCCGCCATCCTACCACTACCAGTATTCTAGCTGCACGGGCATCCGCAAGGCCCTCCTGATAGGTATAAACTACTTTGGCCAGCGCGGTCAGCTGAGGGGGTGCATCAATGACGTGCGCAACATGTCTGCATATCTCGCCACGCATTTTGGTTACAAAAGGGAAGATATGGTTATTCTCACCGACGACCAGCAGAACCCTCTTAGCCAGCCGACCAAACAGAACATTCTACGGGCCATGCATTGGCTTGTCAAGGACGCCCGACCTAATGATGCGCTCTTCTTCCATTATTCTGGTACGTGAAGAAGTTGCAGGCTTTCCAAGCGCTCGCCGCTCATGCCGGGTGGGATACGGGACCGTAACCTGCCTTGGCGTAGCCTTTTCCCTCCAACGTGAACTAATTAGTAGATAGGTCACGGAGGTCAAACGAAGGATCTCGATGGCGATGAGGTCGACGGTTACGATGAAGTTATTTATCCCGTGGACTTTCGTCAAACCGGCCATATCACCGACGATGAAATGCACCGGATCATGGTCCAACCCTCCAGGCGGGTGTCCGACTTACCGCAATCTTCGATTCGTGCCATTCGGGAACTGCACTCGATCTTCCGTATATCTACTCGACGCAGGGTATTATGAAAGAGCCAAACCTCGCCAGAGAAGCTGGTCAGGGCTTGCTCAACGTGGTCTCCTCCTACAACCAAGACGGCAGCATCAGCGGTGCTGCAAGCGGGATTGCCTCAGCCTTCAAGAGAGCCGCGACAGGCCAGGACGCTCACGAAAGATCCTTGATCACAAAGACATCACCCGCCGATGTGGTGATGTTCTCCGGCAGCAAGGATAATCAGACATCGTTCGTACTTCCCCTCCTTGTTTTTACCGCCATCGTGACGTTGATATCTACGATGGGCGTTTTTGATTTTCTTTTCCTTGTCTTCATTGCTATGCTCAATGGTTCGATCTACTCGTGTATCTTCCCACTGACTTGTATATGCAGCGCCGACGAGAACACCGGCGCGATGTCTTGGGCCTTCATGTCGGCTCTGAGAAAGAACCCCAGCAAAGCTATGTCCAACTACTCAACAGTATCCGCGACGAGCTATCTACGCGCTACACACAGCGTCCCCAGCTCTCGTGCAGCCATCCTCTTGGTGCGTTGCCTAAACACTCCCCAACCAGTGCTCCACCCAAGCCCCTGCTCCATCCACGTCGTCCTTTTTCCGGTTCTCCTTCTCCACTGTTTCGAATTAGAAGAAAGAAAAACAAGCTGCGTTCGAAAAGGTGTCCAGTTTCATTCTGACTTTCTGAGCTTGGTGCTGTTTGACAGATACCGACTTGATGTTTGTTATGTAAACCGTATAACCTTGACGGCAAAAATGCGGAAGAAGAAGAAGAATAAGAAGAAGAAGCTGATGATGATGACGATGTTGACTTACGGCGGAAAAACAAGTTGGCCGAAAGCTCTGGGGCGGTAAAAGTGCATGAGAAGAGGTGTCTCTATAAACGGGACATTGTTTAACTTCTCACATTTGTACGCAATGAGCTATTCTCGAGCGGCTGTGATGGAAGAACCTTGAATACAACGCCTAGTTGAGCTGGGCCTGTCTGGACTATGGGAAAGCCGTTTGCAGCATAATGAGCGCCGGGAAACTGAACATGGCTCATTTGGATCAACGGGTAGGGAGAACGTGTTAATAGATCTTTCATATATATATGTTGTTATTTATCTAGCTATATGGCTACTTTTTAATCAAGGGTCAGGAAACCCTCCTTGGATCCTGCCCTCCATCTTGCCTCTAGCTCTTGTATCTCGCCTTTGCCCTTGTCCCTACTCGTGAGAACAAATTAAAAAACGGAAAAAGAAAAGAAAAAAGAACGCAGATATATTATGCAGGCCAGTAGCAATGCCCAGCTCCAACAAATACGAACACCTAGCTAGACCCCGATGCCCGGGGAATGGCTCTTTGAAACTTTGCCATGGCATTTTGAATCCCCTGGGAGTCCCCTATGCAGTTCCACTCAACCCACTAACGATCGATAAGACCCGTTTCTCCGTCCCTCCGTTTGTTTTTGTCAAGATTAAGAGAGCAGGAGAGGCGCGTAGGTATATGGAAAGAAAGAAAGAGAGCGAAACTACGAGCAGCTTGGTGGCACTATGCTCCTTTTTCGAGGAATGAGAAGGGGAGAGAGGACCAAAAAAGTGGAAAAGGGCCCAGGACAACATGAGAGTTGTGTTTTAGCCCGCCATAGCGGTATCCTCTCCGTCAGACTTTCGCATCTGGTACGAGAAAAGAGACCAGAGTAGCTGCACAGCCTGGATCCTCTCCTCTTCCTTGAAGAAGTCGTACCACTTGCTCCGCCAGAGCACGAGATCGCCCCAGCTCTTAGCCGTGTCCTCGTCGGCGCCGTCTAGGACCTCGAGCAGCCTCTTGGGCACGCGTAGCCGCAAGACAGATACGTGGTGGAACAAGCTGCTAATGACAAAAATGTCGTCATAGTCTGCGCCGCCAGATGGGCGGCCAATGGCCTCGTAGCGCGTCTTCTTGTCCCACGAGAAGGCAGGCGGGCGGACCATGCGGTAATTATCGTACACGGCCATGGTCTTGCGCGGCTTCTTCATAGGCGGCGAGGTGGAGTCCTTATCTCCAAGCATGTCGTCGCCATCAAGTTCGCGGCCAATGGGGCCGCCGGAACCGCCGCCCCAGCGCTTCTTCGTTGTCCACCACTGACCCTCCCCTAGACGCTGTTCAGTCTTCCTCCCGGGCGCGATGCTGAGCGGTAACTATGGCCGCGAGAACCTCTCTCGCCAGATCCTGGTTCTTTTCTAACTCTACGTCAAGGTTGATGGTGCCCCGCGCACTAACAGCTGCCACAGGACCCTCGACCATGCCGGCTCGGGCATGCTCCCGTTTGGATGGGGTGCGAAAGACAAAGATGCAGCCAGACGGGACATAGGACTTTCGAGTCTGCTGGCCCCGAGGCGCCCCGGTTTTGGGAGTGCAAAGAGTAAGGCGGGGTTCGGTACGAGGGGTGGTGACATTGCAGCCAAAGTCGTAAGCAACAAGGCGGATAAAAGCCGACAGAAGGGAGTGCCTATGCTCGGCGGGCATCGATGATCCAGTCGTAGTTCGATAGTATGCAGCATCATCAGACTGGGGAGGGGGTGCTGCGCCACTGGCCTCCTCTCCTTGCGCAGCAGTCTCGGGCGTGGGCTCTACTTGGACCGGCTCCGGAGGAGGAGCGGTGGGGTCATCCCAATATGAGGTGAACAACTCTAGGCATCGGAAGAACTCGTACGAGTTCCCTAGTCTAACATGAGGCTTCCCTTTGGCGGGAGGCAGACGTCGAACAGTGCGGAACGCATCTGCGTTCGAAATCGAGAGCTCCGCCTTACGCTCAGCATAGGTTTGGCAGCCGGGAGATAGATTACCATTATTCAGGGGTAAGCGAGTCGAGGCGTTAGTTTCGCGCAGGACATCTGTGGTAAGTGTATCCCAAGTCGAGAAGTCAGGGATATAGGTTGGATCGGGAATGACCTCCGCAAGCGTGGCATCGTAGTAGGTCTTGATGCCCAAACTTTCAAACGCAACTTGATTGATGTCGCCGGGGCGGCATATCGCCTGGAGCGTTCTCACAAGACCACAAGGGGTCCCCGATGACGCGGGATCTGCCTCCGCGCTGGAGGCGCCCGCAACATGCGGCTCAGGGAATACTATCGGCGTTGGCGGAGGTACGTCTTTGCGCGGAATCCTGGGGCGGGCGGAGCTTCCTAAAATCAAGCTTTAGATGATAGAAACACAGCAAGGCTTAAGGTAAGGAGATTAGGGTGCTAGCGTGGTAAACATGGCAGTGAGCAAAATCACGGGCTAGGGTCGCCCCCATCCCAGTTATAAGGAGTCGTGGTGCATGCAGACGGAAGAAGAAGCACAGAACGACGCGAGGATGTTGAAAAGCGTCTTAAACCCCATCGGTTTAGAGGTGCCACCCGCGTACACCAACTAAATCGTGAGTGCCCCGAAAAACATTCCAAACAAAGACGGCAGACTTTGATAGCTACTCCGTATCTCCGGCCAAGACATTTACGGATCTTTCCGAGAGGGCAGAAGGGGAGGGGAGCAGCCGCGAGACCCGCCTCAAGAAGAAAAGGGAGGAGGGGTGAGGACACATGGGATGTTTACCAAGCGTAGGGAGCTTGTGTCTAGCGTCATGGCAGGAGAGAGTGGAGAGAGGAACTGAAGGGGAAAAAGCCAGCAGAGATCTGTACTTACCCATAGACGGAAGAGCTATTCCAAACATGGCGGCGCGGGTAAAGAGGGACTTCGTGCACTCCAGCTACCGTGACTATGACCGCGCACCACGGATGGGTGCGTAGGACAAGGGCGTTTTAAGGGGGGCACTTCCCAGGAAGCTGCAAAGTCCAGTAATACGTCCCTCAAGGTTTCGAAGAGTAGAACTGATGGGCCGCGAGGAAATTGCGGATATTCTCAGCTCAATCGTTCAAGCCCCGAGACAGCCGGCGCGTAAAAGGGAGAGCTCGTGTGAGGTCAATGACGTGGGCTGGTGAAGCTTTGGTTGGGTGTGCGTGAAAACAGGGTAGCGTCGACAAAGCACAACCCTCTTGCCAATTGAGCTCAAATGTTTCCCGGGAAGGCGGAGATGGAGGCGGGCGGAGGAACGGGCGAAAGATTGGCGGTGGAGCACAGAGAGAGGTTGAGGGTGACTGAGGGGAGCTTGACTATGGAATGGAGTCAAGGTGAAGTGAAATGGTGGACGAATCTCAATCCAACAGGAACCAACCAGTCTGACATCTATTATCTCCCTCCTCTCCAAGCTGCGCGCGACACGAACTGGCTGGGGGTGGTGGTGGTGGTGTGGCCTCCTGCTGCACCCGCCGTGGAAGCGAGCGAGTCAAGGTGGGAATAGTGGGGGTTTCTGTTTTGTAGGCGCGAGGGGAAACAAGCGGGTGGGGAGACTGAGGGGAGGAAACCCGCCCGAAAGTTGTTGGGTGGTCGTTGGAGCGGGGAATAGCACGCAAGCTTCCGGATTGGATCCTCCAGCCTTGCTCGGCAGCTTGACCGCACTCACCTTTGAGTGGGAAAAGATCGTGAGGTTGGCCCAGTTGAACCTAGGGTTCGTTCGAGGATGGAGGAGGTAAAGATTAGTCTCGAGCTGGACATATCATGTCCATTGCTCTTTCTTTTCAATTGATGGGCAATTCCTATGTGAGGAGCAAGGAATGGGCGAGAAGAGGGCACCGCATTCACCACTGGATGCAATGTATGGATTTATTGACTGTGCAAAGAGAAGAGAAGAAAAGATGAGGCTCCCAGATACCACAGGACCTAATAGTAAGACTTGTTTTCTTATCTGCCAAAAGCCCTCATCAGTGTGGACGAGCTCGATATGCTTTCGAAGGGTCAATGGAAAGCTCCTGCCTACGTGACCATACCGTGTCTAATCCCCCTCACCGACTTCTGTGCCTTCCTAACTTGTTCATCGCAGTCACGATTACGTTTTCTTTTGGTTCAAATTCCTCGACACCAAGGTACTATGCATCTGCGTTCCGAGGGACGATGTGACTGCCTCGAAGGTCTGCATAATGCCGACAAGTTCTCTCTGCTCGAATTGAGGTACTATTCCACATCTATCAAAAGGCGAAAAATCGAAAGCAAATTAGATGCACCGACGAAGACAGGCTGCACAGAGGCTGCAGCGGAAGGAATATCGCCCCATGCAGTTCCGGGGATGCAGTGAATGAGAGGGCCCAAGCCCAGCGGACATGACTCGAACGATGTAGGCGTCCCCACAAGGGTTGGAGCTGTGCATCCACCGTCAGCGCCACCTGGCCCCAATGACCGTTGGAGAGATAGTAGCGAGTAGGGTCGAGGCAGACTGGAACAGTCGAGCAAGTGGATATCAAGTTGATAGAGATTGGGTGTTGAACAATGGAGCCAGGCACTCGGACGCTGACGAATTCCCTCGAGCTGCTCCAAAACCAGTCAGGCCCTTCCAACGGGCCCCTTTCGCAGCGAATGCCATATTTGGAATCTTCAACGACCTCCTTTCGGGAGAGAGATGGGATTCGAGAGTAGTTGACGGAGCCTTCTCGAGTGAACAAGGAGAGCTAACGAGATGAATGCATGGTCCATCGACCTCGGCATTGTCAAACGACCTATCAGTACCCGTCCTTTGCAACCCACCTCAATGTTCTGCGCCCCTGGCACGTGCCCATTTCCACTCTGTGACGCGGACGAGATAACTTGAAAGATCGATGATGATGGATCGAAGGCAAAATGACTCAGCCATTCTAGTTGCCCGAGTAATTATAGATATCAATAGTGGTGGTCCCCTTGTCGGCGACAAGTCCTTTGGCTTGTTCGACATGTTTAGCCATGCAACCCCCTTTCCCCCATTTTTCTTTAAGCAATTCGCAATTCATCCGTTGGGTCTAGTTCATATATCTGACGAAGAGGGCAACCACAACTTGCCCTCGCCTCCACTTGACGGACAAGGAGAGAGAGAGCTACGTTTACCGGCGGGCATCTTGACTGGCGGAGGGCTGTTTCTGGCCCAAAAATGGGTGTCATCATCTGCCTTTGGAGGTCGAGACCAGTTCGCTTGGGCATAACCAGGATTTCAGATTTGTGCCCGCTGTTAGCCACTGCGACCCCGCACTCTTCATAAAACATGGGCTCAGATCAGCTTCGAGGGGTTCAGACACACAACCTCTGACATAAGTGTCACGGACCCTCGGCTGCTTTCTCACACTCAACGAACTCCACAAACACCTACAAGTATCTTGCTCGAAATCAACCCTTCGAGGTAAGAAGGAAGAAATTGGGTCCGCGCTAAGGCATTGGAGACTAGGAATGGAGAGTAGATGAGAGGGGGATAAGAAAGAAGGAAAAAAGGCGTGAACATGACAAAGTGAGCGCGTAGCCCAGGAGGTTGAATGGAGAGGGAGAGTGGTTGAAGATGGGCTGATAGTCCTGAGCGAGAGAAAACATCGTGGGCACACAGGTGTTCCGGAAGCAATTAACCATGGCGAAGAGCATTGCTCGGAGGCTCTCGGGATCCCCTCTTGAGGGGCGGTCCCCCGGATCTTCTCCACGCCGGCAGAGATATCTTCGGTCGGGCACTTTGTTAGTATTAGAGTATTCCACCAAACTGCCGCTTTTCTTCCACGCTCACAGGAATAAGAAGGAAAAACCAAACCCCCCAAAAAAAAAAAACCCACAGCTTCTGACCGACCTGCAGTCCTTGCCCTGCACCAGAAACCAGATATATTTCAAAAGCAAGGCGCAGCGATTCTCTTCAAGCTAGCTCAAGACAGGCGCGGCCGCAAGAGCAGTGCAGGCTCTTTACCCCACATTCTATGACATAAGCAAGGGGTTTTGCTCAGTTGTGTCTCGGATTTTCCCATCGGCTCTCGAGCCATCTTTGACTCGAGGTTCCTGTTCCTATCCGGGTCCAGCAAACCAAGGGCATTTGTGCCATGGGCAATTTCCAAATAAGAAAGAAAAGAAAGAAGAAGAAAGAGAAAAAAAAGAAGGGGGAATTTTCGTTCCTGCATCTGGAAAATGCAATATTATGAGACCATCATGCTTGGATGAACATTGATCGCTGGCTTGTGCTACCTTGGTCGAGACTCCGAGAATGACATCCATCATCTCGAAAGCAGAAGCAAGGATCAAGGTCCACCAAGGACGGACATCCCAAAGGGCCGCATGAATCGCAGTCATCTAATGCATATTCTTCGCTCATTGGGAATCTCATTCTTGCGGTTGTTTCTTTTTTTCTCTTCTTGACTCTTTCCCTCGTTTCTCAATGGCCCTCGCCTCCTCCCAAATCAGTGCTCTCCCTCTCCTCCCGTCCTCGAGTGAAGAAGCTGCCGTCGCCCGGATAATCTGCGGTGCACCGTTGGTTTGGTTCAGTCTCAGGGGCGGCAGCTAAAATAGGTCAGAGCACGAGCCAAGAGTGCGGCGCCGCTTCATACTTGTAGGGATGCGGGACGGACCCCTTGGCTACCAGGTCCAGTCCCCCAACGTCACCCCCGTCAAACCTGAGATCCTCCGTGCCTCAGATTTTGTAAGAGGTCATGGATGCCCCTCCGTCGCCCACCAAGCCCGCCTTGATGATCTGCCTGTCCCCTGGCTGTTCTCATACACTGGAATAACCTCCGAGCCAATCCAGTGCCTTTCTACCGTTGCATCAAACACCGATCAATCATTGCGCCCATGCCTGACTTCATGCTTGATTTGAGAATTGCTTCACCAGAGGAGGCTCTTGCAACGCATTTCCATGCTTTAGACCAGAAATGGTATGTGGGCGGACCTTGCCCTTTGCCCTTTGGGCGTCGGTTCGATGGCTTTGCCTCCCCTTTGGAGCCCACGCCGCCCGGATCGGGCCAGCATCGTGCAAGTGCTACTCGAGACCAAATGCTAGGTTGACGATGATGTCTAAGCTCAGTTGTCCGAACTGGACAGACTAGACCCTCTCCCACCCCCTCTCTTTCTCTCCTCCCCATCCCTACCGGCGATGAGGGGACGGAATGTAAATCCTCCTTCTTCGCATCTTGTCTAGACTACCCAACTTCTCTGCGAAAGAGACCCCCCTCACCTTCTTCCAAATGTCCTCCTCGCCATCCTAGACTCATGCTCGCTCTTCTCCGGAAATTGCTTCTGTTCTGCTAGTCTCGGACATTTTCTCCTCCAGGGAAATTACACTCTCCCTCCTTCGTGAACATCCCGTCCGTCCCAAGACCAAGGGATCTTCGCTTGCTACCAGCATTTTCCTGAATCTCGCCAATTCATCCGCATCAATCTTCTGCCAGAATCTCGCCCATTCTTCTCTTCTCTCTCTCTTCCTCTTTTCATCGCCAATTTAGCCGCCAAACCAGAGCATCCGTCTTCCTGCTCCAAACCCGCACACCCTTCTCCAAAGACGATCACCCTCATGGTTGTTTCCGTTTTCTAGACGGCCAGTCGAGGCCCGAATATCGCATTGCCGCACCCTCTTCTCCTTCTCTCGCATTCTTCCCGCTTGCCGGTTTCTTGTTTCTTCCCCTCCCTTCTCTCTCTCCTCCTTCTCTCTTCGCTTCGGAATCTTCTCTCTTCATCCTTTCCAACTCTTGGTTTTCCGACCGAACCGACCGGAATCTCTTCTCTCTTAGCGTCAACCCTCCGAAATTATATTCCTCGATTACGATTACCGCGCGAGGTTCAACGACTTGGGAGTTCATTCCGGGGATCACCTGGGGTGGATTAGGGAAGTTCGCTTCTTGCATCTTCTTTTCTTTCACTTCTCGAGGTCCTGCGGACTCTTTGTTTTATCACATCTTTTGGGGGCATCTGCGACTGGACTCGCAATTTGCCTTTCTTTTTTTACTACTTCGTTTTCTTCCTACCGAGAGAAGAGAGAGAGAGAGACACTCACACGAGGAGCAAGTGAACACACTGCGTGTGTTCTTCTTGCAATCACGACGTCCCGGCGACAATGTCGAACCAAGATATGCCCCGGGGCCTTCATCACACAACTCAACGGGAGACGATGCACGGCTGTGCCGAGATCCAATGCGGCAGCGCCTGCGGCGACATCAGCGGCGGCTGGTGGCAATGGCAACAACAACAACAACAATGGCGGCGGCGCTGGTGTGGGTTCACAATCGGTGCCCACACCCGTCGCGGACAGTTCTACGAACGTCCAGATTCAGACGGAAAATGATGGCGAGGCAGCGAGTACGACGACATTTCCCCCACCCACTACCCCAAGCCCTACGCAAGAGCAAGAGCAAGAGCAAGAGCCAGCGCAGGAGACGTCGGCGCAGGCTCGGCCAATACCCCTCCCGTCATCCCTCCTCCCCTCCTCTCCCCTTCTACTCTCTTCTTCCCTTCCACATTACCCAGTCCCACAAAAGTCGCTCAAGGCGCCCAAGCCCCAAGCTTTCAAACGCAAGCCTCTTCTCTAGCGAGCAGTGCAACTAATGTCAACACAGCCGTGCCAGATGTACCTGAACAAGCAGATGCGAACAACGACCAGCAGCAGCAGCAACAGCAGCAACAGCAGCCGGAACAACAAGCCCCCGCACCGACACCAGCCCCGGCTCCAATTCCGCCCGAGAACGCCGCTCCCGATGTCGTAAACGGAAACATCGCCACGACCGCGGTCGCCGGTTCCAACGGTGCGGCGGCGGTCGGAGAAGGCGTGGCTGACCCGTCGACGACGACGATATCCGACGGCTCGACCCGGTCCGGTGCGCCCACAGCCGTAGTCGCCGGCAGCGTCGCGGGTGGCGTGGCTGTCGTATCACTGATCGCCTTCCTCCTATGGTTCTGGCGCAAGAAGAAGATTAACCGGCGTAGGAGCTCTCTTCTCACGCCCCTCACCATCGAGCCCTCAACCCTCAATGGTGGGAACAACGAGAAGTCGTACATTATCGAACGCGGATCCGTCGGCCCTACACCAAAGACGGAGAGGATCAGGGCTGCCGTTGGGGCGAGATTCCAGGGTCTCAGAGGCAAGTCGAGCGGGTCCAGGAGCGGCCCTAGCGTGGACCTGAGGAGCGGCTCGCCGTACGACGATGCCTCCTTCCACAGCCGCAACAACTCATCCTCCCTCTCCCTGGGGTCCGGGAACAAGGACGTCGTCACCGGCAAGGACCGTTTCAAGGACTGGTGGTCTCGGGTGACAGCCGACGTCAACTTCAACTGGAAGATGAGGAACGACCGCACCATGGACGCCGATCCGGCAGCCGCAGTCCGCAACGTCAGCGAACGGAAGGGATCGCAGCCCGATTTCCTCACCCTGCTTGGCATGGACGAGAAGGAGGTGCAGCGCGAGGCCCAGAACCGACAAGCGAACCACTCCGCCAACGGCAGCGCGGGCTCCGCGAACCACTTCCTCGGCGGTCTAAACCTCAATTTCGACTCGGCCAACAACCCCTTCTCCGACATAAACGCACTGTCCCACGAATCCGCCAAGCCGCCGCCCCTGACTGTTTCCCCGCGCGCCAACCCTTTCTCCGATGCCAATGCCCTTTCGGACAAGGCTGGCAGCAGCACCAAGCCCCATCGACCTATGTAGCGGATGTACGCCGCTCACGCGGCCTTGGGCAGAAGCGCCAACCCAGCGTCGTCGACTCGGTCTACCGCGAATCTGTTGCCAGCGTCGACAATTTCGATAACAAGCGCAACAAGTTCAGGTCCGATCCTTTCGATCTCGAGCGGCCGGAGCTTCTCGGCAGTCGGCAGGATCTCACAACCGCCAACATGATGGCGGCGGATGGCCAGGGTGTGCGCGGCAGCGTCAACAAGCCCAGGCGAGCTCACACCAGGGACGACAGCCTCTCGTCCAAATACTCGAGCGGGTTCAGCCTCGGAGACTGGAGCGACCCGGGACCCGATGTCGGTCCCGGCTCGACGAGGTGGGATAGTCCCACTCCCGATGACGACTACAGGCCTGGTTCTAGGCAAAGGGGTGGCAGCAAGGGAAGCAATGGAAGCGTAGGAAAGGCGCTGTAAAAGGGAGAGAAAAGGAGGAGGGTGAGAGGAAGAGAATGGAATTAAACTGAAAGGACGCAAAGGCAGGAACGCAAGCGAGATGATGCATTGATGTGAGCTGGAGGGATCTTGGGAATACAGGCGTTTCCTGTGTGGTTTTGTCGAATTCTTGCTGGGGTTTCTTGTTGGTTTTTTTTTTCTTGTTTTATTGGGAAGAGCGCGACTGGGAGTGGGCCAGGATGGTTGACGAGATGGGACGATTCTCCTTACATTCGTTTGATGATGTGTATACCCCCTCCTACCCTTTTTTTTTCTTCTTCTTCTTCTTACTCCCTCTTACCATACACTCCCACTTCTACTCATTTTACCTCGTCCGACATATCCCTCAACGGAAGCTCTGCCCTAGCCGATGGGCTGTGATATAAAGTTTTGGAGGATCAAACACCTGCCTCGCGCGTCCCATTCGAGTACCCAGCCCGAGTATACAAAATACACACTTCATCCCCTGTTCACCATATTCCCGCCGCCCCCATCTGGCCACATCTCAGGAGTTGCCTCGAGAGATTGTTGGCGGAAAGTCCCTGTTCGCACTGACTCGTTGCGCATGTAACCTTGGGAGCGATCCCGAGTGTCGAGCGTATGTGAGTGCGGCTCGTGGAGGAGAGGCAGACCAGACTGTCGCTTAGCTTGTGTGTTTAGTTGTGCATAGTTGGGGAGCGATACTCCCCTCGTTTGTCAGTTCCTTAGTTAATATTGAGCGAATTCGTTTTTACCCCATCTTGCTTGGCCTTTTACTTGTCATGTCTCCTGCCCTGCTTGACGCACATCCTCAACCAGACACTGTAGTTGTGTTTTTGGGAAAGAGAGCGAAGGAAGGCATATATAGTTATCTTTGGGAATACCGAGGTATAGCTCGATAACAACCTCGTGATATACCTAACTTATCTCGATAACTCGTTGTAGTATATCGTTATGATATAGGGGACGCCACTGTAGTAGCAGATTGGAGGGGTGGCAGACAAGTATACACGAGGCCGCTAATTCGAGGACCCTCACCGCGATCCTACTCATGATCTTACCGGGACCGTGGTAGGAGAAGGGAATTGTATAGGGGCCAAGGTGTGTTACATGGATTTGACGCTGGAGAGGTACTTGATTACCTTGAACCTCCATGAGCTAGCCCCACCATGCTACACGACCCAGAGTCGCAGCGGAAGAGCCTCCCCAGGGAGAGAGGACGATGGAGGAAAGGCAGCATCTATGTGAACAACTGGCCGGGCGGGGAGAGCCTGGGCAAAGAGCACAAGCACCCACGAAAGGGCCAGCCCTGACGTCCCAGGGTGAGGTCCCCGCCCGCAGAGCTGGACACCCACCCATTCCTTCGCTTCTTCACATCTGGTCTTCTAGGCGGGGATGCCCCACCATTTTCCCAGGCGGAAACGTACAGGAATGCCGCCAACACTAATCCTGGCTCATGTTGTTTCCCATCCACGCCCCCAGGTCGTCGTCTGGCCTTCCCCATCAGCGAGCTGTTCTAGCAAGAATGAAGGCTTGCTGCTCAAGTGTCGAACACATGTTTGTCATTCATATATCCAGCCGTGCTCGCTGATAGAACGTCTTCCGCTTCCTGGCCCAGCTTTGACACACCTGTCCGCCCTACCCCCTTTTGCGTCCCTTCCTACTCATCACAGCTCATCGCAAAACGCCATTCTCAAGAAGGAGAGCAAGCATGGGTCAGGCTGATGGAGGGCGTAGAGTGCTCAATCTGCCCCATGCCCATGCCCCGTGCCCCGTGCTTTCCAATACCGAGCTCGAGTTCTCCGTCCTAAGCCCTATGACCCCACTCTGTCCCTCCCAGAGCTAGAGGCAGCCTTCGTCAATCAGAGCAAAGTACAAGTAATCGATGGATCAATGGGTGCTTTGCCTTGCTTGCTCATGCAGGTATTGCTGGTGGTTCAGGGAAGGGATACCAAGTATTGCACGAGACCAAGAGAAAGAACTGGGGGTGAACCAAAATGGAGTAATTTGATTGGCTATTGTACTTGACGCATTAAATGACATGCAGAAAAGGGCTCAGACGCGAAATCTCGCGTTGGTCCACTTAAAAGCTCGCATTTGCCCTCGGATCGACGCGCTTAAAGACACCGCCCCACCCTAGGAAACGCGAAACGACGCGTAAAGTGTGAAATTTGGCGTCACCTTCCAACTTCCATCATTTCCAAGTTCAACGACACCTTGTCCCGCTGGCGTGACCCACCCTTTCAGCGTTGCCCCGTTGGCTATGCAGAAAAATTCCCTCCCATTTCGAGGAGGAGATTCAAGAAAGCATTGTCGACAACCGAGGTAGGGTTGAAGCGATGCCTGAACCACCTCGTGTCTGCCGCAAGGACCCTTCACTTTAACCCCTTTGTCTCGCTTCCAAGGTGATAAATGCAGTAAATCGCGTTTAGTCTCGTGGGCCTGCGTCCCCGTAGTCTGGTTGAGCTGGTCAAGCCGCCGGGCCAGCACTCTCAGTCATCACCGTCTCCTTCATCCAAAAGTAAGAAATTAGAGAATAGCAGTAATGAGCAGGAAATAGAACATAGGGAAGATGAATGATTATGGCGCGATGGACAGGAGAAGGAAAAACCAGTAGAAGCGTTAAACCGGGGAGGAAAAGGCTAATAAATTGGGCGAACAAAAGGGACGAAACAAAAAAAAGTTGGGGCGCAAAAGAGGTGTCGGAAAGCACGGATGCGTATGGCGTATGCGAGTTCAGACAAAAAAATATGTGCAAAAAAGGATGGTCGTAGAGTGGGCGACGAGGCGTGATGTCGCAGGACTGAAAAATAAAAGCCAGGGCCCGAGAATCGAGAGAGTCGTGGCGAGTCCCTCGGCCAGAGAGGGGAAATCATTCGTGTAATAAAACATAACCGACGCCTGCACCGTTAAAGTCTCCTTTCCATAAAACTCCGTGAAGACCACTTCAACGAAGCGATATTAACCAAGAAAAGGGAGCCAAGAGTTGTAACCCGAGGAAAGTGGGCAATCGAAAACCCAGGCGAAAAAAATATATGGAAAAGTGAGCTAGAGCTTGGTGAGCGGCCACACTCGGGGGTAAAAACTTTTTACACCACTCATCCGTTGATGATACATGGAGGAGGTGACCGCACTATCACCAACCCAGAGGTTACATCAAAGGTTCGTCAAAGGTCAACCGCCTCCTCGCGACGCTGAGCGGTGTTCGGGCGGATGAGAGGGCAACGGGCGTCTTCCAAGGTTTCTGGGCCGGGCTCGGTGTGATGTTGACAAAATCGGAGAAGTCAAAGTTCTGGCCGGGTGTGTTGGGAAAGAGATTGCTGCCTCCCGGTGTCACCATCATGGAGGATGGCAAAGCCAGGCTATTCTTGGGAGGCGGGGTTGAAGGAGGTTCCATATTTCTTCGAGAGCCAATTGCTGGAGAAGGCGATGCGGCGAGGTAAAGTAAAGGTCTGCGCCCTCTTCACCGGTCTTGCCAGGTTGTTCGGCATCCTGCCCATTGGGCCTATCCCTAGTGCGCCGGCCATTTAAAGTGCGGCTTCGCATCGGCGGTGTGCGAGGAGGTGACGAGCGTGGGCCAGCGTTAAATGAGTGAATGGGGAGCATGTCATCCTCATCATCCGACTGTATGTGGAAAGCAGGCGAAGTTAGGAACGATACGTTGGGCCCCGCCTGCGTCGTAAAGTGCTGCTGCCGCCTCGGCTTGATGGGCGAGGACTGCGCGAGTTGGTGCATGTCTTTCCACGTTGCGTGGCCGGAAGGGAAAGACTTGTGGGCAGAGGGAGAAAGGCGATATCGCTTGCTGGGGCTCAGGTCATCAATGGTCTCGAGTGAGCCCACGTATGTTCGTTTACGGTGACCTGTGCTAGGTCCGATGCTGTCAGAGAACATAGGGCCCGGCGCCTTGAGAGGGGAGCTCATGAGCGCTCGGGTGGGGTACACATCGGATGTGCTGCTGGATGAGTCGGAAAGCACATCTCCCTCGATCAACCGCCTCCGCCTGCGCTCCTCCTCAACTTTTGGTTCAATAGTATCCAGTGTGAGATCCTCCCAGCCATGCTTCGTCTTGAATTGTGCAAGGGCTAGCCGGTTTTGTAGTCTTCGGGCAATCTATGAGTGAGGCGTGAGGGCAAAGGAGCCGCCCGTGTCAGTAGGTAAAATCTTCTCAACAGCTCAGCAGTCAACCTAAGCAGGTCGACATGGCCCGGCAGGGACGTTGGCATATGGAGGGAGTCACCAGGGTAATCCCTAATGCTGGCGAATATTTTCCCTGGTGAGGCGATTTTGGCAACCACTAACCTTGCTCACTTCTGCTCTCTTCAAGACTTTATCGGCGACAGAAGCCGATGGTTGCCATGTCGACGATGCCGCCGACACACTCAAGCTCCGTTGTGCGGTCATCTTTTGCGCTTTATCGAAACATAGACTCGTGCTGGCGAAGGTCTAAATTTTTTAGATTTTATTTGAACAACGGGTGGATTGGTCGCTTGCGGTGCAAGTAGGGAATCGAGAGAAAGTGTTGAACAAGAGGGTGGGCGGCTAGATGAGATAGGGGAGGGGCGCAAAGCCAGGTAGACCTAGGCAAAATTTCCTCGATGTTGTGCTCTGTCGATGGTGAGCGCTCGTTCACAAGAAGCTCAATGGCGCTTTCAATACAGCGGTCGAGTCGTCTACGATCGAGAATGTAGATACAATGCAATACAAGCCTTTCGATGAGAGTAAAGTGCGGGTTATGAAAATCTTGCTGGGCTGGATGCGAGGGAAAAACTTGGTCTTTGCAAGGTTTCTGCTTAGAGTAGATTTGGGAAGGGGCCTGGTGCAAGAGAGACTGCGAGAGTGGAGTGAAAATTCTTTGCACTGTAAGGAAGGGAGGTGCTGGGAGGAATAGGAGTGGAGGGTTCACAAGAGGGCCCAAGTTTCCACTTCCCACCCAGAATTACCGGTGTCTCACGGCTGACATCAAGTCTGGGGGTGATTTCCCAAACTTCCAGTGCAGTGCGGCGGCCAGACCGGGCAGGGGGCACAGGCGCTCGATGAGACTCAGACTCTTCCAATGGATAAGAGGGTTGAGTGGGTGCCTGCAGAGAGATGGCCCTTGAGGACCAAACGAGGATTCTGATTGCTTCAATGGCCTCCAGCATCGACGGATTGGGTTCGATTCCTGTGGAAACCGGGAGTGTGCCGCTTGTGCTGTGGAGCACCCACTTAATGGATCACTGAATCATTGGCTCCATTTCTTGTGCACCTGGTACCTTGCTTGTCTTCATCAATGCTGTCCTATTGCCTAGCCAAACGCACAGGGCAATGTACCGAGGAACAACACCAATCTATTGTTTCGAAAGACAGCGAACCTCCTTGTCACTGTATTAAATGGACCCATTGATGCTTCCCAACCAACTGGGCCATTCGTTGCATGAGAGCAAGGCAATGTGAGAACAGCTGCGATCAAGATCCAGAGATCCTTCAGTGTACAGGTATTAGCTAGAGAGTGCAGCCCAGAGGTACCGAGGCGGATTGACTTGGCTTGTGCCTTTTGCTTTGGGGTTCTTGTGCCGATGTGCGGCTATCGCATCCCCTGAAACCAACCCAGTCATGGTGCTGCAAGATGATAGTTGCTCTTTTCCTTTCCTTCAGACTCACCTAGAGAACACAATGTTCTTGGCCACTGCTTCTTTTCTTGATTCAGGGCGGGAGCATGATTGAAGTAGTCCCCTCGAGGTGAAGGGCACACGAGCCTTGATCTGCATCTTTTTGGGTTTGCTAATTTGAGCTATGCAAAGGCGTCAGGTAACGGGACCGAGCGATGGTGCAACCCTCACCCTGGCTGGCTTGGCCGTCGACCCCGGACTGCGCTTATTCGGACCTTGTGCAAGGCCAAAACCGTCACAGCACGCTCGGCATAACTTGTCACCCGATGAAGGCCGGACTCTGGGTGGGAGTCGGATAGGAGAAACAACCTAGAGTTCGCAGCCAAGCCATCGATTCTCGCAAATTGAGAATATCGCATTTCGATAACGTGGAGTTAAGAACCGCTTGGGAGCGATGGTGAAGAGAGAGAGTCTCTTGTGCCACTGAGGCAACCAAGAAGACATTGAAGCTGGTGAGGCCAAAAGTCCGCCAGAGAGGTGATTGCCCTAATCAGGGTGGCAACCCCGAATTCGAGTGTTTCATTGCTGGCCAGAACGGCCAATAAACCCCACTTTGCAACCTCACAAGTCAGCCAACTCCCCGGCCCTGACCTCGTTGGCTCCTCAACCCCAGACACGCGGCCGACCGGGCTGCTAGGGATGCAAAGGTCCGATGTTGGTCAAATTGCCGGCCAAACTTCCAGGAGGGCTCAGACATATTGTTCTCCCAAAGGGCTGAGCAAGGGGTCGCTTGTCCGTCCCTTCGAGAACCGCTTCTACATCCTATTACTTTATGAAGAAAAAACGAAAAGAACCCTCCCTAGCGGCATAAAAAAGAAGAAGAAAAAGAAAAAAAAACAAAGGCCTAATATCAAGAGCGCCTGCCTTGCAAACGTGCACTTTCACCCCCGTCCCACACCTGCCGATGCCTCTTTTGGGCTTTTTCCCTCAAGAATTTCATAACCCTGATAATATATCAATTGGGGGTGGTCCACCCACAAGCGATATCAACCAGGTTGCACTTTGGTGCACCTAATACACCTAAAGGTAGATCTGATATCAGATCCTGTCCCTCTCCAGACCAAGAAGGAAGAAAGGGTCAGAGGTACACTATAATAGCGAGGAGAAGAGAATATGTGACTTGTGATTCAAGGCCCTTCGCCACGAGAAAAGAAAGAGTATGATCTGCTCTTGACCTCGGCCGCCACCTCAAAGTTAGCGATGGCGGCAGGGATTTCGAATAAACTACTTGCATTGATTGAGTACAGTTGCCATTGCTCCTTTAGTGAGAGAATCCCGCCCTGGACCAAGGGGACAGCAAGGGGACTTTGTGCATCAATCGGCGCATGTGGGGGACGGCAGAGATGACGGGGCATTTCTTTTGTTTTTTTAATATACGACGCACCCGGTCCCCCCTTCCTTCCTTTCTTCTTTGGGATGTTTCCAGACGCCGAGGGAGGGGGCGGCACAAGGCTATTCAAGCTTGGAACAATATCCAACGTCCTCCCCATTCCCGGTAGGACGGCGGAAAAAGAAGAGGCGGCTAGGCAAAGTTTCAACGCAGACGGCCCGGGTCTTGATAGGTTGGGTTTTGTTTCCATCTAGCGGGTAGGGGTTTGGAGTGTTTTCTAGCCGGCGAGCAGGAGGGGCTCGTGGAGAAGGACTTATGCAAACAGTTGAGCTGCGAGGTTCAGCCTCTATTGCTTCGGACCCTGCACATTAATGATCGTCAAACTATTGATGGGTTGACCTCAAGCAAACCGGGCTCGTGATACCATTCGAGGGCGGAGTGTTAGTCCTCACGGACACATGCTCAAGATCTATCAGTGCAGAGGATTACTACTCAATCGGCTACGAGTAGAGAAGGAAAGAAATAGTGAGCGAGATCAGCACCTCGACTTCGGACCTGACGGCAATCTCGAACTTCCAAGAGAAACAGCCGGGAGTCGAGGGAGCTCAACCGCATCCACATCAGTATTGACTCGTTGCCTGTGGAGGCTACATGTAGCGAGCAGCCGCCGAATTTATACCCTTGTTCTATCAATTCACCTGTCTGCCGGGCAGAAATGTGGGCTACTTGCGTTGCTACTCGGAGATTTCGAATGCAGCAAGTGTAACAACAACACACAGAGTCATCTTCCGGAATCGAAGGTTATAGGATTAGATATATCAAAGGTCGCAAAGGACTTCCAAAGGCGAAACCGGCCCCATCACGCCTGTGTCCATCATCACCGCATCCACTACACCTCGATAATGAGTGAAAGCCACCCTGGGAAGCACAGCTAACACCAAAAGAAAAGAAGAAGAAAAGGAGAGAAAGAAAAGAAGAAGAAACCCCCATGAACATCCATTGCATTGACAGCATGCAGTTTGACTACGCGCCAAGTTTCGCAATGCGCTGGCTCGGATCGAACTCACAGCGACAGGCGCATGCGGGTCCCAAGCTGCCAGTTCGCCTCTGCTTGCTGCAGGTCGCCTTGAGCCTTTCCCGACGGCCAGAGGGATCCGTGAATGCTCACCTGCATCGCCCCTTTCCCCTTTTCTTGGTGCTATTGGGGCGGTAATTCTATCATTCATACTCCATACCCCAAGAAAAAGAAAAGAAAAAAATGAAGAAAAATATAAGAAAAGGGCAAAAGTCTCTTTCGTCGTCCGCATTCGTAGATGGAGCACTCAAGTGCTGGAAGGCAAACCCACTTGATACTAACTTACTGAGAGGGAGACGCAGTCGACATGTTTGTTGGTATTACAACTCGCTGAGAAGATCAATTTGTTTGTATGAATGAGATCGATCGAATATCGAGCATCTCAACGCACACAGCCTTTGGCGCCATCAAGAGATCCGTCTCCACAGATCTCTCCTAGCGCTGAAATGGAGAGCTCGGAGCTATTTGCGGATCTGTCCGTCAACTTCGCATAATAAGGTGGAGCGAACTTCGCCACACTAACACGATCCCAGGACATTCAAGTTCTCTCATTGATCACATTGTGCTTCGAGACAACGTATCTTACATCCATGTAGCCATAAAGGAGCGAATGCAGAGCTCGAAAGCCACATGTAGAGACAGGAACCCTTCCCTTCCCATTTATCGTCGGCGAGTGATTGGGGGTAGAGGGTTTCCTTTTTTTTTTTTTTTTCCTTTCTTTTCCTCCTGGAGGCCACCAACATCATCTTACACACAAAGTTTTCTCCCCAAAGATGCTGTGAGATGTCACTTAAATGGCATGTCTCGAGAGATGCGACTCAAAAACCTGCCAAAGTTGGAATGTTGCTTTTCCTCACCGGAGCTAGGCGCAGCAATTTCCCTTGAGTCAATAAAATGATCGTATCGGGGTGAGCGCTAGTCTCACAGCTGTTAGAGAACTTGTGTTCTAAAATCGAGGTTTCCTGTGGATGTATAATGAATAGTTAGGCACATCTTCCATGCAATCCACGAGATGTGAGATCAATGTATTTCGCCGATAGTCAATCAGGGAGCAAGGAAATTTGCGCTATGGTCAGGATCCTCCAATGTGCTGGTAACAGCTTGAATTAATTGCTGTCTTTTTTTTTTCTTTCTTTTTTGCGACAATCAGTTGAGCTGGTACAGTTCAAGAATCCATAGATATAGATTGAGGGCTCTTGGGGTGTCTTCCAAACCCCATCCCTTCTTCTCCCTCGACTATAGTTGACGCGGGAACCGGGTATTTTATTCCCCAAAAAAAAAAAAAAAAAAAAAAACCGTTGATCTTTACTGCTTTGATATCGTCGGCTCGACACCATTATTGCACACCAACGGGGGTTTTCGTGACGGAATGGATAATTGCAATGGTGGAGCCGTACAGGCAATACTTGTAGATCTCTGTGCAATTTGAACATCAATAACCAAGCTTGCCAAGATGCCCATTGAAGTCATCGAAGTCACTCAGCCTTTCGTTGACCTCCTCCACCTTTCTACTTCGTACATCTGATCCTCGATCGCCGATGTGCCTTCTTATGTGTTTAGGTCTTCATGTGAGGATGATAGCGGCCATCAACAGCGAGTCAAGGGTCCCTCTTGAGGGAAGGATCCATCGTTGATGGATGAGTTGGGGCGTCGGAGGTTTCGAACATCTCAGTGGCCCAACGCTTAGCAGCGCTGCGCCAGAAGGCTTTGATTCTGACTGCCCTGTCAATTTTCTCTCTTGTCTTCCTGTTCCACCTGTCCTCAGCTTTCAACTTTACACTACACTAGTGTCGAGTTTCATCAAATATTTGATGACATACCGCAGGCTACGCGTTTCTTTCCAGTGGCACACCGTAACCCCATACGTCATAGCCTGGCGGTAGCGTGTCCTTGTAATTACCCTCGAAACCAACGAAAATAGCAAGTAAGTTCGGAGAGCTCGGCCAATGGAGCTCGCCGTGCGGGAAGCATGTGCGATAAAAACCCTGAATATCAGTTGGTCGAGGGAGATCTCTCCATGAAGGGACAAAAGCTAGCCCTGATCTGATATTCTCACCAAGATCAGGAGCGAGCATGCGTCAGAAGTGAAGGTTTGGAAAGACACAGCCTTTGCCGATATGGGCATCTGAGGATTTGTATCCTAGAAGTGAATCCCAATTGTAAACCCAAGAAACCCAAGAAACCCCAAGAAAACCAAGCCAATAGCTGCGCTGAACGGATTCCTCATCCTGTGGCGCCTCCTAGATCCTTTGGGCTTACAATTATTGATGGATCCGTCCATGCAACCACTCGATTGATCGCTGCTCTAATTGATCGGCTGCGTGGCGCCTACAGCCCAGGCCTTTTGCCCCTAACGGTTTGAACAGCATACCCTTCGATATCTGCAAGCAGGCTGCGAGGAGCTGAAGAATTTGTGTGCCCTGTTGCCATACCATGCTTAAAGGAGTGAGGTGGCAGAGGATTCATTTGCTGCACAGGGCGAGAAATATCGATCTCTCCATTGCAACATTTGATTGACTTCGTACATGATACATGTACTTCAGCTGGCACTTGCGTCATGCGTAGTGGTCCTGAATCTGGTTATAACATGCTGTCGGAAGTGCATAGAAATGGGAGTTGGTCAGAGCACGGCTTGTGCGGCGCTCGAGGATATCAGGCCAAGGCTCGAACCATACGGGTAGTGTATGTAGAGCAATGACATCTGCCAGTTCCCGGGCGTGCAGCGAAGAAGGGTGAAGTGGGCATCAATCTGTGTGACAATGCTGAGCGAGGGCCGGAAGCCGGCGCTCGATGGAAATGGGATTGGCGTCATTCTTGCCTTGTCGGACGAATTTCACATGGCAGCCCCATCGATAGTTATGAACCATGCCGTTCTGGGGGTTTGACCCACACCCAAACTTGAAATATCCTTCCATTCGAATTGTGACCGCCCACAATTAATACTGCAGGTTGCAGCTTCAGCCAAGCCTGGCGATCGTTCCTGCCGCAGGTTATCAGCCACAACGGTTGTTTTTGGGCGAGAGCCTTTTTCCCCATCCCTGCCCAAGCCCGAAGTATGGTACATGGAATTGATGGGATTGGGACAAGCTCGCCAAAGAGTCGCTTATCGCACCCGCGCTTCATCCACTCTCAGCATCCTGCAACCTGATGACCGCCCATCCCTGAGGAGAGTAGACAGTTTCTGGCTGATCAAAGCGACGGTATTACGATGTTTTTTCCTTTTGTTTTTGGGAGAAACTCCAGGCAAAAACATAAGGGTCTAGATACCATTCGGGTGGGCTAAAAAGAGTTGACATAAACCCCTCAATGAGGGATTATAGCCGGATACGAGTTTGACTGCTAATTCCGTCCAAGGCTGGGTAGGCCCAGAGCCCGAAGACTCAAACACGAAGAGGCATCAGAGCACCTACATACAATGGATCAATGGATGGAGTGGACGCAGTCAGCAAATCCCTGTACCTCCTTCAGCTCTCTGTCCTCACGAATCATCCTGCTGGATGGGGACTGGACTGCGAGCATGGTTGTACCGTATACGAGGCTTAGATACGCCATTCGAGGCATATCCACTTTTGGAAGTTAGTACGCTCCACAGCCCAGCGACATACTGAGTACAGAAAGTACCAAGGCGCCATCGATAATTACTCTACTCAAACCATCCTTGTTTCTGGAGCTGTTCGCACCTCAATGCAGCAACTGCTCTCTCCTCCTCTCCTTGTATCCTAAATCTGATGTATTTTTTTCAAGCTTACGTAGTAGACAGACCATCCGTCTTGGTACTTCATAATGTAGAGTAATTTCTATATCTTTCCCAAGTACTGGTAGATCCACCGGAGTCTGGATTGGGAAGGAAGCTGTCAGGTACGAAGAACGAAAGTGAACTTCCGAGACCCGAACCTTCGTCCGTTTCTGACGACAAGAGCGCCACCAACTTGCAAGGTTATCCCCCACACACCTGTCTCCGCTGCCTTGTAATACGAGTCCGTAGCGGGATCCTTCTTATTGTTCTCTCTCCCCTTTCTCATGTCTTCTTGCCCCTCAAGCCGTGCTGCCTCACTTTGCTTTTCCTATTGTCCGGCAAAAGGTTGCACGATCTCGATCAGTGACTGTCGAGGACGAGGAGCCAGGAAAATCTAGAACACCACGCCGAGTCAATAATTCAATGCTGAGCTGCCCCGTGCCGACTACCGGAGATTTTCAACCCTACAATTCCCCAAGCCAACCAAGGCTGTTCTTGGTTCCCTACAGTCTGCCTGGAGCCAGGCTTCAGGGAAACCTTCAAGCGAGAGCGAGATCGAAATCGAAATCGAGACCGAGACCGAGACCGAGACCGCAAAACTAAGAGATTGGCTAGCAAGGATTTTGAGAAAGAGAGGGAGAGAGAGAGCAACGGCGGAGACCAGCTCAATTGGAGGAAAGAGAGCCACTGGGCCCTATTCTCTCGACTACATTAGCACCAATGGCTCCGTCACTCTTCAAGTTTCGTGAATTGCGGCGGCGATCGCGGGCGAGTTTCCGAACCGATGTTTCCACAGACACAGCAAGCGATGCTGGCGGCAGCAACGGCACTGCACCCACCACGGGCTCGCTTACGCCGCCCTCGGTCAGCAGCTCTTCCGATCCCTCCCTCAGCGTCCCCGATCTCAGTAAAGAGTCTTTGGCCGTCCCGAGGCCGCCCCTCTCCGCACCTCAACCCGGAAGCTGCAGAAACAGCGTGTCTGGTATGAGCGGGTTGGGATACCCTCCTTTGAACAAGAAGCCTAGCGCTCCCCTGTCACAATACGCCCCGCGTGTGTCCAATATTGGAGAGAATGCCTGGGTATGGATTACACGCCCTTCTTTGCGCCGGCCCGCTGCCAAAGACTATTATTCCCTCCAAAGAGAAGAGATAAAAAAATTAAAAACCAAGCGGCGGGCTCGGTCTTCTTTCATGCCCTTGCTAACTCTGGCTTTTGTTAGGTTTATCAAAAAGTGATATTGTTGCATGGTACGATTGGTGACCCCGCCACCCAGTCTATCGATGGCACCGTGAGCTCAAGTCGCCTTGACGACGCCTTCCCACAGATTAACTGGCCGGTTTGCAACTCCCATTTCAAGTGCCTCGTCTATCTCCAACCCGGCGCCAACAGGATTCGACTAGAATTCACGAATCCTAAACTCCGCACCTCGGCCCCTGTGCACGTTTCCTACCTGACGCTGCACATGCTTCCTCCGGCGAGCTCTCCGCCGCTGCAATTAGCCATCTTGGTGGCTAAAGATTCGCCCGAAACTTTTGATGCAATGCCAGCACGGATAGAAAGGGAGGGGAACGACTTGGATCTCGCAGTCAGGAAGTTCCGAATGGCAGCTTACCTGTGGCAGGCATTTACGGCGGAGCAAATGTATCGGAATCGCTTGGGGAGAAGGGCATTCCGGTTCGAAGAGGAATGGATGTTGGGAAGCTCTACCTATCGAGATTCTGAACTCTGCACGATGCGTTCCGAGGCTAGGGTGCATATTATCCGAACCGACAAGACTGTCGAGGAAATTCAGGATCTCAACAAGGCACAGCAGTATGCGCAAGCAACGGACAAGAATGCGCTCTTTAATATCGCGGCAGAGGCTGTCAAAGACTACTTTAAACCAACGTCGGGCCAGAAGCAATACGTCTCGGTCTTGATCCTCGATGCCCATTGGGACCCCGCTGCCAAGACAATCCGGGGGCATGCAGCACTTGGTGGCTCGGTGGGGGACCTGCAGCTGGCGATATTTGGCTCGCACTGTCTGCAAAGCTATCCCGCCAGTTTTGAAGAGATTGTGCCGGCTTTTACGGATTGCACGCCAACAGATACTGGCCATGTCGCCAACGACTGTAATCAAGCAGGGAGTTCGTGGGAGGCGGCCAACATTGGAATCGGCGCCCACCTTCATGAGGTGGGCCATCTCTTGGGCTGTCCGCACCAAGAAAATGGTATCATGCTTCGGGACTACCTCACGCTGAACAGGACGTTTGTCGCACGCGAGGCCTACTGCACACGTTCACGATCAAAGGGCGGGCCCGTCGGGGTAGAGGACGAGTGTACATGGCATCGACTGGACTGCCTCCGATTCCGCAGCCACCCATGCTTTCGACTACCCAACGATCCTATCCTACACCCTGACAACAGCTTGCAGGCCTACCCTATTGATGGCGAAAGCGTCTCTGTCATGGCCACAACGGGCATATCTTTCCTGGAGATATTCGTTGAGGGCGACGATGTCTGCCGGACATGGATCGAGTATCCTGTTGAGAACGGGGCACCCCAGCGACAAATTGAGCTTAATGAAGAAGATCTCCGGGCACGGCTCCCGGGTCGGTGAAACGTGGGGCCAAACTCAAAGTGTGCGTTAAATCATACGGCGGGGGCAGCCTCGACATCCCAGACTTCAAGGCTCTGTGCTCCAAGGATTCGGCGGTGAAACTCGGCAAGACTGGGCGGCTAGGTTTCCTTGGACAAAAGGTAGGCCTATCTGGGCTCAAGGGCAGTGAGGCTCATCAAGTTGTCTTTGTCCCTAGCGGTTCCAAGGGTCCAACCAGAGTCGTATCTCGAGTGGTGGTCTATCACGGACGGGCGGTGGACGGAGTAGAATTCTTCTTCGATGACGGCTCTGTGGAAATGCTAGGCAAGAAGGGGGCAAACCCGGAGGTGATATCTTCGATTTCGGTAAGCTGAGCTTGAAGCGTGATTTCTTTCTCCACTTTTCAGCAGAGCACTAACATAGAGATGTCCCCTATGTGTAGATATTCGCCGTGGAGAGTATCTGGCCGGATTCCACGTGAGAGCTGGGGCATGGATCGACGGAATCCAGGTTCTCACAAGCGTGGGGAGGAAGTCGCCGTTCTACGGTAACAGTAAGGGCGGTTCACCGTACGTACCTTCTTGCATTTTCGCCAGTCTTTGGGGAACACTTTGTCGGATGCTAACACCATTTGTAGCCACACGCTGATACCGCCTAGCGGATACAACGTCGTCGGAGTCGCCGGTTCCTGCGGTGCCTGGGTCGACGGACTTTCACTCATCGTTTCCATGTAAGGATAGATGAATCGACAAGATCACAAGGAAAGAAATATGGAGCCACCTTGCCACGACACGGACACCTTTACCGGCGCATCAGAAGGCGTCAAAAGGTTTTACGGGATCGAAAAAGAGGGGGACGGTATTCAGGAAAAGTTGCTCCCCCCTTGCTCGACCTCGACCGGCCACTTTGCAAACACTCGACCATCATCTCGCCATCTCATTTCTCGATATATACATATATACCCACATGCTTCGTCGCAGCTTGCAGCCCGTCAACCTTTGTGGAAGGGCATTTGACAACATTTTCCTTTTGTCTTCCCTTTATCTTCTTATCAGCATTGTAGCCTTGACATTCCAGGTCTCTCATGCCAGACAAGGCGGTTGGTTCATCACGGAGGAGGGCGGACTGGGCTTATGATAGCCGAGGACTCTTGCCCTTCCTTTCCCTAATATTCTCGTGGCTTTTGTTCTTGGGTGAGAGGCGAGGGTCCCATCCACGACCTCACCGACAATCATCTCACTTCAGCTACCTGCATTTCCATGCAACCATAATCCGTCACCTCTACCTCTAGACCTTTTCTTTTTTTTTTTTTCCTGTTCATATCTTCGGGTTCCGTGGGAGATGGGGAAGGAGGGCACTCATGTTTCCGAAACATCATGGCGTATGGACAAGCATTGGATTAGACAGCAAATTCCCTTTGTCCCTTAAACTCATTCCTGGTTATTTTCATTTTTCTCCTCGACCAAGGGGTCGTTGATGACCCTCCTATATAGACACCGGTATAGACACCGGTAAGGGGCCAATCAAAACCCATCTTTACCATTCTTTCGCCATATCTACCCCCAAGGGGCAAGCCTACACGCATTTTGAGTGCCGCGTTTGTGAAGCTCCCCTAAGAATGTCACGGAGAAGGGGTCAAGAGAAGGGGCCAAGGCAAGGCAAGGCAAGGCAAGGTAATGGCCCCGATAAACGCGGTGCCGCCTCTTCCACGCGTGACGAAGCGCACTCGGGAAAAAGCGGGTAGCTAACTTTTGGCCTGGTGGGTTGAAAGGAAGGCTGACATCATTTCGAGTCTCTCGCGGAGCTCTTGTGACGACTTGTAACGGAGGGTATCCATTGATTGGCTCGGCACATTTAGAGGGATTACATCACTTGACTCCCTAGCATGCGATGAGGCCAATGGTGGGTGGTGGGGCACGCTTCAGGTTCGAGACTGACAAGTACGAAGTACGTGGGTTGGTGGGCTTGTGTGTTACGCGTGGTCTCTGGGAAGATGGTAAACACATCAATTGGATATCTCAGCTGGTGTTTCCTGGCTTCAGATCTCTTCTGTTCTGCTGGTCATGATTTAGGATTCGGAGAGTGCTTAGTAGGGGTCCGTCTTGACGTTCTTTTCTTTTTTTTTTTTTCCTTTATTATTAGTATTTCTCATCTCTCGCTCACCTGACATTGGTGTTTATCAGAAGTTGGGGAAGCAAGATTGTACTTGTGCCTGATGCTAGTTGCAATGATTACATATCTCGCTAGCGATGACGCACTTGTTTTTTTTTGTTTTTGTGCCCATCTTTCACTTGGAAATGTGAGATGACAATGAACCTACCGGGTAGGTAATTATGGATCTTGGGGGTCCGCACAAGGCTTGCAAGCCATGATGATGACCTTCTTCCGGATAATTCAGAGTTTTCCGGGTGCAGAAAGGGAACATCAGTGGACCGTTCAATATATCCGAGCTGCAGAGTTGAATGGTGGACGTGGGGGACACAATTTTAGATGGACAGTGCTGAGCATACATGTGAAAGCAGGATGGGGGTAATGGAGAAACGAAAGCAACCTGGAAGAGATCAATCTCTCCCTCCCTCACTGAGGCTGATTGAATTGATGAAACGGAAGGTTAGAGGCGAGGAAGGAGGGGGTCGTGCATTCTGGCTTGTCAAAGACCCCCTCGATTTCCCCGGAGCAGGGTCCTGGCACGGGTGGTGAAGGGATCATTGAAGGAACAATGAAGCCATTGTCCTTTTTTTGTTGAGTTGTAGCACTCCGGCCAGCCCAGCGACAACGAGTCCCTCGGGAAAACCTTGATCGGTTGATGCGAGGGATCTTGCATGACATGATTAGGGCGTCTAGTTTTCTTTTTCTTCTTCTCAGGGCAGGCTGGATAATAGCGGAATGGGGGTACCGGCAAGGAAGAAGGAATTGATGCCGGAAGGGCACTTGCCTTGGAGAGGTACCGGTACTTTGTGTGGTGGCTGTCTGGCTGTCCCCAGGGCCAGGGGTCCTTTGCGGACCATTCAGAGGTGTCCGAGTAACCAGAGTTCCTCGTGCTGGGAAGGGACGACTGAACTGCCTTGCCGTGCGGCGGAGCGAGCTATTACTTTTCCCCTTCCAAGAAAGGAACAAGGTTAATAGTATTATTCGCAAGACGCAGGCGGGCCCCTCTGGTGCCTTCCTAATAGCCCGAGCACCATCACCGCCGCATAGTTTGAGAGCACGAGCTAGAAACGAGCCCAGTCTAGTTGACGCAGGAAGCGGGGACCCTAGTTCTATCGAAAAATAAAAGAAGGAAAATGAGAAAAATAAAATAAAAACATCTATGGATCAATCAGATCGACTAGGTCGTTCAGCGTTCAGGCTTTGGGTGCGAAGTATTCCGACAACCAACCACCAACAATGCTCTGCCAAGTTTTGCATGTGCTCGTGGTTTGAAGGTGACGCTCAACTGTAGAGGTACATGCTACTTTAATTTTTTTCCCTCCCACTTTTTTCCTTTCCGACCTTTCCAACCCCGATGACATTCTCCACACCCTGACGAAGCAAGTTCGGCTTTTGAACGCAACCTTGGCCTTGCTTGGATTTTCTTCTCACCACCTCGTTTGGCCGCTTTTCTCAAAATTTGCTTGCCTGCCAGACAATTCTCTTCCAAATTCCCGACTTTTTTGTTTCTCAACTTCAACGAACGCCCAAGAACTGTAGACACCCAACTGGCAGATATATTTCACTTAGGCGCCGCCGCACCTTGTTCGCACCCAAAGCCTTCCGCCAAACCAAACCTTGCCTGGGGACGTGGAGGTGACGCAACAGCAGAGTTATACAGTAGGGGAACACACGTTTCCCGGCATATCGAGCCTAAAAGTTCTCCGACCAACATTACGAACGTGAATGACGCGAGCGATCGAGTTTCTGCCACTTCAGCTGTCGATCTACACAAATCCCGACTCAGACTGCCACAGCCGAAACTAGGCCGAGGACAGAAGCAAGCAAGGGAAGGAAGGGTCCTCCAAAATCAATAGCCCCCGCGACGCAAAATCGAATCATCCCTCGACTTCGACCCCGAGATACCTTCTACATAGAACGAGCAGAAAGCGAGGAGAATTGGAATATATATATATATATATATATTCTTTGAATCGCCCTAACCTCATTCCGCACCCTCCCCTCTCTACCACCCCATCTCCGTCTTCTGATTATGTTGAGACGGCCCGGAGCTATGGCGAGCCAAACCAACGGTACCGTAGTCAAAGACGGCCAAGCTGCCCAACCAGGTAGGCCCCATCCTTGCACCTCGAGATCTATAGCAACCTTGCGCGACTCGTCATTCTTGCGCTCATCACCCCTCGTCTTCCCCTCATCAGCCATATCACATACGTCTAGCAGACGAGTACTGACCCATGACTTTCTGCATATAGCTTTCGACAAGCAGAAGCTTCTCTTGTCCGCGGACGCAGGCCGATTTTCCTCATCCGAGCTCTGCATCTCGCTGATGCCATCACTCTACTCAATGGTATGCATGCGCCCCCACTCTCCCAACAGGCCAGTGCTCCCGAAGCTATGCAGTTGCCGTGTTGTTCCCGCCAGTGCTCCCGAAGCTATGCAGTTGCCGTGTTGTTCCCGCCGCCGCCCTGCACATCTCTTCGGCTTGGAGCATATTCGATATGTCGGGGCTGGACCCCTCATAGTACAGCTTCACACAGAATGCGCTGTTAGCTAACACTTAAGTTAGGTCTCTGTGGCGTTCTTTCCATCTTCACTACGTTACACTACTGCCTCGGTGACGCCCAAGAACCCAGTCTTATATATCTTGCCCTCATCTTCCTTCCCTTTGGCCTCTTCTTCGACTTCATGGACGGCCGCGTTGCTCGGTGGCGGAAAAAGTCGAGCATGATGGGCCAGGAACTCGACTCCCTTGCTGATCTGGTAGGTGCCATGGACTCTCTTACCCGGCTTTCATTGGCCTCCAGCCGCTGTTGCGAGTGATGGTGCTGACCCATATACACTTGTAGATCTCCTTCGGCGTTGCCCCTGCCGCGATAGCTACTGCTCTCGGCCTCCGCACTAAGCTTGACTCCTGTGTCTCGCCTTCTTCGTGCTCTGCGGTCTTGTCCGCCTGGCGCGCTTTAACGTCACCGCTTCGCACCTCCCCAAGGATGCATCGGGCAAGAGTCACTACTTTGAAGGCACCCCGATTCCCACCACCCTTGGCATCGATGCCATTATGGCCTGGTGGGTGTCCAACGATTGGATCCTTGAAAACATCCCCTTTGGCGTTTGGGCTAAAGGCACCCCTCTCGAGATCCACCCCGTCGTCCTCCTCTTTGTCGTTCACGGGTGCTTGATGACTAGCCGGACAATTCACATTCCTAAGCCTTAAACGAGCAGCTTGGGGGAAATCTTTTTTAATTAATAGAAAAAAGACTAGTGGACAGGGATGAGATCATGTTACGGGACAGGAGACGATGCACGGTGTTGAAGAGAACCCGCGGCGGGTTTGCACGGTTGGGTGGGAGGATGCACCTATTTTCTATTTTTCTCTTTCTTTTCTTTTCTTTTCTTTTCTTTTCTTTTCTTTTCTTTTCTTACGCATTACCTTTCATTTTTGCAAGTTTGAAGAGCGGAAACGAATTGACATGACTTCCTTTCTTCCACTATCTATTTCCCTTTTTTTTTTCCTTTTTCCCAACCTTTTTGTTGCTCCCTGGGCTCTGTCGAAGGGGCAAACACTTTTGAGGGGAGGTTTGTTCTCCAACAAACCCCCACACAGCACCACACCTTTTCCTCTTGGTGGGGGATTCCTCGACGTGAAAGCCCAAAGGAGAGGAAAGAATGGCATCACCAGAGACTGAACATGAACAAAAGAAGAAGAAAACGCAATCGAGACTCTGCATGTTTTGGTTTCCCCTCGTTATCAAGGATTGGCGCATACATGGGTGCAGTTCTATCTTTTTCATCTCTTTTTTTTTTTTGGTTCTTTTTTGGCTCGTTTCAATCGGTAGATAGAGATGATATCCACGTACAACAAATACACACACGTATGCATTGCGCAGACATGGCACCAAGTGAGAAGAGAATGGCGGAGACCAAGAGCGGGACACGAAGAAGCTACAAAGGAATGGCGAAACGGGCATCCTCGTTTGTTCGTGTTCAACTACATACATCCATGGATCCTAAAGAACTAGATGCGCACCGTCTCTAGCCTTCCGTGAACCGTTTATCACCCCCGCCCCGAAGATGACTCTACTACATCCCCCAAGCACCGACATGGCTTTGTTAAACTCCTCCTTCCTTGCGCTCTTAATCTCCCTTTTGTTCTTTTTCTCGTCTCTACGCCCTCTCTCTATTCCTTCTTGTCGCCTTCGGCTGCGGGTTTCGCCGTGGCGGGAAGGGGTTGTACATGCCGTTGTCATCGCGCAGCTTGACGAGCTTCTCGATGGCCTCGTCTAGCGCGACGGGCTTGCCGCGATCCTGGGTAGAGGTATCGTCGCGGAATCGGACATTGATTTGTCGGCCGCGCATTTCCTCGTCACCGACGACTACAAAGCAAGTCACAGAAGTTAGCCCCAGACAAAATATTGCGTGATAGTGGATCGGGTCACTAAAGAAGAAGAGAATGAAGATAAAGAAAAGGGTGGGCGCATTCTTACCAAAGATGAAGTTGTATTGCGCGAGCTGAGCGGAGCGGATCTTCTTCTGGAGAGTGTTGCCGCTGGTGTCGACATCGACAAACATGCGGTTGCTATGGAAAATGGATCGCACCTCCTCGGCGTACTCAAAGAAGCCCTTACCAACAGGGATAACCATCTACAAACGACGACCAGGTTAGTTTATCAAATAGGCTTTCGCTCAGGCATATTAACCGCGAGGCATGCAAGGGAACTCACGATTTGGCGGGGGAGAGCCAGAACGGCCACTTTCCACCAAAGTGCTCGCAGAGAATGCCAGTGAAACGCTCGATGCTGCCGGCCATGGCTCGGTGAATCATGACAGGCCGAGCGCAGCCGGCGGTGAGCGGCCTCATGTTCTTCTCGCGGCTGTAGGCGCCCTTCGCCTTGTCTCCCTCGGCCGCGGGGGCAGCAGGAGCAGCGGCCTCCGCGGGCTTGGGCTTAGCAGCCTCAGGCTTGACCTCTTGCTCCTTCTTGGCCACGGGCGCTTCGCCGACAACGTACTCAAGGTTGAAGGACTGAGGGTTCATGAAGTCGAGCTGGAAAGTAGCAACCTGCCATTCTCGCTTGAGCGAGTCGAGAACCTTGACATCGATCTTCGGGCCGTAGAAGGCACCATCGCCCTCGTTGAGCTCCCAAACGCCGCCAGTCTTAGCACTCATCTCGTCGAGGGACTCCTTCAACATGGTCTCGGCGCGGTCCCAAGTTTCAATCTCGCCAAGGAACTTGTCGGGCCTGGTGCTAAGCTTGAGTTTGAAGGTGAAGCCGAGTAGGCCGTACATCTCCTTGAGGAAGTCAAAGAGATCATCCATCTCAGCCTTGATTTGATCCTCTCGGCAGAAGATGTGGGCTGCAAGCTGCTGTTAACTATGATTCCTAGAAACTCCCGAGGCATGGAGGGCCCCATCCTTGGATTTGGAAAAGCTCACCATCATCTTGCTGGAACCGCCTAACTCGGGTAAGACCGGAGAGTGCGCCGCTGGCCTCGTTTCGGTGGAGAACGCCAAAGTCGGCATATCGAATAGGGAGTTCACGATGGCTTCGCTCGCGGTGACCAAACACTAGAAAGGAAGACAATGAGCACTCTGACGCCTAGAGCGGCGGCATGTTTGACTGTAGGACATACTTAGACAGTGACCGGGGCAGTTCATGGGCTTGAGAGCAAACTTGGTCTTGTCGACGTCAATGACAAACTGTAGGTGAACAGGTTAGTATATTTTCATTTAGCAGTCACCTTTCGCGAATACCTACCATGTCTTCCTGGTAGTAATCCCAGTGGCCAGACTGTTTCCAAAGATCCGCGTTGTACATGCTGTAGCTCTGGTTAACCTCCGTGACCCTGACAACAGAAAGCCGTAAGGGATAAACAGGGTGACTTACTTGGGGGTATGCACCTCCTCATATCCTCGCTTCCAGTATTGGTTTCGGATATAGGCCTGGAGGGTGTTGTAGATACGCGAACCATGAGGCAGCCAGAAAGCACTTCCGGGGGAAAGGGGGTGGAAGAAGAACAGTTCTTGCTCCTGGCCTATCCTCCTGTGGTCGCGCTTCGCAGCCTCCTCGAGGAACTTCTTGTGCTCCGCCATGCGCTTCTTGTCGGCTATCGCACATGTGTTAGCAGTGGTGGACAAACAAGAATCCTTTTAGTCTCTTTTAAGATTAGGGACGTACGGAAGCTGATGCCGTAAAGCCTCTGGAGGGAGTCGTTTTCTTGAGAACCAAGCTGGGGCGTATGTTAGCTCGTATCATAGATAGAAAGGGGTGCGAGACGCATACGAAGTAGGAGGCACTGTTCTTGAGGATGGAGAAGGCTTCGATGCGACCAGTATCGGGGACGTGGGGACCACGGCAAAGATCGATCAAAGGGCCATTTCGGTAGACAGTGGTGTACTGCATAAGAATAAGTTAATGAGGAGTGCCGGTAACGTGTAAAGGGCTCAAGATTGGCTTACGGTGCCGTCAGGGATCTTGTCTTTGATGATGTGTTGCTTGTACTTGTTGTAGCTGAACTGTGGCAAGAGGTCAGCTTACTGCGCGTGGCTATCTTGACTCTGCGTGTGTATCCCGCGGCACATCGGCAACATACCATCTCGAGGAGGTCGTCCTTGGATAACTCAAGTCTTTCAAACTTCTGCTTCTCCTTGACGATTGAGCCCACGAGGGTCTCGATGGGCTTCCAATCGGCCTCGTGAATAGCCCCACCGTCGGGGAGAGCCATCTCATAGTAGAATCCAGTCTCTATGGGGGACCGATGCAAAGCGAGCAACCAAAGCGCCTCTCGCACGCCTCACCCAAAATATGTGCGCTAGAGTGCCAAAAAACCATCTGGCCCTGCTCGTCGTCGAAGTTTAGAAGCTCGAGCTTGCAAGATGCCTCAAGAGGCCTTTCGAGATCCCAAAGCTTGTTGGGGTCACCGTCTAGCCTCGCGACGACGGTGCGCTTGAAGAGACTGTTGGAGATGCCCTTGGCGATATCGGCGGGGTGGTTTCCCACGAGGTGCCCCTACACACGAGCGAGACGCAAGGATTAGTACTCGGACAGTTCCCCGAGAGCTCGGTCGGTATGGAAGGTCAAGTGTTTCGATAAGGCTAAGAACTCACTCCTTGATGCCGCCATCAGGCATCGTAATGGTGATGGGCTCGCGTGGCTTCTGCGCAATCCTCTCATCGTACTTCTTCTTGAGTTTCTCAAACCTGAGCAGCCCAGCACGTTAGCCTAAACCCAGCGATACCAGGGTTCGTTGCGCACAAAAAAGGAAAAGAAAAAGGACAAAGGGAGATGAAGAGAAGGGAGGACTGAAAAAAGAGTGCAGCAGAGTAGTCATACAGCTCAACACGGCGTTGCAAGAACTCGGGGGGGGCTCAGCTCGAGAGCTCGCTGGGAAGCATCGCCAACGGGAGCCCCGCCCTTGGGCTTCTTCTCCTTCTTGGGGCCGCCAATGGCGACCTTCTTGACGCCCTCGGTGACGGACTCGACTGCCTTCTTTGCCGAATCCATGATGAGTTCCTGGGGATGAAGATTGGGTTCGTGTGCAGTCGAAAGTGTACTGGAGAAAAGTGCTTTGTACGCACGTTCGGTGGGGTGGGTCGAGAAAGAGGGTGGTTTCAATGTTGGCTGAAGGGTCCGGTTTCGAGGGTCAATATTTAGGTCTTCGGGGTGGAGCACTTGTACCCCGCCAAACTCCGGCGCTGGGCTTTTTGTATCTAGAATGGGTGACTCTGCGGCGGGGGTGACTCAGGGCGCGCGCTCGAGGAGTACTACACGGCGACAGCCAGCTCAAGGAGCAATTGAACTATTAATACCTGAGATCTAGTATAATTTCCGGAATCAGCACTTGACTCGAGATACAGGTAGTCATTCGAGAGAGCGGAGAGGCTGGCGCCCTCGTATATTATGACCAAATGGGCTCGACTCTATTGATGCCAAAGTTTTCCCAAGTCGTGCCCCTCCAACTTGCCCCACCACCTCAGCCCGAATGACTGGCACTCTCCATTGATCTTTGATGAGATACTGCGCAAACTTGACAGTCTAATCTCTCGTGTCGAGAGTCAAGCTCGGGAAATAGTATGATACAAGGGGGAGCAAGCAAGACAGGGGGAAGTCAAGGTCTGGGGACCGTTTTAGCTAACGGACGTTGGAGGCTGCTATCGCACACTAATATAACAAATTCGACCGGGGTAGAGAAGGGAAAAGGGTCTGGAATACAACAATCCAACCGTCTAATACCACTGCTCCCATCACCAGCGAGGACGATCGTGTATCCCTATGCAGCATTGGGGAATTGAGATCTTGGTGCTTGGGTACAAGTCCAATCGGCCTTGTGCTGAAGGTGGCCCCACCTTGAAAGGAAAGGCGGTGACAAGCCCGAACACAAGTAGCAGTATCTCACCTTTCCCGCCTTTCAATGTGCCTGCCCAGGAAGGAGAAAAAAATTGGAGGGGCAGAAACCAAGGACCCATGTTTTTCCGTCCCGGCCCAACCTGACCAATCACTGCCCCTCAATCGCTCCAAGCTTCCTGCACATTTTTTGGAGGCGGAAGGGGAAGGAAAAAATCCGGCCATTTTTGCTTCCTCACAAAAATTCGACCGTCTCCCCCAAACCGCCCGAGACGCCGACAGCAAAGACAACGAACTTTGCCGAACAGCAGCGCCGTCGACCTTTTCTTCGGACCGTGCGAACCTTGCAAGATCAGAAAAACGCTTTGGGCTTGAGCACCCTCTCAAGGACAACAAAAACATATAAATCAATTCCGAGGAGTTCCCCCAGTCGCAAAAATGTCGTTCCGGGGAGCGCCACGAGGTCGTGGTTTCTCCCGAGGCGGAGGTATGTTCGCTTTTCGTCCCTCCTCCGGCCCATTGTTCTTTTCCCCAAGTCCCTCCTTTCCCAGTCCAAAAAAAATGATGAGAGATTCAAGAATGAGAGGGAGGAGAAGAGAAGAGAGTAGATATATATAGGGCGGAACAGAACAGGTGAACCCGGGGCTAATCTTCCACTACGTTTCTAGGCCGAGGTGGTTTCCAGCAGCGAGACATGGGTCCTCCCGCCGCCGTCATTGAAATGGGCAAGTTCATGCACGCCTGCGAGGGCGAGATGGTCTGCGAGTCCATCAACCCCAAGGTCCCGCAGTTCAACGCCCAGATCTTCCTCGAGAACAAGACTCCCATCGGCAAGGTCGACGAGATCCTAGGCCCCATCAATGAGGTATACTTCACCGTCAAGCCCACCGAGGGCATCCAGGCCGGCTCTTTCAAGGAGGGCGACAAGTTCTACATCTCCACCGAGAAGCTCCTCCCCATGGAGAGGTTCCTTCCCAAGCCCAAGCCTCTCTCGGGCGCGGCCAGGGTCAAGAAGCCCTCGAGGGGCGGCCCCGGCGGTTTCTCCAGGGCGGACGCGGCGGCGGCGGCGGCTTCTCCCGAGGTGGTCGTGGTGCCCCGAGGGGTGGTCCTAGGGGCGGTGGCCGCGGCGGCAGGGGAGGCAGCGGCGGTTTTAGCAGGGGCGGAGGCGGTGGTGGTTTCTCGAGGGGCGGCGGCGGCGGTGGAAGGGGACGCGGCGGCGGCGGTTTCAGCCGGGGAGGCGGTGGTCGCTTCTAAACGCCCTTTGTGGCTCGGCGCTTCATCTCCAGTGGCACGCTTCCTAGACTACCACCTTGCGGCTCTGATGCCCTCGGTACTCGCCTGACGCCTGACGACTTCCTCGCTTGTCCGCGGTGCTGTTTCGAGTCCCATGTTGATAACCCGTCTTGGTCTACTGCCATTCCTGTTGCCGTTGCTGTTTTCTTGTTCTTTTTCTTTTTTTCCTCTCGTCGTCTACTCTCGCCTTTTCTTCTCTTCCCTTGTCTTCCACACGGGCGTTACGGGCAAATAAGGGTGGGCACATGTTTTCTACTTTTTTCCTCTTCTTTTTCACTCACACACAACATCTACATGACCATTTCCAAGCTGAGTAACAGCAACCGAAATAAGCCAAACAAAAAGACAAAATGGAAAATGGAAATTCGATACCAAGTTCCAAGGGCCTCCTCCTCCTCCCCTCCCGTCTTCTCGATGCCTTGTGTTACCTGTACGTGTTAAAAGTTCAGTATCTTCAATTGAAACCACCGCTAGATGAGGCATCTACTTGGTCTTGCTATTTGATTACTCCAGTCTTCATTCAGTCTGCCCCCCCGCGGAGTGGCGAGCTTCCTCCGGATTGCTTTTGCTCTCGCTGCGGGAAAAGGAGATTGCGCTCACTCATGTGTACTTTAAGAAAGAGTTATAGACGTTGTTGATATTCAATGTTCCATCTCCCCAAGTTGGCCGTGGTCAACCAAACGACTCGCACGTTTTCATGGCAAACAAGTTTTGAACTACAAAGTACGAACACAAGAGAGAAGTGGTAGTCCAGTTAAATAGTAAAAAATGTAGTTTCATAATTCTACTTTCATTAATGGCATCATCCTCGCCTCAAGAAGAGTAGACGAAAAAAAAAAAGAAACGCAACCAGATCATGTTAATACACCTAGACACCCGAACCCATGCTGTCCTGAAATCCGACATGAAGGAAATAGGGTATACTGCGGTAACCAAAGAGAGAAGAAACAAGAAATGACCAAAACCAAACATTCCGCGCCTGCCTCCTTCTCCATTCTGGTGCTATGCGGCTAGCCCCAGTCTCAAACGACACCTATATAACGAAAACATTCGCGACACCGAGTTATATAAAAAAAAAAAAAGGGTTAGACCCCGGGAGTCAAGGAAATAAAAGAGATAAACGGGGCGGGGATCAAGGGGACTAGCCCCTCAAACCACGGCCTTCATCGCAGCCTTCTCAGCCTTCTTGCTCCCGATTCGCAACCTCAGAGCCGCCCCATCCTCCGGGTCGGCGGGCCAAAGGGTGTCGCTCACGGCCGAAACGAGAGCAAGCAGGATCCCAAGACCAGCGAGGCCCAGGGCAAGGTAGAACGCGCCCCTATAGCCAGCCAACACGCCCTCGCCCTCGCTATCCGTACCGCCAACGACGCTGGAGACGACGGTGCCGGCGAGGCCGAGACCGACGGAGACGGCGGAGAAGATGGCGGTGAGGACCAAGCTCCCGGAGATGCTCTGGTGGGGGCGAGGCACGCTGTTGGAAACGAGCACGGTGGCGACGGGGGCCGACATGTTCATGCCGAGGGGCACCAAGAGGACGCTGAGGAAGACGTTGATCCAGTAGCTCTGGCGGACGGGGGCGGCTGCCATGAGAGCGGCGCCGACGGCAAAGGCGAGCATGGAGGCGAGGAGGACCCAGTACGGGGTGACGCGGCGCAGGAGGAAGGCGGCCAAGATGGTGGCGAGAAGTCCGATCACGGGGATGTGGGCGAAGCCGGCCGATGCGAGGAGCGGATCCCACTCGCGAAGCACGACGAGGAACTGGAAAGTATAGTAGACCCAGACGGCGAAGCAGGCCCAGCCGGCGCCAATGCACAGGAGGACAAGATAGGTTGTGGCGGTCATGGCAGAAACGGGGAGCAAGGGTACTCTGCGGCGGACTCTATGTAGAGGAAGGCACCGATAAGGAGAAGTCCGATGATGAGCATAAAGTATACGTAGGGGGTGGACCAGGAGGCCAAGGGACCTTGGTTCAAGGCAAAGGCGAAGAGAACGAAGCCGGATACCCCCGTGATGGCACCGGGGGCGTCGACGAGCCTCAAAATTTCACAGTGCGCATGCCCGTGGTCAGGCCAGTGTCCGCGGGGAGCACAATCATGCCTTGGCACGCAAACGTGAGACAGACGGCACCGAGCACGAAGAAGGCCCACTCCCAAGACGTGAGCTCGGCAAAAAGACTCGCCATGACGGCGCCGGCGACGAAGCCGAGAGGGGCCGAGGCACTGAGGAGGCACATGACGAGATTTCTGCGAGGGCCTAGAACGTATACGCGGTCCAGGATGGCCTGGGCGTTGGGAACGATGATGGCGGCGCCGAGACCTTGCAGGCCCCTGCAGACACAAAAGTAGATGGTGCCGTTGGCGATGGAGCGCTCGACGTAGACGCTCAGGCCGGCGAGGGTGCTCCAAAGCGAGAACCAGGCGAAACCGGCGATGAAGACCTTTGTGACCGAGGAGGGTCCCAAACCGACCAGCGGGGACGGCAAAGGCGCTCACGCCCATGGCATAGGCAGCGGTGTACCACGACAAGTGAGCAGGTGCGCTGTTGGGAAACGATTCGGCAATCTTTTGGGCGGGCGCAAGGGCCTGCGCAAAAGCAGCATACGCGAGGAGCTGGGCAAAGCAGATGACGAAGACGATGAAAGCTTCGCGTAATAGGGAAAAGGGCGGCCTCTCAAAGGCCAGTTGCTCGTCGCCGTCCTTGCCTGGCGTGGGGGAAGGCTTTGTCGGTGGAAGAGCTCAAGGGTTCTCTGAGGGCGGAGGCGCTGGAGCGGAAGGGAGGATATCGCGGGACGAAGTAGGAGGAACCAGTGTCGCTACCGGAGGCGGGCGAGTTCGGTGAGAGGGAATAGAACTGGCCGGGCGAAGGGGCCTGGAAGTAGCTGGCTGGGGGTGGCGGGCAACCTGGGCCTGCGCAGTAGAATAGCTAGCTTCCGAGGAGAGGGCGGACTCTATCCTCGCGGTGCCAGGCTCCGGGAATGGATGGCGTGGACGACTTGAGGAGTCGCTGGGGAGGTTGCGGAAGGAAGATCGTCTGGGATCTGTGCCGGGTATGTGCCCGGGGAGGTAGAGTGCAAGCTCGCCGACGGATTAGAGCCTGTAGATGCTGTTCCGTTCGCGTCGTTGCTTGTGAAGGGCAAGGTGTGGTCCTGGCCGGCGGCACCTTTTGTGACATCATTCGTGGCCGTTGCCGGGCGCGATGACGGGCGAGTCTCCAGAGCATCTTCAAAGGGTGTAGCAGTCTCGCCCTCACGTTGGGATTCGCGGGCGTCCTGTCGTTCTCGAAACTGAACGCGGAAGGACTCGGTCGTGGCAATGAGCCTGTCGGCAGCTCGCTGCATCGCTTCCACGGCGGAGTTGACGGAGTGAAGCGACTGGCGGTTCTCCCTGCCCGGGTCGACTTCGTGTTCTTCCATGGCTGGGTTTGGGTTTTTCTATATAGGCGAGGAAAGTGGCCGGTGGGGAAAACGAAAGACTCCTCTGCAGCGCGCTGTTCACGTACGCATCGCGAGGTTGATCTGTCGACTGAGAGCCAGAGTAGGAGGGGAGGTATTAGTCGGCCAAGGTGCTGGAGCGAAGAGGTCAAGTCTGGTCAAGCTTGCTCTGGGACTAGCCAGGAGCGAAGGAAGGACAAAGAAACCGGGGAGAGTTGTAAATAAAGGTGAGATAGCTGTGTGACCAAGGGAGGTTGTTCGAGGTGGAACAGAATGGAGGGGGAGCTCCAGGTCTTAGTCGAGACGTGCTAAGCACCGCGGCGGACCGGCCACTATAAATTTATTTTTCCCGATGGCCCGCTTGGGAAAGAAAACAAGGTGCAATAAGGTAGGAGGGAAAGCGGAAGCTTCAAATGAGTGGAGGTATATCGGGTGCGTGATATTATAACGCTCGGGATCGCTTTCCTTTTTCTTTCTTTTTCTTTTTCTTTTCTTTCGCGCTCACTGTTAGTCCCCCTCTAAAGTTCCTTCCTTTGTGCAAGAGGACAATAGGCGGTGGGAAGATGGCTGCTTTCTGAGTCTTGCTTATTTTCGGACTTGGGGAATAGATGGAGGCGAAGGGGGAATGAGCAGCTGATGCTGTATAAGTGAGGATGGACAAACCCAAGGAGGAAGGCGAGAGGAAGGAAGGATTGCCGGGGGTGGTTGGGTACGATTCTCGAATCCTTGGGAGCTGGCCTGCATGTTTCGAGAATCGTGAACCAGAACCAGAGCCACCACCCACGGCCACCCCTGTCCAAGGAAAAGACAAGAGAATGGGAAAACAAGCTAACACACGAAAAAGAAAAGGAAAAAAGAAAAAGAAAAACCCCGGGCATACCAAAGGCAAGGGAAGGTCGAAAAGAACGGACCAGGGTCCCCCCAGGGACACCTGTGGCGGGCGACAACAACCACGAATCACGAATGGTAGGTTGAGCTCTGCGCGCTCCGGACCTCGGACCTGCCAAGCCATTTCGGGAACTGGCCGGCGAGGCAGGGATATCACAAATGTACTTCAATTACACACTTGGAGTGGAGGTACAGGAGCAAGTGCGATTATTTTGAAAGTGGCATCGCTGGGCTCAGCAATGCGGTGGGCGACCCGCCCAGACACCAAAGTCTTGCCATCCCCACCCACCAACCAAGAGAAACCATGTACAAGTAATAGTGTAAATGAGAAAAGAATACCCCGAAAAAAGTAAAGCGGACTACGGAGATGGTGGGGTCGTGCTGCTGGGGGCGGGAGAAGTAGGTTCGTCGGGCAAGTGTGTACGATCCAGTCCACACACCCTCACAACGATGTGAAGCGCGACGTGAAGAACGGCAAGGTCAACGGAGAGGAGGAGGAGGGGGGCAGAAAAGGAAGAGAAAAAAAGCACGAAGAATGAATTAAGGAGTCAATATTGCAGCTCAAGTCGCGAAGAGTAAGGGCGGCAGGAGACAAGAGTTGGCGAACAACATGAAAAGGACCATGCAGGCGGGGGTGGGCAAAGAGGTTGGCGATGTCTCGCCCAGAGTCACGGGAGGGTGGGGAGAGAGTGCAGTGCAGTGCAGTGCGGTGTGAACGGCAACTGGCGACGAGCATTGGAAGCCTCCCTTCTCCGGCTCAGATGCGATCAGTATCCATCAATTTCGAGTTGGTGCATCCATCAATTGATCAATTGGTTATCACCATGTACTAATGGATGTCTTGTTTTCGCTGCATGTGCGCGGGCCATTTCTGGTTGAACTCGCGCATGGGTGAACTCGCCCGTCAAAACCCCATGTTTCGTCTTTTTCGTCTCTGCCGTCATGGGCCGGCACAAGCGAGAAGGCTTTCCCAAAAGGTGTGGTCCGCAGTGTTGCATCGCGAACCGACCCTGCATCTCTTTCCACACAACATCCAGCAATGGAAAAAGGGCACGGCATGGGGGAGACAGGCGGACAGGGTAGCATACCAAAACACCAAGCCCAGAGGAAGTTTGTATCATTCAAAAGGGTCAACCACAAAGGCTACAAACTCGTCTCGTCGGCTTGCCGATCAAATGCCGTGAGGCGCCATGGCGAGAAGAATAATACCTGCCTCTCTCCAATCGAGCAAGATTGGTTGTCGAGAAATCAAACTAGCTCGGCTACAAGGACCAAGTCTACGTGGATCGACCAGCCCTCTCTCGACTCACGTTCTTTATGGGGCCCTCGCTTTTCCAAGCACCGGATGAGATGCGACACGGAAAAAGAAGAGAGAGAGGAGAAAGAAGAAGAAGAGAATCATTTTTGAGGTCCTTCGTTTGCGCGTCACCCTCGACACCAAGCCAGAGACCACCCGCTTCTGCTTGCGTTTCCCATCAAACACCCGCTTTACAACGCGATTTAGGCGCGAAGCAGGCATGGCAAGCGATGGTGCGGTCGGCACAGCCAAGGTCAACGACTGTTATTGGTCAACTTTGGTTGAATCCGAAGGAGACAAAAAAAAAAAAGAGACTCAAAAGAAGTGAACATGTGCAATCGTGTTCTCGTCCAACTAGTTGGTGTACGTACAAGGACGGCATAGGCCCGCGCCATCAGCTCGGATGGGCGAGATCGCCGCATTCTCTCGAAAAGGGTAAGCCCAGCGCCTGGAGGATCTACGGTGGAGAACATGGGAATATCGCGCAGCCGAAACCCTAGCAAGACCTAAAAAAGAGGCAGCAGGATTCATCGACAGGGCGTGGCAGGGCTTGAGCTGAGACCACCGGTCGCAGGAGAATAGACTTGGCTAGACAAAGTAATACTTGATACGAAAGAGGCTCCTCCCCTCCTCTGCCCCTCCCCCAGCCGCCGACAGCGATTCTCGTCGTCCCGTTAGTACAAGAGCGAGCAAGATCAACGACTAGGGTTCATCTTGCGGGGGATGTGGGACACGAATTATGCGGAATGCCCTGCCGAAGAAAGGAAGGAAACCGAATGGGCATCTGTGACCTGAGGAATCGACCAAGACTCTTGTGCTTGTCTGAGAGTTTGTGTGAGTGAGCGAGAGAGAGAAACAAGTGGCAGGTGCAGACTTAGTATTACAGGTAAAGGCGGGCGCCTCCTCGTTTTCGACCGGTTGAACACTATCTACTCGTTGGTGAGGAGTGCAAGTACAAGCATTCAACAACAACTCTCATCATCATTCACGTTCGATACAAGTCCGCTCCACTCTCGAGCGGTCGCCGAACGAGTCATCTATCCCCTGGAACCCTGTAAGCCGACCAGGTTACCGTGCATGGGCCACGACGATAGGGCGGCGGGCTGCTTTGGGGAAGATAACAAAGTGGAAGATAACATCAACTGACTCTTGCGCACACACTTGCACACTCAGCCCCAAGCCGGCATTTCTAGGCTGGTGCCCGCCAAACAGGGATCAGGAACTGGTGGTGGGGGACGTGGCAGCAGTCGATGGAAGGGATCGAAGACGAGCAACATTGATCGCATCATCCGTCAGCACAGGACCTAGGGTTCTCCTGGGTACCCCATGCAACCTCTCAAGAATACACAATGGGAGAGAAATGCGCAAGTAACGGATATGAGGTCTAAGACGCCTGGGATAATTCCACCGAGCATTAGCATGAGGGGGGCTACGACGGACGAAGCGGCAGAATCATCGTGAAAGCTGCTTGTACAAAGACGAGTTTTACACCCTCGCCGACTTGGTCGAGCCAGCTCCATCCATCTTTCCCGCGCAAGCGGCAAAAGTATGAGTGGAGAGGAGCGTCACTCGAGACGGACTAAAAAAAAGGAAAGAGGAGAAAAAGGAAAAAGGAAAAAGGGTCATGGCGCTCAGTTTGGCCCTCCTTGCAGATTTTACCGCGCTGCCCACCTCCGTGGCGCGGTTAAATCGGGAAGCTCATTGGACAAGACAGGTTCGTAGCCCCAGGGGGAAAGCTCCTCTCAGCCTCTTTTTGACATACCCGGCCCTGGCATTCCCAAGCTCTGGTTCTCAAAAGCTTCCAGGCACGAGCGAACTCCTGGGGTAGAGCGAGCCCGGAGAAAAATACCGAGGCAGACCTGCTTGTACCTTTCAATTGAACAGAAACGCACGCATAAACTTCTTCTTTCTCTCCCTTGAGGGATTCGAGCATGTCCAAGCTCAAGGCTAGAGGGTCACTTCGGTGGCTCTCTTTCGAGGCCAACGTGGTGGCCACCATCCCCAAGGCTTAACACGGTACACGTCCGAGCCAGTGTTTCCATCCAAGGTGGTGTCCCAGCCTGAGCCAAAGCGCCGTGTGGTGGCTAAGAGCAAACGAAATCAGCCGGACGCTTTTTCTGTGGCCGCTTCCCGTCTCATCTGCTACCAACGCCGGTCAAGGCTGGGTATTTCCAACATTCTAAGCACTCGTATTGACCACCGCCACCTTTTGAGCCACGACCATTGTAGCGCACATGGATCATGGCGTCCTTGATCCGCCCGTCGGCTTAGCCACGCCCGTTCCCTTGACAAGAAAGACCCTAGCGGGAGTAGGAATTTATGAAAGGAAAAGGTGATCTGGATGATGAGAGGAGACAAAGACGGAGAGAAAGCGAGATAAAGTGAATGGATCCAGATGAATTCGCCCATGGGTCACAAGAGACAGAAGAACCATTAAAAAAGACAACAGCATGCATTGTATTAAACCAAGAAGAAAACAAAAACATGGCTGCATCAATGTGTTTCGAACCAGTCTGCAAGGAGCCTGCAAGGTCGAATGAGGGTGTGGGGGAAGAGCAGAATAGCAGAAGAGCAGAATAGCAGAATGACAGAATAACACGCACGTCGGCGAAAGCCCACACCAACAGTCGCAGGCTCAATGCACGCACTGACCGTTCGTGCTGCAGTCTTACGCCCATCCACCTTTTATCCTCCGTCATTCCATCCTGAGATCGGTACAATGGGACCAATGGATTCAACGGATGGGTGGATGGTCTTGAGAGCCGAGAAGCGGCCAGGCGGGCAGCACGCTGTGTCATGTTCTAGCTTGGTTTGCCAGGAGAGGCACCGAACGTGGATGCGATCGCAGAACCACGATGCAGTCCATGCAGTCCATGCAAACAGTGGTCGTGGTCCAGAGCCACTCGTTTTTAGCAATGACTTGTTTCGTTCCTTGTGTTTCTCCTCCCCCGACCTGACGATAGTTGTTCCGTGGTATGAATTGAACATGCTGGGGTTTCGATAAGCGTTTGCATGGGAGACGAGGGTAAGCGAGAGTCAAAGGCAGGAAAACGATGGCGACCAAACGAAGCATGGACCCGATAGATCCATGGTGTAAATGATGGACGCGTTGAGTGTGCAGTCCGGGTCTACACGTCGTTACCAGAGCTTCGAATGTTTGGGCTTCACGAATGCGGTGGTGGACGACGAGGTTTCGCATCTTGTGCCCGGTTTCCCTCACTTCTCTATGCCTTTTGAACAATTTTGTTTTTCAGCTCCCACTCAATGCTCCCCGAGGCACGGGCTCCTCGCTGGACAGGCTTGTACTCCAGTCGAATCCATCGGTGAGATCTTCCCCGCGATCCTGTCCTCGAACCTTGGAATTCGTAGTCGATCTAGCTTCTGGGCCGAGTTTGACGCGTCCCTGGAGCCCGAGATCGAGTTCCCTATGGGACACGTACGATCCGCCTCCGCTGGGTGTGAAATTCAGCATTTGCTCCCCAATCGGTTGTGAATACAGCGATCGCCACATGATGGCCAAGCAGATCCACGGATTCACTCAAAACCGCCCCAAGATCTTTTACGAACCCAGCATCTCGTTTTGTTTTTCTTCCTTTGGGCTTTCTCTCTTTCTCTCTCTCTCTGGTTCTCCTACACTTGAGGATCTCCTCGTGCAAGCATCCTCGCTCCAACAGATCTTCCAAGAGTCAACATGGCTTCCCTGCAATGATCTCGATATCATGAACCCCGCCGGGACAGCTAAGCCGGCGCAGGAGAGATCACCCCCTCCCCCAGACGTAAAGGGAAGTCGACACGGACACGAAGCATTGCATAGCTCATTCCCCAGCTCTCTCGGTGCGTTAGCCGATGCATCCACTCCAAGTTCGACGCTTGACAACGAGTAAATCGCAAAAAAAAAAAGAAGGGCCAACTTTTGATCCGTTCTCTCCTCCCCTCTCTCCCGACAGATCGGCTCCCGTGCCGCAACCGGGGTGCGAGGGCAGTTTATGCCGCTCCTCTTCCACCAACGACAGAGACACAAAAAAGAAAACTTGCGACCGCCCCATTGACGCCGCCTCCTTCTCACCCTTCTCAATCTGCTTGTCACAGCCTCACGTTCGTGCTCCTTGCTCTCCGGGATCCAGCTTGTCACGACGTCGCACCATGATTGCTCCGCTTGCTTCGAATGGGGCTCTATCACTCTCCCATGTGCTTCGGGCCTATATCCCGAACCCTGGAAGGTCTCGAAACTCCCGGCCCCGCTGGCCCCTTTACGGGAATTGAAGGAGGGGGAGGTTTGTCCTGAGGCAAGACAAAAGATGGCGGGTGAGCTCCGGCTCGTTGCAGCTCCTCTTCCCCAAAGGGCCACGGGCGGAGACTTCCTCCCCGCCACAGAGGCTGAGTTCTAGGTCAACACATCCCTCGCCGCCGCGCCGCTGGTGCATGGATCCGCAAGTCTGAGATCCTTAAGGATACCCATCTCATTTAAAAAGTCTCGCCCTCGAAAGAAAATGAAGAATGAAAAATTAAAAAAAAAAAAATTAAAAATTCTTTTTAAAGAGGGCGTGCTCCATGAGGTTGGAACCTCTCTAGACTCGTGCGAGACAAAACATCCAATGCTTATGAGCTCAAACGCCCGACGAAGATGCATGATCCAGGACAAAGGCATCGAGAAAAGAAGAAAAGTAAAATTGTTGGTGAGCCGCCGGAAGCTCGCAAAAGAGGTCCAACGAGACACGCTGAGGTGATCTTCCCACCCTCCGTCCAACATCGAAAGCCTGCGCCTCACTTGTGATCGCCTCGCCTTCCGGCTAAAAAGGAACCCCGGGGCTTCCAAGGGTAAGACCTGAGACCTTGCCTGACCAAGGGCCTGATGGGTCCCCATCGCGATGCCCACCTTGGAGCTCCTGAAGGATAAACCATGACGGGGTTCTATTTCCGTCCATTACCTAAGAGCGCATGGCTGTGTTCTTCCCTCTTCCCTCTCTCTCACTCTCGACAGCCTTTTCTTGTAGGGGGTTTTTTCTTCTTTTTTTCTTCTTCTTTTCACTTCATTTTCAATTTCCTCTCCTTGCCTAGACAAGCTTTGGTTTAACCAAAGAATACGAATGTGCTGAATCCGTCTTGTCTCAGATCCGGAACCGTGCGTCCTCATGCTTCGGAGCTCGTTGCACAGGTTGTGGTTCGCGGATAACTCGCCCGTAGATGGCCCTTGCGTTGCCGTAAAGGGAAACCAACCTGCACCGAAAGAAGAAGAGTTGCGCACAAGGGTACAGAGAGGTAGACAACATTTGATCTCTAGATAATATAGTGCAGTGTATATAGCTATCAAATAAGTCAAGCGAGCTACAACCTCCGGATAATCTAAAGCTTCTCTATACAACATCCCCCAGTTGAAATTCTGATTCTTTTTATCAAGTTCCTTTACTTTGTAATGCGCATAAGACTATAACTAACCTCCACGATTCGACAAAGGGTAAACACAAAAGGGAGATCCTAAGAGGGAGGAGGTAACAAACGCATAGGGAAAAGGAGGGGAGAAGGAGATAAAAAAGCGCATAAAGGAATCTCCCTATTCTGCGAGGGGACGAGAAGCGAATTCTCCCATAAAGCCGAAGAGTTTTGCCCTCATGCCTCACTCCTTGGTGTCTAAATCGCCGAGCCGTTGCTAGTGATGTGAACATTGGTGGCAGATCGTGGATATTGGCCCGGCACATGGTAGTCACTAAGGGTCCTTCTCGTCTCGACCCACTCAGACCTCTCCTCGCTCCTCGCCGGCGCCGCAGCTTCGGCTACAGAGGCCGTGACGGTATCTTCCCGGTCCGCCAGGCTACGCGTGGCCTCCATATCCGCGCCCTGAGCGATGCCATTAACGGGGCCACCGGCGGAGGGCTTGCCAAGATAAGAGGCAGCTCCTGAGGCTACTGCTGAGCCATTAACGGCGGCTCCGTTGGGCGTGTTGCTTCCGTGGCTGAATGGTCCCTGGCTGACGATTTCTGACTCGGGACCGTGACGCGCCATAGGCTTGCGGTGTCGAGGAGGAGAGCTGTTGATCCGTCAGGCTGTTTTGACCGGTATACGAGTGGGCATGTGCCAAGTACGCTTCTGACGAAAATGTCTGCGGAGTTGGGGCGTTTTGGGTCGCCGCGGCCAGACCGAGATCCTGGGAGCTGTAGGATTGGGTGCCGTAAGCCTCGCGCGGATTGTAGGCCTGGTGCGCGAGCGCCTGATTCTGATCCTGGGCGTTATAGCCTTGCCCTGGGGTTGCTGGCGTGCTCTGACCTGTCGGGCCTTGCATCTGCGCGGCGAAGACCTGGGCCGTGGGCGCCTGTGGCCGGTTGCCGTCCTGGTACCCCGGGGTGCTGGTACCCTGATATCCCGGAGTCCCTCCCGGCTTTGGAGCGCGGCTACAGAAGGTGGCATAGAGTGATGGGTATAGGAACTCGGCTGCTGCTGCTGATACATTGGCTGGCTCGTGTACGGGTTGACGCCGTCCCTAGCGGCTTCGCGCTGGGCCTTGGCCGCATGCGAGTGGGCCTGCTCCATCGGCGTCTCTGGCGTGGCCCCGTATGTTTGGTTGTGGAAATGCTGTGCCTCCTCAAACGACTGCTCGCCCCGATTGCTCCCGTCGAGTGCACCGGCAGCCACAATTCCGCCTGCCGGGATACCGCCATTGGCAACGATGGAGCTACGTCCTCGTGAATTGGCGACGTTGGAGCTAGCCGTGGAAGGAGACCTCGACGTTCCGAGCCCTCGCTGCGCATTTACTTGAAGGTCGGATGGGAAGCGACCGCCCGCCTGAGGGCGGCGGTCTTGCGCAGCCTGTCTATTAGCGATGGTATTCATCTCAACCTGGGATCCGGCTGAGAAGGGCTCCTCATCCTCTTCGTCGACAACACCTGCGTCGCTGCTGGTGGAGACCCTCGAGGCTCGGCTGATACTACGGGTGGCCCCACCAGCGGCCTGGCCACCTCCCTCGGTAAGAGCCCGGATGTCGTCATACCAGGCCATCATGGTATCGTAACTCTCAGCCCTGAACACCCAAGTGTGTCCGCGGTGGACTCCGCCCGTCTGCCGGCCCTTGAGAATGAACTTCTGGGAAGAAGTCCCCGCCTTGGAGTGGGAACCAAGCTTTTGCTCCGGAAGATAAAGCGACATGAGTGGAGCCTGTCCCTTATCCGCCGACTTGAACTCGTGGAGGTGGGTTGGCGAGAGCACATACCTAGAGGAGAATTATTAGCGTCTGCTTTATATTTATGGGTGAGGTTTTCCGAGGGGCGAGGAGGAGAGGGAAGGAGGGAAGGAGGCTGAACAGTGAGGAAGAAGAAGGGGGAAAAGAAGAAAAAAACAGCAAGGTGACTAGTGTACTTACCATCCTGCGGTATAGCTTCTCAAGTACTTGCTCTTGCGCTCGAGGAGTCCAGCCCGAATTTCCTGACAGGCAGGATGATCCCGACCAGGATAATGAATATTCTCCGGGGATCTCACAGCAACGGCCGGGTTTACGAATTCGTCATTCTTTCGCATAAATTGCTCCCACTCGTGGTCCTTGGGCATATCGATGGGACCAAGATGAAGCTCCTCGATCGCACCAAAGGCGCTATCACCTTCACGCCTCAATATTGATGCGTAGGCGTTGTAGGCCTTTTGGATCTCGCCAACGACAATAGACTCGAGGTCGCGGCCCGAGGTTTCGAGGTTCAAGTAGGCCTGATGCAAGTAGTTCTCCTCGTCAATTTGCCTGTCGACCTGGCGATCAACGGCTAGGCGTAGCAAATACGGGTCTTGCTTGCCAGTTGTCATCGATGTGTCAAGCTCGGTACGGCCGAGAACGTCCTGTAGCGATTTAACGGCCCTCCTCGTTCCGTCCATTTCCTTGTCAACCGTGTTCTTGAAGTCTCCAGACAGGTTCTTGATCTCCTTGATCTTCTGCTGTAGGTCAGCACGTAGGCCCGTTAGGGCAAGAATGACGTCCGCTTCAATCTCCTGGGCTCTCTGGGCGTCCTGGATGGTCGATCTATTGTACTTGTGGATAATCTGTACTGCATCCGAAAGACCACCAGAGGCGAGGAAACTCGGGTGCTGGCCAAGGCCGTTCGCGGCGTTGGCCAATTTGATCGCATTCTTCGCCCGCAATTCGTAGTGGGTTTGGATCTCTCTGAAATACGCGATAAGATCCTTCAACAGCTTCCGCCAAGCTAGGGAAGAGAAGGAGAAGCGAGTCAGCACCAACCACAGACCTACTCATTAGGGGTAGACCGCTTACCTTGGAACCTTGTGGCAAGAGCCTCGGTCGGGCTGCCAGACGTTGGCACAGGACAATAAAGAGCGCTATGCAGCTGGTCGGGGTCGGTTTCGGGTTGCAGAGCTAGGCTTCGCACGCTCCCGGCCCTCATACTGCGCCGGCTGCTGCTCCGACCTAAGCTCCCAGAGCGCCTAAGTGACGCCTTCTTCCTAAGGGTATTACCCCTCGCCAGCTGGGCATTGTCGGAAGTGCTGGCCACGAATGAGTTGGACCTCCGCATGGTGCCGGCCTGGAAGTCGGAGTCGTATAGAATGGAGCTCCCCTTTGCTCGGCGTCCCAATCTTCGTGGAATCGTGTGCCGTTCGATCGCGAAGGCAGACGCGCCGATTGTGACCGTCCAATGGGAGTTTGCCCTCTCTCCGATACGGAGGGTTGCTGCGGCGCAGGGGAAAATTGGCGCTGCTCGACTGGGTCGTGCAACTGAGACTGGGCGCCTGAGTGGGTGTAGTATTGTTGGTCTAGGTTCGAAAAAGCGTCCTGGGCGTTGTTCCCGGCGTCGATGTCGTCGTCGGCGGCTGCGGCGGCGATCCTCTGGCTGCCTAACCCCGCGGTGGTTCGGCATAGTTCTGGCGCTGTTGCTGTTGCTGTGGGCTGAGGGTCTGGGAGAAATAGCTGGGGGACCTTGGCGCGGACGATAACATATTTTTAGGTGACTTGGTGTTCGTGGAGGTGTATTCTCTAGGGGGTTCTTTGGTGCTCGTGCTGTGCTGCAGGGGTGTCTCGCGGGTTGCGACGGCAGCAGGCGACCGCGCTGGGGGTTTGGAGGCCATAGCGTACTTAAAGGGCCCGCCTGGATTCGAGGTGTCAGGTCGGGTTGAGAGTCAAACGTTCCAACTTGGTAAAAGCACAAAACAGTTACGCAATTAGCGTGACGGCGGGCACCTCGCACGAGGAAGCTCTGGGTTTCGCCGTAACCAATGCGGGTATAACAACAGATGGTTAGGTTGTGTTGGTGTGTTGGTGTGTTCTGATGGTTCAACAGCTCTCTTCACCAAGCGCATGTAGCGGTAGGAAACAAAGGGAACCGAAGGAAGAGGGAACAAAATAATAATAGATAGATTTGGTCAAGTAGATTCAATGGTACGATGATATCTTGATCAAGGCGGAGACTGGTGACGCCCGACAGCGACCGGGGTTTATAGTCGACATTTTGAGTTTCAATGGGGGCAACGTGCTACCCTTGGACCACCTCAAGCCGGCTGCGTGTTTCCGTTCTTGAGTCGACATGGAGATGATGTAGCTCTTGCTTGGCATCTTGGTTGCGGATGGCGTCGGTGGCGCGTCTCCAGGGTTCACTTTTAATTGTGGGGTGGGAGGGTGTGGTCGTTGATCAAAGTCCCAGAGACCAAAGAGGCTGTGGAGCTTTCGACACGTGCTTGCGTCACCGAAATGTCACGCCAAGTGAGAACATTGAAGACCCCCAAGAGAACAAAAAAAAAAAAACGAAAGATGCTCCATTTCGTCGCTCGACGCATTCCGTTCTCCAACCTGTCTCACATCATCCTGGATCGAGCTGTCGAAGTCCAAGGGGGCGGAGTCGCGAATCTGATCGAGAAAACAAACATTCAATGCACAAAGAAAAAAAGAAAGGCGAGGAAAGCAAAGAAGCACGCGACGTATCATTTACAAAACCAGCGTCTTTGCCAACCCACACGCCCAACAAACAAATCCCGGTTCGGCTGCAAAGTGAGCTGGGCGGCTTGGGCCCCGGAGAATTAATTTCTCAGGCGTATTGGGACATGAACGAGCTAATGCTTCGCATCCATGACCGGTAAACCGGGGCTTGGCCTGCAAGCTCAGTCTTTAGGGATCTGATCAGCCTTGAAAGTTGATGGGATCTAGCTACATCCTACTCCGATCATCCACCTGAGTCCCCACAAGAGCACAAAGAGGTCAATAAAGGGTCCGCAGTAGGTTACGCTAGCGCGTTATACTTTGCGCCCATCTATCTTGGAATTCGATCAACCTGCCACGACGAGGAGGTTGTCTGATGAGCTGGGAATAGCTGTGCCGCTTTTCCCTGTAGACTTCGTCAGCTCAACGAGTGATATCCCCGCCGAGCCCCGAGGTTCGGCTAGCGGATGTATCGTGACTTGGTCTCTACGTAGCTTTAACCCCTCCCCTAAAATTCGTATGACCCTTGTTATCCAAAGGAGACGGCAAGCTTGAAATGGAGAGAGGCAGAGACGAGCTTAGCAAGCAACCTAGTGGAGTTGCAGGGAGGAACGAGGAGAGATATCTACTAAAACGAAGCCTCCTCTCTTCCGTCCTTGGAAACGCTCAAGGTGGCGGTTGAACACCCACCACCCTCTTTGCCTATCTATGAGCTACAGATGCGGCGTTCTCTTCAAGAGGCTGAAGGCTACATGTACTCGTAGCATCCCTGTCCGAAAAGGAGGCAACGACGGTGGGGGAAACGGATAATAGAAGAAATATATCTACGGTGGGTTGGATCCATGTAGATTGGCTCGCACCTCACGACATACGTCATAGTGGGTGGCTTGGGCTCTCCTCTGCCACCATCCCGCACCACAGAGACGTCTCCCCACGCCCGAGCACAAGAGGAATCGAGAAAAAGAGAGAGAGAGAGACAGAAAAATAAGACAAAAGAGAAGAAGGGACAAGCAAGCCACAAACCTTGCGCACTTTTGACATGAAACTGAGCTACGTGTCGTGAGTGCTCTGCAGCGTGGGCACATAATGATATGATGCAAGCTCTAAGACAGCCCTCGAAGATTGACCTCGCCCGAACAAGCTCAATCCATCCATGGATTTATTGATGGATTGTCTAATGCATGGGCATCCGATACTACAGGCATTTCATCTGGCCGTGAGTGAGCTCCAACAACGTCGAATTGTTCGTGATGGATGAAGGCAGCACGATCCGCCTGCCCCAAACACCAACACGAGCTAACGAACAAGAAAACCCCGAATGAAGAAAAGAAAAGAGCAAGAAGAATAAAAAAAGAGCAACTGGCCTAAAAGGCAAGACATGTGCCGATCCTGGTGCCCTTTGCTCTTCGATGTGTCGATCGCCCCGGTAGCTTTGTCTTAGCCGATGACGTTGGTTGACTGCCCGGTAGGTAGCGCTTTTTCGGCCCTCGGTCACATCAACGCTATTGTCTTTGGCATCGTCCACTTCAAGGGTCGCTTGGTTCCATCCAGAACTAGCGATCCGCTCAAGGTGGTTCTGGGTAGTCAGGATATCATGAAGGAAAGCAAGCTATAATTTTAATTTCACGAAGCTAGCCTGGAGCGAGTTTATCCGCACTTGAGAGCTTGACTACCTGACATCTCAGGTGCGCATTGATTGGACTCCTAATTTCTCACTTGACAGCTATCAAACTGCTTTGGACGCTAGGCATGTGTGCGATATATATATAAAAAGCAAATCTTGAAATCGGATCCAAACTCCTTGCTATGTGATTGATGCCTTTCTGACTTACGTCTAGGAAAGGGGGAATCTGGGCGTACCAACTACGGCGTGATATAAAAAGAACGAAAACGATACGGGAGAGAAGAGGTCAAGCAAAGCGAAGGCTAAAGGCTAGAGATAAAGGAGAAGAGAAGAAGAAGAAGAAGAAGAAGAAGAAGAAGAAGAAGTTAAGAAGAAGAAGAAGAAGAAGAAGAAGAAGAAGAAGAAGAAGAAGCGTGTGACAGCGAAGCCGTAGTCGAATCGGATGCGAGCTACTCCCAAACGATGCTTGCGAAGCTATGGCTCTCTGCTCCGTTCTTCGATACCCGTTTAGACTGGGGGTCCTGGGACCTCGGTCCCTTCCACCTTTGCTCCGAGCTTGACGCCTTTGCCCCACCGTCTAGGCGGCGGTGCCTTGGGAGGTGTCTTTTTGTGCCGTTCACGTGCAGTGTAGCCCTCTGCTGGAACGGAACACCATGGCGGTGTTTCGGGACCTCTGGTAAGGCCTTCTTCACCTTGATGATGGGCACGGGTTTCTGCCCGTCTCCCGACTCGCTCGCAACATCCTCTTCCGCCTCCCTGTGTCCTGCTTCGAATTCGGATTTTCGACTTGGGGTTTTAATTCCGGGCTTCTCCATGACAGCGGCGACGTCAACAACACTGACGGAGCTAGCCGTCCGCGAGTCAGACAAGCTAATACCCAAGAGTTTCGGCATAGCTTTTGCCTTGGGGAGTCTGGGGATTGATTTCCCACTCCCGCAGAGAGCCAGGGAACGCCGTGGACTCGGTCAACAAGTCGAAGCGTCGTCTCGTCGGTTGGCGCAAAATGCGCGTTTCCCGAGCCCGCGAGGATCCGTAAAGCCTTCAAGATCTCCTCGCGCTTATAGTTGGGGGTTTGGTTGAGCTGCGTGTGGGCTAGAGAGGGTAGAGCACACGGAGATAAGTATGCCGGAGGGATATCTTTTCGTCGGGCAAATCCATTAGGTTGCGGAGAATAATGTCGACAAGGACCTTTAGGTCATTTGTGTAAAAAGATTCGTACGTCGCTTTTGTTGTGAATAGCAGGTATAGTACCTTGAGAATGAGGAGTTGTTGGGATGTTTCCGTTTCTCGGTTCAGGAGGAGTATGATATTTTCGCCAAACGCTCGGAACGAGGACCCGTGAAGGCTGAGCAACTTGATCACACGGTTCGTGAGCGACGAGCTCGGGGAGAGCGGGCCTGCTGCTTCGGCCTCTGTGGCAGCCAGCATGTATTGTTCGTTGAGGACAAGCTGCGCGGGGCGTTAGAAAGAAAATCCCAGAGCACAAAAAGGCATGTAGACCCGGAAAGGACTACTAGAAACAAAGTCTTGGGTAGATGGGCCATCACTCACCAGGACGCGAATCACCGAGTACTGATATGGATCGTCAGAGTCGCCAGAGCCTTCCTTGACGAGCTGGAGGAGCCGAGCAATGAAGCTGTCGTCAATCTGCAAAAGGTCCGTCGTTCGTAGCCGTTCCATGCGACACATCTCGTACATCAGCTCGAGCAATGTATGGTAGAGGGGAGGGTCCATTAGTAGATTGCTATTCAAAAAGTCGAGGAGCCTCGGGAAACAGCCTTCCGATATCATGCGACCGAAGACGGTATCATCGCTACGCCCGTCGGCGAGGAGGAAGTTTGCGATTGTGTGGAGAGGGTTTGGCTCGTCCTCCTGGAGGAAGCTAAAGATGATTTGCACCCGGACGTAGTCTTTATTGTCCTGGAAAATCGGGCGGTGGATGAGTTGGTGAGCGCAGTGCAGAACTCCGGAATCCAAGTCGCCGAATCGATCCCGGAATGCGCTCGCGAGATCGAGCCATCCGCGTAGGGCATCATCAATCTGCTCGTGTGTGTCGCACGGGCCCGAAAGAACTTTGCTGAGATCTAAAGGGAGAGCGATCACGACTACGTTAGCGGGTCAAGGAGGCTGGGTAGGGAGGGAAGGCAGCGGGCTGTCGTCGGTGGAGGGGAGAAAGGGCAGAGGCTGAAACCAGGGAGGTGTAGATAGTAGGGCTTGCGACGAGGGTTTGCGATGAGGGCTCGCAATGAGGGCTCACCTTGCCAGAACTGCACATCAGTTTCCTGGTCCGCACTAGTATCCAGGTCGGCCATGATCACGGAGTCGCTGCTATAGATAAATTGGTGACTGGTGGGCAGCGAACTTGGTCATCTCGGTGGACGGCTACATGAACCCTCCTCTATGCAAAGAAACGATTGGTTTCCCTCAAACAGTGCTTTCGTCGCAGCCGCGGGGTAGTAAGCAGACATAAAGCGAGTGGCAGGGTGGCCCAACGGGGAGGAGAGCAGGCTCTGGACGAAGGCAGAGACGGGATTTGAGTGGGACTGAGAGAAGAAGAAGTTGTGCTGCGCTGCGACTCGGGTGGGCAACGTGCGGTCGAGTGATCTCGCGCGCAGTGTTGGTGTGGGGGTTGTTTTGTGCTAGAACGATTGAGCTGAGCCTTCAGTGTCCGTTGGTCCAGAGTCGACGGTCCACCAGGTTCAATTGCTGGCAATCCCACTTGAAGTATATGTAATAATATTATGAACGACCGGGGAGGAAGGCGGTTACAGGCTGGCGGGGTCGAACTTATTATTAACCAGTGCTAGAATGCGGTCACTGGGTCGGCAAGCGAATGAACGAGCCTGCCCTTCATGTACAAACACCACTTCTAATACATCTCCAGTGCCTTTCATGGATCCATCGATCCATCGAGAGCAGACCAATTGTCATGGAAGCTAGCTCCGCTCATCAGGGAATGCTCACAAAATCGAATCCCTTGTCATTTTCTGAAATCCCTTAAACACCGCAACGATGAAATCAAGTGGCTCACGGTACATTTACCCACCAGGTGGCCAGGCCAGCACCAGCTCCGGCACGAAGCCCCTGCTCGCTCCAGCGATGTCTGATGAGGCAAGCGCCAGCCCGACGAAGCTTGAGGGGTCCTTGAAGTGATTGACTTGTACTTGATCCCTCAAGCCCGTGTGGTCGTGCCAAGTCCGATCGACATGGTTTACCCAGGAGCGGGGCCGGGCTAGCTTGATTTTGAATCGCTTCTCAAAGCTATTCTCATGGCTGGCGAAAGGATCAACCAAGTAGTATTACGTCGATGGATGTAGCGTGTGAATTGATGATGGGGACTATGCTAGCTAGCTCTTTCCGCCTGCGAATACCATCCCCGGGGACTGTTACTATGCAGACTCAATCCATGCAAAATTGGCTGCTAATCACACTGCAGGTGCCAGATGCATCGAGGGATAGACACAGCGTTTCCAAGGCCTCAGTGGCAGGTCTATCTCTGTAGAAACTCGCCCGACCCGGCAGTGCAGCCGCATGAAACAGCAAGATCGATCAGATGAATCACGATCTCCAAGGGGCTGCCGTGCATTCCCTTTGGCCTGTCGGCCCAAATGGCTGAGCTCCGTATCGTGATGCATCATGAATGCCGCAGAGAGTCGCTTAGAGTTCCATATTTCACCCAACTCCCGCACTTCTGTGACAATGCATCAATCAATTGATCAATCGGTATATAACATCAAGGCCAGGAACCTCAAGCCTTATCTGTGTCCACCCTCTCTCGCGAACGTGGACCTTCTTTTTTATCGCCTTCTTGTATAAGCTGATCGTTGGTTGGAAAGAAGAAAAGACAGCCGCTGACGGATAGACAATCGTGGGCATAACAAGCGCCCAACAGACAAATGTAAGAAATCTGATAGCCATTCCCCCAAAAGCAAAGGAAGAGAAAGTAAAAACTCCGGTCCAAATCCAGATTCCAATATCTAGTAAATTCCTCTCTTACCTTTGTATCGCTCGGAAAACGCAACAAGCCAGATAGATATCAAGAAACAGTAAAATCGCAAAGCCGTGATAGGGCATCCCACGCCATATCCAACCAAACTCCGGGGATACATGAAAACGCGATAAGGACAAGAGCAAGACCAGGGGATGAAGAGCAAAGAAATGAACAAGTAAAAGGAAATTGTAGAATACCCACTGAGGGAATGCGTGATCTTGGGGAGAGGGGGTGTTCAAGGTCACTCAGCGTCGCCAACTTGAACTTTATCGGCATATTCTAGAATGTTGCTGACCACATAATCCTCAATCGTATGGCCCTGACCGGCAGCGACCTTGATGATGAGTTCATTCAAAGTCTGTCGGCCGAGAATATCCACATGGTCGGCCGTTTTCGGGCCGCCTCGGGGGTTAAATCGCTCCGGCTCGTGGGGCATTTCTACCACGGTAATCTTTGCCCCTGCGGGATTGTAGCGCTTCATGCGCCAACCGCGGTTGCACATGTATCCGGTGCTCAGTAGATTGACCGTGCCGTCACCTTCGCCCATGATAACACCGTGGTCAACGCCCTCCGCGGTTAGGGCAGTATCGATGGTGATGTTGAGTCGCGAGTGGCCTGGCTTCTCAGGGCCACGGTAATAGTATCCTCTTTCCGTCGGTTTACCGACACCGTAGAAGCAGTAAATCTTGAGGTTGGGCGCTAAAGGTAACCTTGTCTCGAGGGGGTTCACCCATTTCCTAGGGTCTTTCTCGTTGGCGTCCACTTCCGCTTTATTATGGGCAATTCCGTTCGAGTACGAACGCTTGATCATGTCTCGGTACCACGGGTCCGTTGTTTCCGAGAGATAGTCCATCGCTTCGTTCACCGTCATGTTGCGGGATGGGGTCGTCGCGTTGGGCTCGACCCGGAAGTTCAAGAACGACCCGTATGAAAGTTTTTGGCCATGCTGGTCATCGGGAGCGCCCGACGCATCACCCCACACAGCATTGCCTCCCATGGGCAGCATGGAGGAGATTCCCGGCATCGCGCGGAAGAGCTCTGCCCTCTCCTCCCTGCTCAGGAACTTTTCTAGCCCGTACACGGCGAAGGCGTTGAGTTGTGCCGTGTCCCGCATCTCACCCGAGAGAATAGCCGTGACACCCTTTACCGCACCGAGCATGCATCCACTGATGTTGATCCAGGAATCCACGTGCCTTTCCACCCAATCGTCGCCTCCTTGGCCCCCAGACTCTGAGGCCACCCAGTGGAAAAAGTAAAAGAGGACCTGGCTGCCCATGCTATGAGACACCAGCACGGCCTTGGTTCCCGAAGTTTCCAACGAGATCTCGAGGTATGACTTCAGTTTGGTGAAGTACCTATCTCGAACCTCAAGGTTGGGGTAGGAGAGCCGCCAGTCATAGGCGGCTGTGAAAGCATTTGTCGGATCGTACCCAATGGATGCGAGATTCTCAAAAATCTTGTTCCAAATCCAGTAGCCAGTTATGAAGAAGTCGGTCGCGTCAAATCCCTGGGCGGCGCGAAGCTTGATGGAGGGGGTCGAGCCCGGTTGTCTTATCGAGCATGATGTGCTTCTTCCAAGACTCCTTATCCATAACCAAGGCCGTCATCATTGTCCAGCTACCCCAGAGTCGCTTGCGGAAGTAAGATCGTGAAATGTTGGCCGTGCCCCAGGACTCCAGACCCGTCGAGATAACGCCAGGAATCATGATCATAGGGTGGTGCGCATGGAGGCCTTCGGATTGGGCCTTCAAGCCAACCGCAAAGGCTTCAGAGCTGTCGAACATGTCGCGCTCTCCCTTCTGTCGCCAAGGTTTCCATTGTTAGTATGAGGGGTGGGGAAGATCCGTCCATCCATGGATGGATATATTCCAGACAGAGCGGGTGCTTACTAGAAGATCCCTATAGTCCCTGACCAGGCCAGCGGGGAGAACATCCAACAGGCTGTCCACACTTAAATCGCCAAGTTCGGGAAAGTCAATGAGATCGTTGGTCGACGCGAAAACCCCGCTGCCACGATGCCAAACAAGCTGCCGAGAAGAAATATAAATGTGTTCCGCCGTTTCCGGGTCTTGGGCTTCTCTTGAACGACTTCGGCATGGATCTCGACGGCCGGCTGCTTCTCATCGCCCTCTAATATCGTCAAATCGGACTCACTGTCTGCCTCTTGTATCGTCGCGGAGAGAGTGGATGCGCCACCCCGACGCCGAAGCGTGGTCGACATGATGAACCGCGTCGGAGGGGTTGAGACTGCGATTGATCCTCGAGGGAGTTCGCGACGTGGGGAAGGGTCGGGATCACGATCGGAAAGGCCGGAAAGAGTGGCAGAACGGGTCGAGCAAAGAAAGAGTTTGCGATTGATACCAGTCTGTCGAAAGGGGAGGTACTTTTTTTGTCTCCACTAACCTTGCACCTGTCGGACTTGGCAGGAAATCATAGATAGCTTCAGGAACACTAAGCCATCGAAGAGCCGGGTCTTTTTCTTCTTTCCTTCTTTCCTTCTTCAAGAGGGAGGGAGAGAGGAAATGAGCTAGCTGAGAACTTTGGAAATTCATGGTCTGACGTCAATGCAAACTGATCCACCAAAATTTCCACCGCTGCCTCCGAAGGTTGCAATTGGGCCAATTTGATCTCAGAAGGGGCCCAGATTTTGAGTAGCCTTGAGACATGAGGTACAGAGTACAACCCCACTTTCCTTACTTCCAAGGGAAGTTGGAGGGCTTAGAGGGCTTCCGTGGGACAAATGCAAAGTAGCTGGTACGAGAATCATCAGCACCTGAAGGCTCGGGCATAAACCTAGCAGAGTATCCTCCTAAAACATGTGGTTCGTACTAGCTTGACGGCTCCATCAACTTCGACAATCTGCGTGGGATTTTCCTTGGGAGTGCAATCCACACTCGGATTAGATAGTTCACATTTCCATGTGGCGGGGCGGAAACCTTGCATCTCGATATATATTGACATAGTTCCCGTTCGAGTCAATATCGTCGATTCTACAAATGTTAACACAAGGACCAGATACATCCAATGGTTCAATTCAATTACCTCATCCATCGTGATGCAGAAAATGCCACGCGTTCCTCTCGGATGCTCGGGCCCAGATTTAGTAGTGAGAGGGGCCAACGCGCAAGATTACTCGTGCAGTTCTGTCTAGGACCCAACCCTGCGATTTGTGAGACAGTAATCTAGATGGACCGATCTCACAGCACAGACATATGGACCGCTCATTCTTTGGCGAGCTGGCCCTGCGATCGCAAAACAACCCTCCAAGAACCCCGCGACAGACCCCCAATTTTGCCCATTTTGACATGTGATTATCCAAGCCCTGCTCACTTCACCTTGCGTCAAAAAATGCACCAGTAGAGGAGCTGGATCTTCCAAGTCCAGCAATCGCCAATCCTGCACCAAGGACCCAGAAAAATCCACCACGACTGGGAATCGGCGGCCAGCACACTCAGTCCACCTTAATCTCCGGCTCCCCTCATTGCAGGACCAATCTCGACTGCACCCGCGCCTGGGCTGCGACACCCTGGGAGAAGCCGCATATCTAGATAAAACTTGCCACCTTCCTCTGCCCGCCACGAAACACGTACGGTCTCTTTATCGCCGACTTCTCGAACGTAGTCAAACCTCTTTACTCGCCTGTGCGGATCTGCCCTCATTCTAGCAATCGAGATCCTATTAGCAGACGTAGTCCGCCTAGCCAGCTCCCCTCTCGCACCCAGGTCCTCGCTCGAATCCCCTTCTGAACGCTCCCCAACTGCTATGAACACGCGGTAGTCCAAGTGCAGCAACGATAAACAGACTTACGAAGCCAAGACGGCTGTCTGCGCTCCTTTGCCCTATCTCCCTTCTACGCGCCGATCCCGACCCTGACCCTCGATCGTGGGGACGCCGGGCGCTATGGCGGAAGCGACACCAACTTCAGCCGCTCCATTACCTACCGAACTCGAATATGTCCAGTACTCCCACGACCTCGAGGAGAAATATCTACCCTCCATACGGTCCCTCATCTCGAGGGATCTAAGCGAACCATACAGCATATATGTGTACCGCTACTTCCTTTATCAATGGGCTCACCTTTGTTTCATGGTTAGTGACACATTCCCGAAACACCTGTGCCTAGCTTGTGGTTTTTCACTACGACCCCGCTGTGGGGGAGGGGAAGGCAAAGGGTATCCCGAGTTGAATAACCGCGCTCCGGATCGAGCCAGTCGTTAATATGTTCGTGCCAATCTTTAGGCTCTGGATCCGAGAGACTCATCGCTCGTTGGTGTCATCATCTGCAAACTCGAAATTCATGCTTCTCACTCGCCTCCCACCCGCCGTGGGTATATAGCTATGCTTGCCGTTGCATCGGCATTTCGAGGGCACGGTATCGCGACGACGCTCGTGAAGAAGGCGATTCACGCGATGACGATGCGCAACGCCCAAGAAATCGTCTTGGAGACCGAGGAAACGAACGTCCCAGCCATGTGCCTGTACGAGCGCTTGGGCTTCCTCCGGTCGAAGAAGCTTCACCGCTACTACCTTAATGGCAACAGCGCCTACCGGTTAGTCTTACTGTTGCGGTCGATAGACGATGAAGAGAACCGTGGCCAAATGATGAATGAATCCGTCCACGGACCGTCGTTTGCGACCACGCTGCAGTTTCATAGCTCCTGAGAAGGCACATTGCATTGTTTGAGTCGAATGCTTGCGCGTCCTCTTTCCGAGAGGGGACGTCGCCACAGGGAGAGCATGCAGACACCGGCGGATTTGGTCCACATGTGGTCGTACATGTAGGCCTGATATTCTGGATGTTGTACACTATCATTTTAGGCGTTTTGGTTGCATTGGCCTGGTTTGGGCTCTCGTTTGTGCTTTCAAAGCTTGCATATTTTCTATTTAGGAAGCTTCTATTGTGGGTTGAAACGTATGTATTTCGCGTGATACCACGTCCCGGACAACCTAGATTTTCCCCTGTCCAACGAGGCCGAGATACCTCGATATTACGCCTTATACAGATGGGAAAACATCTCTTGATGAGTGAATAGATGCCCGTACCCCCACGGATTCCCACTTCCGATACCCAAATAAGTATATATATCTAATCCCCATTAGCTGATTCTCTTACTGCGTAGCCCTAGTAGTGTGGTCATTTACGAACCGGGTTTATAATAAAGGGTTTTCTCCTTGGAAGATGGGCTGACAAACCCCAGCTCCCTTAACCGCCGAAGGACTCTCCCAACGTCCCGGCGATCTCTGAAGTCCGACGTGTAGACGCAAATGAGCCGCTCCCTCTGTCGAAGCTCCACGCCGGGTCGTGGCGCGACCTTGGCGGCTATCCCTAGTTCGTTGTTCGCGGTGGCTCTCGCAATAATCTCCCATACCTCGTTTACGGCCAAGGCGTCGCAGAAGATCATCCACTACATCAGAGGTTAAATTTATAACTCACAGAGCGCAGCTCATGCGAGGGCAGGTGTAAAAGACAAAACAGGCAGCATGGATCAAGGAGCCACTGACCTTGCCGCATCTCACTTTGCAGGCGTGCGCCAGGTTGAGAATGTCCTGCATGGCACCCATCTTTTCGTTCTCGATGTCCTTCAGGACTGCAGGAACGTTGCCTCCCACGGCGAGGGCACCTTGGATAAAACTAGTCAAGAGGTGAAGCCTTTCCATGCCTCCACTAGTGGCCACCGAAAGGTCGCTGCCATGCTCCTCGGGTCCCTCATCTTCGTTGCCTCTACTCTTCTGGTTTTGCGCTAGGGCTTTTGGTTTTCGGGGAATATAAGGGTTGCAAATGTAAATCCAAGGTACTTCGAACGTGGCGTCAGTAGTCGCAGGTGGTAAACGCCTAAAAATTGTTGCAGAGATTCGGTCAATTGCCATGCAAAGTTGAATCCCTGATATGGGTTGTGCAGGTCCGGTTTTGGACTCCCGGATGCGGTGAACGACGCCGTTGGGAGAAGCGGGACTAATGCTCGGTCCTTGCACCATTCATCAACGTCGAAATCTTCCACCCTTTGATTCAAGCCGGCGACCGTGGCTTCATCGCCTAGCCCGATTGGAGCACTCGGAGGTTAGCCGACCAAGCTCGAACTACGTGCACACTTGGCCTTCAGCTACGCGGGGTTCGACAAAGGCTCTTACCGTAAAAATCGGAGTCGTCCAGCTCCATGGGATCCATCATGCCAGCTTGACCTCAACCTATCAGAGGAACTATGCTGAACCCGAGGCGGTCTGCGGTATTGAATCAAGATACGAAAGCCAAGATGCAGCAAGGCGGTATTGGGGGTATTTGCGTCGATAATAGATGGGAGAAGGGTGATGTTTGTGTGTGTGCAACCCGCCGGCATCTGGTGATCGCGAATCCTGTGCATTTTCCCTTTTTCAAACTTCGTTGAAGATCCTTGTCTAATTCGCATGCTCTCCGTTGATTGATGACCTCAACTTTCCTCCTTGTCATTTCTCAGAGTCCTCTTCCGCTTGAAGAACGCCACAGAACCGGGGTTGCATCATGACCCTGCGCCTGACCGAGACAGCCTATAATAATGTCGAGGTTGAAGAAAAGGATCATTGCCTCTGTCCCCTCAGGAATCAGGTGCCGTTCCTCACCGAGAAGTGCCTGAACAAAAGGCTTCAGCCTAACTTCGAGTCCACATTATTACTGAAAATAATTGTTGACCAATCCGTCGACGGATCCAGTATGATATGTGCCCCGCCAGCGCCTTGGAGGGGTACATACACCAGTGATTAGTATTTTCAATCTTCCATGCCAATGATGGTGCATAGCAAGTCCATTTGATTGCTTGGTTTCGAGAACTTCCATGCAGAAAACGCCGAACCAAACAGAAGACTCAAGACAGCGCTTCTTCATTGTCTAAACAACACACCCCTGCCATTGACTTCGTGAATTCTTTGGGTTCTTGGTAAGCAATAAGGGAAGACTGACGAGTGTGCTTTGTGACGCCCTTTATCGTCTTTTCGAGCAGCGCCGTTTGCCAGATCTTGTCCTACGATGGATGGAGAGAGTTCGGAGGGCACCCTCATCTTACCAAAAGCCTCATATGTACTAGATCTTCCACCAAGCTGCATAGAATTTTGCCCCGCCCACCCCGAGTATTTCGTTGTGGGAACTTATAACCTAGAGAAAACGGTACAGCCCGAGACTGAGCAGGGTTGTAACGACGATGACCAAGTGGCGAGCGAAGCCCAGGCACCACAGAATCGCAATGGCAGTTTGATTACCTTTCGTTTACAGCATGACCAAGCGTAAGGTCTCCCGAAAGTGCCTTTGGCTTTCTCTATCTAAGGCTGTGCCCTTGACTTATCTCTCACTAGGTGCCTCATTCAAACCTTGGCGCATCCTTCTGCTATCCTAGATCTACACTTTCAGACCCTCCCTGGCTTTCGAGATATCGCAGCTGTCGTAACAAGTACAGGAACAGTCACTGTGTTCAGGCTAGATCCCGGGGGTTCGACTCCCGAGCCCCTCCAGGAAGTTGGGACTAGTCGGATCCCCGATATAGGCGAGGGCGTCCTTTTCCTATCCTTTTCCTGGCAGCCTTCTTCCCCAGATATTCTCGCGATTACGACCTCTACTGGTGCGGTGTGGCTAGCGCGGCTTGATATCACAACTTTCAAAATAACCAGCTCTCAGGAAGTACCGATTGCAAACACGCTCGAGTGTTGGTGTGTGTCTTTCAGCCCCGTCGTTAGTGACACGGAAGGGCAGGGCAGTGCGGTGGTATATGCCGGGGGGATGATTCTGGCCTGAGATACGCTTTATCTTCCTTGACGTTGGATGGCGATGACGAGTCCGCCCTAGCACACCTGCCGTACCCAGCGGCGATGATGAAAAAGGACCACGATGCAGGTGTTACGGCTATCTTGCCCCTTTCGCTACACTTAGACGACGGCTCGCGAGTTGTGCTAACGGGGAGCTACGACGAGAATATCCGAGTATTCTCGGTTCAAGACCCGCAAAACACCTTTGGGATCAAACGTACAAGGCTTTTGGCCGAGTGTGGCCTCGGAGGTGGAGTGTGGAGACTCAAAGTCATTGAGCTGCGGGAGAGCTGCGGGTCAGAGAAGAGCTGGACGATTCGTCTCCTGGTCTCTTGCATGCATGCTGGCACTAGAATAGTTGATGTTTCGATCTCTCAAACCGGCTCAGCCTCGGTGAGGGTCGTGTATCGCTTCGAAGAACATAAGTCTATGAATTATGGAAGCGACTGGACACCATCGATCGGCGGGGAGGGGTTGATGTCGTATCCACCAGCTTCTACGACAACTTGCTTTGCCTTTGGAAAGCATGTTCGTAGGGTGTCTTCCTCGCCATCAGACCCATCTAGATAGAACTGGGATAGAAAGGAAAGTTCTCGAAACCACCTGCCCGGGGAGTACCACGAGGCTTCAAAGTCACCCAAAGGTGCCGAAACCGCTGTTTATTACGAGAACTTCCTGTAAGGCATTAATTTTGTCTGTCCATCTCTGCTATATCAATACACCCGATCTATTATGCTCCGCGTTGAGGGGTATCGCATAATAACGCGGAGCCGAAGACCATTCATTGATCAATAGCTACGTCTCCTGAGTGCAACGAGGTGGGGTAGTAAGCTGACCGATGCCCACGTTGCGAGAGAATTGCGAGCTGGTATCTTAGAGCAACGCCTACCATATGGAAGCATTCACTGATTAATCGAGTCCCTGAACGCTAATTACGCCGCTGAAGGGCACTCCAACTCCTAAAGAGCTACTTTGTAAATTTGATTGATGGGGTAGATAGATCCATTGCTTGCTACTGAGCTGCTCTCTAGCTGACCCATCCATCCGATCCATCTGGGGCCGATCCGTCATTGATTCGTCGACCCGTACCAGCTAGACTCTCTACTACAGCCCAGTGGGTTTTGGGGGTGTGTGCCTTCAACTTGACCGCCCGCGAAGTCGTCAACCAAACATTTTTCCTGCCTGGCCAAACCCAGCCGAGTCCCACTTAGCACCCGACCTTCAACTTATCAATTCCGTCCCACACACCTCTGGACCACGCCTCTCGTTATTCGCCATCACCGCTCGCCACATCACCACGCCTTACCAAGCCTCGTGGGAAAGCTTTGTCTACCCGGCCTCGTATCTACCAGCCCAGAAAACATTCGGAACCGCCCAAAGCTCTCGTACTATCCGAAGCTACAACCTCGATCGATATTTTCCCTCGACCGAACCGTCGCCGATTTCCCCGTCCGTGAATCGCCCTTGCTGGTAGACCGCTGCTCCTCTCGTACCTGCCCCGCGACGCGACCTCGATGTCTGCACTGCCAGCGTCGGCCTGAACCCTTGGTCGAGTCGCGTTTCACCCTTTGCTCTACCCTCGAAAAAGAAGTGCTTTATAAATCAAGTCAACATCAAGATAGCTCAGCCGAAACTTCTCACGCCCTAGTCAAACCCTTCCTCTCGTGTCGCGATGGCTGCCCAACCCCTCAACGGCGGCGCGGGCAACCTCTCCTCCTCGGCGCCCGCTAACGGCCCCGCGTCCGATGGTATCGCCAAGATCCACCAAGCCCTCGAGGTCGTCCACAGCCCCTTCTCGTCGAACGAAGCACGTCGAGATGCCCAAGACTTTTTAGAACAGGTCAAAGCCTACCCCGAAGCCCCGCTCCAGGGTTATACCTTGGCCTCCGATAAGTCTCAATCTCCAGTCGTCCGGCACTACGCCCTATCACTTCTCGAGCACGCAATCCGACACAGATGGGCTTCATATGGTCCGGACGAGGCAGCTGCCCTACGGGGCTGGGTTTTGGAGCTGTGCCGCGCCGTATCGCAGGATGACCCTACATATCTACGCAACAAGACCGCGCAGCTCTGGGTAGATGTTGCTAAGCGGAGCTGGACCGCTGAGTGGATGGACATGGATGCCCTTCTTGTTCAGCTTTGGGAAATCCCCGACTCGCCCGTTCACAAGGAGCTTGTCATGTTCGTGCTTGAGACTCTTTCGGAGGAAGTCTTTAATGGGGACGACGCCGTGGTTGTCATGCGAGAGGGCGCTCTAAGCAAGGCCTGTGTAGAGATATTCACATCTGCCAGCGTTCTATCCGAATCGTTCCCGAACAGGCAAGCCGGGCCCGAAGTGCGCTGTGGCGGAGAAGGTTGGCTGTCCCGCCTGTCCAAGTTCCTCGACCAGTGCATCGGCGCGGATGTCCAGAACAATGATCCGGCCAGGGCATGCGCTGTCAAGGCTCTCACTGCCCTCCACTCTCTGATGACTTGGGCTATACCCAAGGCCGTCTATTCGGCAAATAGTGTTCCGGTTATGGTCCGCTGCCTCGCGGTCTCGTGCATCTCTGTCCAGAAGGTAGGTCAGGAAACAGCTCGCTTCTTCTTATGCCCCACTGAGGAAACATACATGCGCACCCCCACCTCTTTGCAGCGAATGACGTACGAGAGCCCATTCGAAGCTTGCTAACTCTCCCCGGATCCCCAGGCCTCATTGGATGCTCTTCATGCATTGTACTGTCGGACCAACTTTACCGACGACGAGTTTAAAGAACTTGTCATGCCCATGTACGAGCCAGATACGGTCAATCTGTTCCGGAGGCTTGCCGAGTGGTCGACTGTAGATGCCCAGGACATAGACGAGGAAAAATATCTCTTTGCAAAGAAGTTTTCAGAGGTTGGTCGATTCGAGCTATGCATCCATCCCACCCTCCCCTTCCGTCTTCCGTGATTCGATGCTATTTCCCCCTTTGCGCTCTTTCACAGCTGGCTGTGGCGCTTCTCTCCGGCTGTATGCTGACCAATTGACTTTTGAAGATGCTGTCCTGTCTTGGGAGTTATATCGACAGGAAGTTTACCGCAATCAAACAAGGCACCGATATTGTCGGCTTCTTGCACCTCCTGCTCGTTGTCGTTCAGAACAAAAGTCTAGTCGTATCCATCCCCGTCCTCGTGTCCTGGACTCGCCTACTTAGCAGTAGGTACATTGGACCAAACGCAGCCAACCTCGATGTCATCGGGCCCTTGTTGGAGGTCTGTTCTTCAAGACTCCTCCGTTTCGAAAATCTACCCGAGGATTCACAAGACCCATCCTACCTCTTCTTGCTCGAGGATACAGATACTATTCCTGAGCGACATGCATTCTTGGGCAACTATCGGAGGTATAGTTCTCAGCTCATTGAGCTTATCGTGCAACTCAAGCTGGCCGACGCTCTTTCTCATATCCTCCGACAAACGGACGATGTCCTTCAACATCTGTACGATGGTCAGCCTCCTCTTGATGGTACGTCGCCGCAACACAATGGCCGCTCCTCTCTTTAGGGCAATTAGTTACCCTATCGTCTTAACTCTCTAAAATAACCCTGCTAATGGTGGTCTGAAGTCTCGAAATACTCAAAACACTCGATGCCTGTTCTTCGGATAGACGCCCAGTTTACCGTAATCGAGTCCGCCCTCAAGGGCTTTGTCAAATGGAGATCGTCACCAAGATCTGACGATACTGTAACGCTGCCCTCCCCTGCTCTTTTCCTTGTTGCGTACTTTGGCCCCTGACCTAACATCTTCACAATAGCGACGTGGTGAGCTGGAGGCGAATCTAGAAGCTTGGTGTAATAAACTCCTCGATATGAATTTCGACGTAAGCCTTTTTACTCTAGGATATTGCTAGAATGATTAGCTAACGAGCGTCAAGGATCCCCATATTCGAAAGCGGGTTCTCCAGCTTCTGGTGTCCTTCTCAACAACGGCGCTTGACAACAATGCTAATCTGATGCTCAAGGTCCTCGAGCACATCTTGATGACCTGGCCTGCTCTTCAACCGGAGCATAGAGCCTATAACGATGCGATCAAGGACTTGCAGGCGGATAGTATGATTGAACTTCACCGCTTAGCAACAAAAATGCCTGACCACCTCCTCGTATGCTACCCTCCTCGTTCTCCCACCCTGCTGTTCCGCCAGCCCTTTTTCAAGCTCAGACTGACACGCTTCACAGAATGTCTACGGTGACCTCGAGGCAAAGGTCAAGGAGATGGTTGCATCTGGCACGCTAGATGATAAACGCATTGTCGCTTACCAAAGCTTTCTTTTCCTCATCATGTATGTGACGCCATGGGCCGAACTATATATCGAGTTCCATGATTGCTTACTGACTTGACTCTAGTCATCGAACATCGAGACTTGATCTCCAGACTAAAATACAACGGCTGCAGCAATTTGTTGATCCAATCAAGGCACAATGGCAAAACCCGCAGCTGCAGGAATCCATCTCCTCCTATCAAGCTTTCTGCCAATTATTAGGCTTGGACAAGGCTCAGCAGTACTTGGCGAACCGAAAGGTCGATCAGGTCAAGGACTGGGGTGCCTGTGAATTGGATGCTGAGGGGCTTTCCCTACAGGCCGAGCTTGAGGACCGGCTTCGGGTACGGTCCTTAATATCAACTCCCTGGTCTGCATCTACTGACATTTTCTCTCTTTAATTAGCTGCTTCCCTTGCGATCAACCAAGTCCTTTATTGCCTTTTCCGTCGAGCGCATTGACAAGTCGTCTACTGCTTTTATGGCTTCATATAGCCTCTGGGGTGATAGCGTCGTTGGCATACTTCCATACATTCTCCAATTCCTCAAGTATGCAAATCTCTCGCCCTTTTCCAAGGGTTATCATCCTTTCTATCTTTCCTCAACGCGTTTGCTAACTCTAGGCACCAAATCATAGTCACGCACATGCGGCGCACAACCCAGAGAACTGGTCGGCATTGCCGCCTGACATGCGGTCAATCGTCGGCCGTGTCCTTAGTGATAGATTCTGGCAGGCGGGTATTTCGGAAGGTAGCAAGGATGACTTCTACGCACGTGTCATGGATAAGAAGGGCACTCTTGAGGGCCTCGGGTCAACGATCCGCGGATCCTTGCGGTTCGTCCGCGAGACTTGCTATGCCATCATCTACTGCCTCAGTCGTCTAGACTTCAAGTTCTATGGGTTTGACGACCTACCGGAACCTCTGGCACGCTCTCTCCTAGGAGACGCGACCTACCTCTCAACCCACCAGCAAGTCAACATTCTAAACTTGGTTAGGTATCTCGTCGATGACTGCCCTGTCGAGCAACGGGAGCACTTCCTACCACCCCTGTTATCTACCGTATTCCAGCAAATGGATCGTAAAATCAGCACAGAGTGGGAAGTAATCGCCAACCGGCAGTCAGTCTCCGCAGAAGGAGATGAATTGACGGAAGAGATGAAGGCCGAAAGCATCCTTCGACAAGTCACTTACACGGCCTGCCTTATGGTTGCTGACTTTTAGACCCGACCAAGAAAAGTAAGTTAGCTAGAGCTACCCTTCCCAGTCCACTTGCTGTTTGTGACCACCGCCATTTATCTTTTCTTTCCCTCACCGGATCATGCCCATCCTATCAAGTTGGGAAACTCGATAAAATGGCCCTATTCTAACCCCTACGCTTTTCCCCAGATCCTCCTCTTCGAGCTGAGAGTGGCCAGGCACCGAGAAAATATCCTTCCTTGCGCAAATTCTGTCTCATGCACCTAAACGTGGTGGAGCCGCTGCTGGTATTCTGCACTCACGCGATTAGGATGCGTGACACGAGGTGTTGTAGCATCATTTTGCGGGTGTTCAAGTCTATTGTGCCAGAGTTCCAGGACATGCAGTCTTCGGAGAGCCAAAATGCCACACCTAGCGCGGGGAGCGCGGGCGGAGGGCCACCCGAGTCTTCGGGCGCCGACCAATACCTCGACACGAGCCCACTACCTGCCGAGGTTGTGCCCATGATCAGGGAATACATCGCGTCTGATGTTCTCAAAGCTTGCATCACATCGATCAACGAGGCTTATTTTGTGGACCTGCAAAAGGATCTCGCGGCGCTGATCGCGGCCGTCATCGTCTATTACAGCCCTTTGACTAACACGGCAACGAACATTCTTTTGTCCCTTCCGGGAGTTACAGAAGCCGAACTGCAAAAGTTCACGCCGTTCATCGTCAAGCCCGGCTCGCACTCTCGTCAACAGCGAGCGCTAGTCTTGGAGCTTCTGAAGGACGTGAAGGGCGTGAGCATCTCGGAGATGGGCAAGCTGTCCGGGATCGCCGGAGCCAGCAGCCGATCGAAGAGGGCAGGACGAACCAAGATGGCACAGGAATTCATGAAGGCTCCAGAGCCCACACATCAACAAGGGGTGCTGCAACGACGGGTGGCAAAGACGACGAGCTCGACGGGGTGTCCCGACTGTTTGAAAGTTAGAAGCTTGATTGTACCACTACTCAAGAACCCTCTTTCGCTCGGCCAGGCTAATAGCGAGGTACTCCACATAATATATGCACCCACCGTATACCATTGTAGATGGGAGGGGGAGGTGCGGAGCAAGTGGAGTATGGTAGAGAGGGGAGGGGAAGGAGAGGAGGGGAGGGGGTATGTATTGAACGGCAGCACGGAAGAAAGAGAGGCGGCGAAAAAGAGGCGAAAGAGAGGCGAAAGAGAGCGCATGGAGAAGGGATGACCAAGGCTCCGAGGCGGTTGTGGGAGAGAGAGAGAGAGAGAGGGAGAGAGTTGAGTGGAGGGCCCTTTGTGGTAGGCCAGGGTTTATCTCGGTGTATTCCGGTTAAAGTTCCACAACCTTTCGTCTCTGCCAAAGACCCCTCGTGCGATGGATGGGGCGAGGCCTGGACCGGAAGGGGGAAAGTGAAGGAGGAATCGACGATGCAGCGGCGAGTCGGTGGCCCAATCCCCATGCTCAGAGCCAGCAGGGGGTGCGGGTGGAAGGGTACGGTCAACATGCGGGCGTACAAAGACGTCGGCTGTTTACTTAGGCGAGCCACAGGTGATGTGATGGGTAGCTGCCATGGAGACATGGCGGGACAGTGAAGGATCGGGTTGGTAGGGAGAAGGCATTCATTGCGTACACCCTTTCCAGCTGAAGCTTTCTGTTGGTTAACGCATGTGTTCACCCCCTCTCCCCGGTCTCGTTGTCTGAATTTGATGGGCGATGTGCTTTCCACTCTGTTTCATGGACAGGCGTAGCGTCCAAATCGGTTTGCTAGTTCTGTTCAGCCAGTTGCCCCCAATCCCCTCTCTTACCCTTTCCTTTCTAACGCTTCCCTCCCGACCCTCCCTTGACATAGTGCTGTGCTCCGCTAGTGCTGAGATCACTTATCTTGGACACCTTCTCATTTCTCTTCTTTTTCTGCTGTTCAAGGTTCCCGTCTTCTGGCCAGCTTGTAACAGCACCTGTTTATTTCCAGCCGGGAGAGATTTTGTTTTGCTCTGCTTTGCTTTGCTTTGCTTCTTCTCCTTTCTCTGTTTGCAGCGCGATTGTTTTCATCTAGATGGGGTAAAGAGGGGATGTCAATCCAGTTCCGCAAGAAGAAGAAAAAACGGGGGTTTCTTTTTTTTTTGTCTTTTTAAAAAGAGAAAAGTCTATAGAACGAGCGGCGGGTTTCTTGAAGTTGACGGACAAGCTATTCCTCGTCTCTGCCAGCTCGCTCGTTCCGCAATTACAAGTATACAAGCGCGTTTACCAATCATGTATACACGTAGCCATTGTGAGCCATTTGTGACAACATGCTGGGTGTGTTCCTCGGTTGGTTGTCCATGCAAGCACTCGAGGTTGTGTGGGTTATTTCGTCCGCCATCAGCGTTATGCGAAACGAAAGTGCAAGATCGAGATACTCTAGTCGAGGCCTTCCTGTGGGGAATTCCCTTATAGTAGATCCATAGGTGTCACTTTGGAGGGTCTGAGGCTAGTGAAAGCGCAGCGACTTTCTGATATCATCAAGTGAACCGAGGATAGCTCGTGTGCTAAGGACAGGAAATACGTGTAATCGACATGCACAAGCAACGGTCGGGAAACGAAGAGTCAGGGCGGAGCGAGCACTCATCACTCCGGCCGCTCCCCGAAACAACTGAACACTCACGAAACCTGGCCACCCGCCCCTCTATCCCTTGCAGTGATTTTGATGAAGCCCTCCCCTCCCACCCTTCCCCCAAGCGCCTTTTTCAAAAACTGCGTGGCTTTCAAGTTGCTACGAAGGCTCGACAGAGCGCCTGAGAGGGGCGAAGAGATAGTAGCATCCGGTATTTGTCATTCGGGGAAACGTGTGCGGAGAACGCGCGTGTGAGAGAGGCCGGGGGGCAAGTATGTGCGCGCCCTGTTGCACGTTTGTTCTATTCTTGTACCCTTGAGGAAAAGGAAAGGAAACCAAGGCTACATGTGAGGCATTATGCTCTAAAGGCACAATATCTAGAGAGCCGGCCGGGGAGTTCCGAACCTCTGTGCTCAGACGGTCTTTTGGTTGAGCCGCCAAAGTGGGCATGCTCAAGGATTGAACGATTACCTTGCACGTCCCGAGAGGAAGGGGTAAACATCCATGGTGTACAGGTATGATCTCGAGAGAGAATCTATGCCTCGCTGTCTTTGCTGCCATCTTTATCGCATCCCTGACGGCCTTGGTACATACACGCCAGAGAAAAGATGCGGAGCAGTTCGCCATGCAGCCCTTTCCTTCATGATACTTTTTTCTTTTTATCTTTTCTCTCTTTTCTTTTTGGCCCTCCTCAGGTCTCTCTATCTCTTGATGAGTGCTAGCGATTTTTGTTTTCGAAAAGGGTGATTAATAGGTGCAGGATGAGGACTATATGGTCGGTTGACGAGAGTGACAAAGAAGAGAGGTCTGCCATAGTCTAACTCACCTTTGCCTCTCGGTAACATTTAAAGCTCACCCGCCTCTTCTGCCTCTTTTGAAATGGTGAGGAGTGTGGATTTCAAGGGATCAATGGATGCAAAGGCTTACCCCACTACCTAGCGGAGGTACGGCGCACGTCCGCGTACCAGAGACGGGGAGATCCTGGTTGTGCAACTGTACCTGGGAGGGAGAAGAGGGGTGGTGCATGGGGATGGGGGCGGCCAGAATGCCCGGTCCGGCTGTTGCGAATCCGCGGGTTGGGCTGCCGACACAAATACCGCTAGGGTACGCATGGATCTTTTTTTCCCTTTTTTTCTTTTTCTTTTCCCGGCGCATGCTTCGAGAGGGTATTAATACTTACCGTCCGGATAGATGGAGATTGGGGCGGCTCGGGGAACAAGAACAATATGTTTCGATATTAATGGTTCGCGCATCATAGGAAAGGCGTTCGTGCAAGGCAAAGCTGAATGACTAAGCCGCCAAATCAAGCCGACGTTGTGTATTCTTCAAAGTATCGCGCAACTGGTTCCATCGGTGTGCTAGGAGATTTTTCTGGTATTATCAAAGCCACTTTGTTGAAAATGGATTAGTATCCCCCAAGGGGCCAAGGGGAGGAATAATGGGAAGCGCGGGCGTTGCTGAGTTCTCGACCGCTTAACTCCGTCAAGGAATAACCCGCATCCACCTTGTCGCGTCTTCCATCGGGCGTGTGCAGCCAACTGTCCTGAGGGGCATTGATCCATGGATCAATGTACTATTAGTGCAAGTACCTGTAATAGATCTTACATCCCCGAGAAAAGCGGCAAAAGAGGCAGGAGGTGATCTGGGCGAGTGTGTTTGTCCGGCTTCCGCCGATGGAGCGGAGCCTGTGCTGTTTTGTGGTACAGCATGTATCCCTGCAGACACTTTGATGAACTGCTGTTGGTTATTATCACCGAACCCGCAAAGTCATTAAGGGTTATGATGATACTGGCTAATTTGTCCGTTGATAATATCCACCAAGTTCGAGGCGGTGAGATATCGTCAAGTGCCTCTCGCCTTTGCTCCCAGCATGCCTAGCTAGCGTTCACTTAAGGACCAACTCCGGATCGCCAGATCTCCTCCAAACCGGAATGGTTCACCACGTTCGTCCCTCCAAGCGCAACCCCCTGCCGTCTCGGCCGTACTTTGTAGTTCCTGGCATGAACCACCAAGGCCGGAAGCGAGGCTTGGGTCTCACCGGATCAGCAATTGGCGTACCATACTCTGAACGCGGAGATCAAGCTTTTGTCTAAGAGCAGCAGAAAATGAACTCTCAGCTCCAATGCGTGGATGCGCACCCCGGACCACGCATCGCATATCATCACACATACGCATCCATCCTTAGGAACGGCAGGGGAATAATAGAGTAGAGTCCTTTGCAGACGGGGTGGAGGAGGCGGCTCTCTCTCGTGATATGCAGGCTCTCTAGCGTCGCAGTCCGAGGTTCAATTTTGTGCTCGGCTGCTGCGAGGTGAGGTACGATTTGAGAAAGGGGGGGACACTTCGCTACGACGTCACTTTTTCTGTCTGCATTGTGCCCTTTATGGCGAGGATAGCATGGAGGAAACACGGCACGCTAACGTTTGGAGATCAAGAACAACAAAATGGGGCGAGAAGAAGAAGGGAGGGGGGTGCAAGTATGATCCGCGAAAGGACCTGAAGATCGGAGAAGGGAGAATGGCAAATGGACAATGGGAGCAGCGAGGCGCACCAAGGGGGAGGGGGGCGAGCCTCCGCAGATCCGCCCCTGGTCAGTCATTCTGGGAAGAACTGATCTATTGCCATTGACTAAAGCCCTTCGAAGCCGTATGTGTATTATTGCGCGAGAGATTTGGGGCAAGATCAGAAAATAGGCAAGACAGATAATATTGGGGAGACGCAGGGGATGGCCGGGCCGGGGGACCATGCCGGTATACAGAAGTGATCATCTACACCGAGCACGTACGACATGGATGTGTGATTTTACGCGTCTCAGGGAAGTTGGAAGGTGAAGAGCATCTGTGGAGGTTTTGAGCTGGTGACGAATAGACGTCATCCGTCACTACTTGTAAAGTTGGGATTTGGGCCAAGTCCAAGGAAGACCAGCAACGAGCAGGGGATCTAGACCTGCGGGCCAGGTTCCGCTTCATTTAGATACTTGGATGCGAACAAGGTGAACCCGATGAGTGCGAGGGCCTTTGTCTTCTCCAGGCCGCTAATGCTCAACTTGGCGAACTTCTCGAAACGTCCGCGCTTTCTAGGCTCTGCCCACTTGACTCGTTTTGCTTTTTTGAAACAAAACGAGATGTGAGCACTGCCACCCCAGGAGCGACTTGCGCATGGGCGAATAGAGGGTCTTGGAACACGAATGAACACGAATGGAGACGGCGTGGTGGGGTCCATAATATTAAAGCAAGTGCGTGCCTGCGTGTGAGTGAAGTGAAGAGGTGTATCATTATTACATCCATGGAAATCCTCGCGAACGTACGAGGTAAAAGGGACAATGGAAGAGCCGAGGAAGTTGTCGACTTCCTTGTCGACTAGGACTGATAGGATCAAAGAGATGGATGCGCGTGGTCTGCTTCGAGAACGCCACATCCTGCAGACGACATTACAACACCACCACTAGGGGTTATGCCAGGATGCGGGAGGGAAAGGGAGATCAGATTGCCTTCATCTTGGCCCTAGACCTGGGGCTCATCAAGTTCCGAACACGCTAAGGCAGGCGTAGTGGCCAGGTGGAAAAAAAGAAAAAAGAAAAAAAGAAGCGAAGCAGTGACGGTGACGAGTGCAGGTGAATTGTTAACCTGTCAAGCGTCGGTCAACATTCGACACTTCCACTTGGGGCAAGCGGCTTTCTCGCACCCTTGAACTGGCCCTAATATTGGCAGGTTTCAAGAGGCTGCTTGGGGTGTAAGGCGAGCGTACGAGGGGAGAGCTCGGGAGTTGGCGTCTGGTGGCTTCGGTCGGTAGGAGCATCTGCTTAACACACCTGACTTCCGCCTTTTATACTGACTTTGTCTTTTGATACTCGTCGGGGTAATTGGGGTCGTAACCGGGACACTGGGGCTGCGTGGGCGGTAGGGTCTCAGACTGAGCAAAGGCTTTCGAGTTTACTTCAATGGAGGGGTGTTTATACGCCCTGACGAATATTTAACGTCTTTGGTTACTCCAGATATTAATGACTTGTACTTGCTGCAGTTCTGGGCTCAATACTTGCCTGCCCGAGCTGCCTCTCGGTACATGCAGTATTGCGGAGTTGTGACTGGGAAAGCAAGGCAATAGTATCAAGAGCACAAGGTAGGTGAAAGGATGTGTTGTGAGCGTGCATCTCTTGAGGCGCGTGAAGAAAGAAAAAAAAAGAAAAAGAAAAAGAAAAAAGATGGGCCCAGTAATACCGAAGTACTTCGGACTTTGAATCTGGTGCATCCATGTCACCCTCCACCCTTGTTTCGTGTCTTG